TATTCCTTAGAGTCTAAGTAAACTCTATAGTTATTATTAAAGTAGGTAGTCTAACTAAGTTATTTATAAGGGATTACCTTAGTAGTAGTACTAACTTATCTTTTCTTAGGTACTAGCTAGAAGCGTTTTTTTTTAGGTGCTCTATATTCTTTTATAAGGTATCTATTCTTATTATAGTTATAGTACTTAATATTCTTCTTCTAGCTATTACCCTTGTTGTTATTGTTGCGCTGGGCTGTACTGAGATCTATAGGTCCGCTATAGTGTCTGTAGGTGGTGCTATTGTGTTTGTTACGTTAATTGTTGTTATGGTATCTAGGCTGCTACTAGTACTTACGGCTAGAGTTAGTAGGTTATTATTATTTACCTTTCTCCTTATATTACTTATATAGTTAGTTATTAATCTTAATAGTGAGCTTAGTATATTAGAGGAAGTCCTTAGGTCTATTAACCTTAATGATTTTATCCTTAACTTTATCCTTAAGGTTATTATAAAATATAAAGATCTTACCTTTATTAGTTAAGTCTAGCTAGGTATAGATCTATTAGAACTCTATAGTGTAGTCCTTAGCTAACTTAGTCTATTTGAGGTAAAGTAAGTCTTATTTAGCTTATTGTTTCTTATTAGGGTCTTAGAATAGAGACTTTAGGGCGGACTTAAAGCCCTAGAAGCTGCTGAAAATGTCTCTAACTTTAGTGGAATAGTGGTTAAGTATTTCCTTATTAAGGTACTCTTTAAGGAAGGGTTTAAACTACTAGAGGGCTTATCCCTTAAGGAAGGTAGATATATAGATAACCTTCTTAGTTCTATTCTTAAAGTTACTATAATAGAAATTCTAGTAGTTCTTAACTTAGATAAGGAATCCCTTAAGCTATCCTAGGGATCTATTAAAAGGATTAGGAGGGTTAAGTTAAAGCTTCTCTTATCCTTCTATAATAGGGGTAGTAATAATATTAGTAGTAGCTTAAAGAGTATAGTTCTACTATTTAAGTTCCTAGGTATACTAGTTAGATAGGCGTATAGCAGCCTAAAGTTCTTTAGTAGCGTAGGTATTAGTATTAAATATTTCCTATATCTATTAGATATTATAGTTAGCTTATTTAAGCTATTCCTTAAGTGTATTATTATCGTTACTATTACTATTATCTTTTATTCTCTAATCCCTAAGTTCTTAAGTAAGGTTCTTCTTGATGGGGGCCTTCCTAGCGCTAGAGGGGGATCTAGTGCTAGGGGTCTTTCTAGAGAGTTATAAAGATATTATGATATTATTAGTAGTTTTTAAAAGGTAACTTATTAAATAGGAGTAATTAAAGTATTATAGCTAGCTAACTAATAGTGGGTTTATATTAGTAGTAAGTTAGGGATTGAGAACTATAAATAGTAATTAGTTATTTTATAGGTCTAGTTAAGTAATTATAGGTCTTTAAAGGTCTTAGTAATTAGTTAAGTCCTTAATAAGAGTTATAGAGTAATTATTACTTAGGTATAGCTAAAAGTCTTAAGTGAGAATTATAAGTTAATTGCTAAAGAGCTATAGAAGTTTATCCTTAAGCGGACTTAAGTCTATCCTATATATAGGTCCTGGGTAGTCCTATTGCTGGGTGCTGTATATACCCTGTACGGCTCCTATATCCTTAGCATATGGCTTCCATCTTTCTGGAATATGGATGCTATATCTTGATTATATGGATCTAATCTTTTATCTTATTGTTATGTGACCTATACTATAGTTCTTCTGTTCCTAAGGGATCCTTATGTGTTCCCGTGATCCTATATATAAATGTGTTATTATAACCGCCTAGTATCCTAGTGGGGCGTCCTTTGTTGGTTATGCCTAACGGGTTATAACAACTTATACTATAGTTCTTCCGTCCCGGGGGGAGCCCCACGTGTTCCCGTGATCCTATATATAAAGGTGCTGTTATAACCGCTTAGTATCCTAGTGGGGCGTTCTTTATTGGTTATGCCTAACGGGTCGTAATAAAAGGCTCCTAAGTAACTAAATATCTTATACTTCTATATTAGAGCTTACCTTATTATAATTAGTAATATAGAGATATTCTTAGCGTCTTCTTAAGGTAAAGCTATATAGTTACTATTTTTTACCCTCCTTAAAGAGAAAGATAACTTATATAATAGTATATTAGTTTATTATTAATAGCACCCTAAAAAGACCTTCCTTCTAAAGAGCCCTAAGGAGTTTATAGTTAAATATCCTAATAGTAAATATAATAAAAGTTAATAAGTTCCTACCCCTTTAAGATAATTTAGCTATAAAAGGTAAGTTATATTAATAATATATATATATAGTAATACTTTATTAGCTTATAGTAAATATAATTATCTAAAATAGTATTATTAAATTATAAATTATAATAAGGTTACCTATTATAAATATATCTAGAAGACCTATAAGAGAGGTTATAACTATAAGGTCCTATATACTAACTAAGAAGCTATTTATATAGCTTACCTTAAAGAAGATAAAGCTAACTATAGGAGGATCTAGTATAATCTTAGGATAGAAGAGGAATATATACTAATAGAGAAACGCTATACTTAAGAGCTCTAGTAAATATAGGATAAGCTTAATTATAAGAGATAAAAGCTTAGATACGCCTAAGAAGATAAGGATTAGAAGAAGTAGCTAGAGTAGACCCATTTAGAGCTCTTAGCATTAAAGGATATGAGAAAACGAGCAGAAAAGATAAAGGCTGCCGTAAAAGCCTCACAACCCGTGGTCCCGGGCGCTTTTCCTGAGGAAAAACCATGGACACCTGAGCCAGGCGGCGCACAGGAAGAGTGGAACAGCATGAAGGAAGGTGGAGCAAGCAGTGCTGCCTTGGACAATCTCATGGGCATGATCGGTCTCGAGAGCGTCAAAGAGGAGTTTCTTTCGATTAAGAACAAGGTCGATACATCAGTTCGGCAAGGTATCTCGCTGTCCAAGGAGAGATTCAGCTGCACGCTGCTAGGTAATCCAGGCACTGGTAGGTCAACCTCAGAACGTAGTGCGCAGCGTCTGACGATCAGTAGGGAAAACCACGGTCGCCCGCATCTACAGCAAGTTCTTAACGTCTGTAGGCGTCATCGCCGGCAGTGCGTTCAAGGAAACGTCTGGTTCAAAGCTTGCCCACTTGGGTGTGGGCGGGTGTCAGAAAATGTTGGATGATGTTCTCGAGGACGGTGGAGGCGTCATCTTCGTTGATGAAGCATACCAACTATCGTCCGGCAACAGTTCCGGAGGCCGTGCCGTGCTCGATTTCCTGCTCGCAGAGGTTGAAAACCTCACAGGCAAGGTGGTTTTCATCCTCGCCGGGTACGGCAAACAGATGGAGTCGTTTTTCGCCCATAACCCGGGATTTCCCAGCAGGTTTCCTGTCACCATGAAGTTTGAGGATTATAGCGACGACGAGTTAGTTAGTATTCTGAGGTATCAGATTGACAATAAATACGGAGGACGCATGAAGTGGGAAGACGATCTTTATCTACGCGTTGCGTGCCGCAGACTTGGACGAGGGCGAGGAAAGGAGGGATTCGGGAATGCCCGGGCGGTGGAGAACTTACTGTCGATTATCTCGAGCAGGCAGGGTAATAGGTTTCGGAAAGCGCGACGATCTGGTCAGAAGGTTGACCCTCTCTTTTTCACCAAGGAGGACCTCATTGGGCCAGAGCCGGCGAGCGCGCTCAGCAAGTCTGAAGCCTGGAATAAGTTGCGAAGTCTCATTGGACTTTTCTCAGTTAAGGAGTCGGTCAAGGCCCTGATCGACAGCATTCAAACGAACTATCACCGGGAGCTGGCCGAGGAACCGGTGATCGAATACACCTTGAATAGGGTCTTCCTCGGATCGCCGGGCACAGGGAAGACGACCGTTGCCAAGCTGTACGGTCAGATACTGGTGGATCTTGGTCTCTTATCAAATGGCGAAGGTATGTCCTCTGCAGGTTTCCGGGTCCAATCTCAAGTGTTATTAACTCAAGACAGTGATTGTGAAGAGCCCCTCAGACTTCGTCGGCGCCGCACTCGGCGGCTCCGAGGCTCAGACCAAGGGCATCCTCGCATCAACAGTAGGCAAGGTCCTCGTCATCGATGAAGCTTACGGTCTATACGGCGGTGGCGGCTCTATGGGGGGAAGCACTTCAGACCCATACAAGACGGCTGTCGTTGATACAATTGTAGCTGAGGTCCAGAGTGTCCCCGGAGAGGACCGTTGCGTCCTCCTTCTTGGCTACAAAGACGAAATGGAGCAGATGTTCCAGAACGTTAACCCTGGACTCAGCCGAAGGTTCCCCCTGGCGTCTGCTTTCAACTTCGAAGACTTCAGTAGCCCCGACTTGCGGAAAATTCTCGACCTAAAGCTCAAGAATCAGGGATTCAAGGCTACAGACCAGGCAAAGCAAGTGGCAATCGAGATGCTGGATCGTGCTCGTAATCGGCCCAACTTTGGCAACGCGGGCGAGGTGGACATCATCCTCAACGACGCGAAGGCTCGCCACCAACGACGCCTCACGTCTAAACAGACAGATCAAGTCTCGACACTTGAGGCCCTCGACTTCGACGAGAACTTCGACCGCGCAGAGAGGACAGAGACGAATGTAGCGAAACTGTTCGAGGGCACCGTTGGATGTGAGATGATCGTTGCCAAACTCGAGGGCTTCCAGCAGAACGTTCGGTCTATGAAGGAGCTTGGCATGGATCCAAAGGAAAACATTCCGTTCAACTTCCTCTTCCGTGGACCGCCAGGAACTGGCAAGACTTCGACTGCGAGGAAAATGGGGAAGGTCTTTTACGACATGGGCTTCCTTGCCAATGCCGAGGTTGTGGACCGCTCGGCGACTGACCTCATCGGTCAATACGTCGGGCAGACAGGACCCAAGGTCCAGCAGCTCCTCGACAAGGCTCTGGGCCGTGTTCTGTTTGTGGACGAAGCTTACCGTCTTGCCGGTGGAGGTTTTGCCAAGGAAGCCGTCGACGAGCTTGTCGATTGCGTCACCAAAGACAAGTACAAGGGCCGACTGGTGATCATCTTGGCAGGCTATGACAATGAAATCAACCAGCTGCTGTCCATCAACCCAGGCATGTCTAGCCGTTTCCCTGAAGTCATCGACTTCCACAGCCTCAGTCCCGAGAACTGTTTCAACCTACTTGTGAATCTGCTCTTGAAGCAAAAGCACAAGCTAGAAGCCAAAAAGTCCACGAACAGCGTTGTGGTGGGTTGCCTGGAAAACCCTACCCCGATGTTCAAAGCAGAGGCTATCATCACGTTCAATGCTCTTTCCAAGCAGTCTAGCTGGGCAAGTGCACGAGACGTTGAAACTCTTGCAAAGTCTATCTTCAATGAGGCCCTGAAAGCACGACAGGGAGCTTGTATTACCATTTCAGAGGTAACCGTTAAGGAGGAGCTGGATAAGATGCTTATGGAGCAAGAAAGCCGGAACCGGCAGGCGAACGCGACGAATCTGGCAAATTTCCAACATCTTCAGATGCCACCTCCGCCCCGAGCACCAGACCGCATTCAGACTCAGCAGTCGGTAAAGACAAATACTGTTGAGGCAGAAGAAGTGGAAGCTTCTTCTGCAATGGAAGATTCCCCAGCGACCCCAGGAAGCAGCTCGGAAGAAGACGGCAATCCTTTCAGGAAGCGTGTTGTGGTTCGTGATGCTGGTGTCAGCGATGAGGTCTGGGAGCAGCTCGAGCGTGATAAGAAGGCTCAGGAAGAACGGGATGCCAAGTATCGAGCATTGCTGAAGGCTAAGAAGGATGCGGCGGGTGCTGCTCGAGAGAGAATTCTTAAGGAGTTGATCGAAGAAGAGGAGCGGCGGAAACGAGAGGAACAGGAACGAAAGAAGGCGGCGATGATGGGAAAATGCCCGGTGGGCTATGAATGGATCAAACAAGCTGATGGATTTCGCTGCGCCGGAGGATCGCACTTCATTTCGAACGATCAGATTGCGAGATCTTGAGCGGCTGAGACATAGTACAGACGTCTGAATTAACGTAGATTAATGGAACAGAAATGGGCATTCAAGTAAACGACCACGTTCATACGAAACTCAATAGGCTCATCATGGGTCCTGACAACTTGTCAGGAGTAGTTGTGCGCCGGGACCTTCATCAAATCCGAGAAACTTGCGCAGGTGGCCGTGAGAACCTCGTAGCCACTGCCCGGCCCCGAGCCTTTGGTTCTGGAGCCATGAGCTTAACTCGTCCAAACACAGACAAAAATTCACTTCCCCGGCTTATCTGTAGCATATCCTCGGCTTTGACCGAATGCTTGCCTTCGTGGGGTCTGGTGGTCTTATCGCAATGCAGCTTGTATCCTATTGACACCGACTCGCGCACGATGGGCACCCCAAATAGGAAGTTTCCTAGTTCATATATCGCCGTGCCAGTCCGAGGAAAATTAGTATAAATCTGACAGGCAGAGCTGAGAGAATGGTGGTGGTGGTGGTGGTGATGCTTCATCTGTTCTTCCAATTGTTGTCTTGCACCCTAGTTTTGCCCATCGCGTCGATCGCCGAGCAAAGTCTAGACGTCTCTTTCACCCGTTTTCCCTTCTACTTTATTGGCGCCTTGATACTACCATACTTTGCCTCGTACTTCATCATGCAGTTCTCCGCTACTTTTATTGCTACTATACTGGCTCTTTCCACCGGAGTCTTGTCGCTTCCGTAGGTTTTCCTTGCCCGATGGAATAATCGACGCAATACTTTCTCACGAAGGAGGCATAGTTGCTGACATCAACACCCCTAAACACAGTCAAGCTATCACCGGCAAGGCCACAGACTTTGGAACATACTTCTGCAAGACACGCAGCGATGTCGGCAAGGACAATGGGAAGCTCGTCGCCAGCAACAACTTCTGCCAGGCTGCTGGTGGAGCTGTCCTGGCTTCTGCTGGTGTGAGTTTGCAAACTCTCTTCTGAAAGCTCTTTTTTGTCTCCGATATTCTACTTCGTTCCCGCATCCTGACTGGATTCGAGTATGAGTTTTCATTGCAGCTGCAGCTAACGTGATGCTCGACAGTTCTGCTGTATTCGAAATAACAACATCAAAGTTCAGCAGGCGATGGCCAAAGGATGCAACGATAACAAACTGGTATTCAGCCAGAACGACACACCTTGTTCACCTTGAGCAGGAATATGATGGGCAGTTAGTTGGATGGATGGAATGACGCCCTTCCGTCCACCTAGTGGAGGCTCTCGTTGAATGTCAAGGAAGCGGTCATTATGACGTGGTCTACTCTATTACTAGCCACAAAGGAATACAATGATATAGCCTTCAAAACCGCGCGATAGTCTGCAAGATCAGTTGAAGCATTAGGGCCGAATCATTACAAAGCGATAAAGATCGCAAGGGGAAGTCTGGGGGACCAAAATCACCCTGAGGATTAGATCAACTCAGAAACGGGTGCGACTTTGATAGGCACGCTTGCAGCAGAACCCCGCAAGCGCATCATAATCCATAATGATATTGTTGTAAGTTTAAGCGGCATAAGTTAAGAGATCTAGAATGTCACTCTATCAACGTGTCGACCCTGCAAACCTTCTGATTACCCCTGACGATGATGATGCAGGGGCCTTATATTCCACTCCAACGGACCAACTCCCTCCCCAATCGAATAAGAGCATCGGACGACAAGGCCGCTGCTATCTTGAGGTTGGCTGGACGTACTCAAGTGATAGCTTTCAAGACCCAGTTCTAGATTTTATCTTCCAAAGACGTTGTCAATCTGCCACGGGAGAAGGCTGCCGTGATCCTTTCGGTACTGGGCTCACGATACTACCATTCGAGGCCATAGGCACTGCGTATTCCACGAAAGACTATAATAATGAGATTATACAGCATTAGTGAGCATTGAAATTCGGGAAAGGGAATTGAATACACCGAAGAAGAGAAAGACGCATTCTATGTAAACCATGAACCAACCGATCCAAGAAAGAATCATATTGCTAGGGCAAGGGCAGGTGGTAGGTAGCATCTAACGGCGGGAAGCTTTCAGGCTAAAGCAAATCCAACTGAACAAAACCTTAATGAACACGTTTGATCCATAACAAGATGCTTGGCATAACAAGGTTGACAGGGTTGTCTCTCACTCACTTTAGCCAACATCAACCCCTGAGAGGCCGTACGGCAGCACGTCATTGGACACCATGTACCCGATCTATATCAACTGTCGAGCCTTATCGAATTATTATCATGATTTTCATTAATGGAGAAAGAGCACTACGTAAATGGTGCTTCAAGTTTAGGGGCATGGTGACCAGCCCGTATGAAGCCTGAAGGCGCCAGGTAGGGACGGATAGATGAAACAAACAACGAGTACCCCAAACTCCAAAGCATAAAGGCTCATGGCCAGAGCAACCTCATTATGAAATAAGAAAATTATCGTCAAAAGATGCGTGAATCACCTCCTTGTGATGATGCTCATGGGAATCCCTTCGGCTCAACCCTGGGAGAAGCAACCTGCACAATGTCACAGGTGACTGCGATGGGACCTGCTTGCTTCCCTCCGAAGTCAGAAGACCTCTTTCCAGCCTCGATACGTGTCTCAACCCTTGGGCTATGATCGGATACATAGCCTCCAACCTCTATTGTTTCCTGCTTCTGATGTCGGAACATCATAGGCGAAGGCACAATCTCGCTGTCTGTGATTTGCCCATTCTCTTTATGGCCCTGGATGGGGAGCCCCGTATCACGGTTCGAATCGGAATGGCTGAGGTCGTAATTTGCAGCTCCGTATAGGTCGGCTTTGCTATCGGAGGAATCGGGTCTGCGTTTCGAGTATCGGTGTGAGCTATGACTGTCGTGCGGAGGAGTGGCACCAAGTTCGACATCTTGCTGCTTAGAAGTACCAGGGGTTCTACTTGAGGCGTAGCCGTAGCCATGATGGTACTTGGAGGCCTTCGTGATGCGACTTGAGAGGGCGGGGATGAATTTGGAGACGAGGGGACGGAAGGTAGGAAGGCAAGCGCAGGTCAGGCCGCAGCAAAGCTCGCCGATTGACCAGCCGGCGGTTTCGACGTTTTCCCAAGTGAAGTCCTCGGCTTGGTGGAGGAAGCGAATTCGAACGAAGGAGATTGTGCAGGTACTATTGATATTGTTAGCCAGTTACCTAAAAACTCGTGTTGGCTGAGCCGAAGAACGTGCTGGACGTGGCGCGACGTACAAGAATCCTAGGCAGAAGATACCAAGAAGAACGTATTTCTGGCCCGGAGCGAGCTTCAGATTGCCAATGACTGGAAGCGGCAGTACAAAGACGATGAGATCTGTGATGATATTGCCGGCAGCATTGATATACCACTGTGGGTAGTTCGGGATGCAAGTTCCCTTCACGTCTGCGTCCCAGAAGGTAGGAATAGGGGTGCAGATGAAGATCTCGACGAGGATTTGTGAGATGCTCCAACCACCCACTAGGATCATACAGGCAATGAAAACCTTCTTCATCTTCTGGATAGCTAATACGCGGTAGTATTGGAATAAGAAAGTCATCTTGATACCGGCGAGGGCGGCATTATAGAAGACAATCGTGATGTAAAACGTCTGTGATGTTTGCCGTTAGGTACCGATATCGAGCGTGCGGCGGATATGGGGAGAAACATACCCGCAAATATGACTTGATTTGATCTGGGTTGAGGAAGTACACATGCGTTCCGAAGCCATTCTTCGTGTCTACGTTGCATAAGCAATCTGTATTTCAAAAAAGGGAAGATCAACGCTTACTTATTGCAACGGAAAAGCCGCAAGCAAATATCAGTAGCTGGGGAAACAGTATAAGCAGGTTGTCGACCTTGAATAAACGTGGCCATTGGCTTACAAAAGTGAAAATGGCAGTCCAGTCATCGAGGCCGAATTGTCGGAGCATCAAGGCCCTGGTATATGTTCGTATTGATACTGCGAGGAAGGCGACTGAAAGCACAAATGCCGTGACTCCGACGATGAGCGTCTGTCGCGACTCGCTCGGATCGATGCCTGGAGGAGCTTCCATGATGTCTGTGTGGTAAGCGCTCTAGCAAGCGCTGGCAGTTTCTAGATGCTGAGGAGCGAGGATTCCTGGGGCGAGAACTGTCGTGGGAGCACTGTTACGCAGATATCTGGTTTCGACCGCGGTCCGCACTAGTCCAGCTGAGCGAGGAAGAAAGTGACGACTGTGGACGTAATACAGTCGACCGAGGAAACAATGGGATGACAGGTCACCGAGGACGTTGTCCATCTTTAACCCCGAAGCTTGGCCATCTCAGCCTGGACTACAAGGACCCTTCCTTGATCAAAGGATGTGGTTTGGACTCGGCTAGCGAGCCTGGGAAAGGGGACGAAAGGAAAGAGGGTGTGAGACACTATTCCACACAAGGCAAACCCGCAAAGAGTGCAACACCGCAACGCCTGCAAACTCGAGGCCTGTCAGGTCCTGCCATATTCCGTGTCTCATATGGGTCGAACGTGGAGAACATTGAAGGATCGACGGATCTATTCCCATGGATTCTCCTCTGGCCGATTGCCTTTTGCAGATGACCAGGAACCGTGCGCATGGAAAGGCTGGTCATTAGAATGAGGGGCGTCTTAAACGGTTGTTGGTTCGGACGATGGCATATTGGAATGCCCTCCGTACGACTACATGACCACCACCTCAAATCGATGAACACAGAGTAACAATCTGTTACCGGGACGAAGCCGTACGCCGCGGTATTGGTGCAGGCGGTTGGATGAACCTTGATTATGCTCATTTGCGGGCGGGATGTGGGATGAGGAGGGTGGCAGCAGCACTGGGCAGTGGATGGTTTGCGGTGTTGCAGCTCTGCCACTCAGCAATGCGTCTAGTAATCTGGGAACACGACGGTATTTCGTGCGCAGCATATTAACGGCCATTCCAGGTCGTATCGAAATACTAACGGCGCATTCATATTCCCAAGAGAGGCCTGTCTCCGTTCCAGATCTTGGGTGGTGGACGCGATTCAGCTATCCGACAGAGAGACTATCGGTGTCTCAGACCACCTCCTGGTGTGTGCAGCTATGGAGCAGACATGGAGCTGACGATTTGGAAATGGCTTGCAAGTTGAAGCCAGATCCATAGTATTGGCAGGGCAGCCCAATGCTGGCCGACTTGACTTGGTGACGGGCTTGAACCGCAGGTTTTGATAATGCAGCTAGTATTCAGGGAGAGGCCGGGGTCACCCCTTCCCGAGGCCTGGTGAGTGAGGAGAGCATCGCGGGGATTTTCTCAGGGTCATAGCTGACTCGCATGCACGGCATGGCAGGACGAGAGTTTGGTGGTACTCTGCATCGATGATCACCGCTGGCGGGAAGTCAAAAAGAAATTGGGCTGAACGGCAGGCACTCTGTATATAGATACTAAGGTTAGAAAAGATAAAATACAAGGCTGTATGGCGTCCGCAGAGACCGTTGTTCATCTGATGAAAGACTAACTCTAGGGTTCAGAATCGAATGAAACAGAGACGTCCAGTTGTTAGACGGCGGACTTGCAAGCCGTCCGAGAAGACAGCAACCGCGCGGGGAGCTCCATTCTTCCGCCGCGGCAAGCCAACTGAGGGTCGTTTTCGGACCCAGTGTTTCTTCCGTCTGTGCAAGAAAGATACCTGGTCAATAGAGAGGAAGGCATCGAGCTTCATCGTTGAATACTCACGGCTTACGGTCAAGTTGCTGATGCTTATCCGGGCAGTTCCGGCGACGGTGGCCGAACTGCGGCGCTGAAGAGACGCTTCCACGGCTTCTGTGCTGCTGGTTCTAGCCTCCCAGCCTGCCGAAGGGACTACCTTGCTGTCTTTGAGACCAGGGTCTCGTCAATCATGTCATTGAATGACTCTTTCCGGCTGGGCAATGGCAATTGGAGGTCTGATCGCAAGCACATTCTCGGAGAGACGAGCCGGAGACGGCACGAAGGTCAATCATCTTCAGCAACGCCCGAATCCTCGGTCAAAGTAGATGTCTCGTTGAAGGACAATCTTGACCATCTGTGAGAGGACCCTGGAAGCTCCTATTCTCCTTCGAGGAGAAGCCACAGCGGTCGCAGGGGAATTAGACTTCAGCCCAATGCATGTGAACGGGTCAGTGGCGCTTCGTGAAGTTCAGGATCAGCGGGTTTATTGACTTGTTACAAACCTGCTCAGAGGTGATGACAGGCGCATTTGTGTTCTGCAAGGTACGGCCTTGGGTTAGTGGAAGGAGTGTGATCCTTGAGACTTTCCCTTACGCCAGCTTTTGTTCCTAATATTGAGTAGATACTTTGAAGCACGAGGTGTTCCCAGTAAGTTTCCTCGGTATTTTTGTCATCTTCTGCAGACGAAACAGCAAGTGGCAGGTTCATGCGTGAAATGGAGAGCAAGGGTGACAACTACCCCGCCCGTCACTCGCATGGCTCCAGTGTGTCGCCTATCGAGAGCATCACGTCAAATATGAGCACGGCCATGTCGTTCACCTTCATGAGCAACCATCCTACCCAGATGCATATGCACAGGGCATCTGGCAGTCATCACTGTGATTGCAAAGGCTTCGAGGACTGAGTGTATCTGCAAGAGCAATCACACCGGCGATGATAAGAATAAAGCTTGTTGCCAATTGAGGATATTTGCGATCATATAAGTCACATTAGTTGAGCACTGGCCGCTGATGGAATCCCCGTCTTTCAATTGCCTCAATCACTGAAAACGGTCAATAGGCCCAAGCAACACATCCGTCAACCGGGCCGCACCGTCACGCTGTCAAAGAAACGGCGCGCGGGGTTAAAAACAGGCCAGCCTGCACGAGATGGGATGGCCATGATGGTCGTTTTTCTTTTGGTACGCTAGAACCGAATTTGTGAGAGCTCCCCATCAACAAGCAACTTCTCCCCTCCGCATGACTAGCAAATCACCAGATTTTGCGGTTCAAGAGTGTCTCTTCCGCGTCTGAAACAGCCTGAAATGTCGCACCGGTGACCAAACGTGACTGCAAATCAGGCTGGCCCGGCTCCGCAGGCGGGGGCTGAGTGTTGTGATAGTGATGTGAATGAATCGCTCCCCAGAACACAACGTGGATGACATGAATGGCGACGGCGTCTGTTCTCGCTGCTGCCCAGGACGGGGCTTCACCAAGACCCTGGGGCCCACGTGCGATACATGAACTGAAGCAGCCGCGGATTGGCGTTGAGCAGCCACGGAGTTGCTGTTCCTGCTTCATCGCGTGCAAATCAATCAACGTTTAGCAAGGAACTCGTTGTATCGTGGGAAGCGATGATCCACGTCGTAGTGTCCTGCGGAGTTGTTCCCACTGAGTAAAGTAATAAGGTCGAAGGCGTCGAGCCGAGCGGCATGGTGCTTATCTCGTACAGAGTTGATTGCTGGCGAAACGTGCCGCTCCATTATTTGCCTTGTTTGCCGCGCTTCAACTCCACCACCGGGCCGTCCTGCTTGATTTCTTCGTCGGCTCTTGGGTCTTTGTTGTTGGTCTGAAAGACGGGTGGACGACAATGGATGGATGGCAGGCTGGTTTCGCTCGGACCGCATTTGGTTCCCCCGCAGTATGTTTGGCGGGGACAACAAAGATGCCGAAGTCCGTTGGGTGGTAAATAGTGTACGCGCCACAGTTCTCCGTGATGCTATTATCTTTCATCAGGACTGATATCTGTATTCTATAGTAGGATCGGTCCTGACTCTGAGAAGGACCGGGATATCCTGAAGAGCCGCGTGGCCAGTGAGCCACGGCAGTGCGTGTAACTTCGTTAGAGCGCGAGCGTTGGTCGTTCGTCCGCGGCCACAAACTCTCTTCATTTCGGTGTAGTTAGCGGCCAAACGTCATTACCGCACAAATCCCGACAACATGTGAGCCGGTAGCTATGACCAATGACCGAATTCATTGATGGGTACTCCGTATGGATATCAATTCAATGCCATCATTAGATCCGAGCTTCCGCGGTGAATCTAACTTGGCCGATGTGACCTGACCAGTAAATAGCCTGCTCAGCTGGCGGGCTAAGTCCGGTGCGCCCGGTGAGAGTGTGTTCGGTGATGACTTCGGCAGCAGGCCAGGCGTTTCTGGTCGCAATCGGCGAAGGATTCGTACTTGATTAATTACGTGCTTACGGAATTCAAGACCGAGGGAGCAACATACTGACTCGTTCACGGGTAACAGACATCGAAATCGTCCGCAGAAGAGCAGGAAAACGCCTCCTTTCCAAAGCCCCGATTTTGATGCCCTTGGCCCATGTAACGCTGACAGTGCCCCTGGCATATGCACGCACACACACCAATGTACAGCTTGCTTTCAGCGGTTCGTCCTGTAAATTGCTACTAATGTAAGCTCTCAGACATCTCGCGGAAGTCTGATATGTTCTCGGAGAGCACTCTAATCATTTTCGCTCGCCGGTGGCGCTTCTGAGCGCCGAGCCTGAAGTAGGGATTGTCAAGTGTCTTTCGTATTAACAACGGTATCTGTCAATATCCTACTGAGAAAAAGCTCGGTAACTAGCCGTAGAATCATGAATGAGCGCGTCGAGAACCTTGACGCCATGCTAGCTTATTATGTATTAGCTTTACAGAGCCTTCAGTTCATCGCTTTGTTAACTTTCCTTATCAACGTCCCACACCCCCTCATTGACAGCAGATGGTTTCTCTAGGTGTTTTCCGTGCCCATGCCATCCACGAGGCAAAAATCAGTGGGACAACTCGCGATCTTCGAGTGGGACCTTCTCCGCCATACCATCACAGGTTCGAATAATGGGCCGATATCGCAGCACCAGCCCGGCCGGCTGGCGCAATGGTAGCGCGTCAGCCTCCTACTCATGATCCATGGGAATAGTTAGCTGAAGGTTGTGGGTTCGAGTCCCACGTTGGTCGTAGGCGCGCGAATGCGCGTTCACTTTTGCTGCATATGAGTATCTCTTTTTTAGTTGAGTCTTCTAGGCGTAGAAGAAGCGACTAACGACACAATGCTACATTACTACTTTCATATTGATGTTTATAATTGGATATAAATATTTTGTGACTTTGAATATATGAAACAAGTGAGTTATCACATATATATAACATTAGATGCAGCTGGATCTGTCATTTAATAATTTCAATTGCCTCACTATCGAACTACACCTCTATGGGAGGACGAAGCTGCCGAGGTAGTCCGCCTTGCCAACAGGTACGCCTTTAGCTCTCAGAATAGCGTAACCGGCATTTAGGTGAAAGAAGAAGTTGGGGATTCCATGGCTCAGTGCCGCCTCCTTAGCTGAGACCTTCAAGGTCTTTCCACCGAAGATAGGCCTGCGAAGAAGCGTCAGAATCTCAAACCCCCAAACAGGAAGTAGTCACTTACAAGTCAACCTCGGCATCGGCCTTGGCGTTGATGGCAGCAACGTCGACCTTGCTGAGAAGATCAAGCGTCTCCTTGATGCGCTTATGCAGGTCCTCGAACGTCTTCTCTTTGTTCTCAAAGGGCTCGAGCTCGACACCAGTCAGGCGACCGATGTTGGTCTTCACTGTCTTGGTAGCATTCTGCACCTGGAACGTCAGAGGCAGCTGGTCCTCGATGATGCGGGCTTCGGCGTAAGTGTTGACGTCGACGCCATTAGCCTTGGCGTGCTCTGCGGCCTTGGTGAGAATGTGATCAAAGGTCTTGAGGCCCTTTGTGAAGGTGGGGATAGTTGCGTCGTAAACAGAGACTGAGGCCATTTTTGCGGATGTGAGGTTGAGAATTTGAGAAGAATGACCGGAAGATGCGGATAGATGAGGGGTGGTTTATATAAGGATGGTTCTTGAGGAGAATGTGCTGAAGTTACGTGAAACAATGACTGCAGGACAAGACTTCAGATCAACTTTATATTGGGACGAAGTGAACAGCACTTCATATCGTGAGAGATTTGTAAGATGGCTTACCTGATGGCGTGCTTGGTAAGCCTCGAATCACAGCGTATGCAAGTCAATCTCACAACCAGCGGTGACCGCCAGGAACGCTCCAGATCTCATGCAGATCCAAGCGACTTGCGCGATTTGAAAATGTCGTGATAGTTCTGAAATGAGGGGAGTACTATCTATTTTGTCGCATTATGAGTTGTTCTCTGGGGTTGTCATCACCCTGGTGGAACGTCACGTTATTTGTTGAGTGATGGCGTCATCTGCAGCTATCACCAACCCCGCGATACCGCTCCCCCAGCTGGGATCAAGGCTGAATCTTGCACGACAAAAGGACGAATTGGCAATACAGCGCTCAAATCACGTATAATCAGAAGAGGGGAAAATAGAATGATGAGACCTGGATCATGTCCGAACCCGGTCAAAAGTGATCATTTGTCGAGACCAAAGCATCGCAGTCAGCGGCAGACAATACAAAACATACTCATGGGTCAGGTTCATAATGATATACTGGTAACGGTATGAGTGCTTCTCTTGAATACGAACCCATAAAAGTAAGCCCAAAGTTATATGCAGGGTGAATTACACAGCAATACTATCACAATTGACATAGGCAATGGGGATGCTTGTTGAACAATACATATACTCAACAAAGATTAGCAGTCAGTGCCGTAATGCCTCATTGCCTTTCAAACTCTTCGGAAGGATAACACTTGGCTGGGATAGCCAATTTGAGCAACTGAGCGCTACTCAGGACTTGCAGATCTGAACTAAGCAGCGCTACTGCTCTAAAGGTCTCTTCAGGTTCTCTCCCAATAGACACCCGAGGAACTGGTGTAAGACAAGTGTATGTTATGAGGCAATTAAGACATGTACGTTGGTAACTAGGTGTAAAGTGCTTTTCGGTATCCCAGTCAAGTCTAGGATGAGGTCCAGTTTCCTTGCCTGCGCGAACTAAAGTCGTCTGAGTCTCATTGATGCTACAATTATAGATAAAACAACATTGAATGCGCCTTCGAATTGAAGGATTAAAGAAGCTCAATAGACCGCCAGTAACGCGCAAAGTCTCTGCGATCGTCGATGCCATAGAAAGCCATCAATGACATCGTAAGCGGCATATACCCTAGTTTGGAAAACATGTCAAGAGTCGTGACCCAAGTACAGAAACTGTTGCTGAATATGCAGTGTATTTCTGAGCCTGTATATGGTAAATGTATGAACCCGTAAGCGCATCTCACCGACTACAGGGCCGATGTGGTTTCCTTTTTGAGGGCGAATTAGCCTACGGCTGAGGAGTGTGTGAGCATAAGGTTTTGTCTGCCGCTGATGTGCCTGGAAAGTATTAAGCTCGCAAAGAGTAACTCAATGATGTTATGCATAACAATCTTAAACATGGGACGGCCCGACTGCATCACGGAAACTCATGGGGAGAAGGCTCAAGCCCCAACATAACATAGTAAATCGTAGCGAGACCCCGCACTTTACTCCCTCTGAGTGTCCGGAGCTGAGCGCGTGGTCGATGTACAAAACAGCCGATTCATCAACTATTATTAGACACATAGCCCTATCCGTCATTCCTTAGCCAACAAGCGATCCCAGGCGGAAAAGAAGGAATGGAACTGCTGAGACTCACAGCTCGCACCCACCTACTCCCACGTGCGGACTTCGGACGAGGGTAGTACGTCCAGTCTCTTAAAACTCGTTGGGGAGTGATCGATTGAATTAGTCACAGCTTACATCCACACAACACGGAGAATCCCATAGCTGAGGACTCCCCAGAAACCACGAAACCTAGCAACTAACGCATCATATTCATGACAAGATCTAAATGCACCTCACTTGTACATGAACAAAATGTGATTAACCTGAAATCCGGTGCGGTTTTCTTTGTTGCTGTCATGTTAGAATTCGCTCTTGAGTCTTGCCCAAAACGGTACCTTTGGATACTATATGTGAAGCGCGTTGATATTGGTAAGCCATGCACAATACAATGACCCAGGAAGAATATTCGGCTGCTACAATCTAGAGATGTCAGGGAGCTTTCTGTATAGGTTGAACTTTCAGCGACAAAAGAGTTTCAGGCCCAATGGCTATCCAAGCCGAAAATGATATACTGTGACGGTTAAGCAGCTCAGTTTACTGAGAGATAGCGGTTAATGTTTCGAGGGTTTAGTTTGAGAGTATTAACACATAAGTAGACCATATAGAATACCAGTGGCACTGGTTACATATATTTACGGACCGACCGCCTTGCTCTCGTAGCAGGATTGTTTTCCAGTGACCTGTATTCGATATGCTCATCTAATCGAAGGCTTCAAGTGTAGTTCTTTATCTACATATTCTTAACCTGAGAAATATAACTTCCCACACCTATACTTACATGTAAAGGCTATAAATCCTTTTATGCATTGACAGTAGCTACGACAAGGCTTGCAGACGAGAAGTGGTAGCGCTACTCATGGAGATGAAGCTATGTGAATTGAAACAGACAAAGCAGAGAAGTTGGAATATAGAAGAACATAACAATCAATCTAGAAATTAATTGAGGATAGATCTCAGGAACAGACCCATATCAGGACTCGGTGGCAGTGTCGGTTGAAAACGCGAACTGGACAATGTGACTAGGCGTCGTTAGTGGTCCAACATCTCCAAACGTAAATTTCCCCCTCGCATTCCCTTATCCAAATTTCATATAATAGAGCAACGGGAGATTCGGCCAAGGACTGGGTAGTGATGAGTATCGAACAACTCGAAAGGGCCTCTCTGAGTTCGTCAAATGCGTCAGCTCAACTGTTGTCGAGCCTCGTCGAGCACTGAACAATAAGACCGACTACTGTGAAATGCGTTCCATCAGGAGACCCCTCAAACGAGGAACCATGGGTAGGAACATACCATTTATGGAGGTTGCACTTGACAGTACTCTCTGCAGCACCGACTGTCTTTAGTTGAGACATTACAATCTACCAGTTGGCAAGACAAAGTCGATTACTGAACCACTGGTGCTACTAAGACACTGCTCTTCCATCATTTGCTTAGAAAGAGAATTAAAGTGAAGTTCGGAATCGAGGTCTCTTCATGTTTAGTCCTGCTCCGCAACTCTTTCACGCATCTCCGACAGCTGCTATGCTTTTGAGACAAGATCTGGTCTCCTTAGGATCAGCGGGAACTTCCAGATATGAAGGACGCGGTCGGCTTCATAAAACTGCAAAGATTCTCATAATCAGTATTTAACCTATTTCTGTGTTTAACGGCAGGTCGAATCTTCTAGTCAATATTCATGTCTAGGGAGCTGAATAATTGTAGGCTTCTCTCACTCCTGCCTATCTCACGACTTACTTGACTTTATTAGTCAGCTCTGATGAAAACATCCGACTCAGGGAAAAGCAAAAGCGTGTGATCAACAATGCGGCTTCAGAGATAGTGCACCAACCCACTCCGCCCAAGAATACAATGTTTGTGATCACAACATAATTTTCTCAAAATATGCCCGGTCATAGTTCATGAGTAATGGCCTCCACAATTCCTTCTCGTCGGCCGATAACGACTGACAGGACCATCTCATCTTTCGTGAAAGGCTATTGGATGACCAAATACCGGCTTTGTGTTTTCGGTTTCGTACCTTCCCGTGTCAGTGAACTCTAGCTTTTATAAATTCCTTTAAGGTTGTTTCATCAAGCAGCTGCAGGGGTTGAACGTAGAGTCAACAATATCTTTGGTTGAAGCGTGTTCTGTAAGGAATCTCATTTGAACTTGGGATCATTGCAGAATTACTTCTTGCCGAGCGCGAGAAATGTCGCGGAAAGACTCAGAATCCGCGTTTATTACACAGATCTCCCACCGCGAAGCAGATTGGAAGGGACCTTCTCTTGAACCTTCCTGTCGGAACCTCGGAATTAGCCGAATGGTATGGTATCACGACCTCTGAGGGCTTTGGGGTGCGTGGAAGGTTGAAAGAGAGGAGATAACTTCGGGCAATTTAGTTCTAAGGGGTCGTCATGCCAAGCTTCATAATCAACTGCGAAGACGACGTCTATCGTCATTCCATCCGGCCATTCACTCTGCTGTAGTAGAAGCCACCTTAGATCTTGATGCATTCTAGGACCTGCATCCTTTGGTCTAAACCGTGAATCTTCTCAACCTTCAGTCCGGCCCGTGCGACGAGTACGTCCCAGTCATTCGCCGTCCGCTCTTTGCCGCCAATTTCCAGCATCCCAAAGTCAGTCATGGCGCCTAGAGGGGTCGGCGGGTTTGACAGAACATATTCGCTGATGAGAACCTTACTGTCCGAGGCCATCGCGTCCGACAGATGCGTAAGCATCTTGGCACAGACGTCGTCACCGTAATCGTGCAGGCATCGTCGAATGTAGTAGATCAGTGCGTCTGCATAGGTCAGATCATATGAAATAAGATCAGATGGTACATGTACCAGGAGTTTTGTTACTTACTCCTCACAGGTTGTGGCTGATGGAAGTCGTGCACTTTGAGCTGGACTCCGTTGAGTTCGGGTTCCTTCATCTGGATCACCTCGTTGATGACTTCGTCGCGATCTTCTAGCATGAAATTCTTGGGTCTAATGAAGGGGTTTTCGTTCATGACCGCTTTGATCATGTGTCCTTTGCCACCGCCGACGTCAACGAAAACGATTCTGTCGGGGCTCTCAGAGAGTTTCGATTTGACCCAGCTGAAGTCGTAGATGCCGATCATTGGTATGAACTTTTGCGAAACCTCCATCGCTTTGATGAATCGCTTCATTCTCTCGGGATTCTGCTTCTGGATTTCCCAGATCTCTTTGTCGGGCTGACCGACAGCGTAGGCGTGAGGCGTATGGAGTCGATCAACTGGCTCACGACGGCCGTACTCTGAGAAGTACTCCGGCAACTTCAGAGCAGGGAGCATGTGCTCATCATAGCTAAAGGAAAAAGTACATAAGCGTGCGATCTATAGCTCAAGCCTAGGCTCACTTACATCATTTGTAGGAGTAGTCCATCTGGAGTTCCGGGGAGGTATTGCCGAGATACTGAGGTGTGCGCTATCTGGTCTTCGCCATGTTGGCGCAAAGTGCCGCCGGCAACAAGCACCCAGGTGATACGTCCTTGAAGATTGTAAGACATTTCACTGATCCAATCTGAGAGATGTACTTACGGATCAGCGACACATCGGCGCTCAACTTCTTCGCAAGCCCATTGAATGTAATGGTGCCACGCTCTGGAATAATTTCAAAAGCACCCCAGTCAAGGAAAAGCTTTAGAGCAGCGATCTCCACGTTGTTGAAAGCTCGTTCCATCCAATCAGGGGCGGGGCCTTTGGCTGCTTTGAGTATCTGCTTTGCGATGGAAGTGGCAGCGGCGGTCTTTTCCGAGTCAGGAGTGGCCGAGTTGACAACACTTGTCAGCTGAACAGCCAAGTCCATAAGAGTTTCAGTACAAGCTGCCATGATGAAGCTGTGAAGTTGTGGGGTTGCGCTGTTTGTGACTTGATCGAAGGTATGGCTGAGAACTTGGATGATGATAAAGCATTCTGATTCCGGACAGTGAACCGGATTTCCTTCACCTTATTTAACCTCTCTCATGAATACTACCTTTTTGGTTACATTTTGGCTTCTGGTTTTACTGCGGGCAGGATGCACTATTGAATTCACCGAGCTAATTTCCCGTGCCCGAGGCCGATCGCAGCCCGGCCGAAATGGACCCACATTTCACCGAAAAGCCCGATTGTCCGGAGGTAGACCACGGCTGTAGCGGGGCCGAATGGTCTCGGTGATTTAGCATGGAACACGCTGTCAAAAAACCCAGGCGACATTCGAAAAACGAGCCAACCGGCCGAAACCCGAAAGGGCCGAAGGAGGATTTTCCAAATATCCACAAAGACCCTCGAGTCGATCAAGCGCCCAGCCACCATAGCTCCATTCAGCTGACGCGCGAATCGCATTCCGCAGATGGGAGACGGCTTACTCAGTCGTCGTCCGATGTTTCTTTTTGCCGCCTCCCCGAAGCAGCGAATTATCGCACTCGCATCGGCGGCTTATCCTCTTTCAGGCTGAGATAGGGCCTGAGAACGGCACCACGGCAAGGTGTCAGACAGATTCCTTCTCGAACAAATCCCGCCTTCTTCGCAGAGGCGCCAGGAGAACGGAACGGCCGTGGCTCCGCGAGTCTGCAACTTGACACCAAACCGCGTTTGCCCATTTGCAAAACTTCTTTCTGTCATTACCCGCCCTCGAGTTGACTCATGGGTTACCTTCTTAGGAAGGCGGGAGGAACTCGGAGACGTGGTCCAAGTTATGCGTGGCGGACGTCTAGACAGGGCCTAGGTGACAGGAACCGATTGAGCCAATGTATCACTTTCTTGGCAAGTCGCTTAACTAGTGATCCGGCTTCCAGGTCGTCCTGTTCCATGTTCGATGTTTGGGCAATGAACGTAGGGGCCCTGCGTAGCCGAATTTGGCTGCCAGCCGATCATCCGTGTCATTCGATTTCGGTCATGCCTGGCTATGACATGCCAGGCTGGGCAAAGACATCATCGCCTCCTCTCCCCATAAACAGCCAAGATGATGCCGCGTATCCCCTAGATGAAGCGGCAGTTAGGGCCAAGAAAGGCAAGACCCCGGCGATGGACCCTTTCTCTTTTCGCGGGGATCGGAAGCCTGCTTCCATACCCTGAATGGCGGTCATCCAGACCACTAAGGTTAAATCTTGTGCCGTCGTGGAGTAGAGCCGCCAGCCGTGAGCCGCCAGCCGCTCTGAGCTAGCCAGAAGTCTGCGTAACCCATGCGGCGATCCAGATGGATGCCCCGTTTGAACTTGTTTTGAGGCCATTCCCGGCTAACCGACAGCGACCCTCCCGGAGAAGGTTTTCTCCCCCTCATTGCCTATTAAGGCAAGCCATACGCATCGTCTCCACCGATGCGTGTGAATAGCTGGCTGAGTGCTCTGAGCTTTGGTCACTTGGTGTGGCATGTGTCGATGTTGTCGATGAATCCATGCAAATCGTCAACGAATGACAGATGTCGTCGCGCTTGAGGCTCCTTGACTCTCTGACTCGATGTCGACGTGCGGAGAGCCGAAACTGGCAAACCCATGAGAGCCTCAACCCTGCGACTTCCACGTTGCCACCAAACATTTGTTGGGGGATCCTTGGAGAATTGACGATATTCTCCCAATAACGTCTCACGACGTCCGTAATAAGCGTTGCCGCTCAGACATGGAGCTCCTTGCCGAACTCGTAAAAGGTAGTTGCAGTCGACGCTCTGAGACGACACGGTCGAGTTTTGTTTCATCTGAACTTCAACGCAGCGCGTACGACTGACTACTGCCAGCATATGCTGCTGGCCCCCCACACTAAACGATACAACGCCGATTTACACACGCCTATCTCCAACACGGCGCAATCCTCGATTCGTCAAACACGCCGTGGCAACGCCATGGAAGCTATTGCTGCCCCCCTCAACTTAACAACCAAGAACACCACTGACTTGCTGAGAGCCTGGCCGTAGACGACAGGGACTCTGTGCCATATCCCTCCCTAAACAAGGGAGTGCTCTCGAACCACTTGAGACGTCCGAAAACTGCGTGCTCCTCGTTGTTGCCTTTGATTGCTGATTTGATGCAATAATAATACCCACACGTATGGTTTCCTCCGTCTCAGACTTCGGAGGGGCTGTGCTCATCCTGGCCCGACCAGCATCCAGCACACCCATCGGTTCGATGATGGAGGGCGGTTTGCTGCCGAGGTGAACTCACGAGATGAGAATGCTTGTGGGACATGAGGTCAGTGTGCATCCATCTGGTTTGTATATTATGCTGATAGTTTCCGGCCAACAATCGGGGATGAAAGAGTTCCTCACCAAACAAACTTTGCCGGCACAGACACATTCAACGCTCTTACATATATACTCCCGGGCTGGAGACTTGTATCCTCCTTGTTACCTCTAATCTCAATCACCGCTTCTAGTAACACGATCACTCTGGATAGTGAATCAAAATGCAGTTGACCAAGACCCTCATTTTCACCCTCATCGGCACGGCCTTCGCCCTCCCGACCGAGAAGCGCCAACTTGCGACGATCCAAGGCGCGGTTACCTCCGTGCAGCAGTCTCTCCAAAAGCTCGATACCGCTGTGAAGGTACGTTAGTCTGAACTTCGGGCTTTCAACGGTTGTGGGATTCACGGGAAGCCTCTCGACTGGACTTCCCACGCGACAGTACCGCAAGAATAATGAGACTAACAAAATGCAACACGCAGGCTGCCACTGACGCCAACAGCGTCGCTGCCGTCCAGACCGCTTCTCAAGATGTTCAGACCACGATCACCAAGGCTCAGACCGACATCCAGGGCGCCCAGGCCCTCCAGCTGCAGGAGGCTCTCGGACTTCAGCAACTTGCCACTGATCTGACGACCGCTGCCACGACGACTGTTGACGACCTCATTGCCAAGAAGGCCACCTTCGACCAGCTTGGTGTCTCCCAAGTTGTTGGACAACAGCTCACTGCCCAGAAGCAAGCTTCCCAGGGACTCGGCCAGGCTATCGTTTCCAAGGTTCCCGCCATCGGCCAGGGTATCGCTCAGCAGTCTATCGATCAGATCACCGCGGCACTCGACAAGGGTATCCAGGCCTACGGCGGTGCCGCTGGTGGTGCCGGTGGTGCGTAAAGCACCCTCCTCCGTCGCGCGCCGTCCCCCGCTCTCCCCCCCGTCCGTGTCCGCTCGTCCGTCCGAAGAGAACCGTTTAATCGATAAAAACTAACGAACGCAACCAAATCTTCCAGCGACTCCTGCAACTCCTAGCAAGCCTGGTGCTGCTCCCCCTGCTTCTGCTCCTGCTACTCCCAAAACGCCAGCTGCTGCCCCTGCTGCTCCTGCAGGGGGTCTGGAGGGCCTGCTCGGTGGTCTTCTTGGCGGCGGTGCCGGCGGTGCCAATGGTGCTGCGGGTGCCGGCGGTCTGGGTGCTCTTCTCGGAGGACTCACTGGCGGAGCTGGAGCTGGAGCCGGAGGTGCGGCCGGTGCAGGTGGTGCTGGTGGACTGGGTGCTCTCCTCGGCGGTCTCGGTGGTGGAGCTACGGGAACTGGCGCGACGAAGGCGAACGTGGTGGATTTCTCAGAAGACGCGGCATTGGAGGATGAAGAATAAAGTACAGACCGGGATACTCCTTGCAGCTTAGTTAGCCTGTAGCAAATCATCATTGTTGGATCTTTCACTTTCGCTCCGGCTCTTCGCCCAGAGTGCCCAGACCTTCTAGCGTGAATCTTCTCATCAACTTCATCGTCATTGCGGTCATTCAACCATGCGAACGTATCATTTGCTTCCCGGTGTGAATGCCTATGAAACACGACTTGCGGGTGATCTCCTAAGGCATGGCACGATCGCCTTTACAGCCAGGTTTCGTAGATCTTCGGGGCCCGTTGAGATCACCGGAGAAGAATCCCGGGTTAAACCGCCGCGTACCTCTGAAAAGTCGCCGTGTATCTCACCATAGAATGCCGGTTCAATATCGGTCATCTGTCGATCATAGAGCCACGGTAACAGCATGAGGGGAGGCGCAGCTGAGCAGCCGCAACTTTGCCTTGTGATGCCGCGGCCGAAGCTTTGGCCAGGCTTTTTCAGCCCCATCATCCCGGCCCCTTCTCAACGACAACTCATCCTTCACAATGAAGTATTTGAGATGGCGATGGTAATATTTGGCGTCTTATACCGTGCAGTATTAATGCCCCGCTTGGCAGATTCATGACAGAACTCTCCCCGCGCAACATCAGAGTTCTTTTGACACAAGCCAAGCCACTATCACGAACAATCCGTTCCACGTCATAGCCCCCAACGCCTCTGCCCTAAGTTATGGCTCACTGACAGACGTCGTTCCACGTGCCGTTGCCGACCGCCAAGCGCCTGGCCACTTGACAAACGGCTTAGACCTCTCTTGCCCGCGCCGAGGAGGCCGGCACTTCTCCCGTGATCCTTGCCCCCGGCCAGTGCAGCATGGAAGTCCGTTGAAGCAAGTTTTGACAGGGCGCGGGATGCTAGGGCCCCCGGCTGCTCCGGGAACCGTCGGAGCCCTAGGAACCCACTATCCTGTTGTGCCAATCGCATCTCGATCCGTCAATCTGTCATTCGATTCCGAATAGTTCTAAACACTTTGAAGCCCGGGCTGGCGATTCACTTGGCAGGTTTTGACAGGCGCAACTTTTCATGTGCGTACATTCAGAAACATGGTTTTCATGATCTTCGACATGGGTAGTAAATCGGTGTCTGATTGGAGAGTGGGCTCGAGCATTTGTCACGTCCGCCTCAGTGATACTAACCGTTGGAATCACAGAGAGGTTGAGCAGTCTCATGCTGTCTCTGTGAGTATGAGCATTCTGTCAGTGTCCTCCATCTAATGAAGGATGATCTGACAAGATGATAGTGTACGCATGGAAGCCAGGTTCAACATGGTATGTTAGTAGGCGACGAGGCGTACGAGCAGGTCGGCAAGCTCGCAATGATTTGTCTCAATGACGTCTAAGGGGTAGGACCACAATGATCAGGTGAAACCTCTTTGCTGGATACTATCTATTGAGATGCGGTTTAAAAAGGAGAGGAGATCTATGAATACATTTGACATTAAGAGCAACACGGCGGATACAGCCGTTGAGATTTAGCCCGTGGATTGGAATCCGCTTAACAGCTTGAAGCTGTCTTATTTCAAACCTTCTCGGCCGCCTCATCTACCCCAATCTTCTCCGTCTGCTTATTTGCGCCTTGCTTCACGCTCTTCCACTCCATTGCCAAAGCACCAAGAATAGAAATACAAGTCAGGATCATACCAAGTCGGAAGACAACCCGCAGAGACTCATTGTATCCGATCAGAACAGTGGTCTTGACGTCGGCCGGTAGGTTCGTCAACGATGTGGCACCGCTGTTCTCAATCAGGGCTGGGCTGAACCCGGGAACCGACGAAAGTCGCTCAAGTAGTTGATTGTTGAGGACATTTTGGCCAACTGAGATGAAGATGGCACCTCCGAGAAGCTGGGCGAAGAACATGAGAGACATGCCGATGGGGACATCCTTTTTCGGCAATACGGCCTGGGCTGCGATATTGGGGACTTGTGAAGCGCAGCCAGTACCAAAGCCATAGAGGACCTGGTATCCAATCCATTTGGAGCTGGGAGTGTCGATCTGCAGCGTGTTGAGAAGACCAGCACCGATGCTCATGAAGCAGATGCCGGCAATCAAGAAGGGTGTGAAGTAACCCGTCCGACGGATGAGGGCGCCAGTCATAAGAGATGCGACGACCATGGCCAAGACGAGAGGGAGTAGGCGAATGCCTGACTCTACAGCCGACACCCCCTGGATTGCTTGGAAGTAGATGGGGAGATAGTAGACTGGAACACGTCAGAAACCAAGGCATCATTATCTGGGTGAGCATAGTACTCACTGATGATCATGTTCTGCGATCCAATGCACAATGTGGTGAAGACACCAGCAAGGATGCTGCGCTGCTTAAAGATTCGTGGGGGAATGGTAGCCGTGTTGGGCAGAAGAGCCTGGACAGCAACAAAGCCCAACAACAGAACACCGGCGAGGACAAGCAATGCAACGATGCGTCCTTCGCTCCACTATCAAGCACATGAGACATTAGTAGGCGGCGGGAAACAATGAACGGAACATGGAACTTACGGGGTAAGTCAACCCTCCCCACTGAAGCGCCAAAAGCAAGCAGACAGTGCCCGGGATAAGCAATGAAGTACCGTAGAAATCTAACTGTGCCAATTTGGCTTTGGTTGACAGCTTGGTTGTCTCCCTCTCTGGGATCCTCAAGAGAAAGATGATGACCAGAGCAGCCACTCCTCCAAATGGTAGATTGATGTAGAAACACCATCTCCAAGTGACCTTGGATGTGAAGGCTCCTCCAACCAAAGGCCCGATGATAGACGCGATACCGAAGACGGCGCCAAACATGCCTTGGTAGAGCGGGCGTTTGTGCAAGGGAACCACATGGACGATAACGATGATCTGAAAGTTCGAGTCAGCAATTGAACAAAAAAAAGCTGAAGCATTGCAGCGAAAGGGCTGATTCGGGTGGTACTTACTACGCCGCTGAGGATTCCAGCTGATCCTACTCCTGCGAGAGCTCGTCCGAAGATGAAAACGTCTGAGTTCGGAGCAGCCCCGCAAATTGTAGACCCAACTTCGAAGAGGAGCACAGAGGCTAGGAAAGTGGCCTTAACGTTATAGAAAGAGTATACTTTGCCGAATAGTAGTTGGAAGGCACAAGTTGTCAGGAGGTAGATAGAGCCGTACCAACCCACATCAGTTACGGAATCGAACTCGTCGGTAATCTTGGGGATGGCAGTCGTGATGATAAGTCGATCCTATTGAAACCGTATTAGTCAACTGTTGCAACCGGCGAGAGAGAAGAGAGGAAATTACCAGAGAAACCAAGAACATGCTAATGAAGAGCGACGTAAGAACCAAGGCGAGGTTCAGTCCGGAAGGGTACTGAACTCCATCTTCTGCGTCTGACTGGGGTCGCCTCTCTTCGTCAGTATCTTTGGACGTATGCGTGTCTTCCCCGGTCGAGTTCCGGCCTGTTGAAAAAACATCGGGCTTCTCAACTGGAAGCTGACTTTGTGTTTGTTGGGGTTTCTTGAAGAACATCGCTAGTGGTATTGGGGATGATTTGAGGCAGGGAGAGTATGCAGTTTTTCGACAAGGGTGATAATGTCAAGTGGATGCTAGCAGAGCGAAAGATCTTTGACTGTAAGACGATGGTGGCTGTGGTCCAGAAAGAAGAGACTTGGCGCTGGGTGACATGCTGTATTTATCAATATGGTAGATGATCTCTTGGTGAAGACCTTCGGGGGCTCAACTTGGCCTCCCGAAGAGGGCCAGATGAGTATTCCGTCTCATTGGTTGATTGTCCATTGTCTGAGGCTTTTCGGGCCCGAAAAGTCAACATATGGCTAGCGTAGTTGAAGCCTGGAGCGGGTCGGACTCGATCTTATCAAAATCTCCACGGACCAAAGACCCTCTGCTGCGTGTTTTAGTGAGAATCTAGAACCGGGACAATAGCGGACATCTTTGTAGCCAAAGCCGGCGGGCAATCTCACCATGATCCTTCGTGACCGCAAGAGGAATAGCGCAGCCAAAATCTGAGCGTAATTGGGCGGTCGGATGCCGAGATCGACAGAGACTAAGCCACTTTGGCGGCCGAATCACCCGAAGTCGCTTGCCTGCAATTCTGGTGTCTCCTTTTTCAACGAATCCGGCCCCAACACTCTCATCACCTTAACAATCTCTGAGCTGATGATCCGTATCTTTTTGAAAAGAACTCTCTGGCGATATCAATGTTCTTGCTTTCTAGCAATAGGACTGTGTCAAGATCTTTTCAACCATGGCTTCAGGTTCCCCATCACCCCAGAAGCCAGCCTGTTCGATCTGCTCCAGACGAAAGGTGAAATGCGACAAAGGCAACCCGTGTTCCAATTGCCTCAAGTCTCAATCTCAGTGTATCTATGAGGCACCTGCCCTACATCGGCGACCACGGAAGCGAGCTGCCGACGACGAACTGCTCAGTCGATTGGCCGCATATGAAGACCTGATGCGGAAGCATAACGTCGACTTCGGTCCACTCTCACAGACGTGGATTCCCTCCAAGCTGGAAGCGAGGCCTCCAGAGAATGAACCGGTGAAATGCGTCCCCTTGACACCTGCACTTACGACTCCGGGCTCGGGAAATGGTTTGCTAGAGGAGACTCATCAAAGCATGGACGACATGGAAAGGTACACTTGCCACCTCTTTATCGTTAACGAGAAATGCTAACACTTGTTCAGATGCTTGTGGTCTACCCTCAGTCCAGAGGTATTGATATTCCTTCTCCCTTTTCAGAAATGTCGATGACTGACAGCTACAGCTAAAACACCCACCGATATATGGCTTATGTCACCGAGACGATCCCGTGTTGACTCCAATGCCACCATTGCCTCAGATGTTTTCTGGGTCTCTCGATTTATCGAAACAACATCCGGATCCAAGGTACATATACCGACTTTGGCAAATATTCGTCGAGAACGTCAACCCGCTTCTGAAACTTGTTCATGTTCCAACTTTGCAACAGCGCTTCTTAGATGCTAGCTGGGACCCTTCTAAGGCTCCAAGATCGTTGACAGCTATCATGTTTGCCATCTACGCACTTTCAGTCACCTCAATGTCCCCAGACGACTGCCTAGGTGCCTTCAACGAGACCAGACCGACATTGATGACTCGCTACCGAACCGCAGCCTTCCAAGCTCTAGTCAACGCCGACTTCCTCACAACGAGAGATTTCGAAGTAGTGCAAGCGCTGGTGCTATTCCTATTCACCAACCCTGAGTCGGAGTTGGCATCCACACTTACAGCTGCCGCTCTCAAGCTGTGTAGGAACATGGGCGTGCACAATACCCGACCAGACCCGAAAATCTCTTTCTTCCAGAGGGAAATGCGCATCCGTCTCTGGTGGCAGCTGTACGGCCTGGAAGCTCGAACTCGAGCTCTGACGACCCCAGATGCAAGGACACCGCCTTCGAAGAACGAGTTCGGCGACGTCCGGCCCCCACTGAACGTCAATGATACGGACTTGCACCCAGACATGACAGAAGCCCCATCCGAGCATAGCGGTCCGACCGAAATGATGTGCGTCTTGATGAAGTACGAAGTCTTCAATTGGATTCGTTCCTCGCCCGCGGCTGCTCAGGTCTTCGAGCACATCGCGCAGAGCCGTCTTCGAGACAAAACCGCGATTGAGGTTGAAAGCAACGCCATCAACGAGATCGAGGCTATCTACAACACAAAATATCTCCAACATATGGATAAGAGAATCCCCCTTCACGCCCAGACATATTCCATGGCCAACTTGGTCCTCGCTCGTATGAGGTTCAAAGTCTTCCATCCGCGAGGGCGGGCACCAACCAATGGAGCAGACGGGATCACCAGTCGAGAAGAGAACGAAATGGTCTTCGAGTTGGCCATGAAATGGGTTGAGCTGGCCGAAGAAGGTCTACGCAGCAGGTTCTCATCGCACATTTTCACGCACATGACGTCCAAATGCCACATCGATGCCTATATCTACCTTATCAGCGAGCTCCGACGACGCTGTTCAGGAGATCGCGTAGATCGGGCTTGGGGGCTGATCGAGCGGTTTTATGACGAGTATCCAGAGCTACTTCAGGACAGCAAAAACAGTTTCTTTCAAGCGCTAGGGAGCTTGACACTGGAAGCCTGGGAGGCTCGAAGGAAGGCTTCGGTTCATGACCCAAGATCGGGAGAGTGTGAAACGCCGGCTTTCATCCAGTCGCTCCGGGAGAGGGCGAGAAACGAGGCGGAAGCTGACGAGCAGGTCTCAGATCTGCAGAACCTGGACGGCCTCGGGCTCATGGATGACGGGAACCTGGATTGGGAGTACTGGAACAACTTCTTGAGTTTATAATAAGTGCTGTCGGAAAGGATCACAACAGCTCAGTTTCATTCAGGCCGAAAATCATCCTCAAAAGACTAGACACGCCTAGCATTAATTCACTCATGATTCGATTATCATCTGACTTCGAATTCATTCTGCTCATCTCGAGCGCAGTCCAAGTCAATTGAAGTGAACTAACCTCGTCAAAATACATGAGTCATTAATTGTGGTTCTGTCTCAATTGCTCTCGGCATTGATGGCCTTCAGCCAAGGCCTGCGACGATGAGCGGTCATGGCCCCTGAATCTCAACTCACATCAACATCAACACATGAGGTCGAAAACCAAAGTCCCTTTTTAACTTACGACAAGCACATATACGTTGCAGACAAGCTGACAAAGAGAACTAGCTAAGATTCAATAGCTTCATTCACCGTCCAGTCAATGAACCGCGGTATGCCGACAGCAAGCAACCTCCTTGACAACCAGGCCCCCTGTTCTCCCCGCAAATACGACCCTGCCTACTTACCCGCCATCCTCGAGTGGGAAAAACTTCGGTTTCTCTTTGAAAGGTCATTCGTCGGGGATCAACGGCAGTCGTCTCGGGAATGGGAACCTCCCACATCTTTCCCCTCATCCCCGCACCCGCCCCCGACTTCTCCTCAGCCCCAACGATCATCGAAGACCATCGGCAGCATGACACATTCCGCCCCGTGAAGCTCTGACCAGGCCGAGTCAGAACCGCCTTTCCTCGGCGAGTCTGCCCAACTCCAGGGTTCACATCCGATAACCTGTTAGTCAACACCGCATTTCTGCAGTAACTAAACGCCAACTTGCAGTTCAGCTACACAGCGAAAAGCAAGTCCGGCCCGGAAGAGCATGCAGACCCATGAAGCTAAAGCACGTCAAACTAGGTAGCAAACATGAAGACCGCTATTGGCCATTCCCGCCTAACAAGTCCCGCTATCTAAGACACCGCGTACGAGGTTCACGTCTTGGCTGCTTCCACGATGTTACGCGACGCAAATACGACATGGAAGTTGCTTCGCCTAAGAACACCCTTCCCCGCACCCGATGCATGGGTCGAGTCCGCCACCTGCCAGCCCGAAGCTGCCATCGTGCTGCCACGCGATCCCAACAATGGGACAATGGAAACCAGTTTGAAGAGATCAGCAAGCGGAAGCAACGCGGAATTGTGTGTCAATCATGGCCGGGCGCGCTTCTTCAATGCGTGAACGTGGAACTGTATAAAACCTAGGACCCTTCAGGCGTTCACGCCACCGGTCTTCGTCCCGAATTCTTCGGTCATATCTGCATCTCGTCGACACACCCAAACCTGCGTCTTTACCTTTGCAACTATGGGCCTCTGCAAGAAACTGGCCGATGGCCTCGACGAAGTCGATGTGATTATCGCAGGAGGTATGAATCAATGATGCTCTCTGCTAAAACGATCACTGACAGCAAGCAGGAGGAACTGCGGCATGTGTTGTTGCCGGTCGGCTTGCCGGCCAAGCACCGGACCTTTCAATTCTCGTGATCGAGGGCGGCACCAATAATCGCGATGTTCCCAACGTCGTTCATCCCGCCTTCTTTCTAGACCATCTGGCTCCCGAAAGTAAAACCGCAATCTTCTACCAGGGCAACAAATCCGACCAACTGGCCGGCCGCAGCCCCATCGTCCCATCAGGGGGTATGCTTGGTGGCGGCTCCTCCATCAACTTTATGCTGTACGTATTCCGCATTTCCGCGGTTCCAACTCCGCACCTCCTCCACCAACACCTTACCCAAGCCGTTGGCTACCCGTTTCATTCCTACCCCTAGATGTGTGCTGTAGTTGGAACCGAGAAAGCAAAAGCTGGGGTAGCTCGGACTCTTCTGACTCTCCCCTCCTTCACAAAACTCCGAACTAACGAGTCATGATTCCTACTTCAGCTACACCCGCGCCCAGAAATCCGACTTCGACTCTTGGAAGACCCCAGGCTGGTCGGCTCAGGACCTCCGGCCTTACTTGAACCGCTTCGAGACATACCATGGCAACGGCGATGCAGCCGACCACGGAAACTCCGGCCCCGTACATATTTCCTCCGGCGGCTTCCGTGTTCCCGGTGCCGAAGACGAGATCCTCGCCGCAGCAAAGCATCTAGGATACCCTGAAATCCGTGACCTGCAGAACCTCGAAGCGAACAATGGTTACGAACGCTGGATGCGATATGTCTCACTCGATGGTAAGAGACAGGACTCTGCGCACACGTTCTTGCACCCTCTTCTTGAGGACGGAAAGCATCCAAATCTCCACGTTTTGGTCGAGTCCAAGGTCGTGAGGGTGTTGTTTGATGAGCATAAGCGTGCCGTGGGCGTCGAGTACACCCCGAACCCGGATTATCAGGCCGTGCTGAACACGACAAGGCACCCCGTCCAGACAGTGAAAGCGAGAAAGCTGGTTGTGGTCTCTTGCGGCGCATGTGGTACGCCCGGAGTCCTCGAGAGATCAGGCGTTGGCGCCAAGAGCGTGCTTGAAAAGGCAGGTGTCCCGCTGGTTTCCGACCTACCCGGTGTCGGCCATGACTACCAGGATCACCATCTCATCTTGTACCCCTACAAGACGGCGTTGAAGAAGGAGGAGACGCTCGATGAACTATTCAGTGGACGCATCAGCCACGAAGATGCGATAGCGCAAAAACATAAGATGCTTGGCTGGAATGGAGTCGATGTCATCGGTAAGATCCGTCCTGCCGAGGAGGAAGTGGACAGATTGGGCCCCGAGTTCCGCAAGGCTTGGAACAAGGACTTCAAGAAAGACCCTAACAGACCGCTCATGCTCAGCGGTTTCCTTCACGGGTATGTAAAGCGAGCACTATAGAGAATCAGGTTGGCAACTAACGGCAACCAGATATCTCGGCGATCACTCAGCTATTCCAGTAGGCCAGTATACGACTGGTGCTAACTACACCGCCTACCCCTATTCTCGTGGCAGCATCCACATCACGGGTCCTTCCATCTCGGACCCTGTTGACTTCAATACTGGATTTCTCTCTGATCCAGACGATATCGACCTTAAGAAGCACATCTGGGCGTACAAGCACGGGCGTGAGGTAGCACGCCGCACCCCATTCTACCGCGGCGAGGTGGCCGGCGGTCACCCTGCCTTTCCAGCTGGGTCAAAGGCTGCTATTATTGAGGATGTGTCGGCAGACACGTACAAGAACGTGACCAATCTGGAGTATTCCGCTGAGGATGACAAGGCAATCGAGCAGTTTGTGAGAGAGAATGTCAACACGACTTGGCACTCCCTTGGCACGGCCAAGATGGCGCCAAGGGCAGACAAGGGTGTGGTGGACTCAAGTCTGAGTGTGTACGGCGTGGAGAAGCTGAAGCTTGTGGATTTGAGTATTTGCCCTGAGAACGTGGGCGCTAACACCAACAACACAGCGTTCGTGGTGGGCGAGAAGGCGGCCGATATCATTGCAAAGGAGTTGGGCATCAAGATTACGCCGAAGCTTTGAGAAGTCGTTTTGAAGCTGGCTGTGGTAATCTAGCATTGAGACAGCGTAGCGGGCATCGTGAAGCAAGCCGTTTTATTCCAGTGTAGATATACCTATATTGTTGAAGTCCATTGTAGAACCTGGAAGACCAAATATTCAATTGACTCGAGAAGAATTCTATTGAGTATCACTTTTAGTGCGGAAGGGGTCTCATTTGATCAAATTCTTTGAAACTCAGGGTGTCTATAAACTCAACCAGAAGTCAAGTGCGACGTGTCTTTCGACTACATTCCTACTAGAGTATGAAGCCACTTGACGGCTCAACTTACGTACGTCGAAGCCAATTCAAGTCCCCAGTATCTAAGTTCCACAGGCCTTCCCGGCACAAGAGGTGCCAAGCGAGGATGAAGTGACACAGCAGCCATTGCATGAAGCCAGAACGCTGACGTCATTGACGCAACAGGAACAGCTTTGACGACTGATCTGTTGCATAGGAGCAAGAATCGTTAGTTTGTGGTCCAAATACCAAAATGTTCGAAGATAAACGGCCCTGGAAAGTAACCATACCAGTTCACCCGACGCTGCTGGATTGGCTACCACAAGTCCTGCGAAGAGAACCAGGGCGGAGGCAAAGGTTGGGAACTTCATCTTGACAGTGGTTTCTTGAGACTTAATAATTGCAATGACTTGGTTGTTTGAAGTTGTCGACTCGAGATTAAATTGGTTGATTTGATGACGAGATTGATTGTGATTGGTAGGCCTTTGGGCAATGAATTCGAGCTGTAGCAGTAGGACTGAAGGAATTTCCGCCTGCCTGAGCCCTTCCTTTTATACTATTGAAGTGTAGGTCTCTTAATGACTCAACCCAGTTGAGCTCATATTGATCCCGGATCTCTGCAGAGATTAGTCCGATTCGAACTAGGGTTCGAGAGTCTCAACTCGATCCTGGTTGTGACGTCCCTGAATCACAACCACCACTGACACCAACTTGTCAAGCACAGCCAGCAGAGTCTGAGTCGGAGAGATGTATAGGCTTCTGCTGACTTGAGAGATTTTGAAACCTCTGAAACCTAGACGGCGGTAGAATGAGACGAACTGGATGTCGGGCAGGGAAGTCAATTATCCGATCACGTAGCTGTCCTGGTTTGAATGAGAAAGAGATGAAATATTACTCTTTTCATTACATATATCATTGAATACGCTTTCTCAGTTATTTGAAAGTTGCTTTAAGTAAGACGAGATTGTCATTTCATGAGAGTTCCGCGGCTCTCTCAAAACCAGTCGTGACGAAAAGCAACCATGAAGGGAGCACTCCACCATACATAGACCAACCCGGACAGTATTGGCACGAGACCGGGCGGCATTACCTCAACATAAATGATGCAGTTCTTCCAACTGGCTTGAAATCAGGGGCAAACTTAATCTTGTGTTCAACTCCACAGCTTACGTGAACCCAAACGCGAGCGCCTCGCTTTAAGCCGACACGAATTATGAAAGCTTTGCTTTCTGTCGTCAAAGCTTCAGCGATACATGTACTCACGATTTTCAAAACCCTATCATACACTCGCTGATTTTGGCGTTGTCAGTAATGCCACCGGTATCGATGATGTCGCGGAGACGTAGCAACCTCTGTTGACATTCTTCAGTTATATCTCCATAAATTTGTTCATGTTGCTCTCACACACTTGGGCCGAGACATGACATTTCTAAATCTGGTAAAGAAATGAATATCTAACATTCTGCTCAGAAACGAGAGTCAGGTGAGTGCAGGGGTGCCAGTGAGCCAACTTTGAGGACTAATTGATGTGATTAAATGTTGATGGGGGTCCTGTGTCTTCACGAGAGCAATGCAAAACAACAGAGTTTGGGCAAATTCTTTCGCCTGTCAGAAACCAGCATAACTCAACCGAGCAAGACTGGGATTTATATACAAACTAAACGTCCAGACTTCCGAGCCGTCACCAAGTGATGTGCCGGTGCCGGGTACGCAACATGAGATTTCCAGATACTTCAAGCAGTTCAAATAACCGTGGAACTTTTCATACGTCGCTGAATCGTTAGGCTATGTTGTTATAGTTCCATGACATACTGGGCTTTGAAACTCGAGAGCCTCCCTGTTTTGGGAAACGAGCTGTATAACTCAGGTCAACATCGCAGAAGGTGAGTGAAACAAAACTTAAGCTGGATAACACGGCTTAATTTGATTTGATTTTTCTTCCCCTTCTTTGTGGGAATAGCACGATTGACTGCTTGATTTGATCTAGCGTATAATACCTGAATACATGAGCAAAATGATGCAGAGATCTCCCTAGGCCTTGGCAAGGGACTTAGATCTTCAAGAGCTAGCTCACTGTAAAACCTAGGTTATCGAGCATGATTTATCATTGAACATAGATTGATCAGTTAAAGCTTTTGGTCATGATTGCTTGTCTGCCAGCAGGTTGCTAAAATGACTATGGCCACGTTGGATAATGCGCAGCTGCACGGCAGTATTGAGCCCGTTCATTGATATTCCTGGATCTGGTCTGGTCTGGTCTGGCCACTCCACCTTGGGGTAAGAACAGACGAATGAACCGTTAAGAACAAATAAATCGATAGCTGTTGTGTCGCAGTCAAGCGTTTACTCATGTCGTATATCACTCCTGAATGACCGAAAGGGGGGTGTGAGTTATAGAAATAAAACTCATTCCTCGCGGTTGACGTGAAAGAGTTATATATAATTATTCGAGAGATTGTAATAAACTCCCGAGTTTGTATGGGCCCACACATTAAGGGGAACGGGATGGACGCTCTTCCGGCACGGAGACGGATCTTTAGCGGCATCACAGCCGCCGTTCCCGCCGCGGAGCTTCTCCGCTGGGAAGCTAAGGCTGGCGCGAACCGAAGCGATCAACCCAGCTCCACACCCACTCACTGAAAATGTGACCTTGACATTCTGACTGAAACGCCTCGTCAGGAGCCGCTTTGCTCATCTAGAATCGATGTCATGATGTTCATCGCATTCGCATGATACATATCATTGCAATAACCACAAGCATCTCGAGTCTCTCACAGCCCCTGAGTGGCTCCATCAATACGCAGATCATCAACTTCTATGAACATACAACGTGAAGATTAATGATATAAACACGTATCTGTTTTCATGCTGTTAGCAGCAGACTACTTAGGCGCTATCTTCTCAAGCTGTATGTACACTGGTCGATGATTGTTATTAGGTATCGTCAGCTATGATCTGATTTTACTACTCGGAGTCTCCGTGAACCAACAGACACTTATACTTGAGCGCCTGTTTCATAGTGATGAATATCACAAGGGCCCGTTTCCACCAGCCGAAGGCGCCATACAGGTGCCATGTACACATGGAGGAGTTGGTGCGGAGGTGTGGATAGTCAGCCAGAACCTTCGCAACCATTTAGCACGACTAACAAGACTTGTGCTCTGAAAATAGAGAAGGATGAGATCACCAGACTGGGACCGCAATCAGCATTATCTCGTCTAATTGGTCGTCTTACGAGCCGAAGCGTGTCTAGACATCAGGGGCTTGCTCTGCGCATGCTAAGGCGTAGTTGAAAATATGGGGCATAGAAAATGAAGTGTGGTTTTCATGACTCAAGTTGCTTGTGATTTGTCACTAGGCGGAAACGTAGGGCGCGGTATAGGAATTATCGTTTTCGGGTTCGGACGAACCATTGATCGCTTGGCAGGATAGCTACTGTTCCTCGTGCTGATGTCAGGACACCCCAACATCTGAGACCGATATAGAAATATGGAAAGAATGCAACGGCATGACTAGTTTATAGTGACGGAAAACATCCCAGAAACGTGAGGGGAGATATTCAGGATAGCCTGCGGGCCGCTAGATTAAGCGCGAGAGGTTGATGGATGATTATTGATCATGGACATGTTTGTATAAACTCGCCATCTTCCAACTGAACGATGAGTTGCTGTAGCTCATCACGATTTCATTCCTTTCACTATCGCATTCTTCGTTCCTTTCAGCCAAGTGCATTCCAACTTCATTCATTCTTTCGCCCAAAGCTTGAAGCTTTATCACTTTCGTTTCAATTATCGACGAATATCCGCTGTCCAAAATCATGTCGATCAAGGCTTTCGCACTCTCAATTCTGGCCGGTACAGCACTTGCCAGCCCGACCGGCCTTCAACGTCGCCAGGGAAGCCTCCTGGTGGGAAACAGTGTCAATGGTGCTTTTCGGGAGGTGAACATCACCGCTACGACGAGCATTGGCAATGCCAACTGCAAGCCCTTCTCTTTCGATGGCCCGTTTGTAAGCATGATGTTCGGCATGGCGGATACCACCATTGCGACCCTGAACATCACTGATGTCTCCGGGCAATCTCATTCCATTGCTCCTGGTGTAAGTGGCCTTGTCATATGTAATACTTTTGTAATTGCAGCCTGAAGCCAGACATTCTGACATTGTCTTAGACCACCAATGCCAACCTTCAAGGTTTCAACCTCGAGGGAAACGAGCGCATCTCTAAGATGACCCTTCACTCTGGCGACCCCACTTACGAACTTTTTGGCTTCGACTTTGCCATCGATAACGGTTTGAACAGCCGAGTGAGAACCATGAAGGCGGCCAACGCCGACGGCAAGACGTCATATGAGCTTTCCACCGGCTCTGGCATCATTGCTCGCGTCAGTGGCAGTGCTTGCTCAGATACCTCTGCTATTGACGGGCTTGTGATCAGCTACCTGGATGACCTTGCCTCCATCAGCGTCAGCAACATCACGTATGATGGCTTTGTCAGCAACATCAAGGATGCAGGAAAGGGGAGCTCTTTGACCGTTGCGTCTCAAATGCTTGACAACAGAAACTCGAGCATTCAGCAGCAAATTCGTAAGAGGCCTCTTCAAAGATGGCACAATGCTTGGCGCTGACATGATTATAAAAGTCTTGACCACCACTTCCGCCACTACGAGGTCCTACACAATCACGACTGGCTCCGCTTACACCGTCGGAGCTTCGACGACCGTCGAGAGTAAGGTCGGCATCCCGCTGCTTTCAGAAGGCAAGGCTTCTGGCACCGCTTCTTGGTCGTTGACCGAGTCCACGGTAGGTCCATCACTGAATACTTATTAACGATCCATCGATCTAACAGTCATGTAGGACGAGCAGGAGATGACGGGCGAGACTCATACCCAAGCTGCCACCTTCCAGCTCAACTGCCCTGCCCGAACCGATTGCGTCGCAGCTGCTACCTTCCTGCAATTCAAGATCGACGTCAACATTAACGTTACTATGACGGCCACCACGAAGTCAAATGAGAAGTTCAATTGGCAGTCCCTGGGCAAGTTCGAGGGTGCCGACAGCTTGGCGATGAAGACTGTGGTCAATGAGGTCGGCAAGGCCTAATCTCCAGTCTTCTCAGCGCCAACTAACAAATATTGTGTTTTCTTCGTTGAAATTTTCCGATATCAAAGCATTTCAAGTAGCATGCATTGCCGGCAGATATGTACAACATAGACAAGTTCTTGTATGAATACATGAGTTGAAACCTTGAGACAAATGAAAGTTTGTGTGGCTATTCTCATGTACGACAGTTATGCACGACCGGCAGCAATTAGTATCCTAGCTCAGGATTTCGATGTAAACACTTCTCACGTTCTCAGGGCCGCGATTAGACCAGCCACAACGGCAGAGAAGGCAAGCATTTGCCGGTGCAAGTCCAATCTCTTCCAGTCGACGGCCCACTGCCGCACTTCCTCGTAGCTGGCGCCCTTGGCCTGCTCATCTGCCTTTTTGCCTCCCTTGACGATGCGATCGTGTTCGGCAAGGAGTTTGTCGTTGACGGGAAAGACGCGAATCTGGGTGTAGGGCCCAACGAATCCCATGAGCACCGACGCGGCGAGGTTGTAAATGAAGCTCGGGCTTTGAGTGCCATCTATCCGAAAAACGCGAAATATTAGCTCTTGTCGGGTAAGAATACGACAGCTTCGTATTCCGATTTAAGGTTCCGCCAGAGCGGAGCCGGGGAAAGTGGATGTAGACGGGTATCGGAGACCCACCTTTCCAAGCAAGGAAGCCAAACACGGAGGCGGTGCCGATCACCATAGCGGGGCCGTACACCCGGCCGAAGTCCCAGCCACGGAACCACTGCTGAGTTATGATGTCCTTGTCCCGGAGTTGAAGAATGTTGTGCATTGCGATTTGGTCGCTTGCCCAGTGATATCCTGAAATGCTTGTGTCAGTCTCTGAAAGCCATTCGCTCTGTACGGACATCTTTTCCCCCTCACCTGCGAGATGCGCGGCTCCAACCACATTGACGAGTTGGAGAACGCGGGTCCAGTTGACGGTATCGCCCATGTTTGGAACTGATTGAGGATATCAGAGTCTATGATTTATTTTCTTTGCAGTTGAGTTGTTGTTCGAGAAGTGCAGTTACGTCTGCTTGATGAAATTGAGTTGACACTTGACAATTGACGTGGAATTTGACTTCTGGCTGTATCCCACATATTCCGGTCGAAAGCTCCAGACCCCTCTTCTTGATAATCCATTCCGTCACACCCATGCTAAACGATGCCCAGCCATGCAAAATTTGCCGTTATCCCACCGGCACACCATGCCCCTGGGCGAACGCCATGCGGGAGCCGAGAAAAGAACGTGTGGGAGAGACCTTAGCCGCTTTTCCTAAAAGGACACTTGTGCCAAATTCGACAAGGCTCTGAGAAAAGGCTCGACTGTCACGTGAACTATGTCCCTTCAGCTCTGTCTGGTGCCTCGCACTGCAGCACCCGAGAATATGCACGGTTGTCACGTAGAGAAGGATTCATATACTGTTCGTCTTTTCTATTCAATGCTAGCTATGACCGTAATTTACTCCTGTGCCTTTTAACGGCTCCAGTACAAATGGCTTGATGTTCTCTATGAAGTCCCTATCGCTTTCCGAGTGCTTCATACACCAACACCAGATGGCCATGCCCAGGCACCGGTCCCACGAAAGTAGCGGGAGAAGTGGCTTGTTGTCCATCATCATGATCGCCTTATCGCACATTTTGCTGATAACCAGCACATCGTCGTCGCCGTCGTCGAGCAGTTCTGGATCTGTCGGTATCATGCCAAACCACTGTGCAGCCGGGCCGTCCCACATCATCAAGGGCATCGGCACCTTGACTCGGAGCATGGCTGGTTCTGCGTTTCGGGATATTCGTAAAGCGGGGTATATTGTAATGAAAACGGCTTGAAGAATCAAATGAAGTTTGAACTGGAAAACTGCGAGACTGTTGTGGAATTTCGTTAGCATTGGCCCCGAACGTGCGCGACTGGAGTTCGATGCAAATGAAGAAAGAAAACGCCCACTTTCAATACACAATTCTCCGTGCTGGAAAATTACAGATGAATCTTCCTAGGTTACAACGAACTTGATCCGACGTTGCTTCCCTGAACTGTTGCCGATGGGAGACACTTTCAAGTTCCAACGTACCGCTGATATGATTCCCGGAAAACCCACGGATATCCACTGGTTCCGCAAAGATGCGAGGCCGCGTTAATCTTCGCCTGATCGTATATTCCGGTAGCCTTAAACGTTTCTAGCAGCATGGAATGTGTCATCATCACATTCTCCATTGTTTTGTCTGCTCGATACGGGACCAAGATTGTCGAAATCAGCATTGCTTGGAATATGGGTAGCAAGTCTAGCCGTGGGGAGAGCAAGCCTTGTCTCGATTGTTCTAGGAGCTCGAGCTACAGATACCAGTATTAGTTTGGTACTCTCCCATCTTGTCTCGGGTCTTTCGCACTTGGGTGTCGAGTTGTACTGTTCGTACGGACCCAAGGCCAGATGGATTACTTACAATTCTGTTGCCCACCTCTGCGAGCAGGTGATCATGGAATCTGACGGCGAGGTCTTTCGACCCCGGTGCTGAAGAAAACCACAAACCAACAGTAATCACGGCTTGCATCAATAACTTGGGTTGTAACGTCGACTCGAAAGTCTCGCGGTGTAGCATCGGCCATTGTGGATGGAACTGGTCAAAGTAGACGCTCTGTAGCTGCAACCTCATCCCATCATCCAGCATCGAACCAGGTGCGAAGTCGAAGGTGTCGTTCATCGTCATCGGCGCCGGTGGCATAGTCGCGTGCGTAAGCAAGCCGGTGGGCGATATGCCCGTTGTCGTCAAGGGGGTCGATAGGATGACGGGATTCGGAGGCGCCATGCATGCAGCCAACAGGCCTGAACTGGGGGAGGGTGACGATCCAACCATTTGTTGTTTACCACCACCGCGCGGTTGCGGCCATTCGCACGATCTGCCCTTGTCGTTGCATGTTGAACAAATTGGTTGCTGACCATCGCATCTTGTCTTGGTCCGGTGGCATGGGACGCAGGCTTGTGCCACGCGAGTTGGCGGGGCTGTCGGGCCGTGGAGTACCATATGCCTACGTAGTGTATCTCTATTTTGCGGATTTAGAGTGTTAGTCTGGAGTTGTCCTCGGAACCAAACCCGATTAATGCGAGCTATTCGGAAACCATGTCCCGTTGACCGGATCACGAGCTTGCCTGCAGAGAGACGCCAAAGCAGAAACCACCGCCGAAAAAGAGCACTGTTCTTGTGTTCAACATACCCTCTTGTGAATTTCGTACCGCATGATGGGCAACAGAAGGATGGAGTTGCTGCGTGTTCTTTCTTGTGACGCGTGAGGTGTTCTTTACGCAAATACGAGCGGCCGCAGCCTTCATGGTCGCAGGTGAACGGCATGCTGGGCACCTCCAGAGTACGATAGGAACAGATCCATCGCACTGAGGGTTGTCCCAATGTGTTGACTAAGGATGAGTAAAAAAAGGACTCTGTAGAAGGGGCCCGGTGCATAAGATACCACCGGAAGCCTTGGATTGTGTGCGTTGTGATGTTCGGACAGGACCTTCGCTTCTCTCCGAGGGCCCCCCCTGGGAACTATGGATCCCGGGCTAAACCTCCCGCGGCAGCTGTACGCGCCAAAGCTCGCTAATGATTGGTCTCCCACCCTCCCGATCATTTGTCATCCGAGATGACTCAGCTGGTGGGATGCCGGTATTGTGGGGCCTAGATCCCCGGCGCGGGGCCTCCGGACGCCGAGATTCTTCACCCTCCGCCGGCGAGCCGGTAGGAGGACCGTTCAACCATCACGGAGCTTATGGAATCGATTTGAAGGTATTCCGGAGAGACCTCCGGTATAAGACAAGACACAAGACGCGATATCACGTCATGGAGTGGACACAGAGCATTCGAGAGCCTTGGACGAGCATATATTCGGCGACCTCCTCCGCCGAAGATTTCGCGACCTGAGACACTACCTACTTACTTTCCTGTCACTACGTACACGACCACCACTTGCAACATGGCTGTACTTACAAAGGTGGCTGTCATAGGGGTAAGCTACAAAGCCTCCTGCCCCCCTTCCCCGGGTGCCTCCGCCCTCCAGCACTGACCAACGCCCGCACGTGGCCTGTAGGGAACTGGCGACCTCGGCCATATCATCGTAGAGCGTCTTATTGCCGCCGGCATCTTCGACATCTCAGTTGTCACCCGAGCCTCCCGAGACACACGAGCCAAAGCCCTCCCCCTCGGCGCCAAGGCCGTAGAGGCCGAGTACGAATCACTCGACAGCCTGACTGAAGCATTCAGGGGCTTCGACGCGGTTGTCTGTACACTTCCTGGCCATCTCGAGGCTCTTCTTCTCCGAGTCCTTGACGCAGTCATTGCTGCGGGCGTAAAGCGCTTCATACCATCAGAGTTTGGCTCAGATCACCGTCAACCGGCCGCCCACTCCTCACCTCTCTCGGCGAGCAAGATCAAAGTCGACGAGGCCCTACAAGCAGCCGCCGCCGCGGGCCAAATCGAATACACGTCTATCTTGGGAGGGCCATGGATTGAATGGATCATGACGTTTGAGGAGGGCATGAGCATCCCCAAGCGGAAGTTTTATCGTCATGACGGAGGGACTATCCCGTTTGGTCTGACTACGCGAAGTGCTTTTGGCGACGCTGTTGCGGGCGTGCTCAGACATCCCGAAGAGACGAAGAACCAGACATTCACCATCGAGGTTATCAGTTTAACTCAGAACCGCATCCTGGAACTTGTCAAAGAGGCCCTACCGGAAGTAGAACTCGAAATAATCGAAGTCAACACCATGGAACGCTACGAACGAGGCGTCAAGAAGCTTGTCTCGGGCATCTTTGACCTGTCGGTCGTGGGAGACATAGTTTTGAGATTCGTTTTCGATTCGGAGCTACAGCTTACGTCCGATACCCAGAAGGCCAATGAGTTGCTCGGTGTTGAGACCATCACCGAAAAACAGTTCCAGGAGATTGTCAGATCCTTGGCTTGACTGAAACTGAAGAAACCAATGGCAAGCAACGTTATGCATGTGCCTTACGTCGTTGAAAGGCGTTAGACTAGGCGTACAGTCAAGATAGATAACCATGATTAAACCTGAAACTCTTTAGTTGTAAAGATCCGACGGGTCACGCCGTAGAGCTGAGACGGTGCATACTCCGCGGAAAGATTGCCTTCAAATGGACGTAGTGCGTTACGCCAAGCACAACTACAGTCGTCTTTAGAGATTTAGTCCACTCGTGTACTATGTAAAGACTAGAAATAGAGTTGTCCACGGGCACCGACCTCTTTAGTTGGCGCCTCCCTGCTTCGGGATGTGGGAGAAGACTCCCGGATTACCCGAATAGGACATGGCACGACCCTACAATGAAGCTTAAATGACTAAAGCTGCGAAGCGGTGAATACGTCAACAACAAAGAGATCGTGGACCCAGACAATCAAACCACTAATGGACATAGATCAGAATGAGGCGAGGTAGAGAAATTCGTATGACGTGCAACGGTGGTGATCGGTTGAATCTAGAATTTGAAGGGACGATCTACAGCGATACCGCCCGAACGGACGATAGCATGAGCGTTCAACGAAGCTTAAATGGAAATAACACCGTCGGCCTTAAGACCCGAGTTGGTGAATCCATTCTCATCCAAATATAGGCCGAAGTTCGAACAAACTCACGTACCAACACATGATCGGTACGAAAGATTCATCCATTCATCCGCTCAACTCGGGGCAGGCAGCGGATCACCTGGAACCAGTGTCCAGGGTCGACTAGCGAGGGTACGTGGCACGGAGGTTTGGAAAGTGTGATGTCCACCCAGCCGTTAGGACTCGGAGCCGAGCACGTTGACGATGGACCTGCCAAGTCTGTTCTCGAAACCTTGCACCCACAGACGTGAACGGTTTCGTCGTCAAGCATGCCATCTGATTGGTTGTATCCATGTCTAAGAGATTCTGTGGTGTACAGTTGGATAAAATATTTCCCGGATTTATATACATCTATGGGGCAAACCAAACTCTTACACCGGTTCGCTTGCGCTTACAATTCCCGTCTAGTAGGTGTAGCGGAACTGCTTGTTCTCCTTGTCCGTCATAGAAGCCCACACCTCAGGGGCCATGAAAGCCTCTTCAGTCTGCTGCTTGGCACCGCGTCTCTTGTTCTCCCATCGGTAGTATGCGTACAGAACCAATGTCACAAGAGCACAGCCTGCCTGAGTGCCCATGACGGCGATCTTCGCCGGGCGGTAATCGGGGGCGTCGCGGGCCTGGAACGTCTGGGGGCCGATGATGTTGCCGAGAGAAAATGACCCGCTGACGATTGCCGCGGCAAAGGCTCGCTTGGTAGCACCGCCAAAGTTGGCGGCGGTCCACTGAAGAAGATGTGTCAGACATTGATCCACAAAATTCTACCTCGAAACCTGATGGTTGAAGAGCTACTTACGGCGTAGAAGACAGTCAGGGGAGCAACGACGGCGTTGACCAGGTAAATACCAGCCAAGCACCCAGAACGGTTGCTCACGGGGAGGAAAGACATCAGAGCGCCACCAATGATACTGGGGGCAAGATTAGCAAGTTTCTTTTTCTTCCCGTTCTCGAACGATTGATGACTTACGCTGGGATGATGCAGGCAACGATCCACGCCCAACGGTTCGACTGGTAGCGGATGCCGTATCCGACGAGAAGCGTAAAGAAGATGCTCACAACACCGGAAGGCATGTTCATCAGGGCGGCGCGCTTGGAGTCGTAGCCCAGGTTGCGAATAAGTGTGGCCGAGTAGGTGGTGACAACACCGCTGGAGACGGAAAGCTGCTAGGGGTTAGAAAGAGGAACTGGCCGTGAGGGATCAGGTACGTACGAGGACAACGGCAAGGGTCATCAGGTACATCTGGGGGTCCATGAGGGCCTCGAGAATCTGCTTGGGACGGAACTTGCGGCTCTCAATACCGGTCTGGTTGACACTGACGTGCTTCAGAAGAGCAACCTTCTCGGTGTCGCTCAACCAGCGGGCCTTCATCGGAGTGTCGGGGACCAAGAGAAGAGTGGCCAGACCAATGGTGACGGTAAGGCATCCGAGGACGATGAACATGATGCGCCATCCGGCGAGACCAGCGCCAGGAGCAATGTGTTGGAAGCCGTAGGAGATGGCGCCTCCCAAAATCTGGCCCAGGCCCAGACCCAGGTACCAGAACGAGAAGCGCGGGGCCTGTTCGGACTTGGTGTACCACTGGGAGCTGATGAGCATCAGGGATGGACCGATCGTCGCCTCGAATATACCCAGGAAGATACGCGAGACGAGCAGAGACGTGTAGTTGTGAGCAGCGGCGCCGCACGCGGTCGCAGTACCCCAGAGGATGACATTGAGGCCCAGCCATTTCGCCGCGGGAACCATCTGGAGAAAGTAGACTGCGAATGGGTGTCAGCGCATTCTCTGTTGCTTTTTCCGAACCTCACGAGGTCTTTTCTCCTTTCTTCTTCCTCAAGCGAGACGGATGATCGGGGCGGCTGACGAACTGTTGGGGATCTCGAAGCACAGCAAACCAACAAATAGGAACGTGGCGATGTTGGAGAAGTCGTTTCCGACCAGCTTGAGGTCCTTGCTAAGACCCATGACAGCTGCGTACTGTTTCTGCCTGTCAGATCACTGTCACACTTCGAAAGTCTGGGCTTGACCGTAGAAACACGGGCCAGGCGGCTCCTTCAGGGGAAAGACGTACGTTGAGAATGACCTTGTCCAGGAATTGCATCGTGTAACAGCCAAACATGAGGGGCACGATGCGCCAGTCAATCTTTCGTCGGAGCGCATTGAGGTCGACGGAGCTCGTATCACCGCCGGCTTCGCGATGGTCGTTGAGGAACTTCCACGCTGCGTCAACGGATCCGGAGGAGCCATCGTGGTCGGACGAGGCCGAGCTCACGAAGTCCTTTGGCGACTTCTCGTCGGTAGACATTCCGAACTAGAGTGTTTGAAGAAGAGGCAATCCAAAGTGAAAAGAAAAGAAGCTCCAGCGCAAGTGGGTGACGAGTGACGTGACGCACTGTATTACAAGCTCGGTAAAGAGACGATGTCTGTGATGAGAACGCACAGGCTTCCGCTGCGGAGCTGACCTCTTAAGGTTTTGCTGATCAGCAAAATAAAGAGATGTCAGATGGAAAAGAAAGTAAGTGACGACCAGAACAGTTGGACGAGAAGGGATGGGATGGTGGTAATGAAGAGGGAGGAAGAAGCAACGAGAGAACAAGACCTCGTTCGATTCGACGAATTCTCTCCAATGTGATCACCCCTGCGACTCCGGGCAAGATTGTGTCCCATTTAATTGTAAATCTCGTTCCAATTCTGGTTCAAGGGCCCAGAAACACAGCATGCTTGTTGGGAACTTGGCACTTGGTGGTAGGTAGCATGACCGCGAGCACCTCGCACGAAAAGCCTTTCTACATCCGCCCCCTCGTGGTGCAATATTTTCTCAAGGACTTTGCACGAAGTATCTGTATCTTGCTGGATGTAACCCATCCTTCCCTGAGGCCGGTCTTGGGAGCTCGTAGTGCCGTACGGCGCAGGCTCCCCGATCCTCGCCTGCATTTTGCAAGGTTGATGTGGTCTGGGCAGGGGACCGGGGGGCCCCTGAATAGCTTCTCGACAAGGGCGGACCCTTACCTCCTCGCCAACAACCCCTTGTAGCCGATGCATGCAACCTGGACCTCCAGTTCGCGAGCCAGCATCGCCATCCACAGGAGGAGTGATGCGTTCTCAGCTGAGGACTGGATCCAGAGGAAGCCACAACCTGGGCCGATAGTCAGAATCCCCGTCAGAGCCCCATTGAAGGCAGTCCCATTCATATCCGGCCGCATCGCAAGTGAGCCTATGATCGATTGCCAATGCCATAGCCGGACCAGGCCCCTCTTCAGAATGCGCTCCGGCTCTGCGGGGATTCGCTTCGGGGGCGACTTTGAGAACTATCCCGTCTGTTGTACCTGCGCGAAAGTTTTCTGCAGATTATCGTCTTCTCATCGACCAAGGCCGCAAGGTAAATACCGTAATGTGGCGGCTGAGGGTCTTTCTGCGGGCATGAAAATGTCCCTCTGAGCATGTTCGACATGAAATCGTCAAATTTCCTCGGGCGGGGAAAACGCGAGTAGTATTGGGGGCGCCTTTTTAATAACAGCAGGGCGGTCGAAAGGGCCGCACGAGTTTGCCGATGTCAAAGTGTCAATCTGGCTTCCGTGGTCGAACGACATTAATCTTCTGCCCAAGCCGGAGGACGACGCATCAGCGCGCCGAGCAGAAACTTTCGTCTCGCCTCGCCTGGCAGCAAGACGGCGGCACAGCAGAGTTTAACTGACCGTTACGACGGTTTGGCAGTAACCGTCTTCTGAGTTCTGGTCTCTTTCCCTTTCAGTCTTCCATTCCCCATCTTGGCAATTCGGCCAACATTTGATCTCGTCGGTCCCTGATATCCCACTACCCATGTCCATACAACGCCGAACCTATTTCGCCGCACCATCCACTTAGAATACGAAAGCGATGGTTCAATGGTTTTGGGGGCCCATCTGAGTCCCTTTCGGATGTGACTCCGGACGGTAGGAAGAAGCAAAAGTTCGGAAACCAGACATGCGGTCTTGGCGAACCAGGCACCCCTCGATTGCCTCAGCCAGAGACTAGCCAAAGAGAGAGACGATGCAGGCGTGCATTGTCGGCGGGGACCTGTTGATCCCCCAAAAGCACCAGGTCTTCCGACTTCCCAATGTCACCACGATGGAGGGAAATCCGCCCGGAGTGGCATCGCTGATTTCCTCCGCGCTCCGTGAACATGCCCTGCAGGCCCGTTCATTGGCCTTGCAAGGCCATGCTAGTCTTGGCCGCTCAACGCTCTCGACGCCTGGTAAAACCCTATCATATTATTCGGAATTATCGAGATAGACACACCAGAATCATCCTTGTCATGTTTGAGACATTTGAGGGCCGAATTTGCTTTACCACGCCGGCGTGGCAGGGCGTCCCGACTCTCGCACAATCGGCCAAATCACCTACCATCCAAAGATTCACTCACCCCTCCTCTCCACCCCCGAATGTCGTGGCCCAGCAAAGGGGTTTACCGCGCAGACGGGAACGCAGAAGAAACTCATCAATGGTCCAGCTGCCTTATTTGGGGTGGATAAGGTGATTTTCCAGCCAGCATCAGACAGAAAGGAGCAGGGCAGAAGTCATAAAGATTAAAGCGGCTCCCCCAGTCATTCAACACCGTGGAGCGCGGTCCGGCCTCCACCATTTTCCCTTGCTTCCACCTGCAGGCTAGGTCTTTCTTCAACAGTCCGCCGGCGCCTCCTCCTTACTTGTTGGCTTGAATTCTCCTCATTTTTGTTGTTGGTCGCACGTCGTTGATATCCTCCCTCGCGTGTTGGCCGTGTCTTGTACCTTACTTGTTAGTCTTGTCTTCAAGCCACAACCGCGCGGCAACTCGATCGATCGTTTGTCGGTTTGAACAACGCAACTAGCCGTGGGACTTGACGCCATGGGCTGGGTACTGAACGCCACTCCGGAGGTTGAGGCCGAGTCTCAATGGCCTACCATCATCGCCATATGCACCGTTCTCTCAGTCTTGTCTCTCGCCATCGTGGGGTCTCGACTATGGATTCGGCACACCGCTAGAGGGTTGGCTTCGGACGACTGGATGTCTTTGCTGTCTGTGATATTTGCACTAGCCTACTCTGGTCTTACCATTGGTCGTAAGTTGGCAAGTTCTGGAGATCAAAGCTGCTTCTGACTGTTCCCTCAGAGACGAGATACGGACTTGGTTTACCAGTCAAGTCGCGTCCAAAGGCGAACCTGATCAAGTACACCCGCATTAACTTCGCTGGCCGCCCCATCTATCAGATTGGCATCAGCTTTTTCAAGATTGCTCTCTTGATCAGCTACCTGCGTTTGCTCAAGGGCACCGATCAGAAGAACTATCGCCGCGTCGTTTGGCTGACCATCATTCTCGTCTTTCTTGCACACCTGGGATGCGCATTCTCACTCATCTTTGCATGCACTCCGGTAAGCATATATGTCGTACACTTGTAAAACCTCTCGTGCTGACTTTATCTCAACAGGTCGACAAGTCATGGAACCCGCTGAAAGATGGAACTTGCTTGGCGCCGGGTCCTTCATTCACCGCATACGCTGTTGTCACCATTGTCTCCGACGTTGTCGTGGCTCTTCTCCCCATTCCAGTCCTTCTCAAACTCAACATCCGTCTAGAGAAGAAGGTCGGACTCATCGCTATTTTCCTGCTCGGTCTTTTTACGACGCTGTGTTCTATCTTGCGATATCTCGAGATCAACCGGATTCAGTTTGGCGACGGAAACTCAACAATGTTGGTCTTGTGGGGAACCATCGAATTTAACGTTGGCGTAAGTGTTTCCGAGAGACAGGGTCTTACAACCGACATGCTAACGAGCGGCACAGAATATCGTTTCCTCCCTTCCCTTCCTTGCGCCCGTATGCATGAAAAAGGCGAAGAACTACCGCTCGAAATACTCTGGTGGATCATCTCACGGCCGAAGTGGCTTGAAAGGCGCTGAAAGATACAAACTCAGCGAAATGAACCACGACAAGAGCGTCTTCGCTTCAGCAAATCACAGCAAGGGCGACAACGGCAGCGAGGAGAACATTCTCCCGGGGAATATTATAAAATCTGTGACGTACAGCGTCGAGGTCGACGACAGAAAGGAAGGAAAATCGTCAACACGGCGAAGGGATTCGCGAGAGTCAGTCTAGATGCGGAGAGAATGATTCATGCACCGCATATTGTTCTGGTCAAGAAGGAAAAGATGTACATGATAATGTGCAAGAGCACTAGAGAAGCCCTGAACTATTGATAGATCTACCAAATGGCGTTTGCAGGGTTAAAGTTTGTTGTTGTGAGCGATCACTTCCCATTGAGGCTATGTGAAGTCTGGGGATTGATCTCACGACTCAAAAGTGATCGGGATCATGAGCATCGACGAAGGAGACATGGACTGCACGGGCTGTTGATCTCCCCCACTGACTAGAGGGCCCTCAGACGGGGCACAATTGCGTATGTCATGAATCAAACCCCCATATCCCACATCACGGGGATGGGTAGTCGAACGATTGTAGATGGAAATCTCCCCCTCTAATTCCCAAGAATGCGGTGTACGCGATCTTCGCCACGCACGTCTTTATTTCAAATTAATCTAAATTGGTATATCCTCCATCTACTCTTCATCAAACTGAAGCTTCATCTCTCGCTTGCTGAGGAGTGGGCTTGTAGGGCTAATCTTGGGCCAGTCGTGGGCATCAAGACAGGCCCGCCGCGATGCTAGCACGCCGGGCCGGGCTCTGGAAACGACGGCATCTTCGTAGATGTCCATGGCTGCTCTGAGGTCGTCGAAGGTGGCGTCCAATTTCGGCGCTACGTTTTCTGCAAAATCCAGGGCATCGAGGATGGCGTGGTTTGCACCCTCGCCTCTGTCTGTGCGTGCCGTCAGCCATTATCCTCGTTTATTTGAGACGAACCTCCCATATGGAAACAATATCCCGAGAGAAACGACCGCAGCAGCAGAGAACCCTGAGTGATTCAATTGCCGACGGTGCTTGTCAACTTACACATGGCCATTGCGTGAAAGGCGTCGCCCATCAACACCGCCTTTCCTGTAGACCGAAGACCCTTTGGTGGAGGATAATCGAAGAGGTCGAGGTGTTTCACGTCAGTGTCAGTGGGGATGCCAAGCGCAAGAGATCGAAATGGCTCCGACCAGCCTTCGGCAAACGATCTGATGAGACTGAGTCGGCCGTCATTAGTCGGAGGGAATTCCGTTGGCTCCGGCTTGCCCAGGAAGCCCGGGCGGTCCGGCCACGAGATGCACATCTGACAGCTGTATTTGCCTTTGCTTTCCTCGTTGTTATCGGGAGCGTCAAGCACTAAAGAAAAACACAGTTTGCATTAGTCGCATGATGCCGTCGCGCGCGTCGTTATTTCCAGATGGAGCTTTTGAAGGAATAAAGGTTGGGGGTAATTCAGTATCAAGGTTTTGCGGTCCCGATAGTGTTGCCGTCGAGATTCGCGGCATTGTCAGGGACAATCCCGGCTCCGCGATACGACGATAATCATCCTCACCATCGTTGGGATTTTGATAAGACATTGAAATCGAATACGACAGTAAGCGGAAGGACGAAACTTACTGCTGAGATAGAGAAAGGTGTCATTCTGAGACGACGTTCCTTGCAGAAAGAAGGGATCAAGCTTCCTGATCGGCTCCATTTGATCGGGTGACAAGAACACCTTCAAGCCAAGGACCCGGACCGGGATCCGGTGCCTCTCATGCTGATCCGGGAAGAGCTGTGTCCGGACTCGGGATGCCCCTCCGTCGCACGCAACAAGCACGCGACCGGTGCATGTCGAGCCATCTTCAAAAGTCGCAACAACAGCGCCCTCCTTTTCTTGGAAGCTGGCAAAGGCCCTCCCCCACTGCAATGCAACTCAGTATCGTGATCGACGGCATCGGCAATGCCCCCGTGAGAAAAGACCCATAATCCAAAAAGGTAAAAAATGCGAGCGTACCTGGATATCGATGTCGGTCGCAACAAGCCGACGCAACCTCTCCCTGGTGACTCTGATCCGCAGACTCTCCGGCGCGCGGGGACTTGCGCCCTTGAGCTCGCCGGTGCTCAGGTCGAAGAAAGGGAACGCGGAGGCCTCACCTCTGGCAACGGCGGCGCGGTCGACGTAGGCCTCTGGCAGCCGGGAGACCAGGTCTTCGGGCAAGAGAGCCCTCAGGGCCGGCAGCGACCAGTGCAGAGTCAAGCCCCAGCCGACGCCGCGGGTAGTCAGGTCCGTGTCTCGCTCGAAGATGCGGAAGGGGATGCCGTTCTTGCGGAAGAACTGGGCGAGTAGCAGGCCGCTGACACCGGCGCCGATGATGATGACGGGGAGGGGCCCTTGCGCTTGGTCTTGGTCTTGGTCGTGTTCCGCCATGGCTTCTCGGTTGCGGTGTTTGACAAATGATGGATTGGGTACAGGGTGTGCTACTTCACGAAAGGACACTTTTGCTTTTTGATGTGCGCTGGTGCAGTGGTAGCGGCGTCAGGGTAAGCAGCCAAATGAAACACAAAAGAGCAGAGACGGCACCAATGAGAAGTAGTACCGGGCTGTATTATGCTACTTACGAACGGTGCGTATATCCAAGGGACGTCAACTTGGCTCTGCTGGAACTTGGATAACCAAAGCCAAATGGTCAACGGCTTCAACACCTGCGGACGTCCAATTTCACTCTGGCCCAGAAAACCCCCGTTTCCCAACCCATCGAACCACCCCGCTGCTAATTCTAAACCAAAAACTCTAATCCCACTTCCGTTGCCCTTGGAGCTTGCGAGGACAACAGGGGTGTTGGAGGGGGAGTGTCGCCTGATGTCGGGGGTTCCGGCAAGGATCACCTTGGAGGCGAGTCCCACGGAACGGGAGGATCGCGGAGCACCTCCCCGGCGCCACAAAAGGCCACAGTCCACACCACCTAAGAGACGCCTTCGACGGGTGCTGGCGGCCCTCAGGACCCTTACGGCAAGGTCCCGTCGCCTTTCGTTCAGCGATTCATCAACCGGCAAGGCAGAGCGGGAGCGGGAGGGAGCGCTGCAACCACGCGACGGTCCGATGACGAATGCGCTCGAACAGACTGTGAGGAATGCCTTTGACAACTGGACGACTTCAGCATGATGTTCCTAGGCCATTGAAAAGTCCAATTCATCACGGTCGAGTTATTGAGACAGAAAATCGTTACGCAACCAAAGTCCATGAACATGGCAGGGGATGCCGGTAATTCCTGGACCGCTAATCTCGGAGTGGTTAGGGGGCGTGGTCTCAAAAGTTCACCTCTGGGCCCGTACGTAATTCCACCGAGAAACCCACAGGGCAACGCAGAACTGGACGGATTGATCTCGTTTTCATGTTTCTCCTCCCCCAGGACACAGACTCTCCTCCTCCTTCCAGGGCTAAGCCTTTTCGCTGGTGGAGAGCTTCGGGAACGCTATGCCGTGATCCAAGTCAAACTCCACTCCCAGCCCTGGAGTTTACATGTTGTAGCGCACCAACCGCGCCGCTTGACCAGTCGAAGACATTTCCCAAGGATCTCTGCACTTGCCAGTGCTCCAGGCCTTGCCCTCGCGAGGAAGGGCTGGCTGGTCACCAGGAATAGTTCTGCTCCCCATAGCTGGCTCGTTAAGACGCCTGTATTCGTAAGTCAGATCAGGTCCGGGCTTTGAGTACGTCCAAAGTCACGATTAAATGTCAGACAAGACCTACAAGTGACCGTTCATCTTCTCTGCCCGTATCATCACTCATCGGCCCTGGGACCCGAAATTGATTTGAGTTTTCGATACTGTCTTCTAGAATCCTACGTCTTACCTTTCGCAGAAAGCAAGATTCGCCGAGAAAGTGCTATCGGTCATGGATTATCAGACTTTTCTCATGCAGCCACGGGCGTCTTCTCTCATCCCCTGGCCCTCTACTCATGCGACGCAACGGCACAGCACACGCTACCTTGGTTAGTTGCAGTACCGGTCGGTTCACCTCGGTGTTTTTACTCTCGCGATATTGCTACCCATTTGGCAAGGCGTCCGGTTTCCGTGTCATGTAAAACGAGGGAAGTGCCGTCCAAAACCGTTGTTGAACATTAGCGTATGGCGCAGCGTAAATCGGTCAGCATCTTTTTTGTTATTATTTCATCACCGACACTTCGGGATGAAACGTCACGTTGGTGGTTGTTGTCACTTCGTTCGATCGATTATGTATTCACCCCTCAGACTTCATGTCACCATCTCATTCAAGGTTCTGACTACCACTGTTTGACAAGCGAACATCAGATTGAGCCGCGCATGGAAGATCCCCCGACAGCAGAGGAGATATTCAACACTGCGAGTTAGCTACTTTGCCTCTGGTCCCATCAGTCGCTCGCCATCCTCTACGTACAGCGATCGTTCGGATTGTCCAGCGAATAATGCGGCGCAAGAAATGCGCGCACTTCACTTCCTGGCGATTTGCCATGTGTTCCTTTTCGAATGTGTTGCAGCTGCAATGCACAAATCATGATGCAACGAAGCGTGCATCTGCCGACTATGTCCAGCAGCTAAGATAATGCAAGTCAAACGCACACCTTACAGCGCGTTCCCACCGCTCATTCCGAATGTACCATTCTCATGCCATGGTCAAGTCAACATTAGCAGTTTGGCTACTTTGGTACAGGTAGGTAGATACCGGCAAAGACCGAATGCTGCGTAACTCTCGCACTTCACTTCATCGGAGTCGCTCCGCCCCCGATGAACTTATCGCCAAGGGTTCACTCGCCTCGATTGCCTGATAGCCCCTGATACACGCGACTCAAGCGATGCAAAGCGAAGGATCCAGGCTTTTGGAGTCTTGAACGCATCTCTGGGAACATTTTTGCCTGGTGGATATCCGGGTCCGTGGCCGGGGTATTGAAGATTTTTGATGAGCAAACCCCCTGGTTCCAACGGGCAACCGGCGAGTGAAATGTGACAGCACGGGGGCCAATTAGCCCTGCCCAGAATGACCAGGCCAGGGTCACCTAAAAGCCTCGTTCGGTCAGGATACGAGTTTTCTTGTTACAACTCTTGAACTCGTAGTCTGAAGGCTGTTGGTGCTGGAGAGCCGGTGTAAATGACGCTGGGACATCAATATCAACGGAGAAATAATGGTAAGCTCGACCGACATGAGGCATTCCAGGCTGCACATAATAGACTGAACGAGGACTGCACAAAACTCTCTGAACACCGGTTTTCTTTTGCTAGCCAGATCACCGCGCGTCTGCATGCTGCGCCTAGCATGTCTGGGCCTCTAGAGGCGACATGTTCTCGCTTCCCAAGTTCTGGTTCTCCTGCATGCAATCCCAAACCATATTGACCGGGCCCAGAAACCTGCGAGCATGGTTCCCGAGAATCTCGGTCAGTGGGAACTGCTGCCTCATCCCGGTAAGCCTCATCAGTTCCAGATCGAGTAGCTAAGAGCCGCTACTGATGCCGGAACTGGTTACTTCCTGATGTCCCCTGGTATTCGCCCAGAAGGAGGATTTCGGAGCAGAGCCGTTAGAATGTCACCGTTTGTGGCCTAGGAGGCATCCTTTCCCCTGATACGACATCGTGACTCTCCTGCCCATGGAAAGTCATTTCGTTTACCAAGCTCGATGACATATAGCTATCTCATGCGACATTCGGTGAGGACGTGAGCAGCCTGTTACTATCTGTGCCTTGTATCTAGCTGCACAGTCTTCATGGTTAAAACCGGCTCACCAATGAGTGTCCTCGCAAGAAAGCGACAATCGTGAGAGTTTGAAGCGGAATGATGCGGAGGTTCTAGCGTGATGTCTTTATATGTGTGTCTGAACAGAAGCTACCCTCAATGGCACGAGATACATGATGCTCCGCACCTTTCGTGGAAGACATACGTGTATCCGCAATGGCTTCTACCTGCAGTCTTGTTGCGTCAATTTGTGCAATACACCTCATCTATTGGGAGCATGCTCTCTGGTATATACGTGGTGACCTTTTGGTGAAACCAATCCTCATTAGAAGTGAAAGAATTTCGAAACCTAGCTTGACTCTTCTACAAGTAGCAATTTGACTAAGATGCTAAGGAGAAAGCGTTGTGGTTGCCCATGTCATTAATAAACCAGTTAACCTCTTTTGCTACGTAATCTTCACATATGCACTCCTGACTTTTCATTTCTGCTTTGTTCACGGTGTGAATTGGTACACATATGTAATCAAACCACTAAGAATGTTTATGTCTGACGCCGGTTTCTGACAGGATGGATATGCCGCTTCCTCCCAGATGGTAATAACGCCATGAAACCATCCAGGCCGCGCTTTGTTGTACCGCCCGCAACGGTGATGCCTTCGGCACTCAGAGCCTTCTTAACATCGTCCAAAGTTGCCTTCGCACCAGACGCTGGGGCTTCAACTTCGTCGAAACTGCTCTCAAATTAGAACCACATATTTTAAATAGCATGTACAGCCATGTAGAAGGGGGACTTACTAGTAAACTCCGTAAGGTCCAGGCTTGCCGGCTGCCTTGGCTGTTTCTCCACCGTTCAACTCTTGTCGGCCGATGAGCTTGAACTTCCCGGCGATGCCCTGAACGAAATCCGTCTCTCGATACTCCGAGTTGGAGACAGGCGCAATGAAACGACCGGACTTGGAGTTGATCATAAAGAGGTAGTCCTTAGTGGTTGTGAACATGCCATCGCCGAGGTTGAGTGTCGTTGCCATCACCTTTCGGACTTCATTCCCATCGTTTGAGAGTGTGTTGATGTTCAAAACGAGATCTGGCAAAAAATATTAGTATTTGAAAACAATTTCAAGCCAAGTCGGCCATATTATACTCACCTTGAACCTCATAAACTCCAGGTGTGCCCTTGCTAGCTACCCCGGCTTCTAGCTTGTTCAACATGTTAACAGTTGTGGAGTCGAGATCAGTTGACCGAATGACCAAGCCCGTGGTTGCAGGAAGCTTTCCGATGGCAGAATCAAACTCCGGGTTGATATAGTAGAACTGGATCCAAGTCTTGAGAGCCCATTTCTCCTGATCACTCAGCGCGTATGCCTTCGATGTCGCGGTCGCAATCTTTGGCCAGTCGGCGGTGTTCTTCGAGGCTTCTAATAAGAGGCTGCTGATTTCGTCGACATTGGCCGAGACACTCTGTGCTTTGGTATACCAGCTGGCGAATCCCTCGCTCATGGTCGTGATCAGCTTGCTTTCCTCCGCAGTAATACCGGCAGTGTTCGACAATGCTGCGATTGTGCGCTCAGCCAAAGGAATGGCCTCAGAATTGCCGAGTTCTGTTGTGAGGCCAGTCTTGTCGTTCCAAACACTCTCCGGCGCCTCCAAAGTTTGGGGGCTCATAAAGCAGCAAAGCTTCCGCAAGAGGCCTGCACGTCGCAACTTGGCGCCGCTGCCCTCAACGCAAACCCTGCAGTTGTCGAAACCTATCGTTGTCAGCAAGGTGATGATACTTCATAAAGTGAGGAAGTGTTTGCGCACCGCCTTCTTCAATCGACTTTTCCATCGCAGCCACATCGGTGTCGGTGTATAAGAGCTTCGGTTTCCCATCGCCAGCATCGCGAAAGATCTGGACGGTGTTCTCTCCTTCCTTTGCTTCAAGCATGATACCTTTACCCTCACCGATGGTGGTACTGGCTTTGGCAAACTTTGCTAGGACTGAGTCTATGGCACCCACGGCCCTGGCCGCTTGAACGACGTCTCGAGCCAAGCTCAGCAATGAGACGACGTCGGCAAAGATGCTGCCCGCCTTTTCGATGTCGTTGTTGTAGCTCAATTCATGGATACTCTGCATGACGTCAGCAGCGAATTTCAACAGAGTCTCGAAGGGTTGTAAACTGACATCGAAGGCTTTGAATGCATCTCTACATCCTTCTCTGATCTTCTTGCCGATACTTGCCTCGAAGATGGAAGTCAAGTGACTCATTCCCATACAGGTTACTTGAAGCTCTTTTACCTGCGGCTGCGCCAGAAATTTGAAAGCTCCGATTGCTTGATTAATAACATTCTTCATCACGCCTACGGAGTCTTATCAGCAATACGTCCAAACAAGTGGTCCGTTACTTACCCATCCAGAACTGATCCTCCAGTGGAATATCCGAACCCGGGTCTCCAAACAGCGGATCATTAGAAGTCTGTCGTTTGGACGCTGCGCTACCGCTGCCACCACCTCCGCCGACGCCGCCGACATACTTGATGCCCGCGAACAAGTTGGATGCACATGCCGCACCGGAAGGGTTGGCGACGCAAGGGCCTTGGCTGATTTTCCTTACGCACACTTCCAAGGCATCGGAAGAATTAGCACCGTTGCGAACCTCAGGAAGGTCGAGGCAAAAGGCTGGCCAAAGATGTAGGATACAGGTCTTGTTTGAGGGGTTTGCATCGCATCCGCTGGGGATGGTCGCGAAGGTTCGGGCAACGATGCAGTCAGTTGAACCCATGCTCACCAGCATGGATGCCGAGGTATTGCCTGAGTTGGCAAAAGTGCATTCGGGAATGGCAGACTCAGAGTCGGGTGGTGTGTTGCCAAAGGAGGAGGCCGTGAGATTCGTCAACTGGGTCTGTGGATAGTAGAGTGGAGTCTAGGAAGGCGGGATGATGAGCTTCCCCGTCTCATTTGCGTAGGCACATAACTGTGTCTGGCTGGCCGACGCGAATGTGAGGGGGTCTCCTGCAGTTCCGGGTCTTTCGATCGCCCTCAGGTTCGAGGTGAAGATGAAGAATGGTGTCTTATCTCCAGGAATCGTGACCTGCGACCATGTTGATGAGCTACCATTCCTTGGCAAGTCCTTGTTGCAACCAGAACTTACATAGAAAGTCTGATTCTTATTCAAGTAGCAAGCTGCGATCTTTACAGTCGAGCCATCTGACGTGTCCCAGCAGCCACCACCGCTGCCAGCTGGCTCCGTGACTCTGATGCCGGTGGCATCAGTGAAGGAGCTTCCATCTTTTAAAAGGCCATTGGTTAAGTAGAAAGTTGCATCAAGACCGCTGGCCGTACTTCCGGCCGAGGCTGAGTCACTGCTGGCCTGGACGGGGGAGAAGTTGGCCGAGTCTTTCTGTGCATCTTCAACAGTTGCCGCACACGTTTGCTGGGACTCAGATGTGGCGAATAACTTGAGCTTCGTGCCCAGGGCCTGCGAAGATTGATTGGGTCAACTCAAACAGTTCTGGCAACTTTAACACCATCAAAGTAAACTAACCCATTCCTCAGTGTTGTCAGTCTGACCATCCACCGCTGATACTGCAAGTGCAACGGCGAGCACTATGCCCCCGCGTAACGTCGAAACGCGCATAATGGTGGTGTAAAGCGAAAGTCAAGAACGAGAGAATGAGAAAAGAAATGAGTGAAAAGAGCGAACGCCCAAGGTCAACCTGCTGAACCAGTACCCAGCGCGCCTCGTAGGGCGATGCGTTTGTTTTATCATCCGAACTCGTTCAGCCAACATTTTGGACAGGCCGTCCGCTCTACCCGAGCTGAAGCTTGTGTAAACTCAAAGGGTCTAGATCGGGCAGTCTGCAGGGATTGTTCACCAGAATTGACTGGAGAATATCTGTCAGGCCGTCATGCGACTGCTTTTTTGGGAGCTTCGACTGGAATTCTGTCCAGGAGCCCCTGCTTGAGCATCACTGGACATGGCGCTAACTTGCACATGTCCAACTCAATTATATTGTTTGACCTTGGCTCCCTCACCAGCCTGGGAGTAAGCGTTTCATGTTCAAGCCTTGTGGGACTCGGCAAGTTGAAAAGCCCATTCCACGTCGGGTCAAGGTTTGAGCCAGTATATATCTGCCTTCATTTGAGGAAAGCGATTCTGGCGTCTATTAAAAGATCACTTCTGAGTCAATTCTTCAATAGCGACCTTAGCCTGAAGCCAACGCCGAATATCGCTCGGTACTGGGAAGCCAACTTTTCGTTCAAAGATAATTGACCGCAGTATGGTGACGTAATTAGTCTTCTTGATCATGGCGATCGATCGATAGTAGACAATGCTATGTGGTGGCCATCTGTTCGCACTCTGAGCAGTTAGGCGACAGGCACAGTTTTACGTTCACCCTGATCTTCGACAACGTCATGTGGTGACTGTGGACGGGATCTAGTCTTATCGCATGACATGAGATGAACACATTGTTTGGATGGCAAGGGGTGAGAAATAGCCGCCTGCCGAAGCAGTCGGACTTTTCGGCTTGACGTTTCCTCACTCCGCGGGCATCCGAACCATGCGTAACAAACTCAATTCAACGCACCAAACTTCTCGAACGAAATGGACTGAGAGCTGCGAGTCATGCTCCTGTGGTGAGTCTCCCTTCGACGCCATTGATCGCCGTGGCGCAGCAACTTGGGGGTGCACAACTGAAACACACAAGTTCTCATGTAAACCCAACGCGTGGCGGGACAGGACGCATTTCTGCAATCGTGGATTCCCGTTCAAAGATGAATCCAAGGCCCAGTCAAGCGAGCTATTGGTTTTCTACCCAAGTTGCTCGCATTAAGGTAAAGGCTCCGGAGCTTTTGGATGATCCCGAGTGTCCTCGCGTAATAGTAGTCTGGGCAGTAGCGGAGTCGTTTTCGCACTTGGGAGAGCAATGAGCCATAGTTCCTCGTTCTCAAAATATCACCCACGCAGCCGATGTGTCCAGAGTTGCAGACAAGACATCTTGTCTGCAGTTGTATGAGCTTTTGGCTTGATTCTTAGTCTTTGGGTAACGCAACAAGAGGTATGAGAAACCAGAAAGACGGGAGGTGTCTGGAGAGGCAAAGAAAGGTTTACGTTTCATCAGTCTGACTGCGTTGCAATTGAAGTCCCATTGTAGAACGTCTCTCTCCCTGCAGTAAGAATAGGAAAAGACCTACTATAACGCAAAGCCATTTGTGACTAGGTTTGTAAAGAGATGTCGGCTGAGACCATAAGAGGCCCGATTTTCAAGTGCCGCTGATGAAGACCTAGTATAATTGTTGAGTTACGTAAATAAACTGACTACGTTACTTCAGCAAGCTGGAAGGTGTGCTTAGATTGCGAATTTTGGTTTCAGCTAACCGACGAGAACACATGTCAAAACAGGAGAAACATCTTGAATTTTCTCAGCCCCTTTTCACAGAATAGATTTCTATTCAAGACAATACGACATAGTTATGAATAAGCCGCGTGATTCTATATAGTGATATAGGACTTACGTTATGAGACGGCCGTTAATTATAACTAAAAACGCAATTTCACAAGACAAATGTCAACAAAAGTAAAGAGCTTAGGGCATATTAAAGGAAACTTCAAGTACACCAGCATATCTACAAAAAAACAAAAGTATAATGTCTCAACTCCACAGTGGAATTAAACCACTAAATCTCCCCGAGGTGGGCTCGAACCACCAACCTCCAGATTAACAGTCTGACGCGCTAGCCAATTGTGCCATCGGGGATGTTAAGATCGTATGTCTCTGTTGGATGCTGGAGCGAGGCATTTTTCAGTATATGGAGCTTACTTTGTGGATCTCAAGCGAGAAGTGGATGTGTGCTGCATGTTGGGCGACGACAAAGGTTGGAATCTTTCCTACGGGGAGATGGGGTTATCTCCACTTTGATCTGTATGAAAGGAAGAACTGACAGTAAAAATTTCAATATTGAGATTATGCTGTGGTGTTGAGAAGATGAAACTGGCTTTGAAGTTTTGATGGCTGATTTTGGTCCCTTTTGCTTTAACAACTAAGCCATCCTATAATACTTATTTGAAATATGAACTCACTGGCTAAAATACCTTATACCCTGTGAAATGTATAAGATTTACACTTGATTGCTTCTGAGAATCACAAAGCTTTCAATCATGACACAAAAACGTGCAACGAAAAAAGTGAAGTAAGAACCGTTGGCTGCTCAAGAATGGGTGAGATCAAATGTAAAGCATGGCAGAGTTCACTCCTATAAATCAATCCACATAGATGAGCACAAACTATACGTTATATCAAGACAAAAAAATGAAGACGAGGACCAGAACGATGAAATAGTCTCATGAAGAACACAAATCCCGTTGCAGCGTTTGAGATGAAAAATTGTTAGTGAGAGTTTTGCAAACGGCTTGGAGGGCTCACCTACCAGCTGCTGCCATCTGGGAAGGAGCAGCACTGTGAAGGGACTGCCAGTGGACCCGCATGCCTCAGTCACGTGAACTGGCACGGACCTCGCGCGACGAAAAAAATCCACACGGCGCCGGCGCCAGCGATCGACCGCGTCTGACGGGCCTGAACTGGCAAGGGCAGGAGCAGGCGTCATCTCAGCGCAAACACCAACTTCACAACAAACGACGTGGTACACTCCTTCACTTCATCACAAGCAACGATAACCACAAACACTGCAAATGCCTGAATCATCGGATGAATCCGCTACCGAGGGCGTTGGCCTTCTCCAAAACGATGCATCTGACTCGGAAAGCTCCGTCGGCTCCGGGTCCGAACGAGGCAACGGCTTGCTCGACCTTGAGGCATCTGAGTCTGGCGACAGCGATTCCGACTCGAGCGATGATGCATCTGACTCCGAATCAGACGACGATTCTACTCTAGGAGGAGGCGGCCGGCGAGGGCCCAAGGCTGTCTTCACGCAGTTCAAGAAGTTGCCCATCGAGCTGCGCCATCGCATCTGGGAACTTTTTTGTCCCGACCTGCATCCATCACCACGCGTTCTGTCCTTCCAGATGGTCTGCAACCCCAAGCAAGACGTTATCTGGGAAAACACGACCCTGGAGAACCAAATCCATCCCGTTCATGCAATGCTTGGCGTACATCAAGAGAGTCGTCAGATCGCGCTCAAGGCCTTCCCTGACACGCTGTCCATCCGCCAAGGTCGCCGCACTATTTATTTCAACAAGGAGCGAGACATAGTGCAGTTGAATGGCCACAGAAAACCTTGGAGTCACAACGCCTTTGTCTCCGGCTTTTCAGAGAATGTGCTTCATCTGGCGGCCGAAGTCCCCTTTTTCAACGCAATGGAAATGCAATTCTTGACGACTTTCCCAAATCTCATCAACTTCTACAAACTCGAATGGCACAACGAAGGCCGCCCCCCGCGTAGACTGCGGTGGTGCGCATCGGAGAACGTCCACCGCTACGAGCTTCAGCAGCTGCAGAAAGATTTCCGCGTGGGCGAAGATCTGCATTTCGTGTACTGTTGGCCGGATATCGTCAAGCACAGAACATTTGCCGAGAAGCACGCGTCTGAGATGGAGGAAGCTGCAGAGGCTTTGGAAGAAATCGAGGAGATTCGAGAGGATGACGAGGACCTTGAGGATATAATTGACGACCAAGTTTTGGACAAGCTCCGAGGCATCAGCTACTGGCGAATGACGTGTTTCGGTTGGGATGCCGCAGACCGATTTCCTGCTTTTCTGGCCAAGTACGGCGACGCACCAGACGACGCACCCAGTGAGGGCGATGAAGACGAGAAGGATGGATCTTCAGACGAGGACGACGACTCAGATCAGAATGAGTATGAGAGCGACGGTATCGACGACGCCACCATCGATGAAGAGTCTATTGACGAGGACGAGGACGACCTCTTAGTGAACAACCAGCAGGAAAGCGAAGACGAAGAAGACGGTGGTGCTTCAGACTTTGGCGGATTCTCCCCACTCAGGGATGAGGGTGGCAGCATGTTTGTTGATGGCGATGCGAGCGCTGCACAGTTCTCGAGTCCCGAGCCGGAAACAAATGGAAACATTCAGCGCCAATGCCGCGGCCACGCCATCATAGATTCAGACGAGGAGGAGGAGGAAGACGAAGACAGGGGTGCAGAAGAGCCGGCCCGCGCTATTCGTCGTGCCCCGGTTGTGGTGTCAGATGATGAAGAGGAAGAGGAAGAGGATAAACCTTCTCAGCGCGCCGGTCGACCTCGTCGCGTTGTTCTTTCCGACGACGAAGACGAGGATGAAGAGGACGAGACAGCTAAAACTGCACGACCTGCAGGCCGTCGGTATAGGATGCCGCCCTCCGACGAGGAGGATGAAGACGAAGATGAGGGCGGAGCTGAAGTCATAACTGCCGAGGACGAGGGTGCAAACAAACCGCTATCTCTCGCTGAAAGGCTACAACGCAATCGCCGACAGAACCCAGTATCAGACGAGGGTGAATCGGAGGAAGAAGAGAGTTCGGAGGAGGAAGAGCAACCGCCGCCGAAAAAGATGTCACTCGCTGCGAAACTCATGGCCCATCGCAGGAAGAACCCGATTGAGTCTGAGTCAGAAGGTGACTCTGAGGGTACCATTGGCGATGATGACGACGATCTCGATGACGATGAAGAACATGAAGATGAGGAGAGCGGGATGTTTATGAACATGGCCGAAGAGGGCGAGTCTGACGAGGAGCAGGATGAGGACGATTATTAGAAGCCGCAGTGCATTTCTTTTGGGTCATGCAGACATATACGATGCGACACTGGAAACCATTCCATTTGGGCACCCGAAGCGATAAGGAACACAATTTCTATGAGAAGCAGGATAAAGTCACTACTTCATGCGGCATGGAATCATTCAGCTTCTCGATTGGTTTGATAGATCAATTACTCTTTAGTAATCTCTAATACGGCATCAAAGCCGATGTACATTTGACTGATTTTGTGCTGTGATTTTCCTGTAAACTCCAAGAGCAATGTGGGAGTTCTATGTGCCTGGGCAAACGTGAGTCAACACTCATCATCAAGCCAAACAGGAACTCTTCTAACATCGATGGGTTACACATAACCTCTGGTGGCTGACAACCGGATGCCCATTAGTAGGGTGTACAGTCAGCTCCAGCTTACGACACCGCATCATACCTACTGTAGATCATTGGCAATAGTGGTTTCTCCCCTTCCTTTCCCTAGCTTTACTTTGGACAGATATGTGTCGCATCGTCAACGGGCAATTGAGTTAGGGAGAGGGGCTTAGTATTGGAGGTCCGAGGTGTTTGACTGGTAATTCAAGATGTATCTGTGTGCGCAGGCTTTCCCAAGTCCGCGTAAACTGCAAGGGGTTCAGCACAGTCTCCTTACTTGATCTCTTGTCTCCAATCATCCTCTAGTATCGGTCACATGACAATTTGACCGAACTTCCCAAATAGGAAATACGAAGTCGACTTGTGTTCCGGAGGGTGTTGTAGTGTTCAGCTCACATGGAAACAGACCGTCCAGAACACAGGGAGTAGGTTACACGAGGCTGACAGGTAGGATAAATAATCTGTTTGTGTCGGCCTACAAGTCCCAATGACTCACCACGGACGTAATTCCATCCAAGCCTGCACGAGATCCCGTCTTGTCAATTTCCAAGCTTTCATGCTCATCGGTCTTTTAGTACTCAAGCCTTTCACCATGAAGGGCTTCCTGCCCCTCATCTCTGTTATCGCTCTGTTACACGGCCTTGCCTGCGGAAGCGATGCTCCCAACTACTTCGAAAGATCCCCTACGACCCCTCGCCGGTTGGACGCCAACCGGGTCCGAAGAGAGCTGGGCAGCCGAGTGTCCAAAGCCACTACCATCTTCGGACCTGAAGACTCCCGCTACGAAATCGCGACGTCCAGGTACAGCACTTTCGCTCCGCCCAACGTCCAAGTCGTCGTTGTTCCTGGCAAAGAGTCCGACGTCTCAACTATCGTAAGTTCGCACAAAACCAAATCAAACGCGACAAGTTTCGTTTACTAACGCATGATAAAAGGTCAAATTTTGCAACCGGAACAGCATAGAATTCCTGACCGTAAACCGAGGCCACGGCTGGACCAAGACCCTCGGCACTTTCAAAGGCATCCAGATCGACCTGGAAAATCTGCAGAATGTCGACATCCAACGCAGCGGCAGGTCGGCCTGGTTTGGCGGCGGTACTTACGCCGGGCCAGTTGCGAAATACCTCTGGGATCGAGGCTACGTCACCACCACCGGCTCCTGCGACTGCGTCGGCCTGATGGGTCCCGGTCTTGGTGGCGGCCATGGGCGCCTCGAAGGTCTCTACGGTCTGATCAGCGACAACGTCGTCCAGTTCAACGTCGTCTTAGCCAACGGAGCCTCTATACGCGTCAGCAAGTCCAGTCACAGTGATCTGTTTTGGGCTCTGAGGGGCGCAGGCCACGGGTTCGGTATCGTAACCAGTTTCGAGATGAACATCTTTCCTCGAGGCCCTGAGACTTGGCACTATCACAATTACTACTGGCGTGGAGACAAACTCGAAGCCGTCTTTGATGCCCTCAACAAGCTGCACGGAAATGGTACCACTCCGGTCGACATGGCAGCCAATTTCGGGGGCTTCTCCATGAATGCCAGCATCACAGACAAAGAGCCAATCATCATGTGGACCTTCGCCTACCGCGGAAGCGCGAAGGCGGCTGAACGATACCTGGCGCCGTTCAATGCCATCGAGGCTGTTTCGGAGACTTTTGGCGATGTTCCATATCCTTCCGTTGCGGCGGCCCAGCTGCAGGACGAGGATTCAGTGAACTGCCGGCATAACGTAATCCGAGTCACGTCTGCGGTTGGTTTACAAGTATACAATCTGACCGCGGAACGGCAGATATTCGAAGCCTACAAGAAGCGCGTTCCCTTGCACCCCCAACTCGCGGCTGGAGCTTCCGTTTTCCACGAGGGATACGCGACCGCAGGCATGCAAGCGAAGAACCCAATGGACTCGGCCTATCCTTTCCGCGACGATAATCATCTCATGCTATTTAGTACTGTTGTTCCTCCTGACAATGCCACTGCACGGAAGGCCGCTTTGGAATGGGCTGATGAGGTTAGAGATCAGTGGCGGGCTGGTCAGCCCGATCGATCCCTCAATGTGTATCTCAACTACGCCACTGGTTTTGAGACCCTTGATCAGATTTATGGGCATGAAGATTGGCGTTTGAAAAGGCTTCGTCAACTGAAGAAGAAGTACGATCCTTTCAACCGCTTCCACTTCTACAACCCCGTCAACGGCCGGAACAAGGGGTAGAGAGGGGCGAATCATGAGATGCATTGGTGCTATTTACTCTTGTATTTCAGGAATTAAGATAACAGCTTTTAGCGGCAATATTTCGCGGACCTCCACAAAGTAACCAGACGTAGTAGTGTTGTCACCGGGATGCGGTCAAGTGCGTTGCTAAAAGATTCATACGAATGCTTGGATGAGGACATCCTCCTACCCGTTGCGACGGCAACCACACAGTACCCGAAGATTTGTTCAATCCTATCCGAAACTACAGATCCCCAAAAGTGTTCCCGGGCAGCACAGTTATCGCTGGCGTCTTCCAAATGTCCCAGTCGGCCGAAACCTGCGGGTTACCAAAGGGCCTGAGTGCAGCAATACGGAATCTTTGGAAGATCAGCATTAGAACTCTGTCGAAAATGAACAATGGAACTCACTTGTATGATCCAGGCTGTACATAAGATCCGTTGGCGAATCTCCCGAGCCAGAAGAACGTACGGTATCTGTCCCGCGGCTGGGTATATACCGGGAACGAGAAGATGTCGTCCTCGCTGTCTTCTCCTTGGACAAACCGAGCCGAAGTGTCAGTGCCGTTCCAGCTGGTGGCTGAGCCTACGTAACCCTTCTCGCCAACACGGGGAGGGTAGGACCACTCGGATTCCGTGTAGTTGGCGTGGAAGATCTGCAGTTCTAGATTTAGCCTGACACCCATTGAAACCTTGAATCAATAGCCTTACATCCCACCGCACTTCTTGTGTGCCCCAAGCAAACTTGGTGTTGAGCCTGGGAAAGTCTTGAGCACCGCTGGTCAGATTGAATGTGAAGCTGTTGAGCGTTAATATGCAGTAACGGGTAGAGAGAGTGAGTGGGAACGAACTTCGACTTCTGGTCAAGTTTGACATCGAATATCCCGGAGACGATGTACGGCACGTTCCAACCGTAGTCCCAGATGTTTTCAATCGTCTTGTTCAAATCACTTGCAACACCTATTGACATCGAGATGAGCCAAGCTCCAAAAAGACGGTGCGTTGAAGCTTACCAAAGTAGGGCACGCCTAGCTCTTCGCCATTGCTGCCGCTTACGAGGATCTTACCACTGTACACTGGCAATCTCGTGGCGTTAACGTCTTGCGGAGCCTGGAATGTGAATCTTTTATCTTGTTAACCTCGGCGACGTACTGTGGTCACGACTTCTGGTCAAGAGGACATACTCAACAGCGTGTGTTTCGCCCGGTCCAACTGCAATTTCGGCAGGCAGCACAACCTCAGGCGTCATCTTCACGGGGTTGATCTCGGCGTAGAGATGGAAGCCCGGAACGAAGGATTGCTGTTGTCCAGCAACCGAAGGCTCATACGGCTCGTATCCTCCGGCGTCTTGCAGCGAGAAACTGTACGTGACAGACTCAGTACCACGGTTTGTAATCTCGACAGAGTGTTTGCCGGTAAAGTGCGCGGTATCATTCAACTCGAACTTCCGGCCGTCGAAACCCAGCTCGGTGGTGTAGCTCAATACCCTTTCCGCATCAACGAAGCCTCCGCCGACCTGTGTCGTGGGCGCCCAGAATCCGTAGTCGGTGGCGCTGGTCGCCCAGTCTGCCCACGGCACAGCACGAGCAGTCGATGTGATACGGGCAATGAGTCGTTTTGCCCACTCGGGATCATCTTTGTGCGCCGACCGCCCGCCGAACTTGCTCACCCAGAGCGCAGCAATGCCAGAAAGATAAGGAGTGGCCATACTCGTGCCACTGAGGACGCGGTACTCGTTGGTCGGGTATGTGCTGAGAATCTTGGTTCCAGGACCCGACACATCTGGCTTGAGGGCAAGGTCATATGTGCTACCCCAAGATGAGTACAGGGCAGGACGTCCGCCACCGGCATTTTGGATTCCCACATAGTGAGCGGTGTCGACATCGAAAGACGCGGTGACGTTGCCGCCGGCAATAATCGTGGAGATGATCGCTTCTCCGGCATTTGCTTCGATGGCCCCAGTAAGACCGTTCTTGTTGGAGCTGACTGGGCTCTGATACGGGCCATCGTTGTTGTAGAACAGGATGTATTGTGCCCCGAAAGCGGCAACGTTGTCGTGCTTGGTTGTGGTGGTACAACCACCGAGTCTCACGAGGACTACAGTCTCGTTGAGCGGAGGAGTGTCTCCCGGAAGCGCTTCGCAGGCATCATTCTCAACTGATGCGTTCAGGGTGACGGGCTTGATAGGCCAGTTGGCAATTGTGGCCGGGAAGAATCCTGATCCGGGGACGTAGGCGACCTGAGTCTTGTTCAACTGACCATCGAGGTTGAAGTCGGCAGAGAATGCCTGGGCCGGGAAGACACCGGGGTCGCTGGACGCAACAGTCAAGACATGCTCTCCCGAAGCGCCGTTTGCCATGATGAAGGGGCCGTCTTGTCCGGAGTTGCCGGCGGCAAAGACGACCACGACGCCATTGTCAACAATCCTGGATGCGACGACGGCGAGAGCGTTGTTGGTGAAGCCGCTGCCCTCTCCCACACTGGCGCTGATGATATCCGCCTGTCCAAGTTATCTGAGCAGTCATTCGAGCCAGGTGAGTGTTCGGCGGCTTACCCCGGAGTCGAAGGCTTTGAGAAAGCCCTCGATCACAGTCTCTTCGTTTGAATACCCGGTGGTGCCGAAGACCTTGAAAGAGAGAAGCTTGGCCTTAGGAGCGACACCAACAAACCTTGAATTGTCAGCCCAAGACTCACAACGAAGTATGAAGCGAGAAGTCGTTACTGTTCACTATTTCCGGCAATGATGCCGGCCACATGGGTTCCGTGTCCAACCCTGTCCATGGGATCGTTGTCCGGCTGAGCAGGCGCGTCGGGCCACGCTATCAACTTTAAATCAGAACATTCACACAAAGACGCCGGTTCCGTATGCATCACGTACCATCGCCGACCAGATCATATCCTCCGGCGACCGTGAAGTTGTCGCCGATGCCCCCGCCAAGCTGAAAGCCAAATCAGCCTCATTGATGAAACGCTGAACATGGGATGCCTTACCGCTGGATGAGTGTACTGAACACCGCTGTCGACAATAGCAACAATAGCGCCTTCTCCGAGAATGCCGTCTTCGTGCAACTTTTCGACTCCGGTGAGCCCATGAACCGAGTAGTTCTGCGCGGCAGCGTCGTCGCTGAAGGACTCGCCCTCGACTGTCGGCAGCAGTTGCAAGACCTGAGATTTGTAAACAGAAGCGACAACTGTCTCATCGGCGAAGTTGTCCAAGGATGCTCTGATAGAGTCAACCGTGCATTCGCTATCGCATTCGACCGCCAAGCCCGGAAATATGTCCGAGTCGAATTGCTTCACAACTCGAAGTCCAGGAAACCCGGACGCAGCTTTGGAAGCCACGCGGGAACCGTGGAGTCGCGATTTCAACTCGACGATGTATCTCCTCGGCGTCACATCGCTGGGACCGGCGTCGTTGACCGAGCGAGGCCTGAATTGATGGACTGCCTGGGCTGTGCCGAGAAGCGCCAGGAAACCCGTCGCCGCACGCATGATCGCAGACGGGAATCAGACAAAAACGAGCGTGAATGTGTGCGAATACAGCACCATGAACATCAGGTCATCGGATGCGTGATGTTGCTGTTGAAATAGGCATTTTAGCGCCAAGAATTACACCATGCTGCTCATAACACCTGCCCTATGAGGTGAACCGCGCATCCCGCGATCGGCAGTGGTTTGTTGCTTTTGAACTGGAATAATCCACCGACGTAGCATTGGAGAAGACGCTTCGGGGGTTGTTGACAAGGAAGCAATCTGCAGGAACAGGGGCAATTGATGGCGGTTGTGAGGCTAGCGAGCGGAATACGAACTGTCGACATTGACAGCCAAGCTTGCTAACAAGGGCTGTGGAGCTCTCCGTGAGCGGATGGTACCGTCCCCAATGTGAAATAAGGCTAGAGCAACGTCACAATGCGACGACATTTGACAAGAGATCATGTTGACAGGCGAAGATTCCCTTACTTGGACGTCGCTGAGTACGAGGCAGGGAATCTTATCTGTCACGAACACGAGCTACGATCAACACGCCCGCAGCCGGACATAGACTAGGAGCGTTGACGATGTAGTTGTAGCGGCCACCACTTCTCGACACCTAACAAAGAGCACATCGATGACAATAAGACGACATCGTGTCATCATGTACTATAATTCTCGAAGGGTATTACTTTTTACTCGTCGGATCATCCTCTAGTGGTATCGTCTTCGCCCCCTGATCCAAATCTGTCAACTCAAGCTCGCTTTGGTGGGTAGTATGAGTATCGCTCCTAGACCTTGCTCCGAATGTGTCGTGATTGAGTTGTATGGCGGTTTCTTCGGACAGACCTCGGGTTAGGTTTGGTTTCTGGCCTGTTTCCTTCGACCCGACCGTCGCCGGAACGCCATCGTTTTCAAAGTCCGAGCCAGCTCCTCGTTGGCGGCCGACATCCTTCTTTAATCCCAGGAATCGAGGAAATATTCGTCCAATCAATGGCTTCAGAGTGATGAGGCATGCGCATACGATGGCCGTGTTGAACTCGATGACAGACCACATGGCTATGCCGGCGCTCTCATACGTGGCATCGGGTGAATATTGGGCCGTGATTAATGAAGGGATTCGCAGTATGGAAACAACACATACGCTTATGGCCATCAGTACCGCATGCATCTTGAACGACTTCTACCCAGAGATACTCACAAGAATCCAAGTGCGAATATAAGGTATAAACCGATCTTTTGTTGACGGGTTTGCTTGATCTTTGGGAGGATCGGTAACGGAAGGATGAGTATCATGAAGTCGGTGACGATGTTGAGTGCAGCATTGGCAAACCAGTGTGCGGCTCGGTTCAAGCAGTGGCCAGGGACACTGTGGTATCTCGGTCAGTGGTATTCTTCTTCTGGGAGTGGTGTGTGTCCTGACTGACCTTCGATCCCAGTTCCTCTGAATAGGTACGCAAAACAATATTGATGAGATGACCGTCCATAGTGAGACAACCATAACTATTGAGAGCACTATGTAGCAAGCTTTGCGATAGTTCAAGTCCCGTAAAATGCGCAGGTAGAGCAACAATATCGAAACCTTGGAGAAGGCCAAGCCGGTATTGTAAAATATTATGGTGATATATGACCACTGACGGTGGTATTAGCGAAGCTCATCGTCATTGAACAGAAATGAGAGTGGGCGATAAGGCCAAGATGTCATACCTTGAAGAAGGTCTGTTGCTGATACAAAGTCAATGTATCAAAACGTTCGCCCATTCCTGTGACCGCTTCTATCCTGACAGTCAGATACGTAAGTTGAAGAAAGACCAAGGTCACTTACGAATACACATGCCGATTGTTTCGGCGACTGACCAAAGCTGTGTTACGTTTATTGTCAGTCATATTGAAGTCCCATTCAACCTCATCAAATCCAAGATGTCCGCCACAGTCCACCGAGTCAACCGCCGGACCCTCCAGGGCGATGGGGATGCCAACATACCCAGGCAATAAGAATGCACCAATCCTCCTTTCCCAATAATCTTGACGGAGATAGCCGCGCAAAGAATCTCAAGCCGACTATGAGACCCGACAAACCCGCTGCGATTACCGAGCAAGCGATGACTGACTGGCCTTGAGGCGCCAGGCCGGGCGGACCTCCGTCCTCGATGGCATCAATGGATGCCATTTCGTATTGCGACCGAGCCGGGGCTGTCGCCGAAATTCCTTGTAATCATCGGTCCCTCCGCCTCTTGCAAAATCCTGCGTCCCGAGGTTTCGTTCGCCGCGTCCGAAGACTTGTTCACAGGGAAGTGGAATGCTTCGTCGTTGATATCAGCAGCAAGTAGGCAGAGCGGAAAGTCGGTGGCGGAGAAAGAATCGAACATTCAGTAACGAGCAGTTTGGACTGCATATCAATCCTGCCCTGGGATACTTGCTTGAGCGCAAATAGAGTATTATTAGAGTCAGAGCGGTGCGGCATTACCCAGCCCTTCTACCGGGCGATGTACAAAACAAAAACAATTGTAGGTGCTAAAGCGCCACATCGGACTAAACGTCCGCTGCGTCCACCTCGTCCACTGTCCCAAGGCCCAAAGAGGCCAAGAGCATCGCGGTTATGCGGAACGCGAAACCAGGTTGGTGAGCTGACGAGTTGTTGGCAAAGCTTGGAGTGGGTGTGAGGCAGTGGTAAACTCCGTTTCGTGGGCATAAAGCCGAAGGGATGAATGCCTGTTTTACATCAGGGATGGGCAGCAAACAGGAGTCACGACCATGCAGTTCAAGCGGTTAAGCTTCCCATTTCACGAGGCCTCACGGGCCTTGAGGCACGGACAAAGTCTCCGTCTGGGCGTCTGGCCTTTGCTTTTCCAGAGACGAGGGCGAGCTTGCAGATCATCTGGATTCCTCTGTTTCTTCCGCTAAGTAATTTGCGCTATTGGTCAATGGGTACAAGCGGTTAGACTCCCGCATTGCTTAAGCTTTTGGAAAACAAAACAACGGTCCTTGCTGCCATCCACATCAACATGGATAAGAATTGAGATACCAGCTAGATCCCAGCGTGATTTGCACGTCTTTCGAGCTTGCTACCCCAGAATGAGGGGGTCTCAGATGGCGGGTTGGGTTCGGAGCCGGGGTCAGCGCTGATGTTTCTTGGAATTCGATGGCTGACTTGATGGTGTGTATGCTTTTAGACTTGATTCCTCGCGTGTCGACAACGTCTGGGCAGCATTCGTGGTTTGCGCCCTGACTTGACAAAAGGTTTGACTTCACAGGAGTGATGTCAACGAGCAATGACCATTCGCTCCAATTCCACCGTAGTTTCGACGTGAACTGAGCAGCCAAAGATGGTGTCACGGTCCTGTGGAGGGATGCTCCGGGTGGGATTTTGCTTCGGGGTATCTATACCAAGTGAGGAAGTGGTTAAGTTCTCGACAATGAGTGTGGAGTGACCTGACAGGCAATTTTGTAAAAGAGCGCGATTGTGATATAATCAGTAATCAGTTGAGACAAGCGCATTCTCCTACAGCCTTGGTGTTCTAGCGACACGTTGTTCTAATTATATACGATTCAGTTGATCGGACTTATCCTACTGTAGTTAGTTGGGAAATAAAGATCTAGTGGCTTGTACTGCCAGTTGACCCAAGAAAATGGTAGGACAGGAGATCTTTCGCTAAGCACATTGTACACCTGTTTCCTGTCCAACGGCACAATTCCAACACCTCATAGAATGGACTGTTTTCGTTGTTCAAATGGTGCAAGGTATGAAAAGTCTAGTTTAGAATCAGACAGTTATATGTACAGTTCTATTTACAAGCCATTCCAGGTCTTCTCCGCTGTGACTGAAATGTCACTTTGGCGGTCTCCAACCCGAACGCCGTACTGTCCCTTCTCCAGCTTCCATGCCTTTTGCGCTTCGTCCCAATAACTACAAGCCACTTGGAGATCGACCTCCAATGTGGCCAATGTGGACTCTCCCGGTTGCAGGTCAATCTTGGTGAAAGCCTTCAGCTCACGTTCAGGTCTCCAAACCGAAGTCTCCTTTGGTGGAGTGACAAAGAGCTGCACAACCTCCTTTCCAGCGCGAGATCCCGTGTTCGTAATCTTGACGGAGCACTTCAGCTTGGCAACACCAGACGCCTCATCTACAGTCGCCACCAAGTCCGAGTACGCGAAGGTTGTGTACGACAAGCCATACCCGAAAGCCCATCTCGAGCGCTTCGCCGCCTCGGCGTGCCGGTACCCGACGCCGAGCCCCTCCGCGTAACGGAACGCTATGCTACCATCTTCACCCTTGGTAGCCGGGAAGTCGCCGAAGCTGGGGGCATCTTCCAGTTTCCTGAACCAGGTCGTTGCGAGACGTCCGCTGGGGTTCGTCTTTCCCGTCAGAATATCCGCCGTGGCCTGCGCGCCCTCTTGGCCGGGGAAGTGGGCGTTCAAGATGGCATCGACGTCGTCCACCACGGCACTGACATCGATAGGGTTGCCGCAGTGCAGAACAAGTACGGTCTTCTTGGATGCGGCGGCAACGGCCTTGATCAGAGTCGCTTGGTTTTCCGGCATGCGGATGTCTTCGAGGTCATAGCCCTCGGACTCGTATTGCTCATTTCGACCGGCGTAGATGACGCTGACATCGGAGCTCCGCGCAAGCTCGACTGCCTCGGCGATGCCAGCTTCTTCGGAATGGTACTCCTCGAAGCAGAGCGATGCGGCATAGGGGGTCGGCTCGCCCTTCACCAGATGATCCCAAGACTTCATGCTCAGCTTGATGTCGTAGGCCTGGCCTGCGTTCAAGGAAACTTGGACGCGGGTCTCGAGCTTGATGTGGTTGAAGATGAACTGCTCCGTGGCAATCTCTCTCTGCGGCCCTGACAACACCTCCTTCCCGTCAATAGTGAGAGTGTACTCTCCGGTCGTTCGGACGGCAAGCGTGTGCTCTCCAGTGCTCTCGGGGGTCAACTTGGTCGTGATCTCGAAATGGGAACCGGGAACCTTGAGGCCGGCCTTGAACTCGCCCAGCATCCAGACTTCGGCCTTCTCCTGGAACTCCGTCAAGACCGGCTCGGCTGAGTCGTCGTTGAAGTACTTGACATCAACACCGTGGCGCCCGTCGTGCGCCGTGAGCTTGGATGCCGGGGCCACAGGAATGACCCGTCGTGTGCGAACTCCGGCGGCGTACCTGACACTCTCGTCCCCAGGGAAGGCCTTCTTCAGAACCTCGAGAGGAGAGTGCCTGTACTGAGGCGTACACGAAGCGCTTCCGCCACCAGTGACAACGGGCGATCCGGCGTACTCCCCAATCAGAGCCACCTTCGTGGTCTTCGAAGGGTCCAACGGGAGTGCTTCCTTTTCGTTCTTCAACAGCACGATGCCGCTTGATGCCAGCTCCCGCGATATCGCGTTTGTCTCCTCGGTGATCTCAGATCTCTCCGGTCTCTCGCCATGACATTTCCTTGTGCGGTTTCGGAGCTCCAGCATCTTCAGCGCCCTGGCATCAATCTCTGCTTCGGTCACCTTGCCTGACTTGACAGCCTCAACTAGCCTTCCGCCTCTGAACACGGGAAATGGCATTTCAAGGTCCAGACCGGCCTTTATCGGGGCGACGGTGTCGTGGACGGCGAACCAATCGCTCATGACGATGCCATCGAATCCCCATTCCTTTCGCAAAACTCCTTCGGTAAGCGGGCCGTGTTCGCTGCAGAAAGTGCCGTCGACTTTGTTGTAGCTGCAATAATCTCTACGTTAGCTATGCGTATGTATAGCGGAAGAGAAGAGGACGTACGCAGTCATGACACCAGTGGGGTTAGAAGTACGCAACAGATGCTGCCATGCCGCGAGATAGACCTCCCGCAATGCCCTGCTATCGGGCGACTGCTTGACATCGTAGAAGTGTCTCAGAGTCTCCGAGTCATTGCAGACGAAGTGCTTGGGGCATGCGCCAACGCCGCTCTTCTGAATACCGTTGACAATTGCACCCGCCAGCTGACCGGAGAGCAAGGGGTCCTCGCTCATGCACTCGAAGTTGCGTCCAGCGCGGGGATCGCGATGAATGTTGATCGTCGGACCGAGAACGACTTGCGCACTCTTCAGACGGGCCTGGTTGGCGAGCTCCTCGCCCAACCGTCCAAGGAGCTCGGCGTCCCATGTTGAAGCAAGGCAAGCAGTGTTGGGGAAGCAGGCTGTCGTGAGGTCGGCGGTGATGCCCGAGGGGCGCACTCCGGCGATAGAATCTGCAACCTGGAAGTGAATTGATCGTTAGAAATCCACCTTTTCCACGCCAAGATGCGTCACTGAGATGTGCTCACTCTGATAGGTGGGATGTTGAGGCGAGCGACGCCCGCCGCTGTAGAGAAGTCTCGGCCGGAGAGCAAAGCAATCTTCTCTTCGAGGGTCAATTCGGAGAGCAGAGAGGTGAAGTCTCTGTCATCGATCTGGGAGCCCATGGTGACGTTTGTTATAGAATTCGAATCTTGCTGGCCAATTACGTAGGTATTTTGATGACCAATTGTCGAGATGAGATCGTGAGAGTTCTTGTGCAAAGTCTAGTCCCCTTAAGTCGGACGGTGTCTTGGTCTTTAAGATGAATGAGCTGAATCTGAAATTCATTCAATTGTTTGTTTTCTTTCTCCAAAAAATATCGTAATGTCGGAGCTGCCGCAGCTAGCTTCTCCATGTGACGATGATGCACTTGTCGGCCAAAGACCACCGATCTCTCCGACTTCCGACCCCGGAACTCCCCCGCTTGAAATCCAGGGCCCTTCCCCCACATCCCATCCCCGCTCCCTTCGGCTTTTCCGCCGGTTCGTGTGCATTTTTGGAGCAAAACTCGGGTCTTCAGTGTGGTAGGAATCTCCGAACGGTCTGTTTACTATTTAAGAGCGAAGACGCGTCCTTTTATTCCTCGGAGCCGGCAGTTGGTTTGTCGATATCGGCATTTGCAAATACGTGATCCTGAGAGCCTCTACAAAAGTCCCAGTTGAGGCGGTGCTGCGACAGTTGAATCAAGGATTTTACTGCATATGCATTCAGAAGCACTCTATTTGGTCATGCGAATTCTCTGTTTTTGAGTCTTGTGCTCATACTATTATGGTCAAACCGAGTATCTACATTGGCCTTTGGTCGTCGAGGGCCATGAAGAGCGAATTCGTCCCCTCAAAGTCCGCAAACTGCATCGCGAACCCAAAATCCATCTCATTGTCCAAAATATTCAAGGGTCCCCAGTAATGGTTCAGTTGTAGCATCGCATCTGCCGGTGGCATCGCTGGTATCATTGGCGCTGAAGGTGTTGAAGCTGAAAACTTCTTCTCGGCCTTTTCAATGGCTTTGTGAAGAAGCTTAGCTGACCTTAGAGCCACTACGCATTCGTCCATGGTCTCAAGAATCTCAATTGCCATGCTCACAAGCTTCAAAAGAGGCTGCACTTCTGGTTCTGTAGCCTCTTGTGTGACATAAACAAGAATCATGGATGCTGCGAATACAGTGTATGTGGTGTTGTAAAACCTGTGGCTGTTAGTCGAGGCCTTGACGAGACTATGATGCGGCCAAGACATACCATGTGCGGAAGAAATCGTGATGTTGATACGTCTGGTAAATGATTTCGATCGTTTGTTTCGCTGACTCAAGACAAGTTTGAATGCCCTCATGTGAGCCTGGAATTGATGCACGCTCTGTCGATGACGACGTTAAGAGGATTGAGCCAAAGAGGAGAACCTTCAAGTTGAGGTAGCCTAGCAATCCATTTAGTACTCTTCAAACTCTCATCTCAGTCTCATGCTAAAACGTACGCATAGTAAGGACAAGCCTTTGCCTCTTCATCCACTGCGCCTCCTTCGCACTCTTTAGTGAACGAGGCTGGACTGAGCCTGTTGGCCGAATGGGTTCCGGTAAGGACTCGGCCCATTTCTGCAAGTCTTGGTCGATCTGGTGTGCCAGAGTCACAGTCCTGGGTACTGTTATTTCTGGCAAGTAAATACCCAGGCATATACTCCGAATAACTTTCGAGTAGTCGACCATTGACTTGATGATGGCGCATGAAGGAGGGTCGGTGAGGTCGGAACTAGAGGAGTACTCGTTGTCTGTTTCACCAATGATTGGGAACTGTCGGTTGTGATATAAATCTGCGCCCAGCGTGTCGGGTCGGCCCATTGAAAATGACATTTCTCTAGGTTTGAGGTCAGTTGCTTGAAGAAGGAAGTTGGGAACAAGTGACGCAAGTCGCTCACGTTTCTAATGAGTATAGACCCCTGAAAATATTGTTAGCCAGCTTCTCTGATTTGACGACGAAGGCCATCTTACCACCACGTCCTTGTTTCGGCTCTGAGCTCTGCTGGGTCTTTCTTGGAGCCTGTGCCAGGTTCTCGGTTGATGCCCATCGCGAGTGCTGTCCTCACAGCAAGTCCCACGTACATGTACGACCCTGGAAGACAGCGGTCAGCTCAGCTCCGAAGTTCGATCAAATACGAGATGAACTTACAATGTGCATTCAACTCATTCTGACAGACCTTGGCCTGAGAAAGAATTAGCCTTGATTCAGAGCTGGCCGCACGATGTAAGACTCACCAAGAAGAAATAGCACTGGACCATTTCCAGATCCGTTACCATTCCGAGTTGATCACAGCGCCTCTTCGCCTCGTCGAAGAATTTCCTGCTCCATTGCAAGTTCTCAACTCCGTCGATAGGCTCATCTTCTCTCACACCAATAAGCGCACCTAATGACAGAATGCTGTAGTACAAAGCGATGAAACTCGAAGGCGTTCGTGCAACTTCTTGATTGGACCAAAGAGTTTCGCAGCGGTCGAAGAAGATCTTCTTGTCGAGAATAGGATGGACGTAGTGAATGCTAGAAAAGAAGCTCTGCAAGAAGCATCGACATTGTGGGTAATGAGTTACTGGCCGCGCAGATGACCTTTCTTCTCCTTGATGCACTGGCCCCTGCGGTTGATCGGCGGCAGGAGACGAGAAGGCTGGGTTGTGCAGGTTCGAGAGTAATGTGCCGGCATCAGAGTCAAGGTCGTTGGCTACGACAGGCTCTTCGCCGGTTCGTTGTACGTGTGATAGGAGAGCAACTGATGATGAGCTGCCGTAGAATTCCACGTTCCGAGTGTGCCGGTTGACGCCGGAAACTTCCTGGCCCGCAGCATTCCTCGACCGGGCGTTTGAAGGAGAGCCGACGGTTGTGCTCCTTGAAGGCCGGCGTTGAAGATTACACTCTGCTGGTGAGAATCCATCGGCAATCTCGGGGATGGTCGCTGACACCGAGGTATTGTCGTCTGTTGATGGTGCTTTCTGGGACTCTGCCAGAGCTGAGAGGCTCTTAACCTGTTCCTCAAGCTGTCTCACATATCTAGTAAGTGTCAGTTGAGTCACGATTGAACCTTGTTTAGAGCTCGAGTCAAACCATACTCGGGAGTGTAATGCCTCCTGGACATGTCTTGGCCCTTGTAGACGCATGTTGCTCCGCGATCTGAATTTTCATCATTAGTCGCCACATCAAAAGTTTTGAGGCATTTTAATCCCGCAAAAACGCACTTTTGCAGTAAGTGCATGGATAAAGCTCATCGCACTTGTTCTTTTTGGCTCTACAAAGATCGCATGCTCGAGCAGCCCGGGGTCGGCGGACCTTGATGCCGGAGTTTTGCGTCGTGCGTTGGGCGTCTGCAGAATCCATCGCTTAAGCGTAGTGAACCGCGCGCCTAGGGCTCATAGGGGTCTGAGAAGTCAAAATTGCCGCTGTCGGAATGGAAATCGTATGTTCGATGACTTCAGAATCGGAAGACCCGTCGCTTGTGCGGTGAATAACCACCGTTCGTGAAAGGGGGGACGGGGGAGGATTGTATGCAGAGGTAAAAGCTGTCGTCAATGGCCGCGCATCCGAAACGCAGCGGTGCCGCAGGAAGCCGCAGAAACGGTGGGAACACCGCAACAGAGATCGACCTCCACTTCCCCGCACAATGGCACAGAGGACGGCAAGATGATGCGGGGACGGCTGAGCTGTGGGGGAGATCGAGACATGGAAGTCTTCAGCGAAATTGCATTTGTCTTTATTGGTAAGCTTGGTCATCCATGGCTGGGGTTGTCTGGCTGTGAAGCGGATGACATGGGCTTCTGGTCGGGGAGTCTTGTTGTAATGCTCAGCTGATTTCATCATCAATATTGTCCAGTTATGCAGACATTGGCGAGCTGAGTCGTGAAAGCAAAAAGGGGCTTCTCCCCGATGTCGTGTTCCGGGAGGAACCATATCACAACACAATATAGACAACGGGAATGTCATCTATTCGTACATGGCCTTCGTCCCCTTTTCAAATCAGATGAAAAGATCTTCATTTTTCAAGTTCAATGCCGACCAGAATGTGACCCTGAAGCACATCGTTCACTCCGTGAACGCTCTGAACCGCTTACTAACACTGCGATTCGGAGTCATGTCAACTCCACTTGTAGCCGGGAATTCCGGTTTGTTTACGTCGGGTTCTCCGCCACCGTTGCAGCGAGAGAAAAGGCCCGAAAACACCGTCTCCATTGTCACAAAATGGCGGATCAAGGCAACATGCAGATGCAATCACAATGGAGAAAGATATCGCAACTGCAGCGAGACCCGCAAAAAGAGTTTCCAGCTCTACAGAAAGCAGTTTCGTAGCTAAAATAAACAAAACAACTCAAAACTCAAAACAGGACCCCCTGTTTCCCGCCTCACTTGGTATCCACCGGCCCCTCGTTGAGTTGGTACTTCTCGAAATTCCTTGCCGAAATGCGCATCTCGAACATCTGGTCCAGCTCCTCAAACGTCCGGCCCTTGGTGCCTGGAACATCGAAGTAGATGACCAAGAACATCAGGATGCCCATGATGAAGAAAATCCACCCAATGTGCCCACCCATGTTGAGCTGATCGGTGTTGAAGAGATACGGCAGGATGATGGTCCAGATGGTGCTGACGAAGGAAGAGAAAGCCACACCAATACCAAGTGACTTGGCACGGAGCTTAGAGGCAGAGACTTCACCAGCGACTGCCATGGAGGCACCGACCGCAGGACCGTAGGAGATAGACGTGAAAATCAACGCCACGCCGATTGTCAGAAGCGACGCGTTGGTCTTGGGGAACGAGGCAGCCACGCCCATTGCGAGATACAAGGAGACGCACACGCCGATACCGAAGAACATGAGGGGGCGGTGGCGGAACCTCATCATCAAGAAGGCGTTGAAGATGGCAGAGACAAGTCCAACAGCAATACCGACTTGAACCAGCATGAGGACCGTGTGACTGTCAAGGCCAGTCTGGTTGAGGAAGTAAGGGGCGTTTGATGAGAGAACAGCGCCAGTAACTTGCGGGATGTAGAAGCAGGCGAGGATGATGCGAGTACGACGCAAGTTGGTGCCCTTGAAGCATTCGAGGAAAGAGGCGCCCTCGGCGGCAAGACGACGCTCCGCCTCGACGTTCTCGATAATCTGGCTCAGACGAGCATCGATATCCTCCTTGGGACCAGAAAGCTTTTCCAGCGATCGACGAGCCTTATCGTGCTTGTTCTTAAGGACCAGCCAAGTCGGCGATTCGGGGAGGAAGGGAAGGCCAATAGCAAGGACAGCAGGGAATGCCCACGCCGAGGCGAAGACAACGCGGAATGCAGACTTGTCCATGATCGCGGTTCGAGAGAAACTAGACGCAATGGCGATGAGGAAGCCAAGGTTCTGTTCTACATGTCAGAAAACTGTCCCAGATTATATGCGGGAGAAAGTTGACTTACCAGCATGATGGTGTTCACCGAAAGCGCGATACCTCTGATCGGAAGAGGTGCGATTTCCGAGACATAAGTCTGAGTTGTTGTCGTAAACAGGCCGACGGAGAAACCAGTCACGATCTTTCCGCCCAGGAATTGTGAGGGCGTCTCTGACACAAAGCTGATGGCAATGCCGCATGAAGCAACAACAATAGCCATGGCGACAACTGCACGACGGCCGAACCAGTCTTGAACGTATCCAGCAGTGAACGAGCCGAAGAACATCATAGTGTTGTACATGGCATTCCATGCCGATTGCCAGTAGGCCGGGATAATGAGTTGTCCATTGACTTCAGACGCGAAGGTCATCCTGAAAACACCGGCCAGTCAGAAAAGCTCATTGATCCTAACTCGTGTTTTGTTCTTGTCTACTTACTGGAAAGCCGGCATTGCCAAGCATACTGACAAGGCGAGGTTTTCATAACCAACCAGAGTTGATCCAACTGAGTTGACTTTGTTAGAGTTTCTGTCCACAACTTTCGGATGAACCACTTACTGTTGGCGTACAGAGTCCAAAGAGCAATCTTTGGGTTCTGACGCAGACATTCCATCGGACTCATCTGGTGGTCTGCCTCCCGCAAAGCCTCTTCCTTGTGTATAACGTCGGCCTTGTCGGCCAACATATCTCTGTGAACCTCCTCGCGAGGTGAGTCCATCGTAGGAGTCGTTCGCCTAGTCGGCGGTGCGACCGCGAAGTGTTGTCGTCGGCGGAGTGGTAACGCCGATCCTGGTTGGTTCAACTGTGCTTACGATCCTGCGCAATGCACAAAGGGTTCGACGTGTCAGGGATGCTGTTGAGATCTGTGGTTCAGACGGAGCGTCGGCGAGTGGACTTTCCGATGAGATTTTGACAGATTGAGATATCAGTCGATGTCGGGGCGTTGATGAGCTGATTGCCACGGAGGGTTATATCAAAGTTCACCGACTCGACAAGCAGGTTCCTGCGACACTTGCCGGGATCGATCCGGCGTTGCCCCCGGAAGTCCCGACTGCACCCCAGACTGTTCTCCAACACTTAGGTTGCTTAGGGCGGCGGGGACCCCGGATGCTACTAACTGCATTCTGCTTCGGCAATTCAATTGGAGCAAGGCTTGATTCTGTCACGTCTGACACGTAAGTGTGCAGGTGATCGCACATTTCCACAAGTTCGAAAATTGGGGATTCTTGCTGCGTGTTTGGGCATCATCAGCCACCCGCTGCCTATTACACCGAGAGTCAACAGAACGGATCATCCGAACACGAAGTCATGTTTTGTAAGTCATTGCTGACAATGCAAAGGGAATTGAGTTCAATGTCTGTTGACATGACAGCGGCCAATCGCGACACAAGACGAACCGTTCCGAAAATGGTGTTGCGCGATTGGATGTCTCCAACTCCAAGTTGACTGTTGCGATGTCTCACTGCTTCCGTTGCGCCGACCGGGTCACTACCATGGAAATCACACGCATAATGCAGCTGACATGTCTTTGATTCTAGTAAGTATGAAGTTCAATGCGTGTATCTCATTTGATCAAACTCTCCAAGAAATCAAATCCCTCCCGCTGGAGATTCCACGTCTGCGACCCGACCTTCATCTTTGCAGCAAACGTATGCTCTTCTCCCGGAATTTCCCTCAACTCAGACTTGACCCCTTTCTCTTTCAAAACTTTCAGCAAGTCCCTGCTCAAATCAATGGAGACCATGGTGTCCGCTTGGCCGTGCACGATGAATGTCGGCGGAAAGGAAGAGCTGATGTTTCTAATGGGGTCAACCTCGTCCCAGTTTTGTGATGGAACAATCGTGTTCATGACGTTGCCGTTGGCAATTTGCGTCATGGCAAACGCCTGTCTCGGGTCGTCGAAGTTCGGAGGACCCGGAGCCTGGCCTTCGAGTGATACGCCTCCCTCAATTGGCACTGGGTCCTCATCGAATACTTTGTTCAGAAACTCTTCAGAGAGACCTGGCGGAAGTCGAGCCGCAACATGCGGTAACTTCTGCGTCCAAAAAGGGGCAGTGAAGTTGCTAGGACCATACATGTCGTAGATTCCTGCAACAGGACGGGGGACGCCAAACCCCTGATATGGTCGTTGTCAGTATCGCTCAGGACATGCCGATATAGACCAGGTATTTACACCAGATGAACTTACCAGAGCTAGAGACAAAGTACCTCCAGATGATGTACCAAATGCAAACACATGGTCAGTATCAACCGCATAATACTCCTTGGCTTGAGCATCAATGGCCTTTTGGAGACCACCGTCGTACACCCAGCCGAGAAGGTCACGGCAGTCCTTCATCGGACCATCAAGAAGAGTCACCTGAGGGCAGAGGCGATGGTTCGGGGCCAGGACAATCCATCCTCTGCCGAGACAATCATCTATTTGGTCTCTGTTGACCATCTTCGATGAGCCGAGCATGAAGGCACCTCCATGAATATTGATGACTATTGCACGGGTCCACCATTAGTCCAGAGGTTACAAAAGGGGTATCACGGATGATATCTACCAACCGGATGAGGTGCCTTAGACTCCGCTGGCGGAGGCAGGTAGACATCCACATCGATTTCTTGTTGACCTATGGTCTTGTAGACTGCTCGAAAAGGGGCTTCCCTCGTCATGTTGGTTGAGTGATGGCCTTGATCGGGGAACTTTCTGCAAAGAGAAACGTCGGATGCAATTCAATATGAAAGTCCGGGGTAATATTGAGGCGGGAACAACCTAGATAGTTGAACAAGAGTTCGTGATGCGTCTCGCGAGAATGCACTCCGAGCCGGCGTTCCGGCATGTGGAGTTGTGGCAAGCCAGCTCGAAACGGCGGAACTCCCGCGGGATTTCCGAAGAAATCCGGAACACCCGGGCCCCGCAGAGACCGCACTGATATCCCGACGTTAGAGGACAGCAAAGCCATGTGGTCCCGGTGGGCAGTGCTAAATAATTCGGATCTAGTGCCGTTGGGGGACGCGGGGAAATCGATCTCTAAAAAAGGCTGGAGAAGCACTCGACAAGAGCTCTTCGTGACCAGATCCAACCCCTCCAACCCCTCATCCCCTAACCCCAACTTCAGTAACACGTGCAAGTCAACCTCCGGTTCATTGCACTCCACTCGTACTTCTCTCGCAAACAAGTATTCTTACCTGATTATTGGATTTTGTTGCCCACCATGAGCATTCCGGTCCACTCGACTCCTCCTGATGCCAGGACAACCTACATCATCGACCAGCTCGAGGGTGAGCGCGTCACGATCCCTGGTAGCAAGGGTGTGTTCAGAATTCTTGCTTCCTCAAAACAGACAAATGGTGGCATTGCTGTCTTCTCCAGCGGCGCGACCTTGTCTGATGCGCCTGGATTCCACTGGCACGCAGAAGCCCATGACGTGTTCCTCGTGACCAAGGGTTTCTTGAAGCTCTGGAACGGCGACAAGTGCAGAGTCATGGGCCCGGGTGACTTCGCCTATGTTCCTCCTGTGAGTCTCCCTGGTTTCTTGTCAGAGGCCCGTCAAGTACTAATTCCCATCAGAAAGTTATTCACAACCCCGAGCTTTTGGGCCCCCATACTGAGACCCTGGGCTTGGTCGCCCCCGGTGACTGGGTTGACTTTTTCCGCTATGTTGGAGAGACCTACAAGGGTGTCATTGTGCCAGAAAACGATAACCGAGACCTTAAGAGCCTGTTGATTCCCAAGGTCATGGCAGCAAAGGACAGGTTTGACGTAAACTTCGAGCGCAACTACACCCCTCCTGAGGTGGCAGATTGGCAAGACTCCGAGAACGTCCTGCCTGGACCTTTGGAACCATACTTCCTTCGCTCCAACACTGGTCCGAGATATATCCTGGGTGGTGTCATCTCGCGTCCGTTCATCAACGCGTCGCAGTGCAGCGGCAAGTTCTCAATCACGAGTCTTGAATCGTCAAAGCTCTACGGGAACTCACCTCTGGCGAGGTGGATTACGTTCCCGACGGTGGATCACTGCTTCTGTGTCCAAGAGGGTGTCTTGAAGATCAAGCTGAAGGAGTCAGGCACATGGACTGAGGTCCGGGAAGGCCAGACGCTCCTGGTTGCTGCAGGACAGGCGTTCACTTTGGAGTTTGGCACCCGTTTTGTGAGGGCTATTACTTTCACAAACGGCCCTGGTATTGAGAACCTGATCGAAAACGCCGGCGAGGCGTTTACTAGTTTCGTTTTGCCGGAAGAGAGTGTTGAGTGGAAGGAGGAGCGCATTCAAGAGGCAGCTAAGGCTTTGGGTGTCGTGGTTGAGGCATTGTAATATCTTTGGACATAATCAAACAGCCAGAAAAGAAAAAAAACATTTGACCCGTGCCTCGATGATTCTCAACTTCTAAGGATAGCATATTCTCAAAGATTCCTGCTGATCATTGAGTTAAGCCTTGGCGTATGATGACATCTGATCAAGCTGTCTAGAGACGCCACCACCCCCAATTCCAATCGAGTTGAACGCGTGTAGTTGAACGATGCAGGACTTTGTTCTAAAACCAGAGGTCTTCAGACACGAGCCGCGGATGCATGCCAGCATTTCACATAAACTCGTGTCTCCACATGTTTGCGGAGGTTTCAGCTCCGCAAGATAACGTTGGCCCGTTTGACTCACGGACCGGGGCTGGGAACAGGCTCCGGGTCTCCCCCGGTGGAAATCTCCGCCATTGGGATGCAGCATGGTCGCCAGTCTTTCCACACTGGTTGACCGGCGCTCACCTTTAGTCCTGCTGTCTGCTCCCCAGGGGTGCGATGGCACATATCTACATGAATGCGAAGCAAGGATTTCAATAGTATCAAGATTGCCTATGTCATGCTTCTACAAGATGGCCAAAAGCCCCGTCCCTGAGTGACAACCGACGTACTCAAACTGTTGTTGCTCCGGTTTCAACACCAAAACTTCGTGAAACAAGCGGAGAGAGACGTTGTTGTCGAGCTTCTTCGCATATTGCAAAAAACCTCCGAAGATCTCCAAATGCGTCGAGTGTTCCTTCGCCCATCCCTCAAGTGATGCAAGGTCGTCGAAGAACGCCAGTCCAAACGTGCGGTCCTTGTCCGCTTTACCCGTCACCGGATCGACAAGGTCCATGAATCGACAGCTGTGACAGCCAACTTCGGCACCTTGATCTCGGAGGAAGTTCATGCCCTTGATGAGAACCGGGTGCATCGTCGAGAGGTATAGCTCACGCTCCTCGGGTAACGTGGCAGACCAGTCCTGGCCGGATCGGATGACGGCGAGGTTCTTCTTGCCAGAGACTTGGACTCTTCGAGGCTTCGGTACACCGTTTCCATTGGTATGTCCGTTGGTTGCGGCTCGTTCGACCTTCTCTCCCACGAGCTCGTCGTTTTGAGCCGCTGCCATTCTGTCGCGCATGCTGCCCCAGTACACATGCTCCTGGATAGGGCCAATAACGCACTCTCTCATATGAGCTGCGCCTTCGGGAATCTCGTTGTTGGAGAACACGGTCTCGAAACGGTCTGCAGTCGGGAAGAAAATTTCGAGGAACCAGCCGTGGCGCTCGGCCTGGGGGTCAAGTTGTTTCCACCATGTCTCGAAGCCAGATGCGACAGACCACTTCTCGTAGGCTGTCTTACTGGGCCAGTATGCAAGGTGAGCGATGTTGTAGTATCCGTGGTTGTCGGTGACGGCCGCCCATTCCGCGAACTGGGGACGGGACTCGGCCTCAACGGCCTTGGAGTTGGTGAACTGTGTCAACCGAGCGACTGCATCGCCATCAGCCTTGGCCTCAGAAGCATACTGGGCTCCAATAACGGCAAAGACGAGGTCTTTTGTTTCCTTGGGAAAGCCAGCACTATACGCTGGGAACGGTGGTTGAAAGTTGGGAGGTGTCTTGGCGGGGAGCCGGCGAGGGCACTGAAGGTGTTCTGGGATGGCGGAGACGAGCATCTTGTAATACGCGATACGGGATTGGCGGAGGTGAATTGACGATTCGTGCTGGATCAGAAAGGGGCTCGGGGGCCTATGCTTTTAAGCTACATGGAGATACAAGGACCAGCTGATAACCAGAGAACCAGGTCCCTCGTTTTCTCTGATTGAGAACCCATGGGCCAACATGGCAAGTAAACCCGCTAGTTTCTCTTTGTCTGCATGTGCAAGGATCTTGAGGAATGCGCAAACCACACTGTTTGGACATGGGATTAACCGCGGTTGAGCAACCCCTTGCTTGTATGATGAAGGCTGATGTGGCCAAAATGGGCTTTACTTTCTGTCTTGGTGTGGTTTGAACAGGTCGCTACGTCCAGAAACGATACGAAAGTGCTCAAGTGTAATTTGTTATCTCCGAGAGAATGCCTCTCATGATATGAGCTGACGAAGTCCGATGATAATACACCTCACGGTCAACTTTAGCGCCAAGTTTGATAACACCGCACCCAACTTCAGATAGCATTGCGGCATGACATATCCGCACCGGGAAGTCAAAACAGATCTTCTTCAACAGATGACAGACGCATGAACCGCGGTCTATTCGTCATGTCTTGGGCAGCATCCCAGAGGGGTCTCCGCAGGGATGTGAGACCGGTGCTCTTCCGACTAATGTTCCACCACGGACACCACACCCCACAACGCGGTGGGCAGAAGGACGACCTTCCTAGGCTAAACAGCCTCAGAATTCGGTACACACATGCTGATCTATATTGCAACGAAGACACTAGCACCTTGGAAGTCCCCTTTTACGATTCAGGCACAGACGAAAGATTGGTATTCCTCCTTGAAAGCGGGTTTCCGGAATGCAACTTCGGGCGTCAAATGGCACCACATCTAGTCAATCTGTTCCCCTTGCTGAAGAGAATTTCTGAATTCGGCAGAGTCTGCGGGCAAGGCTGCAAGGGCCATGACTTAATGAAGACCGAGAGAAATTTTGTATAATTCATGCTCAGGCCCCAATAAGCTTTGCTGTGAAAAAGAGAGGCCGGCCACATCAGATCAAAGAGGGGGCAAACTTGCGGACGAGAAACCACCGCAACTGCATACCCTATCAACACCCCACCACCACCATTCCACAATGGCGACACCGTTCCAGGTCGAGGCTTGGAGTGAGTATGCCGTTGGTTTGCTCGTGCTCCTTATCCGCATCGTTTACCGCTCGACAATTGTCGGGACCAACTGGGAGGGAGATGACTATTTCGCATTGATTGCGGTGTTCTTCTGGACGGTATGCGGAGGTTTCTGGGCCGCACGCACGGTCTTGGTGAAGGTGATGGGCTGACACTCTGCTTTAGGGAGAACTGGTGATGTTAGAGTTGATCGGTAAGACCTCCTTGCATCTACTCTGTGCCAATATTCCTAGTCCAAAGTCTAACTTGACCGTTCCTTAGGGCAATATGGAAGCATTACTGGAATGAACGATGAGCTCGCCTTGACGCTCTCCGATAAGCAAGTCGACAGAATCGTCATCGGCTCAAAATGTCTGCTCGCGGGATGGATTCTATACGTGACGCTCATTTGGTGCTTGAAAGCATGCATGCTCTTCTTATACCGAAGACTCACGTAAGACTCCAGTCTTTGCTTTCTTTCACGAATCGAGTTTGCTAACCGCGGAACTTTGTCTGATGTAGGCTCAACTTGCAACAGCAAAAGATGGTTCTAATCACTGCTTACACCTGTGTTGTCCTATATCTTGTCACTATCATCGTGATCTTGACACGGTGCATGCCGTTCCATGCGAACTGGCAGGTGTACCCTTACCCAGGTGGTGCGTTCGGACCCTATCGCTGATGGCTTCGTGTTTGCTCGTATCACTGACTTGACTGTCCAGATGCCTGCGCTCTGAATATTCCCAACTACATTGCGCTCGCAATTACCAACGTCACGTACGTTATTTCGCTCTCTTTACAACATGAAGTCTCAAAAGCTAATTCATTGCTGAAGCACGGACATGATGATTCTCTACATTCCACTGCCTCTCTTATGGTCTGTTCAGATGCCATTGGCTCGGTAAGTTGCTTCCTTCATGCAATCATCTCGTATGGACTAACACGTTTCCAGCAAAATTATCTGCTCTCTATGGCTCTGCACAGGTGTTTTCATCATCATTGCTACACTGCTCCGATGCATTCTTTGCCTGCAAGATGCGGAATCCATCAACCTGGGAACTATCTGGTCAATCAGAGAAACAGTACGTGTGGCCCAACCCACCTCACGCAATCCCCCCAGCCCCCTTTTCACACATCCCAGCAAACCCTGTCTTGTGCTCTCCTCAGCTAACCCGTTTTTCTTCCCACCCTGGCAGTTCGTGGGTATCCTAGCCGTCAATGCCCCGGTCTTAGGGCCTTGGATCGCCAAAAACGCTTCGGCTGTGCGTTCCCGCACGTCCAAGAACCGTTCCAAGACGGGCGGCCAAGAGTCTGCCAGTCACATCGTCACGATTGGCGCAAAAGAGAGCACCCACCGTCTCGACCGTCTGACAAAAGACGGCCGCAGGGGTTTGGGATGGACTGAGATTGACAACGACAGCGAAGAACGCATCATGAAGACACAGAACGATGTTGCTGTCTCGGCCAAGCGTTCGGACGAGGAGCTTGGCCGCGACATTGATCCCAACGGTATCCATGTGAAGACCACATTCCAGGTCTCCGGATGATACCATTGCGGTCACGCGCCATAACAAAAGACAACTCGCGTTGGAACACGATGTAACCTGTGTAATGTAAAATAGACAATTGGACGCTCATAGAAGTCGGTTTGACGGGTCTACCATTAAAACCTTGGCAAAACAGAATGCCAATATGCTGTTTGGCTCATAATGCTAGTTAATTCATATCAAGTTTTTTAACGTACCAACGGTGCTTTAGTTGCCCCGAGTTTGAAGGATTCGGCCAGGTGATTCTCTTGGTAGTGATTATCTTACGGAAATTCATTCATGTAATTCCCGCATGACCTAAAGTGTCTCACGAGTCAAGTCAAGCACGTGTGTTTTGATTCAGTCGAACTGCGAACTTCACTGTTGGCAAATCGTTCGGGTGTCACGATGCCCTGGTCGATAACGGAAGTTAAGAGACAGGGAACATAGTGAAACTATGCATGTCACTATCTAGATGTCCCATGTGAGAATCGATTCGTTAAGAAAGAAGCAGTCTGATCAACCCTGAAAGAGAGCTGATAGGACTAGGTACGACGAGGTCGGCAGATGTGTGATATCCACCGCGTGGGACTGCGGAGGGTTCCACTCCGCAGGTCCGCAGCGTCCATGATTGGCCAGCGCACAACGACATTTCCTCTTGACTCCTTGTAGGATCACATCGTCGACTTCAGTTGGATTTCGGGCTTTAGTTTGGGCATCAGGGTCACCGTCTGCGAGTAATTGCCCTTGTCAATGCTTCCCTAAGAGCTCGGCTTCGGGTGATATGTCGCACTCGGGGCGAACATCTTGAGTCGTGTTCATGATCACCACTGAATAGGCTCGGTTAATGTAGTCCCGCGCATGTCTTTTCTGATGAAATCCATGCCTGTTCCTAGCCACAGTCGAGCACCACATCGCCGTGGATCATATACTTATGACAGAGATGTCCTCCTTCCACGTGTCTTGGAGCGCGATCTCCGCCGACTGCTGAGTTCGGAGTCCAGACCACCACCCAAAGTTCCCTCAAGCTCTCGAGATCATGGAGTCAGGAGTTGCGGCATTATCAACTGTCGTTCAAGTCGCGGGTTACGGCTTGTTCCTCGTGGCGGCCATGAACCTTCAGGAAGAGCCGGTTGTGGTTGATGAAAAGCAGCCTCTGTCTGCAGAGGCCTATGAGCAAGATCTCGACCAAGCCAGCAATCAACACAGCAAAGCATAGCCGAACAGTTTGCGAACGAACTCCACGACGCGACCATTCGATCGAGTCACTCGATACGCGAGACTTCGAACTTCCCGACGACGCGAGCACATGATTTCAATGAGTCTATCAGGCGTCTACGCAGCGCCCTGACACATGTCCTGGAGACGGCTTTCAATCTTGCCAAGCCAAAGGATCACGACTATGAGCCACGATGATATTTTGAGACGGCAAGGGGAGGAAGAGGCAAGAGTTGCCCCGGCAGATCAAGTCGTCGAGGAAAGATGATCACGATCGAGCCCGAACGAGGAAAGATGAATCAATCTTAGCGTTTTCATCTAGCAGGCGATTCATTCCACATGAATGAATCGCCAGGCTGCCCAAGATGCCGGCCAGATCGAAATATGTCTACGACATACATGGCATACTGAGAGAAATCAAGGCGACGGAAACTCCGAATTATACCGTCTTTCACGTTTCGACGAGGAATAACGTTGAGAGCATGTATATTGCGGTCGCTAGCGTATTATTTCAAGACTTGATTAGGTCCTCAAGTATGATTTCTCTACATGTACGCTTTCAGGAATCCAGGAGTCTGCCAAAGTGTATACGTAGTCTGGAAAATGAAGATTTGACACTAGTTTTGCTTCTTTTGTACTTAACCGGGCTACACTTGAGAGAAGATAGTTAGTTGGCGGCCTTTGTCACTGAACTGCATGAAGCTTCAACTCTTCATAGTAGTCAATACCATTTTTGAAGATGGACTCCTTAGTAACGAAGAGTTAATTAAGACTTGCGAGCTACAGCAGACCAATTAAGAACACCTTTTGAATTAATGCTAAAGTAGCGAGTGTTCATAGAAAGAGTAGGCCTTTCAAGCCTCCGGGGCCGGGGCCGGGGCCGCCGGTGGGGCCGCTTCGGGAGCCGGAGCCGGGGCTGCCGGCTGAGCACCTTGCGGCTCCGCAGCTGGGGGCGGAGTGGCTGGCTGACCTTCGGCGGGAGGCGCAGGGGCAGCTTGTTGTTGTCCGCCATTACGCTTGCCCTTTCCTTGTCTTTGCGCGCCACCGGGACTGATATTGATACCTAACGGCCATTAGACAAGACTTCGATTCAGTGGAAGGACAACGTCAGCTTACCAGATTTGCCGCCAACAGAAGTGCTACCATCACTACCCTTGGTGATACCAAGATTTCCGCCAACTAGATCAATCAACAATTAGTCTTCGTCAGTGTCAGGATCATGGGGATCTTACCGTTCTGAACCTGGCCGTCAGCTCCGACAGTGATGCCGGCGTTGTCCTTGAACTGCTCAGACTCTTGAACCGCTTTCGGCTGACCTGCCTCGGCTTTGCCCTCCCCAGCAGGCTTAGCTGCCTCGCCGGCCTGTCCGGGTTGAGCAGCTTGTCCTTCGCCAGCAGGTTTCGCCGCCTCTCCAGCTTGTCCAGGTTGAATAACTTGGCCCTCGCCGGCGGGTTTCGCGGCCTCAGTTCCCGCACCATTTCCCTTGCCCTTCCGTGCAGCCTCCTTCGCAGCCTCCTTGTCCTTCGCGGCCTGGCCTGGGTTTGATCCAAGGCCCTGCTCAGCTTTCGCAGCTTCGCCCGGATTGGCTCCCGGTCCACCTTCTCCCTTGCCTTTCTTGCCGGCTCCCTCGGCGCCTCCGGCTGCCGCTCCCGCTCCTTTCCCGGCGTTGGCAGTACCGTTCTTCTTGCCCTGGTTCGCCTGGTTCAAGAAGGCGTCGAGAGCACTGTTGCCGGTTCCTCCAGGAGGCTTATTACCACCAAGCTGGATGCCTCCGACTGATAGACCGCCGTTGCCCTTGCCTCCGTTGGCCGTCTGGTTGGCTGCAGCTCCAGCTTCTTGACCTTGGCCGCCGCCTTTGCCTTTCCCACCACCGCCGAGCTGCAAACCACCCGGCCCGCCGATGTTGATGCCGCCACCCGAGAAGCTGATCTGCCTCTTTGTTACACTGGGCTTTTGGACATCAGGCCTCACAAGAGCTGCGGCGCGGCCGGCGATGCTGCCCTATTCGTGGTGATATGTATTAGCCAAATGCTCAAGCCTAGAGGTTGGCGATGCATGATGATGTTCAAGCCGTGTCTGGGTGAGGCATGGAGACAACTTACACCAAAGATCTTCAACTGGCTTTCTTGGCGATCATCGCAAAGCCCCCCTTCGCCAAGCGCCAAGAGAGTGACGGCAACAAGAGGAGCGAAACGCATTATCGATCCGACGAATCAGACCTCAAGAATGAGAGTAGGTTCCGAAAAGGCTGTTCGAAATGGAGCCGCACAGCAGCAAAGAAGCGAAATGAACTCGAAGAATTAAAACCGAATATGTTACGAAGCGTCAAGCTTCTGCAATGTCGAAAAGAATGAGAGGCGAGAAGAGGAGGTTGACCGAGCCGAGAAGACGAGATGAAGTGATGAACAGTCCGGGGAAAGAAGAGGGAACCGGCGTGTCAGTCCCACATATTATTCGGGGAACGGCATATAGGATCAGATGTCGTCAGAAACCGCAAGAACATGTTCAGTCTGTCTCCTCAACTACCTGGCTGACGTGGACGTGAATCCGGCCCGGAGAGCGTGACATTGGAGATCTTGAGCCGCATGAAGGTCTCTGCTGCAGGGACTTACCCCGTGCCGGACCCTGCGAGATCTAGACTTTTGAGTGCAGCGCTCTGAATTTTCCCCGAATAACCCCAAAACCCGGCAGGTTGGATCGCCAGAGTCGCGTTGGTAGTTGTTTAACGGCATCAAGAGTCGTCGTAAAACACATGTCAGTGATGCCAAGAGACAAACAAGTCGCAAATAGCCCGGAGCGCATAAGATAGCATTGGTTTTGGGTGACTTCGGACGACGCCGCAAGTGGCTCGTCTGGAGTTGACTTGCAACCGCCTCCACCATCTCGGCACGGCTTGGCGTCACGGAGCTGCGGCAGCGCGGGCTATTATTGGGTTGCCGGGGTGGCCTTGTGTTTACTACGACGGTGTTTTGCAACTCTGCGAGACGGATCGTATGGTCATGGGTTCGTTTGTTGTGAGAGTTAATGTCACCTTCCAATTCATTCATTATCTTCTGTCTTTGATTTCGCTTCGTGAGGCCGTTAGACATTACGAATAGTATAAGTGCGCGCACAGAAGGTGAAAGACACGGGAGACTTAAAACGGAAGTGCTTCAGGGGGGTATTGAAGTGATCTCGGGATCGGCCACACTCCGCCACGCCATGCTTGTTCTCAACTCTTCCGCTCAGTGTTACACCAAACCAAACCAACCCCGTCCAAGAAAGTCTGCCCTGGAAGAGGCAAAACATAAGAAATAAGAAGTCCTCCTTCCCCCAAACGTCCGCTCCGGTTTCCGTTGTTTCGCCACGAGTCTACGTCAAGGCTTCGTTATCGTTGTCGAGATTCCGGGGAATCACGTTGCGTTCGCGCTTAGCAGCCGCAGGCGGTCGGGGCCAGCGACAGAGGCAGGTAAGTAGTCTTGTAGACGGTCGTCACGTCCTCATCGTCGTCGTCGTCGTCGTCGGCGAAGTTGAAGGTGCCCTTGCCAGGGACCTTGGTGACCTCGGGGGCGTTGGGGGCAACGGGGGGCTTTGTCAGAGTCACGGGGTGATGGTAGCCTGAAGACCATCCAATGGTGTCAGGACAAGTGCCATGGAAAACAGTGGTAACTTGGGTGACGACGGCGGGCGTCGGAGTGATTTGCTGGGCCGCCGAGCCCGTCGCCGCCGCGGTGGAGTTTCTGGAAAGGGTCTTGCTCACCGTGACAGTGACGGTGGCCGGCGGCGCGCAGGTGGAGGGCTCGGCCGGGATCGGGGTGGGGTCGGTGCAGTCGTCGCCGGAGATGGCGAACTTGGGCGTCTGCGCGTAGATCACGTAGACGTTGGTTCCGTTGATGGCGTTGCTGTGATTCGGAGGCAAGCGATGTCAGCCCAATCTCTTGTTTTCCGCGCGCAAGTGACAATGAAGATCATGGTAGGCAGGCCCTTGTCTTCCTCTGAGAAATACTCCGCTTTTCATTTAGGATGACGGCCACATGACTCGTCGACCGTCCTCGCTTAATGAGGCGAGCTTTCAGGGGGTGAAGAGCAAAAGCAGACTTGGAGGAAGACGAGAGACGCGTGACAAGATCACGAATGAGAAGAAGAGGGAGGCTCACAATTGGTAGCCACCGGAGCTGATCTCGGAGCAAGGGACCTGGACAGTGGCGGCGCCGGAAGCAGTCTCAATGTTCTGAGCCAAAAGAGTGTAAGAAGGCGGCCAGTTGACAAAGTTCACGAGGTAGACGCTGAAGACGGAGGGGTCCGTGTCGACGGTGTTCCAACTCAGCTCGTAGCTGGAACCCTTGGTGACGGTGGAGTTCAGCGAAGGGCTGGTGAACTCGATGGCGGAAACGGCCAGAGGAGCCGCGAGGGCGAGAGCAGCAGCGAAGAAGCGCATGTTTTCTGTGGAGTTTTCTGATCCGGAATACGATACAAAAGAGTGACTGGGATCGGTGAGGGAACGAAAAGGAACCTGAAAGTCCGAAAGCTCAGAGATGGGGGGATATCGCGAGTATTATGTGCACTTTTTCCCTCCTCCTCCCACTCCTTCTCCTCCTCCTCCTCCTTCGAGGCCGCCTCGAAACCACGCGAGATTAGCAAATTGGCAATAGGCAACAACTGCGCTGGGCCGCAGGAGTAGTGGAGTCATTTCCCCGGGTCCCGAAGCTCTCGGCTCCGTTCAGCCCAGAGTTTGGCATCGAACCACGACTTCGTATTTGGTGTTGAAGCCCTGTTGGACCCAATGACGGTCCATGACGGCGGACTTCGCACTCAAGGAAGAAGAAAAACACGGACACAACTTCTAGGGACGGTTAGATTGCTTCGCGTAGCGTTAATCTTAGCGAGAGATTTAAGCACCTTGCGGCACAGGTTTACCCGATTCCTCTCTCGGCCTTTTACCCCTGATTCTCATGCGGGCAGTTTACTGCGGTCTCAGCCCCTATGTAAGGGACGGTTTGCCCGAACTTCACCGTTAAGGATGGCTTTCGGCCGGTGTATCTGGCGCTCGGCAGGGGCGTTACTCCCGTTATTTTGAGCTTGCGGCTGCTTTTCATGCTGTTCGGTTCCTTCGCACATTTCTTCTAGCGTCTTCAATCCTTCTCCCTCTCTTGACGTTCCTTTTGGCAATAAATCGAGGCATGGCATCGCATCCTGCCGGTTCCTTTGGAAGCGCCGCGACGGCGTGGCGCTCGTAAAGGTCGCCCGACCATGTGGTTGTCATCTAACCACGCCGCACAGCTGCTGGCACACTTGCGCGAAAGCGGCATCGCTCAGGGCATAACAGAGCGCCTCATTTCGACATCCAGCAAACAGAGACGGGCTTGCAGCTGTTTGACTCGACGAACCGGGCAATCAAGGCGCCAAAAGTCCCGCAAAGGAAATTGGGAACGGAGCCCCTGAAGAGTACTGGACGGATGAATGTGGAAGGATTATCGTCGAGAGATTCATGGTGTTTTGCGACTGTGGCCAGCACCAAGAAACAGAGGACATTGAGACCCGCCTGTTGCATTTGCTGTCATTTCGTCCCCTGGGCGCTTCTCGTGGGCGCGTCTCAGCACATCGTCGCGAGTGCGGGGGCCAATTCAATTCGAGGGCCTCTACCCCGGCTCGGCAAGCTGGCCGAGTTGCCGGCGGGATGAAGACCATCCAAATTGATAAAAACAGTCTCGCAAAGCACATGACTTCTTAATCGTGCTTGGAGGCAACCTAAATTCGATTGACAGATGGCAAGACTCCTTTCCGAAATACTGACTTCGCCGATTGGCGCCTCGCCGGTGAGCGGCTCCGGGTCCTCGGGATAAAAGCGGGGTCTTTCCGGGCCTTCGGCCTCCGCGGGATTTTGTCCTTTGCGCTCGACTTTCGATATTCCTGCGGTCAATACTTCACATTGTGAATGAAGATTACATTCGATGCGGATTGCTCGGTGGCTATCGCCGCCCATTATCTTACTCGAAGACGGCATCAACTTCCTGCTATCGACAGTACCCATACGGGACGGGGCAAAACACCACCCCATACGTCTTGACTGCAACGCAGACGATTATCAACCTTACTTCTAGTTTCTTCCTGGCCTCAAAGACCACCCCAATATTCCCAGGGAAGACCCCAACATCATCGAACCGAGATAGATGATCAGACCTTCAAATCTCCCCTGGCCATACCCAGAGCGAACAGGGCCGTTGATCAAGGAAGTACTAATCGGCCCGATCAGGATGTTTCCGATGCCTTTCCCAAACGCCATGAAGCTGTAGACAGGTGCAGGATCCTCCGAAAGCACAGAGCCGAACTTCTGCCAGAGGCAGGGGAAACCGCCAGATGCCACACCGTAGACCAATGCATAGGCGAGTAGAGGAGCCAAAGATCCCGCGTAGCCCCAGAGGAAGAAGCTGGCGATGGCCGATAGAAACGACGACGCGAAGACAAGGACAAGAACGTTGTTGACGCGGTCGGACAAATAGCCGAGCCCGAGTTGTCCGAAAACCATGGCGAGGTTACTCGCAGCGAGTATCATCGCGCCCGCTGTACCAGACAGTCCTAGCGACGTTGCGTAGGTTGGTAGATAAAGCGAAGGGACGTAATATCCGAGGCCTTGCAAGAAGTTGGCGAGGGCAAAGCAGTAGAAGAGAGGCTGTCGGAAGAATCGGATATCCATCTTCCGAAGCGCTCCATGGCCCGAGACCGGCAGTCGTCCTTTGAGAAGTGGGATTACGGGTAGTACGGTGACGAAAACCCCGACAGCTATACCGCGGAGCGTTGTTTGGTAACCGTACTTGGACAGGAGAACCTCCAAGAGAAATGGGAAGCCGACGCCACTGCAACCTGCGCCGGCAGACATGATGCCGAAAGCGAAGCCTCGTCGCTGGACGAACCACTCATTCAACATGCGCAGGACCGGGTAGTAAGCCAAGAGAAAGGCGAAGCCGTACGCGACCCCTTGGGTAGCGATGAGTGCGGGGACCGTCGTGGCGAAAGACGCTGCGACTAGTGATAAGACACAACCAAGCCACCCGACAACTATCATGTGTCGTTGCCATGCTTGGTATCGAGCTACCAGCGGTGTTGCGACGAAACCACCCAGAAAGTAGATGCTGGTTGCGACGGTACCAATAACAGCAATATTGGGATCGTCTTTGAAGTTGGGGTGTTGGGAATAGAACTCTTGAAACACGCCATAGGACAACGGGAAACCTAAGTGACGTGACGCATCTGGTCAGGAGGGCCGTCTTCTCGAATATCCCGAGTTGCACACTTACCCCAGAGGATTGCTTCAACCACGAAAGTACCAATCAAAAACTTCCATGCTTCCGACCCTCCATCTGGAGCAGGCAGTGATTGATGAGAGTTTTCATGGTGTTCTTCTTCGACGGTCGATAGAGCGCCAAGCTCGATTGGTTCTGTGCTGACAGACATCTTGAAGTTCCGTAGGTACAAACGTTACAAGAAGGACAGAGAGCCAGGGGATGAAATTGACATTGAAGAGCAGATTGGAATTGAACAAAATGAAGGTCAGCGTAATCGGAAAAGCACATTATGCTTAGACATCAAGCCACATGGAATGCATTTCCGTTCCCAACCCCGCGAGACGGCCCGAGTCACGAAGTAGGAACGAGTCACTGGGCCGAGTCATCGGATGGGATCCCGGGCCGCGTCCCGGCTCGACTCCGGCCCCGCGCCGATCCCGATCCCGATCCCTGGTCATGAGTCAACCGATTGACGAGTCGCGCACGCAAAAATCGGCTTGCGAAAATAAGCTTAATCACTCGGTCAAAGACTGTTTGAGATCCGAGATCCGAAAACGGGTCTCCTGATATGTTATATCAAAACTACTTCGCGGAATTTGGCTTGGAGCTCATTGGTGAACATCTCCCCGTGCATGATACCATGTACGTACACTTCGCCAACCAAGACATAGCTCCCGGCTTGAGATCTTCGCAATATCAATGGCATCCTCCCGCCTTTCACAAGCCAAATTTCATCACCGATTTGGGCTTCACACGGAGCCAGCCCCAGAAGACCGCTCTGGGTCTTCAATATTTGCCTTCCGGGGGTGACAAAATACACGATCTTGGTGATCGGGTCATCCGCTAGTCGTGATGGAAGGCCCTCTTGAGAAGCTCTGTGCAAAGCTTCGTCCACGGTAATGAAAGGCTGGCTCTTGTCGACGGCGTTAGAATCGTTGTTTTCTGACTGCCTGGGCAATTCCAAATCCTCGTAACTCTTATTCAAGAGCCAATTGTATGTGATACAATCTCGGACCCATCCGTCTTCTCGAGCGTCATAATCTTTCTTGGAAATGGCTCTCGGCCTGATGTCGGCAGTCAACGTCTTCACCACTACTTCAGCGAAGGACTCGTTGCTCATTGCGTAGGACCCTTTGCGGTCGCAGAAGTCAACGATCCAAGAGATGTTCCGTATGATACCCTGATCGTCGTGTTCGAGTTTCCGAAGCAACTCGATGGTGTCGATTTGAATGCCTTCGAGCCTGAGCATGTTCCCATCGACGCGAGCAAATGGAGTTGGCGATTCCGAGATGCTCGAAGTACGTGTTGCGTCGAGAGGACCATACCATCGAGCATGCTTCATCCGTCTCTGGCGCAGTCTTTGAAGCGAGGTGTATTGCTCCGGGCCGTGGAAGGAAAAGTCCGGCACCCAGGAAGGCAGACCTTGACGTCTACCATCCGCAACGCCAGCCAGGCCCAGAACATCCAAGTTAGGCAGATGTGGTATAAGCCAGGATGCGACATCGATGAAGGCCTGGTCAACTGGGACCTCGTAGCTAGGCCTTATCCCAAGCGGGTACTTCGGACCAAGTATCAGAGGCATCAGTCCTAAAGTGCCATAGATATGGTCAACCGGATTTTGAAACTCGTAGAAACGTAGCCTATGGAAGTTGTGAAGGACCTCCGCATGGCGAACATGTTCGTCGGTGACCGCGCCCCAGCGCCTGTTTTGCCAGTCAACCATAGACTTGTTGACGACCTCGGATCGAAAGTCCGGTAAGGATGACGAGACTGGGTTCCACAGGCGTTCGATGGTACCAGGCCGTCGCCTCCATGCAGGCAGGTCTTCGTTCAAACGCTCGTTCAACGTATCTTCCCATCCAACGTCGAGGATAAATGTAGCAAACGCATTGATAGTGGTCCACGAGAACTGACTACTGCCGCATTGGATGATAACCGCGTGCCGGCCTGGAATGGCTGCCTCTTGTACTACCCAGCCGCGAGTGAGCCATCTCTTCCTCGCAAAAAAGGCAAAGAAGTCTGTGTACGACCTGCGCCACCTTTCGCAGGTCTCCGCGCCTACCAATTCCTCGGCATCCGGGCGTCTCATTTCGTGTCCGACTTCTCGGAGCAGTTTGATGACTTGGCTCCGGGTCGGAGATCGCGAGAGATGCAACATCCAAGGCGCGAATTTTCTAATGACCCACTGAACGTTGTCGTTTGGTTGTTTGCTACCGAGCCATGCGATTACGCGGTGTGCAGACTGGTAGATTTCCCCCATGAGGCGTACTTGGTTCGATCTTTCATCGTGATTTGTTTGATCGATGCAGATGGCGTCGATCCAAAAGTTGAATTTTCTCTCGGGAACCGCCAGGCGGCGGGCGAGGGTTGCGGCTTGGGAATGGGCGTGTAATAGTTCAGACCTGGCAACCATCTCCTGGTTTGTGTGCCGTAGAAAGTCGAAGAGAGTCTCACCGACGTGCAAGTCGTGGCCGTCGCATTCGATTTGAAAACAACGCTCCTCATGGTCCGTATCTTCGCTGCCGTCTTCCAGGAAGTCTGGTGAGCCCCATGTGTACGACAAAGCCCAGAAAGGCGGTAAGTCACTCAACGAGTGAGTTGTAAGACGTAGCGAGAACCCATGCTGTGAGGAGGCGTCCCGCACAATGTTGACAAGTCGAATGAATCGTTCCGAAGGGAGCTGTGCGTAGTGATACATCCTTCTCAAAAAGGATGTTCGCTGGAACGGACTGCGCTGAATTGGTCTCGTGATGGAGACCAGCATGAGGACCAAAGGGCGAGAATGTCAACCAGTCAGTCTCACAGACGGCGAAAGCTGGGGATGAAACGGGATGTTTGGCAGCTCGAAAACTCCAGGAAATCTACGCTTATGCATGTAAGACGCGATCTTATTAAGCGAGGCCAGCCCAGCAAAAGTTGCTATTTCATTTCATGGACAATCACCTTCGGAATGCCCCGTAAAAATGACGCTTAAATATCACCAAAGGATTCTGTGGCTCGGCAGTCCATGATGCTGTTGCTAGAACGGATGTAACACACCGCAAGGAACGCACAAATCATGTCGTTCCCAGCATTCAAGCTATTATGTCTAAGGTATCTCATTTCTGCATGCTGTTGTGGTAGGCAAAATAATTACAGGAAGTTGTCTAAGTCTGACACGGGCCGATGCGATTATCGGACCGCCAGCGACGTGCCGTTGGTGCCGTTCACACCGTTCGTGGCATGCTGCCCAAGCACGAGACAGCCTTCAAAGTACTTCTGCAGCTGGTCGAAGTCCTCGAGTTCACCAACCCAGGCAACGTACTGGTCGGGGCGGACGGCAACGACGCAACCCCTCTGCTTGTCAACGCCGTAGTTCTTGTAAGCATCACCGAAGCCCTCGTGGTAGCTCTCATCGTCGACGTAGACCTTGTTGTAGTCCCAGCCGAAGTGAGGGTCGAAGGGATGAAGGATATCGGGGAAGTCTCTCAGAAGCTCGGTCTCGGTGCGCTTGGATGAATGGATGGTGAGAACCTCGATGACGCTGTCGATAGGAGACTCGGGAGGTGTGGCCTTGCGCAGGAAGTTCTCAGGTGCGTCGAGCGCCGCGGCGAACTTGTCAACGCGGGCCTTCTGCTCGGGGTCCAGGATGTTACCGGCAAAAAGGACGACGCGGAAGCGACCGTCCGCCTTGAGCTTTTCTTGGAAGTGCCAGGGGCGAGCGCATGCCTGGTTCAGGACCTTGAAGCTGTTGAAGCGCATGCCAACTGGCAGGCCGGTAGCCAAAGCCTGCTTCTTCTCGAAGTCCTCCGCAGAGATTCCGAAAGCGGCGGCCTCGACGGCCTTGCTGCCATCGCCCTGCTCGAGAGCGTCGCCAGCCTTGATAACGAGGTTGCTGGGGCCATAGTTGACGGAGAGTCCAGAGGCGAACATGTTACCCTTAAGGAAAGCGTCCTTGAAGACCTCCATGCTGACGCCCTCTTCATCCAAGACGTCCTTGGCGGGGCGACCAGAGAAGAGGCGAGAGAATTTGTGGTCGAACTCGATAAGATCCTGCGCAACACGACGGCGCTCGGTCTGGTAAGTGCTCAGGATGCTGCGCTTAGCGACACCCTTGGCAGCCAAGGCGACCTTCCACCCAAGGTTGTAGGTATCCTGCATGGAGACGTTCATGCCCTGGCCGGCCTTGGGGGAGTGGGTGTGGACGGCATCACCGGCGAGGAAGACACGGCCGTGGGCATCAAAGCTGGTTCCCACACGTTGACCAATCTAGGAGACGTTGTCAGTTGTGATTCAAACATAGCATGATATTGCTGAGGAATGACAAACCTGGTAAGCGGTCCACCAGTCGCAGTACTCGTAGTCGAGCTTGTAGGGACTGATGATCTTCTGAGCGGCGCCGAAAATGATTTCAGGTGTAATCTTGGAGCGGTCGGCTCTGCCAGAGGCATCGGTGCTGATTTCCTTCAGCTGAATGTAAAGACGGACGAGCCTGTTTTCTCTAGGAATGATCATCAAACTGCCGTTCTCAGCAGAGTGGATGGCGCAACGCATGCGGATATCGGCTGTTGATATTAGCCCTCATGTCAGGTCAGGGTTGCATCGCAGTGTAAGACATACGGAAGTCGGTGATGGGGATGATGTCCATGACACCCCAGATGAAATCAGTAGCCTCGCCGTGGAGCTCAAAGCCCAGCTGCCTGCGAGTCCAGCTGCGAGCACCATCACAGCCGATGACGTACTTGGCGTGCACAATCTCGCTGGCACCGGCCCTGGCCTTGCTCTTGTTGATGAGGTCCTCCTCATCATCCGTCTGGGTGAGGTTGCTGCGGAAAAGACCATCAGGAACCTTGCTGGCATTCGCGGCCTGCGGAGGGGTGGCTTCCTCCTCGCTCAGTTCCCTGAGCTTGACGGTCACGGGGTAGGCGGAGTCGTCGTCCACCTTGGACTCATCGATCTCGAGAGACTCGGGGATGACACCGCGCTCGACCTGGATGGCATCCTTGGAGTGCTTCTTGATGTTCTCGAGGAAGAAGCGCTCGATGCGGCCCTGGTGAAGGACGATCTGCTGGAAACGGGAGAGACCGACAATGGTATCCGGGATTCTGTCGCTGCGGCGAATAAGACCGTCGCTACCGGGGTTCTGCATATTCTCATGAGTATGATGACATCCACGAAAGTCAGGATGGTTATTCACGCACCCACATGCAGATCTAGTCCAATTGATTAGCATCATACCCGACTGAAAACCCTCAAGCCATTCGTACCTCGATCATGTGGTTGGCCTCCTTCCATGCGCGGTCCGCAAAGCCAAGGGAATCGAAGATCTCGAGACTTCGGCATTGCAGACCATCGGCCTGTCCGCAGAAGATCTTGGTGTTTCTCTTGTCGACAATGCGAGCCTTGACGCCGCAATGCGCCATCCAAGCGGCAGCCATCAACCTGCACAGCTCATCATTAGTCGCGCTGTCATCGGCTTGTCTCGAACCGCGACGAAAAGAAAGCGCATGGCCGCCACCACGCGATTCTGTGACTTACCCCGCAGGGCCAGCGCCAATGATAAGCCTGTGATGATGGCACAAAGATCAGTAAACTGCTTCAAGTGATGACGTTTTCTTATTCCAGAGGGCGACTCACACATCAACATTGCTCTCGGGAACCTGTTCGCTTGCCATCTCGTCTAGCGTCTATGTCCGTGTCCGATGAGTCGCTGGGAGCTTGCGATGAAGGTGTGAGGGGAAAATTAAAGTTTGGGGAAGAAGAAAGCAAGGGAGACGGAGAGAGCTGTGCGTTATTGCGTGCCAGCGGGAAGCAGAAAAGAATGGCTCGCGTTCAGCTGAGCTCAAGTTCTCGCGGGGCACGGCAGCATCTTGACTCGCTCTCGAGAGCGGCACCCCTATTGTAGGAACCTGATTTCTTGGCCGGTGCCCACACAACGTCCGATGAAGTTCACTCACGAGTTGATTGGATTGATTGGTGATGGATTGGAAAGGATGACTGTCCTGCGTCTCGAGACTGCGGGGTGTTGAACGACCCTCCCTTCCCACGCCAGTGGACCTTGGTGACCATTCCTCCAGTGTCCGGGAACGTCCCGCCGACAAGGGCCCGGTTCATGGGCCATCGTTGATCTGTACCATTTCTGGATGCATTCGGAGAGGAACCATCACCGATATGGAAAGGTAGGTTGCTTGTCCGTGCGACATTTATGGGGTTTCTTTGAACATCCAAACGGCGCTTCGTAGGGCGTGGGGGGTGCTCCTCAAGCACCCGGCGGACGAGGACCGAGATGATCTTCTCATGCTCAACTTCATCCCTTTCACCTGCTTCTGATAGGTGTCCGGGGTGGCTTGCTATTGGCGATGAAAAGTCTTGGTGACCGACTGCCGGCATCATCAGGAACCATCCGGTTGGAGAAAGCCAATGACACTAAGGAGTTGGGGAAGTTCGGGGCTTATGACCGGCATTTCCGGGTTCCAGATATCTGACAGCTTGTGCCACCGCCAGACTGGTTCCTGGTAGTGTGTTTTCTTTTTCTTTTGAGCTGCAAGCAAATAGAGTCAATAACAAGCTCTTCTTCCTGGAACCCGCGGGCTTGTTTGCCTTTAGCGAATTATGCGGGCGATTCGGACGTGCAGAGTTCCCTTCGCTTGCGTCTAGAGTCGAACCGGAACCTCCGCCCACCGTCCCGGCCGTTTGTAACCGGGGTATTTGGTGAACCGTAAATTGTGGGCAACGGTATGACCTCTGGCTGATCCCACCGGAGCAGTTTACGCTCAGCAGCGAAAAGGAAACCAACTCGAGATTACAGAATGGCTGGTTGATGCGGCACGAGCATCTTAGAGTCTCGGACTATGGGTGGGAGACTCGTACGGAGAACTCCAGAGACGATGGATCAATTCTCCAACGGAGGATCCAGTACGATGGGCACCCAATTGCGCAAGTGAATATTAGCTGGAAATCTCATTCGCGAGAGACGTTGTTGTCTCCTCAATAACTGGAGTAGAGGCCCTGGTACCCCTGGGCAGACAATTCTCTTATGGAGCAAGACCCTGGGCAGAATCATCCGCGGATGTCTGCGCCATCCCGCACGCCTTCTGGGGCCGTTTTTAAAGGTTCCGCTAAGATACCACGACTCATTTTCGTCATTGAAACCCAGCCTGACTCGTTCAATGGCATGTTCACATGGCCGAGACTACATCGTGAAATTATGGAAGTTTGCTGCTCAGAGAGTATCGCAGCCAGTGTTTACGTTTTGTGTCGACGCTGCTATCATGGGTCTAGGTTGAATTCACTTTTATTGTAGGAACTAACCCCTTGTATGTTGAAGGATTGATATGCCTGACTGTCTGAGCGGCCGGAATATATGGGTTCCCGTGCAACGGCGCCAGACAAGCCAAGATTGACATTCCTACCGTCTCATTGGATTGGGTCGCAAGGTCGTCGCTTCAGAGAAATGACAGAAGCGATGCCCAGTGTCCTGTCGGATCCAAAGAACGCCAAGCGCCCAAAGCGACTAGGCGGCTCATGTCGTGACGACGTCGTTTCATGCGAGTTGACCAGGCAGAAAAAGAGCTCAGTAGGGGTACTTGTCTATTTGCATTAGTTTATTGCTAGAGGATGCGAACCCAGCCAGCAGGGTTGGAGATACCCATGGATCACTAACAACTCGTGTCAAACATCCCATCAGTCCCAAAGAGGCTGTGCTGCAACACCAGAGCAGATTACTCAACATGGAAGCCTGAAGTCCGATGCAGATTGACCATGTTATATCACAGTGGCGTTGCGCCACACGTCGCAAGCTTCACTTCTCTATTATCTAGACCTTCGTAGGAACTTTTTAACCAAGAACCGTGAATGACTTCAACTTGTTGTTCCTCGCGGACGCTGCTCCGGTTCCCCGAGATAAACCTTCTATCGGACGGTTTCTTCCTCATCACGTAACATCAAAGTGGACTTCAAATGGGGCTAATCCGGGCCATTCCTACCGTTGATATCGAAAGCGGAGTTGACGGACCCCCATGTCCTCTGGAACCGCAGACGGAAGTGCCGATCCAACGCCCTTGATCCCAAGCAATAGACTTAATTGCAACGGTCTCCCTCTTGTTCATGTTCCCCTGCATTTCCTGATGCGATCGGCATGTCATGTCCTTGACTTTGAGTGCAGAGAGGTATTGCGAGCGCACAGTCAACCGGGATGATGAGGCAAGGTCAAGCACTCGCGAGGCTGCCCAGGGGATGGAAAGGACGGCAAATGAGCGAATGAAGTGTCTTATTGTGAGAACAGTTTACGTCGTCGTCGCTTCAGAGTTTTCACGAAAGTGCTTATTATTTACTATTTCGTCCTCCCCACGATCTCATGACTTTCTTCCGGCCTAGTCGCCGGACCCAGCTTTGCTTTGCTTGTTGCCCCTTATCCGATACTTTGCTGGTGCGCGGGCCGAACACCTTGAAGACTCTTAAGGACAGTAAACATGTCTGCCGAAGCTGCGAACGCGTTCATCCGAGAAGTCTGGGGCCTGCAAGGTGCCGCATACCTGGTAGTCGGACTTCGCTACTACAGTCGCCTATCTACTTTGGGATGGAGAAAGTTTGCGTGGGATGATCTGGTGATGGGAATTGCAGTTGTAAGTTAGCTTTCCACCATCAAGCTTGTCAGCATTACTAACATCTAGGCGTCAGCTTGTCTACACTGCCGAGTCCGTAGCCGCCTACTTCGTCGTCGCATACTGGAAAGGAGTTGCCAATAATGGCATGACAGACGAACAACGAGCCGCGTTAGACCCGGCATCAGAAGAGTTCTCCCTCCGAGTGAACGGCTCCAAGACACACGTTATCGGGCTGTTGTTATACACAACGCTGCTATGGCTGTTGAAGGGATGTTGGGTTATTTACTATTCTCGCCTGACGTAAGTAAACCACATGGCGTCCGAGACTGCCTCATACTAACATTGAATACAGCGAAGGTGTGCATAAGATGAAGCGCATCATCTTCTGGGCGTACATTATCATGCCAGTCACATACGTTGCTTGCTTGATTGTTGCTTTCTTCAAGTGCATTCCCTTCCATCACCAATGGCAAATCAACCCCAATCCAGGCAGTAAGTTCACGTTTCACCACTGAGAGACCTTGTTGCTGACCACTAACCTAAACAGACTCTTGTTTACCTGCCATCTCCTTCATTCAAACCATCTTTGTCATGGCTATGAACACAGCTACAGACTTCTATCTTATGGCCATCCCAATCCCGGTAAGATTCAGCGGAGACCTCTGATCCTTCAACCTACTGACTACTTCCGTACAGATGGTCTGGAAGTCTCACTTGCCGTGGAGGAAGAAGGTAACCCTGTTGATCATGTTCAGCGGTGGCTTCCTTGAGATGGCTTTTGGCATCCTCCGCTGCGTCTCTATTTTGACGGTCAGTCGCTCCATTCTTCTCCTGCTACAAGCCAGTTATCCTGACATCGATCGCACAGGCCGGAGAAGCAGATAGTGCTCAATCTGGGTACTGGTCGGTCCGAGAGTCTTTCGTCTCCGTTGTCCTGACCAATATGCCGATGGTCTATCCCCTGTTCAAGAGCGTCATCGATAAGAGCCGTACGGGAAGCACGAACAAGAGCAATGCACTGGGCGACAGCCAGGGCTACCGCTTGGGAAGCTACCCGGGAAAGAGAGGACCTTCGAGTCATCCTCTCTCGATTCCCGGCGAGACAACTTGGGGATCCAAGGAGCACATTGTCGCGAGCTCGACCGAGAAAGGGGCTGGTTCAGGTGGCGAAGAGGCCTCGATAGACTCTGGCAAGCAGCCCACGAGCCCGTACATTCCCAACAGCAACGCCGAAGTTGTGACAGACCACAACAGTTCGGTACGAGCGAGGAAGTACGAGGGACACAATATCACGGTGACCAAAGAGTATACGATTTCCAGGGCCACCCCAGAGCCTCCGATGCCTCATCTACCCCATAGAACCTCACGCCAGGATATGTACTGAAGCAGTCGAGATTGAGGCGAGGGAACAACAAATCATTGTGGTCAATGATGTAAGTCGGTTATCCAAGGCGAATAAAGACGTAACGCCTCGGATGACAAGCACAAGACGAGAAGTCGGGCGCAAAGGAGCAAAACAACTTAATGGAATATTACATGTAATCTAGAAAACGATCAACTGTCCAAATCTCAATAACAAAGATTGGCTGTCATTACTCTCTTCTCGTGCCTTCAGAAGGGCGGCAGATCGTCATAGTACATGGCTCAGGTGAATCGCGCTTGGGGGCCAAGATCGTTGAAAGGAAGACAAAGAAGGATGAGATGCTTGCCATTCATTCCGGCAGCTCGCAGAACTGTCATTTCCAGAGCCTCAAGTGGTGTACTCCGTAGCTGCGTTTTTGAAACTGCGTCCCCCAGTCGATCTGCGGTCCACTCACCGTCAGGACCCATATTCGCCGGACGGTCGTCGGACTGGGTTGACGATCCTTCTTGAGCCTTCCGAGAGTCATATCCCTGCCAGCTCATGCATTTGGCTGACTCGTTTCTCTCGGATTGCGATCAATTGTTGTCTCACGGATGCCTCCCGTTCTGTTCACGGAGTAAGCACCTTATCAGTTCCCTTTACGACATTCAGTGGCACCGGCGGGTCTCTGCTCTCAAAATCAGCTCATCAAAGCTCTTGAGGAAAGTCTAGACTGACTAGCATCCTAGTACGTCGTCCGCATCTTATCATTTGTTGGTCGCCCGCAGTAAAAATGGAAGCTTTTATTAGTTTCATTTCTGCGGATCAATACAACGCAGCAACCCTCTTTTGACGGCCTCATTGCACAAGGGGTTGAGTCTTGACCTGGTTCGACTGGTTCTGATAGTTGTATAGTCTTCTGTTAAAAGGATCCTGTCCAGGCTTCAGAAAGTTCTTCATGCCGGCTCCTCTTTGTTTTCTTCTCACGCCTTCTTGAACTCTTCACCTTGGCTACGTTAAAACCCATAGGGCTTGCTTATTTCATTTCTCACATGCGTATTTGACAAGACCCCGGACTCTGAAATCTTGAAAATGGTCATTTTTGATCTCAAAAGTTTCATTCGTAATTATCGAATGATTTGGTTGATATTGAAACTGCCCAAATCGGATAGTTTATGTTTCAAGTATGTGAATAGATTATACTGGCTTCTCTTAGTGTCTTTGCGGGAATACTACACAAGTCTTTGGCCAATGCCAGGCTCACGACGTCTCCACACTGAGAAACCATTAACCAACGAAGGCGACATGCCCCCAAAGAGTTTCTGTGCAATTATAACTCCGTGTCTTTAGCAAGAATAACCCGCAGAGGTACCGGCCTTATCGCTAGCTGTCGTTGCAGGGCACCCAGCGATGCACTTCTTGCAGTTCTGTCCACCGTTACCCCAGCTCTCCTCGCCACCGGTACAGCTGCCATCACATCGACCGGCTTGGAAAGAATTGTATTGACAGTCGAAACAGGTAGCTCTACCTGTTAGTTCGTTGGCACTCGATGAAGGAGCTGCCAGAGCACTAGAGGCGAAGAAGGCTATGGCCGTGATGAGGATTGAACACTTCATGGTGTGTGTCGTGTGCTGCCGAGGAGCTTTGAGTGCTTGGAATACTAGAATACTCAGTGAAGTCAGTGTCATGCATGAGACAAGCAGGCGAATCTACATGAAGAAAGTCTGGTACAGAAAATCAGTAACAAACAACTTACACTTTGAGTGGTTTATAGCTTGGCTTTGAATATGAAGCTGATTCCCAAGGACGAAAAGCCTATTCTCGGCGGCCCATGAGGGACTTTATAACTCAACCCAGAGACTTGACGTCTAGAGTTGAAGTGATCGTCAATGGACATGCAATTTAAAGATGACGTTCTAGGACACGGCGAGTCATATCCGGCGCGCGTCATGAGTGGCCGTTCCCGGTTCATAAACTTTATTCACAGGATTATCAATTGGGATCTTCAAAATTTGCCATTTGAAGCAGGAATGTGGATATATTTGCACGCATAGAGTTCTGTCTATATTAAGTCTGAGGTCATGCGAGCCAAGCTGCTGGGTCCCAACTCGGATTCTGTTTCGATATCAATTGGTGGATGACTTGCATGTTATGAAGTTGAACTCCACGATCTTAAGTGACCTTGGAAGCCGAAATAATAAGAGAGACTGTCAGTTTCTAGTGCAGAGTAAGCCTTCACGTTGCAATATCGCGCGGTAAATCTGGTGCTTACTCCCTCCGACAACGCTTTTGTTTTCTGAGATGCAATCACTGGTCAAGTTTGCCAATTGCAGATACCTTCGTCAGGCTAGTGACATCATGTACCTTTGCGGCGTAGCAGGACAATACTCTTGACAGCGTCTGATTATCGCTCTGGGCGCGGTTCCACAGCAGATTTCCACATTAGGTTGCAATTGGCGAAGAAGCTTTACCCCCAGATCCTGATCATGTGATGTCTTAAGAGGATGAGCCCAACATGTTCGTCTATTGTAGGTTGTACAAACAGCCGACCCCGCACGTCCGGACGCAACTTCATCTCTGAAACCAAACGTCGGGCGAAGACCAGATTGCGCGATGGCTTCCAATATAATATACAACTTCGCAGCCAATCAGCCGATGTTGGCTGGGCTTGTTATCTTGTTGCCCATATTCCTCCTTCTTTGGCGCTTATGCGGCAACGATGGCCCCCCATCATTGACCGAGACCATACCTTTCGTCAGCAACACCTACCAGTACATGACTGACGCGAGAAGTTTTATGAAACGTGCCAGGTACTTGAAACCAAACTGCCTTGATTTACAGTCTAGAGACAGATCTGATAGTAACTATTGGAATCCGACAGCCATGCCCTGAGATCTAGCGACATTGTCAAATTTCGCCTTGGGCCGGTGCAGATGTACCTCATCAAAGGAGGGCAGCAAGTCCAAACCATGTTTCGCAAGTCAACGAGTTTGAGTTCTGACAAATTTGTCCTCATGGTATTGAGAGACCTCCAGGGCTTGCCGGAACAGGACCTTGCCAAATTTGCCAGCGACAAGACGGGACGATTGAAGATACCAGCACCTGGCTACGAGAGCGTGCCTCAAGAGCAACGCTTCTGGTACCATCTTCACCACCTCACCACAACAAATTTAAGTACCACCGAAAACACAGTACAGCTAGCAAAAAAGTATACCGAGTTCTTCAGCGCTGCACTGGAGAAGCATCCCTTGGGCGAATGGTCACACATTCAGATATTCCAGTATCTGAGGAAGGATATGGGCGAGAGCGCGATCAAGGTCGTCGTGGGAACTCGACTTCTAGAGGTCTGCCCAGACTACATAGATCAGTTTTGGCGCTTCGACAACGTTTCATATCAAGTATTGCATGGTCTGCCGAAATGGATCAATCCAAAGCCATCCCAGGAGAGAGATAAACTCATTCGTATGACCGAAGAGTTTTTGAACCAAGAATTCGACAAGTTCGACTGGAATGGACTGAATCCAAACACCAAATGGGAGCCCATTTTCGGATGTGGCTACTCACGCGAACTCCAGAAATGGACCTATGACCAGCAGATGACATTACGCGCTCGTGCTGGATTTCTCGCAATGGCAACTTTTGGGCAAGTTGTTGACTCCTTGTCCGACTATGAGGTTTCGTACTGACTTCTTCAGTGTCAATGCCAACACTGTACCTGTGACGACTTGGTACATAATGGAGCTTCTTAAAGACCCGACTCTTTTTGCTGCCGTTCGCGATGAGGCCGCCCAAGCACTGGTAACTGATCAGAAGACCGGGAATCGCGAATTCGACATACAAAAACTTGTTTCCATGCCACTCATGCAGTCTGTATTTACAGAGTGCATGCGGTTGCATGTTAGCATTGCAATCACCCGGGAAGTCGTCGAAGATACGATGATGGATGGGTATCACTTACCAAAGGGGTCTCTGATCCAAGCGCCGACAAATCTCGGACACCAAGACGACGAAGTTTGGGCTCGCGACGGTCATCCAGCTTCGGAGTTCTGGGCTAAGAGACACATCAGATATTCGAATAAACCGGACGAGACGACAGGCAAAGTCTCAACAGAGAAGGCGTTTGTCATGGCTGGCAAGCCGAGCGATTTCTTCCCCTTCGGTGAGCTTTTCACATACTGATTTCAATATTCATATTGGATGGAAGACCTCATCCTCAATTACTTCAAGACTGACCATTTATACTGCCGCAGGTGGTGGAGTTTCCATGTGTCCCGGACGACATTTTGCCAAACAGGAGGTGCTCCTCACTGTGGCAGCACTAGTCACTCGATTCGACATGGAGATCGAGGAATGGACTCACATGGATGGCACATCGTCTGATCGGCCGGCGTTGGACAACGAGAAGTACTTCTTGAATGCTGCAGTTCCGCCAGACCGCGATGTCAAAATCCGATGGAAACGACTTTGGTGAGCCATAGTAGGTGCCAACAAGGCGCTGGCAGTGATTCAAGCGGTTGTCTGCGCATAGGAAAGAAATGGAAAAGGGGAAAGAATGAGGTCACGTTAAGATTGAATTTTCATAACAGGACAGTATATTCTAAGGTGTGTATGTGTACGTTCTCCCGGGAAAACAATATGAACAAGAAGTCTTCGTATCTCGCGCGTTTTCGACAGTGCATAACATTACTAGACGGGGCGGTGCGGGACCGCATCCGGCCCCGCTCCGGTGGTCTCCGGCAAGTGGAGCTATGCACTTCGGAGGTTCCTCTCCCGATCTCATAGTTGAAGACCGATGTTTTAAGCCTTGCTAGCAACAATAGAAGGATCGGCATTCTCGACAAGCATTTGAACATACTCATCAAACCACTCGCCGGCCCTTGGAGCACCCTCCAGGCCGCAACGTCCGTCACTCTCGCCACCAGGCTTAACCCAGACGATAGAGTCGATGTGGGTGTTGTTGACAGGCGTGCCGGGCTGCATACCAAAGCCGGCAGGGCTGACATTGCACCATTCACCCCACTCTTCCCTGCTGTTGGAGACGCGGCCCTGGTCGATGATGAATCGGGAGGGCAGACCTTCAGCTTCGAGATGAGGAGAGAGGGAGAGAGCGTAGTTGTTCTCGTCGTATGAGTTGCTCCACTCGGTGTAGTTGGCACGGGGGTTGGCGTGGAAGGGGTTGTAGTTGGAGACGTTCGTGGAGAAGCCACGGATCTTGGTGTTGTTGCCAGCCTTCTGAACAACCTTCGCGAAAAGCTTCGCAGCTAAGAAGATTGTCAGCAGTGTTTTGAGATCACTTTGAAAGGGAACGATGACTTACAAGGTGCCAAGTTGTCGTCCCAGCCCAACCATCCCCCATGAGCTGCATCGATGTACAAATGGACGTTGTCGTACTGCAGGCTTGAGATGGCGTACGCAATGCCCTCTTCGTAGACCGGGGCGGCCTTCGCGCAGAACTCCACGTTCAGGTTCGTCACCAAGTTTGCGAGGGAGTCAGGCTCAAGTACAACAGCGAAAGTCAAGTCGCTTGCGGCAGCCAGCTTCTCAGCGTACGGCTTGATGTACGTCTCCTTGTACAGCTCCAAGCCGTTCTCCTCACTGCTGAACTCTCCGGCACTCTCGCCAGCGCTGCAGTCTCGGTCGGGGAGGTTGTAAAGTACGAGACCGATAATCTGTTCTTCTCCGGTCTCCTTCTGAATGGCGCGGGCTCGCTCCACGGCGGTGTCGATGTTGACCAAACTGGCTGTGTTGGAGACCCATACGAAGGTGCCGATGTTCTGAATAGTCCGTACTTTGCCGGCGTTTTCGGAGTCGCCCTTGGCCACAAAAGCGTCGTGCGTCTGTTCGAGCTTCTCGGCCCAGTCCGGGTTGGCATAGAGTTTCTTGCCCTCGAAGGGGTTGGTGGTCTCGTTGACGATGGAGCCTTGGCGACGGAAATGGTGGCCTCCAAGGCCGAAGCGCGGCGATGCCGAGACGGCGCCCAGGGCAGAAAGAAGAGAGAGAACTGAAGCGAAATGCATTTTGAAAGACAATAAGTAGAATGGGCAGAGGAACAGGCTTCTTCTCGCACCGGGCTGAAAGTCTGACGATCGAGGCGACACTCCCCATCCCCATAACGTGGCAAAGACGATTCTTATACCCGTCGAGATATCGCCATTCTCAATCTTACGGCTGATGCCATCTCCAGTCCATCCCGTCACGGAGCCTCCATCACCATCTCAGGAACGGAACGAAAGGTACCACATTACATTGCAACGGTTCTGCGCTATCGAGGGGCATTGAAACCAAGTCTTCCATCCGAGGATCCTGTTTTGGTCATGATCGACGCATCATGCAAGTTCACCGTACCAAACTTGGGGCATTTGGGGATGACAAGTGTTTGCGATATATTACCGGCAAAGAACAGATTTTACGGCCCAAGGCCACCCTGCCGCCCTGATATACTCCAAGGCATCTGGTTCGCTAGAAGCGACTGGCATGCATGTAATGCCGCGCAGGGCCAAGAACCCCGATTGGAAGATTCGGCTTGCGTTCCGAAAGTCCTAATATGGGCCACGTGCCGAACCGCTCGCTTCTTCACACTTTTGTCTCTTCCGCACAAATGCCTGTCGTTTCTTGATTGATTGACGCTGATGTTTACCATTCACACTGAGCAGACTTGGTAACCCGACATTGCGACCAGCGTACCTGCGGTTCATATAGATTGGTTTTGCAATTAGCCAACCGAAAGTCCAGAGTAATGTGGTCAGTGTAACATGAACTCGAATGACGTTTATATGCGGAAAATGCTGCTCGACTAACCAGCAGCTTCAGAGCACTTTCTTGTCTGACAACTGCTCGCACGGTACTAAGTGTTGCGGTATTTGAATATTTAACTCAAAAATACTCATGAACCAACTCGGGCACGACAAGTTATTCGAATACTAATGTCAGAGAAGATATTGATTGGAAGCTGACCATGAGGGAGGGATAAGCACCCGGGCTTTCGCTGTAAAAGCATATATGATTAGAAGCACTAAATACAATCAAGTCGTATTGAAGATGTTAGTTAGTAATAGTTAATCGTCTCAATATATGCCGATTTATGTTCTGTTGGCAATTAAAAAGGTGACATTCATGTTGGAAGGTGGTTCGCAAATATCCGCTGGACACCGCAAGACAAACCAGCCACAGACTACTCATTCAAAATATACAGACATGCACACGGCATTTTAGAAGCCACTGTGAAGACATAGATATATCACGTATGGTGAAGTCTCTGTCGTGCTTCTAGTTCACGATGGGGAGCAAGGATCTCGGCTGAATGATGGCTGAATAAGCGCTTTCGTGAATGCAAACGTTCTCGGAGGCGGAAACGATTGTTGTCCGTTGCGCATGGTCTCGGCGATACGGTTTACGGAAAAGCTCTCCGTCGGGAATCTTAAGTCTAGGAAGTGTGGCTGAGCAAACTTTGGGCCTCTTCGTTCTTACAATAATACAGTCTACTTCCTCTTTTGGAACATATAATTTCCTATATCTGATCCTCATCCAGTTGTCTCTGGTTTGTGCGACGGTGATAGCAGATCTCGGTAAACAATATTCCTTCGCGATGAGTAAAAAAGCCACCTCGTTCCTTTTGTTCCGATTTGAACAATCTGATGATTAAATGTTCCAGCTCTACCGAAAGGATGGAAGTCAACCACATTAAACTTCGGCTACGGATGAGCCGGACGAGTTCATGTTGAGATGGGACGGGGTAAAGCAGCTGTGGCACAGAGTTCAGGCGCCCTAGATGAACGCCCACGAGGAAGGCCGACCGTTGCGCCGAGCATAACCGGCGAACTGGAAGCACTTTTCAAAACTCTATACAGCAACGCCTTTGGAAGTGGAATGCTCTTCGGGAGTGATTTCCTAGCGAATCATTGCAGTACCCGTAAATCCAACGTATCAACACGAGGCGCTGAAAATCGCATGGAAGCAAGGGCGAGGAGGCCAGTGGCTATGGTGCGATGAGTGCGACGTTGCGCCGCAGGCTTGCCAAGTCTCCGACGCTTCGCAAGATTCTGACCACCATCAACTACCGTCATCATACCAACAGACCAATGGTAAGTCACAAAACCTACCCCACGACGTACGATCTCGCATTCGATGCATCTGTGGCGTTGTGGCATCGAGACGTCTCCCAGGGGAGCTGTGCCAGTCAGCACATTAAGCAATCAAATGACGACGACTCTGTCGGTGGACACGCCGCAGGCTTGAGATGACGTCGAACTCTACGGAAGGATCAAAGGCGGACTTTTGGAGACGGACTTTTGGACATGGATCCTTTGGAAAGTTACTTGCTATGTATAGTTGGAGGTACTCGTGCCGGATCCGAAGGCACCAGCGAAGTACAGATAAGGGTCCAAGGGTCGAGGCAACAAAAGGAAGCATAGGCGATGCTACTGTAACGAATTAGTCTAGCGCTTATTTGATCTGCCGTACGTAGTCAGACTTTAGCGACATCAAGATTCCTTGGGCGCAAGCCACAAGAATAACGGGTGGGATCGAAAAAGGCCGTTCCTTGTCGAAGAGGCTAGTTTCACCTGGGATGGCGACGTAACACGTCAAGCTTAGGAGCGACGCCGAGGCTTAAATCTTTAGCGGATATTGGTGTAACTGGAGGGAACCTGTGCGACCATGAGGGGTGGGCGAGATCAAGATATCGAGCACTTAAAGAGCGGCATCCCGTCTACATCTCAACATCTGATGCGTCCCAAGATTGAGCGTGAATTTCTCTCTCGAACATCATCAAACCTTATTTAAAACATAATCAACATGTTGTGGCAACTGTGGGCTCCCGTAGTCATTGCGACGGCAGTGATAGGTGTCTATCGTCTGTGGAAGAAGCTCACTTTATTTTCACGGCTCAACTTCCCGGTCGTTGGGTCCCCCGACGACCAGAATCTGTCATATGCAGTGCTTGAAGGGCACCAAAAGGTGATCATCGCTCTCATCCCCTTCTTCTTCCACTGAGCGTTGCTGACAGTCTTGTCCCAAGTACCCGGATACTCCCTTCATTGTTCCGTCAGATCCACCGTAAGCTTTGATACCCGAGACATGTAAGAAGCTTGGCTGACACAACATGGCAAAGACGAGTCATTCTCCCCATGAACCTCCATCAGGAAGTTATTCACGCCGACGAATCGGAGTTCTCATTCGGCGCCGAGCTCTACGATGTGTTTCTCGGCCGCTACACGCACATTGGGGAGAGCAACCATGACATCATCGGCGCCGTCCGCGTCGACTTGACCAGGAACCTGAATGCTGTCCTGCAGCCTATTCAGGATGAGATGAACCATGCCATTGGTCAACTTGTTGGCGATTCTGGTGAATGGAAGACTTTAAACGTCCACAAGACGATTCTCCGCATGGTTGGCTTGATGAGTGGACGCGTTTTCGTTGGTCTACCTCTTAGCCGCGACGAAGAATGGCTAGCGGCTTCGATCAACTTCACTGTCGACGTTTCGAAATCCCGCCTGGCGATGTTGCGACTACACCCATGGATTCGACCTTTCTTCTTGCGCACGCTTCCAGAGGTGCGGCACATGATCGGCGAGCAAAAGAAGGCTCATGAGTGGATGCGGCCGCTTGTTGCAGACTTTACCCGAGATCAGTATAAGCTGGAAGAGAAACCGGCGAAGCCTGGGCAAAGAGGTGCATTCATCTCATGGATGATGAAGTACCTGCCAGAAGAGCAGAGGACTGCCGAAAACATTGGGAACGGTCAGATGTTGTTGTCGTTTGCCGCCATTCACACAACATCAAGTACAACGACCTTTGTGGGTACTTCCTCATCGTTATTCAGACTGATGAGGCTGACAATCTACTAGGCTCTGCTAGATCTTCTCAGTCGCCCTGAGTACATCCAGCCTCTGCGAGACGAAATCGAGCAAGTAATTGCCGAAGACGGACTGCAGGAAGACGAGGAGGGACATCGTTATCTTTCAAAAATCTCTCTCAACAAGTTGAGGAAGCTAGACAGCTTCATCAAGGAGAGTCAGCGCACGAGTCCTTTGAACTTTGGTACGTAAAGTTGACAGCCGAACTTCTTAAATTCGCAATGCTAACCATGTACACAGGCGGCTCGGTCAGGAGAGTTCTCAAGGATCATACCTTCTCCAACGGCCTCAAGATTCCTGCCGGAACTCCAGTCTCGTTTCCCTTGTGGGGTGTTTAGTAAGTTTCTTAGCCATTCGACCTGAGTTGCGCGGGGCTAATACAACCTCAGCCAATCCGAGACTACGAACACTTTCAGCCCAGAGTACAACTCCGATACGAAGAATGCGCCACCAACTGAATTCGATGGATTCCGTTTCGCTCGTCTGCGAGAGGTCTCGGGCCGGGAGATGAAGCATCAGGCGGCCACCACAGGCCCGGACGCCTTCAACTTCGGCCATGGTCCGCATGCCTGCCCAGGCCGTTTCTTCGCTGTTTACATGATCAAGTGTATTCTGATTGAGCTGTTGATGAACTATGACATGCAGCTGAAGAGTACGGGGAGTGGTTCCAAGCGACCACCAAACATGGTTAAACAGTTGCTGGTGATGCCGAACACGGGAGCCGAGCTTGAGATTCGGAAGCGGGCTCAGGCATGAGAAAATCATGGGTCGGGACATGTAGATTAGTTGCGTGTGCGTGTAATGATAAGTCGGAATATCTTATGGTTGGCATGGCTCATACCGGTCTTCGCAATGATGTCCATAGGTGCTGACTATCTCATGTTGACGACGGCCTGGTCGGTGGTGCTAGCGTAGGTCATGGATACATACCGAACAGCTCGCCGTCAGTGAAAGTTGAAGAAAACTTAATGCAAAAGACGCAGGTCGTGTTTCGAGTCAACGCTGTGGCGCCACAGTGTTCACCTCGGACCAACATGAAGAAAAAGCAAAAAGAGAGGTCAATCGCTGACGGGAATTGAGCCCGACGTGGGGGTCGAACCCACAACCTTGAGATTAAGAGTCTCACGCTCTACCGATTGAGCTAGCCGGGCAGATGGCGAGCATCTGCGGGTTTGCTTGGGAGTTCTCGAGCCTCGCGGCATCAAGTTGTCGCGTGTTTGCGAGTCACCGGTTTGCAGAATTTTGTGTGCGTGTCTCCAGTTGATGCGAGGTGGATCGAGGATGCAGGGCCTGACCATGTCCCAAAACCCTCGGCAGCGGACTCTTCGGCTGGGATCGACAAGGCCCATCACAAAAGGTTTGCTCAACTTCGGACGAACGAGCCGACGGTTCTTTTCAGAAGAGACTTCGGATGGCAGCGGTAGGATGTCTATTGTCAAAATCTCTCGAAGCATCTTGGGACTTGCATTGCCCAGCACTCGTGTCAAATTACTCCGCAAATCGTGCGGCCCTGCGCCTCTCACGTGTTGCTAGCCAAGAATGGTTTCCAATTGAGCAGCCCTGGCAACCCCTTTCGCCGCACACGGAGCATGACACTCCGCGTTCACTTCTTGGACGGCCAGAGCCCCCTCCGTCATGCCCCCGGGAGAAAGCTCAATCCCGGCAGATGATTCTCGATGGGGGAAGCGGGTGGTATGTGGAGACGCAAAATTAACCTCCGTCCCCCTTAGAATCTCAATGATCGTCCCCTCTTGGAGTTCCCCTTACGTAGGGGGCCATATGGCGAGATTGAGGGGTCATGACAAGCCGTTTGACTTAGAATGGTATGAATTAACAGAATAAGCTATATATCCCACCGGCCGCAACTGCATGTTCTGTTCCTGTCGAGACGATGCTTGTTTCAGCCGATCCATTCTTTCGTTTTCTGTTGTTATTTTAACCCACCCCCGCGCTGATCTTCCGTGAGAACCATGGCGAGGTTCACGGCGGTTTCCCTCCGTGCCGCCCTTGCGTTTGCCGCTGGCGTGTATTCGCAATCATGCATTGGCAGTGATGGGGCCAAGGTCTATGAGGCCGAGAACGGTGTTCTCTCTGGAACGACCCTCGACACCGCCCAGGCTGGCTTCACTGGTGCGTTTTCCTCTTAGAATATTTACTTGGCTTTTTCTAAACAGTAACGCGCAGGTACCGCATACGTGACCGGATTCGAGGACGACACTGACAAGCTCACCATCAACATCGACTGCACGGGTGATGGCCAGAAGCTCTTCGATTTGAGCATCAGATACGCCGGCATCTACGGCGAGAAGCGCACCAATGTTGTTCTCAACGGCGGCGCTGCCAGCGAGGTTCTTCTTGCTGCCGGTGAAACCTGGGCCAACGTATCTGCGGGTCAATTGCTGCTCAACGAAGGCAACAACACGATCGACATCGTGAAGAACTGGGGATGGTGAGTACTCATGCCCGGAGAATACATCCTCTTCAGATGAACTGACTGGGACAGGTACCTGATCGACTCAGTCACTCTCACCCCCTCCGCCGCCCGCGGCCCTCACAATATCAACGAGGCTCTCGTCAACGCGAACGCCAATGCCGACGCCAAGGCTCTCTACTCTTACCTCCGCTCCATCTACGGCAAGAACATCCTCTCAGGCCAACAGGAGCTGTCATATTCCAACTGGATCAATGAGCAGATCGGCAAGCTTCCTGCGCTGGTCAGCGTCGACTTGATGGATTACTCTCCTAGTCGCGTGGAGCGCGGCACTGTCGGCACCGCGGTCGAGGAGGCCATCACGCACCACAAGCGCGGCGGTATCGTCTCTGTGCTCTGGCACTGGAATGCACCCACCGGTCTGTACGACACCGAGGAGAACAAGTGGTGGAGCGGTTTCTACACGCGCGCCACCGACTTCGACGTCAACGCTGCTCTCGCCGACACCACCAACGCCAACTACACTCTCATCATTCGTGACATTGATGCCATCGCCGTCGAGCTCAAGAAGCTTCAGGATGCCGGCGTGCCGGTACTCTGGCGACCGTTGCATGAGGCCGAAGGCGCCTGGTTCTGGTGGGGTGCCAAGGGCCCCGAGGCGTGCAAGAAGCTTTATGCTCTGTTGTATGACCGCCTCACGAACCACCATGAGCTGAACAACCTGATCTGGATCTGGAACTCAATTGCCGAGGCTTGGTACCCTGGTGATGAGACCGTTGACATTCTGAGCGCCGACGTCTATGCTCAGGGCCACGGGGTAAGTGTTGTTCCCGCTCAAGACAAGCCTACTGCTAACAAGTCATTTCCAGCCAATGACCACCCAATACAACGACCTCATTGCCCTCGGCGAAGACAAGAAACTCATTGCCGCTACCGAGGTCGGCAGTGCGCCATTCCCCGACTTGCTCCAGGCATATGAGGCTCACTGGCTCTACTTCTGCGTGTGGGGTGATACTTTCATCAACAACGCCGAGTGGAACAGTGTCGCGGATCTGAAGACGGTAAGCGACTACTTTCAATTCCAGCTCCTCACGATGATTTTAACACTTCGTAGATCTATGAAAGTGAGTACGTGCTCACTTTGGATGAGATTCAGGGGTGGCGCGGATAAGTGGTCCAAAGGACCCGTCATTTTCAAGTATTTCCACTGTAGATATTCAATTGACCTCTGTACATGCCGTCTTCCGCATTCTTTTACCTGAAATGTGTATCGCCATGCGAGCCTTCCTCTGTGGATCTCACCGTGGTCATTTTCATATGAGAGGATGCAAAAGTCATGTGAAGAAAGCTAGCTTGCGGTTGACGACCTCCGGGATATCCACTAAGCGCTGCACGTAGACGAGCAGAGAAGTAAGAGATGCGGCAGCTCGCCGACGAGCTGATGAGTCTCGAAACTTCCCCTTCCGGACTCATCAAGCCTAACCGCCAGATTATCGACTTGGATGGAATGCTGGGTCGAATCCTCAATGGCCAGCCAGAGACGCACCCCTCTAAGACTGCCAGAGTTAACCGACGGTTTCTAAGGAAACCAGATGTTCCTCCTCGCCTTGTTCCCTGGGTCCTGTCATGTTATCCTAAGGAACTAGCCGAAGACGTTCATTACTATGTGGCGCTTCAGTCTCAGAAACTGGGAAATGAATTCTTGAGGTTGAAGCAAGAGAACAGACTCTTCGACCCCAGATCTCCCGATGGGGTGCAACGAAACCTCGAGAGGTATGAGGCCTATATTTCGACATGGCAGACGGTCGGCGACAGATTTGTTAGGTCATCTTCGTTGCGCGGAGACCACCGAAAGGCGTTCCGAAGCCGCAGACAGATGCGGTCGTCATTTCGAAGAGGGTGACATTGGTCACTTTTCATCCCGACCAGACGAGAATTAGACTTGTGGGGGTGATCCGAGCTGGACCACGTTGATCATCAGCCCCTGCCGTCAAGACGTAGTAACCGCCTGCCCCGATCGTCCATTTAAGTTGAGAGTATCGCTGTCCCCGAGTGCATGAGTTGACCTTGACTACTTATCAGAGTCTCATCTCTGTCAAGCATAGCTCATCATGCAACTTTCTATGATCCTAGCAGCTCTGACCACTGCCAGTTCCGCGACGGCTGCAACATCGCAGCTATGGAACTTCACCGACCATGCCGTAACCATCGAGAACAGCGCTTTGCGGTCTAACGGACACCTGCTGCTTACAACATTCGACAATGCGAGTCTGTATACACTCGACACGCTCGCCGAAACCCCACAAGCATCGCTCGTTGCCAAGTTCCCTGGGGCCACTGCGATCGGCGGCATCGCCGCTATTGACGCGGATAAGTTTGCGATCTTGGGAGGTGTGCGAGGAAGCAACTACTCCTACACCGACGAGACTGTCTATACAATCGACTTCAGTTCCGGAAGCTCGACAACACCACCAATCGTCAACGTAGTCGCCAAGATCCCCGACGCTGTCATGTTGAATGGCCTTGCCTCCCTTCCTTCCAAGCCCCATATCGTGCTGGCTACCGACTCCCGCCTCGGCAGTATCTTTCGCATTGATACGCAGACCGGCGATTGGGAGATAGCCATCACGGACAACCTCTTCGCGGCGCCAGACAACGCCACTATCCCTATCGGGATCAACGGCATTAAGATTGCGGACGACTTCGCATACTTCACCAACACCGCCCGAACGAGCTTCGGCCGCGTACCAATTACAGAAGACGGGTACAGAGCCGGCGACGTTGAGATAGTGGCGGTTGCTTCCGGAGGCTATGCTTGGGACGACTTCGTCATCGACTCGTCTGGGAACATATACGCGGCCCAGACGCAGAATGCAGCGGGCCAGATCTTTTTGAACGGAACCTACACGACTATCGCCGGCGGAGGGGACAGCACATTCATCCATCGCCCTACGTCAGTTGCGATCTCCGAAGATAGCAAGACCTTGTTCGTAACCACGGGAGGAAACGTCGTCAATGGAGTGACGTACAGTGGGCAGGTCATCGCGGTTGGCTTGTAAGATGGACGAAGTCTCTCGGAGCAGAAAACTAATCCATACCAACAACTCATGCTCGGTTAAGTTTCGAATCAACTTCCAACTGAGGTGGGTTTATTCTGATCACGGGCGTCTCTTCAAAGAATGCCTCCTATATTAGATAATTGCCCAAAGACACTAGTTCCGATCGTTCTTTCATTGGCATCGTCTTCAGAAAACATGTGCATGCTACACTGTGAGTGGGACATGAGGTGTAGAAAACGGTTTCCCGTGTACTGAAATAACTACTCCGTGACGGCAAGCAATAGAGTCCCCTCGACTTCAATGTCTGTGCCGGCGGGGGTTGTAACGCATTTCCCACTCGACGTCCTCCCGATTGAAGAACGGTCCTTCCAAGTTCGAGTCTGAATCGCCGTCATATGTGCCCTCCAGCCTCGCCCGGGTACTTGGGTCAAGATCATCCATGGTCATACCTTACTCAGCCATGGCGTCCATACCATAATCCATATCCTCGGAATCGTGGCCGGGGCCCATGTTCTCACGTAGGCGTTCCTCGTAAAGGGCTTGTGCGTGACCTTCCAAACCTTCGGCCATTTGCTCCAGCAGGGCTTGCACGAAGCGCCTCTGCGCTGGGTCCATGTCATCATCGGCCGAGTCATCAGTGACCCAGTCGTCTTCATTGCCAGGGTCTTGGTCGTCCCCGTCTTCTGCATCGTGATCCGCTTGCACTGATTGAACCGCGCCTGTTCCGGCGGGCACTGGGTTTTCCAGTGACTTCCATCGAATGTACGATAGGGTCGGAGAGTAATCGTCGTTGAGGTAACCTTCAACGTTGTTCTCGTCGCCGAAAATACGTCGTCGCTTGGTATCGTCGAGCATGTACCATTGAGGCCCGTTCGGATAGACGAAGCACTCGACGAAGACGGGGGCAGCTCCTTCTCTTGCCGGATTCGACACGTTGCGCAGCATATCAACTGTGTCGTGCCAATCGCCTTGGAGCAGGCAAAGGCATTTCAGTCGTACCTTCAAGGTAGCCTGACGATCGCCGAGCAGCTCTCTCAGCCGAGCCGAGCCGATGACCACATCGTGCAAGTCCAGGATCCTCAGTTTCGGCCAAGGTTTGACGTTCAGAAGAGTTGTCAGCGCGGGCCAGAAACGCGGTTCCATCAACTCGAGCATGTTGTACCTCTTGAAAGAGCTGGCTCCCAGAACCAGGGTTTCGAGGTCGTCCATATCCGCAAACATGGCGTTGAGGAAGGCGGCCACCCGCGTCGATTCCCCCTTGTTTTCGTTATTGATCATCAACTGCGGGGGATGAACGTAAGACTTCATGTCGGTGATGACATCGTTCAAGGCGACCTGCACTTGGCGCAGGCTGCTACCAAACTTGTTGAGCTCTTTCGCGGCGGCTTTGCTAGGCTGGAGAACAGCGTAGCATTGATGATCACAAGAAGTGAGGACCATGGAAAACAACTCGAGCCGGACGCCAGCTTTACCGAGTGCTGTTGGAAGTGCAATCACCAACTCGAGGGGAGGCGGTTCCTGTCCCCGGCGACTTTTGATCTTCTCCCAGCGAATTGGAGAGACCATGTGGTTGTAAAGACCGACGTCGTTGCCCTTGTAGTCTTCTGTCCAGAGATGATTGAAGTCCTCATCACTAAATTCGAGGCCCCAGAGGTTGGGCATACGGGCCAAACATGTGGCGATTGTTTTGGCAAGGTGATCGTAGCCCTTGCCGCAGGCCTCCTCTTGCGCCTTCTGACGCTTCTTGAACTCTTCGTGTGCATTTCCCATGAGCGTGCGATACTTGGGCTTGAGTGGCCCTGAGAACCCGACCGCTCTGAGCTCATCGATATGCAGGTCGAGAAGCTCTTCGAGGTTCGAGGGACCGCTATCGAATTGAGCATAGGCCGCTAGTCTTTCTCGCCTCCGATCGAGGCAGTCTCGTTGAAACTTGATGAATTCCGGAAGAGAATCGGCAAGGTGTTTGGGGAAATAGGCGAGCGCCACGTGGGCACGTTTTACGCCTGCCGCGATCGCTGGGCTGTTGGAGATGGCGTCTAGGCGCGCGAGAGAATCGGGATTCAGGGAGATCTTGACCCTACGGACAAGCAGCGAGGAGCTCAAGTCACGCAGGCGCTTGCAAGTGAGACGCAGGGCTTTGACGACGCTGACATCGCTCTCGGAGCTCTCGGACGACTTCGTGATAGCCGCGTAGTCCACGATGTCGGATATAATCTCTGATGGCAACGACATGAGACACGGAGCGGGAGACTGGGCCACACCGCCGTGCACGTCCGGCTCCGTGCCTTGTGATGGTTCGGATGAGCCCGCGACCGGGACCGAATTGGACCCGTCCACCGCCATGATTCGGAAAACGATGTCAGGAATCTGAAGCGGCTTCGACAGAATAGCGTTGTGAGAAGGGGCTTGGACCAAAAGAGACTGGAGGAAGCTACAGATGGAAGAGGGGAAAGGTTGACGCCGAAGTAGCGGTAACTAATTGTTAAGGAATTGATTAACTCAGCAGATCGACACACTGAACGCGTCGCGTCTTTTCTTTTGGATAAAGACGCGTCATGAAGATCCACCCGTATTTCTACCGTTTCTACCTGAGAGAGTTTGTTGCGTGCGTGAATTGCGACGCTTGGCATCATTCCCCTAGGCGCTTCGGTACTGCGGTTATTCGATTGTGACTTCGAGCATGTCTCAATCGAATAGCTAGCGGGGTGCCCCTTGATGCCTCACTGCAGTGCAGGTTTGCTTATATCCATAAAGTATGTTGCTAGACTGTTTAATTTGAATTTTCGCCGTAGACTCATCCGGCAGGTAGAAGCCACAAATGTGTCCATATGTCGCTAGGCAAGAAGCGTTCCATGTAGGTTTGCTAGCAATGGCTTTCTGGACTAGTCTTAATCTCATATCTGAGACAGTTTGCATGAACCGGGGATCCTCCCCAGTATTGCCCCTCTCTCTTTTGTTGACCGCCTTTCTGGAGAGAATTCTCGCTTTCTCATCATCGACTACCTCCTTATCGACAATGAACACAACCAACAACCAACTCGAGGGAGTCAGTCCGCTTCCTCAGGATGGTGCTCAATCCGACGAAGTGACGACCAATGATGTGGAGATGGCCACTGATGAGGAGATGGAATCCCAAGACGAGTCTGGATCAGATGAAGAGAACGAAGCTGAAGCCGAGTCTGGGTCCGACGATGATGACGACTCCGTCGAGTACATGGACTACGGGTCGCCACAATTTCTCCCGCTAGACGATGCCGGGGGATTACAATACGGGCCGGAAATGCAAATGCTAGCAAGGCTTATTGCTGCCGGCGGACAGTTCCCAGCGTCATCGTCCACATCTTCTCACCAACGCCACGTGAACAGAGACCCATTCAACACGAAATGGTTCGACATAAAATGGTCAGAGCGAGAAGACTACTATGTTCCTGAGGCCGACTGTCCTTGGGATATCCCGTCTCGGCCCACATTCATGCCGCAGTCCAAACTCGGCGATTCTCGATGGCCCGCAGACAAGATTTCCGCCCGTGGGGAAGAGCTCTGTAGCGTGGAGCTTGATACCATTCCCAGCTGGGATTTGGCCGCCCTTTATCAACGCATGACAGATCTCGATGAGGTGTTGGGACACATCAAAGACGACTGGCCGGTAAAGCGCGTTGAAATCAGCAGCAAGCGTTTCCGCGTTTCCGTCATCCCCGATAATGAGGAAGGATGTCACCTGGATCTTGCCAGACGTCTCCTGCGTCAGCACGATGCCATTAGGGACATTGTTCAAGAACGATCGCGACCCTACGTCAAGAACACTCGGTTCGAAGACTTGTCATTCGATCTCTACCATCAGATCATCAACTATTGTCGAATCATGCCTAGCAAGTATGCCCTCGGCGAGAACTGCGGACTAGACCTCATCAAGTCTTTTCGCCTCACCTGCAAGGCGCTGAATGAGATCGCTTCCCCACTTCTCATCCGTGGCGTGACAGTTCACCTCACGACTGAATCTCTGGAACGCTTGGAATACATTTCAAAACATCCGCTGTTGAGCAAGGGAGTTAGTCACGTGGGACTCAGACTGGATTATTACGTCCCCGAATTCCAAGACCCTCTTGCCTTTACCCTTGCCTCGGCATTCCATCTTCGGTCGCTGCTGGAAGAGACGGACTATGAAGGAGAGGGTTTGCTGAATAAAGTCAGGATCGGGGCGGAATTCATTGAAGGAATGCTGGACTCATGGATCGACCTCGCCAAAGAATACCCGAGTCAGGACCAGGAGGCCGATATGGATGCCGTCAAGAGAGACTGGGCTAACAAATTCGCCGAAGTGCCCTTTCTCTTAGACGCCCATCGAGCATACGTCGATAAAGTCAAAGATTACGAAAAGACCCTAGAGGATGACGGTGACTTCCTTTGCAGAGTTGCCGACGCAGTGGCACGCATGCCTCTTTGTAAGGCTCTCACACTATCCGATCACGATACCGACGCCTATGAGAGTGCCAGCTGGTTACAGAAATACCGGCCCTCTCAGATACTGGAGCATGGGCCCATGCTAGATCTACTCACGAGTCCAAAGATTTGGAATTGCATGGCTGGTTGGCCGGGTCAGGAACTCTTCCCCGAAATAAGCCAGCCTCCGGTCCATATACTCAGTGAAATCTTTCCTGCTCTCGGTGCACGAGGCGTCAGGCTTCGTGCCGTCGACATACAGGTTTCGGCGCCATTCAGCTTGTATGACCTCGAAATTGAGGACGACGAGGCTCGACAAGATTTCAGCAAGTGCATGACAGATGTCCTGTACCTCACGGTTAAGATCAGACGTCCCCAAGTGCCGGAAATGTATGCTTGGGTTGGGAATGAGACGTCTTGGCCTCCCCGCGATGAGCAGGAGCTTTCACTTGTTGACTCGTTCCTTGACGCGCTTCTGAGCACAGAAAAACTGCAAGATTTGAAGTTGAACTTCCAATCGTTGCAAGAAGAAAACGAACACATTCCAGGCTCGTGGTACTTCCCTTCTCTCTTCAAAATGGAGACGAGGAAGTGGCCATCTGAACGCAAAACATCTCTCAAGCACGTTTGTTTGAGCTCTATTGGGCTAGCCGACTTCCTCGCAGATGGCGAGATCGATCTCAAGGATGTCTACATGGCCGAAGGAACGTGGACCGAAGCACTCGACATTATGCGGCAAAGACATAAACCTCGTTCGGAAACAGAAACCCAAGCTGAGGCAGGAGGACGAGGCGTCCCGAGATTCTCGGCCAACGTCGTGGAAGTACGCGGCGCCGAGGCCGAGACAATGTACAACGAAGCCTATGAAGAGTGGCGAATGGCGTTCACAAATGCCTTCAGAGGTCGGGGCCTCGACCCTTTTCAGGCGGAGGGAATGCCATCCCCGCCACCGGATACTGAATGGCGTGCTAGGCGCTATGTTAACCACCAGCGAGACGAGAACCCTTGCCGGGCATTCTTGTAGCCGTTGGGCTCCCGGTTTGAGATAAGTTTGCACGTATACGGAATTGCTTGAATGGACATCTGGAAATATAGCATCAAACACCTTAGTGAAGACAGAAGTTGAGTTACCACACATGCTGGCCACTACATGTTTATGTACATTTCGTTGATTAACGTGGATCCTTCTTAAATATCTGGGTGTCACAATTCCTCTACAGCAATGTTGAGAACTCTGTTCGGATACGTTCGATGGAGTCATGCGACGAGAAGTAGTCTAGTCCCTTCTCTAGGGAAGTAATCAAAGTGGGCTTAAGCTAGGATGAAAATAGGGCAAGGTTGGGTCTATTTCTTGCTGAGAGCTGCGAACATAGGAATGACCAAAAGAGCAAGACCAGATCTATGGAACCTTGGATGCGCCGTGTGGAGGACTTCTAATATGTAACGTCGTTCGGGTGGCAACACGTCACGACAATTCGTTGGCCCTATGAAGTCGATCATTTGAAGCCGTGCCGCATTTGGCACTTTTGCCATTGCTGCAAACACTTCTCGAGAAAGCCGCAGACAAGCTTGGGTATAGTCGCTGTGAAGTCGTCTGTACTCCTCGAAAGCTTCCAAGATTTCTGGATCGTCCCGCACCTGAGCCGCGGTCGTTATGTCACCGATCAAACCATTAATAAGCCAGCCCGGTGATGATTCCCTGTCAGAGTTCGAGTCGTGATCAGAATACGAAATCAAACGACCCCATCGCCAGTATTTCTTGGGCAAAGTTTTGGTACCGCACATACGTGTAGCCGACTGTGCCAAGTGAATGACTTTCTGGTAAAATTTTGAAAATCAGTAAGCTCTGGCGTGAAATACAATAGATTGAAGAAGTCGAACAGCTCGTACACCACTGCTAATGGTTGGATGAGCGGAGATTTGGGCGAGTCCAGCAAGCGAGTTCTGATTCAGTTGTCGGTGACTGTAGGCTGCAGAAAAGGAGAGGCCAGATCGCAGAGAAATTTGCACGTCAACCAAAGGGCTGCTATGGTTTTCCGTATTTCCGAGCAGTAGCGCAAATCAGCATTAGAGTTGCCGAGATAGTCGAAGCCTTTTCCGTCATCTTCTTCCCGCTCTGTCTCCTCCCATTCTTCGAGGAGGTGTAGTGGTTCGATTTCCACGCAATGCGAGATTATTGCAGATACAACTTGCCGGGGCCGGTTGAGCAACTGAGACGAGTGCGGCTCCATGATGTTATGTCAAAGGGTTGAACAAGTTCGACATTGAGGTACAATAACTTGCAGGTTGAAAACTGAAACTAATACTCTTGCTGAGATGACATGCTTGAGCTCAAACCGTCAGCTTAATCCTATCAGAAGGCTGGGATCAGGGCAGCACTGGAGTGAAGATTTCGTGTGTGGTAGAATAGGTAGGGTATAGCTCCATACTTGCTCGGGAGATGCAAGTTATCTGTCTGGTCATAGCGTTTACTATGAAGTCTGTTTTGTTGTTGAATGGTGTATTTGTTTCTTGCTTGTCATTCGAACACTCCGGGAACTAAGTGGCCGTTACTATGAGACAATAACACGTGTTATTGCCCAGAGCGTGAAAAAGAGGATACTGCGCTTTACTGAGGGGTAGGAACTGAACTCGAAGACTCTACATGTAGTAACTGACATTACAAGACCATCAAATTGTTTCCGCGACCAACTATGTTCTTCACTGCTAAGGTAGGTGCTTCTTGAAAGCTCGGAGACTGACGAAGCAGACAGTTCCTGCTACATAAGACAATCCCGCGAAAATAATCAGTCCAAAATAATTCCCGTGGCATTTCGTCAGAATCGCGCCGGCGATCGGAACCCCGGTAAGTGCCCTACATCACGTCAGACTCTTTCTCCAACTCATCATCACAAGAGGAATCTTCACTTACCCGAGGCTGACAACGGTGTACACCGTTGAATAATACCTGCCGTAATCCCTCGTGGAGCAGTATTCGCCCACACAAACAGGCACCAGACTGATGTTGCTGCCACTCGCAAAGCCGAAGACGACGGCAAAGACTATGACAGCAGCAACATTGCCGTTCGCTGGAAGCCAAATCCCAAGCATAGAGATAATGCACAGAACGTTTGTCAAAATCATGGTATTCATACGACCAAACCTGTCCGCAAGAAAGCCAGGGAGCCATCTGCCGGGAAAGGATCCAGCGTTCAGGAACACCACCATCAGGTACGACAGTCTCCTGCTGATTCCATGGGCAAGGGCATAGGATGCCACGTATTCGAGGCCAATGAAGAATCCCCACTCGATGAAGAAGACACCGACCGTCATCAAGAGAACAGGCAGTCTCAGCAGAATGCGGAAATCTGGGAGAATGCTCTTGTCAATGGGCAGCGTTTTGGGTGTCTGTCTTGGACGCACAAGAATGCATCCTACAAGCAAGAGAAGCAGAGTGATCAGGCCGATCACGCGAGTGGTCCAAGCAAACCCTATGCTTTCACCCAGGGCATCAAAGATCAGAGGAAACATCACTCCTCCGAGACTGCCTCCGGCCATGGCCAATCCTGTAGCTGCTCCTCGTTTGACGTTGAAGTATTGGCCTACCGTCGCGACAGGTACGACGAAGATGATGGATGTCGCCGCACCTGCAACAACTCCAATGACAAGTATGAAGTGCCAAAACTCCCGACAAAAGCCAATCGAGACGAAAGTCGTAACGTAGAGCAATGCACCGGTGACCATAAGCCATGTAGGGCCATGGATGTCAAATACAGGTCCAATCTGTATGCCGCAGAAGAAGACCATGAAGTTGTACAGACCAAAGATCCATCCCAGTCTGCTTTCGTCAACTTCCACAAGCTGATGTTGTGAGATCCAAGACTGATAGATCCCGATGCTATTCATGAGGCCGAGACCACCCATGATGGCGCAGAAACTTCCAAAGACGACTAGGTACGCCGCCCTTCCACCCTCGGGGTAAGCCTCCTCCAACGCGCTGTCAGCTTGTTCGGGGTCAGAAGGGCAGCTTTCGGGTTCGTTTTCGTCATCCCTATTGTGCATGTTGTTTCGCACCTGCTTTTCGCATTGAGGCGGCTGTGATTACGTGGTTGGTCAGAGACACCACATGCCAGCGTATAACTCTGGAGCTGGGAGACTCACCTTATTCTTCTCCTTCCTCAGCAGCGATACTATCGTCTGACTTGCCATGTTTGGAAATTGTTCAGGAAGCAACTTGAATGTTCTCAAATTGGTTACTTTATGGATCCTCAAGAAAGATTGTGATGTTGGGTGATCAAAGACTGTTATTGACTGGGGAAATCAATAAGTTGTACTAGTTCTGGGAAATATAATAATTGTCAAAAATAAATATATTTCACCCTAATTTAAGGCACAGAACGGACTCAAGTTTGTCACACCTTGACATACTGTGGGTTAGATGTCGGCGAACTACAGGCTGAGACCTTCGCCGAAATGCCGAGGGCCCTCATTTCGCCGAACACAGCTGACTTACTTCAGCCAATCACTCGCATACAACAAACTCTCAGATTGTTACTAGATCAAATCATATGTCAAGTGTTCTAACTCACAAATAACATGTCCATCCTCTTGAATTGAGACATGAAGGTCATTGACCCTGACAAAGTAGCCTCAGCAACATTCACACAACCGGAAGATGTCCAACTAACTTCAAGAGTTGCATGTATGAAGAAGATGTTTACTGTCAACTTTCAAATCGCAGTTTTGGTTATCAGCAGCAGATACAGTCATCAAATCAGGGTTGAGATGCCAGCGCCCGGCGCAAGGGCGAACCACATGCTTCAAGCTTAGTTCTTCTACCTGTGCAGCCACCCTAAGCTCGAATATTCAAAAGGGGAAAGACAGGTATAAGAATGTAGATGTAATTCAATCGAGGGCTATTGTTGTTATAGTAAGGGTGCCAGTACCGCGCCCTTCTACCCAGAACTTCCACATAAAGCTCACGATAGCAACTGAAACACACTGGCATCCAGTCAGGCATTTCATCCTGACAATCTCACACGCGACCTCGATCCTGGCCTTCAAGCCGTTGACCTTGGTCTCCTCGATGCGTGCCAGCCTAGTATAGCCCAACAAGGATATCACCTCGGACCCTAGCTGTGAGGTGAACCTCGGCTTCAAGGTCAAGCTTGATACCGACCAGGAAGCTGGAGTCCTTAGGGTTTCCATTGGCATCAACAGGACCCTTGAGAAGGCTGCCTGTGTTTGCATCAGAAAGCAGCACGGGAACGTAACTTGAGGGAGAAAGTTCGACCTACCGACAGGTGGCTTGTCAGGAATGGAGGATCCCGGCAGGGGGAGGGACTTGGCTACATCGTTGGTGTTGGCATTGGTGGAGGAGTTGTTAGGGTAGGTGCTGTTGGAGTTGGCGGCGCTGGTAGCGCTGGTAGGGGGGAGCGGGTTCTTGCTGCTGAGAGCGATGTGAATCAGCCATGAGTTCGAAACGATGGAGATTCCCATACTTACGGAGAGGACATATTTGCAGTGGGAGTGCCTGGGCGTGAAGAGGAGGACTGCTTGCTTGACATGAGCGAAAATGATTGTGTTGAGCGTTGATCGGTGGCGTGGATACCTCGAGGCAGGATTGCGATGAGGCCGGGAAGATTCTGGCTTGTCGAGCAAAGAATTCCTCTTCTAAGGCGAGTGATTGCCTCCTATTTATTCTTTTCCGACGACCATGAGAATGTTGAGTATACGTATTAGAAGTTGACGACATCGAAAAGTTCCATTCATCCGGACATGGCCGATGACTTTGCTTCTGGTATCGCGGCAAGGATGCAGATTCCGTAAAATCGAATTGCGGAGATATCTGCAAAGGAGAGACAGCTCATCGCCCTGCCCGACGGGTGTTCACCACAGCTGCCCAGCCAACAAAAGAAAGCAAGTACAAGTTTGCGGGATCATGCTGGTTCGTCAACAGTCTGCGAAGGGTACTTAAGGCGGTGGTAGAGGCCTGATGGACACAATTTGTCAGACACTGGCATAAATCTCCGCTCACTAAGCTGCAGCCTCTCGCCGAAGAATACAACAGAGACAACAAGTACACTTTACACAATGCCCACAACATTCATAGTCGCTTTTGCGACGGTGGTCGGGATGACGGAAGCTATCCGACACATTCAAATCCAAGCCCGAAGGAAAGAACACCGCAGCCGCAAGAATAACCTCCTGATCCGGTGCCGCAAATCGACTCGTTATTCCCCGGACCTCGAAGGGAAGCATGTCGTTCTTTCCGGAGACAAGGTGAATATCGACCCAGTCACCCAAGCACACATTATGTGCTACTCCCACTTCAAAAGTCGGCTCACTCACCATCCCGGGTTTCCTATCTAGCTCTTCGTTGATACCGGGCTTGACCCCGACTCGGCGTTCGGCCACCCGTTCACGGGGTACTACCTGCCGTACCCAGAGAGGGAATACGCGGGGCTCGTGTCAACCATCTGCGAGGAGCCGCCCATCATGAACTGGATCTACGTTGATCGGGAAACGTACGAGGTCAAGTTTGGAACTCGTCCATACGCCCAGCCGAACTATACAGGGCCATTCGACTGTACCCGGCAAGACAAGCGGCTTACTTTTGCTGGCTGGGAGGGATTTTTCGTTGTCAAGACGGGTGACTTCTGGGCTCTCTACTTTGATATTGAGCAGGACCGGCTGAAGTCAAAGCTAGGAGATGGGGCCCTTGCTCTGGCAGTGGACCTCTTGCGCATCGAAATACCCGTCATGCCAGTGAAGCCGGAGGACAAGGAGGAGGAAAAGCTTGTAGGCCAAGACGCCAGCCAAGAAGTCCATCATCCTGGCCAAGAAGGCGAAGATAGTAGCACTACGGCGAGAGGGCCCGAAATGGAGTTGGACTCTCCCGAGGTTGACTGACTTGTGGAGAAGTCACGGCAACGATGGGAGACAATTTCAGCTAGCGATGCTTCGTCCGGTTCAAGTAGCCAATGCGCGTCATGGGTTGAGAAACAAATCATCTGCAACTCCAACTATTCCCTCGTGAAGTCCTTGAAGCATGGTGCGTAGCCGATGGTGACAACTCTGCATTTGATTTTAGGGGAACCTCTCCTGGGTATTGCAAGGCGACAACTTCCGATTTTGAGGGGACCCGCCGCCTCAACCCCGGATCACACAGGTCTAGCCCGATCCAAGTCCACCCACGCCTGCAGGGCTGATCTCCATGATCAGATCATCAGCGCATCTTCCGAGCAGACCCTTTTTAGTACACTGTAAGGGTACAGGGGTATTGCAGATCTCCCGCTGGTGGATCGAGTGCATCGCGAGCTGAAATCGGACGGAGCAGCCCTGCCGCCAGGCCTCATCCTAGTCAATGTCATGGTTCAGGAACCTCACGTTCCGACTTCTTCACAGCTTCGACATGGAGTGGCAAGTCCCAATGTGCTCTCAATTTCCAACCAATTGCCGAAGAAACATGCCGGCCCATCGACACTAGATGAGAGATTTACGGCCCAAGCTCTGTCGTGCAACTTTGTCTCACCTAGCTGCGACCTTGCCGACGGCTGTGACCTAAGAAAAGCAATGTCAGGCGCCAAGCTTCCACAACAATAACCCGCAGTGCAATCCTACATAGGTACATTAATGAGTATTGTGAGATGCTGTAAAAGGTAAGTAATCACGCCACAAGCGTTAAACACCTTATTCCTCGTGGCGTTCATAATGGCCTGAGCCAAGCAGCCGCTGCGTGCTTAAGTGATACAACTACACTCACCAGACAGTAGAGGGTGATGGTTTTCAAACGACACTGAGGCTTTTGAAAGTCCTGAAAACTTGACGAAGGTCGGCCTGATGCGCTGGCAGAACCCACTCGAATCGTACCCCCACATTAGCCCAGCCTCATCTGTAGTACACCGAGGTGACAGGATCAACCTGGCGCTCCCTCGTGCATACGGTGTACAAATCTCTGAACCCTCAGGAATCAGATCATATTGTAAGAGCGGAGGGAGGCTTCAACCGGGCCGGTCCAATGTTTAAGTCTCACACAGGACGGATTTGGTGTTAGGTGGAGTGTCATGCAATGCAATACCCCTAGATCCACCTTTCGGGATTTCGTGCAGGAATTGAGTTGAAGTCCGGCAACTCCAAACTGTATTTAGGAAAGCGGCAATGCGAGCTAACTACGAAGTTAACAACGGACGTAACGATCTGGGTATAGCCGAGTGCCTTCGTGCTGTGGGATCAACTTACACTGCCGCATTGGCGGCGATGATCCAGCTTGAACCGGAACCCGCCGGTTCCCACTTCTTCGCACAACTTGCAAATCTAGGGAACACGAAAATCTCAACCTCTCCACGTTGAGGTTGACTTGGCAACACCTGGTTGTGTCTATGGGTACTTGTGCATCAGGCCGAGATCTTCCGGTGGCCCGCTACTTGGACCTGCGGCTACCCGTAGTCACCTAGGCAATTCCCGGGTCCTTTCCGTTCAAGTAGTTATGGTGTATCCTGGTTTTTCGAGTGGCCTGGTTTGGAATTGCAATTGTACCAAAAGTCTGAAGCGCAGAGCCTTCCGGAAACAAAACTATCTGGAAGACATGCCTTGGCGAATAATCCGAATGCCTCTTGCGGCTGATGACGTCGATGGTCAGAGTACATGATCAGCCAGTCAAGATGATTGAAACTTTCGCAGCTTCGTGAGGACAAGTAATAGTCTTCTTGTTCTAATGCAATGTACATCAACCGTATCATCAGAAATCTCAGACGGATCTTGTCATCGTCATCGTGCACCTTCACCCCAAGGTCTTCTCGTCTTTGTCCATAATAATCAACTCCTTTTTCAAAAGGCCAGTCTAGAGATTAATTAATCCCAAATTCATCGGTTGAGTTAATTTTTCTGTTCCAAAATTGAATCGGTCTGTTATAAAAGCCAGGATATCTATGCATGGTACCGCAAAAGTTGAGTCGAAGTGTGCATTGGAACATCATAACATGCAACATGTTCAACAGAAGACAAAATTCAAACTCATATAAGTTGAACGCTACGACTAGTTACATGAAAGAAACGACAGGTTCTGAAGCAATCTCTGAAAGTTATTGTTGACTTATGTGATCCGTCAGGTTCCGGTCGGAGCTACGGGTTTTCGGTCGGACACGGGCATCAATTCGCCGAAAGTCTCGGTCCCACTACTCCAACCCTCAATTTCGCCGAGAAGGCATTCCGTCATCATTCGGCCAATCTTCCCTCAAGCGCCAGCGCAAATCCGCGATTTGAAATTCGGCGAAACTTGCACTTCGCAATGTCAGTTTGCTCTCTAAGGACGAACCAGCCACACAATGTCACCGAACGGGAGAGAGACGACGATGGGCGTCGAAACGACACGCGCGTACCGGTCACGTAAGCGACATCGGCCATGCGACAGATGCCGCGAGATGAAGCTGAAGTGCCTGACGGACGATCAACCTCCATGCAAGCGGTGTCAACAGAGCAAGACTGAATGCACGTTCGTGGGAAGACCATCTAAGAGGCCTTTATCTCAACGGTCGAGCCAGCAAAAACGCACCAGAAACACCTCGTCGCTGCCTCCGGCGGAGGAGCATGCATATGGAATAGCACTGGAAGAGTCTTATCCGGTGGAATCGTCGCCTTTCCAACCAACAACTACTGCGCCTGAGACCGTTCAAAGCCAGTCAACTCCTTTCGGCGGCTTTTCGCATGGTCTTGAGGTTTCACCTCTCACCAGCGTTCAGCTAGACCGCCCGACGACACAACTTTCTCAGAGTCTGGACCAGATGGAAGGACATAGCGCAATGCTCCTCGGAAGTTCATCGGGTTCTGATCCCTGGCTACTACGCCATTTTCGTTTCGACGAGCTTGGTTTGAGAAGCTTCCATATGATGCATATCCGGAATGCTGGTGGTCTCCCGACGGCGGATAAGATCCCAGTCCACTTTCTGCTCACTTCGGATGCGCTCTCTGCCAATCAAACCCCCTCGAAGTCATTGCAAATGCGGCAAGAACTCGACGGTCTGGTCTCTCAGTCTATGGGTATACGGCTTATACGACTGTAAGTTCATATTAAGTCTCTTTTGTGGCCATGTTACTGACGGGTTAGCTTTCATAAGCATGTCTTTTCACTACTCCCGGTGATTTCACGGACAGCTCTAGGGTTGACATCCCAGGATCTAATACCCGACCCTGGTGTTCTTACAACCATGCCGACTCATCTTCTGGCCGCTGTGTATGGCTCTTCCTTGCCGTTCATACTACATGATGACCAGCTGGCAGCTCCCTCCGCTTACGATGATGTTCCACTTGACAAGATTTGGGACATCGTGGACAGGAGTATGCATGAAGACGCACACAAGCCGCATCTGTCACTTCTTCAAGCTGCACTTCTTTATCTTCATAAGACGCATACCGACCAACGAAAGTACGCCGCTACAGATACCTCTTCTCTGTGGCCCTTCATGGGGACAGTGGTAGGATTAGCGCATAATCTGGGTCTTCATCTAGAATGTCGCATGATGGGCCTTCCAGCTCATGAAAAGAGACTTCGCCGGCGATTGTGGTGGGCAGTCTATATAGAGGACAAGTTTCTTTCTTTGCTCACTGGTCGACCACCGTATATCCGGCAGGATGAATGGGATGTTATTGAGTTGGATGAACTCGACTTTGCGCCTTACGGAGAGCCGGGAACTTCGTCGACGAAGACAACATCTCCCTTCAGAGACATGGGCAGATTAGCTTTGATTGCCGAGACTCTACAAGCAGACTTGTTGTGAGTTGTTTTGTCCTCAACGTTGACGTCAGTACTAATAATCATGACAGCTCCTTGAGATCATGTCAGAAGCTGGCCGAGAATCTCCCAGGTTCCATCCAAGCGGCACGGCCGATCTTTGACGCCCTCCATACATGGCGAGCCACAGTCCCAGTCAGAGAGCCATATCACTCAAAGCCCGGTGTTGGTTTCGAAAGTTCAGAATCATATCCTGCTTGCGTTCATCTCGCATATTTGACCCTGGTGGCTTACACATGGAGGGCTCTACTACGCCCTGCAGTGCGGTCTCCTCCTCCGCCGCAAATCATCGACGTCGAGAATGAACCACAGGTTTTCCCAGATACTGGGTTTCTGTTCGAGAACCTCAGTTGGGACTTTTCTGATCTTCCGGAGATTGAACTTCAACTTGAAGATGGCGTCACCGATGCGAGTGCGACGATCAAGGAACTCCATCAGGCGGCGCAATCCTGGGCAGAGAGCTTGGTGCAATTTACCTCAAATCTATCTTCGGGTGACTTGGGAGGAATGTGGTACTCTTGTAAGTCTTGCAAAGATCGATCTTCACAATTATCGGTTCGAGGCTAATGAACCTCCATTATAGGGTCGAAGTTTAGCTTCGTGGTTGCGTCTAATCTTCTCTTGTTGCTCTTGGTTCAAGCGCCCAGTGAGGAAAGCGGCATCAGGGCCAAAGCTATGTTAGAGCACTGGCGTCAAGTGGTCAGAGATCAAAGCAGAGCATCCCCGCTGTTTATTCTTAGCTTCACGGACTTGAGCCAGATTTACGGCGTCGGGCTGGCGGAAACGTTTTGTGTACCGTTGCATGTCCAGGGAATTCTCTGAGTCAGATATTGAAATCAATCTTTTCTCTACTGTTAATCCTGATTAGACTGCGCTCAGAGTGGTTTCCTTTGTGCGTGCTTCGGCGAAAATGTGTTGTCGGCCAATTGGGCACCGTATTCAACAACCAATCGGCCAACTTCGTCTCTTTTTACTGCACACCTCGTTATATTTAGTTGAGAATAATCCTTCAACGGCGTTCGTTTCGATATCGCATTGGCTTTCTAAGTATGTATATTTGACCGCCATGGACAGATATATCGACATGAACGAGGATTTCTCTGGGCGCCACCAGCTCAGCCGATGCAACCTACCGCCTCGCCAACGCCGTTTGAGCGAATATGATGATTATCCCGCTCCCCCATCATACCAACAAGCCACGAGGAACACAGAGCATGAAAGTGAAGTTGATATGACTGGAGATAAAGACGAGTCGCCAGACCGCCACAACCTCCTTTCCCGTTGTTTAAGACGATTGGCGAGATCATTCAAACCTGAGCCTGCACATCCCGAGTAAGTCGTTTAGTGGTAACTCGTGTATTTGAGGTCAACAATTAAAAGCTTCTATGCAGGAATATGACAACAAAGGTCATTCTTTTCTGGCCTGATACGGCTACCTTTACAATAGCAGATTGTGTCCCCCAAGCCCAGCCCAGAACCCAGAGTGAGTATCGTGTTTCTCCAATTCGAAGTTTGCAACTAGCAGTCAGAAAAGACTCGGATATGTGTTTTGGCTCATGTTGCCGCAACTAGGCTGAGCTTTGGACCATGTCGGAGTTGGTTGTGTGTTTGCCGTTGCTCGAGATGATATCACAAAACCTTTGATACGAATGCTATTATTGTATGCTACTCAAATCTGAATCTTGACTTTCTGCAACTTTACAAGGACTTCGTGACTATGCCATTATTTTTAAGCCTTGGGAAAATAATGGATATGACCAGCTTTCATGTAATTGCGCAGGGGATATTATGATACCAACGCTCGGAACGTCGGAGAGAAACCAAATTCATCGTTCTTCCGACGCCCATCGTTTTACTCATCCTCAATAAACGACAAACAGCCTGACCTCTATACTCTCCCTAGGCTCCTTCGGTGCTGGTCCAGGTTGCGTAAATGACGTATGCGCCACAACCTGCGCACCTTCAGAATCATGCTGCAGAAACAACAAGACCTCTTCGGGTGTTTGATCCGCCAGATACCACCACTCATGACGTCTCTCAGCAGCCTGCGGCCTTTGCAGCCAGTAACCCTCGACGCCAGGGCCGACCTCAGGCTGCGGGACGGTCAAGTAGTCCTCCCAAGCCATCGACGTGGTGTCGACCACTGACACCGGGTTCTTGCGCACCGTCTTCAACGGCCGCCACGCATTGACCATCTGCCAATGCTTTCCATTCTCGTGTACATCCGCGTGCATACTGGGACAGTCCCAGCTCATCAGTATAGGCGCGAATTTGCTGGTGACGTCGACATGTGGTCGTCTGGCTGGGCAACGGTGTTTGCGGGTGTAGGCCATGCCGTCTTCGTAGGTCACGTTTCGTACAACATGGTGAAAGGCCTTAACTTCAGATGCACCGAGCCTATGAAAATGAAGTAAAATGGTTAGCTGTGCATTGAAAAGTCTATTTTGGCAAGTAGTGAGGGTGTTCTCCGGGGACAGCGTATGCTGGTTGAGACTCGGACGTACTGTTCTTTCAGAAGCTTTTCTAGGCGAGGGAAATACGTCTTTCTCACTTGCTCGTCATCCAAATAATCGATCTCGGGCGGTTCGTCTAAGCGCGCATACTGGAACCCTGTTGTAGGAATCGAGAACTTCTTTTCTGTTGCGCGGGCATTATGAACTTCGGCTGGCTGCGAGTCGAGGAATTCGATGTCGTGGGAGAACATCTGGGCATGGTTCGGAATGTTGCCATCGTTGTCTCGTTTGACGTACGGGATATCGACGGTTATTCTGTCGTGGACAGCCATCTTCTCGAAATTAAGGACTGATATCTGGCAGAAATTGTCGAAAGCCGCGAAACAAGAGTGTCAACATGGCCATGTTGGTGCTGTAGACATCTAAATATGAGAGGGTTTCTCTAGGTCGGCATTGCTCCGATGTCTCAGAGACGGGGGGTATCGTAGTATGCTATCTGTAGTAATTATCCCAATCTGCGCGCGAGTCATCTCGCAACTCTCGCATATGACCCACGTGGATAGTTCACAGAAGCCATTGCCTTTTAGGAGAATGTCTAACTTGGTTTGGACAATGTCGATTAGAACCTATTTCGTATTGGACCAATGAAGTAGGTAGAATACAAATTGCCTCGCGCCCTAGGGAGACCCCGAATACCGATACTGATGTTCAGACCGCTCAACACCAATTTGATGCCCCTTTTCATCAATGACTGAATCAGGATGAAGACAACCACGCATCAATGCACGCAGACATCTTCAGAAGAGTATGCAGGTACGCATGGCTGAACAGTTGTCTACGTACAATTAGGCAGTGTTGCATATGCGCAACTAAACTAGTTCTACCTCAACTAGGTTTGTCAATATGAAAGTAGTCATCTCCGAGTTCACATAAGAAACAGGGCGACTTCTTGTTACAAGAATGGTTGCAAGTTCACGCTCGAACTCAAGATGTTTGCTGATCGAATACGACGTCGGCTCGCTGGTGGACAACGTCGGTGGATCTTTCGCATCCCACCGGGTGGGTGATGAGTTTCTGTTGTCGGGCTTCTCCGTTTCTTGACGCGTTACTCCTGACCCTAGCCCACATCACTTCGCTCTTGAGTATCATTGTGACCATTCGTGTTCGCAGACCTTTTTAACTTCAAGTGTTTCCAGTTGATCTACCATGGGGAAACGGTGTTTCTTACCCTCATCGCCCTTCAACACGTGATCCTATAAGTCTACGATGAACACGCCACGTTGGTTCGAGTATCATTATTCCCTGTAGTGCACCAATTTGTTGAATAATCACGTTGAGGACTTTTTCACGTTGAATATATTGCGTTCATGGGGTGTTCTGAACCTGAAAGCGTTGACCGTCGCACTACAAGACATGTAGAACAATTGTTGGAGTTGTTTTAGTATTCAACGCCTGCTTGAAGCCACAATGAGGCACAAGGCGTGGGATGAGGGTGTTAACATCATACATTACCTATGTTGCAACAGAAGTAGAATATAGACAGCTGAAGGAGCTCGCTTCTGAGTTGGGAGGTATTGCATCTGTTCAAGACCGTCGAGGTATCAAAGACCACATTCAAGTCAACCAGATACTTGTCATTTAACACCCCACGCCATGGATGGCTCGGGGTGTTTGCTGTGAAGATTATGAGCAGTTGTTCACATCAGATATTTATCAATTTGATTTGGATCATGATAGAAAGAGAATCGAATACCCAATACCGAAAAATAGAGACGCTTGGCACGTAACGGGATAATTTGGAGCTCGACATAGCCTAGGAATGACTCTAAAAGTGTTCAGAAACAGGTTGAAATGCTGAAGCTCAAGAATCAATTACCCAGAACAGTAATCAATAGTGAGAATTTGCTAAGTTGAGAGATTTACGTCTGAGCTGGGGATAGATGACCCTACCAATGAACTTCAACCTCCGGCTTCAAACAAGGTCAGTTGGAATTCAACTACCTCATCAAATGATGACGATGATGGCATACCTGTTTGATGAGAGACCCCAAAATGACTCTTTGAAGACCTGTTAAGAGTTTAAGCAGGCAGAGAAGACGAAAGAATGGAGAAAATGCTGCAGAGTACAACGATCTCGACTGCCTCGCTTCGTATGAGAGAGCTTCACTGACAGGCAGAGTCGTAGGGGCTTCATGTTCATATGCCGGGAATCATCAACATCGGCTCATTCTTCATTGAAACAAACTGATCAGGATACCTGGATTGTTATGGATCTTTCCCATCTCTTATCGTGGGACAACTGGTGAGATACACGATTGAGAGGGCGATGAAAACGTGACATCACGGAAGATTTCCTTGGATGAGTCCACCATCGACACAGGCTTCACTGGTTACCGCAATACTTTGATGTAATGTAACATTTCAAAAACCATCATACCGCCCAGAAACCACAACGATCGCAACCTAGACCCATTTACCCCAGCTTTATCAACATCACCAACCCCCGGCCATCGTTCCCCCGAACCCAGCTCCGCAGTAGCAGCTCGGCAGACCCCACTCGGCCGAGGAGCAACACCACCACCACCACCCGCTATCACTCCAACAAATTGCAACGTTGCTATCAAATCACAGGCGAGAGAATACCACTGCAAGGTACGGGGTGATACGATCGAATGGCTAACAGAGGGGTAAACCGGTCCAGTTGGGGATCATCCGCGGCTGCTACCTTCTACAATCGCACAACTAACTGGTTCCTCATTTCGGGTGTTTTCCCGGCGCGTTTACCCCGCGCCGTGCTCCGTCATTGTGTGATATCGACGATGGGGTCGTCGAACGGTTTCGGGAAATCGATAAGATGGCGGCGGGCGGATATATAGGTAGCTACTGGGGCTTTGAACGAATTGAAAGAGATATCAGCCAGGACATGCCATCGGCGATTGGAATCGCATCAATCGCAATCATGCGCTTCACCACAGCCCTCACGCTATCCCTCGGCCTCGGCGCCGCAGCGGAATCGCTCCCCGGCCTCTCGACCGTGCCGTACACCGCGACCGGCGGTACCATCCCCTCTAGCTTCCTGAAGAAGATCATAGTGCACGATGAGTACGCCGAGTCGCGCGACGAGGCGGGCGAGACGCTGATCCCGCCTACGCTGCGATCCTTCGCGGAGACCTTTGCGGAGGACCTCGTCTCGGTGTTGGACCTCTCCATTCCCGTCTCAACCGGCGCCGAGGCGGAGGAAGGATCCATTTTCCTCACGCTCGACGATGCGACCGCGTTCAAGGACGCGGCGGGCAGGGATACCTCGGAGGGGTACGCGCTGAACGTGACGGTCGACGGGATCCGCATCGCCGGCGCGAGCCCGCTCGGCGCGTGGTGGGGCACGAGGACGGTGCTGCAGCAGATGGTCCTCCGGGGCGGCGAGGTGGAGTTGGGGTACGGCGTGGACAGTCCCGGATGGGGGACGCGTGGGATGATGGTGAGCTCCGTTTTCTGATACCGATTCCTCCGGCGTCTGACTAACTTCATGTCTGAAAGCTCGATATCGCGCTTCACTACTATCCTGCTTCCTTCCTGATCGAGATGTGCGCATACATGTCCTTCTTCAAGCAGAACACCTTCCAGCTGCATCTTAGTGACAACCTCTACAACAACGTGGGGATATACTCGCGCGAGAGGCAGCTCGAGCTCTACGCTGCCTTCCGGCTGTGGTCTGACGATCCGGCGGTCGAGGGGCTGAACAAGCGCGCTAACGAGTCGTACACGCGGGAGGTTTTTGACGAGATCCAGGAGAAGTGTGCCGCGAGAGGTGTCACGGTGTTGCCGGAGATCGAGGCGCCGGGGCATGCGTTGGTGATTTCGCAGTGGAGGCCCGAGTTGGGGCTGAGTTCGGACCTGAGCTTGTTGAATATCTCGAACCCGGACACGATTCCGGCGATGAAGGATATTTGGGGGGTGTTCTTGCCTTGGTTCCATACCAAGACTGTGAGCATCGGGGCGGATGAGTATGTCGATCCGACTCTGAGCGAAGAGTAAGTTTTCACCGTGGGCTTGTTTGTGTGGTGGTCTACTGACGCGAGCAGGGCCTTGGTTGGAGAGTACACGCGTTTCGTGGACGAGATGAACGACTATATCACTAGCACGTCGGGGAAGAACGTGAGAATTTGGGGCACGTTCCCGCCGTCTTCCGGAGGCGACGTGAACAAGTCCGTATCTATCCAGCACTGGGCCAACTTTGAGGCGAACCCGTTATGGGACTTTGTTAACAACGGCTACGAGGTGCTCAACTCCGGAGACTATATCTACACCGTTGGCAAGTGGTCGGAGTGGTACGGCCACGAGTTGAGCCTGGAATTCATCTTTCACGGATCACCCGACGGAACGCCCTTCGCACCCAACGTCTTCGACCGCGAGAACGCCACCAACAACGCGGCTCGTGACAGCAAGGCGCTGCTGGGCCACATCGCGCCGCAGTGGAACGACTTCGGCCCCAACGCGACGACGGTCACAGAGGCGTATTACCAGTGGAGGGACGGGCTGCCCGCGCTCGCGGACAAGCAGTGGGGCGGCGACGTCAGTGAGTCTGGGTACGCGGAGCTCTTCGCCAAGTTGCAGCCCTCGGCGCCGGGCCAGAACCTCGACCGCAGAATCGCGTCCGTCGGGTCGACGATTGTGGAATACGACTTCAGGGGTGGTGGCAACGGCAGCACGGTGAGGGATTTGTCGGGTAATGAGTACCACGCAAGCTCGACGTGCGAGACGGGGACCGAGGGTGCCGTGCTCACGCCTTCGTGCAGCATCACGACGCCGCTCACGCAAAAGGGGCGCAATTACACGCTCTCGTTCTCGATCAAGCCCACGTCGGCGTCGAAGGGGGCCGTCTTCAGCGGCGGGGACAGCGGGCTGTGGTTTGGCAACGGGACTGTGGATGCGGTCATGCTGTTCTCGGGGGAGAGCGTGTACGCGCTCAACTACACGTTCCCCGTGGGGGAGTGGACGGAGGCGAGCCTCATCGGACGGGACCGGCAGACGTTCCTGGACGTCGGGGACGGGGCCATGGAGTTTTTGACGGTGATGGGATGGCAGGGCAACCGGTACGTGTGGCAGCCGATTGCGGTGGAGGCTCCGTTGGGGATTATTGGGGGCGGCGGGTTTGAGGGCGTCATCGGGGGGATGAAGCTGGTTGACCATGCCTAGAATTAGAAGCATTGCGGACGGGATCCATCTTGTTGAGGCTCATGAGCGGTTTGCCCTGTTTGTGTGCTTTGGGATGGAAATTCAGTGTCATGCGCAAAGCGGTTGTCTGAGTCGTAACTTAGAACACGGGACTTTCACAAGCCTGCTTGTGGCCATTATAAGCCTTGTTTTGAAACCTGGCTCATTTCTTCCCACATGCTGAACAATTAGATGGCAACGACGCCAAGCTTCGTGACGACTGTGTCGATTTTGCCAGAATGTTCTATCGGTGTTAAGACGAGTTCGTGTCCAGTCCAGAGAGAGGCAGATAGAAGCTCCTGATCCGTGATCAAGTCGTCTTCTGACCCCCGGCGCCGGCCAGGGTGGTAAGGACGATGTTGCATCCAAGGCTCGATGCGGTGGCATGGCCGACCCGGGTTAACGATCGGGGTCTTCGGGGTCTTACGTAGTGAGCGGCCGGGGGGAAGGGGGACTTTGTTGGGGCGAAGAACGGGGACGGTGGCATTCGCGGCATTCACAGCAACTAGTAACGGGATGCTCGACGCAGGGATACGGGACTGACCAGGGGCTGAATCAGGGTCCAGGAAGGGTCCTTTTGTGAGAGTTGGGCCCCCAAACACGCGGGAGGGGGTTTATTTTTGACGGTCTGCTGATGATGACGATGTTCTGGATGAAGGGGAGGGCGTACAAGAGAGAACGAATGAAGGGCTGTCCACAGAAGATGAGATGAGATGAGATGACGATGGTTTGAGCTGATGGCGGGCGGGATTGATTCGTCTCATTTTGAGCTGCATAAATGAGGCAGGCGGAATTGGGACGGGCTGAAGTGCTTCAACCGAAGATGGTGGTTTTGAGCAGTTGAAAAAGTTGGATATTCAGACCACGGACGTTTGCGCTTTGGACGCCGTTGTTTAAAAAAGTATCGAATTAAATGGCCTGATAGACTGGACGAATGCGAAAGGGACGGGAAGAGGCGCTGAAGAAGGAGGAGACTGGAGACTGGAGGCTCGTCAATGTGATTCTTGATTACGTGGTGATGATGGGACCCTTACGCCCGCGCGGCCCATGCAATAGCGGATGAGACTAAGACTGGTGTTGGTGGTTGTGATGAAGAACTGCAGGTTGAAGGATTGATGATGATTGATGATGATGAGGCAGTGAGAATTGTGGTGAAAATGAAATGAAGTGCCTTGAGTGCGTGTCAGAGCTGCAATTGGAACTTGGAACGCGCATGAGGTACGTACCGGGAATAATGGGGACCTGCAGATGGAAGCAGGACCACCCGAAACGGGTACGTACCCGTCACCCGGACCGGGCTTTTGGAGTATCTCATTGGTCGAGAGGAGAAACTATGTGCCGAGGTGACCATACAGAGCACAGCATTCCATGATATATGTGGACCCAACCGAGAGTTCGCAGGGAAGTGCGGCTCCACCATGTCAGGCAAGGGGAAGGAGCGGGGCAGAGCGAGTCAAGGACCCTGCTCGTTGGCAGCTTCCCGCTGTTGCCAATTGATCAGATTCCAAGTTTCCAACTTCAGCAAGAGCAAGAAGCTCCTTCTGCTGCAGTGGCTCCTTCTCCTGCTCAGCCGATTCTTGAGGGGAAACCCCGCTGTTTCCATGTTCGTACCTGCCTTCCATCTTGTGATGTGTCTCTGTTGCTCTTGCCGTTCTGTTGTTGCTATTGCTGGCATTGGCGATGCTGCGGAAGGTGCACCCAAGGGATGTTCCTGCCTGTTCCTGCCCTTATCCGTAGTGCCGTCTGCCAGCTGACATGTACTCATGACCGCAACTGTGAGCAGCTGTCATCACCACACGGCAGAAAACTCTTCACGGCTTCACCGCATTCACCAAAAAATCTTCCATTCCGAAGTTCATCGGCCAAATCAAACGTGACAAGCGCAAGGCCCCGTCTCGTCTCCGATTTCCATCGATATCAGCGCCCGCCGTGTTCTCTCCTTCATCGGCTGCCCACCACGATTTCCAGGGTGCTACTGCGCCAGTACTCCAGGAGCCTAGCGGGTGACATGGGCAAGCTGTGGGGGTTGTTTCCAGGGATCCCGGAGCCAGTCCCGTCATCACTCTGTCCGTCTGGTTGGCTGTTTTCACCGTCTCCAGCCTCGGTCACCAGCATCAGTCAAGTTCCGTCCAAGGAGTCGACAGAGAGAGAGCGAGAATCAAGTGGAGGAAGAATCTGGGAGGACGATGGCCTACGACCCACGACAAGTGATCAGCAAAGGCCTCGGCCTCGACCGCGACAGAAGCTTTGCCCTACGTTACCTGAGTTCGCTGATCACTACCGCATACTTCGAAAAACCATCTTCGCCATCGGCCTCGCCCTCAGATCTCGCTACCCAAATCACAAATCACATCCCCCTCCAACAAAACGCCCAACACTCGGAAAGTCAAATCAAACAGGGTCTGGCCCGGACGCCACCCCCTCGAAGCATCTGTGCCATCCCACCATCTTCAAGACCGTTTTAGCAGAAGCCAACCTCGCCATTGGCTTCCACAACGCACGCGTGGCGGCCGCTAAAGTCTTCGAGACCCCTACACTAAGACCTAAGAACTCGCCTCAGACTGCTCAGTGGCAGCCAACCGAGACTGTCACGGTCACGCTCACGCTCACGGTCGCCATCCGTCCGGCAGTCAGTCCTTTTGCACCGCTCGAGGCTCTAGGTTGGGCATCCAAAGTTTGCTCATCCGTCCCGTGTGGTGTGGCGAGCCCGTTCGGCACGCAGCACGGCGGTACGGGTAGCAGCAAACCAGCGCAGCCAAGCTGCTTCAGCAATCGAGAACTAAGACAACGGATTCCGGCCCATCTGTCGCCAAAACATTGCCCTTGGCCTCCAAAGACACAAGCCGCACGCTTTCTTCGGCGGCCACTAGACCCTAGTGCATCTCAGAATCTCCGAGGGACACCCCGGAACACGCAAAACGAAGGCACGAGGGGTGTTGTCGAGGGTCGACGTTCGATGTTCGATGGTCGATGGTCGATGGAGCGACGACGGTGGATGCCAACCTGCCCGAGGAACCGGTTTCCCATGCCATCCAACTCAAGGATCACCCATCCCTCCCTGCCGTCCTTGATCCATCTGCCCTCTGCCTTCTGCCTGCTGCGTCAACGGACGCACTAAAACTCGCCTAGGCGAGCTGCAAGAGCAAGCAGGACCAAGACCAGGACCAAGACCACCACCACCACCACCTCCGTGTCTACCTCCATCCGCCAGTCTTTGGCCCCCTCTCGCCGCTTGTCGCCTGCCTGGTTCCCCCCATCCGTCTCGAACAGCGCCCATCCCGGCTTCCGGGATCCCTGTTCCACCACAGCGGGGTGGAGCGGCATTTCAGTCATGCCCGCCGCCTCACCTCTCATGCTTGTCTGCTTGCCCACTTATTGCTCTTACTCCTTGATCAGGATCTCGACCTAGACGACGTTGTGACGACGACGACGACATCAACAACAAAACCACCCATTGTTGTTATTGCGCCGCCTCCTAAAACGACCGGCAGATCATGGGCTAGACGACCTTCAACGCAAACCTCCACGATCCTGTATGAAGCATGAACAAGATATCTGAAGGCGCCCGCGAATGGGAGACATTCAAGTACGTAAACCTTCTGCCAGCTTGTTCGCCAGATTGCAGTTTTGTATGTCCATATCGTCTTTGCTGACATACTGTGTCTCTAGATATGATTCCTTCCACATCCCCAGTGCCGTCTTCAACAGCCCCGACCGCCCGATCCCGTTCTCGGCCATCTCGTCGTCGCCTGATACCGGTCTCACTGCCTTTGCGCAATTGGGAGCCTTCCGATTAAATGCTTCTCGCGCACTGATCTCCATCTTCGACCGCCAGCACCAGTATGTCGTCGCCGAGGCTACTCGGTCTCTTCCTCTCACGGCCAATGCCAAACGCGCAACGGCGAATCCTCTGTGGCTCTGTGGAACGGCCATTCCTCGCTCTTTCGGAATATGCGACCATGTCCTCGTCGGAGAGACTTCCCAGGCAGCAAACTTGGCTGCTCCAACGAACGATGATGGACTTCCTGTGTCCATAATCCCCGACCTTGCCCTCGACCGCCGGTTTTTCAACCGCCCATACATCGATGCCGCCCCGCACAACCGCTTTTACGCAGGTGTTCCCATTCGTTCCCCAAAAGGTATCAATATCGGAGTGTACTGCATCTTCGACGACAAGCCGAGGTCGGGGTTGGATGCCGATTCGGTCCAGTTTCTCCAAGAAATGTCACAGACCGTGATGGACTACCTGGAATCAAGGAGGGTCAACGAGAGCTACCGCCGCAGCGAACGCATGGTTCAAGGACTGGGAGACTTCATCGGAGGCAAGGAGGACACACCGCCAACTACGAAGCCCCCATCGCCGAGATCCTCCTCGACAGGGTTCGACACGCCCGTGACATCACCGCCGGAGCAAGAACCGCCGTCGCCAAAGTCCGACTCCACGGATGCCGTTCGACCGAACATAAACCCCATCAGCCAAGACCCTTCCGATTCTCCGTCCAAGATTGACTCTAGCAGTTCCGTCGAGACGACAGCATCGACCGCGACCGTAGCAACAACGACATCCAGCTCTGCGCCTCCAGATCCCCGACTTACAGGGACCATCAAGATCTTCTCGCGCGCCGCCAACGTGATCAGGAAAGCATTGGAAGTGGACGGTGCCATTTTTCTTGACGCAAGTATCGCCTCGTATGGTGGTCTCGTGAGCGGCCCTCGTAGGGCCAGCGAGGTTGCGGATAACCACTTCTCTAGCAGCGACGACAGCTTGTCGGAACGTCCCGAGGACCCAAACGACAGGTGGTGCAAATGCTTTGGAAGATCCTCGACGGTGGAGGGGGTGATGAACGGCAGCGCCCAGTCGGGCCGTACTACACTGCGCGAGCGGTTCCTCAAGAAGCTGCTGCGCCGGTATCCAAATGGCAAGGTCTTCAGTTACGACGAAATGGGCAACTGGAATTCAGTGGACTGTGAAAACGACGACGCAGACATTACCCCGACCGAAGAGAGCGAGCAAGCGACTCGACCGGAGACTCGTGCAGCGTACTCATATTTCACGAGACGAAACGAGGCCAAGACCATTGTAGACATGTTTCCTGGTGCTAGAAGTGTGGCGGTGGTGCCTCTCTGGGACCCTTCGAAAGAGCGATGCTATGCTGGGGGCTTTGTCTGGAGCAAGAGCGCGTCACGTATCCTGACGCCTGACGCAGATCTGCCGTATCTGCGAGCCTTCGGCATGGTGACGATGGCGGAGATCATCCGACTAGATGCAGTGATTGCGGAAAAGGCGAAGACGGACATTCTGGGCTCACTCAGCCACGAGCTGAGGTCTCCCCTCCACGGAGTTGTCGCCGCGGCTGAACTTCTCCACGATACACAGCTTGACGCATTCCAGGTGGATGTCATCCACACCATTGAAATATCTGGCAAAACCTTGCTGGATACTATCGACCACGTAAGTCAAATCTACTGATGTCCTGTATTGCAAACTGACGTCGACGCAGTTGCTTGATTACAGCAAGGTAAATACCTACCTGCGAGCATCGAAATCCCAGCGACGAAATAACGGACCAGGGCGTGGGCTGCGACAAGAAGCGACGACATCCATCGAATCGGGTATGATGACGTTGATATCGGATGTTCACCTCGACCTTCTTGTGGAAGAGGTCATCGAAAGCGTTTTCATCGGCCACAGCTTCCAGCACATGGTCGCGTCGCAGCTTGCCCGACATGGCTCTTCGTCTGGACCTCCTACGCCAGCCCAAGAGAAACTCGATGCCATCGCTACATCAGAGGGCATTGGCCATAAGCGTATGCCATCTGAACCGCAGGCCCCCAATGTCAAAGACGTCAAGATCTTGGTCGATATTGATCCAAACTTCTCTTGGGTCTTCCACGCGCAGCCAGGCGCCCTCCGCCGCATCATCATGAACCTCTTCGGCAACGCCTTGAAGTACACATCCCGTGGTTTCATCAAGGTCCAGATGAGACAGGAGGAAGTGGTGCACAAATCGGCAAGATCGGCGTCTATGGTTGTCCTCACTGTGACGGACTCGGGTAAGGGCATCAGCGAAGACTTCCTTCGCAACAAACTCTTCACGCCCTTCTCGCAAGAGGATTCTTTGGCTCCGGGTACAGGCTTGGGATTGAGTTTGGTGAGACAGATCGTTGCCACTCTCGGCGGAACGATCAGTGTCAAGAGCCAAGTTGGACACGGAACAAGCATTACGGTCTCCATGCCTCTCATCTTGTCGCGCAAGGCCGGCAGCCGCGGGCGCAAGTTTTCCGCTGACTTGAGCTGCTTGGCTGGAAAGCGTCTTTCCGTGCGCGGATTCAGCCGAGGCCTCGACAGCTCGGAGGAGCTCCGCCTGGGTGGCCAAGACCTTCCTGTAGAGAGTCTTCCTTTCAAGTGGCTGGACGTCAATATCACCGACGATAGAGCCGACAGGGCCCCCTCGCCGGCTGACCTGATGGTCTGCAGCGAAGAGGCTTTCCGAAAGATAGATTTGGCCAATACTCGAGGCAACGAAACCCCCCTCGTTGTTGTTTGTGGCAATGCCGAATCGGCACAGAAGCTCGCGACCTCTTATCGCCGCTCCCGGCAGCAAACCGTCATGGAGTTCATTGCCCAACCGTAAGTGTGCATAGCCCAACAGAGATGATTACTGCTGACACGTCCCCAGCACTGGGCCGAGAAAGGTGGCAAAAGCCCTAGCATGTGCTCTCGACCGGTGGCAGCAGCGCCAAGCTGTCAAAATGGTAGGTGCCGGGCCGTCCTCCGACGTATTCTCCGGCCCTTTCCCGCCATCTAGTGCGATACGGTCCGAACTGTCACCCGGCCGGAAGAGGGCGCAGTCTGAGAGTATCAAGAGCGTGAGAATGGCCACGCCGCCCGCCGAAGTCATATCACAGTCGCCACTTGAGACCTGGAACAACCAGGCCGCCGAGCCAAACTTCACCTTGACGCTCCCTTACCGACCTGCCGCGAAAGCTGCAGCCGCTGCGGCCTCGGCTACTTCAACACCGGGTACCGCAACGCCGCCCACCGCGGCTTCTTATCCATCATCGAAGAACGTAAATCTCCAAGAGTTCCTGCTTGTGGACGACAACCCTATCAACCTGAAGGTTCGTTCTTGGCTAGCAGCGTCTAATGGAGTCATACTGACAGTCACAGATTCTGTCTGCGAACATGAAGAGGCTTCAGAAGAAGCACACCACAGCTTCCAATGGGCTGGAAGCTCTCCAAACATACACAAACCAACCAAACCGCTTTTGCTGCATCCTTATAGGTACGTCGCAGGCTTCCTAGAACGTGTCGAAGCTTAAGCTAATGACCCACAGACATTACCATGCCCGTTATGGACGGGCTGGAAGCCACGAGGCGAATTCGGAAGTTTGAGCGAGCCCACCACCTCCCGCCCGTAGTGGTAATCGCCATTACGAGCTTGGGATCGGCTGGTGCTCGCCAGGAGGGCTTCGCGAGCGGAATGGACCTCTTCCTGACCAGACCGGTCACCATGACAGAACTCGTCAAGATCCTCAAACAGAGGAAACTAGTTGATGAAGACACTGAGAAACAGGTACTCGGAAAGTGAGTTTAGGCGTCGTAGACGTTGGGCGTGTTGGCAGGGCGGCACTCGGGCCGCGGTGTGGGCTTTTGACACATGAATCGGATTATCGCAAGGCGTTCCGGGGATCTGGTGTGCGAATGAGCGATTGGGAAGGACTTAGAGGGACTCAAAAGAAGGCATTTGGATTTGTCTTTTTTCCGAGGGACATCGGTCATGGGTTCAACGAGGGATACGGCGCGATATGATTTTTTCAGAACATGGCCGGTGCTAGAAAGTCGTACCTAGTACGTAGTCAAAATGGAGCAGCACGAATTCTCGTCGGCATTTAGAGAGAAGTGTCCACTTCGTCCTGGATTCATCGGGCGGCTCCGGCGACGATGCTGAGGAGCCGTGCATGTGATGGCCAATTCAACGACTTGAGCTTCTGATCTAGTCTGAAGCACGAAGAAAAAGGACGTGAAATCAAAGACCATGGAGAATGAGGCTCACGTCAAACCATGAAACCGCGGGAAGGATTTCACCGCGCCGGCTAGAACGCTTCTCGAAGAGCCTCACGAACACACGCGCGATGGCTGGCGGGTTGCTAAAAGTCGCCGACCGACAGTCTGGCATCGGCAGGGGCCGACGGACGCGTCAAATGAGGAGTCTGGGGCGGGACCTCGGCTTTTGATCGGCATGATGGAGACGGATTTCAGGGGTGAGTGGCTTATCTGGGTGAAGAGGAGTCATCGGCTTTACGATATCTACACCGCGGCCGGCTTGAAGATGTCGTGAAGGGTATGAGGGCTTCTGATGAGTTTGGTGATGATGGGAGATGGATTTGGGGATACGGGATGATTGTTTGATACAAATGTACCTTGGAAAGACGGGAACGTGAAGAGTGAGCTGGCGCTAGAGAGGTGGAGGGAGGTGAGGCATCGGGCCGGCTGGCTGATAAGGACTCTCCCGGGTTCAGACCAAAGCACAGGCAGACCCCTAGTTTTCTGGCCGTCCAGTCCCTCCCTACCTATCTCTATCTCTATCAATTTCTTGCCATTCTGTCAATTCATGGTCAGCCTGAAGGCGGAACATGTCCGTGACGACAGCGACCGTCGAGCCCCTGTCACTCACTCTTTGATTGATCGCAATCGCTCAGCTGAAGCTCATCTCATCTCATGACTTTCAAGACTGGACTCCAGAGATAGGATGCCCGGCACGCTCGTCGTTCAGCCAAGTGGCTTGTTACTTCTAAACTTGGGCGTATCACGGATAAGGAGGGGAAAGGGGAGGAGGGCGGTCCGCGAAACGGGTGCGTTGCTGGGTTGTTATCTCTACTGGCAAGGTGGAGCGCGGCTGGAGATGTGAGGTGTTGGTGAGAGCGCGGTCTGTGTGGGTTGTGAGTGGTCGGTCGGACTTTTGGGGTTGATTGCCCGTTGCACACGCGACAGCGGTTTACCGGCTTCGCGGGAAGTCGATGGGTTTGGGGGTTCAGGGGATGAGGGTGAGAGGTGGTCAGGTGGGAAGTATGTTCTTGTGGGGATTTGTCGATCTTGGGAATCTCGTGAAACGAGGTGAAGATGTTGGAATACTGAGATGAGAGAGCGTGTGAGTTTCTTGGATAAGTTTGTATCGAGCCGTTCGTTTAGGGTGTGCAGGCCGAACGGTTCGGCAGAGTATGCTTATATGAGCTTAGGCCCGGCTTCACCGACAGCCATGAAGAACACTCTTCGAGGTGAGATTTGACGGGTGCTGATAAGATGCGTCGTCAGGAGATGAAGCCTACCAGGGGGGATGTGATAGGTGTGTCGTTCGTCTGGATGGAACCAACTTTCGCGCACACCCAAAACCTTCAACGGACAGCAATAGAGCGCGCTACCGCCCCCTAAACCGAAAACGCTGATCGTCGTGCATCTCATGTACTGCTTCGTTGCAGCGCATGAGCAGCCGTGTGTCTGCGGGGAGGGGTTGAGTAGTGTAGCATGACATCACGGGTTGGAGAAACAAGCCTTTTCTCGCCTTGCTTTCCCTGCAACCGATCCTGCGGTAGCGGTTAGCTGTGGCTGGCGGTGTCACGCAGGCGCGGTTATCAATATCAGCTACAGCTGTATGTCATGTCGGATACCTTCCTACGTCCGCGTTTGCTCGAATCCAATCCGGATCTCTCTTGATATCTGTCTATCAACCCGACGAGTGAGTGACATGTCTCATGATTCAGGACCCGGCCGGCGCGACTGATACGCACGAACCACCGGACCCAATACACCCCATAGATCCATTCTCCTCGGTGTCTCCATTTTCTTGTCCCATTTCATGCCCCCGGTTTAGATATCGCTTGTTGTGATTGATGCCTCTGACTGTCAACTATTGCTCTCTGATGAGAGCATCTACGATGCTTCGTGTAAGTCACCAGCTCTTTGGCAGTCCTATAGAGCAAGTTAACATCAAGAGCACAAGTAACACCCTCTCAATAGAGACAACATCCGAACTCATCGAAAGAAGGATATCCCATCAAACCCATCTCGGCGTTTCCACCCTTCCTCACGTCTGCGGGGCGTGGGGGAGAGACTAGCGCGTCGACCAAGGCCCCATGTCCCCTCCCCCGATCCCGTTGCATTGGCGGCGTAGCCCAGTTGATGGAGCTGTTCGTTTCTGTGTCATTGAATTGTGTCCTTGGGTGTGTGACTCGATATGCTGCCTCTCTCTTGATCTTGTCTGCCCGTCTCCAAAAACTGCCGGCGTACTAAAGCGCCGCTTATCCCCCCGTCTTCCCCCAATTCCCCCTCTCGCGTGCGGTTTACTTTTCCCACCCGTCTAATTGACCTTTTTTCTTTTTACACTCCTTCAGAAAAAAAGCCGGCCGCTGCTTCTCCTCCCCCGCACGGCACCCCGTCCACCGGCTTTTGGTCCCCGATATTAACCTCCTCGAGCCGGGACTTGGATAACGACCAAGGGACACACCACAAATCGACTACCACCTTCGAAAACCACAAACTCCCTCCCCGAGACACCCGCATACACACACATCTCACACAATGGCGGACTCAATCCGCGCCGTAACAATGGACGACTCACCGCCCCGTACCTCCGCAGACCAGGCCCTCGCCCGCCTGGGCTACAAGGCCGAGCTCCCGCGCAACCTGTCCATGCTCTCCATCCTCGGCCTCTCCTTCGCCATCATGGCCGTGCCCTTCGGCCTCTCCACGACAATGTACATCACCCTCACCAACGGCCAGGCCGTCACCGTCCTCTGGGGCTGGGTCCTCGTCTCCCTCATCTCCCTCTGCATCGCCGCCTCCCTCGCCGAGATCTGCGCCGTCTACCCCACCGCCGGCGGCGTCTACTACTGGTCCGCGATGCTGGCGCCCGCGGGCTGGGCCCCGATGGTCAGTTTCGTCGACGGGTGGCTGACGCTGGTGGGTAACTGGACGGTCACGTTGAGTATCAACTTCGGTGGTGCGCAGTTGATCCTCAGCGCGATCAGTATCTTCAACGAAGACTTTGTCGCGAACGAGTGGCAGACTGTGTTGTGCTTCTGGGCTGTCATGTTGGTTTGCGCCGGTGTCAACGCGTTCGGGTCGCGGTACTTGGATCTCATCAACAAGGTGTGCATTTACTGGACCGGAGCGGCCGTGTTGATTATTCTGGTCACGATCTTGGCCATGGCGCCGAGCAAGAGGTCGGCCGAATTCGTGTTTGCTCATTACGATGCCTCTGCAAGTGGATGGCCTTCCGGATGGTCTTTCTTCATTGGTCTGCTTCAAGGTACGTTACTGTTCCAATGAGAAAGAGATGAAGACACTGACAACAGACTCACAGCCGCCTACACCCTCACCGGCTACGGCATGGTCGCCTCCATGTGCGAAGAAGTCCAGAACCCCGAACGCGAAGTCCCCCGCGCCATCGTCCTCTCCGTCGCCGCCGCCGGCGTCACCGGTGTCATCTACCTCATCCCGATCCTCTTCGTCCTCCCCGACGTCACCATGCTCCTCAACGTCGCCAACTCGCAGCCCATCGGCCTCCTCTTCAAGACCGTCACTGGCTCCGCGGCCGGCGGCTTCGGTCTTCTGTTCTTGATCCTCGGCATCTGGATCTTTGCTGGTATCGGTGCTCTGACGGCCGCTTCGAGATGTACCTACGCCTTCGCCCGTGACGGTGCGATTCCGGGACACAAGTTGTGGAGCCAGGTCAACCAGAAGCTCGACATGCCTCTTTGGGCCCTGTTCCTTTCAACGGCGGTGGATTGTATTCTGGGCTGCATTTACTTCGGATCGTCCGCGGCGTTCAACTCGTTCACCGGTGTGGCGACCATCTGTCTCTCGACCAGCTACGGAGTTCCGGTCCTCGTCAACCTCCTTCAGGGACGTCGCGCCATGGTCAACTCGCCGTACCCTCTTGGCAAGTTCGGAGCCGTCATCAACTGGATCTGCGTTATCTGGATCGCCTTCGCGGTCATCATCTTCTGCATGCCCGTCAGCTTGCCTGTTGACGCCTCGACGATGAACTACGCCTCGGTTGTGTTTGCTGGGTTTGCGTTTATTGCGGTTACGTGGTACTTTGCGTATGCCAGGAAGAACTTCCACGGACCCCCGGTTGCGAAGGAGGAGTTTCAGCCTGGGGAAGATGGGATCATGGAGGGAAAGGTGCCGGGGAACGTCGATTCTGAGACGACTGGGAGCGCGGAGAAGAAGTGAGGGGGTTTAATTGCAAGACGAGCGTGGCATTCGGCTTGCCATAGTCAAGAATTCTTTGTCATTTTTTAGTAGTTCCAATGTGATACCATACTTGTCCACATCATAACTGCCGTGGCTGAGTGTAAGAACTTGCATTGCGTCATTTTCGCCAGAAAGACTCAAACAGAGGGCGGTTCTCAGTTAGTTATGCGCGTCATATCGTTGTAATGCAAGTCCCATCAGGTTCTACGGTAGTTACTATGTGCAAATATTACGCTGGACCCCCCTGCTGATAATAGTGAATACATGTAAGACCAGATCATCAGAAAGAACAGCCGTGTCAACACATATTAAATCAAACAGATCGCCGCTTGTTATGATTTGAACAGCCAGAAGCTCCTGTCAATAAGTTGTAAACCTCGAAACCATCTCATTGCGGTTTTAATGAACCATTGTCCAAACAGATATGATATTAATCAATGCCTCATGCCAATTGGAGACTGATCTATTTCTACATGCACAAACTACCAGACTGTTCGTAATGTGTACTTTGTATAGTAACAACGGTAGTTTACTATTTACAACTCAACGTTCCTGAAGACTGAAGACTGAAGTTTACAGGACAGCCACTAATAACTGCTTGAATTGAGTTCTTGCCATAGACCCATACGCCGAGTAGGAAAGCGACAAATAAGCCTAGCCACCGACAGCGTCACTCCTCAAGAGGCATATGTTTTGGCGAAAACCCTACCATCCGAAGTCTACTCGCTTCCGTATCGTCTACCCATGCCACGAAGTAATCACCCACTACTTCGCGCTGTGTCCTTGAAAGTGTATCGTCTGTAATCCCTATTTCTATCGGCAATGCCATGACATTGACACCGTTCCAAGTGATCCATCGTGTCCTGAGATCGATTGCGTAGCCCTTCCGTAACGGAACAGTAGGCGGGGACGTTTTCCTGTCGTCCTGATTGGGCGATTTATCGTGTTCTTGTGTCTGGATGTCTTTTGCGACCTCTGGGATGTTGATGGTAACGGAAGCATCTATCCGTAAAGAATTGTCGTCGACGAAAGATAAAGAAAACAGCTGCGGAGAATGTGAAACATCTACAGAGTAGGTGCATTGGCCTGATGGTGTTAGCCAAACGTCGACCCGGGCATCACCGTCATCAAAACAGCTGGTAGCTAATCGTACCCCATCCGGTGACAGAGCCATGCAATGGATGAAACGCTCAAATTTGAGAGTGAGGGTGCAATGATGGGATGTGTTCAGTGACCAAATTGACACCTCAGTATGGTATGGGCGTTGAACACAAACTTCGGTCCGTACAGCCATCCATGCAGAGTCCCGAGAGACACATAATCCATCAATATTTCCTTCGAAGTCTTCGGAGTCGTAAAACTGGCCAGTGGAAATCGTTAACATTCTGACAGCTTGTTTCAACCTTGATGAACAGATGCTGTAAACCACAGCTTTGCCATTTGGGCACATGGCCATGGCCCTGCATCCAGCTGGATCATGATGGATGTTAATCCCCGAACAAATTTCCCAAAGCTTGAAACCACCAAGACCTAGACCCGAAGCAATGGCAATGAGACTGGAGTCAACTGAGAACGCAACACCAATTGCTGAAGCAACTTCAATGCTCAGTCGTCTTGAAGCTGCATGTGCTGGCACACAGTTGCCAGACTCATCGGTGATCCACAGCTTCTGTTTTTCACCATATGTCTTTGCAAAAATATTCTTTCCGTTTGGTGAAATAACTGTTTCTTGGAGGGAGAGTTCTTTGAATATGTCATCTTCCAGCATCATCAGGAGGTTTCCATTTGTTGATGACCACTTTCTGAGGACACCGTTGGGATGAGATGAGAAGACTGGTTGTCCCGCGACGTCTGTAAAAGCGAAGCATTTAACGATGCCGCTAGACCGGCCTTGTGGAGTAAAAACGTGTATGTCGTCACGGCGTGATTGCTCCAATATGCTCATCGACCAAATACCAACAAAAGAGCCCGTGACTATGAGATATCGGCCATCACGGGAGAACATCAAACGAGTGTTGCGTTCTGTGATATATGATGCAGCTGCCTCCCATATGGGAAGTGTTCGACAGTTTTTCCTGGTCTTCACGTCCCAAATGACGACCTTCAAGTTTGCAGGCGCGCTGGGAAAGCGACTGGCATACGCGACATGCGCGACATACCTACCATCTGGAGATATGGCAAAGTCCGTGGGAACCGATGAATCCGGGTGTTTGCCACCGAAAGTAAACAAGCATCGTCCCTCGGCTGGTTCCAGGATCTGTACTTGTCCTTCGTGTTCTTCTGTAGACGGCACGAACGAAGAAAAGCGCCGAAAGACATGGCCGCCCATGAGATCCAACCGCGTTCGCTGCAAAGTGCGCACGCATTGGCCAGAGTCCGCAGCCCAGATGTACAGGTGGCAGTCTCTGGCGAAAACCCCGACAATAAGTTCAGAGTCTTCGGAAAACCCAATGTCGTCCCATGTACAGTTCCGAAAATCTCCGACATCTGAATTGGCCGGCAAGGGAAGCGGACGGCATTCTCCTGTAGATATCGACCACAAAGCGGCGACACGGGTATTGTGGGCGGATGCGAACTTGTCCATGTCTCCACACAACGGGGCATCGATCTTTGGGTTCCCTCCCAAGCCTGGGATTTTTCGTAACAGAGACTTGGACCTTTTTTCATACACGCCAAAATATTCATCCGTAACCAATATCAAATACTTTGAGTCCCCGGAGAAAACCATCCGGAGTCTCTGCTGCATTGGCAATCGATCCAATAGCTCTCCAGTAGCGAAATCCCACAGATACGTGAGTCCGTCAGAGTAGTTGCAGGCAATTGCAGTGGAATCTGGAGACACGGCCAGTGACCCTATAGAATGTCGGTTTGGCCGTTCTCGTTTAAATGAGTGTACGAGAGGAGACCATTCTGACTCCTGTGACATGTTGAATGATATACAATCTGGTATAAAACGCCCAAAGGTCTGCCGTACGAGGCTTCCGCTAGGAGAAAATGGTAGGGCCGACCAATATACCTGGAGGGGATGTTCGTTGATCGTTGAGATGTGGGTTGTAATGAATGATTCGCAGTCTTGTAGCAAAGCAAGAAGTTCACTTGATCCAGTCATCTGACCACGGCTCATTAGCTAGTGTTCCAATATCTTGTTTGCTATTTATTGTGCATTGAGACATGGTTATGATTCGAGGAGAATCTGAAAAGCTAATCCTCGGGCCTTGAAATATGAAGCAGGAGATTTACTCACATCGACTAAAACAGTCAATCTTTTGAACACATCCAGGGCGATTGTAGTTTTCTGAAGGAAGCTCAAAGCTTCAATCCAATGGATGAGGTGATTCAGAAGGAAGAAATGCACTTGGTCATTGTCAACAAGTCTCATCTCGCCCTTCTCAAGGTGGTAAATGAAATGGATACAAGCATAACGAACGTGCGGTGGGAATTTGTGCCGAACCAGTTCATCGCCAACTGTTGAACGATGATCCCCTGGTCGTAGATTGCACGCATTGTAGTGGAGTGGCTCTCGTCTGCACAATAGGTCCAAACAATCGAGAGCAATTTCCTGATGAGTGTGTTTCTCATTCAGGGCGAACTCTCCCGCTTCTTCACTCAGAAGAAAGTCGCGGAAAGAAAGATGAAAGAGTTGAATCGCAGAATTAGGGTTTCGCAAGCTCTCAAGTACAGGCCGTAGACGATCGAGGACGCCTTGCACTTGATCGCTTTCGATATTCCGCAAGGAAGCTAATGAGCTGACTTGCAAGACTTCCTGCAAAAGAATAACCGTACCAACGACTCGTTGGAACATTGCCATAAGTTGCCTCTTTTCCGATTTGGTCCTATTGGCCTGGAATTGCCGGAGAACAGGCATGTATGTCGGGCCGAGTTTGTCGTTGATCCCACAATCTCTGGCGGCGTCGATGAAACGAGCAAGCTGTTTCTCTGGGCTTCCAAAGTCATAGTCTTGAATGAAGCGACAGGCAGTTGCAGCAAAGATGAATAGAGGAACGGCTCTGCGAGCGAGTTCCTCGATTCTCTCGCTCCCAGGCCAATCCGCGTCGAGTTGTTCGAGGGGGGTTCTGGTGTTCCATCTTGACCTTATTCTGGACAATTCGTCTTGCAGGAAGACAGTGATGTCGTGAGTAATCATGTTTCGGGTAACATCTTGTAGCAGAATCTCCTGGTAGTACCCATGAATTCCATGGAACGCATATTGTGAGGCGATGTCCGGCCTACTGGTGATGAAAATGCGAACGTTACTAATCTCAGACTTGACCAGCTCAGACAGTCGGGAAACCAGTAAACTAACGTCATCCTCGATCGCGCATTCGTCCAAAGCGTCTATGACAATGACGAACCTCTTGTTGCTTACACTTCGTGCTTCTGATAGAGGGCCAAGTACCAGCTTGAGGAATTGTTCGGCAATGCTCTTCGAGGATATGTCGTCCGTCGCTTTGATCGCTTTCACAATGAATTGCAGCAACTCAGGCACATGTGAGGCTAACTGCTTAGCAATCGTAGTAAAAACTCGAGATCCTCTGCTGCGGCTTGTCTCACCCCTCTTGAAGAAGAACGTTGCACCAAGAAGGTTGTCTTTGAAAAGGCTGCTTACAACGGTTCGAGAAATAGTTGATTTCCCAGTACCGGCTGGCCCGTGGAGCCAATAGATGCGGCGATCGTGTGAGCTTCGCGCCCATGCTTGAATCTCTTGCAGCAAGGCAATTCTGGTTTCAGGATGGCACCTGGGCTCATGCTCATCATGGTAATCTCTGAAGTTGGCACCCTCAGCCACGGTGAGCTTGCTGAGAAGAGTATCATCGACGTGATCTTCCAATTCTTGTCGAACTAAAGCTTGTTAGATAATCAAATGACTTTGTAAACCTGTGCCAGGCTTACATACCTGAAGCTATCTCCTCCCTCACTTTCCTTTCAGCCTCAAGCTTCGTTGTCTGAATACGACATATCAAAGCCTTTGCATATGCAGCAGCTGTCATAGCTGCGTAGCCTTGCCAGTCCTTATTCTTATGCGAATCAGAATAGTCACAGATACCTCTGATGACGAGACAGGGGAAATGATTCATAAGCCCGGCAGCCTCCATCTCAAAGCATAATACTCCATGTTCAGTCGCAAGCTTATCACGGACCTCTGCGTCCTTCATCAGCCTATTTGCAGACGCAATCGTACCGAAATGAACTGCCGGGTCATCGTCATCGTCTGTCCGGGGAGGCCGTGCAATGAACATGTCTTCCGTTGGGTTGAGGATCGGCCCGTCATCTCCAGATACAATGTCGCTTCGGAAAAGCTTATCCATCTCTAACGGGGGTCGGCCGTACTTCTTGACCATTTTTCTAGGCCTGTTGATCAATGCCATTTCAACCATCTCATTGAGGCCGTCATCCGTCTGTTCGAAATCGGCTTGAAGCCCGGCAACTGCAGTACGCAGGACGGAAGGCGGCTGATCCAGAAAGCCCGTCATCAGGAATTCTCGACCCTGTATGGCCTTTCCAAAATCGTACTGCAATACGCCACCATGGCCCCCAGAAGGGGAGCTGACCACGACATCCCCTAGACGGATGTCCTTTTCGGCAGTTGGCGCGCCGCCGGCGATCCCGACCATAAGGCCAACGCGGATGTTTGGGAACGAATGAACCATGTCCCGCGCGACGCTCGCGGCGGAGGAAATTCCGTATTCGCCGAGGGGTAAAACGGCGATAACGACATTATGAGCGCCCATACGACCAAGGGTGTACTCGTTATTGTCATGTTGAGAGACTCTTTCGGCGTGATCGTGCTTTTCGTCTAGGAATGTCTGGGCGGCGACGTACTCGGCGACGACTGCGCACACCCATCCTATGGTGTATTTGGCAGGGTCAGACATGCTGGGAATCGGGAGTCAACGCCATGCGTCGATGATGAGATAAGGGTAACGACAACGTCTGATAGAAGCCGATCACTCGTGGACTGCCTATTTGCTGGAAGTCGATGGGCTGCCGACAAGGAGGTGAGAATGATGAAGGTGGAAAATAAGAGCGGAGGGTAGAAGCACAGGTGGGGGCAATCTGCTCTCGCTTCCAACCGCCGGAGGGGTGTCATGATTGGTAACTCTCCGCCAATACATGTTGCAGGCCAGACACAATTTTAGGCCTGCTAGATTGCCAAGATGCCGTTCATTGGACTCGAAATGCATATTGCTGCAGGGTGCTTTAGTTAGCTGGCAACAAACATGTGGGCACCTGCATGTCAGATCAGGCTGAGCGGACGCACCCACCATCAGATATGAGGCATGGCTATGAGCGTCCCAGGACGTGGAAGCTCCAATACCTCCTCTTCTCTGAGGAAGAAAGGGTCAAAGGTTCGAAGTTACGTTGATCAATAGAGACAATATCAGTTTATGAATACGGCCTACTGTGCAGCTAGTGATATTGGCAGAAGCCAGAGGAGCTGCCGGAGTGAGGGCAATCTTGTCTACTGACCGCGTACGGCCGATTTGCTCGGACAAAATCAAGCTGAGTGGAAGGAGGACGCCAGACTGCTTACCAACAGGTTCATCCAAAGACGCATCCCGAAGTCAAGTCGATGTTCTCCAGTACAGGCTCGTTCCTTGTAATACCAGTTCAGTAGGACCACGATATTGTCAAAGACCTCGACAGACGGCCCGAACTGCACCACATACCGCCAGCATCAGTTCTTCCTCTCTGAATCTTGCGAGTCGCGGAAATAGGCCACGAAGCACGTCGCGTCTGGCCCTGTGCCGCACGTGCTCCCAGGCCGCGAGCACCTCTCAGCTATCTTCGCCTGCTTTCTCCTTGAATGCGTCCACATCGTTCCAGAAACGCTCCGCGACGGCGTCCGTCCTCTCTCCTAGCCCATGCCAAAAGCGCACTTGCTGACCGTTCTCCCTGTATAGAGGCCAACCAGGGCCTACAAGGCCGTCGACATGTTTCATAATAATGGAAAGCCCCGTCGCCACTAATGTCCTTTAGACCGGCCTCGATACCGGCTCTGTACTGCACGCGCGAGACGGCACGTAGTTTCTGATCTGGCTGGACAACGATACCATAAAGGGCGAGCTCCGAGACCTGAACAAGATCATCCCACCGGATCAGTACGTCTTTGGGCACGTCTATGCGCCGCGGGTCGTCCGCTGGTAGGCTGCTAGGTCGAGTAACGCATAGTTGGTCCCATATGAACTCGCGCCGCCTTCCCGCAGCGTCTTCTTCGTCATAGTCCGATGGGGCCTCCTCTGTCTCGGCCAGATGAACGAGCTGCGCGAATACCTTCCTGTTGTGATCGAGAACGTGCTTCCGGTACTCAGCTAAAGCGCAGAGGATGTCTGATTCGGTCGGCTGGGCCATGTCCGTGGAGCCCCAGTTGGGCCAGGTAGCAGGATTTTCTTCCTGTCAAGTAGGCGATGCACCACAAACGAATGTGACTGGAATCGCCGGATGGTTACAGGTAGGAGGTTGGTTTATGAGACCGCAGAAACAGAGGTAGCCCAGTAACTGGTAGTCATCTGAGTGTTTCTCTTCGCGCAGCGTTCAGCCCCTCTTAGTGCTCCACCACGCTCGATGCACTATGGCCAGCATTCTGCAGTGAGGATTTAAGATTGGTACTTATATATTACCTTTCCTATATTAGCGCTATTATTTAATAATAAGGATTAATTTAAGCCTAATTATACCTAGTATATCTATAGAAACTACTAACCTTATATCTAATATATCTAGATCCTAACTAGTACCTCTATATACTATCCTATTATTATTAAGATATTAAGTAGGCTAAGCCCTATATTATTATATAGCTTACTATATTATAATATACTAAGGATTAATAGTAGTTTATACTTTATTTTAATTACTATTTAAGCTATAAATAAGTTTAAATATTACTATAGCGTTATATAACCTATATATTATTACTAAATTATTTATTCCTTTAAAAAGATAATATTTATTATAATATTCTTATTAATATAGTATATAAAAAGAATATTATTAATATAGTTTAAATAGAAGAGGATATTATTCTTAAAGGTATTAAGAAATTAAGAAGAGTTAAAGCTTAAGATTATATTAAGAATAATAATAATAAGAGTAAATATAAAATAAGGGATATAGAATAATATTTTAAGTAGATAAATAAAAAGATAAAGTTTATAGTATAATCTTAATAAAAAGAATAATCTCTTATAGATTAATATCTCTTATTAAGGTTTTACCCCCTTTAACCTTAAGAGTAAGGCTATTTATACTATTAAGTATATTAAGAAGCTTATTAAGATAGAGTTTTATTCTTTTAGAATATTAAATATTAAATATATATTTATTAAGTATAATAAGATAATATTAATAGCTAGATTATAAAGGTAGCTATATTATATTATATAGCGTATTATATTTATTATTTAAGATTGGTATAAATAGATAAAGATGTGAGTGACACTTGCCTTGAGTTTTCTAAAAGCAGTGGATGAGGCTTCTCATTAGTGTAGTTCGCAGGCTTCGATCTGTGGTCCGTCCGGCAGACTATGATTTCTCCCGGGCCCCGGCCGTGTCGGCTCAAGGCCCACATTTCCGGCCGGTGCGGGCCGGTCATAACTTGCGGCGCGTTCATGGAGGGTTTTTACCACATATCTACGATTTTCTGAGAGAATCAGTGGAACATTCAATACCTTACGTAAAACTTGAGTATGGAGCACTAGTTCAAGTCGTTTTAAACTCGGCATCTTCCCTTTTGTTTTCTTGTGGAGCCCGTTTGATGCCAAGCTGGGGCAAGACGGTCAACAGACCGACGTGCCGACTCATGGTGAAGTACAGAGAGCTCCGCACCAATTTCTTCTTCCTTCAACACCAAGTTTTCACCAATTCCGATCAATATGACCGCTGTGCCAGCTTCCAACGACTACAGTCTCCTAGACGCCTGGGTTGATGCCCATTTCGAGGAAGAATTGACTTTCCTTCAAAGCCTGGTGAGGGTGCCGACGGATACCCCTCTCGGCGACAATGCCCCGCATGCGGAGGTCACTGCCGAATTACTGCACGGCTTCGGCTTCGAAGCCGAGCGCCATCCGGTACCCGAGGACAAAGTACTCGACTATGGAATGAAGTCTATCACGAACCTGATTGTACGCCGTCATTATAACGAAGGCGGCCGAACGGTAGCTCTCAATGCCCATGGTGATGTTGTTCCGCCTGGCGAGGGTTGGACCCGAGATCCCTACGGCGCGGTCATCGAAGACGGCGTCATGTACGGCCGAGCGACGGCCGTCAGCAAGAGCGATTTCGCCAGCTTCACTTTCGCGGTGCGCGCTCTAGAGTTTTTGAAGGCCCCCTTGAGAGGATCAGTTGAGCTTCATTTCACCTACGACGAGGAGTTCGGCGGCGAGCTCGGTCCCGGTTGGCTTCTGAGCCAAGGTCTCACAAAACCCGATTTGCTCATTGCAGCAGGCTTCTCTTATGAAGTGGTCACTGCGCATAATGGCTGCCTTCAGATGGAAGTCACCGTCAATGGCAAGCAAGCTCATGCTGCCATTCCTGACACCGGCGTCGATGCGCTTCAGGGTGCGGTGACGATCCTGAATGCTCTCTATGCTCTCAACGCTCGTTATCGGGAGGTTCGCTCCGAAGTAGCAGGCATCACTCATCCGTACCTCAACGTCGGTCGCATCGAGGGCGATACGAATACCAACGTTGTGCCTGGCAAAGTGGTTTTCAAGCTCGATCGCCGCATGATTCCGGAAGAAGATCCCAAAGAGGTCGAGGCGGAAGTTCGCCGGACCATTGCCGAGGCTTCGGAAGGTCTGCCGGGTATCTCGGTGGATCTCCGCCGGCTGCTCCTCGCCAATTCCATGCGCTCAAATCCCGGGAACGAGCCGCTGGTTCAAGCGATCCAGAAGCACACCGCGCAGACTTTCGGCCAGCCGGCCACAGCGACGGGAACCCCGCTTTACACCGATGTGCGGCTGTATGCGGAGGCCGGGATTCCCGGCGTCATTTACGGCGCGGGTCCGCGGACGGTCTTGGAGTCCCACGCTAAGCGGGCGGACGAACGGCTCCAGCTTGATGATCTGAGGCGTGCTACGAAGGTTATCGCTCGCACTTTGCGTGACTTATTGGTATAGAAACCAACGCCCTTCTTCAATCAGAGGCTATTCTTAGGTTGTGGGATGAGAGGGACGTAACATGCAAGTGATTATAGTAAGCACCAAACCTGTTTGCTCACTGGAAAAGGGATATCTTGATGCGATACACAGGATTCAATCAATACACTTCAATACTGACAATGAGTCTTCAACGTGATCGTGAAGTCAGAGACTTGACGCTTATCATAGATCGCGCTCGACTCAACATCGGAGGGCGAGCTCATGTTGCCCGGCTGAGTAAATCAAATACTACCCGTGACTGTACAGGGCTGCTACATGAAGAAACGGTTAAATGACAATCTTGCATGAATACGAGAGCGGGTTTGACGAGAAGGCGATAGGGGGAAGGCGAGATACCATGATCATACCCAACACGGAGATTGTCCGCGTGAGGTGTAGAGCCTGCTTGAGCCACACATCTCAAAGACGTCTCACTGGTGACGATTGCATACTTCAGTGGGACCCAGCTGACGCTGCCCAGTGCAATTGGAAGGGGTGCAGGCTTGGCTTACTCTCGTGTAACACGGCCTGCAGGACGGGTAATGTTTGCATGCACTGGATATTTTACACACACAGCAGTGAAGGCGATGTTTGGTGGGTTTTCACTCCCTGGTCATGTACGGATAAGGCCTCACAGTCTGCGCCGCAAAGCGGTCAATGATCGAAAAAGAATTGCTATTCTCGTCGAGTGCGGAAGCAGAAACACGTACGGGGATCACCTTTTCCCAAGTTTAAAATCCAGCCATGCAGCCCTCGGTCGTGTAACGCCAAGTCCCTTACACAGACTCTCCGAGTCGCCATATTAATCATAACACGTGCAGTTGCCTCGTCCATCAACTGCATGAGACATGTTGAGCTTGTTACCTAGTCTGTGGAAGACGCCACAGCCTCAGCGTGTGCCGACCGATCGTGTCATCCCGGTTGGCTTTTTCGACGACACCATCATATTCAGAAACTTCGTTTTCTACACCACTTTTGTCATTGATGACGTTCTCGAACACGAGAAACTTCATATTTGTCTTGAATGGTTATTGAGTCGTCCCGGCTGGAACAAACTGGGGGCCAGACTGAGAAGAAATGTAAGATCTCACCCTCAAAGTTGGCCCGCTCTCAGTATATTCCCTATTCTGACTTCTACCAGGACCGTGGAGAACTTGAACACCATATTCCGCAGGAGTTCTCACCAGAACGCCCTGCCGTCGCATACGAACACGTGGATCTCAGTGATCTGGCCGCAGAAGACCATCCCACTGCGTCCAAGATACCCAGACCACCAGATGACGGCCGGCCTAGGGTTATAGGAGACCCTAATATTCTCTCAGAGTTGTACACCGGTCCTGGAATCCCGAAAGGACCAGATGACTATCTCTACACCGATCGGCCCCAGCTCGGGCTGCGTGTAATCTCGTTCAAGAACTCAACGATTGTCGTTCTGTACTGGCTACATCTGTCTCTGGATGCTATCGCGTTGGGTTCTCTTCTCAAGGCCTGGACACTGATGCTTCAGGGACGGGAGAGTGAGATCCTGGAGCCTCTCAGTGACTACCCCCTGGAAGACCTGGGCAAGAACCCAACTGAGCCTCATCTTCTCGTCGACCAACGTTTGTCCACGATTGGTCTTGCGAGATGGTTGTTTTGGAACTTATACAACCTCGCTATCAGACCAAGAGAGAATCGCATTGTTTGCATTCCAGCTGCATACTTGAAAGATTTGAGGGAGAAGGCCACGAAGGAGCTAGCAACCCAAGCTGCCCTGAAAGGGATTACAGAAGCTCCCTCTTTAAGTGAAGGAGACGTTATTCTGGCATGGCTTGCCCAAGTGGGATTCTCAAATCTCCCAAAAGACTCCAAGCAGCCTGTGAGTACTCACCTTTAATTTCTGATGTTGGGCTGCGTAGACTTACCAAGATGCGCGTACCAGGTGGCCTTACAGCAAGCATTTGAATGGCGGAAAACCTTGTCTGATCTTATGCCCGCCAATAGACCGACTCTCGGCAACTGTATCGGCTTCACTGTTACAGTTATACTCGCAAAAGACCTACTTCAAAGGCCGCTCAGCTATGTGGCTTCCCAAATTCGCGGAGCACTCAATGTGCAGCGCTCGCGTGAGCAGATCGAGGCATACACCTCGTTCATCAGGGAGGATCCAAGGAGCAGAGCCCCGCCATTGTTTGGAGATGTCTCTATGAAGTTACTCATGTTCTCGAACTGGCAGAAGGCGACATTGTATGAAACTGATTTCTCGGCGGCAGCTCGTAGCCCAACGGGCACTCCATTGTTTCCGTCTTACATCCAGACCGTACAAGGCCCGTACAATTTCAATGATGGACTAATCATGGTCGGCAAAGACCCCAAGGGAAACTATTGGTTTGGGGGATACAGGGCGGAGGGGCTTTGGGAGATGATGAACAGGAAAATGCGGGAGGACGATAACGAACCTCAGCCCAAGATGGATCTCGGGGAGAAATGATGGGGGTTTGGATCACTTGTACGGCATTCTCTGGCATGATGTTCGATCTGAGCAAGTTTTATTTTTGTAATCTCTCTTAACCCCGCCGTTATCTCAAATTTGAGATGCAAAACTCTGGCCGTGTCTTCAATAGTCTTCATTTGAGTTCACTGTGCTGGCTCCATCGTCCCAAGCATATCACGGAAAGCTCTGTCAAAAATATCAATTAGTCGAATTTTTTCATTAAACATGGCGGACAGTGAGATCAAAACTGACAGAGACCACACCCTTCGGAGTCGTGTAGTATCAGCATTACTGATCAAAGACCAACTCTTGAACTGGAGATCCGGCACACGAACAGAAATCCGAAGCGGCAACAGAAAGTTCAGAGAACCGTATATGACTAGAAATATGCGGTTTTGTGGCATTTAAAACCCCTGTTATGAAGTAAGTGTGAAGACGGAATCATTCTGATTATGCTGTCTGGTCTTTCCACCCGTCTAAGAGCCTTCACAAGGGTGCAACCTCTTGGAAAGTCGATTGCCGATATTTGAATACGAATGGTCAGTTTTGTATGGGCCCTTGTTGATGAAATACTGCCAAGGACCTGTTGTCTCGCGGCTGGCAGAAACAGGTTCACAACGCAATATGCTTCTTTGGTTCATCCTTGTAGCTGGTTGACGAAACGGCAAACTTTCTTTTGAGATTGTCACTGAAGGCAATTGTGTCGTTGATGAGACTGTTTCTTCATGGAAAATCCCGAGCACCGAGTCAGGCCGTTGCCAGATTCTCCACCATTCCTCCCAACCTTCTCCATCGTCGTCTCAACTATCTCCATCAGAAATGGAGATGTTATGTGTCAAATGATGTCATTTAGTCCACATGCCAATACGTATAAAGAAAACCGGTTTTCGTTCACGATGCAAATGAAAACTTCTTTCTCTACTCATCTTGCATCTTCTGCGTCGAGAAGAAGACGACAGTCAGATGTGGACAGCCTCCAGAGCGAGATTCGTTGGCGATGCAGATTGTCTGAACTCCTCTTTTGCGCCCTCTCCAGCCCACTGTGCTGGATGTCGATCTTGACGGCGCCTTCTAACTGGTAAGTTCAAAGATTTCATCTATTTTATCACTGTATCAACACTGTCTTATGATGCTACTTAAAACTGTTTTGCCAACTATGAGGCGGCCTACATCCGTCCACTGAGTAGGACTATTTCCTACGTTTCTGATCTGGATCCAATTCTCCACATTCGTATTGAAAGCACGAAATTGAGACTTAAAGCTAATTCGAACCCAGCAGGATGTTTCCATAGCCCTTCTTCGCAGCCACCTCAAACTGAACCAGTCGGCATCCAGAATTATGATAATGCTGCTTTCCCTTAAGCATGCTCCCATACACCGACACTCGAACCCTTCTCTCCGAGGCCGCCTGTTTGGTAGGTTGACTAGTTCGATTTCATCTTGCCTGTGACACTGAGCCTATGACTGGAGATGGACGTTGTGCGGCGTATCGTGCCGCGAACCGCAGGATACCAATCTCGTTGCGAACCTGGCCACCAATTTCTTATCATATCGAAGTGGGAGGCAACTTGACAGGGAGGTTATTTATATAAGCCAGCATCTGCGCCATGAGCACGTTAAAGTGAACTATGACGACTGCATTGTCGTGGGAAAATTTCATCAGAACATCAAACCGCCAATGTTACTGTGTGTTGTACATGAAAAGTCCATGCTGGTCATGGTGCTGCTCTAATCTTTGGACAGTATGCAACAACATTTTAGGTGAATGAAATGACCTCATAGCATTGTTAGCCCAGTAACTCGGTAACTGCAACGCTTGAAATCTGCACAATCAGAATGAACGAGCGCCTGCGAAGGTCGGTCGACATTTTCTCTCAGGCCACGATGAGCCAATTAGAAAGACACATTCCTCAGCTCCCGTTTCCTTAGAGCTCACCCAGAACCTCGAGATTCTGACCTTTGCCGAATATTGCCCAGTCAATCCATTCTGGGTTGCACATCTATTTAAGACCCCCAAGAGGTGATGGTTTCATGATCACTTTCCACTTGCTCTCACGTAAACACCGAGACGGCATATCCTCCTCTATGACAGTTTTTAGCCTCCTTCCTTTCCAAGTTGGAGTTTTGTCGAGTGTCAGACAGTCTAACAATGTGCTTCTCCAATCACTGGCGCAAACGTTCGGATTATATGTTCTTCTGGCTGTCTTCTGCTTTTAGCTCGAATGGGGTGCTGCCTTATTTGAGCGAATAGGGTACATGAACCTTTTACACGCACATGAACGTATGCCAGGTACTCTCAATTCTGCCTCGGGTGACGCGTCACAGGTAGCGGACTTGGGGCTTTCCAATGACGTTACTACTCGAACTTTAATCGAATAGTTATTACTGTCGTCGCCTGCCATGTGAAATTTCCATCTCATCAACTGAAAAACTCAGAAACTGAGAAATTATACGAACTTCTTCCGTCGTGATGTGGGGATGGGGGATTGAGGCTCAGCCATCGAGACTTTCAGTAAGACCTCTGACAAGACCAGCCAGTGAGACATATGACGTCTGTGTGAGCAGCAGGAATGTTTTCGCCTCAACGTCTTGGCCAGAAGAATTCGCTGTCATGTTCAGCCTGAATGCACGTCTGCCTGAATACTTGTGTGTTTTGTGATTGATTTTCATCTAGCCATTAATATAAAGTTTACTGTACTCGCGGCCTCTCAATCCCTGTGTTATTGCAGAAGATGGCGACATTTCGAAAGGGCAAAGATACGAACGATTACCGCATTGCATCGTGCTGCACATTGGCATTGGTGGTATGTCCCTAAGGATATTCCGCCTGTGCTTCCGTTGGCCGCATGGGTCGAGCCTTCGAAATGTGTGTGCCGTGCCGTTGGTAATTTAGGTTGCTTGTGACAGATTGATGCGGGTTTCCTGCCCGGGCGCTTACAATTGTGTTGGTTGGGACGAGAAGTTGATTGCGTTCAATTTCTTATCCATCCAATTCTACAACGGCACTGCCCCGGGTTCAATCGGAGCATCGGCGTAATGGGCGTATCTGATTACATGGATCTCAAATAGCTCAGCGCATACGCCCTTCAGATGGCGCCTGAACCTTGAAAGAGTCTAGTCGCGCGACTGTCATAAGCGCCTGGTCACCAAATTCGGCCTCGATCCGTGTTTCATCGGCATCCTGGCCGAGTCCCCAGCGGCTAGATAGCGGCTAAACATTGAGCGACCCGCCTGCAGAATCCTTCCCGGCGTTGATGAAATTGATTCAAAAGCCGAGTCTCCCACTCTTGAGTGCCCGGATCTTCTGCGTGAGTCATTACAAGATCATCACATACATCCATCCATCAGATTTCGACTACACAGCAGAGATTTTTGTGCGAGTCTTTCCTCTCGATAGAGCATCATTTTCCTCACAGCTCCGGTTTCCTCTCAGCAATGTTTCGTTCCTTGGCATCCGTGCCGCGTATCATAGCCGGGGTCGAGGATCCGCCTCCCTCACCCAAAATCACCGTTCTGCCTGACGGACCCGAGGTGCACTATGCGCATTTGATGAAGGCCCCAGTCCGTAGAGAGTTCAACGAAGGCCGGTACACAACTCTCGTTCCTCTTCACAAATCGCACGCAAAAAGTCTCTTCAAACATGTAGGAGGCGAAGAAAATGCCCAACTCTGGAAATACCTCTTTCAGCATCCGTACCTCGAGTTCGAGGACTTTGAGGAAGACGTCGCGAAGTGGAGCACTTCCACTGACCCTCTGTACTTCACTGTCATGTCCGGCCCAGCTTCCGATCTGTCCGCTGAGCCGGTCGGCTTCATGACGTTCATGTCAATCGTGCCAGAACACAAGCGCATTGAGATTGGGTCAATTTGTTTCAGCAAGAAGCTTCAACGAACCCGACAGGCGACTGAAACATTCTACCTCCTCATGAAAGAAGCATTCGACGAAGGCTACGAAAGGATTGAGTGGAAAGCCAATCATCTCAACGGCCCGAGTTTGGCGGCTGCTGAGCGATTAGGGTTTGTTTTCGAGGGGATCTTCAGGTGAATCAGAATTCGATCTCTCACTGATGGGCACTTGGCTGATATCTGATGAACAGAAAGCATATGGTTGTGAAAGACCGGCGGAGGGACACGGCCTGGTTCAGCATAACGAACGATGAGTGGCCTGCTGTCAAGGGAGGGCTAGAGGCGTGGCTCAGCAAAGACAACTTCGACGCACAAGGAAAACAGCGTAGAAGTTTGAAGCAGTGCAGAGATGATTTCCAGGCGAGACCAAGCCGTAACTCGAAGCTGGTGCGGACACTAAGAGGTTGAAAGTCGTGCAAGAATCCATGGTCTTGAGGGATTGAAAGGATATCGAGCGCAGAACAACCCTGTCTAGCGATGAAATCGACGGAAATGCAAGCTTTTCTGACCGCATATTCCTCATCATGTATCCATTGTTGCCAAATGAATAACGGAAATGCATCGTGCCTCCAGGTCTCAGGCCTTGGCCCTGGAAATCCTGCAAGTCCCCCGCATCCTGGGGTTCCCCAAAGTTGGACAAGATCGGTAGATGCTCATTCAGCCTAAACCGAAAACTGCCGGGCCTGGTTTACCTGGACCACTGAATCTCGGAAAAGCACTGCGAAGTGACTTCTCCGATTCCTGGTGCCGCCAGCCTTTCAGATGTTCGATCACGTTCCCGACAATGTGGATCACGGTAGCCCCGAAACGTGCCATACTTCCTGAGGTCAACCGCGGGGTCGTCCGCATGGCTAGGATTAGAAAACATGTACAAAGCGGGGAGATTTCCTGCAAACTTTATGAAAGACCGATCATTACAAAGCTGACTACGCTTAATCTTCAGCATCATGCTAATCAACTTCTTGATGTCGGCCATGGTCCTGGCCGGCGTCGGTCAAGCTCAAAACTCGACATTCCAGAACCCTATCATTACCGGTTTCAACCCGGATCCGAGTTGCATCTTTGTCCCTGAGTTCAACAACACATTCTTCTGCGCAACGTCGAGCTTTCTGGCCTTTCCAGGTCTACCGATACATGCAAGTCGAGACTTGGTTCATTGGAAACATGTCTCCAACGCCTTTAGTCGAGCAGACCAGCTGCCCGGTCTGGCATTTCTACCCAAGGCAACCAGCGGTATCTATGCGCCGACTCTCCGTTTTCACCAGGGCACCTTCTATTTGCTCTGTACTCTTGTGAATCAGCAGCTCCCGAGAACCAATGACAGCCGATGGGACAACTTTGTCCTTACAGCAACTGATCCGTACAGCTCAGATGCGTGGTCTGACCCTGTTCATTTCAGCTTTCCAGGCTTTGACCCTTCGCCTTTCTGGGATGACGACGGCAAAACCTATGTCTCTGGCGCTCACACGGCGGCCTATTATCCGGGTATCATGCATGCACCACTCGATCTCGAGACTGGCGAAATCGGAGACATTATCATGCCCTGGAATGGTACCGGCGGACGGTCTCCTGAAGCACCTCATATCTGGAAGCGGGATGGCTTTTACTACCTCCTCCTGGCGGAGGGGGGCACGCGCGAGAATCACATGGTCACGATGGCACGATCGCGTAACCTGACTGGTCCTTATGATCCTGCTCCTGGAAACCCGCTTCTAACTTCCGCAAACGACACGAGTTCATACTTCCAAGCTGTCGGGCATGCCGACCTCTTTCAAGATGCCAAGGGTCAGTGGTGGTCCGTTGCTCTTGCAGTTCGTGCAGGAGGCACATATGGCCAAGATCCAGGTGCCTACTTCGGGAACCTGCCGATGGGCCGAGAAACTGTTCTTACACCAGTGACCTGGGAGGAAGGAGAATTCCCAGTCTTCACACCGGTTACTGGTGATGTCTCTGGATGGCCACTTCCACCGGAGGCCATCCCCGACGAAGGCGAGGGCCAACTGAGCGACGCAGACGACGCGATCACCTTCCCACCTGGAAGCAAGCTCCCAATTCACTTTGTTCACTGGCGTTTGCCAAAGGCAAGAAACTATGCCGTCTCACCACCCGGACACTGGAACACTTTGGCACTCAAGTCATCAGTTCTCAACTTGACTGCCTTTGATGCGGACTTTGCGTTGGGAAGGGGACAAACATTCGTCGGAAGGCGAATGGCGCATTCCCTATTCCGCTTTCGTGTGGATGTTGATTGGGCCAAGTCTCTTACAAAAGAAGAGATGGAAGTAGGCGCCTCCATCATCCAGGACCAAGCTCAGCACTTTGACCTTGGCATTGTCATGCTCAAGCCGAGTGGAAGTGAAGATCTACGACCCCATCTTCGGTTCAGAGGCATCTCGGAAACGCCGTATCGAGCAATGGAAAATCCTCCGAATGAGATATTCCCTTTACCCGAGGGATGGAACGGACAGAAGATATCTCTTCAGATCGAAGCAGTCAACAGCACACACTTCGCTTTCTCGGCTGGGCTTGCCAGCCAAGGAGATGTTTCTGAGATGAGAGTATTCGGTCACTGCAAAGGAACTGAATTGGTTCCATACTACTCTGGTTAGTGAAACTTCTCGGTCAATAATTGTGTCTTTGTACTAATAAGGATACAGGCGTGGCACTTGGCGTTTATGCCACATCGAACGGAAAACATGGAGAGCAGGCATTCGAGACGTACGTCTCTAATTGGCGATACACAGGTATTAGACAACTGAGGAGTCAGGAGGATGTTGACGATGCCGATGGAGCGGATAATCAAGCGGCTTAATGAGTGCCGTTCTGTTGATAATATTACTGCTTCGCCCCTGGAATCTTGATGACAACTTTGGAGAAGTGCTTTTGTTGTTCCAGCCGCTCAAACGCCGCCTTCGCCTCACTCAACGTGAATACCTCGGCATCCAATGCCGGCTTCACGCCCTTCTCCTCCATGAACTTAATCATGTCCCGCATCATCTGCCTTGTACCCAGCAAAATACCCCGAACAACGCAGATCCTGCCCAAGACGGACATGAGCGGCTCTTCACGGTCTGTCTTGCCGAGTAGTCCGGCGATCACGATGAGTCCATCGATGCGCATCGCCTCGAGGGATTGACCGAGGGTCGCGTTACCTCCGACGTCGACGACAATGTCCACGCCTCGGCTGGAAGGCGTCAGCCTCTTGGCCACAGCACCCCAGTCTGGAGATGAGCGGTAGTTGATGACGTGATGCGCGCCGAGGTCGCGGAGTCTGGCGGCTTTGGCATCGCTGCTGGTCGTTGCGATAACGTTTGCGCCAGCCGCAAGTGCAAACTATTTTGTACAGCGTTAGAGACTTAAGTGATACTGCCATCGATTCTGTGCCGTTGACTTACCTGCAGAGCGGCAATGCTCACCCCCCCGGTTCCTTGAACGAGTACCCAGTCGCCTTTCTTAACCTGCTTTCCCTCAAGGCCCATCAAAGCATTCCACGCCGTGATACCAGAGCATGTAAGTGTCGCCGCCTCCTCGAAAGAAAGGTTGTCGCCGAACTTTGCGAGACAACTCTCTTGGAAGACGCCATGTGTGGAAAGTGTACCGTTCAGACCATGCCCGAGACCGGCGGAGATGTGGGCAAAAGACGGCAGGGTCGAATCATCCAAGGGCGCAACTTGGTTGTCTTTGAAGGTCTCCGGAACCATGTGCATGACAACTCGGTCTCCGGGAGCCACAGACTTGACATCGCTACCTGTCTTGCGGACGTAGCCGGCTCCATCCGAGCCGGGGACGAGATCGGGAGATGACTTCAGCCCAAGAAGACCCTGCCGGGAGGTGAGTATAGGTACTGGTAATGTGACTCTGGTTATTCACCTTCGCAACGACGAGATCGCGGTAGTTCAGTGAAGCGGCGAGGACTTCCACCAAAACCTCGCTAGGTCCGAGTTCGGGGATCGGTGCATTTTCTTGAAACTGAAGACCTGAAAGATCGCTTTGTTGGGAGCGGACTACCCATTGTTGACCCAAAGTATTTGCCATGATGATGCTAGCAATGCGGCAAGTCGTAAATAAAATTGAGAGTAGTTGAGGGAGGTGGATATACAGGCATTACATCAGACCTTTTTATCAATCATCCGAACGGACCAAGATTACAAATTCGATGGTCTTCTCCAACAACTGGGGCGTCTTGGCCTGGCTCGCCACGTGGATGTTAGGAACTAACGTGAATTAGGTATTATTATGGGCCGTCACCCCTCCATGATGCCCTCACTCCACAGCTTCCCATGCTCAGTTCAATTGCGATTGATTGGTACCAGTGCTCGCGAAAGTAGAGGAGAGTTTATTTTCAACTACTAAAAGTCCTCAGTTTTTTGTCTCGATTACTCTCTTCAAAATTCTTTCCTTTTCTCAGAGATTAAATCGTGATCATGATGAATCTTGAGGCAACATATCAATGCCCCTGCAGCGCTGAGAAAAGACACGTTATTATCCCTTGTTGGGGGGGAAAAAACAGCCTTACCCCAGACAAATATAGTATGCGAATATGCTTCTATGCTACTCTGTGATTGCCTTTCCTCTCCTGCGCGTCATTTTACAAGAGCTCTGGACCGCCGACCGTTCCGGCTCCGGCTCCGGCTCCCATTCTCACTTCTCCGAGACCCACTTAACGCCGGCCACCCGGCATTAGCATTGGAAGACTAACGGCAATGTCTCGCGCTTAAAGAAATTCTATGAAACCGGCATCTAGCGGTCGTCCACAAATGATGTCCAAAAATTTGTCACAAGATGAAAACAACTGCATGGCTTAAAGACAAATTCTCGTTAACCAGGCTGCGCGAACGCTTGTGTGCTATGTGACAGAAAGAGACGCGGAATCTGAAAGCTGTCAGTGTACCTTGGCATAAGGAATGAACTGCTAGTACTCTTTACGTAGATGAATAGTCGACTCGAATGACCACCTCATCATTCCTTCGTACCAGTAAATCTAGCACGCAAATCCACGCATCCCGTCTTTGCTGACGCTCCGAGGGGTCTCGGTGAAGCACTCGTCTTCACCGAAAGATGCTTCAAGGTGACCTATTCGGGCAACTTTAACAGTCCTTCATGCTTGGTCATCCCGGTGTGTCAAGTTGGCGTTAGCGTCGTGGTTTGTAACCTGACGAGCAGTCAGAAAATGGGGCAATTTTCTCCGCTGTCCATTGAGAAAAGCGCCGAGTTTGCCCCTAGTGACGCAATGGGGTAATCTTGGCCCGTCACTCCACCATCTCCTCCACGCTGCCCCTCACAGCGCCGGTCATGCTCAACAACACGAGTCGACGATACGTATAAAGCTGGGTGAGGTCACTCAAAGGTTGAGTTCAAGAGATCAATCACAGTTTTTCACGAGAAACGCTCAGAAGAGTTTATCAAAATGTCTTCGGAAAAGAAGTTGAACGTCGGAATTATCGGATACGGGTACGTAAAGAATCCCCGCATGCGATGATCACATATCCTTGTCCCAAACCCTTGCATGCTTCCGGAATAGCCTCGCTGTGGCGCATTTAACAGAGACATCCACGTGCTAACTTGTCTTCAGCCTGTCCGCTAAGATCTTCCACATCCCTTTCATCAACCTCACTCCCCAGTTCAAGCTACACAGCATCGTCCAGCGCAAGCCGACGGCTTCATCATCTGCCCCCAATGACTACCCCTCATTGACGCACCACACCTCCCTGGAGCCTATGCTTCAGGACCCCGAGGTCGACATCGTCAACATCTTGACACCTCCCAACACCCACTTCAACTTCACCAAGCAGGCCCTCCAGGCCGGCAAGCACGTCCTAGTTGAGAAACCTTTCGTGCCTACGGCCGCCGAGGCCGAGGAACTCATCCAGATCGCAAAGGAGAACAACCGCCTCATCTGCGTCTACCAGAACCGCCGATGGGACAGTGATTTCCTGACGGTGAAGAAGATGATCAACGACGGCATCTTCGGCCGCGTGTACGAGTTCGACACACACTTCGACCGCTACCGCGCGGACCGGCCCACGTCCTGGAAGGGCCAGCTGGGCATGGCCGAAGGCGGTGGTGCCCTGTATGATCTGGGATCCCACCTCATCGACCAAGCCTACAACCTCTTCGGCCTGCCGGAGACCGTCTACGGCAAGCTCATCAACCAGCGCGACGGAAAGTTCGACCCGGAGGACCCGGACAGTGTGCACGCACAGCTCGCCTACAAGAACGGCCTCATCGTGAGTGTCCGCATCGGCGTCATGAGCGTCGAGACGATCCAGCCGCGGTTCTGGGTGCGCGGCACCAAGGCGTCGTTCCACAAGACGGCGCTTGATCCCCAGGAGGACCATCTCAAGGAGGGCAAGAAGCCCAACGAGCCCGGTTTCGGCGTCGAGGACCCCATCAACGGCGGCAGGTTGCTCCTCATCAAGGACGGAGGCAAGGTTGAGGAGAGAACGAAGTTGACGGTGGAGCCCAAGACGTACCTCAAGCTCTTTGAGGAGTTCGCGAAGGCTATTGAGACCGGGAAGGACGAGGATGTTCCTGTTCCGGCAAGTGAGGCTCGCGATGTCCTGCGCATCATTGAGGCCGTCAAGGAGAGTGCAAAGACGGGAAGTGAGGTCCGCCTGTCTTGAGAGATCGTACCCAGGTCACAGGTGATCTCAAAGTTGGAAGCACTAACGTAAACTCGTGCCCGACACGCAAGCAAAGAGCTAGTGCGCCGCGGACACGAGCGGTTTAAAGGTGCCCGGGCGGGATGGCGTGACGTGCCGAGCCGATGGTCGAAGATTAGAAGCCGTTGAGCTAGTACCGTGTGTCGTACATCATCTCACCGGAGAAGGGTTGGAATCATCTATATCAGCGTTTTGATAGCGTATTAGCGGTTGCGGCCGATGAAGTTTGAAAACGTTTACGAACCCGATCTGCTCCTATTCCGGTATGAGCTTACCGTTTATGGTTCGCAAACCGTCAACACGAGGTGCCAGGTGTCCGCAACGGGCTCTGATGTAGATCTCCTCGCACAGTATCATGAGACACGGGAACATTGACTTCGTCCTCATATGCCGACCGAAAGACAGTAAGACTTTCAAGTTACGATCCAAGTACCGCAGGCTCCATGCAAACCCAGCTCATTAAGTATTTCGGTCGGGCCAGTACTTCGTCCAGATCCATCTGAGATGTCTTGTAGCAGAGCTTGGCAAGAAATAATGGCGTTCATTCATGCAGAGAATGAATGGTGAATGTGACCCAGACTTGAGAGAGTTTGTCTCAACCCCGCATCAGCAATGGTGACATCTCGTGTTGCTCTGGTGAAGCAAGGAGGCGAAGAGACGGAGCTTTCAGGTATAAAGAGCCACAATATCCCACTAGCGGTAATTCTTCTCGATGAGACAGTGACACAGAGAATAGACCTCTTCAGCAAAATCAAGCCCTACCACTTCGTTCGGCAAAATCCCTATCATGCGATTCGCCGGTCTCTTCAGTTTCCTCTCACTCGTCGCCAGCGTCTTAGCTGGTCGATACATCGTCATCCTCCGACCAGTAAGCCCACTACAGCCGTCTCCCCTGAAGTTCTCAGAACTGCGAAACGACATAAACACGAAGCTAACCAATGAGGACAGAGTGCCAGTCTCGACAGGTTTCTTGCGAAGCTCGAAAAGGGCGGCAACATCTGGGTCGTGCGAAAGTACGAATCTCCGAGTTACTTCAATGGAGCCGTCGTCACCACGAACGACTATAACGAAACTACGTTGCTCGAGTTTCCCGAGGTCATCATCGCCGAGGAGGATAAGATGATGACGATCGATCCAATCCCCGCCCAGCCGGGACCTGACGTACCTAGCCCTACAGAGCCTACTCTTCATCTCCCCCAGTAATCACGAATACCTCCAGGCTCAAGAACAGCACCTCATTATGTGCTCCCTGGCTATTGGTGGCATAGTAATTACGTGCACGTCGCTCTCAAGCGCTTCGAAAGAGCACGTTCACGCGTTCCTCCATTCAAAATCTTGGGTCACACGAGCTAGTGCGATGGAGCGTCTATTTACTTCATGGCGGCACTGGTAACGAGGGACGACGATGTAGGAAATTGAATATGGCTGTAGTGCTTGTTGTTTACCTGAGGTCGACACTAAGTTCTTACATGTGCTTGTGACAAGATAAGGAAGGCGGAGCAACTGCTTGAAGCAAAATCTGTATTGGAATGTTATGGAACTGCAACAATCTAGGTTCCAGCAACTCATCAACGTGGCAGAACATCACAATCACACCTCGGGGGTCAACTAGCACCCGCTCAGATGAGCTGGCGGATTCACGACAGTACAGATATCCGCCAAGATAACTACGTACTCTTAACTACCCCAACAAACTACAGGGCTGAGCGGCTGATATTGAGACATCCAATGACATCCCCAACATGTCCTCGCGGGATGTCGAACTACTGTCTCGCGCATCCCTGTTTCATCCAGTTAAAGGGCAGGTAGCATGCGCCATAGAAGATCAACATGTCAGCGGTAACACAAAGTGATCGCCACTTTTCTCGGCGGTTTCTTGGTGTCAGCATTCCGAAGAGCACGCTGCAGCTACACAACTACAAGACTCCCTGTTCTCCCACGGGTGATCACGCCGCAACCCGTTGATCTTGAAGGCCTTCACCCAACGGCACCACATCATGGACGAATGTCCTAGGGTCGCAGTAATCGGGCTTGGTGAGTCTTCATTAGAGACCAGGGCGCCTGGAAAACGTTGCTGATTCCATTCAGGTGCCCTCGGCCTCGTCGCCTTGAAGAACTGCGTAGAGGAAGGTTTCCAAGTGACTGGCTTTGAGCGCAGCTGCTACGTCGGAGGTCTCTGGAAGTTCACCACAAAAGACCAAACCTCGGTCCTACCAAGTATCCCAACCTACCCTTGATATTCCATTGCAACTATAGTAACAGCACCAGCTACTATTGTCAATATATCGAAAGAAAGGGTATGTGCAAGAGAGGGTAGCTCCTGCAGGCTGCCGTCAGTTCATGTTTGCTGATTTCCCCTTCAAAGGGATGTTACACCGATTTTCCATTCCCTGAAGGTGAGACGATAACCCTTACTGCATCCAAAACCCCTAATCAACGTTTGGATAGATATCCCGAGCCAATGCACCGCCAAAGACGTGGAGGACTACCTCGAGAGCTACGTGGATCATTTCAAGCTGCGCCCGTTCATACGGCTGAACACCAAGGTTTCCCACGTTCGACGCGACGATGAAGCAGACAAGTGGGTAGTAGAGATCCGGGGCTCTCGTGAAATCTTTGACAAGGTCATCATCGCAACGGGCATGAACCAGACGCCAAGCTATCCAAACATCAAGGACATCGAGCTCTTTGGCGGGGAACAGGTGCACTCAAAAACGTACAAGAGGTATGTCTGACACCCGTGCGGGCGTGGATTGTGTTGACCACGTTGACTTGACTTGCAGACCTGAGGCTTTCGCGGGCAAGAGGGTGTTGGTGGTCGGTCTGGGAAACAGCGGCGCCGACACCGCAGTCAGCCTGATCGGGCAAGCCAGCAAGATCTACCTGTCGCACAGAGACGGCGCCATAATAGTGAGTCGCTCAACACTTGCACAAACCATCAGTGCAGGCTCACAAAAGCACAGCTTCCTCGAGCTCAGAACGGCAAACCCATAGACCACACCGTCAACGTCCGCTTCATGACGATCCAGGGCATCATAGAGTCGATCTTCCCAAGGGTGGCAGAACGCCTCTTCAACATCTTCGCGAAGAAACTGCAAGACACGACCTTCACCATCCGCCCCGAGTGGAAACTGTCTCCCGCACCGTCCATGAGACGCACCTTCCCCGTCGTGTCAGATGAGATCGTGCCGGCGCTGGAGCGCGGCGACGTGGAATCCGTCACGGGAGTCGACCAGATCACCGGCCGCGACGAGGTCCAGCTCACCGACGGCCGCGTGCTGGGGGTCGACGCCATCGTCTACTGCACGGGATACAAGACCGACTTCGGCATCCTGGACCCCGAGGCCGATCCGACCCGCAGAGAGAACCCCGCGTGGCTGGCGGCGAAGGGGTCCAGGGGCAAGCCGCTCCCGCGGCTGTACCGGAACGTGTTTTCCGAAGAGTACCCGGAGTCGTTGGCGTTCATGGGATGCGTCGCGTTCCCGATCGGCGCCTTTCAGATGTACGACCTCGCCGCGATGGCCATCGCGCAAGTTTGGAAGGGAAACTCGACGCTGCCTCCTCGGCGCGAAATCGAGCGTGCGATTGACGAACACCAAGCGTGGCTGGTTGACCTAGCGCGTACGGGCAACGTCATGTACCATTTTGTCAACGGGATCGAGTGGACCGATTGGGCAGACCGCATGGCCGGGAGCGGCGTGAGAGAGAACCTCGGCTGGGGGTGGAAGGGGCTGAAGTTCTGGTATCGGGAGCCTCGGTTCTGCGGTCTGCTCATGGGCGGCATCTACAGTCCGCACATCTTCCGGTACTTTGATGGCAAGAGGAAGAAGTGGAACGGGGCTAGGAAGGAGATTGAGAGACTCAACGCTGTGGACAGCGACAAGCCGAAGACTGCCTAGATATGTGCCAACACCGGTTCACGAGCTATTGAGCTATGCGCGATCTTCCGAGTCCTGCTTCAGAGCCCATTCAAGCTGTGTAGCAGTGGATATTGAATATCACTGCCACCTTCTTCATGCCCAAGAAAGCCTGGGTGAATCTACTCCAGATTTCTTCCCGAACACATGCAAACCATATGCTTCCAGAAAACCCAAAACTCCCCATGCTCGCGTGGCTACCTACACCTTCAGCCAAACCCGAGACCTGCAGCGACGGCAAGAGTAGACACGTTGTTGGTCGTTTTCTATCACACTGATAATTTGAGAAATCTCCCATCGGTAGACCATCACGGTCGGAAAATGATCGGCGTTGGTGTTGGTGTTGGTTGGGCCTTCAAATCCTACGCGCCGGCGGTGGAGACCGCGCAGATCACACCAGCTCAGCGCTTCGCCGAAGGATCGCATCTCGGCGTTCTTGGGTTACCTCGCAGGCGAGATGCTGCAAGATTGCGAGGGACATATGCAACGTGACAAGAATAGTGGGCGCGGCGCCAAGTCCATGTTGGACCTGTCTCCGACTCAACAAAGGATGTCTGATAGTCTCTGTATGTTCTCTGCTCTAAGCCATTCAACAGCGAAAGACACCCGGCACCATGTCCAAAAAATGCAGACCGAACACCGATATCCACAACACTGCCGTAACCAAGCCAAGAACCCATGTATGAAGTCGCTCGCTAATCACCAGCTACCAGGGGGAATCATGAAAGTTGTAACCCAAAACGTCGCCGAACCACCGTGTATCCAGCTTCCAACCAAAGGAAACCATAAGTCATGAGACTGTGCCGCCGTTACTCCTAGAAACCCGCCCATTTCTGCATCGTGTTGAGTAACATTCGGACGACGAGTCCGGCGGCTCCGACGACGACGAAGACCTGCGTGAGCTCCCACCAGTGCTTCAAGCGCACCTCGGTCTCAATGTATCCCTTTTTGTTATCTTCGCTCGGAGGGAAGCGGCCGGTGGAGATGTACTCCTCCATGAGAGCATCCTTCTCGTACCACCTCTCGCGCACCCACGCGTCAAACTCTTTCTGGTCGTGCAGGGGCATGTCGGCGACGCGGAACCGGCGCCAGTGGAAGTTGACCGACTTCGGAGGGCGGCCCTGGAAATATGTGCTGGAAAGGGTAAAGTACTGTTCGCCGTACTTGCCGCGGCTGGAATGCTGTTAGCTCATGTCTCGCACGGGTTCGGCGGGCGCAAACTTACGGGACGCCTTCGTAGGCGACAGTGCAGTCGTAGACGTAGTCCAAAGTGCCCGACAGCTCCTTCAAGCAGAAGAACATGCCAGTGCTGCGCGGGAGCAGCAGATGCTGGGGGTCCTTCAGGCCACTCTGCTCTGCCCAGGCGGCAGATTTCCTGCGCCCGTTACCAGACAGATTTGTGCCCTCGGGGAAGAGAAGCAGCCACATGGGATCGCGATGCTTCTTTCCGTTGGGTGTAGTGTGTTCCATCTTGAGCTTGTTCAGGCGATGCGCCAGGCGTGGCTGGTCAGTCGACATCTTGCGCGACATGAAGATGAAACCGTAGAACATCATGCCCCAACCAACGAGGGGAATGTACTTCAGCGACTCCTTCAGAATGATGTAGATGTGGCCGTGCATGCCTGGCTCGTTGGCATAGGCCACCCACCAGAGGTACAGCCAGTCGGTGTAGATCTGGTGGTTCGCGATCAGGATCAAGCGCTCGGGGAAGTCGAACTCGACCAAGCCGTTGGGAGTCTGTCTGATCTGGCCCGCAACCGAAGCATCACCGCTGATTCTGATCTTCGTAGGACCCCAGATCTTGGTCATAGCAGTTGTCGTGAGGGCGAAGGACTGTTTCGTCAGCGCCATGTAGGCGTAGTAGAGCTCGCGGTTGACGAAGTACAGCCAGCCGCCCATGAGCTGCGTCAGGAAGATACTGCAGAGATCATCGAGTCAGCCTTGTCTGCTCTCGTCGCAGATGGAAGCGGGGTATTGTGTATCTTACCTTGCGCAGCAGGCGGCGAAGTAGATGGCGAAAGAGACGCCGCGGACTATCTGCATAAACTTGTTGTGCTTGATGCGACCTGCCGGGTGCGAGTCGCTTGGTTTCCTAGCCAGCCCCGCGTTGGGGGAAGGTCCCGGGACCTCTTCGCCGGCCTTCTTGTGTACGTCGATCGCCATTATCGCGGGGTAGAGAGGATTTGGTATTAGGTTGTTGTAGGATCGTAGGAGGTATGTAGAGGAGAAGTCGGAACTCGTTCGTAGCTGTGACGTCAACTGGCGAAGTCGTAGATGGCAAATAGGGGTCGGTGGAGAGCTTCGTGGCGGTTCGACGAGGGGTTGTCGGTGTCGCGTGCGACAAGCAGGTGAGTCGGGCAGCTGGACAGCCGATAGCTAGGATGTTGCTTGAGGAGGCGGGGTTCGGATGAGGAGCTAGATGGCAGATAAGTAGCCACTGTGAAGGATATAGGATCGATATCAGGTTGGTCGGTTAGGTGGGCGTGAAGCCTTTTGCAAAGCTATGATATGCAGGTCATGATCGTCTGGTCGGTAGGTAGGTGACTGGAGGAAGATGAAAGAGTCAAAAAGACGTGTTCGGGTGAGGTACCAGCGGTAGGGCAAAGCTTAAGGAACCTTAAGGACCAAGGTAAGCAGCAGGGTAAGGTGACGTGAGGAAACAAAGACGGCTGACAATCAAGCCATGCCAAACAGGAACAGAAACATGGAACACGAAAAGACAGAGAGAGTCATGGTTTCCATGTTTCTTGGAGCAGCAGAAGCAACGGGAGACGAGGCGGCCGAGCGCAGTCCGCCGGCTTGATTTGGGCTCCGAATCAGGACAGGACGGGACGGGAAGGACCCCTCCACGAACCCGTCGTCACTGCCTTTCGATCGTTAGTGACGAAAGCACCTGCCTGCGACTGCGACTGCGCTGCCGGGCGGCCAGTGGAGGTTCCAGACTCCTCCGAAGAAGCCGGCTCTTGCCTGTCTTTGGTGCTGCCTGCAGCCTCGATCCACCTCGACTAACCAGATGTGGAATGGTCAGATGGAGGGGCATGCGCACGGATCTGGTTGGTTGCAGCGTGACATTGTGGATCAACTAAATACCCGAAGTCCGTCCTTCAAAGGCCCACTAATTCCCTGATTCTGACAATCGTTGGCGTCTTCCGAGCCAATCCCGCCGTCGCTTTTAGAAACTCTCTCTTTAGCACGTGCTCTCTTCCTTAGATAAGCCGTCGGTGAGCCAAGGTGAGTTGCAGGTGTGACTAAGGTGAAGGCATTCCTGGCGGCCCGTCCCAGCAGGTCGGTGCTGCCGCTGCATCTTCCTGCATCCTCATGCAGAGAAGAGACGAAACTTCCTTCGAAAAAAGAGTTTGATTGTTTTTAATGTCTTGCAGAACACACAGACAGTTTGCTGCGCGATCACCTAATACTGAATCACCAGCTTCGTCGCTGACACCCCCTTCTTGAGCCTCTCAAGACCAGCCTGGATCGATTCCAACCCCTTACCGACCACCTCAGCGTCCGGCTTCGGCTGCAACTGGCCACTTTTCAGAGCTGCGGGCACGAAGTCTCTCCAAATAGGATCACCGACTTCTTCAGGGTCCTCGGTGATCTGAAAGGCAGTCTCTGGGTGTCGGTGGTGGTCAGAGCATATTCTCAACATCGCTGCAGCTCGCAGACAGGTAATGACTCACCGAAAGACATCAAAGCATTCTTCCCATAGTCGCCCTCGCTCGGGAGCACTGTTATCACTTTATGCGGACCAAGCTTGTCCAAGATGGCACCGATCGGCTTGAGGGACTCCGGAGACGATATGGCATCGTACACTCCGGCGACTTCCGTACCCGCAAGCACAGCAACCGCATCGGCCACGACATTTTCCGAGTGGTAGTCGAGAACCGTGTCGGCGCCCAACGCCTTGACCTTGTCAAAGTTGACCCTTGAAGCCGTCGAGATGACTCTCAGCCCGGACGCGGCGGCAAGCTGCACGGCAGTGCCTCCGACCGAAGACGCGCCACCCCAGACCAGGAGTGTCTTTCCAGATGGCGTCGGCTTCAAGCTGGGTAAGGGGAGCCCCAGATACTTCTTCTTATACAAACCCACCGAAGCCGTTGCGATGGCTAGAGGAAGTACCGATGCCCTCTCGAAGCTTATATCGTCGGGTATGGCCGATACCAGATTCGCGCTGGCTTTACTGTAAAGCTGAAATGTCGCGAACTCAGGATTCTGAAGGCCTAATCCAGTGCAGTATCTGGGACCAAATGAGTACGCATACGGAGGACGTACGAGTGAGATGAAGGGGTAAGGAGCCTCACGAACCCGATCACGCGCTGTCCCTTCTCGAGATGAGTTACGCCTTCACCGACCTCCTCGATGTATCCAGCTGCATCTGCTCCCAATATCGTGGGATACTTCTGCACAATTACACCGTAGTCTCTGCCGCAGATTAGCCCACTAGTCGGAAAGGAAGCACCACAGAACCTTACTGGATTTTCCACTCAGCGGGGTTCTACACCAGATTAGATACCGGTCATTCTTATTCATGAAGCGACAGCTTAAACTCACCAGAGCAGTCGCGACATTCTTTATAACCACCTCCCCAGGTCTAGCCTGCGGAAAAGGAGCGTCGTCGATTTTGAATGGGTGGATCTTAGGCCCAGTGAGCCAAGCTGCTCTGTTATTCTTCTCAGACATGATTCGGAGCTTGAATTATCTGCCACTTGCTTCTGTATAATTAAATCAAACCCCAAAAGCAAGAAGGGTGAAAGCCACTTAAGAAGCATGCATTCGGACAGCTCGGAATACCGACGCGTCGTTCGAAACACTGTGGTGATGCAATTACACTGAGTTTCCTGATGGGATTGGCGGGGCCGAAGGTGTTCGTCGGATAGTGGAGGGGGGTCCGATGCCTTTCAGCGGGTGTTCCGAAACCCTGTTGAACGCAGCTGGACTTCGACATATCTGCACTAATGGCGACATCTAGGCGACTTCTTCCCTAATAGAATCTATAGGTTGAAGGGGTTGGCGCGAAGTTGTTACATTTCCGAGTGAACTGGTGTCCCTTGCTAGCCCATGTAACACCTGGAAGTCTGCTCACTGAAATCACGCGGGAACAAGGTCGCTGAGTGTTTCGACAACTCTACGCAAGCTACTTCAACTCTAGAGTTTAATGTAGCCTTAAACTTCTTATTGGAGACTTGGAAATGTATTGGGAAGAAAACATAGTCTTTTAATTGCTTTTTAAGATACATGAAGAGATCTCAACCCCTTGGGCAACACTGAACCGACTCGCAGAGGTGCGAACGGCCCAGATCATCTTACCCCGCGGCCCCGCGCCCCAGCGGAGCACCTCTGCCCTACATAAGTCCCAAACAGGCCCAAAACTTCATCCAGCAAAGGCCTGCTGGCGAAATGGCATCGCGTCAGATTTCGGCTCCTAAGTCATACTCTGAAGATTGTAGGTTCGATCCCTACGTAGGTCGTTTATCTTTTGCATTTTGCAGCAATACCCCCCAACTCGCGGATACAAACCATTTGGTTGATTTTTGACTCTGCGGGCTTTAGATTAAGTTTTTACTTCTGATCATTCCAAACATCTGTATATCCCTCGTCAACAGCTTGGACATCTTGGAGGCTTTCTTAGCTGAACGTTCCACGCCAGTGCATCAATTCAGTACCTAATTCGACCCGTTGTCAATTTCGTCTTACACAAGGACTCAAGCATCATGAACGTGCGATTACACATTTGACAATGTTTCGTCCGAACTACAGGGGTTTTGAGGAGCCTCCCCAGCTGGGGGTCAAACAACTAGACGCATGATCTAGACAATCGATCTTTATGTCTCTCTGAGTTTGGTGTGTCTGGGAAAAGTAGAGGGACGCTCAGATGCTTAACTTAGGTAGGGGCGGTCTATTTATTAAAGTCGGCTTTCTAACCAAGGTCGAGACGTTAAGTGGCATCGTTGATCATGAGGATGCGATTTATCTTAGCGGGGCACAAATATATTAAGAGAACTCCAATGCCTTTGGTAATTATAAAGGAAGCCCTTGGCTTCACCCCCAAAGCGAATGTAAACAGGGCCAACCTTAAACTAGAGTGATGCGAGTTCGCTTGCTCGTATCCCATCTAAGGCCAAAACCACCGCCAACCACGGTGCCCCAGCGCTTGTATCTCAACTCAGAATCAGGTTCCAGGAGGAGATAGCGCACATTCCGGTGACCATATCCCTCAGACGCTTCTTGAACTGGAATGCATACGCCCGTAACATCCTCATCCTGGTTGAATCTCCGTACCAACTCCTCCGTGTCGAGGCGTAGCTTGTCCTCTCCAATTTTCTGCATGTTGGGTATCTTCTTCGAGAGGGTCTCGTCATCAAAGATCTCGATCGTCTTTGACTTGGCGTCTCTTTTGAAGTGGTGCAAGAAACAGTCAATGTCAAGTTCCGAAGATTGAAGCAGCGCCGTCGCGTCGTCGCTACCGCCCTCCGGCCTAATACGCACGGCGACGAACTCGATGCATGAGTTCGGCTCTCCACCGAATTTCTGATGAGCTGTGGGCACGGTCACACAGAACTTCGGATGGGCATTAGGCGTAGCCACGTTCTCGTCAGGGTCAGACACGTTCTTGCCAGGGACGGTAACGCTCTTGTCATGGAGAGATGCCCAGCTCCACGAAGGCGCGAAAGCCGTGTTGCGCACTACACGCGCGCTTCGGGATGCATTAGACTCCCATAGTAGGTCTGTGTGAAGTCCATCTTTCCAAATACCGTCGAAGTACCTGTCGTGGACGTACATCTCTTCGAACTTTTTGGCAACACCAGAGATGGCGATGAGGCGGTCAGTCTCGTAGGAGAGGTCGCAGCGGCTGTAGGTAGACACCATGATCCTCCAGCAGTCTCGCAGTGTGGGCCAAGAGTGCTCATTCGTCTGCCAGACGGGGGTTCGTCTTCCATCGACGGAAACCGATTCCCTGATGATTTTTCGCAGGGCAGCCTTGTACTCCCGTGCCTGTTGTCCCACTTCCGAGTGAGAACCGAGATGAAGTAGACCGAACTGGTCCTTTGGGTCCTCCTCGCAGCGGCAATGTTCGAGGCACTCCCAGTATATCTGACTCTTGGTAAAGTGAATGATTCTTCGTGTGAGAAACCTCTCTTGAACGACCCAGCCACGACCCGTGAGGGGTGCTTTGTTCATCTCGTTGATCCAAAGGCTGTCAAGCCAGAAGTTCCATTTTCCAGTGGGGTTTTTGTCGCCCTTCGGCAATTCCAAGTCCGCTGAAAATGGGTAAAACGAGCGAGGCGGGACGAATCGTTTTCCAAAGAGGCCAAAAGATACGTCGTGGGAAGACCTGATGGCCGAAATGTTGCAGAATGAGTTTCCGTAGACGTGCTTCATCGTTTGCGCTTCCTGCTTCCAGTCTTTCTTCGATACTGAGTCCTGGATGATGCACAGAGAGTCGATCCATATATATCGATAGCCCAACCTGTGGACAAGTGTTACTGCATCTCGAAATGTGGAAGAGAGCTCCTTCAGGGCGATGCCGCTGCGGAAAACCTGCTCGTTGGCCAAGAGTAGCTGGAGAACCAGTTTTGGGTCACCCCATCGATGAGACAATGTGAAATATTCCGGGTAGTCTCTTGGTGAGTCTGTGAGATGCGTTCCGTCGGACGATTTGTCATCGAAGTAGGTCCTGTCCCGCAGCACTACCGTTCCGTTGTCAACGTTCTGGACGTCGATGACGCGGGTTGGAAAGAATGTTCTGTCGGGAGTTGCGGAACAGTATGGGTGGTCTTCACTGCAGCTATGCAGCCAGTCTTTGATTATTCCGATGGATTTGCCAGACCCTATTTCCGTATCGTCGAGCTCGCATGCTGTCAATTGAGGAAGACGGTTCCGGTTGTTGAGCTTTGAGGCATCTTGATGACTGAATGACCCATCCTCATGCGGGTAGATGCATACTGTATGGAGGTCAGTTCACAAGAACCGGCCCTGATCAGAGAATACAAACCTGCGATATCAAAAGGAGCCGCCCATGAACATTCACCGCGAAACTTGACATTTCCGCACTGGTTGTGCTCCAAAGTAGATTCACGGAAGTCGCAAAAGGTTTGGAAACTATTCTGGACTTCAGAAGAATTATCATGGGGGGCGGGTACCTGCAGACTCAGCCACTTGCAGATAGTACATCCACTGTTCAAGCTGAATATAAGACTGTCATAGTCGGTGTGGTGCTTACTCCATGAAGACTGCCAGTGCCTCCAAGTGGTGAGGACCCGGCAGCAGTTTTCACAGAGGTTCGCTTCTGCCATTGTGTTCCGGTGCTGAATGTGGTTTCTGTTGCGAAAGTTTCTGCTACAGGGAAGAAGAGCAATGTATCAGGATTAGAGTCTTAAATTCCTCGGAAGGCAGGCGTCGGCCACTATTTCACTTGACTGATAGCCAAGGATTGAGCCAAACCAAGAGGTTGGGCAGCCTTGCATTAATTGGGACGCGATGGCAAGACGTGAGGGTTGTAGTACATAGTTCTTGGTCTGCACGGAACTGAGACTTACATGAAATAAATACGCACGTCGTTAGATTCAGAGCAGACTGTAACAAATTAAAGAACTTAAGATACACAGCATCACCCCCTGGGTTTGTTCGTAGCGACTTCGTAGCAATCCTACGAGAGAATGCCTATCAAATGTCGCGTTGTGAATGCCTGCAGTCTTCCCGAATACGGAATGAACCAACAATATGCCAGCAAATCCATGTGGGTTCGCTGTTGAATGCTGTTAGATCCTGAAAGACGCATATACATAAAAGACGCATCTACACGTCCAAAGTAGCAAATGCCTGCGTTCCCATTATGGCCAATATCCGGCTCTGTAGGTGGTCACCAGCGCGTCTAGGCTCGCAGAGTGCAAGCACATCAACCACGACGTGGACATACCTCAGCCACTAATCTAGCCCGGACGAACGTTGACCGGTTGCCAACTAGCAGCATTCAAGTCACAGACAACTGCAGGAGGGTTTCACAAGGACGGTGTTGCCCCATGTACCACCTGAGGTGGAGTGAGAAGCGGGATTGCTGGTTGTACATGCGTCCGAGAAATCCTCTAAAGTGCATTTGAATCTCAGATTGAGCAGCAACATTGAGCTAAATTGCGACGTCAGTTGTTCTAGACACCTGCAAAATGCTGTATATAATGCAGCCAAGCTTATTCTTAGTCCACGTTGCCGTAAGCAAGGCTTGCGGTTGGACGTCCCGGCATGCAATAATCAGGCAGAGCGCAGTTTGATATGCGCAGAAACATTGTAATCTAGCTTGGCACTCTTCGCTTGCGTGGACGCTGTGTCGGCGACTTCGCCTGATATTGCGGACTGATGGCGGCCTCAACTCCACACCGGTCTGCACACGGAGAACTGGCTGCGATCGACCAGTCCATGGAACAAGTCCGAGAGTGATCAGATTCGTGATGACGATGCGCTGCTCGGATTATGTGGGATAAACACGAACTTGTTGAACGGTGACGAGCAGTGTGTAGATGCCCTTGAATGTGGAAGGTTTGCAATGTGTACCAATGGGCGTCCACTCAGAGAAATGAAGCGCGCCAACAGGCAGCTAAGTTCTCACCGGGGTTCAGGTCGCAAATCAAAAACATCCAGCGGAGGCCCATTGGGATCAAACCCGTGACAGACGTGCGCTGAATAGAGTTAGGGGGCAAGAAGAATGGACGGGATCTCACCGGACTGTGATATGGTGCGGCCCGCTTCCGGAGTGGGTTGGTTTACTGATTTGAGACATCGGCAGCACAAGCGGCGAAGAGAAATTCGGACAAGCATGCTCAAGACAGCGTCCAGGTCACAGTCATGACATCCACTTTCACTATAAGTGGGTTGCTTCTTAGCTAGCAGTTTGCTTGCCGGTGGAATTAGGGGGAAATCTCCAAGCACAACCTGATGCAATATCACCAAGATTAAGCAACGTTTTCGGATCCCCACAAGGTGTATGGTCTGCTCGGACTCGCGAGTGAGGAGGAGGCGGCGCTCATCACGGCCCACTACTCGAACTCCGTCGCTGCGCTATATCCAGCCAGGAAGCGGCGTTCAAGTTCATGGAGAAATCTGGCGAGCTGGGATTTCCTAGCTTCCAGTTCTACCTAATGCAATATTCCACGCAATACAATGCAGCCACCAAACACCAAACCTGCTTGTTCTGGCTCGCCATACCCAACGAGTACATATTTAACATTCAACATTCAAAGAATTTCCAGTTCCATAAGAACATGAATCAGGACGGGGGTTCTCCAAAGGGGCTGTTTACTCGGGTGCCAAAGTGGGCGCTCACTGTTGAGTCTACGTTGCTTTATGATCTGGACGATCGTTTTTCATGTCTTTCGAAGTTTAGTACGTCCGGGGACAGTAGAGCGACGCTTAGATGCTCGCCTCGGGCCGGCCTGTTCGTCAGGGGAAGGTTTCTGGCCAAGATCGAGACGTTGAGTGAAACTGAGATGCGGCTGATAACCTGGCGGCCTTCTTTGAGGGTTGGCGAGACATGGTCGGGATCACAAATTCGCTGGACAGGCTTTACGTCAGAAGCCAGACTACCACGTACAGCGACGTCATTTGGCAGACGTTGTCTTGCTTCATTATTTCAGATCGAATACATCCACCGTACATCAAGGGCTCAGAGAACGCCAGATAACTCGGCGCATAAGAAGTGGTATGACTCATGATGGGTATAGTGTGAGGAACACAACTGCGAGGGCCCTCGACTTCCGCTCATCGAATTAGAGTACTCGGAGGCAGAGATCAACTCTTGGGGGGCTCTCGTATCGACATCGATCAGTTTAAGAATGTTGTTTGTTGCGGAGGATGGCAGGATGGGATTAGTTCCCATGGATGCCCAGGTGGGAGATACGGTAGCTCTTTTGGAAGGTGGCAGGGTGCCTTACATCTTGAGAAGATCTCAGCAAGGCGGCCACTTTGGGTACGAGCTTGTCGACGATGCATATGTCCATGGGATGAACGGTGCTGGTGTCATCAGTGTTACTGACGTCTAAAACCACCACATACGACCATACCCATTGGAAAACTCGGGATCCCGTCCGCTCTCCCATAGACAAGCCAATGAGGGCCGGATTAGTAGTTGGGTCGGTGACGACCAGCGAATACCTGGTGTTGTATGTCTTTTGGTGTTTTGTTTGCTGAGTAAACCGGTGTTCGTTCGTTGACTGAAGCGTTTTCTTTTTAAAAACATTTGTCTCTTGCTAGTTATAGCGTATTGAAAAGAGCTGAACAAGGGTTGCTGCGTTGTATTGAGCGGTAGAAATTAAACTTGCTGATAGAATGCCTCAGATGAGTCGGGTTTCCCGCTGGTTATAGCGGATTAAGTAGAGCCTAAGAAAAGGGGTTGCTGCGTTGTATTGAGCGGCAGAAATTGAACTTGGCTGATAGAATGCCTCGGAGCGATAAAGATAAGATTATGTGGATATGACGTACTTGGGATAAGTATTTAAAGTCGTCCTTGGAACCATCCGATTCACTTCATTATCGGTTAAGCTCGCCAAGCTGTGCCGACATCGACTCACAAACGCCGCCGATCATGGACCCCCCTCATCCAGATCCAGGACCTGCCTCCGTCTACGATCTAGACGCCACCGTAGCCAGTCTCGCACGATACTATAGAGTGCTTTCTCAGATGGTCTCTTTCAGGCCTGCAAATATCGGGTATCCCCGGGATAACGGATGGGGCGACGACCTTATTCCTCTCGAAAAGTGGCGCATGCTGGGGTTCAATGATAGAGTAATCGACTTACTCCGTCACATACCATACGTTTACAGTGACAGACCAGTGTTTCCATCCACCGAGTCTATCAACTATCTCAACACCAGCTGGCCATTCGCAGAACTCGAGTCTTTTCAAGGCGAAGATGCCTGCGGCCTGGACCTTTGGCCGTTCCCAGACGTCCGGATTCCCGAAGGCGTCGTCGCACTCTCTACACGTCTCAGAGGCGACCCCTTTGCGACTTGGTGGATATTGGATACCAACACGGGTGAGGGAAGAAGACCGGCCCGCCCTGTGTTTTAAAATCATCTGACCATCTTCCTCGCAGGCGAAATCACGCCCCACGAGGCCGTTCTGATGAGTCCGTCCGAGGAAGTCCCCGAAGACGAGCCCTGGCGCTCGTCCAGGCCTGTACCCGCCGCAGAGTACTTCGACAAGATACGAGACGACCTGATCGCGCTGGACTTGATCCCCGTACCCAGCGGCACGGAAGGAGGTGACTGGGAAATATGGCGGAGCAGGCGCGGTGGCGGCCAGACAGGCGACCCGTGGATCACGGTAAGCTTCATAGTGCCGAATATTTCATTTCGAGGTTCATACTAAGCTTACTATTATGGGGGGAAAAGGAAGCCCAAGAGATATATCGCAAATGCCATTGGCCGGATATGCAGAGGTTTCGGCGGCAGAAATGTCGCAAGCTTCTCGTGGACATGCAGGGCAGGTTGAGGGCGGAAAACGAGGAGAGGAGAAGGGCGATGCCAAGCCCCCCGGCAACGACTGTGTGATGCCGGCATCCGCTCCCACAGGATAGATGGTATGGAATGAGTATTCACGAGATGAGAGAAGGGAGCAAGTACGAAGCGTTGTAAAGTTCTCAATATAGAGCAGTGAATTAAACGAGAGCAGTGGACTTAGTATGGTATAGCCTGAGCGCGTTAGACTGGAACCTACGAATCGAGATGGCCGGGGTTCCTATCATAATTCACAACGACCGAAGCACACTGCAGAGATATCTAGTTCACCCTGCTCGCCCCGGATCAAGCGACCTAAGGGTATTATAAATAACTCAAATACCATATACATAGCTTGTATCTCTATTGACTTAGTAGGTATTAATAAGAGACCTAGAAAGTTCTTTAGTTTTAACTTTAAGCTGCTTATTTAGGTTTATTAATCTGGAATACTATAACCTATAAGGTATAACTCATAAAGAACGCCCTAGTAGAAATAAAGCATTTAAAATATAATCTTTATATATAAGGTTATAGGAATAATAGGGAACTCTTAAAGTAAAAGAACTATAGTATAAGTTATATAGTAATAAGATAAAAATAATTAGTAAAATACATAGAGAGGTAATTAGAATACTCCTCACTAGTGTTATCTATTAAATAACATGTCACTGTTGCACCTAGTTTGCATCGCAGCTAGAAAGCTGGATCACGTCGTGATTAGAATTTAGATGAATTGATTCTCCTATCTGAGCAGAGGATCTTGTTTGCAAGGGGGGCTATACTCGTGGCAGCGGATTCCATCAGTACTTTTTGAGCTGGTCTCTTAGAGACCTCAAGCTCGATATGACATTGGTCCCATAGGGTTGTTTTAGAGCTATCCTCTTTAACAAATGGAAAAAGTTCCGTTCCCTCGAGGAGTATGTAGGTTTGTTTCCACTAAGTTGAATAGTTCTAGGGTCTTCATAGAATGATAAAGTTTAACTTAATCATCTTAATCGAATAATCTTGATATGAAGTTTAGGGAGCTTCTACTGGCAATCATATCAATCAGACTGTTGATTAGTGAATTTATAAACTATTTTGTAGATCCAAGGTGATGTTACTGAGCTTTTTGTTCTGGGATCTACTTCTTGTTGTGAGGGATGAGATGAAATCGGGACTTCCCAGTCTATCTAGCAAATAGGAATACACAGGTATTAATCGTCTCAGAAGGCTAAGAGTTCGACATCTCCTTGGATCGAGCCGCGGCCGCCAGGATGGCGCTTGTGTAGGCTGACCTGACTCCTAGCCTCTCCAACTCCAACAGTGCCCTGATCGAACAACCTCCGGGGGACGCAATGTTCTCCCGCAAGACGCTCGGATGGTTTCCAGCAGGCACCAACTTCATCATACCAATGGCGCTGGTGAAAGCCATATCTTGCGCGTCTGGCCGCTTCACACCTTCAGCAACAGCTGCGTCGAGGAGACCGTCGACAGCTAATAGCAGAAGCGACCCGGCACACCCGACAAGAACGGCGGAGATGTCAAATGAGCTTTCTGGTATGAGGCGACTTTGGCCCACTTGATTGAAGATCCATGTCGCGATCTCTTTGTTGGTTTCCGTAAGTGTATCGAAATCCGCCGTACACAGGCTCAACGCCTCGCGAATCTGGGCGGCCATATTTGGCATCACCCGGACAGCCTGAAACGGGGCTTGATCATCAGACGATTCTCTCTCTCCAACCGCAAGGCGGGCGAGCTCTTTGATTGAGATCCCAGCCATGATGCTGATGACTAGCTTCCCCCTGAGGGCCTTCTTGACACCCTGAGCTGCGAACACCTCGCTTCTCTTGACGGGCTTGGTAGCTATTATCACCACATCCGCGTCGCGCATGGCATTTTCATTGTCTTTTTGTAGAAACACCTTGAGCTGCGCTGAAGATTTAGACAGCTCCCGCTCGACGCGACGTTTGGAGGCTTCGGAACCGACTGTGGCAATGACACGGTTTATGGCGACACCCTGCTTTTCCAAAGGATTGAGTATTCCTTTCGTAATTGCGGTACCCAGAGTTCCTGTATGTATGCGTGTTAGGATCTAGCACCGAGCCGTGCAGAAGGATATGGGAAAACTAACCGCAGCCGATGACCGCAATCGTGAGTGGATTGCTATTTCCCATAACGATGATTTCTCCAGTACATGCAACTTTTGCATATGGTAGAGACACTCGAGGAGAAAGTTGAAGAATCTTAGTCTCTTAGTCGATAAAGCTGCAGCTCCAAAGCTACTTCTATTGCTATCTTTGACACAATCAGGCTGCCGGCCCGAGGATTTCGTTGTGGGTCATCTCGGCCCGGAGACAATCACGCCCACGGTTATCTCCTGACTTTATGAAGCATGAACCTTTTTCGGCCCTAGGTGAGAGTTTTTTTCCCTGTGCCAAGACTACAAGTAGGAGATTCGAACGCTCCAGGACCTGCTCAGAGACAGATGAGGCAAGCAAAAACCCCACGGGGAAGACGATCGTCCCGATTTCTTCCCTGGGCATCACCCCACTATCTCCAGAATCATCCATGTGGCGCAACCTAATTCTTATTTACTTTAGATAAAAGTGTCACATTGACAAGATGTCAAAAGTGCCAGTCTCTCTTATCTGCAGAAGTTACAGTACAGAGTCCATAGAGGCCGGTCATTGGAGAGGTAACTTGAAGCCGATATGCGTTTCGTCGGCAATTGATACCTTTCGCATCCCGAACGAGTCGTTGTCATCTACCAACCACCACGTTGTCTTGAAATTTGCTGGTAGAGGAACAGGGGCTGTCGGTCCGAGTTCTGTGGCATTATGGCACTATTGAGCTGAGACCTTCCCAATCTACAAAAGGTCGTTAATAGGAGGGCTATGATGCATCCGAATATGAGAAATATCTTTGAAATCGCTATCAAATTGCACCATCATGAAAGCTACCGACGTCAATGACAACACCACAAAAGAGGGCCGTGATTTGAGCACCGTCGAATCGCAAGCGAACGGGCAGCTCTTTGAAGACGTCTTCAGCAACGAAAATGGCGAGGTTGACTTTCGAGGTGTATCATGGCAGGCTGCGGCTGTTCTTGTCGCGAAATTTCAGATCGGCCTCGGAGCTCTCAGCCTCCCACAGACCTTCCACGTTCTCGGATTCTTTCCCGGCATTCTTTGTTTCGTTCTCTTATCCATAATTTCAACCATCGCCGGCTACCTGTGCGGCAATGCAAGGCAGTACTACCCACACATGCACAGCATAGCGGATGCCAGCGATCTCCTCTTCGGAACATGGGCTCGAGAAGCAGTAGGACTCATCTACTACCTCTACCTCGCCATGACTGCTGGAGCAGGTTTGCTCACTACGTCGGTGGCTTTCAACGCCCTCTCCGACCATGGAGCCTGTACGACTGTCTTTGTTGGTGTTACCTCCGTCGCCGGCTTTCTGATCGGCACTGGATTCCGAGGTCTTCAGAAAGTCGCCTGGATCAGCTGGGTGGGAGTTGCAGTCATCTTCATCGCCATCTGGACAACGGCCATAGCCTGTCTTACTCAGAGTCGTCCAGCTGCCGGCCCAGCAAGCGGCCCCATTGATCTTGACGTCCGCGCGTTTCCGAAGACCACCTTTCCTGAAGCGATGATGGCAATCTCCAACCAGCTGTTTGCGGTGGGCGCCTCAGCAACGTTCTTCTCCATTTCGGCCGAGATGAAGCATCCAGAGCAGTTCACGCGAGCACTCATCTGCGGCCAAGCCTTCATCGTGGCGACATGCATTGCAATCGCAACCATTGTCTATGCCAAGGTTGGACAGTATCTCGCGAGCCCGGCGTTGGGATCAGCTGGTCCCCTCATCAAAAAGGTGTCCTACGGCATCGCGCTTCCGGGTTTGCTTGTGACTGCGGTTTTATACAGTCATATTGCGGCCAAGTATTGCTTCGTCAGGTGCTTGCGTGGTACAAGACACCTGCAGGCCAACACTATCACGCACTGGGCTGTATGGGTAGGATCAATGGTGGTGACCGTGATATTTGGGTTTGTCATTGTCGGGGTAGTCCCTTTCTTCAGCGATTTCTTGAGTCTGGTGGGGGCGCTGTTCAACCCGATCTTTACAAATGTTGTTCCCGGTTTCATGCTATTATTCTACGTCGCACGAAAGCTGGTCAAGGTGACAGAAAACATAACTATATTGAGACGCGAGCAAATTGCAGCGTCTCAGAAGCAGCACTGGATTTTGGAGGCCATGGCTGCATGCAAAAAGAGGCAATGGAAAGATACTGTGATGGTAGTTGTGGGAATTTTCATGATTCTCTCCGGGGCTTTCATCATTGTTGCAGGTACTTACTCGACAATCCTTAGCATCAAGAAGTCATACGACGACGGTCTTATCGGAGGTGTTTTCTCCTGCGGAGATAACTCGATCTGAGTATTTTGAATGAAGAGGAATACCATAATTCCTGCAATAATCTTACATTTCTTGCCATGAATTTGATACCTGAGTCTTTAGTCGCAATTTCTCTCTGCCGCCATGGCAGGTGCATCCCAAAAGAAACTCGTGTCCATCAAGTTGGCGATGCTTTGTATGTGGAACGCCTGCTCCAGGTCGCTATTGAATCCAGGCAAAGCGTTACCGATATCTGCGTTATGATTGAATGTATCCATCCCCCCAGCTAAGACTTGAGCCGCTTGAATTTCCGTTTCCTCGAGAAGCATTGGATCTCCATCGAGGTCCAAATGCTGAGCATTTGATTCCATGTGACCTTGTAGAGTTTGTGAACGCTGTGTAGTCACTGGCTGCAACAGATTTGCTAGTGACTCCAAGTACGCCGCGTGCAAGTTGGCCATATCCTGCGGCGATCGTACCATGTCCTTCACATGGCAGGTAATGTCTGTTACAAGACCAATGGCGCATCTTTGAAAAGATGGACCAAGGATACCGTCGCATGGCAGGCACAACAGTAGGCATAAGAAGAGGGCCGCATTCGGTGCAAGAAGGATCACGGCATCTGGTGCCCGACGAAGATCATCTGGCGGGAACTTTAGAAGTTGACGCAGAGTTCCCAAGGCGCCATGAACACTGTTCGCCAGACCAGGCGTATCTGGTGAAAGCCCCTCTCCGGGCTCTCCCGTGGCGGGGAAGCCAAAACTTGAGGCTAGTGCGGAGGGCAGTTCGGAAGACCGAAAATCCTTGTTCACTGAAGTCATGAGTGCTTGTCTCAGAATGGACGACGAAATATTGAGCCTGACACTCTGTTCCCAAACCCCGACAAGAGCAGACAAATGATCTTGTCGAGGGTAAAGTTGTCTCTGATCGAGCGACTGATCATCGTTCTGATGCAACCTGCCTTTTCCGTCAAAATGTATCTGCCAAGTCAATTTCCATCTGTTCAGGTCCGAGTCCAAGAGGTCCGAGAGACACGGAAGCATGGTTGACGATGCCTTGGGAATCATGCCGCGTATCCTGGATTGAATACGTCGCAGATCAGCGCTGCAGCAAGCAACGAAATCAAGCGGGAGGGAATTTGGCATCTTTAACCAGGTTTGCAGATCGAGAAGAGAGGAATCCTCCTCGTCTCCGACATTCAGCGAGGCCCTCCTCATGAAAAACAGGCTTTGCTGCTTATCCTGTCGAAACAAGGCAAGCCAAGCCCGTCTGCGTCTCGCGGTTTGCTGGGTATTGCCGTTGCTCTGCTCCAAGTCTAGATCGTGGAGTATTTGGAACGCGTAGCCGCTGTGAATATATGAAATATCGTCATGCTCGTCTTTCCAGCAGACGAGTAGGTAAAATGCCTGCATGGTCTCGACAGATCTGTCTCCCTCGGCAAACGTGCGGACAGCCAGGTTGCGGGCCAGGCCGCATAGCCGAGTTTGAACAAATGGGTCTGTTTTGAGAGAAAGCTCCCCGTCTTGGTAGTTGGCAAACTTGGAGGAACAGAACAGAACGGTGGCAAACAGTAGATGGCTTCTTCGCCTAACATCGTCGTGCGTGTCAAAGTGGGGGTCCAAGACGTATTCCCATTTCGCATTCATCTCAATCATGAAATGTTCGAAAAGGGCTATTGATGCCGGCTCAGTCAAGATCCCACTGTCGATTGGATCCGTGACAATCGATCCGAGACTCATGGAAGATGAGTAACTGGGCATCTTCACTGGAGGACCAACCTGGACCTGCCCTTGCCCACCCACTTTTAGCGGAGTGAGGAGCCGTGAAAGTTTCAACGACGGCTGAGATGGCTGGCTGGCTTGTCCCTGGAAATGGCGCCGACCAGATTCTCCAGGATCGTTACTTGCACCGAGAGGTGGTCTATCACCCGACGTTATGAAGCTGAACGGGGCCCCTCTTTTGCCTTTGAGAGTCGCCAGCGTTGCAAGGATCCTCGCTCGTATTTCCGTCGTAATCGGTGGTTGAGGCCCAATATCAAGATGAGCGGCATCGCGGCTAACCGGCGTTGGAGGAGCCGGCGACGCATGCGACGACGGCGTAGCCTGGATGACATCCTCTCGGGCCTCGTTTTGCGGAGATATGAATGCGCGTGGTTGTGGAGACTCGCGCTGACGGGGCTGGGGATATGGCCTGGCCCTGACTCTGGCTCTTTTCGGCTGAGTGAAGACACAGTCGCCGTTGTTGGAAATGCAGCGATCACATCGGTCCGGCCGGCGGGATATCAGGCATCGGACCTTGGCTGCGCGGCACTTGAGACATGCGCTGAGATCGGGTTAGCTCACTTCGTCGAGCCGGATGATGACGGCACTTACACGGGCGCGCGGTGTAAATCAGACGGAGTTGCGGTTGATGGGGCCATTCTGGGTTTGCTGGTGAGCTGGGAAGGTTGCTGTTAGAGGGATACGGTGTTGAGTGATAGTGCCGGCCCGGCCGAGGGGGGGGTTGAGGGGTAATTAAGGCATAGAGGCGCAATCGGGAGTCGGACCCGATCCGGGGCTCCGGGGACTGCACCCGATAGCCCCCCCGCATGCAGCTCGGGCCGGGTGTTCACTGTCGTCCAAGAAGAATATCTTAAACCACCCAAACGGCATCCACGCCCGAGCAATGATGCTACTACTTCGACAAGAAAGAGCTTCAACTTGACCCCCTCATACCATTCTCAACCTAACTCGAACCTTTAGTATGACCGGTCGTTTGGCAGGAAAGATTGCTCTCGTCTCAGGCTCTAACCAGGGCTTTGGGAGAGGGATCCTTGAGGCCTTTGTCAAGGAGGGCGCGCTAGTATTGGGACTGGACTTGCAAGCCATCGATGGTCCTGTTGATGGATTCCCTGAGAGTCAAGCTTACCAGATCAAGGCCAACGTGGCCGAAGAAGGGAGTTGGAAAAAGGCGGTAAGCGGATTTCTCTGACCATGACTGTGTCCCGTTCATCCATATTGATAGATTTTGTCACCAGCTTGAGACCTCGATTCACCGTTTTGGCAGGGCGCCGTCTGTTGTTGTCCACAATGCCGGCTGGTCATACCCAAATAAGTCTAGCATTGACGTAACCCTCGAGGAGTTCAACCGCGCCTTCGAGGTCAACGTCAAGAGCATCTTCATCGCCTCCAAGATGCTCATCCCCGAAATGAAAAAGAATGGTCCCGGCTCGACCATTGTCATTTCCAGCGAAAACGCGATCCGACCCGGTGCGCTGCAGACATGGTATAACGCCACCAAAGCCGGCGTGTCCTCAGCAACCAAGTCCATGGCACTCGAGTTCGCCCGGGACCAGCTCCGGTTTAACACAATCTGCCCGACCTCGGGCAACACGCCTCTCCTGAACAAGTTTGCTGGAATCGCGGATGGCCCGGTCCCAGCGGAAATCATCAAGGCTAAATGTGAGGCGATCCCGATTGGGCGTCTCGTGGAGCCCTCAGATGTGGCCAATGTGGCTCTCTTCCTTGCCGAGCCTGCCAGCTCGATCATCAGTGGCGTGGAGATTCTCGTTGATGGTGCGCGCTGCGTCTAAACGGCGTCGTCACTCATGAGGTTTCCTGCGAGCTAGCCACATTTCAGGATAGCAAATATCATATATTAGCAATTGAATGCATCAATATGTATGTCAGCGGCCACCAATGAACCATGACAATCCCCCGTGTGATTGCTACGTCTTTTCTTTTCGACCCAAATTAACCCTAAGACGCCAAATTCTTCAATCTTCACAAGCTTTGTTCTTGGTTTCAGAAATGGGTTAGAACATCGTGTTTGCTTGTTTGTTTCCCGATACGCCGCGCAATACAATGCAGCCAACCTCATTTTCTTTTCGATTTCTGACATCTCGCCATACCCAACGAGTACACATTTATCGGGATATGATGCGGTAACTCGCATCCCGGTTGGCGGAGGTAAACGGGTTGCCTGTCACGGCCCCATGCTACTCGTGCTCCGCACGCTGATACTCTCGGGCCGTGATACGTTGGAAACCAAGGTAGCACAAACCTCGTTCTATCTACTTTGAGCCCAGCTTCATAGCCGCAGCACTGTGGTATTGGTGACAGGGCTTACTAATGGGTCGTTCGGCCTTGACTCTCCGATTCGAAAGGATGCCGATCAACCCCCTGATTCACCCACCCCTCCAACCGGCCCGAGCCTGGATTCACAAGTTGACGATGCTAATAAAGCATGTCGGTTGGCAAGTTTGAGGAAATGCTACCGTAGACTTTCCAGATTGTTCAGACAGCTACAGCTTACTTCCACTGAATTGCCATGTCATTTTCACGGTATCCAGAACCGGCCAACGCCGACGGGGTGAGTCTCAATCTATCGCTTCAGCGCATATACGAATACACTACTGACAGCTAGAGCGAAAGTTTTCTTATGATCCGGGTACGGAGGAGCGCAAGCTTCTGAAAGCTGCCCTGGCAGAGACCGAAAACACAACCTTCGAAATCCCCAGCATCATGAACGGTGAACGCCTCTATACCGGTCGGAAGAGTGCCCAGAAAAGCCCCTGGAATCACCATGGCGCCCCGCTCGCAGAATATCACGAGGTAGACCGGGAGACCGTCAAGAAGATTGCCATCCCTGGTGCCCTGGCTGCGCGTCACAAATGGACAAGCATGCCCTTCAGCGACCGCGCCGCCATCTACAAACGCGCTGCGAGGCTTGTCGAGACCAAGTACAGATGGAAGCTCATGGCGGCCACCATGCTCGGCCAAGGCAAGACGTGCGGACAAGCAGAAGGCGACTGTATCGCCGAAGTCATCGACACCCTCAATTTCCACGTTTACTACTGCCATCAGCTCTACCAGCAGCAGCCGGTTAAGCAGTCAGATTCGGCGTACAATAGCCTCGATTACCGGCCGCTAGAGGGGTTCGTTCTTGCGATTTCGCCCTTCAACTTTACTGCGCTGGGTGCACATATTGCTTTCACCCCGGCTATTCTTGGGAACGTCGTACTTTGGAAACCGTCACCGATGGCCGTGCTGTCAAACTACATCCTGTACCAGGCCATGGAGGAGGCCGGGTTGCCCAAGGGAGTGGTCCAGTTCCTTCCCACGGCAGACCCTGCGGTGGTTGTTGAACCTGCTCTGGCGAGCCCCCATTTCTCTGGTCTCCATTACACAGGCTCTTCGGCGGTCCTTAAGAGCTTGTTCGCGCAGATTGGGACAAACACAAACATATACAAGACCTTTCCGCGGATCGTGGGCGAGAGCGGCGGCAAAAACTTCCACCTGGTCCATAACTCGTGTCGTGAAGACGTCGATTGGATTGCCTCCGCTGCAGTTCGATCAGCCTTCGAGTTCCAAGGACAAAAGTGTAGCGCGTTGTCGCGTCTGTATGTCCCGAAGTCGATGTGGGAGCAGGGTGATCTCAAGGCGGCGTTGCTCAGAGAGGCGGCCAAGATGACGCATGGCGACGACGTCAAGCAACTTCACCACCCGCTCGGGCCGATAGTTTTCGAAGCAGCTTTCGTACGATTCGGAGACTTCTTGGATGACGCCCAGAAGCATAATCATCGGCTCCTCTTTGGCGGCAAGCGGAATGGTAGCAAAGGCCTCTTCATCCAACCGGCTATTCTGGAGGCCAACCAGGATGACAAGACGGCCACGTCCGATTTACTCACGCGGGAGCTTTTTGGGCCGTTGTTTGCCGTGCTAACCTACGACGACGCACTGCCGAGCAGCCTTGAGGACGTATGCGACCTCATAGACTCCACGAGCGAGTACGGCTTGGCGGGGTCTTTCTTCTCGCGGGACAGAGAGGCCATAAAGATCGCCAATGAGAGGTTGAGAGACTCGGTGGGCATGTTTTGCATTAATGATAAGTGCACTGGGGCAGTCATTGGGGCTCACCCGTTTGGGGGCGCGAGATCAAGCGGGACGAACGATAAGGCAAACTCGATGAATGTTCTTCTTAGATTTTCAAGCATTCGGACCGTGAAAGACTCATTCGAGAGTATGAGCAGCACCATCAGTGCTTGCCATATCCCAGAGTGACTTGGCAGTGTTTGAGCAATAGGCTTTTGTCTTGTCGAATTCAATTCAATTTGGAAATCTGCCGTCTTCCTGGGGTGTCTTTATGGAGCGGAGGCATGCTTGCATGTCTTCCTTACACGCATCAGTCATCCGCTACGCGAAGGACCAACATGCCGCGCTCATCGCAGTGTTTCTCAACTGATGTGGAGACGAATTTCCTACAAAACTCACGTAGCCGATCCCGACGTCCGTCTCTGACATCGAGACCAAAGACGAAACACGAAATTATACTCGGAAGCGGCGATATTCTAAGCAGCCTCTCGGCTCCCAACGCATAAATACTGCGGAGGTACTAGGAGTTTATTAATCCCTACGCTTGTATATTAAGTTGCTGGTTTTACGCATAATCGTCTGTTCCATTGTCTGTGAAACTAGGAACGAATTTGTTGTCTGTTGCCATCGAAAAACTAATTGTGCGGCGGCCCCTCATCTACTTGAGGGGAGTGAATCTCCTACGAATTTCACGTCCCAGTCGAATCCTCTCAGCCATTGCACCTCCTCTACCGTCAAGAACCGCCTTGTTTTCGGTCGCTCTTCTAGCGAGAAAGGGCAGACACTCGCGTAAATCGCCATAGCTCATGGACTGGTCATGGTGTTAGCGGATGGTAGATGAAAGAGTAAAAGCTCACTTTGACAACTAGCGCGAGGCCCCCTGATGCCTCGATAGATCCGGTGATCTTATTCGTGAGGTCGTCCTTCATACCTAGAAATATGTCAGCATTGTCATGGAAAGATGATCTATATCCCCATCATTCTGACCGTATAACTGAGCGAAGGTAATGCTTCCCGCAGCCTCCTTCGAAAGTACGAACTTCCCACTCTCCTCCTGTCGCTTGGCCAATCCGTATTCTTCCAATAATCGGATACCGAGACCGACGCTGATGGAATTGTGCGTTGCAAAGACCGCCCCGATCCTGGAAGACCCGGTCTGGCGCACTTGCTCCGCAATGGTCGACAGCGCCTTCTCGATGCCGTAGTTGAAGCTCGCATCTGTCTCCTCCTTGGTCGACCATACCGGACTTGGGCCTTGATGGCCCTCCTTCTCCCATCTCTCTGCCTCAGTCACCATATACGCTCCCCTAACCTGCTTGAAAAGCAGTTTGTAGCCCTTCTCATCCGCGCGTCGGATCTGTTCGTCAAGGAGTTGCGGGTACCTTCGTAAGTAGGCTTGAAACGAGGCGATGCAGGTCGCTGGGCCACCATCCAGGGCATTGTATTTCTGCATTAGCTCGTCCGTGAGGGCGTCAATAACTGGCTGGTACCAGGTCTGTTCCGCGTCAATCACGATGCGGACGCTGTTTTCTCGTGCCTTTCCTGCGATGGTCTCCATGGTAGCCTTCAGACGGAGTAGCTGCTCACGGTCAGCTTGAGTGACACCTTGGCCGTTGAGCGCGGCGTCCCAGTCGCCGTCATGGGGCAGACCTGGATATGGGACATTCTTATCCAAACCCCTTGCGGCTCTTGCAGCCAAAACTGCCTTTGAACCATTGCACAGGGCCACTGGGTGAGGTACGAGGCCGGTTATTTTTATCCTAACCCAGCACCTGTTGTCGCCTCCGGTAGTGGCGGCATCTGGCGAAAACTGCTTGGCGAGCCTTCCTTGCGCCTCAATTGAAGAGAGCACGTGCTGAGTCTGGTTGAGAATGAGGTCGGGATCCTTGCTGGAGCCATCCAGTTCAGCTTCGATGTTGTAGCCGAGCAGAGTGCCGATGTTTTCTTGGCGGAGCGCCTTGATCTTTGGGATACAGCTCTCAACTGTTTCTCCGCCAAGAAACTGATTGAAAAAGGTCCCCATGACAAATAAGTGTGTGATTGAGGAGATGACGGGGGTCTTAGACATGAGGTTGTAGAGTGACTCGCTTGCGTTGACCCATGCTGGGGAGGAGCAAAACGCAAACGCACTGGTTCATATGGTCAACTTAGTTATCGTTTTCGCGAGGAACGCCCTCTTCTGGGCCGGTCAACTTACACCCATCCTGAGCAGAGCTTACTTAAGGGAACCGTAGAAAGCACGCTCAAATCTCGAGGATCATCCGTTGACGTCGGGGCATCCCGCCCTGCCAACATCAACCCAATGATTCCCACGCCAACACTCCCAGTGGTGACTGTTGCAAAGCGTATGTTCTGTGCGGATGGGATTCTTTGCCTCCACCATGCTACGGGCCGTGTAGACGCTGAGATGTTGCGGCTACCGTGTCTGGTGATAGCTAGGCAACGCTGAATTGGAGGAGTGAGAGCACGCCTCACTGTAGACAGCATTGTGTGCATAAGACGTCGTCGTGTGATGATTTTCTTTCGATAAACAGGTGCAGATATTTGCTCGGCTGCACTCTATGCTCTGAGGCAAGGCCGACGCTTCTTCTTCAGTCGAGGTCTCCAACCGAAAGACTACCTCGGAGCGGCAACAATAGAAGGTCGGCACGCTTGTATTCGCACTGACGACTGCAAGACGTGATTACGTTTTCTTTTGGCCGATCGCATAATGTGGCCCCTTGATTTTCGAATCATGACAAGATGGCAATGGCCCTTCGGTGGTAATTGAGCAGCTCGGGCCGAGAACCGGCATCGAAGACGCAGAGCGGGCACCCCACTAGTACGGCCCGAGAACGCGCCTCAAAGCGAACCAAAATGAGGGTCTCTTAGCACTATCTTGAAATTAGGATGGCTTTCTTCATCGAGTCTATCTCGATTACATCCAAAACGGAGGTGAAGCAAGATCATCGGCAATCCTACAGACCCGGTAGGCCCGTTCCCCGTCCCATTGACACAGATCTCGCAACATCACATGACGGGCGAACACCTGCCCATTCTCTGCCACTCTAGTGAGCCGGGAAGAGAAGATAAAGGAGACTGACAAGACTTCACTGATTCTCGCATACCGGGGCATCACTCTATTCAGCTTGAGCTATATTTATGATAAGTCCGACTAAATAATTATCAGCGTACAGCCTAGTGCGGGGGGATAGGATATGTTTTGAGCACGTTGTTGACTAGATCATTATCATAGTCGTCCAGCTGCTGTGGTGTGCGGTCCTGCACAACGGGTATCATCCGCCTACAAAATTGGGCACATGGTAGACGATACGCCGACTTGCCCACGTCTGGGTGGTGAGACATCGCATCGAGTTGATTCGTGTCAAAAGCTTGATCAAGAAGACGTAGCTCCGCTGCACCCCTGCCAATGACTTGGGTCTCAAGAGCGAACCCGCGAATTTCGGGTCCTTCGACAGCGGTGTTGTATGCGCCGTTCCAAAAAAGTTGCCTACACACGAGGTGTGCCGTTAGCTTTTGTTCATATCAAGAACGCGGTCAACTTACGAAATAGCAGATGCCGGGTATGTCTCGGCACACCGGCCATAATCTTCTGTTGTGTTTCGTCGAAATCGTGCTATCCATTGCTGTTCTCGGGCAATCTCGTTTGCAGCAATCAGCCCTGGTGTTGAATGGCCTCGACAGAGCTGCACAGCTTTCCGCAGCTTGATGTTCAAGGGAATTGAAAATATCGTATATAGTCCCGTAGCTATGCCGTTGACGAGAGCTGTCATACCCGGTGCATCTGGCGCATAGCCACCGGGAGGGAAGGTTGGGTTTGGTAGCGTGTTAGGTGGCACGCGAATAATAGGAACAATGTAAAGCTCAAGCAGCTTGATCCACAGCGGTGTCATTTGCAGGGGCGTCTGACCTGCAGTTTGGGCATCGACAAGAGCATCAAGGGCATCCCGCATGGCCTGTTGAGTATGGGCATTCCTCAGGCGGTTGGCGGAAGCCATATTTCCTGGTGGCCAGCTCATGGGCGTGCCAGCATTGACCCAAGCTGCAATGGTCACAGCAAGTAGAAGACGCTGAAGGTCTGCTAACATGTCTACCACCCCAAAACCAACAGGTAGAGGAGGTAAAAGAGCCTGGATGTTTTGGTTGTTTGCCCAGCCTGAGAAAACTTGTTGTAAGAAGTCCTCTACAGCGAGGAGCGGCCCGTTGGCACCGGGTAGTATCTCGAACAAGGTTTCCCTCATGCGCACCTGCCATTGGTCTGAGGCTTCTGGCAGTGGTGGGTTCCCAAATTGGGCTGCGTTGAACACCATCTGAGCTCGATAGTTGAGACAGAGCTTGTTGTCCAACTCATCTTGGGCCCATTGGGCGGTATTGCGTCCAGCCCTAGCCTTAGTTTGACCAAGAAAAAAGTACGGTGCCAGGTTCTTCCGTTCTAGATACATGACACAGGTCATGCGGGGGACTGCTTCAATATCTGGCAGAACAGTTGATGGAGCGCCAAGAAAGCTGATGTAGGCTAGGTAGACGGCCCATGAATAAAGCACCGTGAGGGGAAGAAAGTATTCCTGCCAGGTTTGGTCCAGCCCAGCAGGGGGGCTTACAACGCTGAATATGTAACCCAGCGCAGTAGGACCGTCCACAATGCCCATCTGTGTGTTGCCATATGGGACCATTATCGGAAGGGCGACAGCCTGGCCAGCTTGTAATGGCGGAGGAGGACCAGTGCTGAAACGCCGTGCCCTGACGCCCGCAGGAAAGAAGGTATCAAGAAGTTGTACCACGGGGGCCTGGTAGGCAAAAGAAAAGCCAAAGTGTGCAGGATTCTGGCGAATTTGGTCGAGCCAGTTGGTAAACTCGATTGCTGCTTGTGCCACGCCGCCAATGGCAGGTGTCTGGAAGGTAGCCACTGTCAATTGACCATTGAAGGCAACGAAGTTAGGCCAACTGATGTTTGCGAGCTGTGCCATTCTGTGAAGGTCTCTGTTCGCGGTATGTGGTCCACGTAGGCAGAGTGAGGTGAGATGATGGATAGGTTGGCAATTTATGGGTATTTGGTAAGTAACCCCGGAGTAGTGTAGACGAGTAAAGATGGCAAGAGCTGAGGAAAGGGGCGGCGTAAAGCTCTATTCTTCCCGTTTCTTCTGTTCTCTTTCTGCCATCATACTTATACGAAAGGCGTGTAGGTGTTTCCGAGCTCATAGTCTATATCACAAATGAATGTTACAAGTACACGCATCCAATATGCGACAACAGCACTAGTCTAAATCGGTTCGATGCATCTTATTGTGTGAGCCAAATCTGTGATAGCTAGAAGATTCAGCGCTATTGGGCTGAGACCGTCACAGCTGAGGCAGTGTCCGAATGTAGACTTTCAGCTAGCCACTGCCCACTACCTTACAACGGGATGGCAGTTGTTTTACCCCTCACAGAATGAATGGACGGCATTACAAATCATCCAGCCGTGTGACCAAAGATTGAGTTATATCTCCATCAGACCAGATCCCAGAGAATTTCATTGCTCTCAACAATAATGTAAGAGCAGACGATAACTCCGATTTCCAAAATACACATCAACCTCGCTAGAGAAAAGCATTGTACGTGTGGAATGATGAAATCGAATAATCATTACTGACTGAACCCTTAACAAGGCAATGGCAGGAGACAGCTCATTGGGCGCTCCAGAAGCTGGTGTATCACGACCCAGCATCCCTCGAGGAACCCGTGACCGGCCAGCAAAGCCAGTCGACAAGGCCGTACCCGTCCCAGATCTCGCAGACCTCACTCCCGAGTGGACCAACGACGAGAAAGACATGGAAATCAAGATGTATTTCAACCCAGCAACGACCAACCTCTCTATGTCCTATAACATCCGTGGCCTCCAGCCCGTTATTCGCCAAGTTGGAGGGACAAACTATCTACTCAAGGATGAGAGTGGCAATTTTTATCAGTGGAACAGCGATATACCGGGGCTGTATCGTATTATGGACGCGATGAATCTGGATGAAGCTTTGGACCAGATTATTTTCCATCCAATCCTCATGCGTATTGAACGTGTTGGACACGATGCTTTAGGAGCAAGGTCGTCTGGATAGATTAGCTGAGCATACTCGCTCTACTAGATTGTTATAACTACAATGGGCTTACTTTCTCACACTGGTTGGATAAGATGATGTGCAACTACCTGACTTGATTCAGATGATCATGTAGTTAAGGGTTCAGCAATCTAGTTATTTTCTTGAAAGACGTCTGTTGTCTATCTGAGAGTCGTAAGATAGGCAATTCCCTCCAATTCACTACTCGTACAATTTAATTCTTGCCTTTTATGTGCTACTCGCAGTTGTGTCCAATGGCAGGGCTTTTTGTTGGTTAATGAGGTGAACCTTTCCAGCGAACAAATCATCAGAGCTAAGACCTTACAAGCACATGGCTGGCTGTAGATACATAATCGGGTCGATAAACTTATGTGCCGGGTACGGCCGCCTGTGAGGCATGTTTCTTTCCATCGTTGTCAGTCACTGATGGCTGGCTGATAATCTTCAGCCGTGGAATCATGTCATCAGGTCTCTCTATGCTTTCAAGCGGATGATTGGAAATTTGATTGGTGCAGTGAATATACACTATATGCGGATAAAGAACTGAGAAACTCGCATTGGTAAACTGCTATAAAGCTCCCTCAGAGCCGGGCAATACTCCCACCCCACACTATATGCGGATAAGAGAAACTAAAGCCTTCCCAGAGCCGGGCAAGTTCATCGTTCAAAAGGAAGAGGCCTATATTACAACATTGCTAAGCAGCCAAGGAAGTGGGTTGACGTCACACAATCACATTGTGGCTAGCTGACAGGAGCCTTTGACTTCATTGGACCGACAAACGTGCCTAGCTGCCACATGGTAAGACATTTTGTAAGGCCCTCTGTTTACCCTTTTGAGAGTGAAGGTCCCTAAAGAGGAGACCTTGACTGGCAATAATGCCGTCTTGGGGCCAGTGAGATTAGAACTTTGTTCCAAACTTGGGGGTAGCCCACGCTAACGACGTATCGCCACTAATAAGAGCGCGGGAGCTGGGGAAACGTTCCCGTTCCGAATAGCGTCCGTCCGTTCATGGCGCGGGGAGGGGCGCAGCGCCAGAGCCGTTCGCTACTGTTAGCGACATATTTGCGTAGGATTTGAATCGATAGTCGCGGATACTCCGTGCAAACACCCTCTCTTGTTAGCACAAGCCACATGACTATTTACGCGCGCGCGCTATATTGACCTTGCGATCTTCACATTGCTGGTATGTGATTCCGCCATCTGGCCAAGAGCTGACGAAGACCTCGCGCCTTAACTCGTCGGTTTGATCTGACATGCATAGTGCTATTCCTGTGCTCAGATTATGGTCTAGAACCGTGGCGGTTAACCAATGTTGCTTAGACTAACCGTCAGCCAAATTGCGGGGTGCGTCTCATGAAAAGAGACTAGCTACATGTAACATGTACGCGTTGTCACATAGTTATGCTTGAAAAGTCATCGTGGCTGGCTGTTCAGACACATTCTGCAACGTGATTCCTCGTGATTGTCGGCCTCCCCGCCTCTATCTCATCACATATTCAACGAAAAGGTGGACAAATGGTTTGATCGTGTGATTTTGGAAGGAGATGGATGCTCCCGCAAAGGTGTTTTAATACGATACGAGAACAGGCTGTCTATTGTGAGTATCGCCGGTGCAGTCTCAATGATTGACAAGCTGTCGCGGATTCCTCGAGGGATGTGAATATATCATAGTGGAACTCGTAAATACTGCTTGCAAACTCGACAGGCAACGGGACACTTGGCATAAACTACATGTAGCACTACGCGGTGCAACTAATGAGCTTCCTCCGGCTCAGTCTTCGTTGAAGTCCGACTTGACAGTAAGACGTCCTGTCTCTGTATGGTGAACCTGTACGTTATCCAGCTCTAGAACATCAAAGTCTATCAGACAGTTCCGTTTCTCAAGACCACTCAAAGTAGGCGATCGTACGTCGTAGTCACCGACAGCGAGATAAAATCGGTTCAGAGGCTGTACCTGATACTCAGCTCCGGGGGCAGGCCTGAACGTGGCAAAGGGGCCAAAATAGCGTGACAGCTTCTTGAACAAAGAAATGCCAACGATGAAGTCTCCTGCAATTCGAGACATAAAGGTCAGTCAGCCAAGACAAACTTGCTCAGTTTCAAAACTCAAACCTACCAGCTCGCGCTTGGCTATGAGTGAACTCACTGCTAGTGCGGATACAGAAACAGCCCTCATTGCCCGATGGCGGAATGTCGGGTCTGTTGGCAAAGTTCGGGGTGCCTCTCTTAATCACTAGGTCGAGCGTAGTTCCCATGACGAGGGTTTGATCATCTGCCTTGTGCCCAACCTCAACTGGACGAATATCCAGGACCTCAACCTGGGTCTCAACGGTCGATTCGCCACCGTAGCTCGTGCCGCAGACCGCGTACAGCGGCGACTTGGGAAGAGTGAAGTACGCTTGGCCAGATGCGCTGGCCACGCCACGGAGTGTCAGGATAATGTTGTTGTTGATAGTCGCGACACCCGGGGTGATCTTGGGCGCGTCGGCGAACAAGGCATAGCTTTGCGTACTGCCGGTTGAGTTTGTGACTGTGATGGTGCGATGTATATTTCTGGTCGCCGATCGCGTTGCGGAGGACCCCACTCGCACCCCTAGAACAGGTCTTTTCATTGATGCAGTAATCAATGAATATGGGAAGAACATGTCGAAGTGAATGGAAAAGGGAGCTGAGAACGATGATGAGTTTACTGCGCTTGAAAACGAGGGGTTTAGCATCAACCCCTTCAAAAAACGGTGGTATAACTAATATTTTATTTATGTGGCAAGTAGCGACTAACCGCAGTTAGATGTTCAGCTCTGCCCTGGCCTGTCAATACCAGATAAGGCATAGCGACAAGAACGCATGGGCTACCTCAGTCTAGGGAACTTTCAGCCAGCCTCATGGCGGCTGGCTGCGGACACCACAACTTCCATAGCTGAATCGGTCTGCCGACTGAATGTGGTGTTGTAGCGTACTATCGCCACCGACCTGCCGTTTATGAACCTATCCCATGGAGGCATCTGTCATGAGTTGGATGGGATGCTATGGTGATATGCCTAAGAGCTAGGTTGTAGTAACGCTCGTTCAAAGCTTTTGCTTGGATTGGTGATCACAGGGAGTCCAGGGGAGCGAAGGTCTAGACTGTTCAGCTGAGGAATGGCTCAAGGAGTGTGACGAGATTTGTGGTCTGGCTACAGAGACTCTGAGGAACATAAAATCGAAAGGCTTGATGGTATTTGGGAAAAGATCTATATAAGAACCGGTCCATCGCAGGTACCAGTATCTTTTCAACACAATCAATCACTCATCACACTTCAACCATCTACTACTCTCTCACTTCCCACCTTTCTTATTCTTGAAACGCACATCAGCTTTATACTACCGCCACAATGGTCAACAAGTACACTATCATCATCAACAACAAGACTGGCAGCAGCCAGAACTACAACCTCTTCAGCGAGAAGCCTGAGATCACTGGTGTTGTAAAGTCCAGCATCTGGACTAACATCTACCAGACCGCTCAGGGTACTCCCGATGGTGCCACTGCTGAGTTCGAGATGTGGAAGAACTACTATGCCATTGTTGGTACCTGGAAGGGCGGTGAGAAGGCTGGTGCTAAGGTCTCTATCACCCAGACCAAGCCTGTCACGCTTGGCTCCAAGGCCAGCGATGACACCGATGTCCCTGGAACTACTCTCACCATGATTTCCGGGTCTGGTGCTCCTGCTTTCGACAAGGCTCCTGCTCAGCCTACTGCCTGGAACAACTCCTACGAAGTTGACACTGGCAACGACTTCACTCTCGAGGATGCCACCGAGCGTAAGTCTCCTCCGCTCACGTCAGTTTCTACCAGCAAAGCCTAATTTGATTCAAAAGGAAACTTCTTCGTTGGTCTCGCCAGCTCCCCTGATGGAGCTGGCAGTGTCCCTACTGCCACTTTCAAGCCTGAGCCTGGCAACCAGTACCAGATCCAGCCTGTCAACACCTACTACGTTGCCCACGGTGCTACTTTCCAGGTCGGACAGCTCCTCGACGTCGCCAAGCTTGGGAAGAAGCCTGTTCAGATTGACTTCACTGTCCGTGGCCCCACTGTTACCATCAACCACAACGCTGATGGTCAGCTTGTCATTGCCAAGTAAGGATCATTGGATATACTAGGAGTCTAGGAGGGCCATGCTGGAAGAGACGTTGATTATAGTCTTGGGGTAGATGGGAATTTATTTTCTCCTCTACTTGTTTATTATTAAACCACTGCTTCCTAACTGCTTTATGTGCTTCTGGCTTCTAAGCGCGAGCTTCGCAGCTATAGCCCGTATAATAACTAGCTGACGCTCTGTCATATCTGTGGAACCTGGGAATACTCTGACCACGTTCTTCAGTGTGTGTCTCGTCCCCTACAAACCGAAGTGAATCGCGATACCAGAGATCCAGGCTGGCTGGTCGAAAGCTTCAATACTGGTCCATCAGTCCAAGGCTTCTGCTACAGCGGGTTTTACATAATGTTTCCGTCTTTGCTTTACTTAAAACTTTAACTCTTCAGGTCAGAGGTGCTAAATTGAGCCTGCATGTATCTACAATATATACTACTGCTCGAACACTGCAGTATGTCTGGTATCATTCATTAAATACCATGCCGCCGACCATCACACCTTGATTGTTACCAGAATGCAACTTGAGTGACAAGACACTCGCCTTCGTCTCAACCCAGACCATTCCTTAGGTCCGATGGCATTGTCATGCCAAGTAATACATGCAGTAAAGCTCCTCTCCAGAACACTACATAAGTCAGGTCGAAGACCGTATCACACGACGTGAGCAATCGACAAAATCCTTATCATGTTCCCCATACTTCATAGAACCTCATTCAGTATCAACGTCTCAAAAGGAGATACGTAGCTAATGTATCCAGCCAACATTGCGCATATTACGCCATGTGCCTTAGTATATTACTCACCAGCCAATGGAAGGAATCGACGGAAACAAAATGAGAACTGATCCTCACTCACTTTGAAACAACAATGAACGTTCCTTATCAGATGTTCATTGGCGTTGAGAGGGGCATGAGACCTCCGCAGTCATACCTCAAAAGCTGGAGAAGCGTCGCAGCCCCAAGCTGGAATCTGCGACAAAAACGAAAACGTCCAACCTGACAACCCATCCTTCGACCGATTACGCCAAGGAAAGGAAATTCCAACGACAATGCCAAGAAATGAAATTTCGCAGATAAGGAAGACGACTGCAGAGCACCACAGTTGACATCGTGGCTTGGCGCATTCTTCCGCCGATTGCCACAGAACTGCCTCCGTCGAATTCAAAGGGGGAAAAGTCCGATTCAACTTTACCTAGGCAGCGCAACCAATTACACATCACCTATGCAGCAAAACCAACACGTCAGAATACACATTCAGAAAGATAAGACGTACTCATGTTTTCGAATAAACTTTCGGCCGTCCGTGACTGGCTTGCGTTGGGCGTGTCACTCACACGAGGTGGAAGCCTTGGGGGGTCTACACATGCATGAGTGCGTCGAGCATTGGGGGAGCTGAGTCTTGGCGAGTTGACTTGGCATTCATGAGGCTTATGAGCGTACGGAACAGGGCATTGCAAGATCTTCGCCGATCCACGATGAAACGAAATCATCAGACGTCCATAAGTATGGCGAGAAGCCCCCTTCGTTGACGACGGCAAGCACATCATCCAGCATCCCAGCACACTCGCTCTTCTCAGCATAGCTACAACATTCGTTCTACCCAAGTCCTTTTCCTCGAAATGATGCTCACACCGTATCTCTACGCTGCCCTCCTGTGGGCGTCGGAAGCCATCGCCTGCGCAGACCACGGCAACTCCCACGCCGCGAGGGCCGTCAAGCGCGAAGATTACAAGAGGCCCGCTCAGGCAGACTGGGCATACGAAGCATCCTTCGACTGGGCTCGCGTCAACCCGAGTACGTCTCACGCGATTCTTCCATTCGAGTCCTTCGCATGACTAACGCGACCCGCCTCTCAGAGTACCGCCTCTGCCAGTCCGGCACCCAACAATCCCCGATCCCCATCGGCCTCGGGAACGGCCTCGCCGTCCGCCACCGCATCAACTTCAACTACCCCTCCGGCAAGACCGCCGGCAACTTCTACAACTGGAACTACGGCCCCGCCTTCACCGTGATCCACCCCGACGGCGACTTCACCTCCAACCCCTCCTTCACCTACGACAACACCACGCTCTACCTGTCCGGCTGGCACATCCACACGCCCGCCGACCACCCCGTCAGCGGCTGGCGCTCCCGGGCCGAGATGCACTTCGTCCACGTCGACGCGTCGGGCAAGCCGGCCGCCGTGCTCGCCTTCCGCCTCGACCCCAGCACCGCGGACGACAACGCCTTCTTCGACCAGATGCCGCCGTACGTCGGGTTCAACGAGACGGGCGAGTCGGTGCGGGTCGAGCTCGATCTGACGGAGGCGCTGAGGGAGGTGGGCATGTTTGGCGAGTTCTGGACGTACCAGGGGAGCTTGACGAGTCCGCCGTGCACGGAGGGGATCCGGTGGTTTCTGGCGCGTCAGGTCATGTTTCTCGGGGACGATCAGATGAGTGCGGTCTTGGGTGCGAGTACGTATAGTGCGAGGGCCGAGCAGCAGGTCTGGCGGCACCGGATTAACGAGTAGAGGGCAGTTGGACTGGGAGTCATAGGCTTTTTTTCTTTTATTCATCTAGATGTTTTAATAGGTTTCTTGACCATGTGTCTTGGTCAAAAGTTATTAGTTTCACAGTCATGCAATACGATGGCTTTCCCAGCGCCAGGAAGACCAAGTTACACCACTTCATTACTCGAATTTCTTGATGTAGTTGCCCGCCCTTGACCTCCTTAGACGAGGAATTCTGTCTATTTAAAAGAGAACCTGTGAGGCAAGAATTTCTACCTAGAAAAGCGCAACACCCATATGGCTTCTGCCTAGCCCGGCTATCTGTTGCCAACGTCTCCCAGTGGGGAGGTGTCACATACTATCTGTCGTACTCACAGCCAGGTTCTCAGCGCCCCGTCAACATAGATCAGAATACTCAACACATTACTAGACAAACAGCAACAGACGACGATGACGGCCGATGATTATCAGTACCCACACCCGAACGTCTTGAATATGGGCCACCTCTGCACTTTGAAGAAGAACTTCAGATTTGCCCATACCTTTGAACTCTTAATTCCAGCCACGGTCACTGTCTCGGAACATACTCACCAGAGACAGTGCCGGGGAGAGGCCATCTCAGAATGAGAAGAAGACTTAAATAGCTACCATGCTAGAAAAAGATTTACGACAAATTTGCATAAATTCAGTAATAATCCTTGAGATGCATTTCCCAGCCATCCTGAAAGTGAGCAGGCACGAATATTTCCCTAGGTAAGTGCAGCAAGCAATAATCAACAGAAATCACAAAGTATATAAGCCTCAACAGCATCTGCGACCGTTATCAGTCATCTTCTCTCACAGGAATTGCCGGATATACTGCCTCCGCTTCTAGTATCTCAGGCTGTCAGCCAGGTTGACGTTACTATTAGCCAGAGTCGGCTTGTCGAACTCCATTGAGGATCTCACTCGCAACGACATCCTCATTGCTTGGTCATTGCCTGGTCAGAAGACGGGTATACCTAAGCAATACCCACCAAATAGAATCAGACGACAACGACGAACCGACGATCCCAGCTTTCGCCCCCATAAGCTCCCAGATGACCACGCAGTTTTCCATTGACAGATCACACCGCTGGACTTTACTAAGACCGACGCTCGTCTGATCCTCCCTCAGAAGCAAGAAGTACTTAGTTACACGCATCGCCTTGGATTGGTGAGGAAGCTTAGCTGGCTGCCTTTGAGTATTCCTTATATAATCCCTCGGAGCCGTTACCTACCACCTGTGCGAGTTGGGGCATCAAGTTGATTTAGCGTACATCCTCGTTCCATCTTGAGCTTCCCTCGAAACAAAGACTATGTCGCCATATCTTGCGCCAGACTTAGCACCGCAGAACAGTCACCCAACTCAGCAACGTAAGAACTCCAACCAAATCCAACGTCCCAATCGTCATCACCCTCCGCTACGACATATATTTAAGAGATGGAGATCGGGAACCACAAGTTCTCCCCCTGGCAATTTTGCGAAAGCAGTGTTAACTTGAGTTTGCTTTAGTGCTGGCGCGTCCATAGATTGGGCTGATCGTATTGAGGTCATGTCACCACCTCACCCATCACAACTACGTGTACACTCAACCAGCCCCTCCAACCATCCCTTCCTAACGGTATATAATTAAACAGAATAGCCCAAAAAACAACAACAACAGCCACAAACACCCTCCCCCAGCCCAAAACCACCTCCTCCCGTTCCTCCAGATCTAGGTCATATGCATCCAGGCAGTAAACCTAAGTATCACAGACTCACTTCTACTTCATCACTAATCAATTTCACAAACGACGATATTTATAGCTAAGCAAGAACACACGCCCTAGATACAATTAAATATATACGCTCCCGCTAAGTCCACGTTATTATTAGGCTATATATAACCTATAGATACCTATATAGTTAGAAACTACTAATACCTAGGGGTTTCTTATAAATAACTATATAGAGTTTAAATACCTATAGATTATAGTTATATTAAAAAATATAAATTTTAGTTAAATAAGTAATAACTATATAGGTTTTATAGCTAAATAGTTATAGAAATAAAGATTAATTATTTAAAAAAGTACTAATTATTTTAGTTTAATTATTTTAATTTTATAACTTTAATTTAGCTATTTTAATTAAATAACTTTAATTTAATAACTCTAATTTAATAACTTAAATTTAAAAACTTTTATAAAGCTATAACTATAGCTTTAACCTCTAACTTTATCTCTAGTTAAGTTTTTACTATTTTATTAGTAATCCTTTATTATTTTAAACCTTTTAAATATTTAAATATTAAGACTTAGCTTTTAGCTACTATATTACGTTTAGAAACTATATATTTAACTAACTTTAGGTTTAGCCTAGCTAACTTAACTAATTAATAGCTATTTAGTTATATAACTATATATAAGCCTAAAGTTCCTATCTTAGCTACTATTTTATTACTTTACGCTTTAACTTCCCCTATTATAATAATAATAATAAACTTTTTTATTAAGATATCTCTAATACTTTAGAAGATATCTCTAAAACTTCTATTATTTATTAACTAATTAACCCTTTTAACTATATAGCTATTAGGCTATTATATTATTATTAATTAAACTTTTTAGAAGACTATTAGCTTACCTTTAGTACTTAAGACTATTATAGTTCTATTACTTACTATTAGTAACGCTATTAATATATTAAAGTAATCTAGATTTATAAAACTTATAGATTTTTAACCTTAAGCTATTTAGCTAACTTTAGAAAGCCTATAAGGGGCTTATAAATGATAGGATTAATATCTATTACTATATCTTTTCTTTTTAGGTTATTATTACTATTACTATTACTATTACTATCTTTAGTATAGCTATAGAGATCTTAAGTATATATAATATAGCCTTTTATAATAGGGTTAAAACTAATAGCTTACTTTAGATATATTAAGGTAAAATAGATAATAATAAGCTAATTAAGTCTCTATTATATAGTAATACCTTTATTTTAATATAAAGAGCTTATTAATTATTAGAGGGAGTAGAGAGATTATTATAATAAGAGTAGCCTTATTAAATAGTTAGTAGTTAAATATATATTAGTTATTAATAAACTTAAGGGTATAGAGGTATATATAATCTATTCTTTATATATAGTTATTATTTAGGCTTTAGTCCTATTAGATTTTTATTCTCTAGAGCTTTTAGAGAGATATTAAGTTACTTATAAAGTCTTTATATAGAGCTCTATTATATAATTAGAGTAGCTTAAGTCTTATTAGCTCTTATATATAGATTATAATAATATTATAAGCCTTAATAGAGACTTTTTTTATTTTAGTCTATATAAAATTACTTATAGAAGCTATTTAGAGGGTTTTAAACTACTTTATACTATTAAAGATATAAAAAGTTATTTTAAAATTTAAAGTTATTAAGCTTATAAGAGTATAATAGCTAATAAGGAATATAATATATATAAAGCCTCTTAATTTACTATATAGTTAATTAAAAGTAAATATTATCTCTTTTACTTTTTAAATATACTTTATAAATTTAAAGTTTATATTTATATATTTCTTAAATAAAATAGTAATATTATTATTAAGCTTTTAATAAGTAGATTTAAAGCTTTTATTAATATAGAAATACTTAAAGAATAAATAGCCTCTTATTTAATATATTTTATAGTTAGTTCCTCTTAAAGTTATTAAGTCTTAAGTCTCCCCTATAGTATTAATATACTTTTAGTACTCTCTTATAGCTAAAGACCCCTTATAAAGCTTTTATTTAGTCTTTTATTTATTTTTAGGTCTCTAAATTAAGATTAAAGTCTTATCTTTAGCTATAATTAAGCTAAATATATCTCTTTTAGTTTTATAAGCTACTCTAATAAATATTTTAATAGTTTATAACTATTTATAAATATCTTTAGTAACTTTATTAATTATAAGTTTACTTTATTTAGCTTTATTAATAATTAAATTAAAGTATAAATTAACTTAATTAGATATATAGATACTTTATAAAGTAGTAATAATTTTTAAAAACTAAAAGTTAAACTTTATAGTATTTAAAATATTACTTTTAAGCTATTTATATATTACTCTCTTTTAATACTTTAACTATTTTTTAAAGTCTTTATAGGTATTAATATATTTCTTATAAATAAAGTTAAATATAGCTTTATATTTTATTATTATATTTATAGTTCTCTTATTAGTTTTATTTTAATTATATTTTTTAAAAAATAGATCTAAATATTAAAGTTTTCTTTAGCTTTATAATAAAGTTATTAAAAATTAATAAATATAATTTCTTTAATATATTTAAAAGCCTTAATATTAGCTTTAAGTATTTATTAATACTTTTTTATATAGAATAAATAGTTTTATTTCTATTTATTATATAATATCTTATTTATATTAAAGAGATTTAATATATTAATTACTCTTAAAGCCTTAAAGTTCTCTATAAAAACCTAAATAAATATATTTTATATTACTAAATAGTCTTAAAGCTATAAAAGCTTAAGACCTCTTAAAAAAGCTATATAAATATCTTTATTTTAAGCTTAATAAACTTTATATTTTCTCTAATTAGTTATCTTTTAGAGCTTAAAAGCCTTAAAGAGAATTTTTATTTATTCTCTTTAAATAACTTAATCTTATAAGGTTTATAAAGTAATATCTTTATTATTAAAAGATATTATTTTAATTAATAAAAAGTTTATAAATTAATATAAATTACTTAATAATATATATTAAACTATTAATTATTAAATTAGCTATATTATATTATTCTATCTATCTATAGAGCTATAGAAAATTTCTCCTAAATATTTTAAGAGCTTAAGTAGATCTTAATATTAATAAGATCTACCCCTAAGCTAAGTGGATTTATTCTACTACTCTTATATAAGATCCTAACTTACGCCCCCTAAATTTAATACTAACGAGCTCCTATTGCTAGGTGACATCCCAGGATATACTGCTTTAGTGGTGTGTTTCCAAGTGACGTGGAAAATGTCCAGGGTCGTCGTCAACGCCCAGTCTCAGCCTAGAGCCAAGACACAAACTTACAACCCGGCTAACTAAACCTCGACAAGCCCACCCGTCGAACCCATCTCTATCCGTCATTATCCCGGGACTATTCCCTGCGAATACGATGACGCTGGCAAAAACGTGACGACAAAAACTGCTGAATGATACCGATCATGACACGAATCCGGAATGAACATCAACACATTCAGACATTCACGATGGTCTAGACGCGGTAGCTGACCAGCGTGCCGGCTCCACCGGCCTGAAGAAGACTTTTCAGTTGTGGTTGGATGTTGCTTTAAATAGGATCTATTTGGAGAAAGCAACGCGGCCATTGACGGCGTGTTGTTTCTGGCCGGGTGTTTATCTCTGCCAAACACTCAAGTGCGTTGACCTTTATCAGTGACTCGCCTGAATTCTGCGCTCTCTTCGGCGTTGAAATTGCGTCTCGCACACTTTGAACATCACCATATGAATGACTTATATATCGGGACCGACTTCATTGTCTAAGGTAGTACTAATACATCCCACCCCATCTCATACAACCAGCCGCCCCTGAACAGAAGCAAATCCCATGCATCCTAGGATCGCCATCCTCGGAAGATCGTCTAGGGCAAACCGCCCGCCAATCCCAAAAAAGAAGAAAAATACACACAAAGAAGCTTTTGTAATAAGTCTATCAAGCATGCCGCGACAGGCGTGCCGCCGCAATCGTCGTCGTCTTGATGCAATCAAACCCCTCTGACGCCAGGCAGATTCGCACCCAGCTTGTTCCGTCCGTATTCATATTGCTACAATCCATATAAACCCCCTTCGTTTTTCTGGTCGTCTTGCGAAACGAGTGATCTGTCTTACTCTCTAATCGTGTCAAGTGCTCCCGTAAGAGCCTCACATGTCGGTTTGGCCATCCGCGATGGCGAGTCTCTGCTTCAGGGTCTTGGCCTTCTTGCCGCCCACGCGCCTCTTCTTCGCTCCCTTGACGTCGGGTTCGGCCACGGGCGTGGCGGTGCCTGAGGTGCCATTAGCGGCGTTGCGATCGTCGAAGTTGCCTTCGCCTGGAAAGTTGTTAGCTTCGTTGCAGTCAACAACGTGTCTGAGAATAGACTTACCCTCGTGGTACATCTCGTCCAAACTAAGGTTCTCGTTGACCACGCGCTTGCGCTTGGCAGCCTTCTTCTTGACGGGCTTGTCGAACTCGCCAGCCTCGAGCATCTCCCTCTCGCGGCGTTCAATCATCTCGGCCTGCTCGTCATCCGCAAGCCACATGGCAATGTCACGGTTGCGGTTCTCGGGAGCGCGACGACCAGAGAAGTCGACACTAGCACCACCTCCCTGGATGACGACGCGCTGCACTTCTTCCTTCTGCTGGGCACGCTTGCGGATACGTTCTTCGATAGTACCGCGAGTGATGAGACGGTACACCGTGACTTGACGAGTCTGACCCAGTCTGTGAGCTCTGTCCATGGCCTGCGAGTCGATGGTAGGGTTCCAATCGGAGTCGTAGAAGATGACGGTGTCGGCAGAGGTAAGGTTGATACCGAGACCACCGGCACGGGTGGACAGGAGGAAGATGAAGATCTCGGGGCGGGTCTGGAAGTCGGCGACCGTGTCTCTTCTGTCCTCGAGCTTCGTCGAACCATCGAGACGGCAGTACTTGTAATTGCGGTACGTCAGGTACTCTTCCATCAGATCGATCATGCGAGTCATCTGGAAGTACAGCAGCACGCGATGTCCCTCGGCCTTGAGCCTCGTAAGCAGTTGGTCCAGCTTCGCGAGCTTGCCGCTGTCCGTGACGAAGCGACGCATCGACGGCACGCCGATGTTGGTGAACTTCTTCTTGTCGTTGTCGGGGGCGGGGAGCAGCTTTCTCGGCGGGAAGCGCGAGAGAGGAATCTTCTCGGTGACCATGGCACGTTCTTCGTGGATGGTCGGGCCGAACAGAGTCTTGCGCATGGACATGTTGAACATGATGTTCTCCCTCTCAATTTCGGTGCCGCGGCTGCTGCAGCTGACCTCAATGGGAGGCGCAGAAGCACGAGGGCGGCCAGCTTGCTCGAGACGTCCCAGACCACTGTCGACGTAATCGTTGCGTGCCACGTTCATGAGGTTGGCCAAGATGCCTTCCTCGGTGATATCGACCAGAGGTCGTCGGTTTCTCCGGGCCTTGATCTGGAACAGGGCGTGCGCAGGAGTGAAGTTGATGTCCTCCGGCTCGTCGTAGGCCACGTTCATGTGTCCCAGGCGATCGCTCTTCTGGGACAGCTCGACGGCGCGGGTGAAGATGTCTTGATGGCTGGCCTTGTACACCTCATTGGCGCTGGCGTCGGCGAAGCGCAGCCATGAGAAGTTGTCAGAGCCCTCCAAGCTGTCGCGGATGTGCTCAGGCGTGAAGATGTTCATCATGTGCTGCAGATTCTTGGTTCGCCAGCCAGCCTTCGGGTTGTTGATGTTGCTCTTGACGAGGCGGCCATCCTCTCTCCAAACAAGTCGAGGCAAATCGTACTCGATGGTGTTGCGAGTCGAGTAGCCGACTGTAACCTGGTTGCCTTCCCTAATGAAGGACGCCGTCTCTGCGAAGTAGCCGAACGAGTACGGGGACGTGGTGTCGGCTCTTTCAAAGAGATCCGGGTGGTTGCAGACCTTTCGGAACTGCATGACGAGGTTCATCAGAGTACCCGAGTCGTCGTTATCACCTGCAGTGGCCTTTTCGATCAAGTCCATGATACTAATCTGGTTGCGAAGGTTACTGTAGATGGCTCTCTGTCTGTAGGTGAGATCGCAGTAGACATCCTCTTCGATCTTGTCTCCCAGCTCCTTCTGCACATGCTTCTTGACACGACGAAGCATGAAAGGCTTGAGAATCATGTGCAGACGCTTGAGCTGGTCCTCGTTGAGCTTCGTGTTGCTCTGGGCGTGTGACTCAATGTCCTTGGAGAACCATTCGCTGAACTCGTCGTGAGAGTCGAAGAGCGAAGGCATGATGAAATGGAGCAGAGCCCACAGCTCCTGCATGTTGTTCTGGATGGGCGTACCGGTGAGCAGCAGACGGTTTCGGCAGTGGAAGCCGAGCAAGCTCTTCCATCTGGAACTCTGAGAACTCTTGATGGCCTGGGCCTCGTCGAGAATCATGTACTGCCACTTCATCTTCTGGAAGTACGCAACGTCGGAAACGACGAGCTGGTACGAAGTGACGCAGACGTGGAAGGCGGCGTCCTTCTTGTAGGTCATGTGCTTGCGGTCCCAGAACTTGCGCAGAACCTTTCGGTCACCTGCAGATCCCCAGTACGGGAGGATCTTAAACTCCGGTACAAATTTTCTTATTTCTTGTTCCCAGTTATGCAAGGTGGACGCGGGGGCAACGACGAGGAAGGGACCCCAGATGTCGTACTTTTCGGCGAGGTAAGCCATAACAGAAATCGACTGGACAGTCTTTCCGAGACCCATTTCGTCAGCGAGAATACCGTTGATGCCCTGCTCGTACAAGTTGGCGAGCCAGTTGAGACCCTTCAGCTGGTACTCCTTCAACTGGGCGTTGATCAGCTTGGGCTGCTCGATCTCGACGTCGCCCATGCCGGCAGGGTTCTGGAAGTTCATCTCGCCCTCCTCGTCCATGTCGGGACCTTGAGGCTCGTTGAACGCCCTGGCCTTCTTCTGCGCTTCGGCGATGGCGTTCTGAGCGTTGGCCATGGCGGCGGCACGCAGGGTCTCCTCGCTCTCCTCGTCGAAATCGAGGTTCTCGAAGTTGGTGACCTTGGCACCCAGAGGTCCGGTGGGCTCGTCGATGTCCAGGTTCTTGTTCTGCTGGGTCTCGTCCTTGTTGGCGGCGGCAATCTCGGGGTTATCGGTACTGCGTTCGACTTCGTCGGTCTTGATCTTCTTGCCGATGAAATGGGAGTAGAGCTCAGTCTGGGAGATGAGGAAGTTGAGCTTCCTCTTCTGGCGGGCGGCTTCGCGCTCGGCTTCCTCCTTTCGGGCGTTCTCAATCTCCTGCTTTTCAGCAGCCTTCCTGAGATCACGCTCCTCACGCTCGTTGCGCTTCCAGAAGCCCATCATGTCGCGCATGACACGCTTGGCGCGGGCCTGCTGGTCCTTGGTGCCCTTGTTTGTGCGGAGTTGCCATCTCTTGGCCTCCTTCGAAGCGAGAATGGCGGTCTTCTTAAGGTTTGAAGCCTTGGTCTGGTACGACTCGGCGGCGAGCTTGTAGGCCTTGCTGACGTCTTTGCGGGCCAGGTCGCGCCAAATCTGGTCGTAGATCTGGAGGAAACCCTTGGTCTCGAACTTGGCGTCCTTATTGGGAGGCTCCTCGGGCTTGTCTTCCTTCTTCTCCTTCTTCTTCTTTTCTTTCTTGCCCTTCTTCTCCTCGGCGGGTTCGAGGATGGTTTCCTCGTCGACATCGACGTCGATGTCGGGTATCTCGATGTCGGCATCGTCCAGATCCTTGTCCTTGTTCTTCTCCTTGTCCTTCTTTTTGCTGAACTTGATGCGGATCTTGGACTCGTCCTTGGTGGGCAGCTCCTCCCCGGCGTCGATAGCAGCCTGAGCAGCCTCGGCGGAATCCTTCTCGGCCTGTTTCTGCTCCTTGGACTTTTTGGGCCGGGGACCACCGCGACCCTTGCCCTTGGGCTTGTTGCCTGGCTCCATGTCAGACGCTTGGAAGGTAGCCATAGTACCTCCCTCGAGATTGAGCTCAACAAGGTTGCGGGCGGGGCCCTTAATACCCTTTTGCAGGATCAGCTTGGTCTGCTGAGCCTTCTTGTTGGCGCGCTCGGCGTCCCGCAGATGCTTCGCCTTTTCGGTCTCGTCCTCGGCAAGGCGCGCGCGCTCCAGGGCAAGTTTCTGCTGCTCCATGGTGACGGCCATGGACTTTTCGCGGCGTCGCTTGCGTTGCATGTCCTTCTTGCGTTCCTTCTCGGCGAAGAGCTCGCGCTCTCTGACCTCGTTCATGGCCTCTTCGTAGTAAATGTCATCGTAGCGGCGCTTTCCGAGGTCGGCGTGGACGCCTAACCTGCGGCCCATTTCGGCGGCGAAGTCGTCGCGTCTTTCGACGTTCTGCTTGCTGTCGTTGGCCTGCAAGACGCGGCGGCGCTTGTTGCCGCGTTGCTGGAACTGGGCGTACTCGTCGGAGAGGCCAGCATCGTCGAGGTCGTCGGCATCGGCGTCGAGCTTGGCGATCAAGGCCTGCACCTTCTTCTCCTTCTCGGCGGGGAGAGTCTTCTGCTTGGGCTGGCCATTAGCCTGACGCTTAGCAGGGACGCGAGGCGTCGGGGTCTCCATCTTGGACGACGAGCGACGGCTGGTCTTGGGGGTCGACTCGGAACCCCTCAGATCCGACGCCCGCGACTTTGACTTTCTGGGGACCCTCTCTTTCTTCTCCTTGCGGGCGAGCGGCGTGCTGGAGCGCTCCTTGGGCTCGGGACGGAGCTCGATCTCGGCTTCGCGTTCGGTCTTGACGGGCGGGTCGACAGAGCGAGGCTTGGGATCGGACCGGGTCTCCTTCTCGGCTTCTTTTTCCTTGAGCTCGACGGGGGGAGATTTTGATTTTGGCTTCGCGACGGGTTCGGAACTGGAGAGGATGTTGGAGAAGGACATGGGGTCGGCGCGGCTGGGAGTCTGTATATTTCACACGTCATCAGCAAAACATCAATTATCGGCGCGTCAATTGGAAGGTGCTTACGCTGGCAGGTGCGGGTGCCTTCAAGGGAGAAGGCTCGGCCTTGCCCAGAGGTGGGAGTCCGCCATTGGAGGCGTGCACGCCGGGGGAGGTCATGTGGGAAGCGGCCCTGTTTGACGGGCTGATGGAACCGGCTGGCGGTTGATGAGAGTGAGGATGCGAGTGGGAGTGGGATCGCGGACTCCTCGGGGGGAAGTTGGCGGCGGACGGCGAGGTGTAGCCTCCACCGTTCTTGTAGTAGGCGTGGGAGTCGCGAGAGGCCGGCTCGGTTTGCGAGTAATTACCGTAAGGATCGCGGGTCTGTGTGGTGATGGAAGGAAGTAATGATTAGTCGTGTGGGTGATGATGGCGGATCACGATGGATTAAGAAGTAAGGGGAAGGGAAAGAAAAAGGGAAAGAAAAATAGAATTTTGGGTTGAGGACCGGACTGGACAGGATGGGACTGGGTTGGTTGGGAATTTTTATTCGGGTAAAGTTGGAGATGGGCGGAAACAGGAAGGGACGAGGAAGGAAGGAAACACTGAAGGGCCAAAAAAAGTAGGTTGAATGAGGGAAGGGGCTGTCCAGGTCACAGATTGCCGGTCGCAGTTTTCCAGGTTCAGGTGGAAGGGATGAATTCTCTGGAGACGGTGATGCACCACGCAAGGTAGATGACGATAACCGAGCGATGATGATGGAGATGAGGATGATAAAAGGGGAGGGAGAATAGCTCTGCGTGATGACTTTACTGCCGCTGCAGCTGCTGATGCTGCAAAATGAAAAACGGGGGAGACGTGGTGTCAATGAAGCCGTGAACAATAGGGGATCCAAGCATTCCCGTCACAGCTGTTGCTACCACCGCTGCTGCTGGTGCTGGTGCTGGTGCTCTTTTTTTGCCTTCTCGCCGCTCTGTCTGACCTTTCCGCGCCATCGTCTCCGAAAATCCGGATGGGGGAAAGCCACCAGAGAGGTTACAAAGCCGTAAGCACCAACACCAACGACAGACAGCACGGAGCAGCGACGGTTCAGCAGCAGCAGATGCCCACTAGACGACCAGCTGCACAGACAACCACAGCAGCAGCAGCAGCAGGAAGACAAGCAAGCCGGGTTCAGGCAACCACTTCAGGCAAATGCATCAAGTGTTTGCTCTCGCCTCTACAAAGAGGTAGTGATACATGAGACGCGACGTGCAGCTGGATATGAAGGTGACGAGGGGCCAAGGTACATTTAACACGGCGACAAGTCGGCGTGTCGCAATCGCATACGTGATTATGGATGGGCAGCGCAGCTCGGTGACGAACAACAAATCGAGCTCCTCTTACCTTGGACGGCGACGTCTTGGCCGCGTTATTATGCCACGATCCCGCGTCCGAGACCCTCCTCTCTCTCGTGGTATCAGTCAACGGATCGTAGTAGCTGCTCGTTGCCGGCTTCTCGCGCGACGAAGAATGCGACTCGGGCGGCGGGTAGTATCCGCTGGGGGGATGCAGCGGCGACAACGGCGGAGCCTGGTGATGGCCGGCGCCGGAGCTGCTGCTGGTGCTGCCGCCTCCCAGTGCTGGCAACGGCGCGAGCGGGCCGCCGGCGGACGACGACGACGACGACGAGTAGAGGGGATTCGGATGCGACAGGCCGGATTGATGGGACGGCGGGGAGTGGTGCGGATGGGAAGGCCCCTTTGGCGAGTATGGGGAGTGTTGCGGGTGGTGGAAGTCGGACTGGGTTGGTGATCGCAGACTGAAGCCCGAGTGGCGCGTACTACCGGGTGTCGGGTTCATGATGTCGCGGTGATGGCGGCGTTCACGGTCACGGTCACGGTCGCGGTCGCGGTCGTCTTCGCGGTCATCGTGGCGGGATGGCGCCTGCAGCACCGTCGAGCGGAAATCTTTGGGGTGCTCCATTGTGGTTGTGGTTGTGGTAATGGTGCGGCGCGGCGATGGCACCTAGGAAGAGTCGTGCACGACGAGGTGACGGTAGAGGAAGAGGGATTGGCTACTGCTGCGACAATCGAGGACCCATGTGCGGACGACGAGAGTTGGTCAATCGGGTTGGATTACGCGTAGAGAGGTTCCGAGAGCGACGTGACCAAGCCAGGTGAGGCGGATCGCGAAAAAGAGGTGGTGGTGTTTGCGGTCGGTATTGGTGTCTCTGGCGGTGTCTTGGAGGTGCCGAGCTTCTCTTCAGCTCCAGCAGCTTGGCTCTGCTCTGCGGTGCGCAGCTCTCGATCGATGCGACACGATACGAAGCGATGGGGGAGGCACCGGCGCAATTCGGTAAGGTACCTGGCGTGGTGGGAGCGCGGTGTCGGTATCGACGGACCGTCTGGTGGTAGCGCGCTATGATGCTGTATCGGGTGCGATGCCGTGCCCGGCTGTGATGTGGTGAAGGCGTCGTGGTGGTGGTGACGACGGTGGTGGTGCACCTTGGACAGAAAACGAGATGATGGGGGTAAAAAGAAAGGAAAATGGGGGTGGATGGGGGAAGGTGGGAATGGGGATCGAGAAAGAGGAAGAGAGAGGAAGGGGGATGAGACGATGGATCGGGGACGAGAAGAGGAGCGAGAGAGTGAAGGTGCAAAGCAAAGAACAGAACAGAATAGAGAGAAGAGGGCGGATATTGGGGGGAGATGACACTGATGGGATGGGTGGATTGACGTTGGGTGTGGACGTGGACAGATGCAGACGCGGACGGGTGAGGTGGCCGAGGGCAAGGCAAGGCGAAGGCGAAGGCGGCGGCGCTGGTGAGTTGTTGGATGTCGTCGATGCCCGCGATTGAACCTCGTCTTTTGCTTCCTCGTCACTTTTGATGAGATGGATTAAAAATTAAGGTCTGAATTGCATCAATAATTGATATGTTTATTCTGGGCAATTGTGACATGGCTGCTCCTGCCGCGTGATTGATGATTAGCTATCCTCCTTCCTTCCTCCCCTCCTTTCCCTCTCTCTCATAAACAGCAAGAGCAACTCTCGCAGGTCCTGCCTGCCTGTCAGTTCCTGCTCCCGTGAGGATCCCGTCGCGATTCACCCATTCTTGGAAAGGGCCAGGTCGTCAGTCGCACCTTCCCACGCACCTCCACCTCCACCTCCACCTGCATGGAAAGTCGCACCTGCTCCTGCGAAAAACTGCTTGGTCCGGGTCTTTCCCAGCTCTTGCCCGGCGCCCAGAAAAACCACGAGGTACGTACTCTGTGCCTTCCCTCCCAGTCCGCCCACTCGGGACTAGCGCGCTCCGCTCCCGCCAATCCCGGCGCACGTCTGAGCCTCTTGGGTTGCTTCGTGCCTTCCTTGCCCCCGGTCGGTCCAGTCCAGCCCACCTCCCACATCAGTCCAGACGATGAAGTCTTCATAAGTACTCTCACTCATATTTTCTACGGCACGCTACATGTCAAGACTCATTCCCTGAGGCATTTCAGCCTCCCACTCCCTCCTGACCACCCATCCCCTCGACCCTTCAGACATTTCTCGACCGCCAGAAACACAGGCCACGAAAGAAAAAAACCCAGAAAATAATCAAGAAAATTGTGATGCACCTTGGTGAGAGATGCACCATGGTGAGAGAGGGGAAACACACGCACTCCCACCTCCAGTCCCAACATGCATGTCACGACATCCATTATCACCGCTATCCCCGCTCGAATAGTCCCCGAATGCCAAAGTACCGAACGCCCCGGAAACCCGCTGGGAATGGCCTCAATTCTGCGACCCCGGGCACGCTCGCCCCAAGTTCACCTCGGTAATCACCAAACTCAAATCTTCCATACGAGCCACCAACACTTAACTTTTTCTCGTGAGGTCTTTGACTCGCTCACACACTCTCTCGTCATTGTCTTGGCAGCGACTCTGGAAAATGAAAATAGGCACCTTCCCCGGATTACTAAGATCGATATATCCGTATTTGCCGCGGATTGTGATGCTGATGACCGCAGAATCGCTGCGCTGGCAATGCTGCCCCCAAAATAGCTATATTCGCCCACGACTGGATGGCTGTGACGATTGAGGCCCCTCGTTATTTTTCTACGTAGGAGATCATCTCTTTCCCAACCCTTTCCCTCCTTTCCCTATCCCGCGGAAAAGGATCCCGAATTGATGTCCCCCGACACATCTACAAAGTCGTTACTCCCATTCATGGAGAAATACCACTAAACGCTAGCGACGTCACCAACGAGCCCAGCCCAGCCTAGCATCGTTCTAGAAATGGATGAACGCCTTCAGAGCCACCCTCATCTGGTCCGAATCGAACTTCGCCCCAAGCCCGAAGAGCGCTCCAACAAGCTGCTCGCGAAGAAAACACCTTGGTAAGCAGTTCAGGTTTCAATCGCCATCAACGTCTGGCAATACAATACGAATTGTCAATATCATCCATTTCACACCCTCATTGCTTTTCTCATCGCGTCTATCACATCATAACCTCATTCAAACCCCATAACATCTCTCGATTCTAATCAATTCAATCAATCAAGATCGTCATCCTCCAAAACATCACCATCACGCTCAAACATCATCACCTCCCACCACCTCCCCCTGTCCCCACATCTGCCCTCTTGATTGGCCAGCTCCTCCACAACGCCAAACCCGCGCCCCCCGCGTCCACGGACCGTGAACCAGCCGTTCCACCCGTCGCCTCGCGATTCTCCGCGCCATCCTGCTTATCACGTGCATCATCATCATCCCCAACCGCAGCCGGCAGAACAAGGCAGAGAGAGATTAAAAAAAAAAAAACCTCGGGCGGAGACCGGAGACAATACCCGACTGACTCACATCGTGCATCTCCCGCTGCAACCCTTTCATTGCCTCTGGCTAACTCGGTCTGACGGAGATCCTCGTTGAGGTCCACGGCGACTATGAAATCTCGGACCTCGCTGGATGGGTACCCATCAGATGATGCTAGCCACGCTCTATGATAGACATCACCAGCAGAGAAGACAGGCACAGAAGAAGAACGACGACGGCAAAACATGTTCAAATCACAATCACTGGCCGAGGCCTCTATTGTCGTCCATCTAAACAAGACGTGTAAAAAAAAAATCAAGACAGAGGGATTTCTATCCCACTTGCCGATGCCAGCAGCCGCTGCAGAAAAAGTGCGGATGCCAATCTGTTTCCCTCTTTTTTCCCGGAAAAAAGCCAGCCGCTTACATCCTATCCTCCCCCCCTTTTGTTCTTTTTTACCAATCTCCCTCGTTCCTGGCCCTGGGTCATGAACGGTCGTAGGCGGCGGCGGCGGCACTCAATTCATTCAAAGTCATGGGAACAAACATTGTCGGGTCCCTGTGGTCTAATATGCCTCGCCTTTCTTTAACCCACGAAAAACAAGAAACAGAAACCACCCGCTTGAAGAGAGAGAGAGAGAGAAAATGCACCGAGCCTTGTGTGGCTGCTGTCCTCGTGTATGCTTCTTCTTTTGAGAAGAATCAAACTTAGACAGCACCGGAGGCAAGCATCTTCTTGCGCAGGTAGTTCTTGTACTCGCCTATTGAGCCGTCCCAAGGCTTGATGGTTCTGTTCTCGCACACCAGAATCTGCTTGGCAATCTTGTCCAAAAGTCTGCGGATACGGTTAGTGGCCGTGTCATGTGATCATGGGTCTGATGCAAAACATACCTGAAGTCGTGGGAAACGACAATGACACCTCCGCTGAAGGCGTTGATGGCGTCCGCCAAACTGTCAATGGTGGGGATATCCAAACCGTTGGTAGGCTCGTCGAGCAGCAGCATGTTGGGGCTCTCGATGGCGAGCAGGGCGAAGACGATACGCGACTTCTGACCGTCGGACAGGGTGCCGATCAGAGAGGTCTGGGCCTCACCGGTCAGACCGTAGCGGCCGAGCTGCTGGCGCCAGTACTGGTAGTCCTGGGACTTCTCGCTGTACTTGTCACGCACGAAGTCGAGCGCCGACTTGGTGAGGTCGAGCTGCTCGGCGGAGTGCTGGGAGTACAGGCCGAGCTTCAAGTGGGTGTGACGGCTGACGGAACCGGCGGTGGGTGACAGCTTGCCGGTCATGAGGCGCAGCAGGGTGGACTTGCCGACACCGTTGGGGCCGACGAGGGCGGTACGGGAGTCCATGTCGAAACCGAGGTCGATGTTGCGGTACAGGTCGTCCTTGGCCTCGCCAGAGTAGGAGAAGGTGACGTTGTCGAAGGACAGGACGGGAGGGGGCAGCTTCTCGACGTCGGCGAAACGGAAGGTGAAGACCTTGTCGGGGATGACGGGCTGGATGAAGCCGTCGGCCTCCATCTTGTCGAGAATCTTCTGACGGGACTTTGCCTGCCTGACCAAGTTGGCGTAGGTACCGGCGGAGGCGATGAACTTCTTGATGTGGACGATTTCGTCCTGCTGCTTCTGGTAGGCCTTCATCTGGTTGGTCTCCTGCTCGGATCTCGTCTTGTGGTACGAGTCGTAGTTACCACCGTAGTAGAGGAGCTGCTTCATGCGCATGTCGAGCATGGTCGTGCACACACCGTTGAGGAAGTCCATGGAGTGGGAGACCAGGACGAGGGTACGCTCCCACTTCTTGAGGTACTCCTCGAGCCACACGCAGGCCTCGAGATCCAAATGGGCGGTGGGGTCGTCGAGCAGCAGCAGCGAGGGCTTGACGAAGAGGGCCTTGGCCAGGGCGACACGCATTCTCCAGCCACCAGACATGTCCTTGGTCTTCTTGTGGATGGTGACCTTGTTGAAACCGAGACCGGTCAAGATGAGGGAAGCGCGGGTGGAGAAGGTGGAGGGGTCCATCTTGTCCATGTGCTGCGAATTGTCAGTCGTGGTTCACGTTGGATGGGCGACATTAAAACATACCTCGTACAGGTCCATGAGGACGGGGTCCTCGGGGCCGCTCTCCTCAAGAATCTTCTCGGCCATCTTGTCCAGACGCTCCATCTCACGCTCGGCCTCGGTAACAACCCACTCAAGGGCACCGAGGTCGGAGGGAGGAGCACCCTCGTTCAGGAGGTAGATGTCGACGTGCTCGGGGATGGGGAACTCGCGGGAGGCGATGGCCTTGAGGAGGGTGGACTTTCCGCAACCGTTCTCACCGAGGAGACCGTAGCGGCGACCGTAGGAGAGCTCGAGGGTTGTGTCGTTGAAGAGGACCTTGCCGTGGAACACCAGGGAGGCACTGGTGATCTTGACGTCTCTGCTGCTCGGGGTGGAGGCCAGGACACCGGTGGTGACACGGTCAGAGATGCCGTGCTTGTCCATCTGGTCGGCGAGACGCTTGACCTCGTCCATCTTGTCGGCAGAGGTGGCGGGGCCGTCCTCGTCGCCGTTCACCGAGCCGGTGGTGCTGGCATTCTTGGGGGTACCGCCCTCCTTCTCGGCCTTCTTGGCAGCTCTCTTAGCAGCGAGCTTGCTCTCGCCCTTGTTGGCGAGTCTCTTCTCCTTGGAAGCGGAAACCATGATGGCGGTGTTGTGATGGTTGTGATGACGATGGCGGGGTCGTCGTTTTTTTTTTAAGCGACGGCGGGGAACGTCGTCCGGCAGAAAAAAAAGAAGAAGGAAAAACAGAAGAAATCCCTCGTTTTCTAGGTACTCGTATGTATACGACAAACGATGGGAGATGCCACGCAGCGACAATCTCGGAAGAGGAGAGGATGAAGGGGGATAGAGGCGTGTAGAGGAAGGAGGAAGAAGGAAAAAATTCGTTAGTCGTCTCTGACAGGGTGACCAAGCGACAAAGCAAAAAAAGGTACCTTTTTACGTGGAGCGGCGGTGCGAAACACACACAGCCTTGGGGGAGCAATGATTTCAGGTTGCTGGCAGGGCGGGTGGGGAGGGGTCAGCGCTGCACGTTGCTATCGCCCGCTGAGGACACTGGACACTGGACACTGAAGGAGTTGGTAGTGGGGCATGCGCAGTGGAGGGGGTCAAATTTTTTGAAAATGCTGATAATCGATAGGGTGGGAGGCGATAAGGCACCAAGTCCAGGGAGGTACGTACTCTTTTGCCTGTGACGTTGTTTTTTCCAAGCAAACAACCACGCCAAATGCTGATGTTTTTAGTAATATCGATACAAACGGGACAATAGGCTTCTTGGTAGTGCAGCTACTGACTTCTTGCATGCCTCGAATCCTGATTCACTACAATGTCTCTTGCTGTTGGCGAGTGAACCCCTCACAGTAAAGCCTTATCGTTATCTAATCGCCAAGGAAAGGGACCAAATGTCCCGCTTCCAACCCGACACCACGACTCCACTGGACAGACCGCCCAATGGGGCTTGACGTCACCCGTCACGTGAAACTCCGCCTGACTTTGTCTGAGACGTGATTGGGTGGTTGGACGCAGAAGCGTGAGAGCGTTATTAGAAGGAATTAGAACGGTATGTTAACAGTATTGAATATGTGTTGTATCTTATATCCGTATATGCCGAATCGTCTATATATCCTTGGGTATCAACCGGCTACCCATCCCATTATGTACGCCGTTGGTGTCTTTGTAGCCTAAAACAGGTGAATATGTACTCGTCTTCAGACGCAGAAGCTCAGAGTGTAGTTGTGTCGTTGTTCTTATATGAAGTTCAGCCTTGCCGCGGTTGGTGAATACGGATGCCTCTGTCAACTTTCGGTCACCCAGCACGAGGGTAATGATTCCTCCGACATTGAAGACATCCCGGCGCACGAATCGCCGTCAGGTGCAATCGAGGTTGGTCCTCTGATAGCGGCACGACTGACCATTCGGAAACGACGGGAGCGGATAGACACCGCTCACTCCGTCGCATCGGGGCCGAATTTGTTGCCCGCATCGGAATGGCCGTTCTTTTGCTGTAATAATCTCCAGCGGCTGGCGTCGTGCTTGCCACTGTGTAGATTTGTGGATGCGATTGTGGCAATTTGCTGTGTCGAGACAGCCTCTGCCAACAGCCTCAGCCAACATGTCTGGACCGGTTCCTTCAGTCCTAGCTTTCCTCAACTATGGTGACGATCTTGTGAGTCTCATGAGTGATAATGTCGCACTCTGTCGTGCTGACACAGTCTCTGATGACGGGTCGCGCTCAGCCAGTACTTCCTTTTGGGCCGGTGGCGTGTCCCATGGCAAGTATCTTGCCAACCTGAATTCAAAGTCCGTATAGTTCGGTATCGTCATGGCTCGTCGTCGATGTACGGCACACCTCGCCCGTGAATGTTAATAATCCAAATCTCGTCTTCCTAACAAGTCTCTCAAAACCTCGCTTGTCGACTGCTGTAATCCCTCGCAACAGTGACCGTGCCGTCCACCCCAGGCACGAACCTCACGTAGTGATTCGCGAAGAAACTAAGCGACATCTTCTTCGGCACGAAAATCTCCCACGGCGTCGTCGGCGGCACCGGCACCATCTCGGACAACTCCCCCCTCGGCACGAACACCACGTCCGAGTACTGCCTCTGCGCGTTGTCCACCTCGACGCACGCAAAGACGAACAGCGCGAAATGTATTACCCTAGCCCTGTCAGTCCTTGTCCTCCTTCCAAGGGCGCAAAACTCACATTGTGCAGAACATGGAGACGATGAGCCCCGTCATGGTATGCAGCTCCCTCTCCCTCCCCGGCCTGTCATACTCCATAAAGTCCAACCAAAATGCAACCGTAACACCCATCATCGCCGCCGCCGGCGCCCAGATAAACAGGTGCCCCGCGACATGGCCGCCAGGACTCCCCCAGCTGAACCGCGTGCTCCTCTGCCGCCTCCCGCCGCTGCCGTCGTCCTTGGTCCACCTCACGCCGCGGTCCCGCACCACCAGCGCGATGATGTCAGCCAGACTCCAGAGGATGGCCAGGATGGCCGTCGGGCTACCCATGGCCCAGTTCTGTATGAAGTTGAGGTCGGTGTCGATCTGCGAGGCGAGGATGCCGAGGGTGATCAGGCCGAAGAGGACGGAGGCGGCGCGCAGGGAGAAGGTGGTGCGGTACATGGAGCGGTTGTAGGGGATCGCGGTGAGGAAGTCGCCGTGGCGCTGGCCCGTGTCGGGCGGGAGGGTGGTGATGTCCGGGTGGAGGGGCGTGTTCGTGTCCATCGTGGCGGTTCGTCCTCTTCGGAGGTCTGCATCGCTCGGAGGATGGGGTTTTGCCTAGGGCAATTGGTGATGTTGCGTTATGTGGGAGTCATGGGTGCCGTGTATGCCGTTCGTAGCTGTGGTCGTTCGGTGGTCTCGTGTGAATCGCGCCGAGATCGAATTCTGCGAGAATTCGGTGTCGGAGGGAGAGCGTCGCAAGCAGGTTGGTGATGGGTAAACAGCCGGAGGCCGGGGGCGCGGCGCAGCGAGAGGAAGATGGGGAAGGGGCAGGGATGCGATTCCGTATCGCATCCTTCTGGAACGAAACGACCCATTCAGAGCGCGACGTTACGGGACGGAACAGTGGGGCGCCCCTGGACGATGCTGCTGTGCCACGACGGCACGGCAATTTGATGTCACTGAGTGATGTGAGTCTCTTGACATGTGTTTCTCGCTGGCTATGGAGAATGAAAGTAAAAAGAAGGGTTGATGAGTTGTGTGAGCGGCATATTGGAACTGTATGAATGAAGCCTCATCTCCGAACTCTGTTATGGGATGAGGCGACAAGCTCTCATCAAGTTGTCATGTCTGCATAAACTATTATTGGAATGGTGGAAAATATCCAGAAATATGTTTTCGATAGTCAAATGTTGCTAGACATCACGATGAGACGTCATTAGCTACATGCCAGTGAATATCATTATGAGCTGTCATGCTCATATGCCAACCCCAACGCCATGCGTGATCTCATCAGGTATACACGGGTATCTCAAACGACCCAGTCCCATCTCACATCGACATCGCCCTCGCCCCTGCCCGCGAAGACTCCCCCGTCCCCGCATGCCTCACCATCCTGAACTTTCCCTCCCTCGAGTCCGCATCAGCCGGCGTCATCCCCGTGATGCTCGTCGCAAACTTCAAGTCCACGTCCCCGGGCAGGATCAACTGCGGCTGCGCGTCCCCCCGCCTCATCCTCTCCAGCTCCGCCTCGTCCGGCACGTAATCGTCCGGCGGCGGCCTCATGCTCGGCTTCATATACCGCTCGTGGTCCCCCGGCGGGATATTCGGCGGCACGCCTCGCACCGGTTTCCTCTTGATCCACGCCAGGGGCGCCGCCGCCGACGGACGGTCAGGAAGCGGGGGAGGAGTCTCTTCCTTCGCGGGACGGTCCGGGAGCGGCGGGGGAGTCTCCTCCTCGGGTTGGAAGAACAATTGTGGCGAGGACGCGGGGACGTCGACGCGGAGCTGGGGAATCTGTCTCGGGTTCTCGTTGCTCTGCGACCGCGGGAACGACGGCGCGCGGCCCGATTGTTGGGACTTCCACGTCGGTTGCTTGGGGAAGGGCTTCGCGACGACGTAGACCGTCTGCCCTGTTTCGGGAATGTACATGATGCGCGGTCTGCGGCGGCGGATCTCGCGGCGGCGTTCGACGCAGGCGCGGATAAAGAGCCAGAAACGCACCAATCTGGATGAGTGTCAGCTGCTGCGGACAAGACGCGCTCCGGACAATACGCACGTGTTGGTGCCCATGAGGGCGCACTCGCCCACGATGACAGCAATCGGGTTGAGAGCCACGTTGAGATCGATCCAACTCAGCTGGAGGCTCACCCAGATGGTGGCCGCGCCGGAGAGCAGAGTAAGGATGAACTCGACGCCGATGTGGGCTTTCGGAGTGATGCCGCGGCCGAGGCGGGCGCAGATGGTGAGGAACTCGGCCAGATCCCACAAGAAGGACGGCAGGGCCTATCTCACGCATTGGTGTAAGTCTCCAAAAGAAATCGTCAAATTGCGGCCAGAGGGTGTGACGTACCGCAATCAGACAGATGCTGGGCCAGATATTCAACACGACATACGGACGGTACGAATACCACACGAAGCAGATGACCACGATGATGGCGCAGGACACGGTGCCGAGGCCGCGGCACACGATCTTGCAGACCTCGCACCCGCGGCTGCGCTGGTTCTCGAGCCAGCGGACCTGCGACGGGTCGATGGAGGCCGTCGACGGCGAGGGCGAGGGCGGCTTGCCGGCGTCCACCTCGGAGTGGAGGGACTCGAGCTGGTACGACTCGGGCGCGCTCATTGTCAGCGGGAGTCGTTCATTGGCGAATTCCCCATCTGTCCTCCAGGCGTAACTCGGTGGTGCTGCTGTTGTTGTCGTTGTTCTTGTTTGCGACGAGATGGAAGCCGGCAGCGGCTTTCTGGAGATTTTCCCCATTGGAACCTAGTGTTACCGGCGCATCGGCGCCTCTCTCGCCGCTGAAGTGATCTCTCCTTGAATTTCGATACCAAGGACCAGGGAACTTGGGGAGAAAAAAAAAAAGGCCGTGTTTGTTCGTATCTGACTCGTCCCGAGGCAAGGGATCCGCTACTGCGCTTCAGCAGACGGGGGATGATGCCGACTTGGCTTTTCCCCGGGTTGTTGGTCGCAGAGGATCGGAAAACAGCGAAAGACGGCAGCCAGATACAGATAAGACGGTCGGCCCAGCCCTTGTCCCCGTTCCTGCGCCTCGTTGTGGGATGAACAAGCGTAAAAAAGAAAGAGACGGGAATGGTTGACATTGGGTTTTCGGGTGCGGCGCGGACGGACGGCGGCATTCCATTCAATTTAGGAGGCCCGCGACTTTTGGATTTAGGCAACCGTATTTCGACCGGATCCACTCCCCTCGCGGAAGCCCGAGCCGACTGAGTCCTGGGCAGGACACGGCTTTTGCCTTTTCGATTCCTCCACTTGGTGCGACTGTTGGTCTGGGATTTCATGATGAGGAAGGGATCATGGATGGATATGTACCGAGATTTGGGCATTGTGGTGGCAAGGCAAGCATTCAGTCTCGACTGAGTGGATGAAGCCGGTGTAAGCTTATAACTCAGGTCAGGTAGAACTGAGCCTGCGCAGTAGGAAACTCTGATGAGATCTACTTACGAAGCAACAAGTCTTAAATGTTGTTAAATTATAAGCCAACGGTTCAATAAATTAGCTTCTTCAAAGTCCGCAGACCAATTTCGCGAGTGAAAGGTTCACAAGAGGAACTGTTGGAATGCGGCCAGCAGCAAGACAGCGTTGAACGGTGGTAATACCACACTAAACTGGTCAATGCCTCACTCAATGGCTTCCTTATTCACATCTATCTAAGAAGTTCATCCTCAACGCCAAATTCCATGCATCATGCAGCAAATCTCATCAGGACACCAAAAAGGAAGGGAGATTATGCTGATAGGCAAAAGCAATGGACACTGTGGGAATTGAACCCACGACCTTTCACAGTTGGCAAGCGACTGAAAAGCCGAGATGCGAAGCGAAAATCATACCCCTAGACCAAGCGCCCGTTGTTGAAGGAGACATCACCAACCCTGCCCTTGAAGCTCGCGCGCGAGTGTGCGATCGATCGAGCCGTCTCCATGGCGGCATCATCGCAAGTCGGTGCCCTCTTGGTGGCCAGAAGAGAGCTTCCGGGGGTCAAGCACATTCTGCTTGCTCATGTTGAGGCTTGGTTGCGGCAGTTGGTCCCGTCTTGGGCGGAGCCAGTCTCCAATCTCGTCTCATCGCAGCCGCCGACGAAAGAGGATTTCGGCAGAGCTTCTCCATCGCTCATGGCAGGCTTGGTTAGCCGGTCCCAGTATGGAGATCGCTCTTATTATGTTTTCTTTTCCTTGCTGCTGAAGGTTTCGGATGATACTAGCTCGTTCTTCGTCCATTTCAGGGTGGCGGCAGTCTTCGTGGTCGCAACTTCATGTGCATCATCTTCTCAGTGCAAACAGCCATTTACAGGTCAAGCAATCCATTAAGATGCCATTCCATCTCTTCTCGAGACACAACAAAAAACCGATTCACACACCACTGGGACTCATTTCATTCAGATTACGGATTTTTTTTCATTCCATCCGCCCACAAGGGTATACTAGTCATACAAAGTCATAATCGTGCCCTCCTATCCTTATGCCTGAACATCGCTCTTCAAGTTCTCGTACACAGTCTGGCCCCCGGCCTCGGTCTGCCTGGGACCGGCGTCCCGCCCGCCCTTGGTCTGGCTCAGCTTGAGCTGCTGCTCCGCCACGCGGCTGGGGTCGTTCTCGCTGCCGATCTCGGCCTTCATCGCCGCCTGCACGCCGTCCTTGGTGTTCTTGTCGTCGAAGCCCTCGGTGATGTTGGCGCCGTGCGGGCCCTTGGGGTCGCGGATGTACTGGTTGTTCACGTATGTCGGCGCCGCGCCGGCCTGACCGGGGATCGATGAGGCGCCGGACCCGGGAGCAGAGCCGGTGCCGGCGGGGACGGTGGAAGAGGCGTCGACGCCGGTGTTAGCGGCGAAGGCGCCGCCTTTGGTGGCCGACTCGGCGGCGAGGGAGCCGGAGGGGACGGGGCCGGTGGGTTCGCTGGTGGCGGGGGCGCCGGCGGTGACCTGGGCTTGTTAGCTTGTTATTCGGGAATTCAGAGAGGTCTCTTGACCGCGAGTCGAAGAAACTTTCGGGTTGAAGTTTAAGACGTACCTTAGTGCCAGCGGAGGGAGCCTTGTTCTGTTGAGCGGACATTTTGGTGTTGTTTTTGGAGACTGGTCTGGAGTTTTGGATATGAATGGTTTTGAATATGATAAATAGCCGTGTGCTTGAGTACTGCGTGTCTGATTGATTTGTTATGCTCTTCATCTTCCATCCAACGCTCGACGACCGCCATATAAATCCCCAAGCCATCGCATGACATCATGTCGACCTCTTCTTACATCAACCCACCAACGGAGGAAAACCTCCAGGCACAGACGGCGAACCCACTGCGGGATGACTTCAGCCTCTCCACAGATCTCCCCTCAGACTGGTCGCGCGACACCGAATGAGCGTCGAATTACATCATATCGCGAACCCTTCTCCTCTTGCCGCCTTCATCGAGAAAGATGAGGCAAGCTGAAAACTTGGTCGCGAGGGCCTGGAATGCTCCTTTTGCGGCTCTGGGCGATCGTTGCATCGTGATTGCGACCGATCGATCCTCACCGAGGGCTCACCGAGGTGTGGGGGTTGGTGAGCGGGCCGGCTCGTGCTCGACGGCTGGGGCTTTATGACGATGCGGTTTGAGGATCGCTGAGTTCCTTGGTGACGAGTGAGATTTCCATGCTTGTTCACGTCATTTTTGTCAATTTAAGGGCATTCCCCATTAATGCGGCGAACTGAGGGTTGATGCGGGTTTCTGATATGTGCATCTGATGTAGAGTTCGGTGAAGGACCTTGCGAGTGAACCTTGGTCTCCAGCCGAGACCGCAAAAACCGTGACCTTATCTCTAGTTGGCATTTGAATACACGTCGTGGGTCCTTTCGGTTAGGCTTCGAATTGTTCCATGGCCAAACATCCATTCCTGACTCTGTTGAAAACAGGCTTAATCACATTGTCGTGAGACTCGACCCCAAGCGATGGAATTCACCTAGCGCTGCTAGGACTTGAACCCAACTTGAATATCATCAGCGATGAGGTGATATGCCTTATATATCCGAGGTGCTGGATAAAGGCACTTATCACGTGCTCTATGTGGAAAGTTATCCTCAAGGTGTTGCAAGTCATCATCTGGTCGTTTTCTCTTTCTCTTTTTCTTTTTTCCATGCCACGCGACATAACAGATTTTCTGTCAAAGATTCGCGACAGTAAATGGTGGTCGATCCGAGAATCAGCTCGGTTTGCAACACCGTCTTGTTCATTTACATCGTTGACATTAATCCGTGGTAACGTAGTTCTGCTGCGAGTTTTTCACAGATACCAAGGTCCAACTGCCATGGTCATTTTGGTGAACAGATCACTGTCGGCCCTCTGCTTCCTAATGTGAGCTAAAGTCTGTCTAGAGCTTCGTTGCTTTACCTTGAGAACAAAGAGCTCCAGCTATAGAAGTATAAATGGTGAGAACCGCATATCATAGAAAATCATAGATTCATCTTCCGTACATCACCATCACATCAGCCATATTTTCTGCAATAAATTACCCCCCGAAATGATTCTTAAAGTAAATTGTCTATTACTACCCAACATGCCGAACCACATACCAAGCGAAACAAATGACCTGAGCCAGATACTCAGTCACCTGCACCTAGTGGATGGTGGCGACGCGTCAAGACTTGAAGAGGAAGTCGCATTTCCAAAACCTCACCCCCGAGTCACTAAAGTATTTGAGGCATACGAGTCGTACTCCAGATACAACGAGGCTTTGGACTATGTGCTTCAAGTACAGGTCCGAATTCCATGTAACGGAAGATCTAGGAGGTTCGCTTGCTGATGGCTAGTAGGAGCGTTGCTGGGTCTTGGACGAACCAGAGATGTACAACAAATTCCTAGAAGCCCTGCAACGGTTTAGGCGTGGGAAGTTATCCGCCATCGGCTTGAGGGACGAGATGTTCCGCATCTTCATGGACGCTCAAGAGCTATACACGGGGTTTATGAAGTTCATGCCGCATCTAGGATGGTGGGAGGATCGCTTCCTTATTGGGACTGAACTGTACGAGGAAAGTATGGTAATCGACGAGGAACTCCGCAAAGAACGGATGGAAATCTACGATGAGATTGAGGAGGACGAGCCGCAGCGCAATGAATGATGGCACAGCCTGTCCGTAGCTTCACGTTTCCTGGTCTGTGGTTGAACAGATAGGGAGGGAACGGAGCATGGCCTGCATCATCAAGCGTTAGAAGATTACACGGTGCTGAGCAAGACATAACTACGGTGTGAAGTTCATGTCGCCCGACGTGCGTCCGTGGAAGAGAGCCTTTCCTTCGCGTATGGAACTTGATGAGAAAGGGCCGCGGCGCGATGATGGATGTCACAGTCTGCACGTGCATAACTTCAGGTCTCTAGACTACAGCTGGGAAGATGAAGGGGCGGCGAAGGGTGGCCAACAGCATGATGCATTAGAACAAGTATAGACAATAGAAAGGCCTGCTGCGTTGTACTGCAACACAAGTTACTATCATGGATGCGCATTTAAAGATTTCACGGTGTTGAGAAAGATCAATGAAGGCAATATACGTCGATTAAGAATATCCAAGAATTGAACGATGACTCGCCAGGTCCATCCCATGATGGAACCAGCTGTGATCCCACCAACCATGCGGCCACCACGCACAGCAGGTCTTCAGCTTAAAGCCGAGCTCATCAGATCAGAAGCACCGCTCCCGACCTCTCGCTTGCCAACCATTTAGCACTTGGCGCCGGAGCCGGAGGGAATGCCGGAGCACTCGCTGGAGCTCTTTCCGCCGGTGACGGAGACGCCGGACCACTTCCAGTTGGAGCAAGCGCCCTTCGCGCACAGGATGTACACGTTGGTGCCCTTGGACGCGACGGTGCCCTTGACGTTCTTGACGGTGACGTCGGTGATGGGGACGCCGGCGGTGGGCTTGCCGGTGGGGCTGCCGTTCTCGTAGTCCTGCTGGATGACGATGCCCTTCTTGTTGATGTTCTTGAGGGTGATGTTCTCAAAGGTGACGCCCTTAACCTTGCCCGTCTTGTTGGCGATGGTCTTGATGCGGATGCCGTTGTCGGCCTTCTCAATGGTCGAGTCGCGGATGATGATGTCCTGGACGGTGTTGTCGGAGCGGCCGCCGACGGATCCGATGGACAGGCCGTGGGAGCCGTAGCAGTAACCGTTCTCGAACGTGATCTTGGTGCCGGAGTTGATGGCCAGGCAGTCGTCCTGGTTGTAGACCTTGGCGCCGGAGATGGTCACGTCGGTGGACTGACCGACGTCGAAAGCGTCGGTGTTGTGGCCGCCCTTGGAGTCACCGTCCTTGTTGTTGAACTCAACGTTGGTGCTGAAATACACACGTTAGCATACTCTCAGAAGACTGGCGTCCGGTTCTCGACTTACACCTTGAGGCCAGTAACTCCGTTGATGGAGAAACCGTGGGCGGGGGTGTTCTTGACCTTGAGGTCGGTGATGGAACCGTCGTTGATCTTGACCTTGAAGAACTTGGGCTTCTTCTTGCCGCCGTTTCCGCCCTTGCCGTCCCACCAGCGCTCGCCCTCGCCGTTGATCAAGGAACCAGAGGCACCGACAACGGTGACCTTCTTGCCGCCGACGGCGATGAGGGGGCCTTCCCACTCCTTGTAGCCGAAGGTGGTGGTGCCCTTGAAGGTGACCTTGGTACCGTCTTTCAGGCCGGTCAGGTCGAGGGTCTCGCCGGCGGGGACCTTGATGCCGTTGAGGACGATGTCGGTGCAGGAGGTCTTCTTGGACATGGCCGTCTTGGCGTCGGTGAAGGTGCACGAGGCGCGGGTGTCGAGCTCGGCGGGGGCGGCGGAGGCCAGGGCAGCGAAGCCGGCGATGACGGGGAGGAACTTCATCGTGTCGGTTTTGGTGATGTGGTCAACACACGGGAAATGCTTCAAATATTTACAGAGGGTTCGAAAGAGAGACTGTAGTCGGTGAAAAAAAGAATGTGGTGTAAAAAGAGAGCGAATGAAAGTGAGTGTGAAGAGCACGATGGAGGGCCAGAAAGGATCAGCAGAGGGCGAGAGGCATGGTGATGTTTTATAAGAAGTTGGCTTTCTCGATCCTCGGTGACATATCCATAAGCTACAGCGTCAGCAGATTGCATTCCTTCCCGGATAATCGGCATCATCGTTGTCGACATCCCCGGTTCTCTGGAGGAGACAACGACCTCGAAATCACACCTCCAATCTGAACATGCAGGCGGAGGCGCATCCCCGTATGAGGAGACGGCTCCACTCTCGTTAAATGGTTCAAGCTTCAAATTCTGCACTCCGGAGGCGCTAACAAGTGGTCTGGTGCGTCCGTTGGGATTGTGAGAGTTGACGATGCGTTCATCGCCTGGTCCTCGGGACGCTTGCAGGGCTGGCTTACACGGGAGTCTGTGAGGTCTGGCCACGGTAATGGGCCATGCCCCCTCGATAACGGCGACGAGAAGCTTTCTGTCCAAGACTTCCAAGACATTTCAACAGTGCCGTCGTTCATCTCAAGGCGGGCATTTGCTGGGACGAACTGCCCTTTGCGGTAGCCTCAATCTCAATGACATCTTGGCTTTGTCTTGGCTTAGGCTTAACCTGCCGATCTACCCGATCATGGATGTGTTCGGCCCCAGTGGTCAAGGCTGCTCCCCACTGATTATTGCGGCTCGCCCTGTGTGAAAAGGAGGAATCCCACTTCGTCCCATTGGAAATCTCCAGAAGAATGCATGTATTGGTGGAAGAGACATGCAAGAATGGAGATTCTAGTTGGTCGGCTTTGAGTGGTCCAGCCGTCGGTGATAGTCCGACCACCGGGACTGATCCCGGAGCCGAAAGTAAATCAATTCCTTCGACCACATCCGCCTTCCTAGAGAATTTTAATCAATTCTCGTCGGAGGCTCCGGCTCACCTAAAGTGGTGTGATTAACCTTAAAGCCCTAATTAATTGTGAATAAAGCCGCTCAGAACCCCCGACGAGCCGGCCGCCTTGTGGGGAAAGGAGGCTCTCCGAGCGGATACTCTCTGACGCGTAAACTTGCCCTCGGTGGAGTGAGGCTCAAGGGGGCGAACGCACCATGGATTTCTTTTCGATTTCATGAAAAGAAGGTCGAAGGACGGTTCAATTGTGTCAGGTTTAGGCGAGGCGCCGTTGAAAAGGGGAGACAGGCGGGAGACTGCTTGACGAGAATAAGATCTGTCGTAAGGTGGGAACGGCTGAACAAGGCTTCGGGACCCGACAGGCCCGTCCGTCTACCCTGTCGATTTCTTTAAAAGTCGATACCCGCTGATTCGTGTGGGCTGCTAACGTTGGTCCAAACCGACTGGAGTGCGCTAGACACATCGCGGCGCAATCTTACCGGCAAACTACAACCGTCTTGGTAGAATCATGCAGCGAGTTGCGAACCAAGTCTGGCCACGGGAGTTAACCTACTTGAAACATGTAGGTCCTACAACACTTTAAATCGACTCCGCATGAAGCTAGGAGAAACAGGGCGGAATAAGCAACACGAAAGAAGTCGGTTTAATTCTCGTTCTCCTGTCTTTTCTGCTCGGGCAGTTACGGATGTCCTCCCTACAGGTGGCTCCGAAGTTCGTCCTCCGTCCACTTGTACAGCTGTTCCCGTTTGTCCTTGTTCTCGCTGAAACGGGTACCCTTTCCGGTCACGCCGACTGGATGATAAAAAGTGCCGCTCCTGACGTCGGGGCTGAAGGAGGCCCAGAGCTGGTTGAGCGCCCCTTTCTGAGGACTCACCGCCGCGACCTTTGTCCCGAGGTAGACGACCATTCCGATGAGGAAATTGGAGTTGTTGATGATGGATTCGGCGAGATTGGTCTCCACGACGCCGGGGTGGACGCTCACGACCTTGATCTCGGGGTTACGTTCAGCGAGGGCAGCTGCGTAGTGGATGTTGGCCACTTTGGAGATGCCGTAGCGATAGCGGCTCGCCGTCTCGGGCATCTTCGTCTTGAGCTTGTCGAACTGATAAGTGTCCTTGGGTGCCCAGCCCTCGGCCCCTGAAGAGAGGAAGACGATTCTCACGTCTGGGTTCTCGTTTGCTGTCTTCTTCATCACCGGGAGCAGGAGCTGTGTGAAGAGGGCATGGCCCATGTGGTTCGTTCCGAACTGGATCTCATATCCCTCCTGAGTAAGGCCGTCTGGTGTTGACATGATACCGGCATTGTTGATGAGCAGGTCCAGCCGTTGAGAAGATTCCTTGAACGACTGGACTGCGGCTTTGATGCTGTCGAATGATGAGAGGTCCAAAGGGAGATACGAGATTGGTGCTATGCTGGCGCCCTCCTTTCTCAAAGCCTCGATGGCCTTCTCCCCCCTTTCCTTCGAGCGACCCGCGAGGTATATGTGCGCGGGATTGTGTTTGGCGATTTGGCGAATAGTTTCCAGACCGAGGCCGGCGTTTCCACCCGTTACGATGATTACCTTACCAGTGAGGTCCGGTATGTCCCTGTCGGGTTTGAAGTCGTGACCACCCATCAAAAATGCAGTTGCCATCTTGTCTGTTTTCCTGTATAGTCTTTTTCAAGCAGATGGGGCGTCGTTAAGTTGTTTGTTGAATCACAGTAGACATGAGATCATGTCAAGCACGTGTTTATATGATCTTGTGGAAACTTTGTTGTTTCAAACCACGCGTCCGACCGCTCCGGAGTTCGACGTCTGTTCGCTCAGAAAACCGGTCGCGCAGTGGTATCTGCAGTTTCACGGACTAGGGATCCCCGCTTCTAGTTTCACTTCCGGCTTCGTAACATTTGGTAGATTGTCTTCTTCGCTCGTCTCATAGGGCAGCGAAGAAATTTGACTTCCCGAGGCACTGGCAGTTCCAGGGTGCGGCACGGAGTTCAGACTGCCTTTTTCGAGCTCTTGATAGAAGAGAAAGTCGGCTTGAATGGAATGCCACTCCGATGGAACCTGCATGAAGCGTCTAGTTAACATAATGAGATGGGTATTGAGTGAGTTTCTGTTCCAACACTTGTGAGCAGTTTTAGGATTGAACCGCTCTATTTTTTCGCGTATCGGCTAGTGCATGGGAATCTCGGCATCGACTCTCTATGATCGACCAAGCAGCACCCACTCTCTAGCTCCATCGCATGCCTTCTGGTAACGTGAAATGGATGTCGCTTATGTGCACATCTTATTGCTGGGTCCTTTCAGTTTATCCCACTCCCGTCCAGATATGACCGAATTGCTGAAGCATCGCTGAGAGCTCAACATCCAACAGAGAGACATGTTTCTATCCTGAGACTCAAACAACTGATAGAGCAAATGAAGGCTGCGCATGAAGCCGGTTGGGTTTTTCGACCTGAGACGCAATGGTATTCACTCCATCTATAATAGATGATGCCTTTGCCTGGCATCTAATTGATCTACTTTACCTTATTCTTTGCCCCCTTTCCTGTTTCATCGTCATCCTCATCCGACGAGGAAAGCAACCCTTCTTCTTCTAGCACCCAATCATCTAATGCTATGTCTTCCTCTTGTAGCCGTTGATACTTTCTCCTCTTGTATCTTCTAACAGCGACGACAATGCCCACGACAACCGCAGACAACACGACCACCACCGCTCCCCCAAGCACCCATTTTCTCCATCCTTTCAAGCAACATGGGTACCAACGCATGTATATACCCACAAACCACTCCGTCCATCCCATCTTTCGTCTCTGATCCGGCTTAAGTCCCTTTCTAACGAGATGTTTATGTCGTGGTCCAGTTGGTCCTGCGTTGAAGCGCTTGAGTCCGAATTTCGGTACTGTGTCCTGTCGGGGATCCGAGTCGGGCCACTGGGCATCGCCCCAGCGGCCAGCGTAGTAAATGAGAGATGTCAAGTTGGCAGATGGCGAAGGCGAGGAAGCAAGACCGTCGGGGGGGTCTATCCGCGTGAACCTGAAAGACTGAGCGTCGAAACGATAGAAGTAGGCCGAGAGAACTGGGTCCCACTTCTGACCCTCATCGCAGTAATCTACCAGGACTACGTTGTGTATTTGATTCCTAAGCAAGTAGGTCAGATCTCAACCGTATTACTTCGTACTGACACAGGAACGACTTACCCTGCTGCTGCATAATTGGCATGAGAGCCCCGAGCACTGTACACAATGGGCTACAAGAAGTCAGTCAGCCTGTGCTTCGGGGAAAGAAAAAGGATATGGTATACTCTTCCATCAGACTTGGAAAGCTTCGAGTCATCCCAATGGTATGATGAACCATCTACATGTTGGCTGAAGTAGATACCGGTAGGATTGCCATCTCGGAAGCGAACCATGTTGTGCTCCCTTCAACCCATTGTTAGTGAAGCCCACATCGAGGGATCTTCCAACACGTACCAATCCCCGACGTGATCACCAAAATGCATCCCGGATTCCACCTTTTCGCCCTTTACAATGTGCTTGAGTGGCTCGAGAACCTGGGTGATGTTGGGCCCTTCATTGAATGAGTAGAAGTAGAAGAAGAATGCATCTAGATCGCGCTGGTTCTTCTCAACCAAAACCACTACACATGGCGTGGAGTTGTGGATCCGGCCGTCAGCATCGGGGGCTTCACCATAAAGCCATTGCGGGTAGGTGAGGGGATCATCGTTGGAAGTGAGTGCGATATTCTTCTCTCCGTATTGGTTGAGAATATCCAAATTGTCGAGGTCCAGAGACGGTAGATCAGGTATCGGGTTCCCGTCTAGCATGGGAGTGGTATGGCGGACATGAGTGAGGAGGTCGCTGGGTTTGAAAGGATCATCCGAATGAAGCCATATCAGGGGTGCTATCGACGGCGATGAATTAGATTCCTGCAGAGTGCATTATCCATGGGCAAGACTGTTATCGGGTGCTGACGTACCATGACGTGCGACATAATCCGGGCACCGATCGCCCGGCGCCGACTCCGGCCCCGCCCGGGCGGAGTACGCGAGTAAGAGGCCGAAAAGGCCGAACAGAAACCCAGGCATCGATGCCGGCGCGCGAGCAGACGCTGTGCTGGCCATCTTGCAGATGCAGACGACTCGTGATCTACGGCACAGCTTTCGAGTAAGCTTGAAGAGAGAAACTTGTCGTGTGCAGCTCGACCTTCAGCAAAAGGCCCAATTGCGGCGCTTTGTCAGCGTCAGCACCCGGTTCCCTCGGCATGCGTAGGTCTCCGTCGGAACCCTCGGATTGGAGCATTGGCAGCTTGGCCCTCTCAACCTTGCGTTTTCCAAGAACCGCGACCGTTCCCCACATACAATTCCTGTTGGTCGATGAGGTTTTCCCCCATTCTTCTGATGCAGGATGCAGAATTGGTGATGGTGGGCTGAATAGAGCATTAGCGGGCGAGCTGCATAGAACATGGTCACGAGAACGAAATGCGGGCTTTGCCAGCCACTGTTTATCCTGAAAGACAAAGCGACAGAAGAAAACATCGCCCACCAGCATGAGCTGAGTCATCGGCTTCATGTTCATGTCCCGCAGGAAGAGGTCACGCCTTATTACACAAAATGAGATGAGACTCATGAGTTGCTTGCATGATGACCGGAAGTGTGGCCTACAGCATGATTGCCGCCACAACAACGGCTTCCATTCGACAGCTTTCTGAGTAAAAGCGTGGTGGATTCACCCCAAGTCCAAGTTGGAGGGCACCAGACACCAGATCTAGAACCCACACGAACGGGACGATAGATCTGCTGGCAGTCGAACTGGCATATGTCGCTCGTGCATCATTTGTGGACACTGTCAGATTCTAAATACTCTCGTCTGCCACTTTTGCCGCCCATTTCCGTCAGCCCAACGAGAATCTTTTCCACTCCAGACGTACGAGACTGGAGATCCGGGGTGTTCGTGCGGAGAACCCCATGAGAATATCGACTGAACCCGACCTTAGGTCTGACGATGGCGGTTGCTAACGCGATCGGACCTCAGCGCGCCGTCCCCGGAGTCATTGGGCGGATTTGATGGATGGCGCCACTGACGCAGTCTGAGCCCGACTCGGCAGCAATCGTCATCCCATTCCCACCCTCTTCCCCAGACCGCAACCTAGATTCGATGGTGAGGCGCACGTACTTTGTCGGTACTCGACGCAGCTAGCATGGCTAAGGAATACTAAGCTTCACCAAGCCCTTCGAAGCTTTCTCTCGTCAGGGGTGATCATCCAACGGCCGTGTAACCAACCAGGCTAAGCCTTAGTACACCATTCCACGGCGACACCAACAGGCTGCTATGCTGTACTGTAACGTAAGCTGCATTGGAGACGGCGGCGACCCCGCATTATCGTGTTAGAGGGTGGCTCAATATGGTTGCTCACACTTCGCTTCATACTGAGATAGGCTGGCCGGTCTGCCTCGTAGTTCGCCGGTTGCATGTTTCTTTGGTGTTGGTGTACCTCATACAACCTTAGGTTTCTCCACATCCCGAACGTCTGAACGGCAAGACGCCCTCCTAGTCGCCGTCACGGCTGAGTACATGCGATGATTGAGACAGGCTCCCCGCGCTTCTAAAGGAGCGCCAGGGTTCAGTCAGGCATACCGGCAGCGGCTAGTATGTTTATTTAATCTGATCTCCCGCTGGCTTTATTTAGCCTTAATGTGCTCTACTCCCTCTCTTCATTGGAACTTCGGTTTCTGTCACTGAGACTGCAACCGTGTTTTCTAGTTTGCATCGTCACTCGCAGCTTCAACTTGAACAACATCTGCAACTGACTGACCGTGAAAATGTCTGAAAAGGAGAAGAGACTCGACGCAGAATCGCCGTAAGCGCCAAGATACGTTCAACGTTGATATTTCCATACAGTACTAACAATTCCTAAGGGTCCGCCACGACGGCATTGGTCACAGCGAGGAAGCGGAGCGCAAGAAGAGCATCGCCGAACTCACTCAGAACCTCGAAGGCGAGATCCGCAACCCTTTGAGAGGCATTCCCAAAGCCCAACTTCTTGAACAGGTCACGACCTACCAGAGAACTCAAGGCCTACCGGAAGAGATTCTTCCACTCCTGCAGAAGGGCGCTCTTGTGGCTCAGAACCCAGCACTCTTCGAGACTCTTGATGAGCTCGATGAGGGCGAAAAGACCGCCCTGAGAGAGGAAGTTACCCACAGATGGAAACACCCCTGGCCTCTGTACTACACGATCATTCTCAACTCTATTGCTGCTGCTATTCAGGGTTGGGATCAGGTATGATACCACTCTCCGTTGTGTATGCTTGATGGAAACTGACTTTGATAAGACTGGATCCAATGGCGCCAATCTGTCTTTCCCTCTCGCTCTTGGTATCCCAGATACGGCTGGTTCTGCATGTGGTCCAGTTGCGAACGAGGGTGACTGCGCCAAGAATAGTTGGATCATCGGCTTTGTCAACTCCATGCCCTACATCACCATCTGTCTCTTGTAAGTATGATGCCTCATTTCCCTCAGACAATTTTCTCATATGACCTGCAGTGCTGGCTGGATCTCTGACCCTATGAACGACTTATTGGGCCGTCGGGGTGTGATTTTCGTTGCCGCCATCTTCTCACTCCTCGCACCTTTCGGCATGGCAGTGTCACAGACATGGGGCCAGCTTGCAGCGTGCAGGTAAGACAGCATCCCTCTCATCGCAACTCAATCGAAGAATTTCTCACATGTCTTGATAGAATGCTTCTCGGAATCGGGATGGGTTTGAAAGAGGTCACCGTCCCAGTATTCTCCGCCGAGAATTCCCCCACGCTCATTCGAGGTGGTCTAGTCATGTCATGGCAAGTTTGGACGGCTTTTGGTAAGTAGCAGTCCTGATAGAGTTGCCAGCAGCCCTTTTTTATGTTTCACAACCATGGAAATAGCTGACAGCTTATTTGCGATACCGAACAGGCATCTTCCTGGGCACATGCGCCAACCTTGCCGTGGGTAAAACCGGAGACATCGCATGGCGTTTGCAGTTCGGCTCAGCCTTCATCCCGGCCGTGCCCCTGGTGATCGGCACCTTCTTCTGCCCAGAGAGTCCTCGTTGGTTGCTGAAGAAGGGCAAGACTTTGCAGGCCTGGCATTCCCTCTTGCGGCTCCGCAACACTCCTCTTCAAGCCGCGCGCGATCTCTACTACATCCACGTACTTCTCGAAGATGAGGTTGCGCTTGTTCAGGAAGCTGGCCTTCAGGCTACCAGCAACCTGTTCACTCGCTTCGTCGAACTGTTCACCATTCCGCGCATTAGGCGAGCTACTTGGGCCTCTGGAATTGTCATGATTGCACAACAGATGTGTGGAAGTAAGTTTCTATCTGCCGTGATACTGCAAGTTCTTCTCTAATCTGGGAACAGTCAATATCATCTCCTTCTACAGCTCTACCATCTTCAAAGAGAGTGGCATCGGCGACTACACCGCCCTTTGGGCCAGCTTCGGTTTCGGTCTCATTAACTTTATCTTCGCATGGCCTGCCGTGTGGACGATCGACACTTTCGGTCGCCGAACACTCTTGCTCTTCACCTTCCCGAACATGTTTTGGACTCTTCTTGGTTAGTGCTGCCCTCCCAACCAGCTCAAGCTTTTGTCACGTCATGCGTGAGGCTAATCTGACATGCGTAGCTGCCGGTCTGTGCTACCTCATCGATAAGGACTCTGAGAATAGTACGGCTCGGATTGCAGCTGTCGCAACCTTCGTCTACCTCTTCGCCGCATTCTATTCCCCGGGTGAGGGGCCAGTCCCTTTCATGTACTCGGCCGAGGTCTTCCCCCTTTCTCATCGTGAGATCGGCATGTCTTGGGCTGTCGCGACCAACAACTTTTGGGCCTCGGTGCTTTCGCTCACATTCCCTCGGATGTTGATTGCAATGACGGCTACTGGAGCCTTCTCGTTCTACGCGGGTCTCAATCTGGTCGCATTGGCGCTCATAGTAAGTTTCCCGGGCCTGATGCTGAGAACAAGACCGTTGTTGACACGGCGAAGTTTCTGTTTGTACCAGAAACAAAGCAGAAATCTCTCGAAGAGCTCGACTACGTCTTTGGGGTCCCCGACCGCAAGCATGCTTCTTACCAGCTCTTCACTGTGTTGCCTTGGTGGACAAAGCGGTGGATCTTCCAGAAGAAGACTGCGGTCTGCCCACCACTGTACCATGATGAGAATGCTGAGCATCACCACGGAGGAGAATGAGCCTGTGTTGTGTTGATGAATCACATAATCCGTGGACGGATTGCTTCTGCGGGAACCCGAGACGACGAATGCGGACGACCGTTCGCGAACTTATCGTGGGGAGCGAGTGACGGTACTCATGGGACTTGGGATGCTTTGCTGTCGTTCCCTAATTCACAATTGTGGTGATTGTTTATCGTATACCCTTCGTTTCGTAGTTAAAAATCTGAAAATAGTTGGCATCCCACGCTTGAAATGAACACCACAGTAATCCTACTTCAAACATGAAGCTTCAACAGCTGTCTGGGATTTCTGGCACGATGAGAGGCTGCTGCAGTTGTTGGTCTGATTCATCTTGACCACAAACCACTTGCTCTTGAAAGACTACCAATCACATGAGCATATTTCGAGTATCCGAGAAAGTGGTCATATTGGTTTAGATGAATGACTTGGGATGACCGGCTATCGGCAAGATGAAACATCACTTGGTCAAGGCTTCAATATTGTCTACTTTTGAAGCCGTACAGAGTACCTCGATCAGGCCAGATACCAGTGTTATCAAGGAGACATAGATCTTAAGGACCGAAACCGACGGTCGCTAGAAGCGCAAAACCATTGGTGCGGCATTCGATACAGATTTCTTGCGGCAACCCTTCGGAGCCGAAGCTTAAACTTCCTCAGAAGATGAAGTCGGAGGTTCGTCCCTACGATGGCATGAATCTCCTTGTCGGAGATGCTCCGCCATCAAATCTGTCTGTCCGCGTCGCGCGGAATCTCGGACTCGGCTTCGCGTTCCCGTAAGGGCAGCTATATCCGCCACACCAACCTTATAACTGAACCCGCGCATCGTGAAACAAGATCTTCTAGATCCATTCGTTCTGGAATGGAACATGGCATAGCTAGAGAGCCATTCAGCGCTGGAAGGGGTATTGTAACGTGAGATATGCAAGCAGGCCCCAGACTAGAACGGCTGTCGTCCCATTCAGCGGCAGTAGAGACGTCTGATCTAGTAAGTGCACATAGCCTGTATTGCTCTCTCCTTTATGTTAGTCCCTTTTCAAGAGTCTTAAAAATCCAATTAGTCTTTATCAGAGGATCCCTGCTATGAAATGAGTCCATGTATCCAGCTGCGTCCTCAACGTGCCAAAAGTCTGAGATAGTTTGCAACTTTTCACCGTTACCTTTGTATTGTACTGGAACTGTGCGCACATAACCTCGAGAGGCCAAGCTCCAATCTAGCTGAAATTGACCGGGCAAAGTCATGTCACAAACTCGGAGGTCCCGGCTATTCTAAGCTTGAGGCTGTAGTTCAATCACATTGACATCAGGACTAGCGACCATGAGATACCGCGGAATCCCATCAACAGTCTCGTTATTTTCTGTCTTCGTCGAGTTCAAGACCCTAAAGTTCCTTGTTAGTGATTTAGGAAGAGTCTCAGGCAGCTTCCCAGCCTTTCTAATGATGGCGAGTTCGATTGTGGTTCACCCTGCATTGCTGGGCTGCCGCAATATCCGGGCCGTCAGACCAAAATAGGACAATGTTAGCGCCAGCTTGTGTCTTCTAGACTGCTTATTTTGATCTGTAAGCTTTGTGAGGCTTTTAATGTTGCTCCTGTGCCGCTATAGCTCAGGGGTTGTCAAACAGTTCCATTTCTCTTGCCGTGACTATGGCCAAAATGCACGATCCTGGAACAGTCGATAACCTCGATCTTGTAAATGACTCGAATGAAGAGGAACAGTGTGTAGAAGTTGAGGCTGGTCGTGAGACCGTCGACGAGAAGACATCCGTGGTTCGGAGTATACGCGGCAGTTTCGTGATGTGATATTGCGTCTTCGCCGCATGCGAAGCGTGGGTGACTACCGTTCTTGTTTGTTAGTGGGAGATCTCATGAAAGCACGGCCTGCACTGGATGGCATAGGCTCAGTTTTCAAAAGAACGAAGCTGATATCTTGCAGACGAATATCAACTGGCGATAGTCATCCGATGGCTCTGCCGAAACACATTAGTGAGGATACAATGATATGTGCTTACTGAGGTGTAGGATCAGAAGAGACGCGGACCAAACGTACCAAAACTAATGTACCTTTGAGACATTCCGGTGACAGTTTCGTTCAGGTCATTGCCGGTGGCAGTACGCTACTGCAAGCTTCGGCCGAAGAGGTGGAAACCCTTTGGAACAAATCCAATGGCTTGTAATGTTATCGAAATTGGACATGCTGTACTTCCAAGTGAGAAGAAGATGTACTGGCGCTTATCTACTGAGGCGAAAATATCCCTCAGCTGATAGTCGTATGAATAACCAATGCCCAGACAATGTTTCGCCAGAGACGTACATGCCACGAACCCGTAAACATAACTTCTAAGAAATTGTGATCAACATCAGCCATAGTCAAAAGACTGCGGGCCTGTTACAGAGACAAAGCATGACTGCAGGTCGAAGATAACCGCAAGAAAGGCTCACTCACCAGAACGCTGAAATCTCTGCGCTATCAACCCGGCAGTTGATACCCGAGCAAAACAATGGTACTCTGCGAAAGGAAAACACTCCTTCCTCGAGAGATTCGGCACACAGAGAAAGCTGACGAAAAGTTTGATATCCGAGACACGTTCCTCGACCCCATGGGAACCGGTGGAGCGCTCTACTTCTTCTAATCCAAACTATAGACTGAATCAGCCTCGTGCTGTCGAGGTCTCTGACCAAGCATCGGGTAAAGGCTTTTGGCAGGAGACACTATGGTGAGACGCGCTGTGGTTGTTTCACCAGTAGATATAGCTCCGTAGAGCTGAAGTTCCTCCTGGAAGAGTCCCCACCAACATCGCGTATCGCCACCTACACCATCGTCAGCGCCCGCTATTCAAGCTCTCACAGCAAAGCATGAGTAATCACTCACTTGCCTGCCGTTGAAGAGTTGCCCGCAGCCGCAATTCGGGCGTACCTGAGATTGTATTTATCCGAACTTCATGCTTGCCCATCCTAACCCACCCTTGGTTTCAGGAGATCACGTACGGCGACTGACACGCGCACTAGTTCTGTAATGGCAGAAATGAGCTGCTGTAAAGACCCTTCGGTACTTGATATCTCTCAAACTTCTCTCGTGTAGGGTGTCGGAGAGAATGCCGAGAAGATGCCTGAGCCGACGGGTTACAGAGACTTACTCATAGTCATGGAGTAAGACGCCCGTGTAATCAGTATCGCCGGTCTAGAATCTGAGGGGAACCAGGGGATAGTCTACTGTCTACATGTGAGAGGTGGATCGGCTAGAACACACGCAAGCCATTGGGAAACATCTTCGAGATCGGAGACTGCTCTCGGTGTTGCCGTGAATGTACCAGAGGTTGTTTGTGGCAGTACCGTCCAGACAATTCCTACGTCTCTACAAGCGGCCTTCGCCGTGTCTATTGATACTTCGGAAGGTGCTCCAAGACATTAGATCCGAATATACTGCGACGAATTTTCCCTCGCCAGATATCTCGTGTAAAAAGCGAATACGGTACAGCCTGTGGTGGTTGAGTCGTTCATGACATGCAGGTACAGCAGCATCCGAAGGACTACCCGATGTTTAGCAGAACTCAGAGCACGGGTCCTCCGAAGCTAGGATGACACATCCGGGAAAACATCCGGTAAGCGATCAGATTCTGGCGTATGTAGGCATATTTGTCCGGAAACGACACGATGTTCTCGAAACATTGTGGTGGAATGTCGTTCGAGAACTCAACATGGGCTCATCACGCCAGCAGAGAAACTCGATGACACTTGTTGAACATCCCCGAATCCCGAAGGTGTCGTGAAAAGACACGCGAGAGTCATGGGAAACAGAGATTACCATCCTTTCGTGCGAATGCACTGGTCTTCAGACGACTGTGAAAGTTTATGTACGGATTCAGCAACATCCCGCGCTCTCCGATTACCTGATAAAATAAATACACATGCAGGCACCAGTGGATATGGACGGGATCAGCGACACGGAGGTGCCAGTGGTGTGTGAAATATACGGTACAGGAGTCATCCGAATCTACCGGTCAAGCCGTTAGACTTCGGAAGAAGCTGGATAACAGCAAACTTCTCATCTTGCATACCACGCAGATTGAGCTGCTACAGCATTTGAGTTGAAGATCTGTCAGGCTGTTGAACGGGAATAAACCATACTCTGTCCCGACTTTTGTTGCTAAACCATACACAAAACAGCAGCCTTGTTTGAAGCTCTGCTTACTTCGACTCGGATCGTGCACTGGCTGCCACGACTGGTTGCTTGTGCTCTCGGAAGATATGCGCTATTCTAGAAGTAACATATCCACGTGGTAGAAAGCTAGATCTCGACCAATCGCCCCCATAAGCATCATATTCAACGGGAGGCAAAGTGGATATCTCCAAGACTTTTTGACGATGTTTCGTCGCTTCTTGTGGCCTTCTTGGTCTGCATCTCGATGATCGTCTGACAACTTAGCCGATCGCCTGTTCATAAGGTGGATTCCCCCAGATTGATCAACGTCGGACCCTCTCGGTTGACAGAAAAATGTCCGAAGACCCGGGTCACAACCTCCACTTCGCTATGATGAGCGTGGGGGGACTAATAAGACGGCCCATGTTGTCAGAGCCATGTGGCCTTCGTGGAAGTACTCTTCGGTTTCTTGGTTTATTTGCGGATCCCTTGAGAGACCGCAACATGGAGAAGCGTGGGATAAGTTGACTGATCTACCCGAGTTAACCGGGGTCACTCCGGGGACCAGGCAGAGTCCAACCGTTCATGGTGTCTCAGAACACGGCGGATTCAACTGCTATGTACGGGAAGCGCACGGTTGGCACCCCCAACTCGTGGCATCACTTTGTGCTCGGACATTTAGAAGGCTTTTCAGAGTTAACATTTTACGAGCGAACCAATCGAAACTCGTGAATGCTGAAATCCCTTACACATGTTGCGTGGGACAGCCCTGCTCCTCAGAGCGACCGGCGGCCAGTCGAAGAGAATCTTAGTCACCCCGATCCGCGGGACGCCGAGCTGATGTTGGGCCTGGCACCGTCAGGACAAACTTTAGGCTGGAACGATTTGGAACGGGGATGGAACATGCACACCTCTTTGCAAAATCCCAGACGCCCTACCAGCCGGCCGATGTCGTACACCACAATATCGCGAACTCTAATCGCCGAATCCATGAGAGATCAGGTGTTTACCAGTGCGCTCCACGCACAACGGCCCCTCGGTGGCGCGGTTTGTTTCCCGATGGACTCCGAAGAGCAATAACCGTCCATGTATACGACGGCATCTGCTACTATGTCAACTACCTTGACTCGATTTGACTCGACATGTTAGTGTAGCTTGGCGGGATAAGTACTCTTGGCGCTCGGAGAATTGTCAGATGCGCCTCGATCTCTGAGATTTTTTGTAGTTTGACTTCCTCAACCAGGGTCTGCCTCGGACTTTGATCTTTCTTATATCCTCCACAGCTCCGCCTTACCCCCAGCTCGAGATCACCGGTCACAAGCTTTCGTCATATAACCCCACTAGCAACCTGCCCATGGTTTCCCGATGACATCGTCACGCAGCTGCGCAACGTCGCCGACAAATTCAACATTGCGGAGATGAACGAGTCGATAGACCGATACGACTCGGACAACTCGCCTTACTCCATCCGTCCGTTGCCTCCGGTCCTTCGTCATGGCCTCGCCGCCGTGGCAACGATGGGGTTTATCTCCTTCTTCACCAGCCTGGGCTTGTTGATGTTTCTCACCTACAAGCTGATATCATGGCATAACGGGCCACCGAAAGAAGTGAAGAAGGACCCGATAGCCAAGGTCGAGTCACCGGCACCGACGGACGCGGTGTTTATTATTCCGAGCGAGTGGACGGCGTCGCGGCAGGAACAAGAAAAACCGATGAAGGAGACATGGATACGAAGAGCAATCAACGAGCCACCTAACCAGTTCCTTGTACTAATATTCAACCTTTTACTCGCCGACATCCAGCAGGCGCTGGCGTTCCTACTTAACGTCGAGTGGCTTACGAGAAATGCCATCGAAGTGGGAACCGGAACTTGCTGGACCCAGGGATGGTTCGTCTCTACCGGCGACCTAGCATCCTCCGTCTTCATCACAGGCATCGCTATCCACACGTATATGTCCATTGTGAGGGCGAAACAATTACCAACATGGGCGTTTCATACGGCAATCATCATGATGTGGGGATTCGTGTACGGAACGGGAATTATGGGAATCATTGTAACAGACAATGGCAAAAATGACGGCGGCTTATACGTTCGAGCCGGCGCGTGGGTAAGTCGGTGTTGGCGAGAACTGACATTGAGTCGTGTGGACTAACACGGCAATAGTGTTGGATCAACTCCAAGTACCAGGACATCCGCTTAACTCTACACTACCTCTGGATCTTTATTTCCTTGATTGTCACAACAGTAATCTACTTCATAATCTTTTTGCACCTCCAGAGAATTGCAAGGAGGAGCGGGGGAGTCGTCCCCTGTTGCACCATCTCAGAACCTGAAGCGATTAGCTCTGAATCAGCAAACTGCGGCGGATCATCGCTATCATCGAATTGCGGAGGATACTCACTATCATCAACCTGCGGAAGGTCATCAAACCGCGGCGAATCATCCCTTTTGTCCACACGCAGTGGATCGTCCACTTGCGTCGGCTCAGACTCCGGGAATGCGTCTTGTCGAAGTAATACTTCGTTAAGCGAGCGTCCCAAACCCAAGTGGCCGCGAATAATGTGCCTGACGACTATCCTCAGACACTTACCTGGAATTCCGGACTACGCTCGGCAACACACCTTCCTACTCTACCCTCTGGTGTATGTTGTCTGTACCTCACCTCTAGCTGCCGGCCGCCTTGCTTCCATGGCCGGCCACGAAGTATCACTCATGTACTTCTGCTTCGCCGGAGCCATGATCGCATCGAACGGCTGGCTCGATGTCGTTTTATACTCTTCAACTAGAAGATCCATCGTCTTCGCAGCGGACGGACCACCGTCACAGGAGACTGGTTTGGAGACGTTTGCATTTATGTGCCCTCAACCGCCAAAGTTCGGCAACACCACGATAGTCACCGGCGGCATCGAGCTACCGAAACGATCGCTGCGGGGTAAATGGAACGAGAGGATGACCTTGAAGGGGCCCAAATCTGGCAGCCTTAGAGGGCTCAAGGTCGACGGAAGCACCAGCACAGACAGCATGAGAGGATTCGGCATGGGCGAGGGTTCAGTTATGGGAATGGCGATTCAGTGCGAAACAGTCACGACGGTCTCTGTCGAAGTCAACACGAGACCACAGGTTACGCGACCGAAACTGGCGGCGTTAGGCAGGAAAACGAGCGACATGAGTTCTTTCAGTGGCACGTCCACGAGTTCATCAAGGAGGTCTTTGGGGGATTAGGTCGCCTGGTACTTGGGATTCGTTCAGGCTCATGAAGGCTGGCATAACACAGCATTGGGAAGTCGGTCTACCAATTATTAGATGTACATTAACGGTGGGATGGGCTTCACACAGCCCGAACGGCTCAAGCAATGATATACCCTGGGTATGGAACTTCTCTACATATTCAATTTGAGGTCAAATTTCTGTCAATTTCAGTTACACTCTTGGGATTTGCCAGTAGAGCCAAACGAATGTAAAAAAACATGGAGTTGTGGTCCTCTTCGTGATACTCGCTTCAGCCCTCGGCGCTATCCGAGCCGGTCGACGACGCCGGACGAAGCTCAAACCTGATGACAGGTACATAGACCTTACTCGGCGACCTTCCTCGGTGGGCTGTCCAGATTTGGAAAGAATCCCAAAAGTTAATGAAATGGGACAGCGGAAGCGAGCAGTACTTTGTTCGGAATCGTCCCGTCCTAGGCCATTCGTCGTTGTGTTTGGTTACCCCATGAATCCACATGCATGTTGTTGACTAGGGCCCCCAGATGAATGAGACCAGGAACAAGGCACGGAGGAGAGGTTGTGGGCCACCATCACTGACAGCTGCTGCGAAGTAAGCTCCGAAACTGTCGGCGTTTGGGAAAGGAAGATTGTTATTTGCCGGGCGATCTGAAGTCATCTCGAGGTGGGTGGACAGAGTTCACGTTCTGGTTTCATCTCTTTGGGGAACTCTCATTCCATCTCGTTCTCGTGAGTCAAATTGAGCGGAATGGCAAAGGCCGCAAGGGGTGCTGAAAGATCTGATTTAACGGTGCGTAAGTCTGTTCGATTGCTCTTTCAGCTCGGTATCGCGATGGGCTGAGATTAGGTATGGAGGACCGAGGGCGTTAGTTGCGGCTCTTCGCCTCTTTCTATTCTATAGATTAGAAGACCAAAGTGTTCGACGGAAGTGGCACCTGTTTTGTCCCATCTCGCAGCCTTCAACTCAACCTTTCTGTCGTGGCAGTGCTCTCCCCGGGACGTGCAGAAACCCTAACAAGACGGTCCAAAGTGGCGGTAAGCAGATCTTTCAGATCTGAGCCCCCTTGCAACTATCCCATCGTAATGAGGTTGCTCGGCGGAGAAGATCCCGCCGCCGCCACCACCCATGTGCTTGAAAGAACGACGCGTACCCACAGGATCCCGCGGGATGGCAAACTGTCAGAGTTGGATATAGCGCCCGTCTGAGCTTGTAATGACCAACGGGATCTCGTACTACTGGCCACCCGGGCTGTGGACGAGCCTGCTCAAACAGCTTGGCAGTATGGCTTTACAATAGACTTTGTTTGTAAACAGAGAATATGACCTGCTCGTCATTTTACGATTTCTTAGCTCCCACGTGGTAGACAGTGAGAAAGAAGACGGCTAAAGGCGATTCATTTCCTCATTGAGCCTCTTGGCAAGGCAGATAGAAATCAAGGCGGCCATGAAACGAAACCAACGAGGAGTCCGCCGATATTCACGAGACTCTACTAGTGATATCAATGTCAATTTTTAGTAACACTAACTCTCTGGGACGTTGCCAAGACATAATGTTTGAGCGAGAAATTCATTTCATCATCGGCTGAATGCAGGGTAGCCGCAGTCACTGCTTCTCTCTCGTCTCAACCGCAACTCCGTCTTTCTCATCAAACATCTCGTCAATAATAGCATTAGTTCGTCCAAGCTGGGCATCTTTTCCGTCAAAGAGCAGCGCAATCTGCTCCAAACTGGGTCCCTTGGTCTGCGAGAGTCAGCAGCTGTTCCTGGGTTCCTGACAACGAACGTGCTTACCTCGGGGAAGACAAGGTAGACGACCACAAACTGGACGAGAATCCAGCCGACGTAGAAGAAGTAGAACTTCCACGACATGGCAGCAATGCCCACAGGGTTAACGTAGGTATTGAAGGCTCCACAGATACCCGCGACCAAGCTGAACATGGCCATGCCCTTGGCTCGAATGTGGTAGGGGAGGATCTCGACAACTAATATCCGTGAGCAAATCTTTCATCCGGGATGCCTGGCCCGTTGGCCACGAGGCAGTACTTACTATAAAGCATCTGAGCACCAGTCCAGCCAAGGTTGTGGACTCCACTGTATAGGTAGATGAACGCAACGGTGGTGTAACTCGCCGGACGGTTTCCAGTCTCGACGTAGGCTCCCGTCGTACCTGTGATTATGGCAAAAACAACCCACATGAGAGCCATACTGGTCAACATCAACGGCCTGCGACCAACACGAGCAGGCAGGAAAGCAAAGGCAAATGAGCAGGCAAAGCTGAACATCTGGGAGGTAGCCGTGATGAGGGTCGTCTCAATCTGCTTGGTGATACCAGCACCCTTGAGCATGCTCCCGAGGTAGTAAGACACCAAACCATTACCTAAAGAACCGTTTAGCAGTTATTTAACAGCCAGGAACATGTAGTACCAATCTTACCGGACCATTGCTTGCAGATACCGCACCATATGATGATGAAAGACCGGTAGCGGTTACCCTTGGTAGCGAAGAGAGCCTTGAGGTGGAAGGGGTTCTTGTTCTGAGTCATTTCGGCCTCAATAGTGTCCTTGATCTCGTTGTACTCGTGCTGAACAACAATGTCGTTGACATCTCCGGCGCCGTGGTATTTTGTCAGAATATCCAATGCCGTCTGCTCCTTGCCCTTACTGCAGAGCCATCTTGGCGATCTACAATGAAAGTTAACCATCACGAGTCAAGGAAGATTGCTTGGCAAACCTACTCGGGGAGGAAGAAGAGTCCAACCAACACCATGGCACTAGGAGCAGCTTGGATGACAGTCGGCGTGCGCCAAGCCCTGCGCGAACTCTGGTCAATAGCCGTTCCAGTACAGGGAGTTCCTTAAACACGGAAGTACTTACCAAGAATCTGAAATGCGGAAGCTTCCAAACGCAACCCACGACGCCAAGATGGAGCCGACGCTGTATGTGGTGCTGCTCAGCGCCGTGGCCGTGGCGCGATGGGCAGGGTATGCGAGTTCCGTCATCAGGACCGTCGAGACGGAGGAGCACATGACTCCGCCCATGCCGAGCAGAATACGACCGGCGATGAAAGCCCCGGTACTCGTGGTCACAGTGCAGATGACGGCGCCGATGATGCAGAGGAAGCAACCGGCTGCGATGGCCAGGCGACGCCCGAATCGATCGGCGATAAGAGGGATCAGCAACACACCGATGATGTTACCGATCCAGTAAGACGCGCTGAGAGCTCCGAGGAGGCTGTCACGAGGATGATTGAAGTCTGGCGGTGGATGGGTTAGCATGCTGTTGTGCGAGTCAATGTGGTCGGCTATGACAAACCATCTTGCCATCGGTTGATCTGTTGCAGGTTGTTGATGAGCGATCCGTCGAAACCGTGAGCCACGTCGCCGAAGAGGAGGAAAAACAATGCGAAGTTTAGCGGCCGGAGTCCGGGATCCTTCGTCCACGGGACGGTCTTGGTGCTGGTTGGCGTAGTCGCCTCCAACGCCTGACGGTTGTCATTGTTGTTGAGCTTCTTCCCCTTCCAAGCCATATTGCCAGTTGGAAGTAGTCTGACTCTTGAGCTTCGCGATAATTACAGAGAAGGCGTTCGACGCAGGCCACCAGGATAAGTTCCACTTTGTCTGGACGTTTCTCGTTGTTTATATCCAATTTTTTCAATGTTACATCCTGCTGCCCATCATTACCGCCCCAATGGCTCGACCCTCAAAGTCTTGTTTGCTTGAATGGATCCCGACTTCATATCGAGTCCTCCTCCGGCGCGCCTCATTGGCAGAACCAAGCAGCACATGCTTGCCAACGCGGGGAACTGGGGAAAACTGCGGGGGTTGGCATGGTTCGACGGCCTCGATCTTGCCGGCTCCAACATGCCATTGACTAGCTAACCAACCGTTGGTGAAGTAGTATCGGGCGTCGATGGAACCGCCGGGTCGCACAGCGGTGTCGGTGAGCGGGGGAAGCTTCGGGGACGGTAGCGGCGTCGGTCGATCGGGGGAATCGTCGCGCGGCCATCCGCCCATCGCATCGACTCGGCTCCATTTTCCCCGAACCCAGCCGGGAAGGATTTCGCTACGTCACGATGGTGAAAATGGAGGGGGATCGCGGTTTTGCGCGCGGGGTTCCATGTCAACTTGTCGGTTTGCGTATTTGACTTTGATGACTCCAACAAACCAGGGCGAGATGTCATCCCAGTTGAAGTTTGTGTCACAATCCGAGTTGGCGCTTGATGCGCGTCGCGAACATCGGATCAATGCCAACTCATTCCAGCAAGACGCGTTGACGACCTTTAACGGGTGGCAGTACGCCTGTTTTTACAGTCACAAAGATGCGACAAGCAACGTTCTCTTCGTCAGCATCGCCAGACGGCCCATCCGAGACTCAGTAGGCGAATGGCAGACATTGACGTTCAAGGACTATGAGCAAACGGCGGATGATGGACACAACACAATCTCAATCGGTGTGTGCGCCGGCGATGGAACCATCCACGTCGCGTTTGACCACCACTGTGACCCGTGAGTTGCGAGGTTCGAGCCCTGAGAAACAGACCTGACGTGAATCTCGATGGATGTAGACTGCACTTTCGAATGTCAGTACCGGGCGTCGCCACGAACCCTGAAGCACACAGATGGGAGCCATCACTGTTCAGTCCGACACATAATCAACTGCCGGGATATACTCGGACAGGTCAGCTGGCGATTGAAAAGATTTTCCTCGAAACGACCTACCCACGGTTCATACGCGTCGATGACGATCTGCTGCTGAGCTATCGAATTGGCATGTGAGTTGAGAACTCCAATTTCGCTGAAGCGAGCGCGCAGCTGACGCGGATGCACGAAATGCAGAGCCGGTGCAGGGTCGGATCACCTCTTCAAGTACAACAATAAGAGCACGTCTTACTCTTACATCGGCCAATTTCTCACAGGCGTCAAGAACAACCCCTACATCAACGGCATCTCTTACGCCAACGGCCGACTGCATGTCTCGGGGACATACAGGGGCTTCGTCTGGTACGAGGGCGTCGACGATCCGGAAGCGAGACTCCATACGGTGCAAGCAGGACCGAATGGGCCGGAGAACAACTACAACCTATTCTACGTCTCGAGCGACGACCTGGGTAAAACGTTCAACAACACCAAGGGCGAGCGCCTGGCGAATCTGGAGGTCGGAGAGACGGTGTTCCCAGACGCGGATGGGCTGACCATCTTCGACATCCCGCAGAACAGCGGCATTCTGAATCAGGAGGCACAGGCGGCCGACGAGGACGGCGGCTTCCATGTCCTCAATCGAGAAAACGAAGTCTGGATGCACTACTACCGCAGCCCGGAAGGCCAATGGAGCAGATACGCGCTGCCTGACGCGCTACCGACGCGGACGGGGGCGCGGGGAGATGTCATTGCTTTACCCGGGAAAAGGACGGTGGTGTTTGCGCTGCCGGGGAATCGAGACGACAAACTGACGCTCGTGGGCGCTGGGCTGCCTCCGGATGCGACGACGGGCGTGGAATACCGTTGCTTGTGGCAAGGGGATGGCTTCTCCGGGGAACCGCAGCTCGAGACATTTGTTTCGGGGTCGAGGCAGATGATTTCGATATTCACGCGAACCGAAGAGAAGGAAAGAAAGGTTGTGGTGTTGGACTTCGCGCTGGATGATCATGGCCTCTGAAGCGGTGATGGCGGGCGCAAGAGAGCGACGATTCTCGACGGAAGCGGGCAGAATGCAGGAGAGTCGCGGGCAGATTGCAATCAATATTCGCTGATGTTCCTGAGACCGACATCTTTTCAATCTGCAACATGACGTTGCACGAGGAAGAAGAAATTCCGAATCGAGTTGGGCGATGTTTGCCCGACTTGCGCAAACCAGCGAGGCGGTGTAGTCTTAATTGACCAAAGGAACAGATACAGAAGAAAAAAGTTTCTTAAGCGATTTTCCTAATGGGAGAAGATCGTCATGTCAAGGATGTCAGTTCAGAATTTTGCAGACGATGCCCAGTAAGCTCAAGGATACCAGCAGCTCCAAGCAGCATACTGAACTCAGTTGTTCCTGGAGGCAGCCGGAAAACCCTCTTTTACAGTCTTAGTGTTCAAGAATTGTCCTCCACTGCATCAGAAACCTCGTTGATTTGTGGACTAAAACGCACGTCAATGTTCTACGCATACTTCAGCATCGGGCATTAACCGATTCTTCTCCATCGCGACCGACATGCTTGAGAGGCTCAGAGAAGAGAAGGATCCATTGGAAGAGACACGCCAGGAAGTCGGAAAACCCAATGACCATAGACGCGGCCCATGGTCTTCGAGTCTTGGACCTGAGAATGCCATGCCGCTCAATTGGCCAACTCAGTGTCTATTCTCGAACACCTCCAACACCACCGCCAATGACACCATAGCAAGCATCCGATCCTTGTCGAGGACAGCTCAGTCGCTGGCCAGCCACCGGGACTTCCGTCAGCCCTGATAGGACGGGTTCATGAGTCCATCCCGCGTTCAAGACTCTTCCCCTGGATCCCCCCGGCACGTCGTCCGGGATTTGCTTTTGGGCCCCGTTCGCCAATGCGCCGCTACTGTACCCAACCTCGTGTTGGAGACCGGACAAGGCCTGATCGGGACCAATAATGGTGGGAAACGGCCATTCCAGAACCCCTGGCAGCCCTAAAGTCCCTGGCTCATGTTTTCTTCCATCGAAGTTTTCTTTGCCCTTGTCTTTGCTGTGCCTCAACGGTCGATGGAGTGATGCGAATTCGCTTTGCTTTCCCCGGTTTGTTGCCTGACCTTCGAAGAGGCCGACAGGCCTCAGCATCTCGTCGATAACGGCCGAGTCTCAGTCACCTCAGAGACAGCCGGCCGTTGTTCTGCCCCTCAGCCCAGTCCAGCCCAATAGATCCCACTCCGAGAGGGCATGCTGGCTCGCTCTGCCACTGCTCGTGCCCATGTTTGTCCTCTCAGAGTTCCTCGCTTCAGCCCGTCGAGCCCGTATTCAAACTTTGCTCTTCTCTCTGGGTGGCTTACGCGGGCCGCCAAGGGTGGCAGCACACGATGGCGTGCAGAGAGAAGAAGAAGAATCACCTGCAGGCCGAGGAATGGGTAATACGGTGAGCTGCCGCGTTCCTGCGCGGTCAGGAGACAAAAATACGTGGGTACTGCGCGGAGTAAGCCTGGGGACTGCATACGCCCTCTTTTAAATAGAATACCGCCATTTTGCATCGTGTTCGTGTACAAGAACCCGTCGCATCCCCGCCGCGAGGGACGTCGCACACACTCACCTGGCGGTCAAGAATCATCAATCCACACCACGTTCGCTCGCGTCCAGCCAGGCCGTTGCTTTATCGAGTTCCATGGCTACTTTACGATCGTTATAAGCACTAAAACCTATTTCGTCACTCGCTATATACCCTCATACTTTATCTAGGATGATGCTCCCACACATTCGGAGGACCGATGCGAAGATTGGCACCGATCCCGTCGCCGCCGACTTTTCCGGGTCCGGGTCCGGGTCCATCACCAACTCCCCCGACACCAACGTGCTGATCATCGTCCTCACCATCGTCGGCATCGTCGTGGTCATTTCGCTCGCTTTTCTCGCACATTATATCCGCGCCCGCAGGAAAAGGAAGCTCAACCAATATGAAGATTACGAGTCCGCATGCCTCCGAAACCCGAATCTCACCTGGGAAGAGTACTCCCGCCGGACGAGGCTCACTCAATCGCGCATACTGCTGGAGGAGGAACTACAACGGGATATTATGATACGCAAGTCGTTACAAAGCCGAGTAGACGTCAGCGTCACACCCGTATCGCCGCCCGCCCGCACCCGCTCGAAGACTTGGCACGGGAGAAGCGGCTCCAGAGGGAGCACCGATACCGATGAGGAGGAGGGCGAGGGACTGTTGATGTCTCTCCGGGGAGACTGGACCGAGCACGAAGCACGAGTCGAGAGGACGTGGCAGATCTTGCACAGGAAGTACCCGACGCGACGGGTGACGCTGCCGGTGGAGGAAGATGGCGGACCGATCCGACCCCCGACGATTCGGCTCAAGACGCCGCCTTTGCTGTCGCACCCAATGTTCCGTGGATGGAATGGCGAGGGCGAGATGAAGCACTCGAGCCTGCCGACGGAGTTGACCAAGATCAAACCGGCTCAGATCTGAGGGCGAATGAGACGATGAGAACTAATGTTCATGTTTTGATAATGTCTATAACGCGTCGATGAATGAGGGCTGGTTTTTCTACAGCCCGTGGCGTTCAGGTAAAGGTATATATGGTTGGCAAGCGTCATGATGGCCGTCAAGGCTGCTTTTGTTCTCAGTCTAGGAGTTCGATGGTAACGAGATACCTGAAATAATACCATATTTTGACAATTGCTATCCATTCTTTTGCAGCAGTTCCCTTCTCACTTGAGCTCGCATCAAAGGAGCCAGCTCATAACACGAAGACGGGTGGTGACCCCATTACTGTCTCATGGATCTCAACTGAACTCAAGTTGAGAAGCTGGATATATCATGTCACCAAGGCAATCGAAACTCTTCAAAGGTCGTCGGCGATTCCGAGAAGTTGAGAAGTTGCATCGAGCCGGAGCGCAATCAAGATTTCAAGCTTCGCGTATCTGAGCTCGAGACTCTCGTGTCTCAGAAGTCATGGTGAAGCACGCGTGCGACGAACAGCTTGCAGAAACCTCGAGGGATATTTGTAGGTTCCGAAGTAGACGTGGTTTCTTCAGATCATTCAAGGCAGAGTCCTTCGAAGACGATCAGCAGGCGTGTTCGCACCACACAGCCAGTCATCAAAGCGATCATGTCTTGCAGGGGTCTGACCAAACCAACAAGATATTCGCCTTTCCCACTCTCAGCTATTCGTAGGCACATTGCCAGGCAACAGGCAACAGGTAACCATGTAGGTAGACCCCGCTCAGCCAAGCCGTTGATCATAAATTCAAATTCATCGAGTTTCCTCCGAAGGCAACTTTTGTCTGCCCATTCGCATCTCCAGTGCCGTCTTCTACAGTCCACGTAAATACGTCGTCACGATGGATCGACTTCCACAGGAGACGGTTGACAAGATTATGGCGCACTTGGACTTCGAGCCCAAAGGCAACTGGGTCGTAAAAAGGAACTGGCTCAGAAAAAAGATCAAAGAAAACATCTTCTACTGGGCAAACGTTGCGACCGTTTCCGGAAGGTTCCAGGCCGCCGTCGAGCGCCAGACCTTCCGATCGATCAATTTCAAAAGCTCCGACGACTTTAGCACTTTCAACAAACTCTTCTCCACAGCTCGCCGTCGCCGTGCCCTCCGAGACCTCACATACCACGTCATGCTGCCGAGTTACACCCTTCAGCTGATGGAAAACGTACAGCACGAGACAGACGAAGACAGAGAAAGCAACAACCGCGCCGCTACTGCGGCAATCAGTTGTCTGTTGTACCAATTGGCGGACTGGCCGTCAGATGAACGAGTCAACCTCCATCTGGTGATTGAGTCGGTCTCAGATCCAATCCTAAGAAGAATAGAACACTTCGAATTTCGGAGAGCAAGTGGCCTCTAGGAAGATAGCCCACACGACCGATGGTGCTTCTCGTATCTCACGCTGTCGAAAGACATGGGTGACGAGCCATCGGTTCCTTGCATCCGGCGGCTAGACTGTTAGGCCCAACTCCCTCTCTGCCGCCAATTTGACCCCGGCAGTTGGCAAGCGCTGGCCAACAAGTTTCCGAATAGCGACACAGTACGTCTGGCTTTCGCGGAACCGTCTGTATTTCACAGCTTTCGGATGACCATGCGAGACAACCTCACGAAACATCTCGCGTCCCTAAGCTTCGCGCCGTCAACCCGCGCAGTTGAGATCCGTATTGAGCCACCTCTTTACGTCTACGGAGAACTCCTTCCCAGAGTTGAAGATTCACTTGGCTCTGTTTTACATCACCTCATCGGCGACTTAACTACTGCTCGTGTGAGAGGCCAGCTGGATTCGACTTTCTTTTGGCCGTATCCATTTGATTCGAGCCCAGAGCCATTCTGGCAGTCCATGCAAAAGCTGGAGGTCGGGCTTGAGATTACCAGTCCGGCTGGTAAATGGCTTTTCACATCCCGTTTTGACCACCTGCAGTGACTTCAGCGGGAGATTCATCGTAACCAACCTCCCCATGTCTTAGAGCGGATGAGACTTCTTCCCGTCGGATACGGCGGCGCCGAGAACCATAAGAGGGCATACGACTTTTACAGAAAAGTCCGCGACAATCAGTGGGGAATCGACGCCGAACTCGACGCTCTTCTGATGAACGAGAAGGTTGACGGCCGCATCTGCCACCCCGATCTTCAAGACTTCAGGCTAGAGGTCAACGAGAAGCTCATGGAGCCTGTTCTACTCTCCATGCTGAAGGCTTTAGCCCAAATGCGGTCATTCCGCCGGTTGACGCTCTACGCCTACCTCACGAAGTGGCCATCATCTCAAGAGAACTGGACCGTCGAGTATGACGCACCTCACAAGCCCAGCAGTTACGATCCGGGAATGTCATGCTCTGAAGAAACCCACGGAGTAGTTAACCACGCTCGCTTTGTATTCAAGACACAAAAGTGGCGCCCATCGAAGGTCTACTGGAAAATTTTCGTGCGTTTTGAAGGGAGAAGACTGGCTGTGATGCGATTTTGTTTGGATTGGAACCGAATGACGTGGTAGTATCACCGTCGGGGGAAGATTGAAGGACAGTGACGGGGTGAGATTCGCAAAGTGTTTCCCATGTTAACTAACCCTGAACGCTCATCGAGAGGTATCTGCAGCAAAACCAGCCTCATTGCTTAACATTCAATAAGTACACAAAGGTGTTATTGAACAAAAAGCTCATTCTTGTTTGCTCGGTGTCAAGAAACCATGTTTTCTCGCTGGAAAGGCAGAGCCTCACTGACCTTTTGGACGAGCCACTAATGCTTATGAGCTAATTACGCTTTATGAGGCCTCGGAAAGGCTTGACAAACTCTTCACAAGAACATTTGAATGAGTCATCAGCCCGGAAAGCGCATGATTCAGTTTTAGCTGTAGTCCATCGCGAGCGAAGTCGGCGAGTTCAGCCGAAATAAGCCCACTACCAGTCTGGAACTTCGTACCGCTAAACAATAAAGTTGGTGGACGAAAGTGATCCTTCGTATTCTGGCAGGGTGAGTATCAAAACTGATGGTGTAGCAGTGAACTCACTCATTGTGCTAGCTAAACGTCATGTTGGATTATCGAAGGTGTGAGACCAAGGGCTGGGCTGCTCGATCCGATTGAGTGGTTAGACTATGTCATCGCTGACACGGAAGTCACTGTCATCCTTCATGAGACCCTCCATGATTAGAAGACCCTGCAAAAAAACGTCCGACAATGATTGTGGCCTCACGCCCAGGACACCCAGGGTTCATTCAACTGGGATGTGCTTCATCAACATTGTAGATTAACCAGGGTCACCGACGCTTTTCAGGACCGTTTGTCCGAGAGTTTTCTTCCAATTGGTCTTGCGATTGGCAGCATCTTGGCTAAAATGAGGGGTTTCTCGCACCCTAGTGGAATTGCCCTCGGTGATGCATCTGTGGTGAACTCGTAGATCTCTTGCCAATGGCAACAACACTCGTTACTGGGACCTGGGCTGTTGATTCGTTCTGCGATGACATGCTCAGCCCAGCCCCATGGGGCCCCCACGGGGAGCAACCCTCAAAAGGAACCGCAGAATGTGGGGGAAGCTCTTCCCCGGGCTGCCACACGTGTTGATGGATGACACAATGGCCGGATTCAGACATGTTCTTCAGTGCGGGGAGCTGCCCGACCCTTCGGCTGAGATGATTTACCATTGGTGTAACTACCTTCAGAGTTCTTGCGTCCGATTGGGTAAGTCAATAACCCGCGAAGTATTCTCTACTGACTTGTGTTGCAGCATACGAGAGGGTAAGTGCAGCCTCGGTATCCGCGTAGCACGTGAATCACATGAGGTATCAACGTCACTGGAAGTCTCCCAACGGCATGCATAGTAGTGCGAAATGCTCAAACAATATTCCCTAGTAAGTCATACTCGCTACAATCAAGCTATGATACAGAAGTAACCCCAAGTGAATGAAAGTACGTTCCCTTTCCCCAATCAACAAGTTGATTTTTGTGACAGTGAACAATCTCATTTGTCACCGAAATGCTCCGCGGGCCATCTCCTCCTCCAAGCTGGACCGTAGTGGTAAACGATAGGAAGTGAAATGGCAAACGCACCGATGAGCCCAGTGTAGATCATCATGGCGCCGAGGTAGCCCAATTCAACAACCCAGTCAGAAATCTTGAATGAGAGAATGAAAGCCAACAGGGCTCTGAATGAGGCAATGTTCACCAGAGCCGGGCCCGCAAGATGAGGGTAACACTCCAACACGTAGACCGCGCCAATGGAGTTGGCTCCCAAAAAGCCGAACGCCATCAGACCGAGACCAGCGAGGAAAGTGTAGTATGAATAGTTCGCTGGATTGGAACCAGCCAGGCCGAAGATGATTGATCCAATGAGACCTGCCAGAGTCGGGATGATCAGGTTGACGAGCTGGTTCTCGGGCACACGAACACCGCGCTTCTTGGCAATGCGGTTGGCCATCCAGTCGGCAGCACTTCCAGTGACGAAGACAACAGCAATGGCCGCCAAAAGAACCGGCAGAAGGCAAAGGCCAAGATTCATGAAGTCCCAACTGAAGTCACGTTAGCTTAGACTCTCTAGCGAGGTGGTAAATGGGTGACTTACGACCAAGGGGCGGTCAGCAGTGCGGGTGCAATGGTGTAACCGGCAGCGAACGCGCATGCAATCATCACACTGTTGAGCATAGTGATGAAGAAGATTTGCGGGTAGAAAAAGGTGCGAAGGGTGTCAACAAAGGCATTCCAGCCCTTGCGCCACTCCATCTTGCCGTGGATGAGGGCAATGTTGTAGCGGAAGGTTCTCGGGGCTTTCTCATAATCCATCTCATTGCGAGGAACACCATCTACGCGGATCGGGTCAATATCTCTACAATGTTTTGAAGTTCTGGGTAGAAAAGACTTACTCATCTCTGCGCGAGATCGTTCCCACCGAGTTTCCGGCATGAAAAGATACACGCCCACGAGGAAGATGGACGCCCCAATGGCCGTGATGAAGTACATCCAGCGCCAACTCAGGTCGATGATGATGTATGGCGCTGCAATACCCAAGATAATGATGATGAGACCTTGGGCAGCGAAGATTGCTGAAATCCACAAGTTGCGCTGGTGCACATAGACGATGTCTTGGATGATGAACGGGATCAAGCTCTCAACAGTTCCAGCACCGACGGCTTGGACGCAGCGAGCGAGCAAGTGGGACGGCAGAGATCGACTGTTTCCGGCCCACACGGCTCCGAGGACAGCCAGAACGCCGGTGGCCAGAACAACTGGGCGACGGCCGACGGAGATAGCCATGGGAACCAGAACGAGGTTGGACAATCCGATGATCAAAACCGGAAGGGAAGCGAGCAGGTAGACGTGCAAGATTGGCGGCGCTCCTGGGAAGCTTGACAGGATAACCAAAGGATCCGTTCCGGCCGGGAGACCACCGCTCTTCGTCAAGTCTTTGAGGATTTTGGGGTCAAGACCGGTGTACTCGAGGGCGAAGACGGGCAACATAGCTCCCAAGATCAACTCAGCGGCTGCGGCCAGCGCGCCGAAGAAGCAAAGACAGAAGCATCCTAGGAGTTTCCGTGATAGAGGCAGGTTGAGGGGATCTCGTGGGTCCTTAGTCGGGGCGGGCTGAAGAACGAGGTGGCCATCTCGGTAGAGAGCGCCTTCTTTTGCTTGAGCTTGCGCTTGCATTTCGTATGATTCGTAGGACGGAGGGCAAGTTTCGATACGACTCAGCTTGTTGATCTCGACAGTTGAGCTGTTGCGGCTGCTGAAATCAAACTGGCTCTGTTCCTTTTGAGATGCATTGCGAGCCCAGGAGGGTTCAAAAAGGCTCGACCCAGTTGAGATAGTCGACAGCCTCGGGTCATGAGCCGGGACGGGCTTTGCTATGCCCGGAGAATCCATGGTGGTCGACGTAATTCCGAGTCGATTGAAACAGTGTTGGGCTAACTAACGATCACAGGAGTTCCCAGCAACAGAACGAGCAGGCACATGGATCTCAAAGTTCAATATTGAGGACAAACTTCGAGCAATAAGTACTAAAAGGGGTAACAACCATCATGAGGAGCACTGACGCGTGAGCCAACAGGAAACCTACCTCGACACACACACACACAGACGATGACGCTTTGGGCCTACGGCGGCCGAAACACGGATATGCATGCACACAGTCAATATTCCGCTGCCCCGCAGATCATTCTTCGCCGCTTCCGAACGTCGAGTCGTGATTTGAATTACTCTTAATCGATAGATGTTTCGGTGATGCTGCTGTACCTGTGTTGTTGCATATGCGAAGAACATGTTCCACGAATGACGACAACGGACGACGAGATATTTGCGCCGGAATGGCTTGATGCCAGGCGCTCGATGATTCTGTGCCCGACAAAGGGATGAACTGGAGTTTTAAAGAAGAGAATCAGATTACAATGCCGTGGGTGACGACCCAATCGTTTAGTTTGCCCATGATCACTGGTCCAGTATGTCAGGAAGGAAAAGGTGTGACGACCGCAAAAGAGAGAAAGTCTACAGAGGAAAGATTGCCATCGCGAACATGGAAAAGAGAATGAAAAAACTTTTCAAAGGTCGACAAGAATAAATCTAAAAGACAAACTCATGCCATGCAACACCTCAAGAAATAACATTCGTCCACGATGTAAGTGTCAATACCCAGCTCTCAACACAATGAGATTACACGAGCCAATCAATATACCAGCCCCCTAAGCTGCGTTTTCAGCCCACATGGTTATGAATGCCCTTAACCACCAAGGTCGTGAGCCCTGTTTACTTGGTTCCATGCGGACCGTTTTGGTACTTGTTGCGCCGCTAACGTGCAGAGATCTATCAATCTCGATCCAAGTTTAATGAAAATGAGATAATGACAGCTTAAGTATGATGAGCTGGGGACCTCTAGTGGCATAGCACTCAATACGATTGTTGACCTTACTGACAAACAAATGCAATACGCCGCGCAATACAATGCAGCCACCCTTATAATCTGGTCATAGATATCTCGCCATACCCAACGAGTACACATTTGTTGACCTTACTGAATTGAGGCGCGCTACTGGCCGAGCACTTGCGCAGTACGTGCCCTTGTCTTGACATCTGCTGCACCAGAAGCTCTGTTTACCAAGTAGATGGAAAAAAATAATAGTACTATAAAGGAAATGCATACCTACCTACCAAAGATGAGCTTTCATAAAATTGGGCACGGTGTCCACGGTCACATGCATCACCACTTGCAGCTTGCCCCGCATTCCCAAACCTTCCCTCCTCACCAACATGCGTGCTTGTTGTGTGAGCACCAAGAATGAGGCGTAATTATCAAATAACAGTTGGGATTATTATTTTGTTGTATCCCTCCCAAATCTATATATTGGGCACACAGGCTGAACGAATTGCGCTCCCAGTAGCTTTTGAGTAAGGCTACTGCTACTACCGGTACATTTTTTGGGTCCATTCTGTCGCTTCATCTTGCTGGAAGGTATGCGTATATGAGTGAGTTCTCGGTGTCAAATGCTGACTGCTCCATAGCGAGACGTATCAACATGGACAGCCTTCCTCAAGAGGTCTACGACAATATTGCCACCTGGCTTCCCTTGCCATGCATAAATCGCTCATCGACGTGCGTTTCGAAGACCCTTCTGACTTCCATTCGACCTTCTATTGCAACAGTCTCAAAGAAGTTCCAGCTCGCCGTTGAACGGCTGACGTTCCGGCATATATCAACGTCAAGCAACGAGACAGCAATTTTCAAGGATCTGTTCGAGTCGCAAAAACGCCGTCGAAACTTTCTTTCAGACCTTCGTTTCGTTGTTTTACTGCCCATCGAGAGGAGACTATTGCTGGAAGAGTACGAGACAGAGCCAGAAAGGCAGAAAAACAATCGTTCTGCATCCAAGAAACTGAAAGTGTTTCTTGATTGCCTATCCCAATGGGGCGTCGACCACCGTATCCACCTTCATATCACATTTGCCTCATATGAGGACACGGAAGGAGACCGATTGGGAAATCCCGACGTGATAAGCCAGAGATACTTATACTCATACATTACGTTGGAAGGCTTGGAACATATGCCACGAGCTTTGTGTGTCCAAGGAATTCAAATCAACACCAGCCATTTTGACCGACGCCTCATTTCGACGAGCGCGCTTGCTTTAGCCGCCAAATTCCCTCGAGCAGACAGAATGACCACTGTATGGCACGAGCCTTACGGCTTCAAGTGGTTCCGGCAAACCATGCGGTACGATTTGATCAGATCGCTGAAAGCATTTTGCCCGCCTACCACCTTACGCACTTTGGTGTTGCAGATCGGCAGTCCTTCCGTTGACATCGCCGAGGATCCGCCTCTTCCCGCTACTGAGGATGGCGGAACCACGGATGCACTTGGGTCCGCTTTCCACCACGCTGTTGCTTGCATTGGCAACCTTGAACACTTGGTGTTCCACGGGGAGGTGGATGATTCCTTCTTTTGGCCGTACTCAACGGATAAGCCAGAGCCTTTCTGGCAATCCCTGAAAACCTTGACAATCACAATGGACCTCACCTTACCATCGGGGGATCTCTACTTCAGAGATGAGTTCTACGACCGATGTGTGAGGGCGTCCAAGAACCCCTGGGTCACCTCCAAGTGGCCTGAGGAAACGGGGTCTCTTCCACCAGGTTACGGTGACAAACCTGCATCCAAACAGAGTGTGGAACGGTTGAGTGAGATGGAAGGAAGGCAGAGAGAAATTCAGGTCTACGCCATTCCCGATGGTTATAACGATCAGCTGGACTCGGACGATGAGGACGCCGTCGCCCCGAAAGTCCACAAGCTGTCAATGGTGAACAGACCAGCCATGACTACGCTTCTGGAAGCGATTATCAAGTCTGTGGCACAGATGAAATCACTTGAGCATCTGCGGCTTGGTGGAGTGAGACGAGATTTCTGGGCCATGGAATTCAACGCACCAGGGATTCGCAGTGATCTGGACCGATTTGTCGACACTCAGGAGCACGACAACCCACTGGCGTACGCGCGGGTGTACATGCGTCGTGTGATCTGGACACCTGATGACACGACCCTGGACAAGTTCCGCGAGATGGCGGTGCAAAAATACGGCCGCGAAGCAATCATCACATTCATTGATCAGAAACACTTGTTTCCTTAAGATGTACAGAACATGAACCCTCATTGGGACAGAATGCAGGGGACGGAAAGTACTGGCTGGAGAACCATGGGCGGCTAGCTGTAAAGTTGAAGAGGATCAACAGTCATTTGTTTGAACCCTCTAGTGCGGTTCTCCAATAAGTATCGATACTATTTCTGGTGTCTATGTACGTTTGGGTATCGTCTTCTTTCGCTAGGTAATATTGGCTGCTTACCGCACTTTTGTTGACCGTAACTTGCCTCACCGAGGCTTCGTGGGAGCAGCTGAGGTGCATATGCGGACCGGTCGTACGATGCGCCTAACATGTCATTGGTCTCCCTTTTCTGTAGGACTGACCAACAGACTCGCGTCACTTACAGATATTGGTCCAAGGATCGGCACCACAAAATATCACGCGTCATGAGCGTGAGGACTAGCCACAAATGAGATGACTCAAATGGTTGGAATATAAGGTCGCGGAGAATTTCTATTACAACCGTGGGCTACTTACAGACAGGGCATCCTATTGTATACTCAAGTATGCGAACTTCAATCACTTTCCTTGCGCCAAAAACGGAATGAGGACGTGATGAGTTGAAACTTTAGACCCTCTAGCAATAGTATCCTGCTCACATCTTGAATAGTGTGTTCGTGCAAACAACTGCCTCAACTCTGGGGCTTTCGACAATTGTTGTAAGAGCAAGGGGGCTCCTGGCGCTTTCTGCTGGAAATGAGACCTATCAATTATCACCACGGAAGACCAACGTCACATCTGAGATGGGAGGGAATTGCGCAATCATGCTTCAGTTGGAAAGGAAAACTATGTATACGTAATGATGAAGTGACCGTTTTTTACTTTGCTTCAACTTTCTTTTGGATTACTTATATGTACATCTACATCATCCACCTCATTAAAGCATTATCACATCTGTCACCCACAATCTCTACAGCATCAGTGCAAACAGACCCATCGCCAGCGCTCCCATGCTGACGGAAACCATGCTAGCATCGCTCTCGCCGGTCTGGGTAGCACCCGGGGCAGCAGTGCCAGACGCGGTTCCCGAAGGAGAGGTAGCAGTGCCGTTGCTCTGAACGATGCGACCCTCGATCTTGGCGTCAATGGGGCTCTTGGCCTCGACGTACTGGACAAGGACTTCGTCCTGGGTATCAAGAGAAACAAAGTCGGTCGTCGCAACGAAGATGTTGTCACCGCCGCCGGCAAGGAAGTCGAGCGTGACAACGCGGTAGTCCTTCTCGTCATCCAGGGCCTCGCCGGCAACCTCGACCGACACGAGCTTAGAGCCGTTGTTGCCCGAGGGGTTGTACTCGATCACGATGTTCTTGGACACCTGGAAGAAAGAGGTGATGGGCTCGTTGTTGAACTGGTTGACCTTGGAGACGGCGCCCTCGAGGACCTTGCGGACGTCGGAGCCCTTGTAGGTGATCTCGACGATGGAGTTGCCGAAGGGGAAGGAGGTCAGGACCTCGCCGCGGGTGATGTCTCCCTGGTCAATGGTAGCGCGGATACCGCCGGCGTTGATGAGGGCAAAGTCGGGCTTGGCGGAGTCGGAGTTGTTGAAGCGGTACTCGTACATGGCATCAGTCATGACGTTGCCGAGGAGGCACTCCTGCTTCTGGCAAGCGGTCTGGTCGAGCTCGACGTTGGAGACACCGACGACCTCGGCGGCGAAGGCCTCGAAGGGCCCACGCCACGACTCGATCTGGGCTTGGAGCTCGGGGTCCTGCTCAGTGGTGTTGGTAAGGTGGATCGGTCCGCCGTGGTAGGCCAGGACCTTGCCCTCGTTGTCGTAAGTGACGTCGATGTAGCCGACGTACTCGCCCCAGCGGTAGGCGGTGACGATAAAGACGTCGTCGCCGTCCTTGTTCTTCTTGATGGTCGGGTAGGGGCCCTCGGCGTCCTCCATGGAGCCGAGAAGGGTGTGGGAGTGGCCACCCATGATGAGGTAAAGGCCGGTTGTTTGTTCGGCAAGCTTCTGGTCCTCCTCGTAACCAATGTGGGTGAGAGCGGCGATGCGGGTGATGTTGGTGGTGGACTTGATGTGGTCAATCGTGGACTGCACCGAGCTGACGACGTCCAGGAACTTTGTGCCTGCGCCGGGAGAAGAGATACCGGGGGTGGTGGGTGTGGTGACACCAATGACAGCAAGCTGCTGCTTGTCGAAGATGTGGTAGGGCTTGATGGTCTTGTTGAGCTTCTCGTTGTCCGACACAATGTTTGCCGAGACGATGGGGAAGGTGAGGTTCTGCAGGAAGTCGCCGAGCTCATCGTCACCGCCGTCGAACTCGTGGTTACCAAGGGTCATGGCATCGAAACCGAGCTGATTGATGGTCTCGGCGATCTTCTCGCCCTTGTAGAAGGAGTAGAAGAGGGTTCCCTGGAACTCGTCACCGGCATTGAGCCAGAGGGAGTCGTTGTACTGGGGGCGCAACTCATCGACCGTGTGCTTGATGCGCGCATAGCCGCCGTAGCATCCGCGCTCAGGGCGAGTGCAGTCGGTGCCGGAGGAGGAGTACTCGTCGAGGTGGGCGTGGACATCGTTGACGTGGAAGAAGGAGATGTTGTAGTTGCCTTCGGCATCGATGCCGCGCTTGGAGAGACGAGAGGAGTAGAGGTGGTCGCCGTCTTGCTTCTCCGGGGTCGCGAGAGCGGCGCCGGCGAGGGCCAGCAATGTCGGGATGGATTGGCGCATGTTGGGTTGTCGGGATTCTCAGCAGCACGGCGGAAGAGGACTGGAAAGAACGATTGAAGATGCAATTGAGCTCTTTGGATGCGGAAGGCAATAAAGACTCCGCGATGCAGCAATTGACGATGCGCCACACAAAGGACGAGGGGAGAAGGGGAGAACTTCGGCACGCTGACGTCGAAGAAGAAGCTCTCGTCAGCTCGAGGGTGAGCTTCACCGGGTCATTATATATGAATTTCTTTTTCTGCGACCCAGGCCATCAAAAAACCTGCCGATCTCTGCACCTTGTCACGGGCGGATTGCGACGGTGGCACGGGCAACCAGCAGAAAGTGCACCACTGCTCCCGGGTCCTGCATGCGAATCGACCTTCTCGAGAAACCTGAGTGGCCGGACGTGCTCGCTGGAAGCTTCTTGGGCTAGTAAGCCAAGACTTTAGCAACGGTCAGTGAAGCCGGGAATGCAGCTTCTTTGGTGATGATGTTGCATTTGCCAAGAGCCTCACGCAGATGAGGGGTGCGATACACGTGTGGGAGTGGTTCAGATGATTGGCTTATCAGCGGCTCCTTTGCCCTTTTTGACGTTGGAGGAGGGACGGGGAAGGGTTGACTGGGGTTCACGGCCGGAGATGGGAATTGTTGGTGCGAACTTTTGGTGTGGCGAGTCGTGGCCAATCTGCGGTCTGCTAATCGTCACGGTCTTTCATCAGCTCGTTCGAGGTTCCTGAAGGGTGACCGAAGGATGTCTTGCCGAGACGATGAATGTCTTGGGACGCAGTGGTCGTTGTCTGTGGCTTTCCGTCCACTCCCAAGCCAAATGAAAACCGTTCAACGATATCAATAAGTCGTAGAACGTTGAGAATACCCTGATGGAAACAACGAACATGCGGAGCAGCTTCAATGCCCACATACCGTTTCTTAAGTTGCACATGTTAGCGCCGTGCCAGTGCTTCGGTAATACGACGCCGCCAGGGTTGTGATCCAACATCTCCAATGTATTGTATTGTAGGTACATCTCGACTGTCCTTCTCTTTTGATGCAAGCTCGAAAGCCCTGGGTCTTACTCTGAAGCCTCAAGCCGCTCACATGATAGGTACTGCTGTGAAAGGAAGAAGAGCTCCCAGAACCAACCCCGGCTCGCGGCCGTCCGCCCGGTAAGCATCCTTGATGGCCGGTGGGGTAGAGCGGAGGAAAACAAATAACGTTAATCCATTCGGCGTTCCTCCCCATCTGTGCCTCCAAACTCTGCTCTGATAACGATGGGGTTCTAGGCCGAAGACGGAAGGTGAGTTGCCGACAGCGCTGAGCTCCGCTCGGCCAAGGGAGACGGCCCAGCTGCGGTTCCGGCCTGGAGCGTCGGCCAGGTAATTACGGATACTGCTGTTCGCAAGGCACGTGTCGCGTCCAAGCCGCTGCGACTGTAGATAAGAGAGAGTTCTGAAGCGTGGCTATCGGTGATGAGCTACCTTTCTTGGGCAAGAGAGCACGCGAGCGTATCTTGATGCTGGAAGCCTTGGTTCAACGAGATACTGGACATGTTCATACTGGTCTTACTGGTCTTACGGATCCTATCGGACGTCGCCGAGTAGCGGCCTTGCACGTCGATGTTCTGTGCCGCCGGACGCTTCAGGGCGGCACAGCATGATCTTGCTCAGGTGCCTTCGATCGGCGAGACTGCTTGTACAGCGTCAACTCGAATTTCAGAGTACAGATACCGGGCTGATCAATGTGCTGGTGTACTTCAGCCTTCATCGAGCGGTCGAGCCAACTGTAGTGACATTATTGTTGTGTGTTTGATTCTTGGGGTCTGGTGTGAGCGCCGAAGTCAATGAGAAACTGCACTTTAGCGAGTTTCTCACCGAGATAAGCTGTAAGAGCAGAGCGACCGGCACTGGCCACTCGAGTTATTTGGGACGGGACATTCATGAATCTACAGTGAGACTGGGATCAAAAATGATGTGCCCATGGAACTTTGCACTTTTCATTCGTTTCATGGTCAGAATTCATGTGCATTCGATGACGGTAATGAGGGAGGGGAAAGCGACCTGCTATCTTTTTTATCCGGTTGTCAAGGACTCGTCTACCCCGAAAGCAGAAAGAGATCCGGATCAATATTTTCCGACACAACTCATGGTGACTACAATTCACTTAAGAGAATTCGCAAATGAAGAAAAAGAATGAGCTTTATCAGGTCATGCTGACAAAATCGATTGTCCTTCTTCAGCATTGGCCTGCTGTTCATGTGTGATTCATCATGACGGCAGGTTTCCATGAAACCCCGCCCCTCAGATGCCATGATGTGACACTAATAACGCTTTTCACGCAAAATAAATCTCATGAGCTTCCTACTCTCAATTTCTATTTGAAGCGATGAGTATCTGAAGGGTTCTAGTCCGTTTTGAATATTGAATTCACCGTTGCCACCAATAAATGAGTGCAATGTCTAGTACTTGTAGTCTTCCTCATGTGCCAATTATCAAAAATCCAGCGCCGGGTTAGCGCCGGGTTAGCGCCGGGCCTCCGTCGAAGGCCCCACCCATCAGGAACTTAGGTTATGTCTCCTCACGAGGCCACATCCCTTTTGCTCGAATGCGCCTGTTCCGGCGACTGCTACGCGCCCGTACGCATGGCTTGGGTGCACGGTGAATTAGTGTTTATCTCTGCTCAGCTGTGGCTTCGCTCATGGTCATGAGAAGTGAGTGAAATCGGCAGTGAGAAGAGCCTTCCAACATTCAAGTTGACGCCTCTCATATTGAACCGTATGAATCTTGCATCGTCTCCAATACATATACTGTAATAGTAAATACTGATGCATTCCTTGGTTCATTCAAAGCTACTTTCATAATAGGCAAAATAGTATGAGTTTTCATTGGCTTAAGTGAGTAAAATGGAGCGGCGCGACCTTGAAGAGACCGCAACGCTATGATCTAAAGTGCATGTATTGGGTTTGAATCATGAAAGCAAAGTCTTCTAGAAATACGTCAATATGAGAGACTTGACATTGATTTCACGGCCCGTCGGCTTGAGATTCACTCATTCCGCCACCTCAGAATTCACACAGCGAGTCGATATGAACGCTCATCTCACAGATGTTAGAGCCCCAGAGCTCAGAAGTAAGGTTAAATGGTAGAAGGCTATGTAAGAAATGAGAATCATCTTTCCATTAACGCTATATCAAAACATAACATCTTGTTTGTGAATGATGTTTGGTATCTTATTATCGTAGTCTATTCACGCTACAAGAATACGAAGCATTAGGGTGTGGTTTGCTTGGCCAGAAGAGTTCGATCAAGGTCATCTCCGGATTCTCTGCGACAGGAACGCCAACCATCTGGTTTTTATTATTTCAAATGCCCCAGCCAGTTCCGATCGGGAATTCCTTCGTGTCATACTGTAAGACGTGTTTGACTGTGAATGTTGTCAGCCTTGCTTGTGAAGGATTCAGAGTCATCCAGTGGGAACTCACCTTGGGCCCAGCTCAACGGCTCAACCTTGGACATGGCGATCTCCCGCCACAGACGCAAACACCAAGTTGCAACAAGCGCATCTCTCTTATCACGAGCCATAGGGATGACGATTTGCAGCTTGTAAATGCCATTTTCTGCCGTCTCATGTGCAACAACCGTGTCGCCATCGGTCTTATCTCGCCATTCGTGCCGCCCCTCTCCACGTTTCTTGGCTTCAAAGACCTTCTCTCCAGCCTCCAACTCGGCGTTGACTTTCGCTTTCGTGACGCGAACGGCGCGTACACCTTTTGAGGTTACATGGTTGTAGCTTTGCAGTCCAAGGTTGGCCAGACCGCTTCGCGAGACACACTCGAGATGGTAGGGCATTGACGAGTACATGATGTTCGGGTCGCGACGGAGATCAAAGATGTGCTTCTTACGAGACGTGATACGGGGGCCTGGGTTGGAGGCATCTTCCTGGGGTCGCTCGCTGACCTTATGTTCGTATCGGTAAAAAGAGACTTTGGTGTATGATTCGCGAAGATGACCGACGGCGTAGGTCAGTTCGTAAAGGGGCGGTGTGGCTGCGGCGCCGGCGTTAAAGATTGTTGTACCGGCCAAGAGGAGTGTTCCGGCAGGGACCAGGTCCTCCTTTGAGCTGGGGGAGCCTTCTCGATACGATGGAGGAAGATCCCCGGTTGGCGGCAGCAATGAGTCCGGTCGATAGGTCGGAGGGGCCGACTCCTCGAGCTTGTCGATTTTCGTCGTCATCGTTAAAATAAGTCAGAGAATAGTTGACGTTTTTGCTTTGGTGCGGATGGTAATGGCGGTTCGGAATGTGATAAAGGGAACGCGAGGAAGTAGGTGAGTTCGCCTATGTCTATTTGATGTCTTCAAATGAGAATGAGGACGATGATGTAGCGAGGAAGACGTTCATTTAAGGCCGACTGGATGCCGCGGAGGGTAATTAAAGGCGGGTAAAAATGGACATTGGAAAGCGAGACCACCTTATGGCGGATTGCTGTCTCGTAAGCAGATGCACCTTCTTTCAACCGTCATTTGCGTACCTGCTTCGCCGCGAGTGAAGTTGGGAAAGATCTGCCCAGTGACGCCATTTGTCTTTGGATAAGCCGACGGGTACCACATTGTGGATGTTCTTGAGGCAAGAGGATTGGATTGTTAACGACTGCCTAAATCCCACGTTCAAACGTGTTGGGCGCAGCCTGCTTGAGGATCTGCACGAAGGCGGCCGCCGGTATTCGTAGGGCTTTTGGATCTTGAAAAGCTCCGAATACTGCACCTATTCGTCGAAGTACGTGGCATTTACTGGGGCATCAACGGCACTAGTGTAGTTCCCGTCACATCGGCCTTGCTCCGATGTGGCTACATTCCGACAGCTAAGCAGCTAAGCACACAGCCCCATGATACTTGCAGGGGCCTTTCAACGGCCTCAAAAGCAATGAATCAGCAATGAATGACCGGAGGTGGAAGTGACAGGGCTGAACGACGAGAGATCAAGGGTTGCTCAAGACACTTACCAACTGAGACAGAGGGCTGATAGCGTAAGATGTATCACTTACACTAAGCTTTATGTTCAAAATACATTCCGATCGACAAAAGTAGACAACCGAAGCTAATGGGTCAAGTGCCTCGCTTTGCCTCAAAACTGAATGATTAGATTTGCATCATTTCTAGTTCTTTCAAGCCAGAAACATGAGACCGTCAGACTAAGTAGCTTTTGAAACTTAATCTTTATACCAAACAAGGCGTGAGGGTCATGGTTTCACTACTAATATTGTGTTGGTCTCGTCTGGAGTTGAATATTGCTACGATTTATGCCATGGAGTATCTGTCCAAAACTTCACATCAAATCATTTTCCTGCTGAAGTTGACTGCTGGACATCCACAGTTCATGAAATCCAGCCCACAGGTAGAGGAGAGGGGTCTACAACTATTGCTGCAAGGAAGTTAGTGAGATCTACGTGATATCTTCAATAGCCGAGCTTTTAAATGGGACCAAAGTTCGCCATGGCCGAAAAATGCGACTTTGCGGGTCCAGGCAACAGTCAAAATAACACGGACGAAATACTCAAAGCCTGCTACGGATGACCACTGTTGTAACTGAGCAGAGACGTCTGATGTGTGTTGTTGATGCAGTTGCCTTCCTCTCTATGGACGACGCCCAGGCGTCATCGCTGTCCATAATTGTTGCTGGTTGATGAGCTGAAGAACTGCAGCTAAAAGGGAGGAAAGAAAGGGGAGAAAAAAGACGTGTTGAACCTTACATAATTCTGTGTTTCTGATTCTACGAATATTGCGACATCAGGTAGGTCAACGTAGACATCCTTCACCTCATGCAAGGACGGACCGGTGATTAAACGATTCAACCACCACAACCATAACCAGCAACAATGTTGCAATCCAATGCCCGCTGCGCAATAAAATGTAGCAACTCTTAATTCTATGATCCATCTGATGTCTCGTGTCTTGCTATATTTAAAGATTGTATGTTTAGCTATGAAGGGAACCTTACATAGAAGTACCGAGCGCACTCAAATTACCCGAGTCTGTTTCCACGCAACAACAAAGTTTATTATTCTCCGGACTCTCCTCTATTTCTCTGCCAGGATCGGTTTCTCTGCAGGTTATACAGGCGTTCACAGGAGAACACACATCGTGGGGACTGATATCCCACTCTCTCAAATCCGCAGCGATGGTCATCATGGCTTTCACATTTATTGGCGCTTCTCTAGTGAGCAGCATAGGCATGCTTCTATTTCTCTCCATATGTTACATGACCGGATGTTGGCCCTTTGGCAGACGCCCTACCATGAGCGTCCCAACGGTTTCTCCCCGCCCCGACGCACCTTTTGACTTCCAATCACTCATGCTTCAAGGCTATTTTGAGCACCCAAACAAGCCATTCAAAATCGTCGGGCCAACGTCGGATCTCATATTGCTACCCAAACAATACGCCTCGGAATTGGGGACGTACAGCTCCCAACAACTCAGCTTCGGGTCAGCCATACATGATTTCTGGATGTCAAAATACACCACCTGGAGGTATCATTTGGACGATGAGACTGGACGTCAAACGCTCATGGGAAGTCTTAGACGAGACGGCCCACATATTGTTTCCGCCGTCGATGAGGAGATCGAACGGGGTTTTCAGGAATGGGAAGACCGATACTTCCAGCCAACAAAGGAAAAGATCTTTGTCAACAGCGACGCATCCCATGACGGCTGGACCGACATCTCCATGAACCCATGTCTTCGGCCGTTGGTCAACCAAGCCTTTGGAAGGGTCCTAGTCGACGCACCGTTGTGCCGTGACGTGGACTGGCTTAACGCCGCGAGCGGGACCGGCATAAAGCTGATGTTGGCGGCTCGAGACCTCCGCGGACTGCCTGCGTGGTCGCGACCCGTCCTCAAGCATTTCCTACCTAACTACCGCAACCTGATGGCAACGCGGAGAACGATCGCCGAAAGGACGGTGCCGCTCGTGAAGGCGCGTCTGCTGCAGGACAGCGGCCTGGAAGAGAAGCCACACGACATGATCGGCTACCAGCTGCAACATTCGAAAGGATGGCGGGCTACGGATGTCGACTTTCACGTTGGCCAGATCTTCGATAACGTGTTTGCTGGAGATAGTAAGTGCTATATGTTCATCCGTGAGCCCTAGCCAATTTCCTGTGAAAGTCTCGGCGTAATCTCTTCGCTTACGGGCTTATTTGCGTCGCGCTATCATGTTGCCCCAGCAGCGGACTTGCTAACATCAACCCAACAGATCAGATTGTGAATGCCGTGAGTTGGAGGTGGAAGGTGAACCCGATCTTTCGTTTCGACTAACGATATCCAGTTGTTACAATGCGCTTACGATTTAGCAGCATTACCCGAATACCAGCAGCCCTTGCGCGACGAAGTCCGCAGTGTTCTTGGCCAGGGAAATGACATCACCTTGGAAGCGTTGTCACGGATGCCAAAGATAGACAGCTTCATGAAAGAGGTAGTCCGTCTCAGACCAGGTACTTTGAGTAAGTCAGACCCAACTCGAGACCCTCAATGCACATGTGGCTTTCTCTGTACGGTTAGGAGCTAAGCGTTTCGTTCGCACCCCAGTTGTCATGGCCCGAAAGGCCCTTTGCGACGTCCAACTCTCCGACGGCCTCGTCATCCCGCGCGGCGTCACAGTAGCCATGCCGTCGTGTGCCATAAACCACGACCCGGCTATCTACGGGGAGGACGCGTCTGATTTCAAGCCGTTCCGGTTCGTCAGTAGCGACGATTCCACTCCCCCCGCTGCGGCCTTTGAGTCAATCTCCGGGCCGGGTCTCGACTTTGGACGCGGCAAGGCTCCTTGTCCGGGACGCTACATTTCATTGTGGACTATGAAGGTTGTGCTTGCGCGGTTCGTTCTGCGCTACGAGGTGAAGCTGAAGCCGGGATTGGATCGACCGAGAGACATTGCGGCTGGGGTGCACAGAATTGCAGACTTGAAAGGTAGTATGCTGATTAGAAAGGTGGTAGCATGAGCACGCTCATTTTCGGGAAGGTTGGGTATTGGATATTGGCTATTTGGGAATGAATACACGTGGAAAAAAACAGGCTTTGACCGAGACTCTGCGCTTCTTGTTGTTTTGTTGTCGATTATATAGGGTCACAGTAGAAACGGAATATTCTCTCCTTTGCGCCAAGCTCAAGCAAGAATGCATTGATCACAGTAGCTTTTGAGCTAACATGAGCACTGCATACCTATTTATGATACTTGAATACACTGATCAGTCTTACGTACCATGTCTAGAATGACAGACACCATCTTTTGAACTTGTCCATCCTCGGAAGGTATCTTGTGCCCATTGTCAAATTCCAAACAGGTCAACAAATCCCTATCAAAGGAGGTATTGAGAAGCCTGCTTTGACTCTGCCACTGATCCTGTTTTCCCACGACAGACAAGGTCGGCACCTCGATCGGCTGCTTGCCGGCGTCCCCGCCAATTGTCGGAAACCTTGCAGGCGGCCCAGTCCCGTTGATCAAAACCCCGAATCGGAAGCGATACCACGCAGGACAGAGGTCCTCGACGCTGTTGTCTTGCACAGCGAGAATACCCGCCACGACGGCCGCGGCGGAAGAAAAACCGAGGATACCGACGAAGCCGTCGCGGCCGTTCTCGCCGTCGGCGTCATCGTGACCGAATTCGTAGCGCAGATCTTCAAACATGTCGATAATGCCCGCCGCCATGGCTGCCGATTCGGCAAGGTCGTCCTCCTCAGTCGTAAAGTCCCGGCCTTGGACGTCCCGCGGATCGTTAGGGCACCAACGGTAGAAGGGCCCGCAGTCGTCGAAGAAAGGTGACACGCCGTACCCCGGATCGCATTCGAACGGCCCGGTTGCGTAGATAAGTTCTATGCCATGGGACTCCAAGGCACGTCTCAGATGCCGCGTTTGAGCCGCGAACACCATCGCGTTTGTCCCGTCGCCGTGGAGGCAGAGAATGCGTCTGGGTAACATTGTCTTCCAAAGCACCGCGCGGTAACTTCTTGGGGGGAGTAGTTATCTTCCGAGGACTCTCAAATACAATTGTAAACAGCAGCTGGACACAGTCAGCTTCCGTGTTCGTCTCGGCGGGGAGGTTTAAGTGTGGTGAGATACGATGAATACCGCAAAGTGAATCAGGAAGTGGTCATGAGCCAGGCAAAATCCAAATTTTTCCAAGCATCTTTTTTGTCGATTCAAACACGAAGAATCGGGATGTTTTCCATGTGTACAGTCATGATAATTGCCCGAATGTGGCCTTAGTCGACACCGGAAAGGTTAAATGTGGAATGCTATCGCACACGAATTTCGTCTGAATCACAACAACCCTGCACATGTCAAGGGCCTGGTAAAAATAAGTTTTAGTCAGGCTCAAGGGTATTGAACGCGTTCAAGGCAATTCTGTCGTTTGACGAGAATGGAAGATCACGGTAATTATCACCTTACTATCGCGAAGAGTTGCTACCTTTTAGCATGTTCACGATACCTTGAAATCCGGAGATCTCGTCCAACCGGATATCAACATGTTGAAAAGTAGACCTGTAGTGTTGCGTGTATGCTATGAGGTAGGCCCAAAATTGACGGCTGATATCCTGTTGCATCGAAATTTAGTTTATTTATGTTCACTCTAAACGAGGGAAATCCAGTGTCTTTCTCCAGCAGACGGGGTGTTCAGCTGGGCGAAGCCTAGCAACTTGCCTCAGTGTGATGGAGGCGACTTGTAGTGGAAGTCTATAAAGCAGATCGTCACGTTGGTTAGAGGCCAAATTTTGAGCCCGGATCATGCACACTGCACATGAGATGAGCCTTTGACTCATGGTACTCGGAGGGATGGTGAAGTTGGCATTTTGGAGTCTATATAGGCTGTCATATAAAATCCAGTCAACTCCCAACAAAAACATTTCCCCTCTCCGCGCCTATCGATTCAAGCTTGGCATGGACGATTGGCAGGGCTGAGCGACACTTCAAGTGGTGAATCCACCAGCAGCGTCACATACTCTCTTGTCTTGATTTCCGTACTGTCGACGGCAACCGGTTGGAAGTTATACACCACACTCGCGATGGCTACTCGCTGCATGGCTAAAGTCAAGCTATGTCATGCTCAGTCAGTACACACCCTTCGTGTATATCTGCAAGAACTCACTTCTGCCCTATGCACTGCCGGGTGCCTCTCGAGAAGGGTTGAAGATGGGCCTCCATCTTGGCTGTGTGTTTCGGCGGTAACCATCGCGTGGGATCATAACGCTCAGGGTTGGGGAAGACCGTTGCGTTATAACATCCGTAAAAGGCTGAAGTGGCGACAACCGTCTGCAAAACACCCTCAAATTAGCATCTCGACTATCATCAGACCCTCGTACATCGATGAACTGGGTAAGAGAGACATACCCCGGCGGGAAAGTGTGTTCCGTTATAGTTCCAACCCTTTGCAGGGACAACTCGGGGCATGTGGCCACGAATGGGGCAGGATACCCGCAGGCCTTCTTTGAGAACTGCGTTGAGGAGAGGTAGCTGAGCAAGCGCTTCGATGCGAGGGGACGCTTCCTCGGTCTCCATGACCGGCCGTAGTTCGTCTTGCAACTGCTGCCACAGGTCTGGATTTCGTGCCAACCAGTGGATGCCGATGGATAGAGCGGCTGCTGTCGTATCGGCTCCTGTAATGGCGGTTTCCAATGGTCAGCCGCGCAGAAAGGAATGTATCGTCTTGTTACGGACAGCTTCTGTCATGGGGGTTGTCCCGGGGCACCTACCAGCTGCTAGAATCACAATCCCGTCTGAAATTATTTGCCCGTCCGACGGGGTGTAACTGCGTTTCTCTTGCCACCGGGAGGAGATGAGCTCAGAGAATACACAAGGGACAACTTCGCCAGCGCCGTTCAGGGCCGCTCTGTTTTCCTCCAAGGACTTCCTGGTGTACTAGACGTAGGTCTCAACGTTACTCATGAACAGCGGCACGCGGAAGCGAAATACCAGAAGGCTGTGTTACCTGTCCTAGTATCTTGTTTGGCACAAGCGATGGCACCAATGGCGCGATGTATGGAATTATGGCTCGTAAAAAAGGGATGTGCTGGAACTATAAGATTGATGGACCAACGGACGTCAGCTCAGCCGCCAAATAAAGCCACGTTAGGTACTGCCTAGTTGAAACCAATTGGCCGCTTGGGAAAAGAAACGCAGAAAATGGGGCACGACGTACGTATGTCACGCTCTCGGCTGCCGAATCAAATATCTCGAATAGCTCCGAGTGGAAGCTGGATAGGCTGTCGGCGCAGTGCCCGAATGTCCAAGTCGTAACGACATCCAAAGCGAAGCTGCGGAACGCCGTGTTGAGACCTACGGTAACGGTGGTAGACTCGGAGTATGCATCCTCGCGCCTCTGGTCCGCTGCCAGGTACTTGCGCATGCCTTGCACCATGGCGTTGCATCTGTCCCACACAAGTTGCTGCGCGTCCGGCGCGGTGACTCTTGTCTGTGAAAAGGCGGGTGTAAGGAGGCGAGAATGGGCAGTGTGCGTGCCAGGGTCCAGCTCGGTGAAGATGCTGTATGCTGGAGAGCTTCTGAAAGCTTCGTAATGGTACGCCGGCTTGACCCACGGGTTATTCTGGGAGTAGATAACATTGTTGGCGTCTACGTCATCGACTGACACTTCGTTTGGCGATATGCGAACCAGTGGGCCTGAGGAGGTCCATGTGAATAAACATTCTCAAAGAAGACGTGAAGATACTGAGGAGCAAATTTTTGCATGACGAAGGAATCCTCTCCCGTACCCACCTAGTTTCCGATGGAGATCCCGGATGTGATTGTGAGGGTTTCCAGAATAGTCGTGATAGAAAAGCCATAATCGAGAAAGCTTGGCCCAGAACGGACCTGGCACGCGTCGGAGGGGGTGGAAAAAGACATTGTAAACGGAGCGCAGAGACGCGTAGGTGAACAGAAGTACGAGGAGAGCCACCGTATATCTCATCAGAAACAGTTGGACATCGTTGATCGCCATCATTACGGCCATGTTGTTATTCTCGGATCGTAGGTACTGCGAAATGATGGTATCATATCATTTTACTGGGTAAATCAGACAGTGGAATAGACATATTGTTGGCAAGACTCCATAGGGAACGGTTTTCAAAGCTCGGCAGATTCTTGCGGGCCAATAAGGCGTGTCTCGGGACGATAGGCACAGTCGAACGTAAATTATTCCGCAATTTTCGGTTGGTTCACACACGGCTTCCGTCCCGGCCCCGGACCCGGGTCGTTTTCACTGGCAGACCGAATCATTGACCTGTGCTTTGAACGGACCTGTAGAGTCATGTAAGTCACAATCGATGTTATTGCAATGAGACAAATACCGCCTGATCCCATCGGGTACACTTTGTACGGTTATCAAGTTGCCCCAAGAGTCAACTTTAACTCTTCCTTCATCAGCTTTTAGAGGAAAGAAAGATAGGTTCAACACGCAATGAATACAGACACGTCTTCCGGGCACTCGTCTGGCTGCCAGCCACAAGAGAGAATCGCCATTGTGGGAATGGGATGCCGGTTTCCAGGCAAGGCGTCGAGCCCTTCTGCTCTTTGGGACTTGCTCACCAATCCTGATGATCTCTCCATGCCTATCCCGTCCTGGAGGCTCCGTAAAGAAGGATTCTACCACAAGGACGCCTCACACCATGGGACGACGAACAGTAGGGGCTCCTATTTCCTGGACGATGACGATGTCAAAATGTTCGACGCCCAGTTCTTCAACATCGCCCCACAGGAGGCCGAGTCAATGGATCCCCAGGTGAGGAAACATAAGACATGAGATTAGCACTGTTCATACGAGCTAACTCTGCAAACAGCATCGTTTGCTGTTGGAGGTGGTTTACGAGGGTCTCGAGGACGCGGGGATCTCGCTGGAAGCGACTTCCGGCACCTCAACCTCAACCTACGTCGGTCTAATGTCAACAGACTGGCAAGACCTGCAACTACGAGACATCGATGATGCTCCAAGGTACCTCGTAACCGGAGGAGCACGCAGCATCGCAAGCAATCGCTTGTCGTATTTCTACAACTGGCACGGGCCGAGCGAGACTATCGACACGGCCTGCTCTTCCTCGCTCGTTGCCGTTCACCATGCGATACAGTCGCTGCGATCTGGCGAGGCCAGCATGGCCGTTGCAGCCGGCACCAATCTCCTGCTGGCGCCGGACATGTACATCATGACGAGTAATCTGAATAGTAAGCCCACCTCCACGTCATAAATAGTCCGACTAACGTTCCTTGCTAACCGCTGATATTGCTTAGTGCTTTCATCCACTGGCAAGTGTCAAATGTGGTCTTCTGACGCAGACGGCTATGCTCGCGGAGAAGGCGTCGCCTGCGTGATTCTCAAGACATTGTCAAGTGCGCTTGCCGCCAACGACCACATCTACGCCGTCATTCGCGAGACCGGAGTCAATCAGGACGGCAGGACGTCGGGCATCACGATGCCCAGCCCCGCGGCGCAGAGTCGGTTGATACGCGACACCTACGCGAGGGCCGGACTGGACATCACGCGCACGGAGGACCGATGCCAGTTCTTCGAGGCCCACGGCACGGGCACGCCGGCAGGTGACCCGTTGGAGGCGCGGGCTATCTGGGATGCCTTTTTTCCAGGGAGACCAGAGGTAGAAGAGGCCTCGGAAAGCTGCAGTACCGGTTCCGACGAGCTCTATGTCGGTTCCGTGAAGACGGTTATGGGCCATCTCGAAGGCTGTGCCGGGCTCGCCGGGCTCCTCAAGGCAGCCCTCAGTGTCCAACGCGGCTTTATCCTGCCAAATCTGCATCTCGGGACCCCCAACCCCAAGATCGTACCGTTTCTGGGCGCAGGGAAGATGGCGGTGGCAACCGACGTGATACCCTGGCCTCGGAGAGACGACAAGACGCCGCGACGTGCATCCGTGAACTCGTTCGGCTTCGGAGGAACCAATTCTCATGCAATATTGGAGTCGCACGACGACAGCAAACTGCTACAACTGAACGATCCATCGGACGGAGTATCAAACCCCGTTCGCCAAGGGTCCAACCTGCATACGCCGGTCATCATCGTGCTCTCTGCCGCCTCGGAGCCTGCTCTCGCTGCCCTGACTTCCCAATACGCAGACTACATCGAGAAACGCCCGGAGGCGGATTTAAGACGTCTGGCATTGACGACCCAACGACGGCGGACGCGACTCGCCCACGGCGTGTCCTTCGCCGGAAGAACCAGGGCAGGACTCGTCCGCCAGATGAGAACAGCTCTCCAGGCTTTCCAGGACGGCGGTAAACTCGGTATCATGACGTCTCCGAATAGGTCTCTAAACAAACCGGTCGAGATACTCGGCGTCTTCACGGGCCAAGGAGCCCAGTGGGCCAACATGGGGGTCAAGCTTCTCGACTCATGCCCGATATTCGCTCGCACCATCGCCGTCCTCGACGAGGCCCTGGCCAAGACCATGGAAGAGGAACAGAAGCATTCTGAGGGCGGGATAAAGCCGTGGTCGCTCATTGCCGAGCTCAGAGCCCCCGCAACCACCTCCCGCGTCGGAGTGGCCGAGTTCGCCCAGCCACTCTCCACGGCCATCCAGCTCGCCCTTATCGATGTTCTACACGCCGCCGGCGTCCGCTTCTCCGCCGTCGTCGGCCACAGCTCCGGCGAACTAGCGGCCTCTTACGCTGCAGGGTTGACCTCCGCGGTGGACTGCGTCCGCATGGCGTACTACCGCGGTCGGTTCTCCATGTTGGCTCGTAGCCCGACCCGGGACGCGGCCACGAACGAGTATAAAAAGGGTGGTATGATGGCCGTCAACCTCTCCATGGAGGAAGCCCAGGCAATTCTTGCCGAAGACGGGCTCAATCTCGGCGGAAGCGTCTGGGTGGCGGCTAACAACGCCCCGAAGAGCGTCACCCTGAGCGGCGATCTCGACAAGCTCAGGGACTTGAAGGCTGTTTTCCGCGAGCGAGACATCCCGGCCCAGATGCTCAGGGTCGACAGAGCATACCACTCGCCGCACATGGTGCCATCGGGAGATGCATACCGGCAAACGTTGGCCAAGTGTCAGCTCGAAGGGCCACCGCAGCAGCAACACTCCACAAACGAGGCGTGGACTACTTGGGTGTCGAGTGTGTACCCGGACTGGGACCCAATGTCCGCCCAGGACCCCGATGCGGTTCCGGAAACGGTCAGAATCGCGCAGTACTGGGTGGAGAATATGCTATCTCCTGTCCTATTCCGCGAGGCCCTCGAAAAGACCGCGTCACAAAAAGACATTTCCGTCATTCTGGAGGTCGGACCACACCCCGCGCTCCGTCGCCAGGTTGGGGATACTTGGGCGGCCAAGGGCAACTCCTCGGCGTATCACGGAACTCTAAACCGGGGCGCCGATGATACCGAGAGTCTGGCCGGCCTGGTCGGTTTCCTTTGGCAGCACGGCGTTCCGGTCGACCTCAGCATTCTCGATCCCGGACCGGCTGAGGCTGAGTCTGGACTCGTTCCCCTTCCGGGTCTGCCAGTCATGCCTTGGCAGCACAACCGTGTCTACTGGTGCGAATCTGCCAAAGCGGCCCAGTTGATCCACCGAGACGCCGCCAACTTTCTTCTCGGACATTGCACCAAAACCGGGTCGAGCTATGGCGGCACTCAACGCATTGACAAAGAGAACCCGGACGCGGGAGCTTTCGTGAAGCTGACGGAATGGAGCTGGCGGCAGATCCTTCGTTTGAACGAGCTTCCCTGGCTGAATGGACACAAAGTCCAGGGCCAAGTCGTGTTTCCAGCGGCAGGCTACTGTGTTATGGCGATGGAGGCTGCCAAGCAACTCACCCAGGGGATACGGGGGCTTCCGGAAATTGGACTCAACGATACGCAGCTTACGCTTGAGGTTGTGCAACTCGAAGACGTCGAATTCGGCCGAGCGGTTGTGTTCCCGGACAAGAGCAACCAGGGCGTGAGTATCTCGCTTCACCTACACGATATCCAGTTCAGAAGACACCATACGCACTCTGGATCCGGAGAAGAGGTTGCCATGGACTTCTGCGCCGCCTTTTACATCGAAGCTCAGCCTGGTTCCGTCGGAGAGCCAGGTCGCGCCAACGTCCCTCATGTGGCGTGCTCCGGCCGCATCCTCGGCATGGTGGGATCATCTCTAGTGAAGCCCAGCTTTGCGGACGCAATGCCTCCTTATGTCAAAGACGCCGTCTATCTGCATTCAGTTCCTGCTTCCTCGGTCTACGAAGCTTACGCTGGCATCGGCCTCGAATATTCCAAGCCTTTCCGGGTTGATACCGTGGAACGATGTCTCGGCCGCGCGAGGTCGACTGTCAAACTCACAAACGTCCTGCCGGTGGACGAACAGTCCCAAGTGGCAGCGGAGGAGGGGTCGTGCTTCCCCGTGGCGCTGCTCGACAACGCCTTTCAGACATCTCTGTCGGGTTTCACCGCGCCAGGAGACGGCAAGCTGTTGGCGCCATATCTACCACGCGTCATTCGTAAGCTACGGGTCGATCTTACGGCTTACGAGACCATGGCAAAGGCTGAAGCCGACACTCGAATCCTGCTCGATGCCACCGTCATAGGGCGCGCAGAGCCGAGAGAGGGAGAGGAAGATTCGGAAGGGAGCGGCGGCTCGAGTACGGGCACATGGGTGGCCAACATCGAAGGCGTTATCATGGAGGCAGAGTCACAAGGCGACTTGGCCGAGGCTAATCGCATGATTCTTCAAGTCGAAGACCTCCAGTGCGTCAACCTTGTGCCGACCCATGGACCTTACCAAGAAGGCATCTTCAGCGAGGAAATCTGGGCCCCTGACCCGCAAGTTGCGCTGGCCGAGTTCGGCCTCGAAGCAGACGGCCCCGGAGATCAGGACGCCCTCGCCGTGGTCGAGCAGCTGACGCATTACCACATGTGTCAAGTTTACGAAACCTTCACCGCCGAAGAGGCGCGCGACGAGGCCAAGACGTCATGGTTCATACGCCGATTCTGGGACTGGCTCCATCACCGCCTGACGCGGGACGGACAGGATGCGTATCGGAACCCGTGGCGCGATGACGCCGGCCGCGTTGAGCGCCTCATGCGGCGTGTTGAATCGGCTAAGCATCGCGTTGAGGTGGAGATCCTGCAGGCCGTCGCGCAGAACATCGTGAGAGTGATGAGGCAGGGGGAAGGGCCGACTTTGCTCGAGGTCCTGTTCGAGAACGACATGCTTGCGCGGCTGTATACCGAACCCGTCATGTATGCCCGGGCGAACCGGTACCTTGGGAGGGTAGCGGGAGCGATCTCGCACCGGTTTCCTCGATGCAAGATATTAGAGGTAAGCTCTCACCCATCTTTTCATAGACGTGATTACAATGAACTGACACTGTCGTAAGATCGGCGCAGGCACGGGAGGCGCAACAAGAGCCATGTTCAACGGCCTTGACGGAGCATACAGCTCGTACACTTTCACCGACATATCAAGCAGCTTCTTCGAGAAGGCCAAGGCGAACTTCAAAGAAGAGGCCGACCGCATCATCTTCAAGACCCTCGACGTTGAGAAGGACGTGACGGAGCAGGGATTCTCCCCTGGCACTTACGATGTTGTCGTCGCCTCCAACGTCCTGCACGCCACCAGAGACATCGAGCGGTCCTTGGCCAACGCCCGGCGGCTGCTCAAGCCGGGCGGCTATCTGCTCATCCTGGAGATCACCGACGTCGAGAAGATCCTCGTGCCTTTCCTCATGGGCGCTGTGCCCGGTTGGTGGCTATTCGAGGATAGATGGCGGGCGGGCACCTACAGCCCGCTTCTCAGCGAGTCCAAATGGGACCAGGTCCTCCGGCAGGTCGGGTTCGATACGGGGACGGAGTTCGTGTGTCACGACATGCAAAATGAGCATCTCACCAGCGTCATGGTCGCCAGGGCGTCGGACCAGGAATGGACCGCCTTCCAGAGCGGCGCCGTCATCGCTGAGACTGCTTTAAAAACGGACAACCTCATAATCGTGGCCGGGCCCGACCAGGACGAAGATGGGAAGAAACCCAGCTCCAGCATTCTAGCAGATGGCATCGTTTCGGCGATGTCTCGGTTTGACGATACCATAAAGCATGAGCATCCTCTACAGATAACCAACCTCCACGGCCTCGAAGCCGCGGCAGCCTCACCCCTTCTGGGAAGCAGCATGCTTTTGGTCCTCTCGGATCTCGATAAGCCGGTTCTGGATGACACGAAGCCCGCAGAATGGGAGGCCCTCAAGGACGTCTTCGCCCGGGCAGGCCACGACATCATCTGGGTCACGAGAAGGAGACTCCGGGGCGCCGATCCGAAGCAGAGCATGATCGTCGGGCTGGGACGGTGTGCCCGCCAAGAGAACCCGGCTCTGAAGTTGCAGTTCGTCGACGTGGATGACGATGAAAGCGCCGATGCCGTCCGTACCCTGGCGCTGATGACGCGCCAGGCGCGCGTTCTAAAGCCGGTCGTTGGCAGTTCCGGCGAGTCGGCCTGGTTGTATTCTACGGAACCTGAAGTCGCCGTTCAAAAGGGCCGGCTGATGCTGCCGCGTCTCGTTCCTCTGCATGACGCGAACAAGCGCTACCTGGCACGTCGCGCGGGCTTTGTACCGGATGATGGAGACCACTTGGAAGAAGGAGACGTAAATGAGAATCAGACAACACGCAACGGAAGCTTGGATGGAAAGCCGCATCCTCATCTTCAACACCCGTTGTCTCCTTTGTCTCCGCCGCTGTCAGCGGATTCAGATGGAGGTTTCTATCCTGGCTTCGGCCTCGGCACAGCCCTTCGTATCTCATACCCACATGGTCTTCGACTGAACGGACCACAAGAGCCTCCCGTCTTCATCTCGCTTTCAAGCCACGGAGAGTCGGGGAGGGCTATCATTATATCGGCAGGATGCCCCGACGGTCCGACCATCGCCCCGATCCACGCCGGCGTGTTCCCCGTGTGCGCTCCTGAAGGTCTCTGGAAATCAGTCGACCTTGAAACTGCGTTCCTCTCGGTGATTATTTGCTACCTTGCGGCTTCCATGGTCTTCCAGGCTGCGGAGGACTGCTATGAGGCGTCAGCAGCGGTCATGGTGATGGAGCCAGACACTACTTTCGCACACGCCCTCGCCCAGCTTGCAAAGAGGCATAAACGCCACTTATACGTCGTCACTTCGAGACCGCCGCCGCGAGAAAGACAGGGCACGTTTGCGAGCTACATTCACCCAAGCCTCTCGGCCCACAAGGTGAAGAAGCTTCTTTCCAGACATAGGACGGGTGTTGTCGTGAACTGCGGCTCGTTCAAATGCCCCGGCTTCTGCGCGGACGCCCAGTATACCGCTATGAGTTTCAACTTGCCAAAACAATGGAAGCACTTCATCCAAGAACAGCAACCTCTGGAACGGGTCGACAAGCGACAGCCAGCTACACCTCCCGGTTGGGTACAGATCCCCTTGTCTGAAGCTGGCCTGCCAGCATCGGCCAGTAGAATGTCTATTCTCGTCGGAAACGCGGCTACTCTGGCGGCAGACATGGTGTCGACTTCCGACGGGCTGTTCAAGATCAACAAAGTCACCATGCTCAACTGGGTTAACGTCGAAACAACCACGTCGACGACGACGACGACGCCCCCCGAGCACAATCAGACTCGTCTCCTCCCCAGCCCGCGGAGTCTGTTCCACCCGGACAAGACCTACCTCTTCGCCGGCATCACCAGTGATCTCGGCCTACTAGTCGCCAAGTGGATGGCCGAGAACGGCGCCCGGTCGTTCGCCCTGACCAGCCGCAACCCCAACATCCCGCCCCTCTGGCTGCAAGAGATGAGCAAGCTCGGCGCCGAGGAGGTCCGCGTCTTCAGCATGGACGTGACGGACCCCGACTCCGTCAACCGGACATGCGACACCATCGGCCAAACCATGGCTCCCGTGGGCGGCGTCGTTCTCGGCGCCATGGTCCTCAGAGACACCTTGCTGGAGAACATGCCTCTCAAGACCCTGCAGGGGACAATGGCACCCAAGGTAAAGGGGTCGCGTCTCGTCGAGGACTACTTCCGGGACGCCCCCCTCGACTTCTTCATCTTCATGTCCAGCATGTCCGCCGTCGTCGGCATCAGGGGCCAGTCCAACTACTGCGCCGGGAACATGTACGGCCGCGCGCTGGTCGCCGACCGCCGCGCCCGCGGCCTGGCCGCCTCGTCCATCGACCTATCCACCGTCTTCGGCGTCGGCCACTTCGCCAATGCCGGCGCCGTGAACCTTCCCACTGTCCACGCCAACTTGGAAGGCTTCAACACCCTGGCTATCGGCGAGGCCGAGCTGATAGACTCCTTCCACGAGGCTATCCTGCGGGGGCCGCCGTGCGCGTCCTCGAAGGGGGAGGTTACCGTCGGGCTCGGCTCAGAGACGGCCGTGGCATCCGACCGGCCGCCCGTGCCCGCCGCGTGGCACGACGACCCGCGCTTCGCACACTTCACGGCGCGTGAGGGAGATCAGCGAAGGGGTGGCGGGAAGCAATCCGGGGCGGCCGGCGGTGCGAGCAGAAGGAATACGCGCGAGGAGCTGGCACGCAGCACCACGGAGGAGGGGCGGCTGGCTGCCCTCAGCGGGTGTTTCGTCGAGAGAATCCAGGAGATCATGCAGCTTGCGGCGTCGTCCCTGCGGACGGATGTCCCGCTGACGGACTTGGGCATCGACTCGCTGGTCGCGGTTGACTTGCGTGGTTGGTTCTTCAAGGAGCTGGGTGTGAGTGTTCCCGTGTTGAGCATTCTCAATGGCGAGAGCGTCAAGAATGTGTGCCAGACCGTGCTTTCGCAGGTACAGCTAGATGTTTAGTTTGCTTGGGCTTGGAGTTCGGGAGTTGGAGAAGTATGGCGATATCATGATAGGTATGAAATAGAAGAGAAGTACATGATGCAAATCCTGGGACTCGTGTTCTATTCAGAGTGATTTCGAAGCGCACTTGAGTACAATTGCAATCATCCTGACAGACGAGCATCTCGGAACCCTTACAATACACACCCTAAATCTTTGCATTTGTTGTGATTACATCCCCACTGCCCCAGGATTTGCCTTATTAAACTGTCGATTTCAGAAACTGTTAGTGACTTACCCTTATAATATCATAAACACCAGCAAGGGCAAAGTAGCACGCTAACAGACATGCAGGGGGTGTATTGTACTGTTCACATCATCTTTGCCCTGTAACTGAAGACTTTTAGTTCTAGAAGTTTAACCATATCCATTATATCCAGTGGTAGATAAATAATAATTAAGGGGAGAATTCGACACATCTCAGCAGCTGGCCCTTGTTATCCTCGCTAGTCCGGCAATGTCCTCTGAGGTCGCAAGTACACGTAACATGGTCTAAGTGCAACTCATGAGGGAAATGGCAATAGAAGTTGGCAGCACATAATAGTTTCACATAACTTCTTAAATGTTTGAATGAGTCTGTGCCTGCTAAGCAGGCAATCAAGCATCTAGCACGATACAAATATGGACCGCAGCAAGTCGCGCTCGGATCTACCTTTGCCTGCTTCGATAAGAAAAGCAATCATTATCCTCTAACCGCAGGGCGAAACCGAACCATCAGTGGCTTCTTCTCCCACACACCGTAGATCTTCAGACTTTCCATCCAGCCGTTACTCTCGGGAGCCAATTGGGGGTCAAACTCCCACAGAATCTTGGACAGGATCGTGCGAATCTCCCCGTACGCCAGATGCTTCCCGATACAATTCCTCGGGCCGGTGGAAAACGGCTTCAACACGCCCCTGACGTCTCCATCATACGGCGTACCTCCGACTTCTCCTCCTTCGCCCTTCAGCCAGCGCTCAGGCCGGAACTCGGAGGGTGCGGCGAAGTGGTCCGGCCACCGATACGCGGCGAGCTGGTTGACGAAGACTTTGGTGTTGCCGGGGACGAAGCGCCCGGCGATGAAGTGGCCCTCCGGCGGGGTCACGCGCGGCAGGGTCGTCGGGACGGGCGGGAACAATCGCAACGTCTCCTCTATGACCCCCGAGAGATAGGGAAGATGGTTATCTGTAGTCGTCGTCATGTTGATGTCCGCCGTTGAGTCAAACGCGCCGCGGATCTCGGCGGTGACGGTGGCGAGCGCCTTCGGGTTCCGGCATAAGAGGTACGTTGCGCCGGAGAGGGTCATGGCCGTGGTTTCGGCGCCGGCCATGAGGATGTTGGACGACGTCATGAGCATCTCCTCGTAGGAGATGCCGGTCGGGGTGTTGAGGTTGCGGATCACGTATTCCATGAAGTCACTCCGGGGCTCCGTACACTCCAGGCGACGGTTGAGCTTGTTAGTCAATAGGATGCGGTGTTTATTCTTCTTGAGCGGCAGCTTATCGGATGTCATGACGATCAAGAGGAGCTGGTCCAGGCGGAGGAAGTCTCTCATGAAACCGAGAAGGAACATGGCTTTGACGATGTAGTAGAGATTCTCGATCCATTTCTGCAGAGGATACGTCAGTCGCCCTGTACACGCATCGAATACGTACATCGAGTGTAGCAAACTGAATGAAATGAATGCTGATGGGGTGACTCACGTGTAGATCATAGGCATCATCATTCAAACACCCGATATTCTCCCCATATGTGAGATCACCAACGACGTCAAACGTGGTGAGCTGATACCACTTCATCATGTTGATCGGCTCGTCCGGCGCAGATGACCGTCTCAGCTTCGCCACTAGCTGGTCAAAATACCGCCCGATCAGGCCTCCCTGGTCCCGGAGGGCTTTATCGGAGAAGCCATGGGAGAAGTTGCGTCTGATGCGCCCGTGAGCCTTGTCGTCGCGGACAAAGACGAGGCCCTGGGCCCCGTTCGGCGGACTCGTCGGCACGAACTCCTTGGCCTTCTTCAGCTGCTTGCGGCCGTCGTGTTTTCCGTGGATGTCCTCCCACGCCCTCTCGTCGATGTAGGACACGGCGGACGGACCGAGACGCACCACCGGCCCGTATATGGAATGCAGCTCAGCTATTTTGAACGCGAACTCGCCCTTGGTTGCGTAGAAAGTCTGTACCAAACACGAAGCTGCCCACAGCTTGGGGCCCGGGTATCGGGCGAGGGGATGGAGGGTGATTCGGTAGAGCCATACCGACGACCAGTAGAGAGCGGAGAGAGCAAAAAAAAACTCGAAAGCCACCCGGACATTGACTGAATATAGCTGGCCAGAGACGGCTTTCACCACGGCGGTGTCGTAGTAGGAGTTGACGGATGGTACTGTCATCGTGTGCTATGTCATGTCATGAATGCCCACTGGTGATGGCCCTGACCGAACTTGTCTGCTGGACTAATATTGAGCAAAGATACTAGATGCAGCGTATAGTGATGGCTCACAAATCGACATCCAGAGGAAACGTCTGAATACCCAGGCAAATCTACTCATGGACGGACTGCGAATTTGGAGCTTGGGGAACTGGCCGGCGCCGATGAGAACAAAGTTCATCGGAACATTTTTATCTAGACAATTCATCTCGGGAAGAAAAGAAAGAAGAACCTCCCGACGTCTGCATCTCGCCCGGGCCAATCGGCACTTTATTTACTTCACAACCATCGAGGCAGTTTTGTGTCAATTGCCCATGGAATCACGCGTCGGCAATGTGAGTGGAAGAGACCAAAATCAAATGGCCGAGCCTCAGAACCACAGAACCGCCATAATCTCCCTCCTGTACTGTATATCGAGTCAAAGAAAGCAAATGTCTCTACCATAGTGTTTCCCGGTTTAGTATCATCAAGTCTCTGCTCATTCCACTGTCACCCAAACAAGAACAATGCCTGCACAACCACTTCCACCCCCAATCAACATCCTTCTCATCGGGGCATCCGGCTACATCGGAGGCAGCATCTTATCTCACCTCTGCTCCGAGCCGGTCACTGCCACCATTCACATCTCGGCACTTGTGCGTGATCCAGCGGATGCAAAGACAATCACTACCTCGTACCCCCAGGTACGGACACTACTCGGCGACCTCGGCAATGAAGCACTTATCCGTGACGCGGCCGCGGATTCAGACGTAGTCATCTACGCCGCGCGAAACACCCAGGACGGCGTCGAGCCTCTCATGACGGGGCTCGCCGCCTCTGGGACAGAGACCTCTCCGGGGAGTTCTGCCCGGACGTCTCCACGCGTCCGCCCCGCGCTGTTCATCATGCTCAGTGCTATCATCTCACTCGCCGACCCGAAAAACCTCCGGCTCGGCGAGCCGCCCCTAGACTCTAGCAAGCCGACGAGTGATGCGGACGATAGGGAGACAATCGCCTCACTCCCGGTCTACCACTGGCATGTCGCGCAGGAGCGAGCCTTCCTGCGTCTCGCGTCCGAGAAGGGCCGGGACGTCGTCACGCCGGTCATCATGAGCCTGCCGCTCACGGTGGGCGACGGAACTGGCCCAGTGCGGACGCGCGGCTTCGTCCACGCGTACGCGCAGGCTTTGAGCCGTCGAACAAGCAAGAAGCCCTTTGTCATGGGCCAGGGCCGCAACGTATGGAGCTGGAGTTCGCCTCGCGACTTGGCTGCGGCCGTCGTGTTCGTGGTGGATTCCTGGATGGCGGGAGATGGTGAGGACGACATCCTCGAGGGCCATATCTTCGTAGAGTCTGGGCAGCTTGAAATGCGCCGACTGGCTAGCTGCGTGGGTAAGGCCCTTGGCTCCGTTTCCGAGGAGGAGCACGCGGCATCGACGGTTGAGTGTGAATCATTGCAGTATCCGCAGTTCGCGGAAGTCATGCCGGAGCTGCCCGGGCTCTGGGGCGTCACCGCTCGGTGTAAGGCTGATAGGTTGAGGAAGAAGGGGTGGAAGCCCGCCGGACCTGAGTGGGAGCCACTTGTAGACGAGTGCGTCAGGTCTTCATGTGCGTAGGTTGGTGTCTTTTGACAGATTCTGAAGATATTTATAATCATCACTCATTAAATACATTGAATTATTACACTTAATCTATCAACAACAAAATACCCCTGATGGTACTACGAACAGTCACTGTATGCAACGCCTCAATGGGGCCGAGAAACTCGTCGTCAGGGGTTGAATGGACCGTTCTCTAAGAGACTCGCATTTATCCTCATCTAATACTAAACCAAGAAACCTTACACTCAACTTTACACAAGATCCAAACCATTCTTACTAAATTCCATGGCAAAAGCACCCATACATGCATAACTAGCAAGTGACAACTGAAGCATCCTTCGAGTCACGGAACACATCAAACATCTTGCTGCGCGTTGTAATCATCGCAGATAATGTTGAGATCGGCGCCGGTGAGAGGATATCGAACACGGACAGCTCACTCTTGAAGTTCTTCTTCACCCAGTTCCGTACCTCCGTCGCCTTGAGGGAGTCAACTATACTTTGGTGTCAGTAAAGTCCAATCTCGGAGTTCAGGGAAGTTATCACATACTGCCGTATGCCAGCAAACTCCTCTCGGCATCGATGCTGTCAGGTTCCATGCCCGTGGCCTGAGCCACCTTCTCCTTGACCACCTCCTCGACGAACCGTCTGGCCTGGTCAATATCCTTCGCAGAAGCCATCATCTCGTCGATTTTGGATTTCCCGCTGCTCTGCCGGCCGACTCCATTGCTTGAGCCTCGTGCCACGCTCGACGACGCGCGGTGATCGAACTTGCGGTCCATCGGCCACCTGTTCAACAGGTCCTCGTGACGCGGAATGCGGTTGGAGATTCCCACAATCAGCTGTGCTGGGCCGCCATCACATGTAGTCGACCGGCTGGAAATGGACATGGACTGTGTGACAACCATTTTGACGCTCGCCATCACCTCCTGCGTCGTGACCGTCACGGGGGCAAGATGTCCAAACATGGCCAGATACTTCTCCACGTTGCTGTAACTCTCCATGGTGCCCTTGCCGAAGTGGCTTGAATCCGAAACTAACCCGATATTGAGACTGGTAGCCGGGAACCCGTTGGCGCGCCGGAAATGAGCCAGCGCGTCTTCGAACGTGTTGCCGGCACAGTAGTTCGCCTGGGCACTGTTTCCAATGACCCCGGACACAGAAGACAAGAGGATGAAGAAGTCGAGCCCGGCACCTCCCTCTCTGTCGTCAAGGTGCGTCGCGAGGTTGTGTAGATTCCAGCTACCTTGGATCTTAGGCCCAGTCGCCGTCCGCCACTGGTCCATGGTCATGTTGGAGAACGTGCTGTCGGCCAACACCATAGCGGATTGAATCACCCCGCGCAGACGGAAGCCCTGACGTTTTTGGAGCTGTTCGGCGAGCATTTCCACGTGGTCTTTTGAAGTGATGTCGCACCGCGCGATCTCCGCGTAGCAACCTCTCGCCGCCAGCTCCTTGAGGGCAGATACGGCGTCCGTGGTGGTCGGCTTTCCCGAACGCGAGAGGAGGATAAGTCTTCGCGCCCCGAGATCGCAGAGCATGTTTGCCAGCGGAAGACCCAGGGCTCCGAGGCCGCCGGAGATGATATAAGTGCCCTCTGGGTCTAAAGTCTTCCCGTGGCTGTTCAGATGCATCGTCGGAGTCGAAATTAGCCGATGGAACATCACCACATCGGATGCTGTAAGCGAAAGAAGCACTCTCTTTGTTGCTCCACGCCCCGGCGATACCGCATCGGACGTGAAGGGTTTTACGAGTGCCTTATCCGCGGTCGAGAGTTGTCGAAGGGGTTGGGCAACGGTAATGCGTCCCAGCTCCATCCAACGTAAGACGGTCCATAGGGCTGTTCGGAAAGGAAGGTTGTGCTTCAAATCAAAGACCACCGTGTCGTGCAGATCGATGAGTTGAGTAACCCTTTTCAGGAAAGGAGACGACTTTAGAGCCTCGTTTTGCCTCGAGCGATTCACTCCCACCACACGAACGCCGTCCGTCGAGACCATCTGGAAGCGGCGGATATTGCCGAGGTTGTTCAACGTAGATATGACAACACTGACTCCTCCTGTAGCCTGCCGGATCAAGCTGGCGGATGTGAGACTGAGACGGGGGAGCCTCACAGCAGAGTCGTTGACTGACGAGTCCGATTCCGGAGACGGCTCGTCTGCGCAGATGAAGACTTTACGAACGCCGAGACACTTAGAGACTTGTACAAGACTCTCCTGAAGAACCGTGTCATTGCCGACGTCGATGAGCAAAGATTCCCCGGAGGAAATGTGAGCTGCCTCGGAGAGGATGTAAAAAGCCGTGGACAGCGGGAAAAGCCAGTACGCCACCGCGGCTGACGACTTCATGAGGGAGTCGGGCACCCGGACTAGGCTGTCCATGTCCTGGAAGAACATTGGCCGCACGGGAGTGTGTGTGATGCCGAAAACGACGTCCCCTGGGCTGACGACGTTGTCAAATATGTCCTTGTTCCGGCCTTCCGCTAAAGTCTCCACGACACCAAGGGTTTGTTGGGCCATGACTGCTTTGTAGGGACTTTCATGAACAGTTTCCACCAAATCATCCGTGTGAGTGACTGCGTATTGAAGCCTGATGGACGAGTTGCGGGCGTCCAGCGGGTTGCTCTTCTCATGGTCTCGGGTGACCCAGTAGGCCTTCCCTTGGCTGTCGCCGGCTCTGACCCAGAGCTCGGGACTTTCCTGGACAGACACTCCAATATCCTTAAGTTTGCATTTACCAGCCGGAGTGAGTTGTACTGGTTGACGGGTAGATGTCTCACTGGCGATGAACCGGTCGGACTCGCCGTGGGCTAATACCCTCGGAATAAACAGACGCCCGTCTAGCTCAGAAACCTCGCTTTCCGGCATTGTCTGCTTGCCTAGAGAGCCGATCTGGCTACCGCTCTCCCGCGCAAGATGGATCAAGTTGTTATGAAGAACTTCCAGGATCATGTTCGCCGCTTCCTCAGGGCGGTCGTGAGTCGAGAAATCCAAAAGGGGTATCGCGAGGTCTGGAAATTCGGCTCGGATGGTCCGGAGTAGGCCTACTATCGGCGCGTACTGGAGCATTGTTTCCGACGACGGCGCCAGAAAGCCACCGGTTGTCAGCCAGAGGATACATGACACCGAGGATACCAGTGTGCGGAATTGCTCCAGTTCCTTGCTGGACCAGTTGTAGACAAATGATGCTCCGACCTCGACCAGGGAGACAATCGGTCTGTTTCCCAACTTGCCGGGAGCTGCAACCGCTTCGTCGAGTGGCATGTAGCAAGACTTAATTCCAAGTGACGAGAAGCTGTTCATGAGCATTTCGCGAGTATTGTCACGAAAGCCAGCGGAAGAGTGCGTAGGTTTACCGTCATCCTTTGGCCCGATGATGAGTACGCCGTCCTGGCACAGCTTCGGCAGCAGTCTTGCCTCTCCGAGCTCTCCCGCTGTACCTGGAGCGCCTCTTGGACGTGGTCCGGCGAGGGCGACGTTATCATGACCCGACAACAGGTCTATAGATGACTCGGACAGCAGAATGATCTTGCAACCCGACAGCTTCACAAGAGCCTCCGGAAGCTGATTAGCCACTGCCTTGTTGCTCTTATCGTTGCCAATGATGGTAAACCATGCATCGGTAACACACATTTCCGCAAGTTCTGACAGTATCCTGTCATACTGAGGTACACGTTTCCGGACACGAGGCTCCTCTTCGACGAGGGCGCTAGAATTGAGAAAGACCAGGTCGTACTTGTTGAAAGCCGGAGATTGTTGGCTCTGGGATCCCAGCTTGTCCTCCCAGTCCTGAAAAGTGTTGAAGAAGGTGCAATTCTCAGGCTTGGCCATACAGGAGTCGTCTTGACCGTGGAAAGCATCCCAGGAATCATCGAGTCCCAGACACAAGATCTTCGCATGCGCCCGTTTGTGGCAAACGCGATCGAGAATGAAAGCTGCCCTTGCCGTCAAGGAGGACTCTTGAAGGATACGGTCTCGCCATCTGCTAAATGGCTGGTCGATATCTTCCTTCCACACCATCTGAGCGGTCCGGTAAAAGGAGGAATCCTCCGCGTGGTCAACTTCTCTCTCACCGTCGGCAGGGTTCGACGACGTGGGGGAAAGTATCTGTCGAAGCAGAATATCTTCGACAAGAACAGCAGGCCGGTCGAACCCCGCGTCACAGAACGTGAGGTCTCCGGAGAACGTAGTAACGCCATGTTCCGACTCAGATTCCCCATCGACGAGCCGCTTCGAAGCAGCTGTCCCGGCGAGGCGCGCACCCGAGATACGCGGCACCGTATTTGCCACGAAGACTCGGCGGACTGATACTGGCACTGCAGCCAGCTTCATCTCTCCATGCGAGTCGGACTGCAGCGCAGCAAACACGAGCTGGAAGAGGCTATCCAGGGTGGCCGGGTGGATGAGGTAGTCGTGTTCGTAAGACTCGGGCATGACGGACCGCGAATCCGGCACGACGCACTCTCCAAAGGCCTTCGAGTGTCCTTGAGGCTCGATGTCAGTTGCGCAGCGGATGGAGTGTAGCCCTCGAAACGTCGGTCCGTACTCTAGGCCGATGCTGGCAAGATGGGCATAGAACGCCTCCACATCGACGTGCTTTTTGGCCGCCTTTTTGATATTTTCCAGACGAGGACGCTGCTCATCGTGCCACTGTCTCTCCCGTTCCTGCTGCTCGAAACCCGCAGGCTCATTCTCAACCGTCTTTTCGGCAATGATGCCGACGACAGTGCCCACGGCAAGTCTTCGCCATTGTTCGGCCACGGGTGAAACTGCGTAGACGGCGAACTCGAACACCCAATCATCGTGTGCATCTGGCTTCAACGTCAAGGCGATGCTTTGCCCCTTTTGGTTCACGTCTTCCGTGTCTTTGCTGACGACGAGACTGTTCTCGAACTTGACGTCCAGGAGCTCGATGCCGTGGAAAGCCTGGTTCCGCTCTCGACCGAGACTGCGGACGGCCTCGATAGCCATGGCGAGGTATCCCGCCGCAGGAAACAGCGCCGCTCCATCGACAACGTGGTCGGCAAGCCAGGGAAGCTCATTAGTTCGCACCACGTTCTGCCATGCCGGCTCAAAGGGATTTCTTGGCAACTTGGGTACGCCGAGAAGATCGATGCGAGGGGTATTGTCCCCCTGGATACCGACCAGAGCCGGCATGGCATCGTGCCAGTATGATTTGTCGTGGTTCCATGCATATGAGGGTAGAAGAGGTAGCTCCGAAAGCTGGAGCTGGTGGTCGAGAGAAGTCAGGTCGTTTGCTTTGTCCAAGTCGATGGGCACGCCAATAGACCAGAGCATCCCGGCAGCGGTCAGGGTAGACAGACATGAGTCTTCCTTGGCTGACAACATCGAGAGATATCGGATGCTTTCAGGCCTCTGAGACACGTCCATGTTACTCATGATCTGGCCAACCGGTCCGGCGAGCGCCTTTGCAGGTCCAATCTCCAGAACGGTGCAGTCCTGCAGGCCGGGAGAGGACTCGGGCGTGTTCGGGTCCCGTAGGGAGAGAAGGAGATTGTGCATGGCACCGGCGAAGCGGACCGGCGAAGTCATGTTCTCGTGCCAATACGCCGCGGTCAACGTTCCGGCATCTGTAACCCGGGACTCCGTCACGGATGAGTACATGGGCACTTGTAGGCACCGATTCCGGGAGGACCGCAACGGGCCTAAGCAGCGGATGAACTCGTCACCGACGACCTTCATATCAGGCGAGTGGTATGCGACACCTCCCGTGCGCAACGCCCGAGCGAAATGTCCAGCTTTGCAGAAGGCCTCCTCGGCTTGGGAGATGGCAGTGGATGGACCCGAAAGCGTCACACTGCTGGGACTGTTGACGCATGCTACCATGACATCGTGATCCAGCCAGTTCTCTGCGAGGAACCGGCTGGCGTCCTTCTCGGACATACCAACGGCGAGCATCGCACCGGGCCGTCCCACCAGAGAGCAGACCTTGGTAGCCAGGAAGCCACGATAGTAGGCCACGCGCATAGCGTCTTCGTGAGAGACGGCCCCGGCCGCGAACGCCGCTGTGAGCTCTCCGGACGAGTGGCCGATCACTGCCGACGGGACCACGCCCCAATGCCGGAGAAGCTGGACCAAGGCAATCTGCACCGCGGTGCAAACCGGTTGTGAATACCTTGCGTCGTTCAGGGTCTCGGCTTTCGCGTAGACGAGTACATCGGCAAGGTCCCAAACACACCCCAAGCGCCGCAGATATTTCTGGCTGCTTGCGATACTTGCTCGGAACACGGGGCAGCTGGCCAGGAGTTCCTTCGCCATGCCCGGTCTCTGGGCACCTTGGCCGGTGAACAAGAAAACGAGGCGCCTGTTCTGAGAGGAACGGAGTTCGACCGGCGGTGCTGGGTTGTCTTTGCCGGTCAAGAGCCTCGATACCAGCTCCTCCCGAGTGCCCGCGATGGCGAAGCTGCGGAATGTGTGAGCCGTTCTCTTTACCGCCAGGATGTGAGCCAACGATGTCAGACTTGTTGTCTTATGCTCGGCTAGGAAAGCCCCGAGAGCTTTGGCATTCCGTCCGAGGCCCTTGCGGTCGAAGGACGACAGAACGAATAGCATCTGGCAAACTTCCGCCTCGTCGTTGTCCTCGTCATTAAGCGCGGGTTTGGTGGTCCGATGTTCACAAGAGATGGTAACCTCGTCAGCAGCCCTGGTGATGTGTCGCCCGTTGCTCTGGCTTTCCTCGAGATAATGTCGGGCGTCATCGAGAACGACGTGTGCGTTTGCGCCTCCAAACCCAAACGAGTTGATACTCGCCCGCCTCAGCTCCGTGCTTGGCCACGGGGTGGCGGCGATCGGGAAGGTCAGATCTGAACCGGGCTCGAGCAGCTCCGGGTTGATCGTGCGGAGGCCGGCGACGGGCGGGATCACGCCGGATTCAAGACACAGCACCGCCTTGATGAGGCCTGCCAGACCGGCACAGCCTTCGGTGTGGCCGATGTTGGGCTTCACACTGCCTACGTACAACGGACCCACGTCGTGAAGCTTTCGAGCAGCAGCGATCGTCGCGCGTATGGCGCGTACTTCGATCGGGTCCTACGTTATGATCAGCCTCGACCTCGCAACCGTAAAGCCTTAGCGACTCGACTTACTCCTTTTGGTGTTCCGGTGCCATGTGCTGTTTCCACGTATCAGTGAGCCGATTTGAGTGTTCAAAGGAAGGCGTATTTACCTTCAAAGTAGGCGGTTCGTGCCATATCTAAGTTTGCTCTCTCGTACACCCTCCGTATCAACTCGGCCTGGGCATCTTCACTCGGCACAGTGATTCCGGGCGTCTTTCCGTCCGAATTGACGCCTGTCGCCCGGATCACGGCCCGGATCACGTCTCCGTCGGCAAGCGCGGAAGAAAGACGTTTCAGCACCAGACCGGCGATGCCTTCTCCGCGCCCATATCCGTTTGCTGACGCGTCGAATGAGTGGCTGATACCATCAGGACTGGTCATGTGCATGCCTGAGAGCTGAGAGTAGAGTGTAGGGTTCAAGATGAGGTTCTGTCCCGTCACCAGCGTCTAATGAGATATCGCAATTAGCCTGAATGACCCTAAGTGGTGTTCATTTGCACCAGTAACACGGCGGGTTCTTACTTGATCAGACTCGCCCATCCGTATCGACTGACAGGCAAGGTGTACGGCATACAAACTTGAAGAACAGGCCGTGTCGATAGTAAGACTGGGACCTTGAAGATCGAAGAACCACGATATCCGGTTCGATAGCATGGCTCTACCGGTCCCGGCCGCAGAATTCACTCCAAGCCGGTACGGGTCGGCCTCGGCCAGCATCTGGTAGTCGTTCGTCATAACCCCGCTATACACAGCCGTGGTGCTTTTGGCAAGTTTCTGCATGGGAATTCCAGCTGTGCCAGAAACAGCAAGTTTTAGTTATATCTGCCCCAAGACTCGGGATTTGAGCCATTGACTTACCGTTCTCAAACGCTTCATAGGCAATCTCCAGACCCAGCCGTTGCATTGGGTCCATGGCCGCAGCCTCGTTTGCTGTGATGGAGAAGAACGGGGCGTCAAAACCGGACACATCGTCCAGGAAATGACCCGATGTTGCGCAGATCTAGTCCTGCAGTCAGCCTTGCACCCGTGTATATGAAGCTATCTACAGCCCCGTAATCCCACAATGAGGGCAATTAAAGACGGAACATATGAAGTGAAGCATCCCGCATTGTTTTCTGCAAAGACTTGTACTTACGCCGCCAGCACGATGTCTTGAGGGATGATACCATGCTTCAGAGGACCAACTTCTTTCGGGGACGGCCGAGTGGCCGGTTCTGCCAGAGCTGACCATGTCCCACAACTTTGACGGCGAATTCGCCCCCGCAAACCGACAAGCCATGCCTATCACGGCGACGGGCTCATCGGTGTTTCTGTCCTGGGGCCATGGCGACCCGATAGCAGAGATTGGTGATCTGCCATGACTACTTTCTGTGCCTAGAGCGCTGTCTGAGGCCGAGTCGATACCGGGGGTATCACACCAAGCCTCTCGCTGCCTGTCTGCTACCGAAAATGACATAGTTCTTGATAATTGATGAGGCTTCAGCTGATGCAACTGAATGTCACATGTATACACAAAGGTAAAAAGAAAAAGGTGTCGTTTTCGGAAAGACAGTCCTTCGATGTATTTAGTATAGACGCTGGTTCAGACCGACTTACACCTATGAAGTGTTTCCCATAGTCAACCGGAAACTTTCATGGTGACTGTCATTGTGTGTGTAGCGGCTCAATACACCTTGCGGCTCATTTCGGTGGTAATGTGAAACCCACGTCCTGGTTGCCGGGATCCGCGAAGCAGGAAATATCCGATGAGTAATTCCGCGATGAACTGCCGTAAAAGCAACCGCGGGATTAAGTTACGTTATTTGAGATGAAGGGTGATTTTAACTTAGTATCAGTTAATTCAAACTGGACCGAGCAAGTCTCATCTTTGCGGTAGTTTTCTTGCATCGGCCATCGGCTCGAGCGTACTGGGGATGACTTCCTCCTGAAGATATATCCCCGATAAATGTACCCTGAGCAAGGAAGCACCAGAGACTGACTTACCACAGGCTGTTGAAAAAAAAAAATCCAAATGTGTCTCAAGTAAGAAGTATGGAATATCTCTACATTGCGGCTTCTAGAAATGCCCGGCTATACCATCACGTAGTCCAATATTTAGATTATATCCTTTTCCCATAACGAGCAAGCCATTTTTCACGGTATATGACAGAAATTAATTTGATCATTTGCAACCTCCGGGTATAAGTTGATGACATCAAGGAGGACTTACTTCCATCAAGGGGTGAGACCAGTTTGCAAATAGTCACACTACTGGTGACAGCAAGACGCCTTATTGGCCTTTCTCCTAGCTTGCAGGCACATGTTAAATACTCTACCACCCATAAACACCGTATTCCTAGCTCATGATGCAGTAATGAGGGTGGCAAGGAAGTCATTTGACAGCATCAATTATCTGAGCCCGACCTCTTTGCTTTCCTTCCACTCAGCCAGGCGGCTCGCCGTTCAAGATGCCCCTCGCTTCCAAGAAGCTCCTGAAATTCTCTCTGTTCCATGTGCGTAACTTCGCTCGTGGCGGTGGTTCTCGAAGCCCTCATCAGTCTCCTAGCTGCCCTGACAGCGTAAAAGTCATTGGCGGCAATGGTCTTTGCGCATTTAACTGCACCCTGTTCACGGTTCGAAGCGAAATAGTTCGTCAGCGATAACAATATGACATCCCAATGAGACACAGCTTCCAGAGGCCAACACAATGAAGTAAGCGAGCAACTTACCGCCAAACAAGAATCACGATCATCAAAACAGTGTGTTGCGATCCCCCATCTCTCGGCGTCTGTCCCGGTCCACTCCCGCCCCGTCAATATTAGATCCGCAGCTCTCCCCGGCCCAACTAGCTTGGATAACAGCCGTAAACCTCCACCCGCCGGTATCAGACCCAGCTTGACCTCGGGGAGAGCGAAGCGCGCATCGGCAGTGGTGTAAATCACGTCGCACGCCAGGGCCAGCTCGCACCCGCCGCCGAAGGCAATCCCGGACACTGCGGTAATCACCGGCACGGAAAGCCCCTCGACTGTAGCGAGGAGGGTGTTCAGCTTTGCGATGGCTTCGGTTGCGGTTAGCTCTTCGAGCTCGGCGATGTCGAATCCAGACGAGAAGGATCGGGCCGCCGATGACCCGGTCAGCACAATTGCTGCTACCCCTGCGCCGGCATTATCGAGGTAACGGAGAACGGCGCAAAGTTGATGAACGAGTGTCTGAGAGAGAGCATTGAGATTCGATGGCGAGTTAAGTGTGACTGGTACACGCAAAATCAGCCAGTACTGTGACAGAATCCATGAGATAGGGGCATCTGTTTGTTACCTATGGCTATGTTATGTGTGTGGTAGGAGACTTGGACGATGTCGGTTGAGGGTTTCATGCTTTGGCCTGACCCGTGATTGAAACCGCTTGAACTAGACCTCGGCAGTGTCCTTTATAGGCTAGTCTTGCTGCTCGATCATGAGAGCGAGTGAACAGTTTGGTTAACTGCCGCTTATGTACACATACAGAAGCCTGGTTACCAAGCGCACGAGTCGAGCACTTCAAGTAGCTTTTCAGGATTTGAAGTAAACGTTAAGAACTTATGTAATTATCGACGGAGTAACAGGCTTTTAGAGACGTCTATGACTGCGATGATTTGATCTTTTCCTGTCTTTGCGAAAACGAGGATCGCTGACGCCTTCACCCAGGTTTTAATCACGAACAGTACATCGGGATCGGGATATTTGTTGACACCCAGGGAATCGGCCCGAACGCCTGAAAGCGAAGGTATCTTACTTTCATGCCTCCCAGAGCTCCATCATTCCAAACAGAAACTCAATCTTTGAATAAACATCCGCTGTCATAGTTACCAGGACCCTGTCCAATGACGACGAGGAAGCACCGGTCCTGACGTAGCCGACTCCGTCATGATGGTCACCTCTATCTCTGCCTCCGCGTATCCGTTCCACTGTTCGGGAAAGACGGTTGAGCCGCGTCTTGAGGAGTTCCCGGATACAAATCTGCCAGAGCTCCCCCTCCAAACTGAAAGATCCGAGTTGGAGACGGTTCGTCTCGTATTCCCAGTCGCGTTCCACGCCGTCATCCTTAATGTCATCTTGTTTCCTCATGCCTGTCTTCGATGCCAGGTTTACATCCTTGTCCGAACTGACTGTACTTGCCAAAGGAGCACCCAGCTGTGTTGTCCTGACAGCCTCAAGCCCTTTATGTGATGACGAGGATCTTAAAAGGTCCGTCTCCAACGTGCCCCTCAATACATCAGCCAACCAGTCGACGTGGAGGTACAGCGTGAGGCGCACGCGAGGCTCCCTGCTGCAGACTCCACACGATAACACGGTCGAGATGGTCTGGTACACGACCTCGTCGAGAAAAAGCAGAAGGTCCAAGGGTAGCCGGCTTTGCGACCGACGATCAGCAGCCCGGTCTTTCATGATACATGCGTGTGGCGCCAGTCTCGAGTGGGAGGCGAACAGCTGAAGTCTGCCTATCAGACTTGGACAGGGACAATAGCTGCCGGACGATGATGAGCAGCTGCGTCCTGGGACAATGGCACCAATGATGCTTTGCAATTCCGAGGTTCCAGACTTGACCCGTTCCCAGGCGTCCTCGAGCTGCCCAACGATGGATGATGGCGGTTTCGTCGGCACCTCGACTTGTGAAGGAGTCGGCAGTATTGTTACCTGCTGGTCTGTGGAAGTGTCGAGGTGCATCATCATGTCGACGTCGACGTCGATGTCAAAGTCGAAGTCGGTATTCATAAAGCTCTCGAGCTCCAAGTCCATGCTGTCCGAGCTGGCATCTTGTAACGAAGTTGTCCTGGTCGACGTCGGTTTCGATGCTGAGATGTGGTCAAAGGTGCTGATGTTTAGATCCGTTTCCTGGCCAAAGGCTTCACCGCCAACTCCTGAACACAGATTCGTGCTCTTTGCGGGTGATTTAACTGATTTTCTTTGCGGTGCTGCTTTCAAAGCGGGATCCAGCCAAGACGGCGCATCTTTCCCGTCATGATGTGAGATTAGGGACCGCTGAGTTGGTGAAGAACCTGGGCAAACAGAGATACAATCATTTTCTGTGTTATCTGCGTTAGAGTCCGCTGCACCGTCTCTGTTGGAACAGTGGTTGGGATTGTTTCCTCGAATTCTATTTCCGGTATGCTGTCCGCTGTCAGGTTCCTCATATCTCGAATCCGAGGTCTGCTCCACATCAGGACTCGCACGAAACCCATGGGAAGTCGGTGTTCGAGCTGATTTCTTGTTTCGTATGATGGACTGTCGGTGTCCTGCTGATTGAGAGGGTGGAGCAACCGATTTGCCTGACAATGACAGGCGTGGCGGCCGTCCGACACGTCCCATACGGCTGTAGTTGCAAACATCGTCGCGATCTCTGCAACGACCGCACGAGGGCTTTTTCTGATCGCATCTAAGTTTAGAGCGCGTGCAAGAGTCACATGATGCTCTCAGCTTTGGTGACCTTTCTTCGATGACCTGGGACCGCATGTCGCTACCGTTTTCACCGCCAGTTTCTGCATCGTGTTGTCGTTCCATGGATTCTGCGTAGGTTGAAGCGCCAGTCTGGAAGACTAGAGCGTGTACATGTAAGGATACGAACTTACGCAGAACTAAATGGGCACCTCTCCATTATCACTGGCCACAACATGCACGTGAACCTGGTAGCTTACGTCGAGAATGCACGGAATGAGGAGTCAAGAAGCACAGGCACGCAAACGCGTCCACGGTTAGGACTCTCCTGTGGAACGTGTCATGATACCGATAGTACGGGAATCCCATAAGTCAGACTTGCGTACCGAAGTTGAGTGCGGACGACTTGCCGGTCCTGGACATACCGCGGTACCATGCCTTGGATCATTGTCCCCGGCTCTGACATATGTAGGTAGAGCCTTTACTTCATCTTTACACCCTGGCGAAAGTGCAGTGATTAGAGTCGTGATACCAGTCCCACATGTGTCATAGTAACTTTGTAGCTTGGGACATGACTTGATCTGGAACAATGAAACACCCTTTTAACCGCAACTCCGATATGAGCGAGCACGTTGGACGCCGACGGAGTTTATCGAAACTTCGAGCAAACCGCCCCCGCTCCGGCAGCCCTCCGGAGACCTCCACTCCGGAAGCCCTCACGAAGTCACCCCGCTTGGCTCACCTCGAGCCTCAGGTCTTGTGCGATGCTGCACTGCTGCAATAAGACTCACCAGAAGGAGACTAATGAGCTTCAACCTTCAATGGACATTGGCCTCGTGTACGCCCGCCCACGCCTTGGCAGGGTCAACTGAGCCCCCTTTCTCCTGTCTACGAGGAATGCATGTTTACTGTTGAAACGCGCAGTTTCTTTCCCATATTCGGACTATAGCTGAAGACCTTGACTAGCCTGTCGATGTAGTTGTGTATATAATAGAAGTTTGGGTTTGTGGATAGGAAATTGTACCTCAGGAACAGAAGCTTATCAAGAAACTTGTCCGACTATTTGCCCTGAACGTTGAATTTATACTCGTTGTATGTGGCGAAAAGTCGAATGAACGAAAAGGATGAGGGTAGATGTATTGATTTACATACGGCATAGCAATTGTTGTACCTCAGGAACAGAAGTGTATTTGATTTCTGCAGGGAGTCATGCGGATGTGAACTGAGTCAACGGTCAGTTCACAGGTGCCAGGACGGCCGTCAAACATCGCTACTGAAGATACGCACACTGGTAGGTGAAAGGCAAACTGATTCCATTTGCAACTCTCCGCATAGTAGTAGCGTTGTGTCACACGAAGGTCTATTCGAAAGCATTGGGTCATCTCCCGAATTCCCGCATACATGGTATCCGTGATTATCCACAAGTCGGCAATTGCCATACGCCGCGTAATTCAATGGAGTAACCCCTAGTCGTATGCATTCATACTTCGGTCTCGGTTTAGGACATCGGGCATCTGAGGAGTTACTTACCTCCGGTAGCTACTATTCCCACCAACACAAGGGTCCCAGTCAGGAAAGCTTTTGATGCCAGGATACCACATCAGCTTTCTTGCCTATTTCGCCAGCTCACGCCCGTATTCCGTACTTCTAGATCCAGATCAAACGCTAGCCCAAAAGTAAGAACCCCTCACCTCGACTCCCTTGACTCTCCCACCATACGTAGCAAGCCAACACACCCATCTTCATTCAAACAATTCAAGCAAGATTAACGCTAGCAGACACCTTAACCGGTATCTTTCTCGTGGCTTCATGCGGACTCTGCTCATCAGCTTACGGGCACCAAAGTTCGCCGGCGTCAGCAGGAGGCGGGAGTGTAAAGTTCGACAACACATATTGCTCGATTGGGAAGTCTTTGTGCCACTGTATCAGCAGCATCGCCAGGAGAGTTCGCCAGGACCTTGTCACAATACAACTAGGTGTGGTCCTGGCCAACAGCGCAGGACACAGGATGACCAGGCAGAGTTCTCACTACCAAAGTTTGTTCTCCGGATCGTAGTGGACTGTTCGGACCGGCCTGTGACATACATTTACCGATGAGCAAAGTAAGGGGACTTGAGGCCTTAGTCGACCATGGGATAACTTCAACGGTCGATGAAGACATAGCAGCTAATGTCGCGAAGCTTTTTATGAGCAGGCAAACCTACGATGGGCAATGTACAAAATCCGATGCAAGTCGCCATAGGCATTCCCAGATCTCTGTCACCCAGCCTCGGACATGATACCGAGATCCGGGAAAATGAATTCCCCCACATGTTCGTGTCAGTTCGATGACACTATTTGCAACCTGAACCTGCCGTACTATGAGCAAAAGCACCATGACGGATTCCTCGGCCTGGAAGAAATAGTCAGATTGGACTGGCGGTTCTCCAATCTCATACGCACAACACGGGATTGTGAATGCTGCTTTGCCGATCTGAACACTTTAATCGCCACACAATCAACGTTGGAGACGGTCTTGAGTCTTCTCGAGACAGCACAAAGCACCTACGGAGCCCGAATCAGCCGCAGACGTAGACAATCCTCTGAGCAATCAACGGACGAGCTGCTGAATCGATGGCCGAACGGCAACGGAGGAGACGCCAAGGGGAATGGTTTCGTGCTGGGACGAGTTGTTCTCGGCGAAGAAGATTGCGACGTGATGGCGCGCAGGCTCATCATCAGCGCCATCTCGAGAATGGCCAGGTGTGTTCGTGAGCTGAGGGCGAGGATTACGAGATACATGGATGATTATTGTGGTACATCACAGTCGGCTGGCCAGTATTACACTCTACCAAGACAGGCGAAGGAAGCGTACGACGAGCTTGACGATAAATTGGGCACGATACTGGAAAGGATTTGTGCGGCAGTGGCACGAGAAAGAATCTGAAGGCGACGACGGAAAACACCACGGAAAAGGATAAGCGCCAATATGCCTTTTTAACCAAGCTTTACACACATAGTCAAGTCAAGAGCTGTCGGCGAAGTACTTTCCAAGTTCTAGGCTGCAAGAACGAGATGGAATAATTTATACAATGTATACACATAACCTTTATATTCCACAAACCTGTAATTTGTCATCCAACACTGCCTTGAAGTCTTGGACATGATCCTTTGTCAAGGCCGTATAGTGATTACCCACAACAAAATTGAACGAAGACGACTCAGCGAAACACCCCCATTCCCGAACGCGTGTCTCCCACTCCTCCTTCGAAACACCCCAGTCCTCCAGGGGATGTGCCCAAAAGGACGTGTAGTTGGCGATCTTGCCGTGCGGGACATACCCCTGAGCCATATGGACGGTGCCGCAAAAGACCCGGTGCCAGGATTCGAGTCTCTCGCGAGTCACGCCGGCAGCCTGGAGGCGTGTGCGGAACCTACGCATCACCAGTCGCGGAAATAAGGCGGGGTCCTGGTCGCGCATTTCCTTCTTCAGCAGACTGGCTTCCGAAGGCGTGATCAGTCGTCTTGTCGATAGTAGGTCGACGATGAAGAAGCGCAGCGTGGCGAAGCTCATTTGTAGGATGTTCGGCGCATTGTCAATACCGCCGACAAAGGCCACGACCTCTCCTACAGCTTCCAATGCCTTGGCCACCTCGAACGCGATGTTTCCGCCAAAGCACATGCCCAGAAGGGCGTAGGGCCCCCGCGGCTGGACCTGTCGTATCTCATCGAAGAAGCATCTCACCATCTCATCCATGCTTCCAAAGGCCTTCTCGCCGGGCTGCAACCCGCGCAGTCTGAGGCCGTACAGAGGCCGGTCGTGAAAGTGGCGAACCAGCTCGATCCAGCAGTGTAGCTCACCGCCCCCTGGCGGAAAAAGAAAGAGCGGTGTCTGGCTTCCTGTGGTGGTGAACGGAAGCAGTAGTTCGCGGTTGCTTGCTATTGACAGTTTCATGATCTCGGTTTCCAGCGCCCGTATGGTTTGCGCCCGGAGGAGGGATGTGATTGGTATTGGGGATTTCAAAGATAGCCGTGCTTCCAGGTTCGCCTTGAATATCAGCATGCCCGGACTGTCCAGGCCGCCATTTTGCAGGATTTGTGTCAAGTCGCTGTCAAGAAGGCTTTCGGAAATCGAGACAAAGGGGCATCTCTCTTCCAAACACTCCACAATGACTCTCTGAGTCGGGGTCAGTTTGGAAATGATGCCATGGTCGGTCTCCGTTTGCAGCCCCGGCTTTTCGGTGTAGAAGTGATGCTGGTGAGGTGGTCGGGTAATTGTAAGAGGGACTTCAAGCAGCGTAGCCGATTCCATTGCTTCGTGGCTTGAAAGAGGAACTTCTGTAACGCAGAATGAAGGTCGCAGCTGTAGCCGATAACATCCTCGGTATACTACAAGATGGTCGACTTATTTAAATATTTCCTGTCGGGTAAAATCCCGTAGCCTTAATCTGTGCTTAAACGCGATGGTGCGAACGACCAGATGTTGCCCACCGGAGCTTCGAGTAATACTGCCGGTTGGCTAATCGGCAATTGCCCATCGAACAAACCAATTTTAGAAGCCGGTTAGTGTACCGATGAATTATATCTCACTGATTCATTAAGTTTTGCCATCTTTCTCGACGGCGAAACTAGTATGTGGGATTGCGCTTCGGCCCATTAAACGTGTGAACCCGGAGCGGGGCACGGGTACCGTTGCTCTTCGGTCTATTAAACCGGAGCCGGGAAACGTCGGCTGGCGCTTAGAACGGCATAGTCCAATGAGTGAGTGGCCTCTCGCTATCAAATCCATCTTTCGTATTGTTCTCGCATCATCCAGCGTCTAAATCACCATGAACCAGGACGACCTCCTGCCAAATAGCCTCTCCTGCTCCCAACAGGTACCGCTCGGCGTTGGGGAGCTCTTCTCGGTAAAGAATAGGATCGTCGTCGTCACGGGAGGTGGCTCGGGTCTCGGCAAGTCCATAGCTGAGGGCTTTGCGGTAAACGGCTCCCGCGTCTACATCGTCGGTCGGCGTCTGGAAGTTCTTCAAAAGGCTGCCAATGAGATTGGTGGCGATGTTCATGTACTTCAAGGAGATGTGGGCACCAAGGCTGGTTGCGAGAAAGTAGCCGAGCAGGTCAAAGCCCTCGAGTCCCGCGTAAGCGTTATACCTCTGTCGTTAGATCCATTTGCATTCTCTTACCTGTTGTCCGCATCTCAGGTCGACACTCTCGTCAACTGCGCTGGGTTGATGACCCTTTGGAAAGTCTACGCCAAAGACCGGAACAATGGTAAGCTCAATGTTTCTCAAAATATGAAGATTATTCCGTGCCGTAACAGGGGAATCTTCAGTATGAATGTTTACATGAACTACGGCTGATCTATTGGCGCCATGACAGCTGACGAGATGGAGGAAATGTTACTCGAAGGTATCGATGAGTAAGTTGAGGCAGATTCCTCCTTGGCGACCGACGATGTGCGTACTGATTTAAGGAGCAAAGCGAGGATTTTGATCATTCGAACCGCAGTAAACTCATGTGAGCGATCGAAGGCTGGTAAAGAGTACTAAATGAATGTCCAGTCCATATCAACGGAGTCTACTTTATGACGACATGTCTTGTTCCGTTGCTGCGCAGAGCCGCCGACCCAAACGTCTTGGTCATCTCATCTCTCGCCGCCCTGACAAACGATGGGTTTGTGACATCGGTAGCTTACGGACTTTCAAAGGCCACCGGTATGTTGTCTCCTGTAAAGCCCCCTTCCATCCGGTTCCGTCCCGCCTCCTCAATTCAATTTGCTAAAACAACTTCTGCGTAGAGAGCAAGCTTGCCTTGATGCTTTCATCTCTCCTTCGTCCGTGAGTAGTTTATCCTACCACCTTCATACAGTTGTCATCATCAGCATATCAATCCGTGTCCGCTTTGGAATCCCTGTAGTCCTAATAGGTCACTCATTTTCTCACAGGATGAAGATCCGCGTGAACACCATTTGCCCCGGCATATTTCCTTCAAATATGACAGGTGTTCTGAAAGATGAGAACCACATGCCAATCCTGATCGCCGCCACAGACAGGGTCGGCTGGGGACTGCATCCAGTAGCGCAGGAGACGACGGCCCGATCAACCGCAGGTCGCCCGGGCCGCCCTGAGGAGATATTGGGCCCGGTTATAATGCTCTCGAGTGCGGCAGGTGCCTACATGAACGGCGCGCTGCTCGTCATCGACGGCGGCCTTCTTGTGAATGCCTTGAGCTAGTCCCTGAGGCTCAGATTTTGGGGAACCAATTCAACAAGGAAATCGGAAGAGGACTGTACTCGTGGGAGTTGCTCGTATCTCCGACACACCCCAAGGGACGCGTCATGGACGCTCGTTGTCTCGAAAACCGAGACCATACCGTACATCGACTTCCTGCAGTATCGGGACAACGACGCCGATGAACTCTGCAATGTAATTGCTGTTCTCCGAGGCTGACACCATTTCTTTTGGGGGGAAGCTTGTGCCGTCATAGTTCGTTAATATCACATGTACTTATTGACAAACACCTTAAGCCATTGCACCCTGGAAGCTTGCATGTATCAAGAAACTTGTCTGAGAACTGAATGTTAAATGTGTTTTACTTAGACATGGCGAGATTTCGAATAGACTAGAAAAGAATGAGGGTGGCAGTATCGTATTGCGCGGCATGTCGTAATTATGGATGGATATCCCACTGCAGAGCAAACGCTTTTTCCAAACCCGAAAGATTCCGTATCATTTGTCGTCTTATCTTGAGTTGACGCTCTGTAAGGTTCAACGTTTAAAGGGTCCATTTGAACTTAGTCAAATTGACAGGAAGGGGAACGAATCGGAGCCTTTTATTGACGAAAACTAAAGGTCCCGATTAGGGGCACACAGCTGCCGTGATCCCCCTCACTTGAGGCAATATATAACCTGTCGGAGATCCTATTTGACCTCACATGCCATGCACATGACACTCTAGTGTTTTATAGAGGAAGAACAGGCAAATCATTCAGGCCATGGAAAATGTTTCGCAACCCGTTGTTCAAGGTGGTGCCCTGCACCACACCTGGGCATCCATTTCGGCTCAATCGCCGGCGCGGCTATTACACATACTTCCCGTCTGGGTGTATGTAACCTGCGTTGCAATTTTCAGCTGGTGGACGACGACGCGGATAAGGGCCGCGAAGGCAATGAAGAATTGGAAGTTTGACTGCCCCGAAGTACCGAGAGACGGGCCAAACCTCGGATCAACTCTCAAAAAGGGTCTCGTACAGGTATGTCCATGTCACAGTATTGCTGCTCTTTGTAGTGCGATCGTCGATAACATGTGAAAAAGTACCCCGATGAGCCGTTCAAGGTGATCACGGCGGATGGCTTCATCGTGTTCCTGCCCGCCCGTCACATCCAGGAACTCTGTATGCACCCCAGAACCGAGGTTTCCTTCGGCCATATGGTTCTACAGTACTTTTCGTCATGGGCAACTGGCTTTGGTGTCAACAACGATACGTTTCTCAGGGGCACCAAAATGGGGCTCCTGACGAATGGTGCTCGTTTCATCGAACCCATGATAGACGAGACAGAGGCGGCCTGCTCTCGGATATTCGGCTGTGGCGGAGATGGCAAGAGTGACGAGAAGGAATGGACGTCCGTCAATGTCAGCTACGCCGCCGGCCAGCTCACAGCTCAAGTTATGGGTCGTGCATTTGTGGGCAAGTCGCTCTCAAGAGATCAGTCTTGGGTCGATGGACAAGTATCATACTTGGCCTACGTGTGGGCGGCCGCTCGAGGCATCCAGAAATGGCCACTTTGGGTACAGCCGCTGGTGTACCGGTTCGTCAAGGGTTACAAAGACTTACGCCAGGAGGAGAAACGGCTTGCAGAAAAGCTGAGACCCGAGTTCGACGAAGCCAGACTCGGAATCTACGGTAGCGATGTGAACACGAAGCGGGAGCAGACCATGATCGACCACTTCCTCACCGTGACACAGGCCAACAAACAAGAAGACATTATGTTTCATATGACACTACAATATCAGCTTATCTTTACCGCCATACACCCGACCTCAGAAACGGTATGTCTTTTTTCTTCGTCAGAGACCCAGCTCAGGTTGATGATGCTGACTTGAGATCGTGGTCACCAAGTTGTGGCAAGTTCTCTACGACATTGCACTCTATCCTGAGTGCCAGGAAATCCTGAGACAGGAACTTGCTGGGGTTGATCGGACAGACCACAAGTCCTGGCTTTCTCAGGTGCCAAAGATGGACAGTTTTATGAAGGAGTCTCAGCGGCTGCATGCCGCCTCACTCGGTAAGACACGATAGTCAATTGGGAGAGCTGTTGAGTCCCGTCTCTGACGACCTTTCACCGCAGTCACTCTAACCAGGATGGTTCTGAAACCGATCACGACTTCAACAGGGCTGCACTTTCCGGCCGGCAGTCAAATCTCATACATGACGGACGCCGTCAACCTCGACCCCAACAGGTGGTCTAATCCTGAAGAGTTCGACTGTCTGCGATTTTACAAGTTGAAACAGGATGTCAAGACCGAATCTCAGCTTGTAACGCTGAATTACTCATACTCGGGGTTTGTAGTCTTCTTCCATTCTGTCCCTTGAGAATCGGCTGGCTGACGGTAATTTCTAAACAGCCCGGGGCAGCTTAATTTCGGCTACGGCGTTCAGGCGTGCTGCGGCCGTCATTATGCCGGATGGTTCATCAAAATGGTGCTCGCCGAGCTGGTGACCATGTACGATCTGAAGCTGAAGGACGGCCCCGGGGTCGGAGACGGGATGAGGAACTTCACCATCCGGAGCCAGAGGATCGGAAATCCGAAGGCCGAGATCTTGGCTCGCAGACGGGAGAAGTGAGGCCGGTCTGGCAGCCGACACGCTCCGCCCGACACATAACGAGCCGACCGCAGATCTAACCGGTCATTTTCTGATGAAAGCCGAGGGAGAGAGTAAAACTTCCCAGCACAAGCTTTTCTGGCATATCGGGTGATTTACACGAGTGGTGGTGGATTATGGTTTCAAATGTACCGACAAAACATCCCCCTCCGTAGTCCATAGTAAGCTATGCGCAGTCGCACATCAAGACTAGCGAGAAATATTTCTACCAAATGAATTGCATTGTATGCTTCATCCCTGCTCGTCGAATCGTAACCCCGGATAGCCGCAATGTCTGTCACAACGTCGACTGAGAAGATGACGGGCGACCAGCCCCTTAAGGTATCGACTAGCGGAATAGGAGATGTCTGTGGCACCGAGTCAGATAGTGCCACGGACGCAAGGAGATTGGAAACAAGAGATTTCGAAGCAGATGGCAGCACCGGTAAGAGAGGCAAGTCGGTGCAGCAAACCGTCGCAGTCGGCGCCTTGACCTTGGGTCTTTGCCTGGTGGCATTCGCAGCTGCAGTAGACAACACAATTCTCGGTATGTATCTAATCGAATCCTCAGAACAAGCATCATGGCGATGCTGGGATGTCTGTCTGGTCTAATTCAGAGACAAGGAACGGCTATCCCGCGTATCACAGCCGAGTTCAACTCGCTCGAAGACGCCGGGTTGTACCGAAGCGCCTCGCTTGTCGCTTCGACGGCGCTTCAACTACCCTACGGAAAGGCATATGCTCAATTCAACGTCAAATGGATCTATCTCGCAAGCCTACTCATCTTCGAGGCGGGATCCGTCCTCTGCGCCGCCGCTCCCAGTTCCAGGGCCCTCATCGCCGGACGTGTCGTCTCGGGTGTCGGGGCGGCGGCGCTTTACTCGGGCGCCATCAACATGCTCGCGATGGCAGCAAGCCCGCAGAGAACTCCCGCTCTGTTTGGCACTCTTTCCAGCATGTTCGGTCTGGCATCGCTGGTCGGTCCTCTCCTGGGAGGCGCCTTTACCGACGCGCCGAATCTGACCTGGAGGTGGTGCTTCTGGATCAATCTACCCCTTGGCGGCGTCGCCGCGATATTCATCTTGCTTGTGTTCCGAATCCCCAAACCGTCGTCTCCTCAAATGCCTACTCACGTGGAGGCGGATACGGAAATGCAGACAGTCAACAGCACGCAGAATGATGCCCAGGACATGCAAGACAAAGCAGCAGCAACAACAACGACGAGAACAACAGCCCCTGCTCAGCAACCACACACCCAGGAGGTACCAGCCTCCAAATTCCTCTCTTTTATCAGAAAAGTACAGAAGATGGATCCGCTAGGCACCGCTCTCCTGATCCCGGCCATGGTGAGTCTGGTGTTGGCCCTCCAATGGGGCGGGACAACGTACCCCTGGTCAGACGGGCGTGTTTGGGGCTGCCTGGTCTGCTTCGGCGTTCTCGCAGGCTTCTTTGTCCTCTCATTGCGGTTCAATGGCGATGAAGCTGTGATCCCGCTCCGTCTCCTCCGAGACCGCACCGTTTTGGGTGGCGTGCTGATGATTACCTGGCTCTCCGCGGGCTTCTTCACACACGTCTTCTTCCTGCCATTTTACTTGCAAGTCGTCCAGGGCATGAGTGCCACGGCCTCCGGTCTCCGCCTCCTAGCCTACCTCGGAGCCATGGCCTTGGCCGGCGTGGTGGCCGGCGGAGCCATGTCATCGCGCCGCGGCGGCGGCTTATCGAACCACAAGCCATACGCCTGGGTCGGCGCTGGACTCTTCATCGTCGGAGCAGGTCTGTTGCACACGCTGTCCGTCACCTCGGGGTTGGGCAAGGTCGTGGGATTCCAGCTTCTATCCGGGGCCGCTCTCGGGATTGCGTGGCAGGTTCCCTACATCGCGGTACAGCGGTCAGAGAAGCTCGCGAAGCGGCCGGGCGATGGCGCCATCTCCAACGCCTTGATCACCTTCTCCAACTCGTTCGGCGCCGTGCTGGGCATCTCGATAGCGCAGAACATCTTTGCGAGAACGCTTACCACAGGCCTGGCGGGCGTTCCGGGCTTGGATTCCAGTCACGCCGACGCTATTGCGAAGGCAGGCCAGGCCGCGCAGCTGAGTGATCCCGCCTTTTTGCCTCAGGGGCTCCTTGTCCTCGTGTTGCAGGTCTTCAACGACGCCATCATGTCGACGTTCACCTTTGCTGCCGTCGCCGGAGGCGTGGGCTTCTTATGCAGTTTTATTTTCCCATAGAGTAAAGTCCAAATATGGTGATATTCAGTAGTGCTGTGTAACCTTTAACACATAATTCTGTCTGCACCCTAGCTATGTAAGAGAGGAAGAGAGACGTCGTCTCTACTTGTTCGGAAGTCAATCATTATCAAGCCCATGCACAACTACAGAATACCTGCACGCTACAGAATCATAATCACCAGTAGCAGTTTCTCCCACCCTAAGGTGGATGATGTGTTGCTTCTGTACAATCCGTTCGGGTGTTTTTTTTTCTTTTTTTGGCTCTTTTAGTATTATCGCGGCACGAAAATTAAATGGTTAGAGGTATCAACGGAGAGCTGATATTTATTTACAATGTTCCTCGGTATTATCTTCCATGTTTGTTTAATCGAGATGCTAGTCTAAACGTTCTCAAAACATTGCAATACCTGCTAGCAAAAGCGATTGCGGCTGCAGACTTGGTGAAATTCAGATCACGACGCCAAACATTAAAAGATAGCAGACAGAGTGATTGGGATTAAACTAGCTCCAACTGGACTGGCGGTTCTCCCCAAGCAGTCTTTTGTGGTTCGCTTGATAGTTTCAACTCTTCGGTCGTATCAAGTGCCACGACATTCCCCTCAGCAGTGACCGCATACAACGTCCTGTTGTTCGCCTCTGTTCTGCCAAATTGTAAAGCCGATGTACCAACAAGCATATCATCCCCGGAAACCCACCAAGACTTTCCTTCTGGGCCGGCTGCAATGATTCTGCCTTGTTGTGAAGCCACCCAAACCGCAGATCCATCGTCTGGGTGGAAGGTAAGGTCGCGAACAGCAGGAAGCACCCTCACGACCTCAGCCACGGCGCCGGCTGCTGCCACCCCTTCGTCTGAAATCTTGATCCTGTAGCTGTGTCCGCGGGCGGCACTGGTCCACCATACATAGCCGTCGTGGATGTCGAGACCACTGACACCGCTTGCCGGACCAGTCGATTCAGACGCACCCATCTCCGGAACTTGGATGCCGACAGTGACATTGGCAGTTGCTGTGTTCACGCACCATACGACTCCAACCGCAGAGTCGGCAACGAGTATGATGTGTGGGTTTTGTGGTATGCTAGCTACTTTATCGGGCCGGACAGCTTCGGGAAGTCGGGCGACTAGGCTTGGTTGAGGGGTCGGAGTCTTGTTGAAATCCATGGTCCATATCGCGGCGGTGCCTGCCTCGTTGACATCGTCTCGATTGACGATGCTCCCGACGAAAGCGAAGACATCGGGAGTTGTCTCCGTGATACCGAAGAGAGCGTTGACAGTTGGTCGGAGTTCGAAATGGGTGTGTAGAGTTGCCGCTTCTGCCCCCGCGCCAGATAGTTCCCAAAGTGTTGGAGAGGGCCAGCCTTGAGTAATGAGTATGTTGCCGTTGGACCGGATTGCAAGGTCCTCGAACTTCGCCCACGGGACTTGCGCGACGAGTTTGGCGGGAGAAACGGCGGCCACAGATGCAATCTGGAGAAATGCCACAGATAATCGAAGTAACGAGTTTTCCTTGAACATCATGGTGTTCTTAAAAGTTGATGAGAGATGAAGAGCAATATTGATGAGTACTAGGGTTCTCACGAACGAGTGCTAGCAGTGTCCTGAGTCTTAAAACATTGGACCGGAGCTCCGGTGTTCAGTCGGGACCGAACTGGTCATGATCCACTGTATTGCTATGAACACAACTTCTCGTGATTTCATTGGCGACGAGAATGACGACAGCTCCGGCTGTGTTGTCCCCCTGACGCTGATGAATTTAGGAAGGATGCGGTCTATCCAGGGTTTGCGCAACGCAGTACGGAACCATCCAATGGTATGTGGCACTAAGGTGTCTTTCTGGGCAAGCTCTGATCCCAAAGCCAATACAAAGAGGAACTTCATCGCGAAATACTGTTGCCTAAGCGGTCTCATGACATGGATACATACACTGCCATGCGGGCCGGTGGAGTTTGATCGACGAGAGACAGCGGCAGTGGCCGGCAGACAACATTGAGTTGAGCTTGCAGAGTCCCAATAACTCAAAGAAAACACGAGACAACAACAGCGGCATAGATGTGAATTATGTAACCGGCTTTCTACAAGTTCGCAAAGATTACACGCCGAGATTGATTGATGACCCATGGTACAGCAGATGGACTGACGATGTCTGCCGTTGGAACGACAGGTCGAGATCCACTTCCTCGGCGACCAGACCCGCCTGGAGGCTGGTCCCCGACCACAGGGTTTGATAAAAGAGAAACCTGACTCAAAGGCCTGGAGTCCTGAACAAGATTCGAATCCCACGGTTAATAATTCACCTTCGAATGTATAATCCGGTCAGTATATTTCCGCCTTGAGCACTGCCTCGAGTCGGGCCGGGTCAAACTTGACACATGTCAGCTTTGGTCTTCTGCAGCTGTTGCAAGACTCATGCAGCCTACCTGGATTCCTTTCGTTGAGTCCCAAATGACGACCTCTTTGGAGAACAACATGAAAGATAAGTTCTCATTAAGTTGAAGTTTGGCGTTGTCCAGTTTAGTCTGCACCTCTCTCACCGCCGAGACAGAAGAGTCTGCGTTGTTGAGCCACAACTTGATGACAGCGTTGATGGGCGGCATGTCTTGTCCGCCGAAGTATGGGCGCGTGTCTGCTCCGGGAACGGGGACATGAATGCTTGCGTTATAGATGGCTCCGGCAGGCAGAGGTTTGACTAATGCGTCTGCCAGATTTTTTGCGAACGTCTCGTTGGAAGACACATCCTTCGTACCAATTGCCCAGAAGAACGCTACAATGGTTCCCTTGTCGGCGGGCATGGGTCGCTGTGAGCCACCGGGAATGTCGGTGATGAATGTTTCGATGGCCATCATCGACATGGCAGTCGGGAGGTCGTTGAAGTTAGCACCATCCGGACCGATGACCGTCTGTGTATAATTCGAAGGCGGCGGGCCCATGAAAGTCGCCGGTGAGCTGCTGTAAAGCTCCGTGACATCATCACGTCCAACGTAGATCTGATTGGGGACGCTGTTGTTTGCGCCGAACACGCCGTCAAAGATGTGGTCTTGGACATAGGCTAATGGAAACGCGTCGTCTCGAGGAGCATTCCAGGCTTTTTGGCCGTGAACTAGTGTATGGTAGTACAAGTATTCCTTCTGCGTCAAGCCGGACCGGCGGCGAACGACAGCTAGTTGCTTCGGAAGCGAGGGAGATGGGGCTTGAAGCTCGCCCAACACAACGCTGGCAACAAGGCCGAGAGCAAAGATGTTGAAAAACATGTCTCGAGATACTTCAAACATAAAAAATTCAGTACACTCATGAAGATTGTAGAAGTTGAACTTTTGCAACTGTTCACTTTAAGGAACACAGTTACTTAACTGGCTATCCTCTTCTCGGCATCCCACAGCCGGACCCGGTGGGGGCAGCGTGGTACTCTATGGATGTATAGCATGCCTTCGACTCCCCTCTCTAAACAATGGGTAGTCGCGAGTAGCTTAAATTCGGGATGAAATCGGCGGCCAATGAAATGGAGATGTGTGCGTTTAATTGGCATGGTATTCAATCCCGAAGACTCTCCCGAGGTGGTCCGGAAAGTGGGTGGGTGTTGATCCCCACGATGGCGATGAACTCTATTCAATTCAGGGGCCTTTCCGGAACTGCGAAGGATGAGTAAACAGTTCAAAGTCTCTTTTAACTCGTCTCTAAGTAGGAATATAACTGGTTTTATGACACACAAGTAAACCAAGTATCAAGAAGATAACGGGAACTTGATTCCGATGAATGCGTGACGTCTTTGGTGAACTTGAAATCGTATGATTGGGTATCTAATTAGCAACACCATCCTTCCACCCAGAAAGCTGTTTATGACAAAAGCGTTACATCGCCAACGACAGGCCTGTGGTCACTGATGAGCATGCCGTTGACGTTGTTGTTCAAGATCTCGTAGCGTTGAACGGAGTACTTCTTCGCATCCTTGGGGCCGAGCCAGACAAAGTCAATGCGGCTTCCCTGCGTGCTGGTGTCGAAGGATGTGTAGGTAATCTGGTTTGTGCCGGCACGCTGGTCAGGCGTTGCCATGTTGTACAGCTCCTCCATGTATCCCGTGTCTGAAAGCGTCTTGTAGGCGTCGCCATTAGGATCAGAGTTGAAGTCGCCGGTGAGCGAAACGCCAAGAGGCCCGTAGGTAGTCTGCACATTCTGAATCTTGGACACGACGACCTTGATACCTTCGGTGCGGGCCTGACCACTGACGTTGTCGAGATGGGTGTTGGCGTGGATGAACTTCTTGCCGGTCGCGATGTGCTCGAACACGGCGATAGTGACGACGCGCTTGCTGCCGGCGCCCCATCCGATAGAAACCTGGTCCGGGGTCGGTGAGAGCCACTTCGTCTCGTCGTGGACCAACTTCAACACGTCGGAGCGGTAAAAGATCGGGCTGTACTCGCCGCTCTTCTTGCCGTCGTCGCGACCGACGCCAACGTGGGCCCAGCCGGAGCCGAGTCCGTTTTGGATGTCGTTCAGCTGGTTGTCGAGGACTTCTTGGAGACCGATAACGGTGACGGCGTCTGCAGGAGCCGCGGAAGCAGCGTTCTTGAGGGCGTCGATAACGTGCGGCTGGCGGCAGCGGTCCTTGGAAATACCGCAGAAGAGATCCCACCATGGCTTTTCGCCCGATTCGCGGGAGCCGGCATCGTATCGGATGTTGAAAGAGACAACGCGGATCGGCAGACCCTGGGCAAGGGCTGCCTCGGCAAGGAGGATGGGTGCCAAGAGGGTCTTGAGCTGCATTCTGGGCGTTTACAACGAGTGACTGATGTTAAGAAACGAAGGACGTGGTGGTGATCACACCAGACCGAATGAGAACTATTGGTATCAGCAGCCTCTATTTATCAAGGCGGTAACATGAGAGCGACTTTCCATCTCTCAAGGAATCGCCGAGACCCTTCAGCCCAATAAGGCAGTTGAGGAATTACACGAACTGGGATCCCCTCATATTGTTACCTCGCTGCGGGGTTTTGGCCCCCTCGCGGCCACTGAACTGACACGTGGGTCGCATTTGAGCCACATTGGACTCTGAGGCTCGGCTCTTTCATGCGAATAGGGGGCCAATGTCCGCAGTTTGCGTGGAAAAAACGTCACGGCAGCCCCGGTAGTTGTTATCGTCGCATGCCAATCCCTGGCAGTTTGAGTGGTATTTAGCAACCTTAACGGAGAGCCTATTAAGTGACCCATGTTCTCAGCCACTTTGATCATTGGGTCGTCGGGTGTTGATGGGGGCCGAGTCAGTGTATGCTTTTTTGGGAGTGCCGTATTCCATGGAAGAGGAAATATTGGACGAACCAGTCTGCGGTTGCCGGTATTTATAAACCAGAGTTCTCTCGCAAGCCGTTGGGATGTAATAATTCTTCTTATAAGTTCTACGTAGATTGAGGCTGGCCTATTTTACCATACCATATGGGCTCACTACATGTAGCACGTCGTCAGCTGAGCATAGTTGACAATCATAGCTCGACGACGGATGCCGGTCTCACACTTTGCGGAAAATAGAAAATCTCATCTGGGTCCACAGCCGCTTTGATCTCTCGTAATGTGGGAAGACTCTTCCCCCAGTACTTTTCCTGGGCCTCGGCCTGCTTCATATTCGGATCCGGGTAGTTGAAGTACATGCCGTGGTCTTCCGGCTGCATGCCAACAGTAGCATTTGCGACAAACCCCCGAAGAAATGAGAAGCCATCCTCAGGGTATGTTGCCGAGAGATCGACTCGGTCATAAAATTGGTAGAGAAGCAACTTGTCGCGATGGGCGTATGCAGACGAATTGGCAGGTAGTTGCGAGATGACGGAGTTCTTGCCTCCGTGGAAGTCGACTTGAACGTACCAGTCTCGCTTCAATGGCTTCCCAACAGTGTACCAGAAACTCACGAACGAGTTGATTTGATCATCCGTGAGTTTATCGGTGTAAAGACTGGATGAGTAGAAGTTTTCCTGCTGCACCGACGTTAATTGAGCTAAATACTTTGCCATATCTGAGAAAGGAGGCTCACCTTCTTGTAAGTGTCCTTCTGATCTAGCGCCATGCCGTTACCGAAATGTTGAAGGTTGCCAAGCCAGTCGGTTGTCTGCGACGTAGTCAAACGTCCACCTAATTTAGCAAGCAGAGGGTCTAGAATAGCTTGAAGACCAGTCTTATTGCCATAGAACATGCCTTCAAGGTTGGTAAATCGAGGGGTGATGAAGAGCCGCATGTTGAGCTCTTTAGGCATGTCCTCTTCGACCCAATCTTGAAGAACCTTGAAGCCGTTGATGGACTTCAATGCATCCCATTGAAGCAATGCAAGAAAGTTGGTGGCCTCCCTTGGCGCATCGAAAGTCTTGAAATAGAACTCCGTAGCCACACCAAGCGAGCTACCCGCACCTTTAAGTGCCCAAAAGAGGTCGGGATTCTCGGTTTCGGAGGCAGTCACGACAGTACTGTTGGCAAGAACGACTTTGGCGCCAATGAGCCAGTCGAGCGCGAGCCCTTTGGTATGAGAGCTCATGCCGTAACCACCATGAAGAACATGACCGGCGCTGCCCACTCTTTTCAGAGGTCAGTAATGATCAATACAAGCGATACATCTTGAACTTACCCAGGACAAGTGCCATGGCTGATTGCTTTGCCGCCTTGCTTGTAAAGCTCACTCGCAACATGGCCCAGCCGAGATCCTGCTTGAACCGTCGCGATTCCGGTGGTATTATCTAGAGTGACGTTGTACATGTGGTCGAGCTCTAGCATCAAGTGTCCATCTTCGCCGCCGAAGCCGAAGTTAGCGTAGCTGTGCCCACCGCATTTTGGAGTCACCTTGACTCCGTTATCTCGACCGCATTTGACTGCAGCTTGGATATTCTCGGTTGTCAAAGGAACTGCGATGGATACAGGGATGTAGGGTATTCTGACGTTAAATGGTGCGCTGTCCGCCTGCCACTGTGAGCTGTCCTTTTTGTTGAAAGGGACATTGGACGCTGCAAGACAGTCGTCAATGATGGCCTTTTTGTTTAGTGGCGAGGCTACCGCAAGGGCTGCGTTCAACAAAAGAATGATAAAAGTTAGTACTGCCATTGTGCAACTATCGCGATGTTTGGTCACCTCATCGCTGTCTCTTCACCCCAGATAGTGGGGGTGATCTATAATATTATATGGGTATTGGGTGAGGACTTTGATCTATGGTGAGAGCTTCGGCTGAAGGAAACTGCCCATCATACGAATTCGGTCCAGCAGCCTTGGCCTCGGAAGAACAAGATACGCGATAGGTGAGATCAGACGATAGTGTCGCCATTCTCGAAAGACCCAAATTGAGCTTGAGGATGGTCCGAAGGCCGTTTGGGACATGCGACAGTACTAGCAGGACGAGTGGCAGTGGAGTGGTAAGATCTAATCACTTCTCAATTCAACAGTCACTCTCATAAATATTAATAATGACATCATCAGTAAACAGTTCTCACTTGCTGCGGACTTCACTATATTTTTACAGATGCTATGATTAATAACATTTGGTTCATCAGGCTAAATATCTGTACTGGTAATATCTGCATATCAGCCAACAGAGTAAATGCCGGACCTTTGACTGTCAGACGCGGTATTCAGTAGGGCTTTCATTACCAGAGCCATGAAATAAAAATGACATAGACCCAGCGCAACTCGTTTTCGATGCCCTTAGGCAATGTATTAATACAACCAATAGACTTATGCGGAAATTTGGCAACTATCGTGAGGATCGGGTACCGAGACATGAAAATGCGAGTCTGTTGAATTGCTGCTGGCTTCAGATTATCGTGCCGACTTGGCTTCTGCCGGGATCTGCAATTAGCCGCAATCGGGCCATACGGGATGTCGCGTCAATAAATCCCATTGATGTATTCTTCCGTGATTTGCCCTTTTGGGCTTTTCGGAAGATGGCGTAGGCCTATCAGCAGCTCCCGAGCCGAAACATCACGTTGGAGATTGATGACGACAAAAAGGAGCTGCATGTACATGTAAAGAAGCTGCTTCTGTTACCACAGTAAGTAGGGAGGTAGTAACTGCAGAGCCTCAAGAAGCCCAAAAGGCTTGAGGCAGCCCGTGAAATCAGACCTTCATTATCCCTGGACACAGCATCGGATCAAATGTTCGATATCATGATGGCAATTTTGTTTCTTCTTTGGGCTTTCCTAACTGTCTTTGGGAAAGTTCAGGGGGCTACTCTTCTCGCCTCCCACTACAGCGGCCAGATCTACACTCTCAACCTGTCGCCGGCCAACCAGTTGACTATCACAAAGTCAGCCAGCTCTGGCAATCGCATGCCGGCATGGCTTGACTTAGACTCGGCAACGAAGACACTCTATGTCCCAGATGAGACGCAATGGGGCCAGCCCCTTCTCAAGAGCTTCTCCGTCGCCGATGATGGTACTGTTACGGCGAAAGGACAGGCCCAGACTGCCGGCGGTGAACTGCATAGCACTCTCTTCGGACATGGAGGACAGGACGGGAAAGGTTTCATCGCTCTGGCGCAATAGTAAGTCGGCAACAGCGTCCTATTGAGGTAGCACTTATTGACCAGCTGTCATCTCAAGTGATGCTTCAACAATCTCGACATACGCCCTTCCCCTGACAGGAGTTAGTCAGGCCCTGCAGAGGCTGACTTTCACGATGTCCAAACCCGGCACTGTGCCGTCTCGGCAGGACAAACCGCACCCACACTCTGTCTTCACCGACCCATCCGGCCGATATCTTCTTTCCGCCGACTTAGGCGCCGATCTTGTCAGAATTTTCAGTGTTCAGTCCAACGGTAGTCTGACCGAATGCCCATCAGCCCAGGCCGGACTCGGGGATGGACCGCGTCACGGCGCGTTTTGGACCCAGGCCAACACCACGCTGCTTTTCACCGTGAATGAGCTGTCAAACTCAATCACGTCCTGGTCGGTTACATACGAGCCGTCCGGATGCTTGAATCTTTTGAAGAATCAAACTATTTCCACGTTTCCAGCAGGAGTAGCTGCCCCGTCAGGCTCCAAGGCTGCCGAGGTGCATGTAAAAGGCAACTTCGTTTATGCGTCAAACAGATATGATCGGTCTTTCGGGGCACAAGAGGACTCTCTGGCAACGTATTCTATCGACCCTTCTTCGGGCGAGGTCAAGTTTGTTGAGACAACCAGCGCATACTCCTTTTTCCCACGTACGTTCGCGATCAAGAAGGATGGAACTTTGGTCGCGATTGGAGGCCAGACGAGCGCCAACGTAGCCATCGTGGAACGAAACACGACGTCGGGAAAGTTGGGGCGGCTCGTTGCCTCGATTAAAGTTGGGAACCCCGGAACAATTAACCAGGAAGACGGTCTCAGTGCCGTCATATGGAACGAATAAGGTCATGGGCAAATTAGTACAGGGGAACCGGAAGGTTGGGTCCGACGACTAGTCCAACTTAAACACCAATTTCAGCTCAAGCCGGAATACGTACCCGGGATGGCTTCAAGACCGGGATGTATAGTCCATCGCGCTCACGTCCAGATGCTCTGGTAGCCCACAGGTGTTTTTTATATTCTTGTATGTAAACTAAGTTAAGCCCAAATTTTGTCTCCAAGCTTCCTCAGTCTGAAAGTAATGTCACGAGTGCCGGTTCATGGTGTAAAGAATATTTGTTTAACTCTCATTATCTTCGGCAGATCTAAGAATCTATGCTGCCGCAGTTCAACGGCAAAGGTGGTATCTCAAAGATCACAACATCAAATCAAACAACACGCTCGCCAGCTCACTTCTTCTTGCAAAGTCTGTTCAAGTAGTCGACAACAGTCCACTCCTCACTTCCAGGTGTCGACCAGGAAAAGAAGATGCCATTAGGGTCCCACTTCTTCTTCGTCGCAACCAGCTTGGAGTAAATGGGTCCCCAGAAGGCGTCTTGCCAGTTCTTCATGAACGCATAGTTCTGTCGATAGTTAGTGGCGGACTCGAGTTGTAAACCTCAGGATCCTTAACGTACCTCGTTCACGTAAGCTAGACCGTTGGGAGCGGCTTGCTTGAATTTTTCGGTGATGGTGTTCACCATCAAATCATTGAGAGCCAGCTTCTGAGCCCAAGTAGCGTCCAAAGCCTGGGGCAGAATGGCCATTGTTCTCATGGTTGCTCCTCTCCATCTCGGGTGGGTGGCACTCTGGGGTGTCTTGACCGTCATGCCTGGATCAAACATGTGGCTGATGACAATGCCGAACTTGTCCGCAGCCGGGGCAAGAGCAAGTTTGATAGCATCAGCAACAGCGCCTTGGTTACTCTGCACCATGTCCTGGTGAGTAAAGACCCATCCGCCAGTCAGACCGTTTTGGGCAGCGGCCTCGGGTTCGAAGATGTCGTGGAAAAGGGTGTAGTAGTTCGGGTACTCCTTGACGCCGGAGTCGTAGGGGATGTTTTGCGAGTCGAGGTAGGATAGAAGTGGCTGGACGATGGCGGTAAGCTGTGCTGCCGTCTTGTTCATACCCATGATAGGCTGAATGTGAAGTGCTCCGCCAATCACTGCTGGATACAACTCGTAGATGACATAGAGGCCGTTGTCCACGAACTGGTTGCCGAGCTCATGAAGCTTGTTGACGGCCTTCATAACCTGGTCGAAGCTGGCTCCTGTAGTCCCGTTGACGTTGAGGTAGAGGCCGGCGCCGCGGGTCGTGTCAGGGTGCGTCTTCAAGGTGACAGACAGCACGACGGCATAGTTGCCAGGACCGCCACCCTTGAGAGCATAGTACAAATCCGAGTTGGTTTGAGAGTTAGCGGTGATGAAGTCTCCAGCAGCGGTGACCACGTCGAAGGATAGTGCGTTGTCAGCACCGAAGCCGTACAGATTGCTCAAAGGACCATGGCCACCACCGCCCATGAATCCGCCGGCAACGCCAACAGTCTGAGGGTTATGATTAGTCGACACGTTCCAGATGTTTTTTGTTTGTGACGGAAGTGGCATACCTCGCATTCTCCCATCAACATATTTTGAGGCGGGTTTCTGGCGTGAGCTGCATCGGAAATCTCGTACCCTTGAACACCAGCGCCGATGGTGATGGCAGAGCCCCTGTAGTCTCCGGGACCGCTGTAGCTGTCCACAAAGGAGATATCCTTGAAGTTGTGGGTATTGATAGCCAAAGAGCCGGCACCAGCGCTTCGTCCCTCAAAGTCGTGACCAGTATTGCGGATAACCAGTCGGATGTTCCGTGATCTCGCAAAGTCGACGCCAGCCTTGATGTGAGCCTTCGTCTTGGCGATAATGACATATTCGGGATAGTTGCCGGATGAGCAGTTTCGTGTAGGATCAGTTGTCAGTTCGCAGGTGTTGTTGCTTCCCCAAGTCCACAGCTGTGATGCTGGTTGGGAGATCCTAGTTGATTATTGTCAGCACAACCCAAACTCCAACAACCCAACTTCCTCTTGCATAAGGGTCACAGTCAAGGGCAACAGGACTCACTGCCATCTCTCATCCGTCCACTTGGCCGTTGCCTCGGCGCATTTGGCAGAGTTGTATGTCGAGATCCCACGGTATTGGTTGTAGCAAACGGCAGCAGGAGGGATGTTCTGAATAAGGTTGCCCCCAACGCTGACGTTGAGCTTGACCCAGGCGTCCGCCTTGGGCCAACAATCGTCGGCCGGCGAACACTTGCACTCATAGCTCTTGCCGTTCTCTGAGTACGGTACAAGCCGGTTGGTGACAACGGCCTTGACAACTAGTGAAAAGATGCCGATGATCAGAAGATGCGTCAAAGATAGGCGCCCCATAATGCTGTTCGACGCAGATCTCGTATCTGGTTGATTCTCTTGGTAGTCTTGAAATCGTTGCGCTCGAGGCGATGGTGCTGGCGATAACCCAAGAGGATTCCGCAATATCGTGATGATTGTCGCCATTTTGTATTGACTGAAGTCGCCTTCGTTCGGAGTCGGTTGTCGGTGTATTCGGCGATCCAAAAGCCACCATCGTAGCTCCCTCTCAGCTGTGTGGGTGACTATCGACTAGCCGCATGACCTAGGTCGTACTGTAACCAAGTGCTAGGCCGTAGAAGCATGGAAGGGAGAGGCGACTAGGAGATCTAGTATGATTTGAGGAAGAACAAAAGAGTAACAGACGCGTCTAGACTGGCGTTAATGTGTCAGGGGTCGATATAGAAGCGCCCATCAGGAACCCTTACATCAGCCACAAGGGAAACGGGAAGATCATACGGCGCCTGGGGGCAAAGTCAACGGCGGAGGCGGCGAAAGGGCGGAGAGGCTAGACGACGTAGCCAGCTGGCGCTTGTAGTTCCATCGACGGCGCGCGGCAAGTTGAGATCATGCGATATTTCGGGGTCTGCTACTTCACAATACAACAGAAAGCAAAGGCCGTGGCAACGTGCCGAGGAAAGCAGGTAGTTGGGGTAAGATTTAGTGTTGTACGGATACATGCAAGCCCACAGCAAGATAGACAGCCAACGGTCTGGCTTTTGCTGGAAAGGGCTAAACTCTGTGAATATTGCATGCCGGCAGTCTTACCTCGGGCAGGGAGAAGAGAGGGAGAAAGAGAGTTAGAGACACTGGGGGAGACAAGGGAGTCAAGAGTCAAGTTGAGTGGTTTGTGGAGTTTGTGGAGCAGAAGACCGCCTTGCCGGTATCAGCTGCGGCAACACGATGGGCACTGAGAAGCCGACTGAGCCTGCGCCGGCATCATTAAGAACCTCTCGCGGAGTCGCGGCAAACTGGAAGTGGTTTTCCATCCGAAGTCTACTGCGAGCTTGGGGCAAGCGTTGCCACCAGACCTCTGCTGCGCATGTATGCCGGCGGCTCGGCGGTCGTCCGATCGTGCAGTAGCGGCACGCAACGCAGGCAATGAGAAGAGAGAGGAAGAGGAGCGACGACCGGCACAGCGCCGACCGGTTGTGATGTGGGGGTAAAATCAACAACACCCTTGTTGGTCGGCACGTCAGAGCTTTTTGCTGGCCGACCTGCTGTCAGATTGCCGGGAGTCATCTCAACTTTCATACAACACTGCCAAATCAGGGAAAATTGACGCGCTGATTTTTCCCAACGTGAGGTTAAATGTCTGAGCTGGCGGCTTGCGCGCCCGTGGCGTCAATAACGGCGGCGATCACGGCCGTTGGTTGGGATGGGCCGAGTCAAATGACACTCAGCCATCAAACGGCCGAGGGATAAAGACACTCAAAGGGGGATAAAGACATCACGACGAGCTAGTGGCCAGCACATTGGTCTCGAACATTGTGAGCTGGAGGACTGGCCTGTCTTGGCAACTGACTTCAAGATTAGTTGTGACTTGCGAGTGTTTTTCTCTCAATCCATGCATTCGACTCGTTGGTTTTGGCTTTAAGCCGGCCATCTCGTACAAGTACCGAGACTCTGGGCGCCGATTGGAATAAACGCAGCATTCCTGTGGATGAGACCGCTCCTTCAACTTAAAGTTCGCCGAGACAGCCGCATATTCGCGGTCTTGATTCAACGATTCAAGAGAAACCTGGGGAACATTAGTCGGGGAGGCTGGAGAAGGACCCTTCAACTCGCCTGAGCAACTTACGGTGGCTGAAAGCACGCCGATCTGAATCTAACGGCCGTATATTTTACGGCCGTAAGCTGATGCGGCTGTGAGTCTCTCAAGCGCCCTTCGAGAAAGTTCAATGTTGGAATCCATGTTGGCATGTCACGCCGACCGCCATGTCTGAGAAAGTTTCCGAAAGGTCGTCGCCGAGGACATCCGCCGAGATGTCTCGCGGGCACCTACGAGGCGACTAGTTGCCTGAAATGATTGAGCCTGTGGGAGAACTTTGTGTCCTACTAACTTCAGAAAGCAGTTCACAGGCTCTGAAAGTGGCCGATCAGAGATCACCGGCGACATTATACGTACTCAAAGCTAGGGGAGTATTTGCCTCCAGCCCGCCTTCGACTGCCGCACCTCTAATGCATGATTGAACGAATGCACATGTTGTAGGCTTTCTGTTTGCGTATGAACACTTTTGGGACTCGATAGACATGCCGGCAATGTGTGTCTGCGGATAGATAGTTGGCTTTCGTGAAGTATTTCAGTTGGACACGGCCGAAACATGCTCCATCGCTTTAGTATTTATGTACAGAGCCCGATCGTATCTCCGAAGAGTTGACTCCGGGTGGACATAGGCTTCCTGCGTGTCAAATGGAGCGCTTCGACTTTCGTATACCGGGTAATAGATCGTTGTTTTGCCGACAAGTTACGAAAAATAGCATCATCGTCGTCAATACCATCAGGTAGTTCTCATACGAAATTGCCCACTGCTGTTAACCAACATGAAGCATTGGGCTCCCGCCTGCGTGAAGAGAGTAAGATGCGGCATTCGATGTGTGAACCGAACCCTTAAGATACCGACAGAAAAGAAACTTGAGCCAACGAGGCCCCAGCCTACGTTTCATCATCAAGTTCGCCACCTTGCTTCTTTAGTTGAGTCTTATGAGGCTACAATCTACTCTTCGGCCAAATGATCACAGTACTAAAGCGTTTCTTTTGATTAGCCCCCAAGAGCAGATAAATCAGACTTATATACCAGTCATAGCATTTCCTCTCCCCAAGGCGTTCGTCAACATGGCCAGTTCGACACCCACTACCGAGGGCATTCATGATGCGCACCTGAATCAATCCCTACTCAGGCTAATGAGGCAAATAATCAAAAATTCTCTTGCACCCCAGATTCTTCTTCGTCCTGACATTGTGAAGCATTGTTGAAGTTTTTGGATACTACATACGAAAGATCGGTGTCAAGAAAAGGATGGATATCAGAAAGGTTGGCAGTACTCTGTATGTTAATTGAAGTAGTAGCATGATATCAAGCCATATCTCATGAGCAGCCTAACTCTGGTCTGATCCCGCATCATTGTCCACGAGAGCAACAGCAATGACTTCGTCTCACAGGGTGTGATTGAAGAGCCGGCTCCGGCGTTCCCCCACAAAGCCGGAGACCGGGATTCGGGACCCACGGGGTTAAATTCGGCGCTTGAACTTTGAATTTAACCGTAATTTCAGGCGAGCCTTCGGAGCATTCCGTACCTGAAAACGTTTCCGCCTTGTGCTCTGCACAATGAATAAGACATATGTGTCAGGCATTGCTTCGGCTTCTATTAATCTATGGCATTGTCACCAATTCTCGTTTCCTTCACGAGGAAGCCTTTCCTCCGCCCCCTCGATCTCCAAAATCAGAATTTACAGAACCGAAAACATAACTACGTCATCCTCAAAATATCTCTCTAGCGCAATTAGAAGCGCACGAGTCCGGTAGCGGAGCTGCCAAGGAGAGGGGTATCAAGAGATTCTCACACGATCTGACGACGGCTTCCTCACCAAACCAAGTATCGTCGACCGGGACTTCTCCGTAGTGTCTTTCGTTCATGCGGGGAAAGTGGATATGAACGACTCCCGAGGTTGCAATTATGAAGATCAACAATACCGAATCCGACGGTTCGGGTCAATGTCACCCGCCAAAATGAAGACCGACTCGTAAACTTAAGAACTCCCCGAACCCAGAGGCGCTGGAGGGCTCGCGTTCCATCCAACTTGAACGGACGATTCCGAGATCATGGGAGTGCTTCGCAAGTTTGCCGTCGGCCTCACTGCCGTCACGGCCGGGCTATCCGGACTCGCAGAGGCCAAGGATTACACTCCGCATGTGGATCCTTTCCTCGGCACCGAGGGTCCAACCCCCGGCTCGTCGTATCAAGGCGGGAATGTTTTCCCCGGGCCTACACTGCCGTTTGGCGCTGTCAAGGTCGGGATTGATACCACGAGATGGGACACGAGGTATCAGGCCAACGCGGGCTACACCGTCGAGGGCAACGTGACTGCAATTACCATGTTGCACGTCAGCGGCACCGGCGGAGCTCCGACGTATGGTCTGATTCCGCAGATGCCTCTCACGACTCTGGAGGGTGTCAATCTGCTGGATAACTTGACTTACATGCAACCGAGAGTTGGTCATGACACCGCCGAGGTTGGATACTACAAGACTATCCTGGAGAATGGTGTTACTGCTGAGATGAGCGCCAGCATGCATGTTGGCATCATCAAGTACGCGTTCCCTAGCGACGGAGGGCGTCACGTCTTGGTGGACCTGAGCCATTACCTGCCGACTCGTGGAAAGGAGTCCCAATGGTATAGCAACGGCTTCCTGGAGCGTAGCGAAGATGGCTCAACGTATTCGGGATACGGTGTCTACCGAGAGGGGTGGGCTCTTGGTGAGTTGTAATGTTCTGGGGCAGGTTTTCAAGTGAATACTGATGTTTCCAGGCGGCGATTTCAAGGTCTACTTCTGTGGGAAGTTCGATAGTGTCCCCGAGGACACCGCGTTCTTTTCCGGCATCTACACGGATCCCTACTGGCCAAACACAACCGACGTCCGACCTTTCTTCAACAACGGCACATCAATCCGCGCAGGACTCGAAGGGTACCAGTATGCCGACCGGATTGGTGGCCTGTTCTCATTCCCATCGAGTGTCTCGACTCTGACTTCCAAAGTCGGCGTCTCATGGATCTCAGCCGAGAAGGCGTGCCAATTCATCGAGGACGAAATTCCTCACTGGAACCTGAACAAGACCGTTTCCGAGGCCAAGGCGACGTGGAACGACGAGGTGCTGTCGAAGATAGACGTTCAGACGCAGAACGAGACGCAGTTGGAGATGTTTTACACCGGACTTTATCACTCGCATTTGATGCCATCCGACCGCACGGGTGAGAACCCGGCCTGGCAATCCGAGGGGCCGTACTACGATGATTTCTACACCCTGTGGGACACATTCCGCTGCACGCATGCACTTATCTCCCTCATCCTTCCGAGCCGACAGGTTGATATGAGTAAGTCCTCCGCTGAAACATCTTGATCATGAACTAACATGGCCCACTTAGTTCGCGCCATGATCGATATCTGGCGGCACGAGCGATTCCTCCCAGAGGGCCGCAGCCACAACCATAACGGCCGAGTACAAGGTGGCTCCAATTCCGACAACGTTCTCGCCGACGCCTACGTGAAGAAACTCGACAAGAACGGTTCGATAAACTGGAAAGATGGATACGCTGCCGTGCGCACCAATGCCGAGTTGCAACCCTACAACAACTTCGATTTCAACGACCCGACCGGCAGTACCAAGGAAGGCAGAGGTGCCTTGGACGACTGGAAGAAGTACGGCTATGTGTCTGTCAACTATGGAAGAAGCGTGAGCAAGACCGTCGAGTATTCTCTCAACGACTTCGCCGTTTCGCAGATTGCCAAGGGCGAAGCGCCCGAGGAGGCCGCCAAGTATCTGAACCGCTCGACGTAAGACTTCAACCTCACTCTTCCCAGAGCCAATGCTGACAGGACATGGTAGTGGCTGGCAGAAGATATGGGTCAAGGACGCCACCGCCCTCAACTTCACCGGCTTCTTGGCCCCCTTGCAGCCAAACGGCACGGTTCTCGCCGGCTACAGCCCGCTCGCGTGCGGAGAGTGCAACTGGGAAGCCATATCGTACGAGGGAACTCCCTGGGAATACAGCTTCACCGCGCCGCATGACATGTCGACTCTGATCACTCTGATGGGCGGTTCCGCCGAATTCGAAAGTCGACTGGACACCAGCTTCGTCCACGGCTTGGGCGAGCAGGAACAGGGAAACAACGGGATCGGAAGCATGATTTACAATCCCGGCAACGAGCCGAGCTTCATGACGCCCTTCCTCTACAACTACATCGGACGTAGACAGTGGAAGAGCGTCATGAGAAGCAAGTCCGTTGTCGACGACTACTATCACGTCGGGGCAAGCGGCATTCCCGGGAACGATGACGCGGGTAGTATGAGCAGCTGGCTTGTGTGGAACATGCTGGGTCTGTATCCTGTAGTGACTCAGCCGGTGTACCTCATCTTGTCACCTCGGTTTGAGGGCATTAGTATTCGGCTGGGTGCTGACGGCGGCCTTTTGCGAATGACCGCTACCGGGCTCGAGAAGGGGCCGTATGTGCAGAGCCTTAAGGTGAATGGAAAAGATTGGGATAAGAGCTGGGTTTCGCACGATGACCTGCTCGGAGAAAATGGCAGCGGAGGATTGCTAGAGTTTGTCATGGGTGCGGATCCTCAGGAATGGGACTCTGGTGAACTGCCACCTAGTCCGGGTTCTGCGTAATTTTTACTGGAAAGTGCATAGCAACTTTACTTATAAAGTAATCAATAGATTTGATAGGCAAAGCTTTTGGAACAAGATTCTTGAATTATTGTATGAGAATCTCGCAGTGAGAATGCTTAAAACGGTCGCGGTTGCCTTTGTAGAGTCACGGTACATCATGTAAAACAAGCCGACGGAGTTTTGCAGGTTCGCACTGGCGCATCCTTCTTCGTATTCTTAATTCGGAAGGTCTCTGTGTGGATCTCAGGCACACTCGGAAAGCTGGAATGATATAATAGATAGTTTGTGCTCCATGTCTTAGAGGTCACGCACCAGCTCAGCTCAGAAACACAGTCTCGCACGAAAATGTCACGGAAGCCCTTCAGCTCCCGCCTTGAGGCATCATCTTATCATGCACCCGGAGGCGGCCCAGCCTACACAGCGTTGCGCGAGAAACTAGTCAAACAAATCATCGAACAAGGCTACGATGCCGACACCATGCTTGAGCACGTACGATTCTCCCCCGACTTCGTTAACGACTTCACGACTAACGTCACCAGGGCGTGGTATGGGCGGATGACCAAGACCCTTTCGGGCACGTCATGGGCGTCGCCTACTCCCGATTCGCAGCAGCCTGCAACTTCCGCGTGGTCGAGAGCTTCGAGGCACAGCTGGGCGACAAGGTGGACGATTTCATCAACGCGAAGAATGTCGGGATGATCGTCAAGGAGTACACGGTGGACATGAAGAGACAAGTCTCGTATCCTGACTCGGTGAGTCGGGCTTGCCCTCCCGAGCGGATTTTGGGAGAGAGGCATCGAAACGACTGACAAATCGCCGTCCTAGATCATTTGTGCCATCCGTTATGGCGAGATGAGACCTGACCGCTACTTCATCACCACGACGATGTGGTCGTTGAGGCAGCAGGCCCCGGTTGCTACGACAGAGGGGTGGGTTGTGTTCTTTGACTACCGCAAAGGAAAAGTTGCGAATCTTGTGGAACTCGGGGGCGTATACAAAGATCTGTACGAGGCCCTCAGTGCCAAGTGCGAGAAGATGAAGGAGGCATCCGCGGCCTGGAAGAAAGCACACCCGCCGAAGAAGAAGCAGCAGAAGCTGTAGCCACGAAGTTTCATTCTCAGAGCTACGTAGGTCTATCTAACCGCCCACTCTATATCCCTCTTACAGTCTGCGTGATTTAACAACCACCCGGATACCACGAACACTCCGCATGACCCGGGACGTTGCTCAGAAAATCAGAATAAGCCGGGCTCTTCAGGACGGGCGCGAGGAGCTTCAGCTGCGGCATCGCGCGCAGCCAGTCGTTCCCGATGAAGTCCGTGTCCCCTCTGCCTGGAAAACTGGTCCTGATCGTCGACTTGACGCCCTCCCACTCGCTCAAATCGTGGTACACCGCGTGCGGGCCTTGATTCAGAGCACACAGCCTGACCTCCATGAACTCGACCTCGTCGAGACCGCCCCAGACCTTGGGGAACCCCTCGTGCTCGTACCCGCACTCCTCGCACTTGTCCGTCTTGCGACAATAGGTCTGCTTGTATCTCTCGATCGCTGCGTGGTCGATGTCCTCGCGCATCAGACTGAAGTCGACGAAGTAGACCTCTTCGAGCCCTGTGAAGATGTCAATGAGGACGTGCATGTTCTCCTGTTGAGTGTAAGGGAGGTAGAGTTGGCGCTGGGGGAAATCGGGAACCGCGTCGTCGCCTTCGCTCTGGTCTGCGCTTGGCGCGTAGGTTGGGATGTTCCCGTCAAGAACGTTGTCAACGCCATATTCGGCGAGAAGTCGCCACGCACGGTGACGTTTCATCTCGGTGTTCAAATTCTGAAGGACATGGGTGTAGGCCAGATCATTCCAATTCGACAGAGAGATGGCGATGGCCTTCATTTGCTCAAGCAAAGGATCGGGCACGATAGGCGTGGGAAGAGGCACGGTGGGCATGAGGAGAGGGCTGTTTCCGGCTTGCTCTTTTCTGACGGGGAAGAAAGAGTCGCCGTCTGGGCAGTATGCGTCTTGGGTGGGGATGCGGACGAAGACGAGGTCATGAGCCTCACAGCGGTAGGGCTCACCTACGATGTACCTGTCGTTCTGACGGTCATCTTGCGAGATCTGGGTGTAGCGCCAGTCACCCTGCTGATGGGGGAAGGGGTCGTTTCGGCGGTACATCTGCATCAAGTGGCGGGATCGCGGGTTCACGTGGGCCATGTCAGTCTCTCTTGAGCTGCTGTTGGTTGCGTGAGACAGAACGCTGAACTCCAGATCATACCTGATGTGCCGGCGGACGAGTGGGTGAAATGTGATGTAGGTTGGCTTGGTGCGACAGCACTGGCACTGGTGGCGGAGGCAGCCGGGGTAGTGGCGGACGGCTTCGTGGAGGTCGACGAAGCGCATGACGGGTTTATCTACGTCGTCAACAGATGCGGACTGGATGATCTGGTCTTGGAGCTCACGACTCAAGTCGGGGAAGCCGGGAAAGCTGGTGTTGTCAGTAGGTCGGGAACCTTGTGGAGGCCCGGCAGGTATGTTGTTCGCGGGAGCGGAAGCGTAGAAGTCCCATTGCGGTGGGGGAGCATTGTTCTGAGATGATTGATTACTTCTTTCCTCATAAGACTCGCTGTAGAATCCCTGGCCGAAGTTGAAGTTGGAACTCATGATGGTGGCGGGATGAGTGACTGGAAGGATGTGACCGTGTTTGTGCTGTAGTCGTCGTGATGCCGGATAGTGAGTAATAGAGTCGGGTTTGCTGATGCTATTAGGTGTGATAGCTGCTTGTAGATGAGTGTAGGATGCTGGGTGGGGAGTCTGATGCTTGTGAGTGAGTGATTGTTGTCTGGAAACCTCAGCAACAGGTGAGGACATCGTCAAGATATACCTCCCATGCTGGGCTGTGTTCAACATTGTCATTACTTCCTCGACAGTCAATAAACCCGGGACGATTCATTCACCTCGCTGCCCGTCGAGACTAAAGCACTTTGTCTGGAAGAGACATTCACCAGATGCTCAAAGAGACAATCAGTCCACAGTAACGAAACAAGTCGCGGTCCTGCGTTGTTTTGATAAAGTTGAAAGAAAGAGTACCTCCCTCAAAGACGAGATCCAATCCAGTTTCCCACACAATGCCGTTGTGTACATACCACCAACGCCTACCAAAGACTTTTGTTTTTTACATTCGGGTATCAAGAGTTGATTTACTGTCCTCTCCCAATCGGGTAGTTGAACATGAGGAGACCGTTCAGGCCACCGACCCAGCCGTCGTCATCGTAGTCCGACGCGTCGCCCTTGCCCGGCCCGCAGATGACGCAGGGCACGCCGCCCTTCCAGTCGCCGTTGCCGGACTCGCCGACCATCTCGCCCTCGACGCGGATTTCGGTGCCGATGGGGGCGCCGGCGCTGCGCTTTCCGTCGATGCTTACCTCGAGCTCGCCGTCGCGGTTCTTGCTGCTCACTTTCAGCGTCACCTTGGTGTTGAGAGGCAGGACGAGCGGGCGGAAGCTGAGACTTCGTGGGCAGATGGGTGTGATTAGGAGGGATTTGACGAGGGGGTGAATGATGGAGCCGCCGGCGCTGAGACTGTAAGCAGTCGAGCCGGTGGGTGTGCTGAGGAGTATGCCGTCCGCCACGGCTTCCGTCAGGAACCGGTTGTTCAGGTAAATGTCGATGTGGGCTAGATGAGGCTTAGGGCCACGGTGAATGAGGAGTTCGTTGAGAGCGTGAATGGGTTGAGGAATGTCTCTCTTCGTTAAGATTGTGTCCTCGGGTGGGGTCGCAGGAAGATGCGCCTGCGACTTGGTTGTCGGCAGCAGCTGGCTGTTGATATTCTGGCCATTGGTATCAAAAACGCCGACCCTCAATCGGTGTCTGAGAAGAATCTTCGCTGCCCGACTCGGTCCCATGCTCTTCCCAGGAGAGTGATGCCATCCGTTCTCTCCGTTCTTAGGCTCATGCTCCATCTCCCCGCTCGCTACCCTTGTGTGCGGCGTCAAGAGGTCCTCGGTCGCGACCCCGCTGCCACTCATGTACGCCTCCCTCCACGCCCTCTTGTATTCCTCGAACTTCCACTCCGCTAGAAACCCGATCGTACCGAAGTTGAAGGCGAGGATCGGTGGCACGGATGAGTACATGCTGAAATGGCTTGCCGCGCGCAGAATAGTGCCATCCCCGCCCAGCGTCGTAATCATGTCGATCTTGTCGGGGAAGCTTGAGGGGTCGCAAGTGTAGATGGGGAAGTCAAAGGACTCGTGAACCATCTGCGTAACTCGGGGTTCGAATATCAGGTTCAGGCCTGTGTAAGTACTGTTCAAGTGCTTCGCGAAGTCGATCGTCGCCCGGAGGACTTGAGGAGATCGTAGCTTCGGCATCAGGAGGATGTTGCGCGGTGGCCTGGGCCAGTGCAATGACAACAAGCCGGAAGTTGAGTTCGGGGGATCGCGGTAGTTCGGCACGACCCTTCGAGGTAGCATCGACACATCTCGAATTTCGGCGGTGCGCGCAACTGCTGTTGTTGAGAAACTCATGGGTCGAAAAGCTCGAATCGGCGTCGCAGAGAGCGGGCGGGCGCGGAGGGCGAATGCCATGGCGCCGGACATTGTGCGGTATTATTTATATTCTGACCAGAAAAAGAAGAAAGGACCTTCACGGAGCTGGCATGGTTGAGCTCCCGTGGTCGAGCACCTGTTTTGGTGGCAGGTTGAGCTGTCGCGGGCTGTAGCTTGTGTGGAAGAAGAAGCGACAGAATGAATTGGCAATGACGACAATTCCATTCGCCAGCCCCACTTCATTCCTCACCGAGCTCACCGGGCTGAGTCATCCCGAAGATCCCGGGTTGCCCCGCTTCGGGATGCGGGTTAAATGGGGCCGTGCCGGTGGTAGCCGGCCGGCTAGCCGGTGCCAGCCGGAGCTGAACATTCTTCTCACGAATATTTGCAATTCCAACTCATAAACCTGATTACTGGCTGAAGCTACAAGTGTCGATCCCATTAACGCAGCTTTCCTATCTGCTCTATAGTCTAAAGATATCTAACATGCGAACGCCCCTATTCAGAACAATTTCGATTCACTTTGCTGCAGATGACAATTTGTTTTTCAACTGCGTCACAGCCAATTGTCCCAGCTGATCGAAACTTTGCGCGCTCGTTAACTGCAGCACGCTCACGTCGGCGCCCAGCGTATGCTTCCACCAGTTGCGGATCTCAATCGTCATGAGGGAGTCGACACCGAGCGCCGAGGGCGACAAGCCCGTGTCAATGCCATCATCTTCAACTTCCCGCATCAAAAAGCCAAACACCTTGTGTGCAATCTCCTTAGACAAGTGAGCGATGGTACTCGGCGTATCGAGCTCCTGCGGGTTACTCCGAAGGCGCGAGATGAAGTCTGCCAGGCTAGACGCGCCTGACTTATCCTGTGATGTCGCCATCGCGTCCGAGTCGTCGGGGTGCAAGGCCATGCGCGGGTCCTGTTTCCAGACAACCCTGTTGCTCGGGTCGTCGATGGGAATGGTGCAGTCCAGGCCGACAATCAGCTGGCCGTCAACGGCCGTTGCGTTCTTGTTCGCCGGCCGAGACTGTGCTATCGCGATCTGCAAGCCTCGGAGCATGTCTGTCTCGGAGACCAATTTGGCGCCTGCCTTCCTCATGGCATCTTCCACTTCTTGCGTCCGACTGACGTAGCCGACATCTTCCACGCCCCCGAGATCGACGACCGAACACGGCAACCCGAGTCCTCGACGGTACTGCGCAAAGCTGTCGAGGAAAGTGTTGGCCGCAGCATAGTTGGCTTGTCCTGGATATCCATGCACTCCCGACATGCTGCCAAAGAGGACAAAGAAGTCCATGTCGGCAGGGAGGACGCGGTGCAGGTTCCAGGTACCACGTATCTTGGGTGCCGTCGCGTCGTGCCATTGCGAAAGCGACAAAGAAGGCAGCGCACCGTCGGAGAGGACCATGGCCAAGTTGATCACACCAGCAATCTTCTGAGATGAAGCCATTCTCGAGACGACGGCACGCACTGTGGCTTCGTCTGTGATATCGCAGGCTATGGCCGCGACGTGGCAGCCCATTTCGCGCAGCTCCGTCAGGAGTGCTTGATCTTCTTCAGAGTTGCCGGCCGACCGCGAGAGAAACACAAGATGCCGCGCTCCGTGGGAAGCCATCCAGCGAGAAATTGAGCCGCCGAGGCCACCCATGCCGCCGACCAGTATGTACACAGCGTCGGACTTGAACTTGGGGCTCGGAACCGACCGAGTGACTTCCAATGCTTTCTGGTCATCGTCGTTGAGCTCAATGATGACCTTGCCAATGTGCGTGCCTTTCTGGAGATACCGGAAAGCATCTTCCATTTCCTGGCAGGCAAACACCCGCGTCGGCTGAACCGGTGCAATGAGGCCCTGCTCGTAAAATCCAACGGTCTGCTCCAGAAGCCGAGACACGATGACAGGATCTTGCAGCGACAAGTTCGCCATCTCAACACCCACGAACGACCGATTCTCATCAAATGCCGCCATGGAGAGTTTCCCTCCAGCGAGAGTGTCCCGTTTTCCGAGTTCGACGAATGTACCGTGAGGCGCGACGCAGTCCCACGACGCATGGAGCAACTCGCCAGAGAGGGAATTGAGAACGACATCAACGCCACGGCCACCAGTCGCCTTTTTCAAGGCATCGGCGAAAGTCGCGTCTCGGGAGGAGAAGATGTGTTCTCTGGAAACGTTCCACTCGCGAGACACAAAATCAGCCTTTTCGTCGCTGCCAACGGTCGCGTAGACTTCGGCTCCGATCCATCGCGCGATTTGCATAGCAGCGATACCCACACCGCCAGCTGCGCTGTGAATCAGCACGCTCTGCCCAGCGCGAAGACCAGCCTTGTCGACGAGCGCTCGGAGAGCGGTTATGAAGATGCATGGCATACCCGCCGCGTTGGACAGACTGAGGGAATCCGGGATACGCACGCATAGGTGGGCTGGAGCGTGGAGGTCGGTTGAGAAGCAGGCCGCTTGGGGAGCGAAGACCATCACGCGGTCTCCGACTTTGACGTTAGTGACTGAGGAACCGGCGGCGGTCACCACGCCGCTTGCTTCGCACCCGAGACCTTCAGGCGACGAAGGGTTGATCAGGCCCATGGCTGTGACCACATCTTTGAAATTGAGGCCTGCTGCGTGGACTTTGATCTGCACGTGGTCCGGTTGCAGATGCTCTGGCAGCTCGCGGGCAGCCCAGTGGAGTGTCTGAAGCGCTCCGGGTCTGCCGATCTGTAGCACTTTTGACGATGAAGCTGGGTTGAGAGCCTGTAGAGTGGAAGTCATGGGTGTCCACTGGCATCGGGGGATTTGGATATTGCCAGAAGAATAGACAAACTCCATGTCTTCGGTCGAGCTGTCAGCAAATTTGCCGCGGTCGAGGAGCGTTTTTCTAACAATCCGGACAGCAGCTCGGGAGGCGTCCTCGTTGATGTTGTCAACCTCCAAAGTCGTGAACGTCAGACCCATCTCAACGCGGGCTGTTCTTGCAACACCGAGTACCGGAGCATATGTCGGATCGTTTGGGTTCAGCTGACTGGATTTGGTGACCCATAGAAGACCGGTGTCTTTCTCCTGCACGGTCCGGAGCAAGTCCTTGAACGCATTCAGTTTGTCCTGTGTCATGTTGTGGAAGTAGCCGTCTCCACGACACAGATCAACGAGAGATACGACGGCCCCGCTTACTTCAGTCTTGCAGGAAGTGATGGCCCTGCACGATACAGAGTAGCCTTTTTCCTCGAGTGTCCGTCTGAAGCTGGCCACCACAGGATGCACCGTGTCATCCTCGCAGAGCAAGGTGACTCTCTGGTCCCGTCGTGAAATCTGGGTGTCAGGTAAAGCAGGCCGGGCAATGATTGTCGCGTTCAGCCTGAGTGCCGACTGATTATCGTAGAAGACATCCGGGGCAGAGAAACCAGCGGCTAGTAACCTCTCTTTCCACTGCTCCGGAGAGATATACGGCTTGTCCGGGCGGTGATCCGCGTCGCCCAGCCACCATCCCGAAAGGTATCCCATGATGAAGTTGATCCATTTTGTTTCTGGCAGATTGTTAGTTCGTGACGCCGCAGCACACTCTTCTGGGACTGCGACTTACCGCAGCACAGTTCATGCATGAGCAATCGACCATCGGACTTCAGCAGAGACCTCGCATGCCGCAGAGTCTGAGTCAGGTCGGGAGTCGCGTGAAGGACCTGAATTCAGTGTCAGTGTGATGTTGTCAAGTTCATGGTGAGGTCTTACATTGCTAGCAACGATGAGATCGTATTGCTCCCCCGCAAAACCCTGTTCAGCGGGATCTCGGCTGATGTCAAGCACGCGGTAATCCAGAAAACCGGGGGAGATATCCTCAAACCTCTTCTTGGCTGCGGGAAAGAAGCCCGCAGAGACGTCTGTGAAGACATATTTGCCGACAATCTTGCCGTCGCCGAAGGAGGCAACGAGGTCCCTCAAGATCCGTGCAGTCAGGCCACCGGTCCCGGCACCGATTTCCAGGATCCTGAGATGCCTTCCTCTTTTGTGGGACAGCAGCTGGAGCAAAGGCTTGTATGTGAAGAGGGTGTTCATCCAGTCGTAGAGCTCGTGCAACGCGTTATCCTGAAGAAAGACCTCAAGAGGCACCAGCTCGGAGGAAAATAGTTCTCGGGCATAGGTGCAGCAGCGCTTGATCAGAGTCGCAACCGATGATGCCGGAGTAGACTCGAGCTGGGAGGCAATCTTCTCGATTTCGGACGAGCGTTCTTCAGTTGTCAAGTCTCTCCGATAATCGGCCTTGGAGATGTGTTTCTCCAACCATTCACGATGCTTCGTGAGGTGGTATTGGTTACTCATGGAGAAATCAGGGCTGCAGGTTTCATCTAGCGCCACGGAGCCGCAGAGCAGGAATAGATCCTCCAACAGCCTGTGGATGTCGGGAAATGATTCATCGGCTTGAGAGTTCACCAGTTGTGTTTGGTCTACCAGATCGACGTCCGGCTTCCACGACAAGTGAGCTGCTCTGGAGCTGTCTGCCTCCCGCGCCGGGCTTTCGAGTTCAATTGGCGAAAATCGAATGTCCTTCATGAAGAGAGCAGGAGCACCCATCGTGCTACCGAACACGCGTCCGAGCGAGTGGCCCCGACAAGTACCGGATCCGTCGGTCTTGAGAGTCGTCAACTGAATGGGCTGTGTGGAAGCGGCTCCGCTGATGAAGACCTCGCCGATGAAGGTGGGCAAGTACAGCTTGTCTAGGAGACGAGGCTCTCCAGAACTGTTCGCTACTACCATGGACTGCAGGACTTGATCGATAGTCCTTGGGTGGAGAGTGTATGTTCTGGGTTCATGAAGAACATTGTCTTCACGTTCATCGGTGATGTCAAAGACTGCAGCCGGCCGTGCGACGCTCGTTCGAACACTCTTCAACCCTCTGAACAGAGGACCATATTTGTATCCCACACTCGCCATTGCCTTGTACCACCGTGAGGGCTCAAAGGAACGAGGGAAGAAATCGCCCTCGAGAACTGATAAGTCAGGGACTTGGGAGGCTTGTCCGCTCTTGACTCGGCAAGTGCAGTGCGTGGCCCAGGTCCCGGAAGAGCTGTGGCTCTGGATGCTCAGCTCCCACCAGTCGGAAACGTCTGAAGCCGTCAGACGCTCTCGCCGTATTGAGGTCAGAAATTCCACCTGCTGGCCAGACGATAGGACCAGGGCGTTCATAACGCTGAAGTCACGGACCGTGAAGTCTTCATCGCCTGATTGCTGACGACTAGCTTCGCCAACCATGGCTAGGTACCCAGCTGCCGGAAAGACGATATCCGTTCCAACACAATGATCTTTCAGCCAAGGCACCTTGTCAAGCGACAAGATACAACGCCAACTGGGAGCTGAGCCACTGCTTTCCGGTACTCTCGAGCCGAGAAGCTCGTGAGGAGGGTGTTCTGGAAACTGCCATGCTTTAATCACTCTGGATTCCGGCCAATACTTCTTGCTCAGGTGCCATGGATACGGCGGCAAATCCGTCAACGGGCGAACTCCATCCAGGACGGGAAACTTGACCGTTGCACCGCGGCAGTGAAGCTCGCCCACCGCTGCTAGAAATGACACCGTGCCATTCACGCCACGCTTCTGGGCAGTAACATAAGCTGGTGAGATCGCATTCTCCGAGTAAATCTGCTTGAGCGGGCCGGCGAGCGCCGAGTGAGGGCCGACTTCAAGATGTAGGGCCACTGAAGACGTCTGAAGCAGCCGCGTGACAGCCTGACGGAAGAGAACCGGAGACTCTAGGTTGCGTTGCCAGTACTCGGGACTGAAGTCTGACCCTCTTTCCAAGTTCTGGAGGGATACGCTGGAGAAGAACGGGATCTTTGGCGAGCTGGGGTTGAGGTGAGGTTTGAGAAGAGCTTGGTATTCAGACCCAACGGCGCGCATGTGGTCTGGACAAAATGATGTTAGAACCATTTACAGAGTAATAGCAGATGGTTTCCATGAACTTACGAGAGTGATATGCCTTGTCCACCTTCAAGAGACGAACCAGTTCATCTGGGTTCGCTGCTTTGATCGCACGGCAGACGTCCTCTAACGGTTCAACATCACCAGATAATGTCACACTGGAGTTGCTGTTCTCACAGGCAATCGTAACTCCAGTAGACAAGAGCGGCGTGACTTGATCTCTCCCCAGCCCGATCGCTGCCATCGCGCCTTGTTTTTTCAGCTTCTTCGCTGTGAAACCACGGTAGTAGGCGACGATGATTGCTTCTTTCAGAGTAAGAACACCTGCAGCAAAGGCAGCTGCAATCTCACCGCTCGAGTGTCCGACAACCGCCTTGGGCTTGATGCCGTATCTAGCAAGATGTCTGACCAGAGCGACTTGAAGTGCTGTGCAAATTGGCTGGGCAAATTCAGCTTCTCCAAGCCGAGACGTCGCCTCCGATCGCATCAATTCACCTGAATGAAACGCCATGTCAGCGATTGCGCAGAAACCACCGTGTCGTGAGGTAGTTCTTCTTACCTCTAATCTCCCAGCTGGGTCGGTGTTCTTGCGGGAGACTCTTCAAGACCGCGTCCATGTCTCTGATGTCCTGCAGGAATTCCCGGCTGGACTTGAGCAGGTGTGAACCCATGCGGGCCCACTGAGCCCCTTGTCCAGTGAACACAAACGCGATGCCTCCATTCTGTGTATTTGACTTGAAGCTTGGCAGTGGAGGTGGGTTGAAGACGATGCTTTCGCACTCATCGGTGACCACGGTGAACGTCCGGCAGCCGAGGTGTGATCGGCGATGCATCAAAGTGTACGCGATACCTTCTAACCTTGACGGTTGGGCGTGCAAGAAGTTTTTGTAGTTGACCACCATGTTTTTCAGAGATTCTTCGTGGCCGGCCGAGAAAAGAAGCAGGGTCGCCGGTTCCCTCCGGAGGGGTGGAGACGGAGGCGGGGTATCCACATTGCCGGGGCCCCGGATCGCCGTCGGCTTTGTCAGTGACGCAGCCGATTCTAGAATTATCTGGGGCTCTTGGTCAGAAGAGATGAGAGCAATTTTATGAGGCGAGACTTACATGCACATTGGTCCCGCCAATGCCGAAACTATTGATGCCGATGCGTTCGGCGCGGTCTTCCGGCCAAGGCAATGGTTCTGTGGGTACTTTCAAGGTGCCTGATGAAAAAGGAACTGCAGTGTCGTCAGCGAGACGGACGCCGGTCGGAGTGAACAAACAAACTTACTGCTAACACTGGGGTTCTCAAATTTGATATTGGGTATTATCGTACGCGTCTCAAGTGATAAAACAGCCTTGACTATGCTGGTGATTGCGGAAGCCGCCTCAGAGTGGCCCATGTTGGGTTTTACCTGTGAGGAATAAGCATTTTTCCCGTATCACCAAGATTGAAAGACTCACAGAGCCAATGAGCATTCCTTTTTCGCCAAAAACGGCACCCACCGTGTTTGCTTCGATGGTGTCTCCAACAGCAGTGCCAGTGCCGTGGCATTCGACCATTGCCGTCTGCCACATGTCGGACTCGGGGATGCCGGCATAGCGATATGCGTCGCGGATCAACTCTTGCTGAGCTTGCGCGCTCGGTGTCGTCAAACCCAGCGTCTTCCCATCAGAGTTAGTGGCTGATCCGCGGATCACGGCTCTGATAGGGTTTCCGTCGCGGATGGCGCAGTCGAGTCTCTTGATGAAGAGGCAATTGACGGCCTCCGCGCGAGCATAACCGTTGGCACTTGAATCGAATGTCTTACATGAGGCGTCTGGTGAGAGCACGCTTTGCTCGGCCATGAGCTTGGTGAAGCCCGGAGACAGCATCAGGTTGGACCCTGCCACGATAGCCGAGTCGCATTCCCCAGCGCGAATCGCCTGGCAGGCGAGATGCACCGCGAGACCGGCTGCAGAACAGGCGGTTCGGACAGTCATACTGAAAATGCGATCAGTTGCGTCTGCTTCTCTCATATTACAGCATGTACTTACCTAGGGCCTCTCAAATCAAATGCATGAGAAATGCGGTTTGCCTGCACGAAATCCATGTAGCCTGTGAGCCGATACATGCCATCGTCCTGGGTATCAACAGCATGCATCTCCCGCCAGTCGTCGCCAAAGCTGCCGACGTAGCAACCGATTCTCTGGCCCTGCCATTCCGTCTCCGCGGCGCTCTCTAGGGCTTCCCAAACAACTTGCAGCAGCAGCCGCTGCTGGGGATCCAATTTTGCCATCTCTTTGGGGTTCATGGAAAATAACGAAGGGTCAAATTTTGAGACGTCATCGTCGGAAAGCCAGTATCCCTCTTCTGTGGGGAGAGACCCCGACTTGCCTGTTCCTGTGAAGTGGTGGTTCTGTGATGCATAGCGTGGTAGGTCTGGTTTTGAGCGCGCATCTTTCTTGGAGATGAGGAAGTTGTACAGTGAAGTGGGCGTGTTGATGCCGCCCGGCAACCGCAGGCCTATCCCGCAGATTGCAACTGGTGCCGGCATCGTTGTGTCGCTGTTCTTCTCTTGCATGTTGTGTGCTTCAAGGCTGCTCCGCGTTGGGAGCGTGACGATAGAGCAGGCTTCAATGATACTACGAAGACCTGTGTGGTATTGATCAGACCAACTAAGATTGGCGCCAGAATGCTTCTAGAAGTGAAGTTCAGTTGATGTGCAAAGGCAAATACCAGCTGGAAGACCACCAATATCCCTGTGTTCATCCAGGCACTGCTATCAACTGAAAGTATCCGGACCTCGCAGAACATGCCCAGCAAAACCCTTGCCAGAAGCTTTGGGGCGGGAAAGTAAGTTCGGACCGCAAGTATTCAGCCCCCAAGAGCACACAATCACTCGGTCCGGCAGCGCGGTCAAGGCCAAACCCTTGCCCATGACTCGGTGACCTCACTGGACGAGATCAGAGAAACCACTGCAGCTGATGGAGGAACCCGAATGCATGCATGCTGTCACCTAGCTTTCTGAGCTTCTTTTGTTGCATTTCCCATCCAGCGGACGTTGTTGCACGTCAAGTTGACCCTATTAATCCAAATCGACAGTTACAATCGGCCGCGATCGAGACGGCTGGGCACAAATCGAGACCATGGAGAAGCTGAAGTCGTCTTTGTGGCCACCAACACATGCTTACAAGGAAGTCAGAACCAGTCAATCGGACGATGATGAGCGACAACCAGAGGAGGAGACGGACGAAAATCTGCGAGAGCAGATAGCAGCGCTGGAGAGCAACGCATGGTGTCTACGCGTGAGCCTGCTCATCACTGTCGTAGCGTTGCTGTTAGTGACGATTTTCGCGGTGTTTGATCGGGTTTCGTACGCCCAAGACGTCCACAAATGCGGCCACATTGGAAGCGACCACAGCGGTTTTGTACCGCCTGGTGAGTTCGCCCAACCATCAACCAAGCTTGCTGTCACGATTACTGATGTGATGTTGAAGAAATCGGCGAACCGGGTAGATGGACAATATTCGACAAATCATCACCGTATTACATCGAGGAGGACACTTTCAATGATTTAAATAAGACGAAACTGGTGGTTCAGAAGCTGAAGAGCTTGCACAACTGTGAGTCCCTCACCTCTGGAGAACGCATCATGCTGATCAGTGTTCTAGCTTCCAACGTCTTGGTAAACGACAATTTCGCAGACTGGCACAAACCAGACGGGACCGTTGCCAAATTGCCGGCGTACTATTCAACCGTCTCGTACCGACAGACATACATCATTCGGTCATTCCACCAGATGCATTGCCTGGTACGTCCGCGAAGTTTCTTTTGTGTGCAGGCTGCCCACTGACGAGGTACAGATTTCAATCACGGAGGAATACGGCCATCGCGTGCACAACATCTCGTCACAATGGGCTCCTCAGCACGTCGCTCACTGCCTGAACGCCATCCGGGAGGCCATCATGTGCTTGGCGGATGCGTCGCCAATGACCTATGTGAACGGCTTCGCCGTGGGTCACGTCACGGATGACCAGAAGTTCATGTGCCGGGACTGGTCGGCTCTGCGGAAGTGGGCGAATGATCCTGTTAGGGGAGTTCGGTACAAGAACATGGCGCCTGAGGGGGCGAAGCACGATAACTACACTGAGATTATTCCGTTTCCTAAGCTCTCTGAGTTGGAGGAAATTGGACTCGCTTGATGAAGTCTGGCAAACATCGGTCTCTTCATCTCACAGCCGAGGATTAGAATGTCTGGAAAGCAGTATGTAGCGTGTTTGATATTTCCAGTGGTCAATAAATCAGATTTTTGCTACCTATATCTGTTGGCGATCCTGAACATGAGACCTCGTACATGAGATTAGCTGTCATCTTCACGAAAAAGCTCCCGACGTCACTCCGGCAGGTTCAATCAACACCGACAGGATCAAATACGCAATCAACTTCAATAGTCGAAACCAAAGCTCACGAGTGACAACTGATTGCTTAAATCGGCACCGAGTTGCCATTCACTTCCGCAACTGTAATTCAATGGTCGCTCGGATTCGACAGTGTTTATTTCCATGAAATTTGAGATTTTATCACTCTACTTTTCGTATGTACCAACATGCAACACGATGAATGAGATCTGGATTACCCAATCAAGCAGTCAACCTCATGAGGCTCGTTGTAAACCCTCGTGATATTGGGCAAGTCGATCTCCCAAGACTGCGGAATCCCATTGTACAGAATACAATGCTCCACATGCTTCGGGTCTCTGCAAAGAGAATCCAATACTCTCGGTTTGAAGTGAGAAGCATACGTGATCCTGTCCCACACGTAACTGCAGTGCATGTGATGGACGGTGCCGTCCGTGAAAATCTCCCCATGCTCCCCCTTCGCCGCGACATCAAACGGCACCTCATTGATTCGCTCCCTCTCGTACCAGAACGTCGTGTTCCTCCACTTCATGTACCCGAGATACCGCTCATGCATCTCCTCGTTGAAGCACTTTGGGTGCATCCACGTCGAAAGCATAAAGTCGTACACGCATCCGCGAGCCTTCGACTCTTTCCAGTCGGGCGAGCATTTGCCCAAAGACACAGGCTCGGGAGGTCTGGACGGCGTCATGTCGTGGGTTGCGCGTCCGAGGTAGAAGATCGCGACGGCCGCCGGGATGAACGCCGCCTTTCTCACGACCGACCAGATGCGGCTGCGCCTCGCCTTGCGCTTCGATATCACATCGGGAGTGTAGTCAACGGAGTCGGTTTCGTCATGGTAGGCGTTCAGATTTGGTACTGTGTCTTCCGGGTCTTGTTGCTCGCTGAGGAGTTTTTGTTTCTCCATGGCCCTTGGCTGTGGGATTTGTTTTGAGCGGTGTTGTGCTTGAGAACCACGCGGGAAAGTCAGTCTGAAGTTGGATGAACTGTATCGAGAACTGCCAAACTTACGTGTAATCAGCTGTGGACAGAAACTATTACCAACTTTGGTAAAGTGACCAGAATTGAAGACAGGGATCGATGATGTAGGGGCAGATGCAGTGTGCACTCACTCCTCGGACTAGATCCAGGGAAAATAAAGTTCACCAACACACTTCGGACCGCGGATTGGACCCCTGCTTCCAGAACAACCGGCAAACTGACAGCAAAGAGTTGACAAAACTATTCCAGCCAAATCGTGTCGTACAAGCTACAGCAGCTGACCTTGTGTTGATTCCAAGCCGTTTGCATCCTCTGACTAGGCTCTTGCACTTTCCCACCGCTTTTCGTCTCACCCATTATTTTTGCACTTGAAATCGAGAGGAATCACAGCTCCTATTTCCAACCCCGTATCGAGCATCAACCATGCCTGCCGCCAATCCGGTCCTGATTCAAGACCTCCCGCGGTCTCGTAATGAACCACCCCCACTCTTCCTCATTCACGATGCCAGTGGCTTATTGACTAGCTATTTCAAAGTCGGCACACTAGGCCGGCGCGTTTACGGAATATGGGACCCCAAGTTTGATGCCGATGGCATCGGCGGCTGGCAAAGCGTAAAGGATATCGCCGAAGCTTACATCCGCCTCATCAAGCGAGTGATGCTAAGAGGCGAGATTGTACTTGGAGGTGTGTAATGGGTTCCCGACTTGCATCGTCCTTTCGCACTATCCCTAACGCGATAATAGGCTGGTCGTTTGGCGGAGTGTTGTCAGTTCAGATCGCGCACATGCTGGCAACGTCAGGCAGAGGCCTTCGCGTCTCTCGAATCATCCTGATCGACTCCGTCTACCCCAGGTGCCCGCGACCGGAGGCCCAAAAAGAGCCAGCGAAGCTGCATCACGCGCCGGCATTGCCCGGCGTGAACCAAGAGACTCGAGACAAGCTCATGACGGCGCTTATGAGAGCAACATGCCTCTCCGATCAGTGGGATCCCCCGTCGTGGTCTATGCCGAGGACCGGACTGCTTGGGACTGCTCGCTCGTACGGTGTCGATCCGACGCCGCCACATGCTGTGCTTATTAGAGCAAAGGATATGGTGCCGATGGCTGATCCGGGGGAGAAGTGTCCGTTGGATAGGACCAGGTTCTTGCCGCAGCTGGGCTGGGAAGATATGCAAGAGGGTTTCGTGGAGCGTGTGATAGAGACGTCTGGAAATCATTACAGCGTTTTCGATTCTGAGCATGTAAGTTCGAGCCCTCACTACGTTGCAGGTAAAGGTGCTGACAGTCTTTGCAGATTGATACCGTCACGGCACATATCAGAAAGAGCCTAGACATGATCTTAGATTAGACAATTGGGAGATGTGATTTTGTACTCAATGTGGCATATGAATAACAAGTCCTTTCACTCTTATCTGTTTGAATATTCATGTTTGAAACCAGTGAATGCTATGCATCCGTTCTTGACCGGCTTTGCAGATAAGCCCGCGCCTGATAGACCTCGTGATCTACATAGTGATTACAACTCCGCTTGGGCGATCATGACGAGGCGAATGACCTTAGACTGCCTATGTAATGTGTAGTCGTTGGGTATGACGAGATATCAATGGCCAGAAGGTGGCTGCATTATACTGCGCGGCATATTGCATTTGTTTGTCAGACTGCCAATGCTATCATGGGTTCTTCTAATATTCGCCAACTAGTTCTATCATGATGCTGTCAACGCAAGACAATGCAAGTCTACATGCAGATCTATCCTAAGGCACGATTTCTTCGTATCTATCCTTCTCATCATCCGGCGCCACATTCATCCACTGGACCGCCCGAACGGGGTCATGAGCCCATTCTCTCAGCGCGAAGAAGTCCCGACAATGCGACTGTTGATCGTCCGTGGTATGCCCTACTCCCATCCCATGCACGTATGATAGCGGGGTCGCGTCAGCTAAACAAGTGACGGCGGATCGTATCGTGTTCAGGCAGTGGATAACGTGGCCGACTTCCCACTTCGATGTCTTGTTCAAGACCCTGTAGCCGATATCCTCGAAAACGATAGACTATTACCGATGTGAGTACGCAGAGCACGAATTTTTCACGGCGGAGGTTCTTACCACGCAATGCATCTGGTGGAAAGCCCTGATGCTGTAGAGTTCTGAGCCCTTACGGGTGACGTATGGCGGCAGCGGTTGTTGCTCGTCGTTGAAATCCATGTAAGTCGTGTACTTTCCATTGATTCGGACGTTGGATGCTATTAGGCATGTCAGAAAATCGAAGACAGTTCCCGGTGTGCGTCGGTGTATTGTACCATTGTGCAACATCTTGAAATGTCTGGCAGCTTCTTGTACGCTCTCGATGCTGTCGAATACGTCGGGCTTGAAATAGTGCGGATCGCTCTCGTCGTCGTACTTCATCCACTTCACCGGCTGGCCGATTTCTGTGACATTTATCAGTATCAATCAGTCGCCATTAGTGTCGTCTTCACCTACCCGGGGGAACAAAGCCGCTCGGGTCAACGCCCAGCGGGACACCACCGTCATTCTTGGGCCAAAACGCCTGCAGACCGAGAAAGACAACCAAGCCAAACAGCATGGCGATGATGACACCCTCAATCCAGACGATTTTCTGTACGCGTTGAAGACGCTGGTCCCATACTATCCGGTCGTGATTCCATTCGTCTGGAAAGGTAGGGGAGTGTCCTTCCCTGCCGTTGAGCTCCATGCTGCCAACGCTGTCCAGCTCATCGTCGGCGTCTGCCTCCTCTAACGGGCTGTACTTGGCCATGCGGCTTTCGTCCTTGACAAACTTGACACTCTTACCCATGTTGGCTGGCGATTAGCTGTAAAACAATCAGCGACGGTCGGTGATGGCGATTTGGAAGGCAAACTGGCATTTGCTCGTCACACAGCGTCTTCCACAGGGTGCAATTGACAGCTGCCAGAGATGATTTGGGGCTTTCGGCAGCGGACCGAGGAGTCCTAGGTTCATACAATGTTTCAATAATAGCTGAGCACCCACAGCGGACCGAGATGTCCCCAGTACCCCAGCTGTTCCGAGTCAGTCGCCGAGTTGGCCTGTCCTCTCAGCACCTAGCTTGTCTTCCTCGCCTGTTTCAGTGACTCTGGTTGATTCAGCTTGCAAATTGCAGTCGTTTTACTGTGGTATTGCCCTGTACTGTTGGTACCCGATTACCTGCAACTCGCGAGCAGAATCAACGCCCTAGCAGAAGCCATCGAACTGACGGCTAAGATAGACCAGAATGGATGCAAAGAAGGACGAAGTGACTTGGAGATCTCTTCCCAGGAAAGATCAACTCGCGATATTATGTTTCCTGCGGTTTGCGGAGCCGGTGGTCAGCATCTCGCTGCTCGTACGTATTACGAACCTCGAAAGTCACCGGCTTTACTGACGGACTCGCGGTAGACCTACCTCTTCTACCAGCTCCAGTCTCTGGACCCCAATCTCGATTCCGGATCAGTGGTACGGCAGGTGGCGTACATGCAAACGAGTTTCATGCTCTCGCAATGTTTCTCGTCAATGTTCCTCGGCAGGCTGGCGGACTCTCCCAGAGGAGGCAGGAAACCGGTCCTGCTTCTCGGAGTTGCGGGATCCTGTAAGCCTTCGAGGCCTCGATATTGCGGTTGATTGGTTCAGCGCTAATAGGGAGCTGTTGCAGTTATCGGTTGTGTTTCGTTCGGGTTTATCACCAACTTCAAGCAAGCATTGGCTCTCCGCATCCTAGAAGGACTCGTCAACGGCAATGTCGCGACGATTCGGACGATGGTCTCTGAGGTGGTGGCAGAGAAACGGTCTGTTCCAGTCGCAGCGAAGCTTCTGGTCAGCGTCTTGCTAATGCGAATTCCAGATACCAACCGCACGCCTTCTTGCTGCTCCCAATTTCATTCAACGTCGCCGCGATGTTCAGCCCCCTGATGGCAGGACAGTTAGCGGACCTTGCTGGAAAATACCCCGAAAAGTTCGGGAATAACGCGTTCTTGAAGGCATGGCCATACGCACCGCCCGCCCTCTTGAGCGGCTTCTTCCTCCTGATAGCCTTCTGTGCGGTGTTCTTCTTCCTTGAAGAGGTGTGTAGACCTAGCTGCAATCTGCTTAAGACAGAAAACATGCTAATCGCCAATAACCCAGACCCTCGAGCCATTGAAAGACCGCTACGATCCAGGTATTGCGTTCACAAGAAAGGTCCGCACGATCTTCTTCGGCAGCAAGGTTGCTACCGCCAGCCGAGTCGCCCAGGAAGAAGCTTCGCACGAGGAGATGTCGCGCATGATCGCCGACGACCCGGAGGCGGCGGACAGAGACTCAGAAGAGCACCCGGAGTCGCTCAAGCCCGCCAAACCCCAGCGCATCTTGCCCCTGCGGAGAATGTTCACGCGGAACGTCTGCTTGACGCTCGTGGCGTATGCGCTCCAGGAGTACCACATCACGACCTACAACACGCTCTGGACGAGTTTCCTCAGTGACCCCGTCGACACGAAGAACCAGGCGCGATTGCCGTTCTTCTTCTCCGGCGGCGCGGGTATGAAACCCGATCGCATCATGTGGTCCCTGTTCATCGTTGGCGTGATGGGATTGCCCACGCAGCTGTTCATTTACCCCCGGATCAACCGCCGCATGGGAACGCTGAAGATGTGGCGGACCTTCATGATGGGGATGCCGCTGCTGTACTTCATCATCCCATACATCGCCGCGGCACCGCCGACTGCGGCCCCGCCTGCTGGCAAAGAGGGATTCTGGGTCTGGTTTCTCATCGTGTTGTCCCAGGTCATGATGGTTGGAACCTCCACGTTTGTTGTTCCGGCACAATTGGTGTTGACGAATCTGTAAGTGAAGCCCCTAAAAAACGGGAGAAGCCCCCATCAATGCTTGGAAACGCTAACCATTCATCAGATCTTCACCTCACCCCTCGGCCCTGGCTCGAACCCACAGTAGCGCCTTTTTACTTACAGGATTGGTACGCTCAGCAACTTCGGCGATCGCAGGTATCGTGTACAGCTACGGATCGTCGCACAATATGACTGGCCTCGTGTGGTGGACTGCCAGCGCAGTTGCCGCGATCGGTTGCCTCAACAGCAGGATCGTGAAAGAAGGAAACGGCCACGAAATTTGGCTCACTGGGGACACCGAGTAAAGCATTGCTATGTTCATCTGCGCCAAATTGATAAGCTATGTCTTGCTATCGATGCATGTCAATAGAGGATAGATAGAACAGATAGGTCAAGATACTAGAAGCTGCGAAGAATAGAATTAACAGTTCTTACGGCACCGAGTCAATTGACAAAATGCATCTGCCATCCGCCCGTATTTCCCGACGGATATTGTCATTCAAGCTTGCTATCACCAATGCAGCTTCTCTGCATTTCCACATCGGCTAGAAACATGACAAGCCCGTCAGGCCGACAAACGGCCCCACATGCGGGATTTCGACCGTCATTTTGGGGCCGGGTGGGGCTCTGTGCCCCGGCACGATTGCTGGAAGGGGAAATTCTCGAAACAGGTTCGACTTTCAATTTTCAAGTACACCAATCTCGTCCGTCCATTCCACAAAGATGGAAAAGAACCCGAATAATTGCTACTCTGCTCGTGGTCTAGGCAGGCCTCCAGGAATAACTACATCTTGTTTCGCTTTTCGAATTGAGGTGTCGGCCCACGATAGTCGACGAAAGATACCAAAGTCCGCTGCCAAGCCAACAGTCAGAAGCCAAGGCACATAGCAGACGCTCGAATGTGGTAAAGGGCCTAGCAGGAGCATCAGGCACACACTCTCGCAGGATACAACTAAATAGGCAGATAACATGTTGGGACTTTGGAACTTCAGTCCCGCTGCGCGTGTATCCAGCGAGCAAGGGACAAAGGTGAATGGGGGACTTTGGTTCAGCTTCGAAGATACGCGCCTCAGACAAGCATGAGTTAGTCTTTGTCAAACTCTGGACGTGGAAATGCGAGGGAATGGATGGTTTAGCCCCACGCCAAATTTGCCCTCAGCCAACAGTATGTCAACCAACAGAGAATCAGGCCAACCGGCGAGTGCATGACTCCAAATGGCCTCCTTACAGGGGCACACAAAGACGCAAACCCAGATTTAAACCGTATCCCATTCATGGTGTTCTAGTCCTGTGGCGCCTCTCTACTTCGGCCCGGCAAGCCACACCCGCCGACAAGCTAGGTGATGCCATTTTTAATTCACGCGGCCGTTCTTAATTGGACCATGAGAGTTGTGAGGACGCGCAATGATCAGAGGCTTTTCTCTTGCCAACTGACTGTTCCGAACTTCAATGTTGTAATGAGTTGACGTTTGTACCGGGACTTATTATATTGCATCTGTTGTAGCATCACGACTGCAAAGTCCGAACATTACCTACCTCATCGACAACTAATGACGCCAAAAAGTCTGCTATGAATATCCCCCGTTTTGCCCCAATCTGGATGGATTTAAATTATTCTATTAGAGTAAAAAGATTTCAAGAAAAGCTACACTAGCTGACCCCTCAGTACTAACTTAAGTTTTGGAGTCATTCAGCAGTCGATGAGATACCAGTACATGACGCACCCTCGGATAAATCAAGTCGGAGCCATTCCAATGATCCACTTCTGACATGTATCTAAAAGCGACGAAATGAATGAACTTGATTCAAGTATCATACCAGCCCGGACTCTTTAAAGTTGGTCGAAACCATCAGAGCTTAGGAACCCGAGAGCTTTCTCCCTAAGAATACCCTCCGGTTCCTCTCCCTCTGACTAACGGCAGCAGTAGCCAGGGAACTGCGTGTTGCTTTTGGCAATGAAGGCCCAAGGGGGGTCACAACCGTGGCGATTATTTTTGATAGCATCGGTGTTAATCTGGTAGATGGCTCCTGGGAATATGTTAGTCTCTCTTGTCAAGGTCCAGTTAGGGGCCTTACCATCGCGGGACTGGCAGACGGCGGGAACGCAGCAGCGTGGAGAGGAGCTTTGGATTGGAGTCAGCTTGGATCAGTTCGCCGACGTTGAGGGGGAGGAGTCACAAGTAGTTGCAACCGCTGGCTGTCTGGCGCTTGTCCAGAAGGTCGGGCACAGCGTCGACGACCGGGATCGCGGTGGCGCTGTTGACCGCAAGGGTCAAGGCGGAAACGAGGGTGGTGAGCTGCATGTTGAAGATGGGATTGTCTATTTGCTTAATAGGAAGTGAATCCGTCACATCACAGGTACTTCGGTTGTTTAAGTAGCTGGCAGTGACGGGAGCTTGATGCCACTGGAATCGAGAAGAGGATTCGCCGCGTATTTTGAGGGGGTGACCTCGGGTAAGCAAAATATTCATTGTTCTGCGCGTTCTCCCTTGGCTGGGTACAAAATGAGGCATCGCCCAGCGTGATGCTCATGCAGTTGAGCCTTGTCAGGTTTCTCGCTGTTCGAGGCTTGGACGTACCGGGCTACATGTAACGACCAATATCACCACATATTGACAGAATGTTGCCGAAAGTCTTTGCATCACGAGCCCTTGGCTAGCGATGTGATGCCATAAACCCATTTGATGCCTTCGGGTGTTTGACTGTTCACCACCAACCAACAACACCATCGACTGCAACATGGGATCAGTCCACTGCACCCAATTTACCAAAATTCTCTTCTTCATCATCCTAAAACTCTTTGACCATGATGTATCCTCCCTGTTGGCCGGCTGCTAACGTGTTGAAGCTTAAGTAGAATCATAATATCCACGTGCGGTATCATTCCCATGCTCGGGAAGTGAGGAAGTCCGCGTCGTCAAAGTTTGAGGCACAGCATTAACCCCCGCATCATTCGTGCAGCCACTATTCTCGGTTCTTTCACCTATCGGTAAACTACAGTTTGATGAAGTTGGGTAAACAGACTCTTCGGTGAAATTCTGGTGAAAGGCCCTGGGCGGGAAGAATACTCACTGACCTGCAGCAATGAAAACCGGTCTACAAAGCGCATGTGACTATTGACACGAACAGGAACAGTCGATGTATTGAGTCGATTGAGGTATATATAAGGGTTTCCAGCTTAAGATTCCAGCCCGCATGATCACCAATGGCCTCAACTACCAACGTCGGCATTTAAATTACCTAGGTGTGCAGCTGTTTGTTCGGGCCTATATCCAAAGTCAAGATCGGTCAGGTGTTATTCTCATGGACTGCTTGATTTGAATTGAACTCTCGCTGTAGACTCATACGGCGGGCGGAAGCCACAAATAAGCCACAACTTAAGGGTACTCTAGCCAGTACCGGATCTCACATAACTATATCAAATGATTTATTGCCATGGACTTACCGTGATGAATGTGTCTGGCTTCATGGATATGCAACCAATCTTGTTGCTCGTTGGCTGGCTGCTCTCTCACGTGCCGGTTGATGACATCGCTTGGCTGCGCCGCAGTGGATAAAGCAAACCGTCGACAGCCTGGCAACCTTCAATGATTTGCATCACACACATCATAAAAAGAAACAGCGACCATCACCATCACTCAGGAACAACATCCGAAATCATGAAAAGAATACCTTCGCTTCCCTTCAAGCCCGAGGACTTTGTCCGGTACCCCGAGCATGCTTGTCTGGCCAAAGACGCCACAGCGCCGGCCCCGGAGCTCATCTCGGAGCTCCACGCCATCGTAAAGACGGGCACTCCCCGGGAGATCAAAATCGCCATGGAGAACGCCGGGTACGACTGCGACGCGCCCGGGGTGGCTGTGATGTTCATGGCAATCGAGCCGACGACGGGCGACTCGCTCATGCACACAGCGGCCGCGGCGCAACGACCCGACGCGATGGACGCCCTCCGGCACTTCAGGACGCACAACGCCGCATATTACGACAACCCTTTCTACGCGCTGTACACGCATCAGAATCACGCGGGTGACACCATCCTCCACGTGGCGGCGCGATCTGGAAAGCTGGCGGTCGTCGCTGCCGCGTTCCAGGTGTTTCGGCATGAGCATCTGATTCTCGATGAGGAGAAGTTGCGCTCGGGACAGGATGCTGAGGGGCATATGTGGGATGATGACAATGAGGAAGCGTACCACATGCGCATTGGTGGGGTTCTGTTTCTCGTCAGGCAGAATTCCGAGGGTCGGACTGCGGCCGATGAGGCGAGGGCACTTGGTTTTGGCGACATTGTTGCGTGGTTGGAGAGGACTGTAAAGGCGTATGATACCAAAGGTGAAAGCAGCGATCCTTCGATCTTGCAACTATGGCAGGACAGCTGTAATGAGTATTACGGTCTACCATGATGTATAGCGCTATTATTGAGGATGCTGGCTACCACAAACTAGATGGGATTATTGTCATTGATATCGTCGTGGTCTTCGTCGTTTTCACCGCTGGTCCTCTTCATCTTCGTCGTCCGCAGATTATTCATGGGTGGAGCAATATTTTCATTCTATCTACATTTTAAAACGCAAACACCGCAACCAACAACGGTTGACTATATACAAATCATCCACGTGTAGCGAAGAAGCCGTAGAACTCGACCCGGTTGTTGTTGACGGGCGCAACGTTAAGCGTGTACCAGTACGCGATGGACACGGCGGCGTACGTCTCGGGATTAGCGAGGGCATCGTCCGCCGACAGCTTGCCCAGATCGATGATGGTGTACTTCTCCCCGCCAGCCGGGTAGGTATTAGCGCTGCCGTGAATGAGATGAAAGAGTTCGTGGTACAACGTCGTCGAAGAGGGCAGTATGTCGGAAAGCCTCTGAGCATTGTTGGGTATATCTCTGGGTCTCAAGGGAATAACGCTACTGGTGAGCGGGGTGATCTGGACGCCCAACCCGGAGACCGGCTGCCGAAAGAGCTTGGGGCAGAGAGTGACGGTCGCGGGAAGCAACAGATCGGACGTGACGGCGATGTTCTCGTCTTTGGAGCAGAAGCCGCCCTTGGAGGAGTAGTAGGCATCGAAAAGGTACTGATTGTGTATAAAGCTCCAATACTGCCCGGACGTTAGACAAGATCAACAGGATATACAGGGGTTACTACTGACTGGAGTTCTGAGCGTTCTGGGGTTTTGATTCCGCTTGTCCATGTATGCTGGCACGTTCTCGATCAAGGCCGGCAAGCCGGACAGATCGCCCTTCGGGAAGCTATTTCCTTCACTGTCTCTTGCCTCTGACTTGAGAGTATTCTTGTCCAGCCACGTATCGCTGCAGAATAGGTACGGCTTGCCACCGTTAGGAACGTTCTCGTTTCTAGCGAGGAAGGCTTGAACGCCCGAAAAGTAATCTGTCGAAGGTCAATTGGAATACTGAAGAGACAGTGACGGTTGCGGCGGCGGGCTTCGGAAAGGGGTTCACGACAAACTTACTTTTCATGGTAGTTCTATGCGCGTCCGTGTTACCGTTTACGAATACATCGAGGAGTCGCTTGGCCTCGCCACTTGTTTGGCCGTAGTTGTCCACTAGCTGAACTCCGACTCCAGCCAAAGTTTCGGCTTCATCCAGCATGTTTTGAATTGCGGTACGCCCAGCGGTCCTACAGCCGCCGAATTCGTCCGTGGAGAAATCGACGCGGAACAGTGTGTCGACGGCCAAAGCGGCGGCTGCCGCAATGGCGCCGTATTGGACCAGGAGTAATGAGAGGACGACGAAGAGAGCCATAGTCAGCTATATCCAAGGTAAAGAAAGGCGACAACAAACGGTCTCATAGAAAAAGCAGCGTGGGTCAGGAGGCAGTGAAATGGGGCATGACAAGTAGGAGACAGGTATGATGTATGAAAAGCCAGAGTATTCAGCTGGTATGCCTCACATGAATACATCCAGGACGAAACGAACGACAAGGGCTCCAGAGAACACGACAGGAGCGACGAAGAGGACGGCAAGGTTGATAGAGGAGATGCGAACCAAAGTTCCAAATTGCAGCTTCCCTTTTCAGGTTCACAGCGCGATATGCACGAGCGAGGCGTGGTAACTCAGTGTGATATTGACAGAGAAATGAGTAGGAATAGTGAAATGACTGACCTGAGGAAGTCAAAGTCGCCAAAATAATAAAGACGTGGGTGATAGTCTGGCTTGGCAGGTAACATCACATTCGAATATTGATCCCATGTGCTGACACGGAGGTCTTGGATGCACCCTCGAAGGTGCGCGTTGGCGGCACAGCTGAGGAAACTGAAATCCCTCATCTTAACATGAACGGCGTCGGCGGCCTCGACTATCTTTCCCCCTGCATTCCCACTGCAGCTCTTCAGGAACGGACGCCAGGACCGCATGGTGTGATGGAAGAAATCACGAGGGCCAAGTCTTGCCCCAAAGGTACTTTGGTATCTGAGCCGTCGAGGAGACCCTCACTGCATCGGAGTCTCTCTTATATCATCGATTTTTGCTCCAGTCGGGCATTCCCATGACTACCTACCATCTAAGGCTCTTCGTGTCAAGCATCGCTCAATGTGGTTGACACGCCCCCTCGGAGTGCTGGTCGCGATGGCTTCAGCCGTCGCGACTCAGTCGGCGTCTGCACCAATTGACTCATACCGCACTCTCACCATGCCAAACGGCCCAGTCGGCACATCGCCTCCCCTTCCAGAAGGAACTCCTCAGGTCGGTCTTACACATTACACAAAGAGTACCTCGTCAACTTGATGGAATGAGACTTACACATGAGAACAGCCTCCTCCCGACTACGCCAGGGGACATGCCAACAACCAACGCGGCATTGCGCCCGACAAGCATAACATGACCGGACCGTACGTTGGAGACCGCGAGATGCGAGCGCGGCCATCCAACGGAACTGCCAAGATCGCCGCTGCCGGCGACGGCTACTGGCTCTCGGAACTTGGGTCTCTGGGGAAGTCTCCCTTCGCGCCAGCAGGTTACCAGTTCTTCCGCAACGTCAAGGACTTCGGCGCTGTCGGCGACGGCGTGACGGATGACACGGCGGCCATCAACCGGGCCGTGTCGTCTTTCAGCATTGACAACCAGGACGACGTCCGCTGCGACGGCGACTGTGGCTCCACGACCACTCTCACAGCCGTGGTTTACTTCCCGGCAGGAACCTATCTCATCTCGAGCCCGATCATTCAGTACTACTACACGCAGTTCGTAGGTAATCCTTGGGAGAGGCCTACCATCAAGGGCGCGCCCGACTTCGAGGGAATCGCCCTCTTCGACGCAAATTTCTACATCCCTGGAGGCAACGGCGACCAGTGGTATGTCAATCAGTCCAACTTCTTCCGCCAGATCCGCAACTTCATCTTCGATATGCGAGGCATGAATCGCACCAATTACCAGAACGACCAGGAGTATGTACCTGCCGGCATCCACTGGCAGGTCGGCCAGGCCACGAGCATATCCCACTGTCACTTCGAAATGCCGCTGTCAGACGCCTCAGGGTCGACGACGGCCATCGGCATCTTTATGGAAAATGGCAGCGGCGGCTCCGTGGATGACCTGACCTTCTTCGGTGGTAACATCGGCTTCCTCGCCGGCAGCCAACAGTTCACAGCTACGAACCTGCGCTTCGAGCTCTCTCTGACGGCTATCAAGCAAGAGTGGAACTGGGGCTTCGTCTGGAAGAACATCTACGTCCAGGCCGCCTACGTTGCCATCGACTGTACTGCCTTCTCCGAGTCGACGAGCCCGCCTCAGGGTACCGGCTCCATCAGTGTGATTGACTCCCACTTCAACGGCGTGCCGTATGCCATCACTGTGGCCAGAGAAGCCGGGCAACAACCAGCCATCGTCCTAGACAATCTTCTCGTTGAAAATTCGGCGTCCGTGGTCCTTGTCTCTGGTGGTGAGACCCTCTTGGCAGGGTCCTCCGGCCCCCTCTTCTTCCCATCGTGGGTTTCCGGCTTCCAAACCCAGCCGAACGGCCTGTCGGGAAAGCGCTCCGGCTTTCAGGCCGCCATTCCCAACAAGCCGACCTCCCTGCTCGACGGCTCCGGCAAGTACTATTACAAGTCAAAGCCGCAGTACTCAGGCCAATCTCCCCTCGTTGCCACTAGTCTCGGCGTCTCCAACGACGGGACCGGCGACCAGACGTCGGCCATCAATAGTCTACTTCAATCCAACGTCGGGAGCACCATATTCTTTCCGGCCGGCGTGTACATGGTCCGCGGCACCATTGAGGTGCCGGTGGGCTCCATCATCACCGGATCCGGTTGGAGCACGATCATGGGCGAGGGGTCGTACTTTGAAGACGAGTCCAAGCCGCAGGTCATGGTCAGGGTCGGCAAGCCCGGCGACTCGGGAGTCATCGAAATCTCAGATATGCTCTTCACCGTCAAGGGCGCTACCGCTGGCGCCATTCTTATGGAGTGGAATGTCCACGAATCCAGCCAGGGGTCAGCCTCCATGTGGGACAGCCACTTCCGCGTCGGCGGTAATGCTGGCAGTGGTCTTCTGTTGGATGACTGCCCAGCCCAGGCCGGTTCCGTCGTGAGGGAATGCATGTCGGCGAGTATGTTGCTCCATATCACCGACCGGTCCTCGGGCTTCTTCGACAACGTTTGGGTCTGGGTGGCCGACCACGACCTCGACGATCCGGCCAACGCCGATGCCTATGTGGGGCCGGGCGGCATTCCTGTCAATACCGCCGTCGAGATCTCCGTGTATGCAGGACGCGGCGTTCTCATTGAATCTCAAGGACCGACTTGGTTCTGGGGATGCGGCAGCGAGCACGCCCAGCTCTACCAGTGGCAGCTCCTGGGTGCCAAGGACATCTTCATGGGACACGTCCAGACCGAGACGCCATACTACCAGTCTAACCCGGACGCATTGGAGCCATACGAGATTGGCAAATGGCCATCTGATCCCACCTTCGAGTCATGTTCCGACGACCTCTGCCGCAAGGCTTGGGCCATGAGGATCATCAATTCAACGGACGTCTTCCTCTATGGTCTCGGCTTCTACTCCTTCTTCGAGAAGTACGAGCTCGGTTGCGCACCCGAGGAAGACTGCCAGAAAGCACTGATTGAAACAAACTACGCCGCCCGCACGTGGCTGTACAATATCTTCACCAAGGGCAACCACGAGATCGTGTCCCCTAGGGGCTCGCTCTCGCCTATCTGGTTCAACGATACGACACGTAACGGATACACGAGCTCAGTGGCGGCCTGGCTGGCTCTTGCCCTGGGTGGCGAGGACATTGGTGCCGGCGACGATCCTTCGGAGTCCGGGTCTGGCGTCGTCTACATCGACCCCGAGATCTGGGATACCGATCCGGGGGAGACGGCGACGATTCAGTGCTTCCCTCCTTGCACCTACGTTCTTCCACCCATCACGCTTCAGCAGCCCACGACCATCACTTTCAGGCCCTATACGACGTCTCTCGAGGTCGGCTGGTTCACGAGCACCGAGCTCGAGCAGGGCTACTCTACTATCACGACTACCGTGTACGTGAGCATCACCCAGACGACGGTGTTGACGCCGCCGCCCGCCACCTTGACAACGATACCCGTCCGCAATATCATCATCAGCGAGAACGTGACCGAGACCACGTTACGTGTCACCCGGAGCATCGACGTGCCCACATTCATCATCACCAATCGTCCCAAATCGACGGATCCGACAGGGATCATCATACCCCCAAACACCCGGACCATCACGGCCCCTCCTTGGCCTTGGCCTGAAGACAAGGATAATGATGGTGAAGACGACGACGACGACGACGACGACGACGATGATGATGATGATGATGATGACGACGATGACGACAATGATGACAAGACCATTATTCACAAAGAGGGACCAGACGACCCGACTTGTAGATCCGGCTGCGGCAAGTTGTGCTTTTTGTTCTGCCAGTTCCCCTGCCTCCTCAGCTGTCCCTGGCTGGACGAATTTCCACCCGGTGAGTATGAAATATGCCCATTCATTAATTGATTCCAATGAATAGTACATGCTAAACAAGGACAATGTCAGGTTTCCAAGACGGCATCGACCCCAACAGCCCGCCTCCAACCCCAGTACCCACCAACCCGACCGAACCGGACCGGGACTGTACAACGAAGACCGTTGAATCCTGTCGTGAGCTCTGCACCGTCTCTCCGACGCGCACTTGCACTTCCAGCTGCAGCGATGTGGCAACTTGTGTTCCGACCACGGGCATCCCGGAGACTGTGACCTTAGCGTCGGCAGTAGGCAACACGATCGACCACACCCGCATCAGCACCGTCCCGCCGCTCGAGACGCAAATCAGCTCCGCCCAGAGCGCCATCTCATACCTCAGCTCCCGCGGCGACTGGCCCTTCGGAGAGGGAGGCGGTGGTAGCCCGACGACCACGACCACCACACCGCCCACCACCACCCAGGAGCCCGATTTCCCGTGGCCGACGGCGGAGAACGTCAACGACATCAGGGCGCTCTGCTTCAGCGGCTACGACATTGCGGGCCGCGAGAAGTTCAGCAGCGACATGAGTTTCCAGTCGGCCAACGGCTTCTGCAGCGAGAGCTTCGTCCTGAACCCCGGCGACACGGAGCCGTACCGCTTCTACCACTTCAATGGGGACTACTGGATGTGGTCCATCATGGGGTGGGCGGAGGACCAGTCGGGCTGCGGCGACAAGGAGAGCCTGGAGCTCGGTCCCAAGACGCAGAATGGGTACATTGGGTGCATTCAATCGTTGGGTCTGGTCATGCAGGACTGCGAGGGCCTCGATTACCCAGACGACGAGAACGTTCACCTGGGCGGAGGCTGGGTGCTGGATTCGGGGACGGGATGCGTGCTTGTTCAGCATTTTGCTACTACTGACCGACAGTGGCGCGCGGCGGATCCCCATGACGGGCAGAGAAGGGTTGGGAATATCGTCAAGAATCCGTGGAAATTCGACGAGAATTCGCGGCGGAGGCTTCCACCGAACTGGAATCTCACTTTCGTGCCTCCGCAAGACGTGTCGGGGAGCTGAAGGGGTACTTGCTTTCGTCTTGTAAACATGAATAGTTCAATATCACAATGGGCCTTGATATTTACATTCTATTGGTGTTGAGATTCAGTAATTACTCTGGGTTTCGCCCTACGTGATCATGGGATGGCCGATGCAGTTGCAAGGAAAACCCTCTGCAGACCCGAATCTCTCAACTGACCACCAGTCCAATCTACATGACCAAACCCAGCAGCCTTGAAAGCGTCCTTCCAAACCATCTCATCCGCAGTCGCGTGAGTACGTCCGTCCTGGAACAGCCACCAGCCCTCGAACAGTCCAAACACAAAGTCAGCCCAGCACAGCCTCTCCTGGACCTCCATCACAATCGCGAAGCCATCCGGTCGCAAGAATTGTCGCGTGTTGCGAAGCGACTTGACCATATCGGGCGTCGCATGCACCGCGTTCACGGCAATCACGATATGTTGCGTTCCCACCAACTCAGCGGGCGGAGGCTTCTCGATATCTTGCGTGCGGAAGGTCATGAAAGGAAACTCGTTGAACTTGCGCGCGGCTTGCGCGATGAACCCGTGGGCGAGATCCGTGAAGGTGTATTCCACGGGCACTTCCGATCTGGAGAGCAAGGGGGCAAGCCATTTCGTGGTTCCGCCGGTACCGGCGCCCAGCTCCAGGATCTTGAGTTGTGCCCCGTCTGGTACGCTGATGGCTTTGGTGAAGCGGGCGAAGAAATCTTCCATGAGTTTGTGGAAGGCTTTGCTGGGGTGTGCTGCGCCGTAGATGTCTTCGAGATACTCCCGGCCTTCGGGGGACCCGAAGATGGATCTCACGCCGTCTGTACGGCCGGCGTAGATCTCGGCTAGGTTGTTGCCCGCATGCGCCACCAGTTTGTTTAGAGATGTGTAAGTCGGGTAGTCGTTTAATATGTGTTGGAGAGCTTCCTTCTCATTGCCCGTTGGAAGCGGTGCGTCGGTTCGGACGTACTGATCCCCTTCGCGTCGGATGAGGCCGGCTTCCGTGAGCATCTCATAGCAGAAGTCGAGTTGTTTCTGCACGTTTGGCACGCATTTTATCGGTCTTAGTTTCTGACCCGGCTTTGTTCTCCCGACGTCGCATCTCAGCTTCTGGAATGCCTTGATGACCAACAGGACGATGAGGGTCTTCTGCCGCTCGTGGACATTGTTGTAGTAGCCTGCGAAGCCGGCTTGCGTGACGATGTCGTCCGTGCTCGCCTTTGTGGCTTCAAAGGTAGAAATCACTGTGGCAACGGGGACGACATATTGCGGCTCACTGGAGGTTGCGAGTTTGCCTGTGGTCGTGGCTGGTTGCGGCCGGGAGACTTCTGTGGTGGACATGGTTGATGCCGATTGTAGGTGGCCGAGACAGAATGTTACTTTGGCCTGCTGAACGTTGATTTTCTTGCGTAGCTTCTGAAGAGTCCTGTCTCTAACACCCTCATCAATGGGTCGTGAGGGCTTCATTCTCAGATCCTTGTTCCAAGCTCTTCCGATCGGCCGGTAAAGTGGGCCCGGTGAGCTCCGGTGCGACGGTCCGCTCGGAACTGGGGAAGTTGGAGTCGGATTCTGGCAGTTCTGGCGCTTCTGAGAAACCCATGTCAGCCACGAGTCATGTACACTGAACTGTCGTGCGATCGCAGTGGTGGCATTTCGCTGTCATCGAGTGAAGACGACTCACTAAATCACAGCCTACTGTTCCTCCTTTGAATTTTAGACATCGAAGGTTTGTCAGTCGAGGAGAACATGAGAGTCGCCAAGTTGCTTTGTATGCAATAGAATATGTTGGAATGGATTATGAGCTTTGCACGTAGTAATTCTGTAATACTGATGATCTGCTACTCGCCGATAGTGTACACCAGCTTTCCCGCGCTGACGTTCCCCTGCTTCAAGTACTGAAGCCCATGCAAGACGCCTTCCAGCCCTGAACCGCCCTCGTTAACAATCTGTCTCACCGGACGAAACTTATCCTCCTCAAGCAGTTTTTCGCTGATGCCCCAGAACATCTTGCCAAACTCGTAGTCCTCCGCCCTCGGCTCAACGATAGTCTCCTTCTCAATAGTTTCTCCTAGGATAGTGTATCCTAGAGTGGTCGAGCAGTTGACCTTGGGGTTGATCTTCTTCACAATTGAGGGAACTAGGTACAGCAAGCTGCTGTAGTGACCTCCCCGAACCGACATGGCAGCCGCGCATATGCGTGCGGACTGGGCCGTTGCAATGCAGTCCCAGGCATGCCTCAGTCTGCCCTTGGTGAAAGCCTTGATCTGCTCGGAACAGTCTTCTGCCTTGTAGTCGACGCAGAAGTCCGCCCCTACCGACTTGACGTAGTCAAAGTTCTTCGGCGAGCATGTGACGACCACCGTGCAATTAGACATTTTGGCGAACTGAATACCCATAATGCCAGACGCGGTGCTCCCGCCGTAGATGAGGAGGGGAATCGGCTCTGGGGATGGCTTAGTGGGTAGCGGCAACTCCAGAGACTGGTAAAGTCCTTGGCCCTAGTGATGATCAGTGAATATCTTCTTCAGTGTTCTGAAATGATGGACATACGACAGCAACGAGACCAGAGCCGATGACGGTAGCCTCTGTGTCATCCACGTGGTCTGGAATCTTCAACTGAAGACTAGCCTTTGCGATGAGGTACTCCGCAAATGCACCATCCTCCTTCTGCCTCACATTGCTACACCGTGTCAATCATTGGGATCATTCAAAAGTCTTCCGAGGAATGAGAGGCACTCACGAGCCGTTGACGATCCCAAATACTCGGTCGCCGACTTTGAAATCTTTCTCCACGCCGTTGCCTACTTCGACAACAACTCCCGCGTAATCCAGACCGGGACGAGCGCCTGTGGGGTTGCCTACCCACATGAAGTCGATGTGCTTCCAGTCCGAAGGATTGATGGCAACTGCTGTAGTCCTTACTAGGATGTAGCCATCTCTCAGCTTGGGCAGAGGCGACGTTGTGATAGCGGCCTGGCCCCGGCCCTCGATGATAATGGCCTTCATCTCACTGGGAAGATCAGACGCCATTGCGGTTACGGAATCGAAAGATGAGTGAATCTGTAGTCTGGCGCGCGAAGTTTGGTGTGGTATCACTGGATCAGTCGTGCAGAACAAATCTGTTTCGTTTCTTGATAGGATGCTTCGTTTCGCCTATGTTTACTTCGGTCATGGAAGCACTAATACAGATGTTCTGTGATAGTCAGTCGACGTACAATCATGATGGGCATCACTGCTCGTGTGATTTGCCCACCTCGGAGTATCTCGTCGCTGCCGGAATGCAGAGAATCGTGCCATCCGGCCTTTCGGACCGCCTGCTCTGCAGGGGTAAAGCCGGCCGCGAGCCCAAACAAGACGACTCAAGCGACGAATCAGACTACACGAGGACGGCTGACTTTTCGGAACAACGCAATTGACTTTCGCAATTATCGGTTTGGACGAATCGGGAAACTTTCGAAGAGTGGAAAGGAAAGCCGAGTATACTATCACCAACCTCTCGTTCGTCTCTGGTATTAAGACATAAGCTCCTTCTAGCGCCAAAGTCACTTCCAAGTTGCTTAAGCTTGTTCAACTGCCGTCAGCGTCACGATTTCCCAGCCTTACGATATCTTCTTCACTATCTTGAACTCAAGGCGCTGTAGGCATTCACCATTCATTCCGAAACCTTAGAGAAGATGTCGCCCAAATCAGGTGTCGCCACGCCGTCCTCTGAGATGGACCCCTCAGACCCCATCGCCATTGTGGGCATGGCCGTGAGGCTGCCCGGCGGCGTCCGCAACACCGAGGACTTTTGGGACCTGATGATGAACAAGAGAAGTGGCCTCATCCCCATTCCCAAAGAGAGGTGGAACAGTGAGGGCTTCTACAGCCCCGTTGCCAAATGGGGTACTGTTCAGAACAAGGAGGCCTACATGTTCAGCCAGGCCGACAACGATCTCACCAAGTTTGATGCCTCATACTTCACGTGTGGTGAGAAGGAGATTGAGCGCATGGATCCCATGCAACGTCAGTTGCTTGAGATCACGCGTGAATGTCTCGACAATGCTGGAGAGACCAACTGGCGCGGCCAAGAGATTGGCTGCTACGTTGGAAACTTCTCATCAGATTGGCAAGATGACTTGTCTATGGACCCTCATGCATCCGGTCTCTACCGTGGCTCAGGATACCTTGACTTCTTGCAACCTAACCGTGTGTCCTACGAGTATGGCTGGACCGGCCCGAGGTAAGTCAGCCCGTCTATCTCTAGAACAAGAGCAATTCACTAACATTAATCAGTATGCTTGTCAAGACTGGTTGTTCATCATCGATGGTGGCTCTTCATTTGGCAGCGGAGGCCGTCCAGAGTGGCGCTTGCAAGTCAGCCATGGCCCTTGGCTGCAACCTAATCACCTCTGTCATCACATCTATCGTCTTCACTGAGACGGGTGTTCTGTCACCCAGCGGCAAGTGCAAGACCTTTGACCTTCTTGCCGACGGCTATGGCCGAGGTGAAGCTGTCAACGCCGTTTACGTCAAGAGACTGAGCGACGCTCTCAGAGATGGCAATCCCGTGCGCGCCATCATCCGCGGTAGCGGAACTAATAACGATGGCCGGTCCAACGGAATCATGAGCCCCAACACTTATTTGCAAGAGGCACTAATTAGAAAGACATACGAGAAGGCCGGACTGAAGGACTTTTCCAGGACGGCCTTCTTTGAGTGTCACGGTACTGGCACGCCGACTGGAGATCCCCTTGAGGTCGCTGCGGTCGCGCGTATTTGGAAAGACTACAACGGCGTCATGATCGGTGCCGTAAGTCATATTTGCTGCTCATTCGCATTTTATATGTAGTAACATGTTCTAGGTCAAACCCAACGTTGGTCATTCTGAGGGTGCGGCTGGACTCACCAGTGTCATCAAAGCCGTTCTCGCTCTTGAGAACAGAGTCATTCCTCCAAACATCTACATGGAGAACCCCAACCCAAGAATCCCGTGGGAGGAAGCCAAGCTCTCTGTCCCAACAGAGCCAACTCCGTTCCCTGCCGATCGAGACGAGCGCATCAGCGTCAACTCCTTCGGTGTCGCCGGCTCCAACGCCCACGTATTTTCCCCGTCTTCGATGGTAAACGCTCGATGCTAACGAGATAACAGGTCATTCTTGAGTCTTTTGAGGGCTGGCAGAAGTTGCAAGACGATGCCAGCTCCATCAGCTCAGACTCCGGCGTCAGCGTCCGCGCGCCAGGACAGCGCCTTCTTCTCTTCTCTGCTGCTCATCTGACATCTCTTGAGAAGCAAATTGATCAGCACAAGGAGTACTTGCAGAAGAAGGGCACTGATCTGGACGATCTTGCCTACACCCTTAGCCACCACCGCGATGCTCTCGCTTGCCGCGCCTACGCCATCGCCGACGAACACGGTGCATTCGAGCCCAGCAGCTTCAAGCGCAAGCCCACAGTAGCTCGCAGGACCGTCCTTGTCTTCACTGGTCAGGGTGTGCACTGGGCCGGTATGGGCAAGGCCCTCATCGAGACCAACGATGTCTTCCGCAACTCGATTCAGAAGCTAGACAAGTGGCTTCAGTCTCTCCCGGAGGCTCACAGGCCCAACTGGAGTCTTGAGAAGGAGCTCTCTATCGACGATGCATCTAGCAGAGTCGGTCAGCGCGGCTACTCTCACCCTTGTGCCACGGCCGTTCAGATCGCGCTCACCGACGTTCTCGCAAGCCTCGGCATTCGCCCGGATGCGGTGACCGGTCACTCCGGAGGTGAAGCCGCCGCTGCCTATGCCGCTGGCAGTGTCTCTGCGGAGGCTGCTCTCGCAGTTGCCTACTTCCGTGGATGGCTCTTGGTCAACGGCAAGGTTCCTCCTGGCACCATGGCTGCGGTCAGTCTCGGCCCCAGGGAGGTTGAGCCTTTTCTCATCCCTGGAGTTGTTGTCGGTTGTGAGAACAGCCAGTTCAACACCACCTTATCTGGAGACCCCGTCTGCATCCAGCACTGCATTGACCAGATCACTCGACGCCACCCAGACGTCAAGGCCAAGGTCCTCAATCTTGAGACGGCATTTCACTCTCCCTGGATCGAGCCTCTCGCCGGACCTTACGAGGACCTTCTCAAGCCTCACCTGGCTGATGCCAAGGCTCCCAGCATTCCCCATTTCTCTAGTGTCACTGGCCTTGAAATGACTGGGGACGAATTCGGTGCGAACTACTGGCGCCGTAACTTTGTGCAGCCTGTCTTGTTCAACACGGCGTTGAGGACTCTGATGAAGAGCAACAACAACAATCTTTTCATCGAGGTCGGTCCTCACCCAGCCCTTCAGCGACCGATGAACGAGATTCTCCGCAGCATGCCCGAGGCCTCTTGCGAGTACATCTCCACCCTCCGCAGAGGCGAGGACACCAACATGTCCATGCTGCGCTTGGCCGGTGAGCTCTTTGTCCAAGGCGCCCCGGTCGACTTGTCGAGCATCATGCCCAAGGGCAGAGTCCTGACCGACCTTCCCACCTACCCCTGGCTCCATGACGTTTCCTACTTCGACGAGCCCAGGAACCCCTCCCGGTACAAGCAGAGGAAGCACACTCGCCATGTTCTTCTCGGTGCCAGGGTTCTCGAAGGCAACGACATCGAGCCGGCTTGGCGCAACATGCTGGATCTGAAGGAAGTCCCCTGGCTCATGGATCATATCGTCAACGGTCAGATCGTCTTCCCTGGCGCGGGCTACATGGCCATGGCAGGAGAGGCAATGCGCCAGGTTGCCAACGGTCTTGACTCTTACACCATCCGGGACATGTCCATCACCACTGGCATGACAGTGCCGAAGGAGAAGAAGATGGAGCTATACACCCGCATGATTCCCGAGGACAAGCCCAGCTCCGAGGGTCAGTGGTACAGCTTCAAGATCATGTCCTGCGACGGCCACCACTGGGTTACTCACTGCTCTGGCTTCATCCGATCCGGTGCTGAAGCTGAGAAGACGTCGATCTCGAGCGCCCAAGCCGAGCAAGAGTTCGCTCGCGAGATTGAGGCTGAGGGTTGGTACAAGGCTGTGAAGGCTGTTGGAATTGACTGGCAAACTGCTTTCCAAGGCCTTGACCAGATCACCGCCAGCACGACCACCCGAGAGGCCACGGCTACTGTGTACGACTTTGAGGACACCACTCAATACGCTGCCCACCCGACTCTCTTGGATCAGATGCTTCAGATCAACCTGGTTGCTCAAACCCATGGTCAGAAGAGACGTCTGGATAGCATTCTTCTGCCAACTTTCGTCTCCCGCCTCGGCGTTCTCGGGAATCAGGACCTTCGCATGAGAGCCTACGGCAGCATCAAGGATGGCCCAGACGGTATGACTGCCAACGCCGTCATCTACACGGAGGAAGGCCGACCGACTGTATACTTGGAAGGTCTCTCCTACTCTGAGTTGCCCGTAGCCAAACGCGAGGAGGTGCTGCTCGGTTCTACTTTCGAGTGGAAGGAGGATGCCACCATGATTGATTCGGTTGCGGAGCTGAGCAGCATCGACGCCGCTCAAGAGCTTCGGGATGTTGTCAGTCTTTTGACTTTCAAGAGCCCTGACTCGAGAATCATCGAGATCGGCACTGGCGCGACCGACGTGACCCGCATCGCCCTTGAAGCTGCCCACCCATCTCAGCACAAGCGCTTGTACTCTGAGTACACCTACGTCACCACTTCTGACGATGAGGTTGAGCAGGTTACTGATGCTCTGGCTGAGATCGAAGGCAATGAGGTGTCTGTGGTCGACATGGAGCAGTTGTCGCTTTGTCACCCTGCAGATGTTGTCTTGCTGCCTCTGGCGACTTTGTTGTTGGACGACCGCTACCTGCAGGACGATCTGACTGAGCTGCAAAACCTGCAGACAACCGGCAGCAGACTCATCGTGCACAATCTCTCCGGTGGTGCAGACGTCGTAGCCCATGAGGACAAGATCAATCAACGACTCCAGGGTCTCGGGTACACGATTCACTCCAAGACCAGCTCCGGTCTCATTCTCGCTGAGCCTGCGAAGCGGGCAGAGCTTGACAAGGGCACCAGCATCACCATCCTGGCACAGGCTACTCCTCAAGGCAGCGAGCTCGCGAAGCAAGTCCAGTCCTACTTCGAGTCGAAGGGCTTCAGGGCTGAGGTCTCCAACGCCACAACTGTCCCGGCCGACAGCTCCTTCACGATCTCGCTCTTGGATGTCGATGGCACTAGCGTTTATGACCTCAACTCGGAGTCATTCAGGCCTTTCCTGGACAGCTTGTGCAACTTGAAGGGCTCCCTGATCTGGGTTCTACCATCCGTCCACGGCTCTTGCAAGGACCCTCGCCCCGCAATGATTCAAGGCACTGCCAGGACCGTCCGCATGGAGAACAAGGCCGACATCACCTTGGTCGAAGCTGATGACGCTTCGGTTTTGGGAAGCGACTTCTCTAAGGCGCTTTTCAAGATCTCTCAGAGTTTGCCCAAGCGACGCAAGGGAGGAGACCTCGATGCCGATTATGATTATGCTATCTTGAACGGCAAGGTCCACATCCCTCGCATGTACTGGTTCGGTTTCTCCGAGCCTGCTGTGAGCAAGTCTCTTCCTGAGACAAAGGACTCCCCCATGTTCCGCGACGATGCTTCTTACCTTCTCGTGGGAGGCTTCGGAGGTCTTGGTCGGTCCGTCGCGACTTGGCTGCTTGAGCACGGCGCTCGCAACCTGGTTTTCCTCTCCAGGTCTGCGTCCAGTTCCCAGAACGAACCATTCGTCAAGGAATTGGAGAGCTACCCCGGCGCCGTGATCAAGACCGTCTCGGGAGACGTTGGCAACGCGGAAGATGTTCTCAAGGCCATCAAGGAGGCGCCTAAGCCTGTTGCTGGAGTTCTACAGTTGTCCCTGATTCTCAAGGTATGTCAAACGCTTAAATTTCCGGTACGTCTGAATGGTTCTAACATGCATCGCAGGATAACTCCACGGCGGAGATGACTTACGAGGAGTGGAGCGGCGTCGTCGATCCTCGCGTCCGCGGCACCTGGAACGTCCACCAGGCTCTTCTCGACGCCCAAGTTCCTCTCGACTTCTTCGTCATCTTTGGTTCCGGCGGTGGCCACACCGGCTACTACGGACAAGCCAACTACAGTGCCGCCAACACGTATCTCGACGCTTTCGTCGAGCATCGCCACACCCTTGGACTCCCCGCATCCATCATTGACCTCGGCGTCGTCGGAGATGTCGGCTACCTGCTCGAGCGCGACGATCTGTATGAGGGTTTCAAGAACGGTGGTTTCTTCTTCCTCAAGGAACAAGACGTCCTCGACTCTGCGGCCATCGCCATCGGCAACTCCACGGGCGGTCCCTACAGCAGCTTCTGCTTGGGCGGCTTGTCGGAGAAGCCGCTGTCCGACCCTTCCAACCGCGTCAACTGGAAGAGAGACGTCCGATTCGCGCAGTCTCACTACTTCCACAAGTCCAGGGCCGCCGCTGCTGGCGAGGCGAAGGAGAGCGATGAGGCGGAGACGTTCATCTCTCTTGCCAGGTCGGATCCTACCACTCTTCGTGACAGCGCCACCGTCGCCAGTCTCGCTCGTTTTATCAGCGCGACGCTGAGCCATCTGATGTTGCGACCTGTGGAAGACTTCCCTCTTACTGAGAACCTTACTTCTATTGGCTTGGACTCCATCATTTCTATTGAGTTGGTCGACTGGATTCACCAACAGTTCCATATTGGTATGACATCGATGGAGGTTACGCAGTGCACTTCGTTGATGCATCTTGCTGAGAAGATCATTGAAGACTTGATTTCATCTAGTTAGATCTAAACCGCGTATGTTTTCCTAGATAGTATATGTTTACTGATCTGGAGTTGGGGCATCTTTGGCGTTGGGGAAGCGGTCTCTTTGGTGTGTTACTGTCTGCAGATGGTCTTTCATTCGCGCTCTAGAACTAGGTAGTAGAATGCAAAACTTCACTTTTGTTTACTATGCCACTCCTATCGTCCAATTCGTGTGATTGTTTTGCAGACTGCAATTGAAATGCGGCAATCTCCTTGAGGAGGTGTGGTGTAGTTGGGCCCCTAATGTCATTTCATTCATGCTGGCGCCTTCGTAGAGGAAGAAACCACTGTCATGTTTCTCACTCCCTCCTGTGAAATCAAGGCGCTGAAAGTGATGATGGCGATATGTGTGAGGGGGCGCGTGGGTGCGGAGGTAGGCGTATACGACGGTCGAGCAGAGGGAGTCGAGATCGTGCTGTGTTGGAGGTTAATTGCAGCGATGAATAGCCTCACGTGCGCGTTGGAGCCACCAAGGGATTCACAACACTTTTCCTTTTGAGCTTCGATGATTTAAATTCATTTGAGAGACGGTGTGATAAGTACAAAGCTCATGTAATTCACATTGTGAGACCATAACCTCTTTCCAACTTCAGCCAATGCCCAAATCCCCCGGCGCCTGCTTTTCATATCACTCTCCTTCTAGCTCAACTCAGTCTACCAAGACTCGCAACTCAGTCCTTCATGCTTGCAAGGATAGTACGGCTTCACCTATACCAATCTGTCAGTTCGCCCAGAGCTTGACTGTCGACGATATTGCACACTTACAACGTCAGGGTGCTCCGGCCAAGGCGTGCCATGGACACTGAGCACGTCAAAGTCCTTCGGGGGGTTCTCCAAGATGGTGTCCATCAAGTACTTCGTGCAATGGATCGTATGGGTGTAGTTCCACGGCGCATCGTACCCATTAATCAACCACAGATGGGTTTGCCTCAACGTGTACATGCAATGGAAGGTATGCTCCTTCCTAGTAACCCAACCCGCAGTAAGCACCTCGCTGGTGGGAGGTATCTCATGCTTGCCGCCCTTGTCGTAGTATCGGTGCCATGGGCCCTGGGCATGGAATTCCTTGAGCAAGGCCTGGTTGTCTGCGTGGTTGTACGCCTCCTTGGGATACCACTTGAACGACATCGTGTCGAACTCGCACCCTCTGTCTCGGGCGATTTTGGGAAGAGCGCCGTTGGGAGCGCAGACGTAGCCGGATGTGTCTGGTGTGTGGCACTTTTCGCATGATGGGAAGAATGCCAGCCCTGACAAGATGATGAATATGAGGCCGAGGGGGACGAAGAGATACCATGACTTCCAGGCTGGGTCGAGTGTTTGCCATGTAATCTGTCGGTCTTTCTTGACTTTCACGACGCCGGATTCTTGGTCGACTGATGCTGATCGTGAGGCCTCCCCTTCAGAAGACTCTCCCTCTGTTTCATCTTTCAGAAGAGCGTATTTCTCTCCTTGGTTGCTGGGGCCAGAGGGCATCATCATGGTAGGCGTAGGGTGAGAGAAAGGGCGGGGCGTAAACAGAATGGTAGATTGGGTTGAATGCTCCAGAGTTCAGGCTCGTTGGAAAGCCTAACTTCAGAACGAACTCCTGATTTTGGGTGCCAGCATCACCAGACCTGCCAAAAATTACGGTTCTCTGGATGGCAACGACTTTGTGCAGGGAATCCTGGCAGCAAGATTCCGAGTCGAAATTGCCCCCGGAAAGCTGACCACGGATTGCTCCTGGCATCTGTTGAAGAACCGGTCTCCACAATAACACGTCGGATTCAATCTTCATTGGCCAGGACATCCGGACCGAACATTCGGCCCCGGACGGAATCCGTGACCCACTTCGGTCCGAAACGCCGTTCTCGCTATTGTGGTACGTCGGGATCAGCGACTTTTCTGGCTGCCACTTCGAGATCCATTCTCTAAACTGTTTGACGGAATCACAGCAGTCACTGAGGTTATCACAATGTAGTTACACGTATCTAGGTGTTTCCTGATGTCCTTGGCCGACGAACAATGCCCAGTGTTGGCTGCCTACATGTAGTTGAATGGTATGAGTTCACGGCGAAAGCTCAAATCAAGCAGTCGAATGAAAATCAATCAAGAACCCAAAAATCTCAAGCCATACATCCGTGATAATTACTTTGTTAAAGAAGACTAGAAACTTTCAATTCTCATAGCTGCGTGAAAGAAGAGCCCATTGGTTTGAGGTAAAAGATTGCCGCACTATGGTACTCGACGAGGTGGCACGTTCACCAAAGTAATGCTCGTCACTAAATGAGATTTTCACAGCCACGTAGCGCGCTAAAAGACATCTTGTGTATTACTAATTATAGAACTGAAAAAGAAAAGATCTCTGTATTTGTGTATTTCCATATCCTTTTCCTGCCATTCTCTGGTGATTAAGAATTCAAGACTGCCTTCATATCTCCCACGGTTCGGTGCTTGCCGCCGACCAGCATCTGCAAGATGCGGCTGTAAGCCTCTGCCAAGGTGTTCAACGTTTGTTTAGAGAACAGAGACTCGTAGTACGTCAAAGAAGCTTCGAGTCGAGCTGGGTCCTCATTGAATGATAGGACAAGTAGTTGCTGCGTACATGTCAGCTCATAATCCAGCGCAAGAAAGAATGATGATGTTACCTCATGAGGATCCTGTTTCCAGATTGAACGGTAGTTGGCGTCGTGACCTTCGCCTGAGTACTTCACTTTCCTGTAGTTGACCAGTGTGTTGAATAGACCAGTCTTCTCACAATCGAGCTGGCGCTCCACTTCTGTGAGATCAAAAGTTTTGTGACGCAAGCTGCGAATGCTCTCATCTTGGAAGTTGCGCAAGGCATCGGCGAGAATCGTCGAGTCTTTCACTGAAGCAGAAGCTATCATGAGAGACAGCATCGGGCCGACGATCTCATCAGCGTGCGGTATATCAATGTCCCGATCTGACACCAAGTGGCCGAAGCACACAGTCTCGTGTCCCGTGTAGACGTGTAGGACCATAGCCCAGGTGAACTGTAACAAATTCGACAGAGTAATCCCCGCACTGCGCAGAAACTCCTTCATCTTCTGATTGACGTCCATAGTGAAATTCACAGACCCCATGCAATACGGGTCAGTGGTGAGGAGGGACTCTGATGGGATCATGTATGGCTTGACGTCTCGCAGCTTGTCGACCCAGAACTGGTTGCTGGCCCGAATGTTTCGATGTTGACACACATACTCAATGTACTGGTCGAACCCAGCCGAGAGCCTCGTCGGCACTGGGGTCTGTCCCCGGTAGAAGCTTGCAAAGTCGGCGAACACATGGTCCAAGCTGACGTGGTCTATCAGCATATGACCCATGACAATATGCAGGTACACCTCGTGGTCCAGTGTCATTAGGATGCGCAGAGACACCGGGGGTGAGTCGTTCTTGAAAAGTGACAAGCGAACGGCGTCGAGATGGGTCTGACTCTGCCGAATGGCGTCTTCTTCCGACATGGCTGACACAGTCGCGATGTCCGCTTTGTGCTTCCGCAAGACCTTCTGGAAGATCTTTTTGGCAGCAGGGTCAGAGACGAAAACTGTTCTCAGAATTGCATGGCGGTCGACGGTCTGCTGCCACGCCTGGAACAACCGGTTCAGGTTGACGGCAGCCCCGTCGTCAATTCCCTTCAGCCACACAAGACTGTTGAAAAGGTACGGCTTCTGTGGCTTCTTGAGGAAAGAGTTGTACATCCGCCTTTGGAAGGGAGAGCATGGAACAACAGCTTCGACCTTGACATCCTTGCTGGAGAGGTACTTGGCAAACGGCGAGAGATGAATCGCATCTTCAGGTGACTGTGGAGGCGTGGGCATCAGAGGTGTGATGGGAGTGGTTGGCATCGAGACCGAAGTGATGGCTCGAGATGCAGCCGGCGCCGAAATGGCTGTGTTAGATCGACCCATCGTCGGCCTTTTCTTGGGAGGAGCGTGCGGAACCGCGACGAGTGCGAGTTGTTTCACTGTCGGATTTGCGAGGACATCTTGAGTTGTCACCTGGAGACCTGCCGCCTTGCAACGTCGCATCACTTGCATGGCTGCGATGTGTGTTAGTCTTATCCAAAACTTCAAATAATGGCGGATGGCGGAGACTGACCGTAGATGGAATCTCCCCCGAGTCTGAAGAAGGATTGGTCCAGCCCCATGCGATCTGTTATTGTCAGTGAGGTCCTCAGTCGCTGTCGATGAAACCCACCTGAATCCATCCCGAGAACTTCACCCCAAATCTTTCGAATGACCTCCTCAGTCTCAGACCCTTTGCGATAATGCGAGCTGCCGTGTTGACTCAAGTCCAGAATTGACTGAAGGGTTGCTTTGTCGAGGCCTTCCACCCAGTTGATGACTCGTTGACGATCCAGCTTCAATGACAACTGGACAGGCAGACTCTTCACGATGAGCCAGGTCTCGGGAACCATGTATGGAGGCAGATCTTTTTCCAGCACCGATGTGACCTCATCAAGTATCTTGCTGACCCTCTTCCGGCCGTCGTCGCCCAGTGCTTCCTTGTCTACTGTCTTGAGGGCCTGTACACCGTAGTTTCCGGTATCAAGACCCGCCGACAGAGCCGTCAGACTTGCTACCGCCACCAGTCTGCCCTTGAGCAATCCGGCGTTGGGCATAAAGACCATGCTGTGTTGAATGTTGCCAGCCAGCTGGTTGAGGTGATGTTGAATCTCGCCAAGCTCGACTCGTTGGCCACGGATCTTGACTTGTGAGTGATCCTTTCGCCGCTGGATGAGAAGGCTGCCGTCCTCGGCAAATCTGACCAAGTCTCCGGTCTTGTACAACTTTCTCTCCGGCGAGCTTCCGAAAATTGAGTCGACTTGAAGTGCCCATGACGGGGGATCGATGAAAGCAGCCTCGGTCTTGGCTTCATCGTTGAGGTATCCCTTGCCGACAATGGGTCCATCAAGCAGGAGCTCGCCGACGGCTCCGATCGGCATCAGGATGTCTTGATTCTCGGGATGAACGACCCAACCGCGGCAACCGATGGGGAATCCAATGTTCGTGGCATCAGTGTCGGCGGTGAACCTGAGACCCACGGTGCTGGTGACAGAGCACTCCGTCGGTCCATAGCTTGGCCTCATGTGAATCTTGTCCGCCCACCGAGCGACCAAGTCCTGGCCCATAGGCTCGGCGTGAACGGTGATGAACTTCACTGGCTTGAGATCATGCGGGTCAAGTGTCCGGAGGAAAGAGGGCGTGAACGCAGCCCAATTGACCTTCTTCCGTTCGACGAAGCCAGGAATGTCGGTCATGCGCTCCTTTTCAGACGGGATACAGATGCATCCGCCAGCGACCAAAACGGTGAAGATCTCTTCCATAGAGGCGTCAAAACAGTAGTTGGTAAACTGGAGGACACGGGAATGTCCTCTGATTTGGAGCCAGGACCTGTTTGCCACTACAGCCGAGCAGAATGACTTGTGCTGAATCACTACGCCCTTTGGCTGACCCGTGGTGCCAGAAGTGAAGATGACGTAGAGCGTGTTGTCAGGTTCCGCAGATGCCGCCATGATGTCGTTCAGGTTCGGTGTCGGCAATCCCATGACGGCAGGCTTGTTGACGATCAGAATCGTGTCGACCAGGGAAACGAAGTTCTCGTACTGCTCGAGCGAAGCGAGACCGATGCGGGCCTTTGTTTCCTTGATGACATACTCTGTTCTCTTGGGAGCGCCTTTCGGGTCAATGTGCACAAATGCTGCCCCGGACTTGGCGACAGCAAGCATTGAGACCACGGCCCAAAGAGACTTCTCAAAGCAGAGGACGATGATCTCGTTTGGCTTGGCTCCAATGGCTTGAAGTTGGGCAGCTAGCTTGTTGGATAAGAGATCCAGCTGCACGTAGGTCAGGTCACCATCCCAAGACGAAATCGCAGGCTTCGAAGGCTGACGGAGGATGGTTTCCGAGATCATCTCGTGGATGCAGCGTTTGCTGGTCTCAAGCTCGACCGAGTTCCATTCGTGCAGCTGGTCCTTGTCCATGTCGGTTGCAAGGCTGAGCTGGCCGACGGTGACGTCGGGGTCGCGGATGAGCCTTTGCACCACTTCGATGTAGACAGCCAACAGGCGTTGTGCTTGAGTTTCTGACATGAAGTGCTTCGGAGACTCTATGGTGATCTCAAGGCCTCCTTGGTCCTCTGTGACACAGACAGCGAGGTCATACTAGAAGGTACGTCAGCATCCTTACTAAACAGAAAAGAGGTTCCAATTGATGATCTCGATAGAACTTACCTCACTTGTGTCGTGCGCATACAGGAGCTCTGACTGGATGCTGGCCGGAGGCAACGTCATGCCGGTCTTCTGGAAGTTCAGGATGGTGTTGAACATGGAATCACCACTCCGCTTGACAGCATGTTGGATACGGGCGAGAGAGATTGCTTGGCGAGACATGTGCTCAATACTGTCTTCGCGCAAAGTAGCAATCACCTCGGACAACTTCATTGACACCGGAAGCTTGGCCCTCATTGGCACAATACTCGCCATCGGTCCGATGATGTCCTGCGCCCCGGTGATTGGGGCATCTCTGCCATGGCATAGAAGTCCAAAGACGACGTCATCTGAGTTGAGGTAGGTCGCCAATACTAAACTCCATGCTGCTTGGAACATGACAGGGAGGGTCACTTCAAGCCTTCGGCATGAGTTCTCTAACAAGGCCTGATCGGGAAGGACCGACGATGTGCGTGCGAACTCGAGTTGCTGACCTGGCGAGAAGCTGGCTTGGGAGAGCTTTGGAAACTGACAGCTGACCGCTCCATCCAGATAATGTGTCCAGTAGCTGGTTATGTCTGCAAGGTTCTGTTCCGAGGTATACTTGATGTAGTTGGAGTACGGACTGACATCGCCTCGCAATCGACCCTCGTACGCGTCCAAGAAGTTGCGGATGAGAAGTCTGGAAGTCGTGCCATCGGTGATGATGTGATTCTTGTCCAGGAAACAGTAGATTGCACCATCCTTCGCAGAGTAGATCTTCAGCTTGTGTAGTATCTTTCCGCTCAATGGCGAGGGCCCAGGTGAGGTTGACTGCTTCGCCCAGAGGCTCGGAAGATCTTGCTCATCCTCTAGTCTCAGAATCTCAATGTCTGGCGACACTGTCTTGACAACGACCTGTAGGAAGGCACCTTCGTCGTCCTCCAAGAACAAGGTGCGTAAGATGGGGTGGACAGCCACTACGTGTTTCCACGCAGCGTAGAGATTCTCAGGTTGAAGCTGTTCTTCACTAGACAGCTTGAAGAGGAAGTGCTGGCTGTAGACGTTGGATGGTCGTTTGAGCTGAGACAGCATAAGACTATCTTGGATTGGAGAGCATGGGTACACGGCCTCGATCTGACCGGGTTGGAGGTTTAGCCTAGTCTTTGCCAGACCCAAAGCCGACATAAGTCTCTTGGAGTTGAGGCCCACGGATGGAGGCAAGTTGTCAATCGGCGAGTCGGGAAGATTCTGTGATGCCATGCGGTTCACAATCTGTTCGAAACTTGACTCAAGTTGAGAAACCCAGTCTTTCAACTTGTCCTGGTGCTTCATCTGCGAGTTCCACTCAATCTCAATCGAGAGCTGGTCATCCTTCATGACGGCAAGGATTGAAATGAGAGAGTATCTCGCAGAATCTGCGCGTTGTTGTTTTCGCAACTCAGACAGGCGTGACTGTAAAGCATCGTCGCATCTCTTGAACAGTGACCCCTGTCTCTCAAACTGCTGGAAGGCCCCCAGGTAGTTGAGCGTGATCTCCATCGGCCAATGCCTTTCTTTGAAAGCTTCGACACCGTCGGTGTTGAGGAAGCGTGACATGAAGTAAGGCAGTCCACTCAGAGTGGTATTGGCGCGAAGCTCGCGGACACTGTTCAGAGTCGCGAGACTATCCTCGTGGTGCTCCGCGTACACAGGTAGGAAAGTGGTGAACCAACCTACTGTCTCCCATGGGTTCATGTCCGCCGAGAAGGACTCCCGGCCATGCCCCTCGATGAAGACCGCAGGCGAACGTCCAAATGTCTCGTAAAACGACTCCCCAACTGCGGTGACCATGAGATCCAACGACGCGTAGTTGGAAGTGCTTCGAGCCAACGACAAAGCTTTCGTGAGTTCAGCGGTGAGAGTGAGCTTCTCCGCGACACAGGACTTGAAGCAATTGTTTTTGTCCTTCATACCCCAAAACCCCAGATCGGTAGGTGCAACTCGGTCGGACGGCGGCAGAACATCCTTGATGTTCAAAGTTGCTGCATGCTGTCTTTGCGCGTGGCACCACGATTGGAATGTTGTGGCCTCCGGCTCTACCTGGCCTCCAAATAGCAGGAAGTTCTCGAGCTCGCGGAAGAGCGTTCGCCATGAGACCGTGTCGACCACGAGGTGATGTATGGTGATGGAGAGCAGAGTCTGACGGCGTGTTTCGAAAAAGTCCAGCCCGACAAGTGGACCAGTCTCAAGATTCAAAGACCTCTTGGACTCGCTGATGCATTCGATGACATAGTCAATCTGATCGCGTCCATGAAACCTCATCCGGCAGTTCTGATGAATGTCGGAAGTGGTAATCCTCTGCATCCACTCGCCATCGTGACATTCAAACCTGGCGCGCAGCATTGGATGAGCTTCCAGGATAGACTCGACGGCGCTGAGAAGTGTTTCTTGTTCGACTTTGTTGGCAACCTGAACGACCATGGTATGTTGATCGAGGACATCGCCGTTGGGAGAGGCCTGGAAGTGAAGTTGCTGGATCGGAGACAACGGAAAAGGATCGCCTTCCATCGGTTCTGCCATTGATGCAGCTGTCGGTACCGGTTTTCGGGTGACGTGCTCTATCCGAGATGCTGCTTTGGCTAGACGCTCAATCGATCGGCACTTGAGAACATCTGCGGCAGAGATGTTGAAACCTTTCTGCCTACCCAAACTGCTGACCGTCATCGCCGATATTGAATCACCACCTGAAGAAAGGTTAGCTCAGGGCTCATTTGCACGAGTTTGTTAGGCATACCAAGGTGGTAGAATGAAGTGTCCCATCGAATTTCCTCTTCAGGCACATTCAAGACCTCGCTCCAGATGCTTCTGAGCAACAATTCCGTCTCATTACCGTCTCTCTCAGTGCCCTTGTCTTGCATGTGAGACACCAAGTTGGCATACTGGTCCTCCGTGAGATGTTCGAGGTACCCTTCCATTCTCTTCCGGTCCAGTTTGCCAGATGAGCTCCGAGGCAGTGACTTCAGAGGAATCCAAACCTCGGGGGTCATGTACGGCGGAACCTTGTCTAGGAGGAAATCTCTCATCGGAGCAACCTGATCTGACCAATCGCCACCGAGGGTCTCTATTTCTGTTGATGGTGTCGAAATCGTAGGCTTGGAGCCAGAACTGGTGTCACCAATCGTGACAAATGCAACGAGTCTCTTCGCACATGGCCCTGACTTGGGAACGAGGACAAGACAATGCTGAACTTGATGATGCAAGACCAGCTGTCGCTCAATTTCGCCCAACTCGAGCCTTTGGCCTCGGAGCTTGACCTGGCCATCTCGGCGGCCGACGAAATGAAGATCACCACTCGAATCGTACTTGACGAGATCTCCGGTTCGGTAGAGACGCTTCTCGGGAGCCCATCTCAGAGCCGTCACAAATGCTTCGGCCGTTTGCTCCGCACTGTTCAGGTATCCACGAGCCAAGATCGGTCCCTCCATCAAGAGTTCGCCGACTGCGCCGACGGCTTGGAGGACGTGAGGGTCTTCAGGGCGGACAACCCAGGTCGCGCATCCAGGAACGGCTTTGCCGATATTTGTCGGGTCACCTTCAGGAGTCACCTCGTTCCCGATAGTGCTGGTCACACAACATTCCGAAGGCCCGTAAACTTGAATCAACTTCGTCTTTCCAGGATTCGCCCAGTTCCTGACATTCTTGCCTGACATCGCCTCACCACCAAGAACCATCGTCTTCATGGTCGGAAGCAGGGCAGGAGTCAGCATCTCAGCGAAGGACGGTGTGAGATGAGCCCAGTTGGCTTGTGACTTGGTGGCGAAATCTGCTAGATCTGGCAAACCGAGGCGCATTTCTTCGGACGGAACACAAAGACAGGCCCCAACAGCGAAGGTCGTGAGGTGGTCCTCCATGCTGGTGTCGAAACCATATGACGCGAATTGTAAGACACGTGATGTGGCGTTGATCTGGATTCCGTTGCTGTGTGCTCGTGCCGCGTACGCGTAGGACCCGTGATCAACGACCACTCCTTTCGGTGTTCCGGTTGAGCCGGACGTAAAGATGATGTATGCTGGATGTTGAGGCGTGATGACCGGGAGCGCGAGAGCGACTCGTGAAGAGGCGATGGCGGAAAGTTGTTCTTCATCGAGCTCAAGCACGTTTCGGGCTGATGACGACAACTCTGCAGCTTGCTGAGGCGAACATATTATCAAGCCGCGGTCTTCTGAAATGCCTAGCTGTTTCAGCATCTCTTGAACCCGAGCTGCGGGGTTCGATAGATCCAAAGGGACAAAGGCGTTTCCACTCTTCAAGACGGCGAGGAGAGCAACGGAGTACCAGACAGATTTCTGAAAACATAGCGGAATGAATGCCCCCGGACCAATGCCGAGGCTGGTGATGTAGCTAGCAACACAGGTCGCCGCTTTTTCGAGCTCGTCGTACGTCATCTCCCCATCCCACGCATAGATGGCTGGGGCGTCGGGTTGAAGTTGCGCCCTCTCTTCAATGAGTTGATGCACATAACCCGGAGTCGTCTCATCAACGGCATCCAAAACGTTCCAGTCCATGACCTGCCGCAAACCCTCCGGGCTGATGGTGGTTGTCGGCCCGACCGAGCTATCCGGGCTCTCTGAGCTGACCATTCTGCGCAAAATTGAAGAAAATGTCCGAGAAACGCCGTCTGCCATCGCCGGAGAGAGTGTCGCAGTGGAGTAGGCTATGCGTATGCGAATATCTGAGTCGGAGTAAACAACCTTGAGTACAATGTCGAAATCTGAAGCATTATGAGAGGTGACCAGCCTGAACACGTTGCTACCCCTTTCGTCGGTTGCGGCCGGTGAGAAGTAGGACGTCATTATGGTGTTGAACAATTTGTTTTCATTATTGCCCAGAATGCGCTGGACCTTGCCAATCGAGAAGCACTGGTGCGGTAAGGAATGAACAAAGTCATGTCTGATGTCTCCCAAAAGATCACCGAGCGACTTATTGTCTATGCCGCGTACCCGGCACACCAAGAGGTTCATCATCGGACCTACAATCTCAGAAACCCCGATGATGGGCAGGCTGCGTCCAGAGGATAAGTAGCCGAAACAAACGTCTGGTTCGCCGGTGTAGGTGTGCAGAACTAGTGACCAGACGGCTTGTAATGTATTCGATATCGTGGCGTTGAAGTTGCGGCAAAATGTCCGGAGCTCCTCCAGCGACGTATCGAGAGGCATCTCTACGACCTCAAAAGAACCAGCATCGCCACCCTGGTTGTCATTCATGGTCGGAAGGTAGCAAGGCTCAGCTCCGTCGATGTAGTCGATCCAGTAGTCGAGAGCTGCATCTTCGTCGACCTCGTCCTGGAGGTACTCGATGTACTTGCCGTAACCGGTTGCCGGTCCAAGGACTGGTACTCCCCGCAAGCCTTTGACCAGTTCCTCCATGATGACCATGAGAGAGCTGCCGTCGACCGTGAGATGATTGAGATCAACCTGAAAAAGGATTCGTCCGTGCGTTGCCCCTTTTGAATCGGAGTAGATGGTGATTTGGTGTTGGTCATCCTGGTCGTTTTCGTCGTCTAGGGATTCTTCGCGGAATAGTCGATGAACCTCGGCCACATCGTCGCAGTTCTTGACGATTACTCGGCCCAGCTTGTCTTTGAGCACAACCGCATCCAGCAGTCTTCCACCAGACGGGTCCGCTGTTTCGACGTAGATGGTGCGGAGGGTTTGATGGCGACGTATGATTTCGTGCCAACTCGCCTTAAAGCGATCAACATCAAAGCCTGACTGGGATTCGAAAAGCCCGCGGGACCGGTAAAGTCGCTTTGAACTCATTTTCTGGCCGACGTACATGTTCTCCTGCATTGGACTGCAAGGATAGATGTCTTCCACGTCATCCGGACTGAGACCCTGCTTCCTCTTTAACTCGTCGAATAGCTTCCCGAAGTCGTAATCTGCTGGCATCTGAGTGAAGGTCTCATCTCTCCCCGCGCGCTGTTGCCCCGAGGATCCGGCATCGCCATTCTCTGCGGCTGCTTGAGAAAAGGCTGCGACGTCGGCCAGCGATTTATGAAGAAGATCTTGAAAGCGGACGACCAAGCCCTGCTCAGTGCATTTCTGGAACAGGTTCACTGCCTTGAAGGAATCGCCTGTTCTACACATCAATAATGGCCTCAATTGTTTATATAGGATGTCACGACTCACCGCCAAGCGCGACGAATGAGGAGCAGTCGTCGACATCCTCAACGGGAATCGACAAGATCTTCGAGTACAGGACCTTCAGGGTCTGGACAGCCGACTGTCCATCGTCTCCGGAGCTTGCTCCGTTCATGTTGAATCAATAATATTACTCGATGATAAGCAAAAGTAAGGATCTAGTCGCAAGAGTGACAATCACTCTCTTCCGCTGGATGAATGCAACGATGCGCTGTGAGTGATTTGAGGATGCAGAAGCCGAGTCAGGCAACTAAAGACGACGACGTTCGAAGGCGAATAATCAACTGTCTTAATTGCTTGTGTCGATGACTTCAAGGTTATCCCAGGTACACCATGTGACCGGAGAAGCGAGTAATCTTGCCTTTAGACATCGCTTTTGCTCTGTTTGCTGCCACACGACGCGGGTCCGTACCGATATGCCTGTGATGCCGCGTCCAAAAGGGGCCACATACACTCCAGCGATCACGTCTCGGACCGAAGTCTAACTCTATTATTGGCTACGCCGGCCAATCTACGAAACCCCCAACCAGAGCCAAACGTCCAGAACCCCCAGCCTGCTTGAAGATAAACATCAGATATTGCAGGCAATGTTGGCAGAAATGTTAAGCACAGTCAGTGCGCATGACACCTACATTGCTTCGGTATAAAATCCGCAACCGCCAAGATTGCGTCTGAAGTGGTAGACGATGCATCCCATCATACGAGCCAATCGTATAGTGATCCTGCATCAAGATTCGTCAAAACATGAAATGTCTTCAACGGCATCGACATAGATAGAAGCAGGCATGGTGTTGTCGGTGTTCATACGGATGGTTTGCTGCTCATGAACATTGTTCACGAACACGCGGGTTTATCGTCGCTGGAATTATTTCCGATTGGATCTCTCGAAATTGACTCATGAAATGATGAACCGTACAGTCCTAGAAGATCGTTGAAGGGTTTGCCAGTACTGCATGTAGTCTCTCGGCCGATCATCCGTGGAAGGTTGGTGTGCTAGGAGGATCGCGTTGTCCTGCGACGGTAAAATGAGGCGCCCGACAAAACGGAAACGAAATCCAGGCTTCCCGGCCGATCCATTTCTAACCAATTGGAAACATAAACAACCCGTGGCGAACCACTTGCTATCGACGATGAGGGGAAACGAAGCGAGGGGATGCCATGCCAAGATCATGCTTATCAATATTTCAGATCTCTAACTGTCGCCATCATCTCAAGTTCACGATGGCAACAGGCGGGAGCTGTCCCGCTGGCCGGATTAGTCCATGATCTATAGTTGCCGAACGGCTTTCTTGTTGACTGTGACGTGGGTCTCGCAACGATTGTCTGGAAAAAGCAAAGACCGACCTGCTGTCAACATTGAGAGGAAACGGCTGATCAGGTCAATGATGTAACGACTTTGAGCGAAGCGTAGCCCTACGGGAAAAGACTGCCATGTTAAGCTTCATGGGAATTGCCGACCGGCTGTGCTGGTATGAGCTGTCCCGTCTCGCTAAGCAGCCGGCCGGAATGCTGGGGCCGGGTGCTCCGCTGCCGGATCGGTGAGCTGCCGTGGCCCCTTCGGATCCGATGCAGAGACTCCGACTGGATTTCATCATGGCGAGTGCCGAGCCCTCCCAGCTTCTACAATGGTAACCTCCTTGCCATTTGGCGTTGAGACGGTCGCCCGTGGGAAATTTGGAGACGCCACAGTGGCGGACGTTTGGTCTGATGTGCTGCCATTAGCCTCGGCGCAGTGCTTAGCACAGGTACCAAAGATCTACGGTGCCCGCAGAATGCTTGGGAAGATGGGGGTCATTCTTGACATAGAGAAGGGCCCGGAAGTACAAATGGTGGGAAGAAAGCCCGCGAGATGGCTCGAAGAATGGTTCGGAAGGATCATAAATCTCTTCAAGAACGCTTCATGCGCATCACGTAGACTGAATTTGAGATGGTTTACTCCTTACACTCACTGAAAGTCCCTATGAGCTTGTACACAACACCTGAGGTACTGTCAGCCGCTCACTACAATGGTTCGATGTTCAACTGCCAACGCAGGCCAGTCAATGAGAGAATCCGTGAATGGGTCTGAAGAGGGACTTTGGGAAAATAAGCAATGAAAAATGAGACCCGATCTGTGTGCTCGTAAACAATTGCTGAGCATCACGGTGCTACAATAACTGGTGCCTGGACACCGGTTCAGCCAGGTTCCGGTAGTCTGGAGGGTCGGGAAGATCGGCAGTGCAACCTAAATGGACTAACGCGTGCCAGGGTCAAAAATAGGTCTCAGCAGGCTGCAGCAAAGCTGCCTGCAAGCCCCTGAAAGCCAAGCCACAGTCGAAGGAGGCCCCTGTGATGTTGTTTTCCAAGCTTCCGTTGAGTGACGGTGAGTGAGAGTGTTCATGTTCTCATCTCAGCATTCACTCAACATGAATTTTCGACGAATTGACCTATCAAGAGCTGAGTGCAGGGCATAAGGTATACATGGAGGAAGAAAAACCCTGACGACACGGGCTGGTTGGTGAGCGTCGGCTTCTCAAGACCTCCGACCTCATCTCATCCGCCGGGCTCACACGTCCGGACGGCCGAGACACCGGCCCCACTCCGTCATTGAGACCTCTCAGAAATTTACTGTTTTCTTTCGTTCATGAGGCCATCTGTGATGATCATGGCGATTCCGAGTTCCCGGCCTTTCCAACTTTTCGCAGCTTCAGTTTTGCGTCGGCTTTCTGGCTCTCGAAAGCCTCTCTATCAGAGTTCGTGACTTGAGTCAAGAAATAAGGGCCTGTGGATTAGAATTCACCAACTCAGCCCCAATATTATGATGCTTGACTGGAGAAGGCTTATTCCCACGAAGTTCAACGAAAATAAGAAAACACTCACCGACCGGGACTCCAACAACCGACTCATCAACATGCACGTCGGCGGAGCAGCTCCAGGCTCAAAGCTCACCTCATCACGGAACAGCTCTCCGTGAACCTCCGCGAGAGCTGGAATAGCCTACTGACCTGAGTGTCGTCTATGGCGCGAGTAACCCCTTCCACCCTTGTTTCTAAATGCTGACGTCGGGACAGCTCCAGCTCAGCTCTGCCCTCTTTTTCCAGTCTTTGAAATTATCGCGGCGATCCTAAAGGATCTCATCTCCACGTGCTAGCGCGCCACACCCCTGCAGCCCTGCTCACTCTGTATTGCCGTCCCTTGAAACACGCCACGATCTTCCCGCGCCAATATGAGCTCTGCCAATACAGCAGCTCGAACACTCATCTCCTCTGCGGCTGATACTTCAGATGGTCGGCTTATGGTGTTTACTGTCAACAGTCGACCAGGCTAGCGCTTGCGAGGGATTGTTACCCAACCGGTTTTTTGAGGCCGCAGCAGGCAAAGTTTTGGGCCTTTCGTCGAAGTCACGGTCTCTCCCTCAACCCACATTGAGCATCATGCCGAAGGATTGGAATACACGGCAAGCTAAAGCCGTTAATCAAGTCAAAAACTCCAGCCTAATGTGGGGGGTTCACGATGGACGCCAGCTCAGTACACTAGGTCGACTAGTGTCGACCCGGTCAGCCATGCTCGAACCCCTGGCTCTACGCTGAGCCGGTTCTGCCTGGCTGGCTCCAGCTCACAGCCTCATCCCACCGTCGCGTTAAGGTTACCTTTCGCCTGTTCATGATTTCCCCAGACGCGCTTATTGGGGCTGGGGGGTGTAAGCACAGGCGCGTTGAATATGGCACCGACACTAAGGAGTATGTCACGGCGGTCAACATCTTGCCTTATAAGACCCAAATGAGTTCCTACCGCTCTAGTGTAGGCTTGTTTCTCATCTCGACATCCTATCTCTTATTCATAAGACGTCAGTGAGCCTGGAAATCACCACCTCCCACTTCAATACGCAACTCGGATCACGGAAGCGGTTCTCTGAGGCACTCAAACATCCCGACATGCGGTCTTCACTCACTTGGGCGCTTGCCCTCGTCGGAACGGCTACCGCAGCCAACTTACACGCGGCTCAGAAGGCCAACGCCAATGCCAATGACAAACCTACACCGACATCGGCACCAAACAACGCCTGTAGCCTTGCAAAGGCTGCCGCCGAGTCCAACTTGGCAGCAAATCCCAGTGCAACGGCCGCCTTCATCACACCTTCCCTGGCTTACAATTGCTTATACTCAGTTCCCGTCGACAAGGAAAGGGACTTGGACCTTCTCAACTACTTGGAGCCATACCTGCAATTCCAGAGCACGCTAGAGATTCTCGCCAACCCCCCAGAAGGATACTTGATTCCTGGCGTTGATGTTATCGCTGGCATTGGTCAGATCCGAGCGAAGCTTTCCAAGAACCAGTACAAGAGTCAGCTGGACTTTGCCCTGGAACTCAAGCAAATCGTAAGATCAGTTTAAGCTCGTCCTCTAGGGACACCACTAACTCGGGTCTAGTTCTACCAAGCTGCCGACGGTCACTTTGCCTACAACCCGGCGATCTTGAGCGTTTTCGGCTTTGGAAGCCATGAAGGTCTCGTCTCAGTTGCCGACAAGGTTACTGGTCTTCCCACAGTTTACCTCGAAAGCGGTTTCCAGAAGTCCATCGTCAACGACACCGACGTCTACGATATCGAGAGCATCGATGGCATTGAAATCTGCGAGTTCATCGAGTCTCACGCTGCCCGACTCCAGACCCAGGACCCCGATGCCAAGTACAATATGATGTTTCCCAATCCGGCCACCATTGCCAAGGGTGGACATGGTGCCTTCACGGGCAGACTTGCTGGCAGTACACCGGACCAGGAGGTCATCAAGTTTACCAACGGTTCGACATACGTCAACAAGCTGTATGCTACAGTTCACAAGTCTTCTGTTCCGTTTCTCAACTCAGCAGAGGAGCTTCACAACGAATTCGAAGTTCCCAGCCCCCCAACTTCAACCACAGCTCGTTCTAGCCCTGCTACCACCGTCCCAGTCGTCCCAGTCACGCCTGTCACCCCGGTGCCCAGCCCAACTTCACTCATCGGTTACCCCGAGCCAGTCGCTTTCCACGAGCACTCTTGGATCTCCGGTTACTTCCTCGACGGCGAAGGCTACAAGGACACCGCCGTTCTCGCTGTCCTGGCCTTCTCGCCCTGGATGATCGATGCCCCCAACGGTACTTTCGAGATCATTGAGGCGCAGCGCACAGTCGCCGAGTTCTTACAGAAGTCCAAGAAAGCTGGCAAGAAGAAGCTCATCATCGACGTCCAAACGAACGGTGGTGGCCTCATCGTGGCCGGTTTCCAGCTTTACAGCCAGCTGTTCCCCAAGGCCACCGACATCTGGGACGGAAACCGCATTCGCGCCAACGAGGCTCTCAAGGTAATCGGAGGGGTCGCGGAGGAAACCTCGCCTAAATACTACAAGGATTTCATCGGTTCCACCTTCGATGAGGAGCGCAAGCCTTTCAAGGATTTTGCTGCCCTCTTCGGTCCCGAATACGTCGGATCCCAGAACGTCACCAACCTCTTGCGCTACGACCCGGAATACCTGGGCTTGGACACGAGCGATGAGGAGCAAGTGTTTGACGCAGAGGACATTGTTATTCTCACCGATGGTAGCTGCGCATCTACCTGCACCATCTTCACCGGACTCATGGTCAGAGAGCAAGGTGTTCGCACCATCGCTCTTGGTGGTCGCCCCATGGAAGCAGCTATGCAGGCAATTGGAGGCGTCGAAGGCTCTCAAGTCTTCAAGTACCAGGATGTGAGGCAGTTCGTCAGACAGACCAGCATGGACGCGGCCAAGACCAACAACACCGAAGCTGTCAAGGCTATCAAAGATGCTTGGGATGTTATTCCCGACCTGGGCGAACCGCCTCTTCTTCCCACGCTCATCCGGTCGGGCAGCATCAACTACCGCAACGCCTACCCGCGAAAGGATGTGAACGGATACCCGGCCCATTTCACATATGAAGCGGCCAACTGCCGTCTCTTCTACACGGAGAAGATGATCGTCGATCCGGTTGCTGTATGGACTGCCGGCTACGACGCCGCGTGGAAGAAGGGCAAGTGCGTTGCCAGGTCGACCGCCAACACCGACAGCACCATTGGCGACAAGACCGTTCCCTACAGTGCTGGTGTCAAGAGCAGGGTTGCCGCCTACACCGGCCCCGGTGCTTTGACTTACAAGGGAGCCTACGAGCCATGCAAGCCCTTCTACCAGAAGAAGGGCAACCAGAAGAGAGAGGTCGAGGACGCTGACTTGCTTCCCCCTGATGACTTTGTCTACGAGTTCAGGCACAAGATTGGCGGCCAGGATCTCAACCTCGACGAGTATATCAAGGAGAACGTTCCTGAGGGCTGGGAGTATGAGGAGAGGCACAAGATTGGGGAGATTGCGCAAGCTGTCGACTTTTGATGAGCTCAGTTCATGTAATTACGGATGCATATTGGGGTAATGATTTCAGCGATTTGCTTGTTTTCTGACTTTGCGCGACTTTCAGCGGGCCACGAGCCATACTTCTAGAGACGGATTAGATATTCACCGATACCCCAAAAGATAAAGAATCAATCAAGGCATGAATATCGATATGAACACGCTATTACGTGGCGTTTAACTCCCTGTCTCCTTTGAACATTCCGAATTTGGCCTCTTTGGTATCGTGATACATACACTTCGGCCTAGCCGATCATGATGAAATGTGGGAGGTGGCTGAAAGTCTTTCGGCTGGATTTAAGAGATGGCCGGAAAGTAATGCCCATCTATCTTACAATACACTCGAAACCCCAAGGCTGAATAGTTTGCAATCTGTTCGAGAGTCGTATTCGCGTTAGAAGACTTTCAGGAGAGGAAGCCATCAACAATATCACATGAACGTGTGTCGCCTGCGGCGGAACAATCGTAGAAATTACCTAACACATGTAAATGAAGGAGCATTGTTGGTGGATTGCTGTATGTCTCTACACATTTGAGTTTTGAAGATAAGTAAAAGGGACGTAAGAGATTCCCTACCAATCGTCACGTTTAGCTTGTCGCCTTGAGAGATCATTCAACGACAACTTTGCGAGATACCTATACGAAAATTCAGCGAGAATTCGTGTAATACGCCAACCAGAAGAAGGAACCAGCTCCGGTCCAACATGGAGATGCAGAGATGGTTACAAGGTCCCCGTTGAAAGCCAACTCCCCTCAGAGTTGCCAACTTACTCCAGTCTCCCCAGACTATTCGGCGTTACTACCCTGCCAGCGATCGTCAAAGCAACTCAGATAAAAGGACAACTCCACAACCGGGAAGACCCAAGGGCCAAGTGCCACGAATCATGTTAAACATGGATATGGAATGACTCCAGTAAAAGCGACCAAAGACCCGTGCAACTTGAAAATAAGCTTTCCTCTTACTCGGGAAGTTGAGCCGATTTGGGAGTCGGATCCCAGACTGTGGACATGAGTTTACCCACTACACTTTGTAAATGATGGGTAAAGTCCCATTCCACAACAGAAAAGTGGCACTTGATGTTCCAGCAGTGAGGAAACTGGCGGCTAGATTGTTCAACAACAGAGTTTAAATTGAACACCCAATCAAGTTTCTTTAGGAAGTAAGCTATCCATCACGTTCGACGGTCAATCGACGATGTGGGATACAATTCCATTAGAAGGAAACAAATTCCCGCAGGCCCCTTTTTCTTAGAGTTTATCAAATCAATAATCGATGTTATGTTACAATATGGAGAAACGATGTACCCCATGATATGCATGCGTTTTCAAAGATACCAGTCCTGAGAGGGATCATCGTTCTATTCTGTCTTGTGATGCTATCTAGTCCCTTACACCGAAGAATGATACTCTGGCCAGGATACGCTGCTCTCATTAACGGCATCCTGTGGGTTTCCGGGGATGCTTAACCCCTCCTTCGGGCAAGGATCATGTGAACCTGCCACTTCAACTCCAGAGGTCCATCTCCTACTGCGTTCTCTATCTCCTGCCATTTTGGGGACCCCCAAGACTCCTCGGTAAAGCCAAACCGCATGGACTCGAGAGATTGCTTTAGCCATTCAACCGAAGCCGTAATCTGCCAGTCTTTGCTGTCCTCGATCGACACCCGCTCAGATGTTCCTAAGTGAGCCACGGGGTCTTCGGTGCCCTCCATCGGTTCGTAATCCTTCGCATACCAGCCATCCTTGCAGTTCACTTCGATGCGCTTGACATCTTGCCAGACTTCGTCTTTCAGGGGCACACAGTCCATCCCATGGAACATCTGTCTTGCTGCCCTCTTCCAGTTTTCGGTCATCCATTCTTGCTTCAAGAGATGGGAGGCGTGCTCTCCTATGAAGCTTTTGAAAGCTGCGTGGGCAACCGCATTGTTGGTGATACCGGGAAACGGACCGTAGATGACGGCCGCAAAAGTGCCTCCCTTCCGGAGGCTGTTGGCAACGTTGTTGAGAGTCGGCTCCAGAACGGTCCAGTGGAGAGACTCGCACGCCATCGTGAAGTCGACATGGTCCAAACCGGTGGGGGCAACCCAGGGGTCCTCGCCACGACAGGTCCGGTAGGTGAACTCGGTCCCAGGGAAGCGGTCCTTGAACCGAGCACGGCAGTCGGTTATGTTGATATCGCGGGGTTCCGTGAGCACGACATGCTTTATTTGTGGAGTCGTGTAGGTCAGTAGCCCCTCAGCGCCGTTGCCACTTCCCGAGCCAATGTCGTGAGCGCTTGTAAGAGGTCCTTGATGGTAGTTCGTCCATAGTTCCCACATCGAGTCCGGATATGGGGGCCGGTGGTCAACGTAGTGCTTCGCCTCTTTGGCAATGGCCACTTTGGGCTGATGATTGACATCCTGCTGGGGAGCCGTAAGGGGTGCGCTCATCTTTGACAAGGGATTGGGCCGTGTAAGCGTGTATGTGCGTCTCTGGGGTGACAAGAATGAGTTCCTTGTGATCGGGAATCTGGAGTGAACCGAGTCAATGATGGGTGATTCCGAGTGGGAGCAAGGGGTTCCACTACGGCTTCTTATTATCACAACCGGTGTGAGGTCCTGCAGCGACGATCTTCGGATTCGGTCTGCTAGTCTGGTGGCTGTGATCACAAGCCGAGAAGGGAGAGCATCTCTTGAAGCTTCACAGGGTATCCTATGTTCTCGGTACGAGCGGGATGAGACGACGAGAATGCCATGAGCCCTGGACCGAGTCGGAAGGTGCTGAAGGCCATGAAGATCCTGACTCAACTCACCGTTGCATTACATAAGGTTTGAAGTTTCTGATTGCCCGCTCCTTAAATCACGCGTGGTGATCGAACGTATTCGCTCGTTTTGGTCTTCCGCCGGGCTGCCACGCAACACTGGAGGTTAGGTTTCAGTGGGATGAAAGCTAGTGGAAGTTTGTCTGTTGTCGCTTCACTGTGAATGACTCAATAGCATCTTCAGAGTTCAGAAGACAATCCCAAGTTGAGGAACGAACGGGAAGAAAATGAAACGAAACTTAGTTTGAACTCGACCACGTTTTGACATGCGTTGAACGCGCACTTCACTTGGGAGTCTTCTGATGGGGTCGATGTGAGCGGGTAGACGAGAGACTAGTGAGCTCCTCCGTGGATACGATTGAAGTCAGATGTGTACCCCGCGCCTATTGAGAGCCGAGCGAATGGTTGAGACAATTATGAGGGGTTGCGTCCCGGCTCTAGGTCCCGACGCTTGGGATTCGCAATCCTTGTCACGTCTGCCCGGGGTTCGGGCGAGTCATCCACAAAGCATATCACCATAGTGAGCAGACAAGCTGAATGGTGCGAAACCAGCTCAGCGTTACGCGGTGAGGGGAACCAAAAGTTAAAAAGAGTAAATGCATGAGTATTATCACCCGGTCTTGGAGAATAACACTGTACTTTGAGAAAGCTACCCCTGAGCTGTTCTGAAAGCTGGTCCCGGCCGAAACCGTCTGGTATCTCAGGGACTGCCGCGCAGACTTCACAACTCGAGAAAGCTTTGACGGCTTCACACGTTGAAAACAGGGTTTCCGTCTTTTGACAGAAGTGCCACCCTAGCCAGCGCCTTATCGCGGCTGGTTCCTTGCTTGGCAAATATCTAGTCAAGTACAACACCGTCCGAATCAATCCAAGTGTAAACTTTACGAGAATATTCCACTTCAGCCGTCAGTAAACTTAGGTTGGATAGTATTTAGACCAAGTCTATCTTGCATTCAGCGCGGCACCACCCGTTTGGTCGTCGTCTTCATATGCATACACTTTGCTCAACTTCCGTTAGCCTTCCCGTCGACATTCTAGAAGACTTTGAGGCGAATCGGCTGTCATCCCTTTTTTGGATCCATCATCATGCGTAGAATCACCCGTCGAAGAGGCGCCTGCCAGGCGTGTAGGTCAAGGAAAGTTCGATGTGAGTTGACGAGGCAAAGCTCTTATTCACTGAACGAGCCCTGACAATTTCAAGGCGATGGAGCAGATCCGTGTCTGAACTGCGATGTACGTCAGTGTACGATATCATACTACGTGACGGCTTCTGACGAGATCGAAATAGCGTAACGGCCAAGCTTGTTACTATCCACCTTTGGCACCACGACCTCGTCGAACCAGCGCACCAGGGACGAACAATAACAGAGCACCGCCCGAAGTCCGAAGACTCGACATCAATCCTAACGACAATCTTCCACCCTACGATGCATGGCAACAGCTTGCATGTGACACAACTCTTCTCACTCCCCGTTCAACCGACGACGCCAGTAACGGCGACGAGAGGGGCGAAATTGACGGCCTCAGCTGTCTACTCCAATTCTCTATGCCAGAAACACATCGAGATTCCAGATGCAATGATGAGAACATACTGAACCTCCCTTTGCCGGGAGAGGATGAACTCATGGAGCTGCTTGAGACAACGCCGTCAGACTCCAACTCGGCAGGTTTCAACTTTGAGATCCTCTCTCCCATGCTGGACAACAACAAATATTCCGCCTCTCCAGCTCCACCGGTCGCGAACCCGAAGGAGCCTTATCGTCCACCTCGACCAGAGACGGCGAGCCCTCCCGACTATGACATGGTGGGCACTTTCTTCACTCCTTTTGCTCTGTGCGATTTAGCTGACTCATATTCAGCTCTTCAATTTCGATGAGGCAACCAACGGCTCACAACAACCCACATCTGAGACCAACGAGAAGGCTTCAAGCCCAACGGACGCCACGGCACATGTTGATTTTGCGGCATCTAGTCTATACGGCCTTCCAAGTTACATTGCTCGCAGCAGCAAAGAGCCTCACAGGACTGAGATGATCAAGATTGTGAACGGGCTCAAGAGGGTGCTCTGCGGAAGTCAAGTCGTTCAGCCAAGTAAAGCTTCACTTGACCGCTCAAGGAGGTTCCCTGATAGCGATATCACCATGGCGCGATACTGCGATGGTAAGCACGCGAGAATTTTCAACCCGATTCAATCGCTGACTGCTTCATTCTGCAGCATGTTTCGAAGACTGTTGTCCGTGAGTGAACGTCTTTGGCAATGGACTAAGACCAGGCTGACAGGAAAAATGCAGTATTAGCAACTTCTTGACGAGACAAACAGTGGATCAAGTCATCAAAGATTCCCGCGAATCGGATGCAAACTCGCTGTCCGTGGCATTTGCAGAAGCAATCATGTCTATTGGGTACTACACCACATGCCAGCGCAGCCGAACATCGCCAACATCTGAGGAAACACGCGAAGCCCAGAAACGGCTTGCCTCTGCCCTCGGACTCTACAAGACGATTGGTAGCTACCCAAACAGCCTTTTGAAACTTCAGGTACACTCTTCCACATATCTCAGACACTGCGGTCGGTAGCTAACAGTTGACAGACTACTCTTCTTATGGTCAGGTTACTCCGCGACACACACTGAACGCAGCCTTGACTAATAGCTTATAGGCCGTCATAGCATGTATGTGCGACGAGTCTCTGGTATGGGACCAGATCACCGGGGCAGTATGCTGCGCAAGAGATCTTCGTTTGGTGCACACGGCTAGGGGTCAACAGCCAAACATGAGTGAGCAAGATCAAGAGTTGGCACAAAGAAGCGTATGGTTTCTCTACAGCCTTGAGACCGAGTACGCGATTCACCACGGCATGCTTCCTGTGAGTATTCCCAATCATCATTCCTAGCTCAGATTACTGATCTTTCTCAGATCTTGGACCTCGGCTGGGGCAGCCAGTTCCCGTCGTTCGACCGGGGCGATGACATGATCGCAGCGTCCTACACCTTTTCTGAGTTGTTGCATTCGGTACTGAAGTTTCAGTACAGCCCCCGCGCACTTCACAAGTCCACGTCAGCCTACGATCGGCGTGATCGGCTGCAGGCCAGTTGCCATGTCCTCAACGAGTGGGTAACGGGATTGCCCGCGCCTCTCAACGAGGCGCACAACGCCAAGACACTGCAGGGGATCAAGGACGACCGGCTGTTGCGGAAAGCTTTTCGTATCTTTTGCATGTATCATCGCGCGGTCTACTTCATTCACTGTCCCTGGATCACACCCCTGTCGTCAGATGACGGGGACTTATCCAACGTCGCCGGCCAGATGAGAGATCGGTGTATGGAGCGATGTGCCGAGTCGGCCTTTGCTGTGGTGAAGCTTGCCAATAGTGGTCTATTTTGGGAAAAGGGGTTGGAGAGGTATGTTATCAATGCCCACGGACTCCATCCTGGCCAAGAAGCTCACTTCAACAGGGACATTGGTTCCCCAAGCACACGATGGGGTGACATGGGACATCTCCTTCTGGTCTCGCTTTGTTTCATTGTTTACTATCTCGTGAATGGCGAGAAGGGAAATCGCAAGACTGCTATGCCTTACTTGGCTATCTGCGGAGGACTCTTTGGTAGACTCAGCCTGGAAAGCGATGAGGCTTCCCTGCTAGATCATTATCTGGAATTGGTTCAAGTAGTTCGAGCGAATTAGATACGGGTGGCGCACTTTCATAGGCATAGCAGGCAGCAACATAACGACGGCATCGACAAGAATGATAGCATCAACGGCATATTTAGCGAATAAGAACAAGAACAAGACTACATGCAAGGGTGATACGAGGCCCAATTAGGATTGTTGAATTGATGGTATGCCGTGTCTTTTACAGAGTTTTGATCCGACTGTCACCGGCGCGAGCCGCTGCCGCGAATTCGTGACCTCTTTGGTGATTCTTGGCAGAAACTTACGTCTCTCGACTCTTATCTATCCATGGCGCGGCAGTTGTCTCGGGTAACCCATGTCAAGCGAGATATCACATCTCGTATTGTCATATGTGATGTACTCATGATGGAAAATGTTGCTGTCTTTGGAGGATTTCGATCATACGTGCAGTGGCAGGGTGGGATGATTTACGCATTGCGGTTGTGCTCGGAGTAATAAGGTTCAGTGTCAACTCTCTTTCAGCTGATGCATAATAATTGATTCAATATGAAAATGATGATTGGCTCATAGAGCTGTGCTGATTTATAGTTTGGATTCCCGCTGCAGTCCAGTCTTGTCTCTCAACTCTATCCTGCTTGACCCCTTGTCAAATTCCGACGATCACAGCTATGAAAGAGAATCACTATACAGACTAATGTGAAGTATGGCGCTCTAAAAGTTCACCTCCTCCTTCCTCCGTCTAACAAGAACCTTCACGGTGGGATTTGCCAGCATCGAAAACCCAAATTCCATCGGCTTTGTGTTGCTGTTCTCGGCCAACTTGATGTCATACTTCAACAGAAGATGGCACATGACCAGCTTGACGGTATTAGCGCCGAAGAAGCGCCCAGGACAGGCGTGGATGCCCAGCCCGAAGCCAAGATGATCAGGCGAAGTGCTGACCAGCTGGGCCGTCTTCTCGCCCTGCTCCGAAGCTTCCCGCATGCTCAAGAAGCGATAGCCGTCAAAAGTGCGCGGGTTCTCGTAGATCTCCGGATCCCACATCTTTTCGGCTGAGACGGCAATTCCCGCCTCCTTCGGGAGCACAGTGCCATCCTGGAGGCGAACCTCGGACATGACTCGGCGGCCCAGACCAACTACACGCGCATGTCAGTAAACGCAATTCCAGTGAAGCTTATCCGAGAGTTTCCGGGTTCGTCAGAATTGGAAACTGCCCGATGCATTCAGATGATGACGAATCAGGGGACCAGAACTCACCGGCTGCTACTGGCTTTAGGCGCAAAGTCTCTTTGAGCACGCTGTCGAGAAGCTTCATGTTGTAAAGAGTCGTGGGCTTCCATCCGCCGTCTCCCAGAACTGAGCGAATCTCGTTTCTCAGAGGCTCGAACATTTCAGGGTTCTTGCAGAGGTCCATGATGCTCTGCGACATGAGGTCGTTGCTGGTGAGAATTGCTGAGACGGAGAGGCCCAGCTGCTGGGCTGCGGGGTCATAGTCAACACCCATCTTCTTCGCGGCCGACTCGTACCAATCAAGGGCGTCATGATACTCGAGGCTGGGATCGGCTGCCTTCTCTGCGCGCCGCGATTCTAAAATGGGCGCGATTGTCTCTCTGGCCTCTTGCACCATCACGCGGACCTCCTGGCACTCGCGCAGGAACCAGTGGATGTACTTGTACAGGAATACAGGCCATCTGCGGAGGACTCTGGCTGCGTTTGTAGCTTTGTTGGTGTAGTTGACCGTGATTTTGAGCCAGTCAGGGTTCCTGCACAGTTCAGGTCCCAAGAAGATGACGGAAGAAACTCGCGCCACAATGCGGATGAGGACATCTCCAAGAAGAACCTCATGCCATTCTGTAAGCTTCATGTTAGTCTCTTCGTCAGTCGTAACGCTGGTGGGTCTACTTGCCCTCGTTGTCAGTCAGAATGTCCTTCAGAGCAGCATCTGCCTCATCGGACAACGGTTTGTTGAGTTTGGCTGCGCAAGTCAGTGATCGAGTATCGTCAGAAGCACACTGGACATCAAACTAACAGATGCCCGCCGGAGTAAGATTCCACTTAATCACATTGTGCAGGATCTCAGTTCCCAGCGCAATGTACGGCTCAAACCCCGGGATTCCAGCTTGCCAATACTACAAAGTCCGTCAGCTTCGTACGAAATTCCTTGTTTTCACAAACGAGCTCACCTGCAAAAGAAACTTCGTCGAGTCAAATCGCTGATCATTTCGAACTTCAGGCATAACAGTAGGATTGAGGATAATGACTCCGCCACCAAGACCAGTGTTTACTCTGAAGGGCTTCCCCCCGTACTCCTTCATTCCACGGGCCAGCATGGCCCGTCCGTTTCGCAGATACTCATTTTTGCTGCCGTTGATGACCGGAAACGAAGCTAGCTTGTTTTTGCGAAGCGAAACCGCCATCACCGAGGCAACAAGAATGATTGCCATCAAGTAGGGCACATACCCGTTGGCGTCGATTGAGCCTGGAAACCCAAACGGTCCCAAGTCCGCCCATGATGGCTTGGGAGGACTGAGAGTCGTTTGGGTGTTGACGTTGGCGTTGAATTGGTTGGACATTGTTGGTTGGTTGTTGCGATTGATGGTCGCTACTCAGAGAAGCAAAACGAGCTCAGCATGAACTCTGAATAATTCACGGACAAGCTAAAGCCGCACACAGAGGCAGCTTCTCTCTGAGCTCACCTGGTCCTTTGATGCTGCCTCAACTCGTGGACCTGCTAGCAGCGGCATCCCGGTCCACCCACTCCCGGCTCCGAGCTTTCCTTCCGGTCAGTCCGGACCCGCCCCCGGATTGCAAAGTGGCGGTCCATCGATGTGGAAATTGGGGGCGCCCCCTTTTTAACTCGGTCCGAGCCACGTACGGAGCCGAGATGGACGGAGCAAACGACCATGGCCAATGCATAACCGACGGGTTCGTTTCATACAGTGACTTTTCTGTTTCCGAAACCTTACGAGTTTCCCCCCCTCGCCCCCTTTGTCAATCAGGTCTCTCATAGTCCCCGGAGCTGGAAAAACGGCTTGCCATGCAGAATTGAAGCAGCGCAAGCAATTTTACGCTTCTCAAAGAGGTCGGGAGAGGGGAGGCTTTCTTTTCGCCATAGCACAATCATCCCATGCATTCCCTCCGCCAATAATGGACAAGGCCTTGAATCGCTCATTCTTGGAGCGCCATAGGCCGTCACTGCTGGTCTTGGCCTCGCAGATATCGGCGGCAGCACTCAACGGCTTGGCAAAGTTTCTCGAGACTGGCGATGAGCCCGTACACCCATTTCAAGTTTTGTTCGTTCGTTTTCTCATCACTGGCATTGGGTCGACGATAGTCCTATGGCGCACGCAGGCAACCGGTTTCCCATGGGGCCTTCCTGAATTGAGGCCGCTGCTGGCCTTGAGGGCTGCAGCAGGCGTATTCGGCGCATTCGGGTTTTACTGTGAGTTCATATCGATGCATTTTCTCATGCAATAGACGGAAGCTAAACGTATCGTCAGTCTCCATCATGTACCTCAAGCTCAGCGAGGCTACGGCCCTGAACTTCCTCGGTCCTCTTGCTGCCATGATCTTGACAAGGTATCTCGACTTTGGCACTTTTGAAGTGGTTGATCGGGTCGGCTCTCTCATCGCGCTGCTCGGCGTCATCCTTGTCGTGCAGCCGGACGGCTTGTTCGATCACAAGGCTGCCATTATGAGCGCTGCCCAGACTGTCGCCGATGGCGATTCAAAGGGACGCATGATGGGCTTTGGATTCGGCCTTCTCAGTGTGTGCGGAGGAGCAGTAAGTGTGAGCAAATACGTCGGTGAATATCTACTGACCCATCGCCAGGTCGCATTGACTGCAATCCGCTGCATCGGCCCCAGGGCTCATCCTCTCTTCAGCGTCAACTACTTCGCCTGGACCGTGGTCGCCCTCACCACCACATCTTTTTTCCTCATGAAGAGCATCAATCTCACGCGGAATCCCATCGCATGGCTGAAATTGACGCCACTTGGTATCTTTGGTTTCACGATGGTGAGTGCTTTGACCCCCTCGTCACGTGGAGGGCGACTTGCTGAAACGCAGATCAGGAGTACCTTCTGACAGCAGGCATCGCGAATGATTCTTCATCGGCTGCGACTATTATGATTTACTCGCAGGTATTGTGGGCGCTGATGCTCGATTGGATTATTTGGCGAAACAGTGTCAATCTTCTGGCGATGATAGGCATCGCAAGTGTCGTGACGAGTCTTTTTGTTGTTTCGTCTGCGAAGGAGTGGGCATGGTTTCGTAAGGCCAAGTATCACGCTATTGAACCGAGTATCTCGGAGGAGGAGGATTCTGATGAGGAGCTGGTCGAGATGAACCCGAGTAGATCGGTGGTATAACAGCTCACGGCTCAGCAAGTAGGAGTTAACGGAGTTGGGATTCGAAAAAATAGACGCAAATGTGCAATTCAAACTCAAAACACGATTGGAGGCTCCTCATTGTTCCTTCGCTCAATTGATAGGACTTGATTCGAAGTTCGAGAGCTAAACTTCAATACTTTCCACCTCACATTTGTTGCATAGCCGATGGATTAGAATAGCCATTTGACTATTCATCTTTCGCACATCAAAACTCATATTCCTGACGACAATTCCTTAGAGACAAGCATCCTTCTATTCGAAGAACAGCTGCTCGTAGTCAACTCACAAATCTTGAAGTCCTTTCAGTTCCAGTACTTGTTACTTGCTTGCTGATGTGCTGATGCCGTAACGCGGTCTCAAGCCAGTAACGACTGTGAACTTCAATTACGTTGAATTTACAGAGCCTCGTGAGTGAGGATTTGTGATTATGACTGAGCCATGATGGCGTCGTGCTGGCTGGGAATCAAGCTCGTGCAATGTCTCTTACTAGAATCTGTAGCGAAATGCATTTCTTAGTGTCCACGACCCATCAAATAGTAACTTACATAGGCACAGCGTCGCTAATTTTGTCGAACCATAGATGTCTGCTTCAGTAATAGGAAGATATAGGTGAGCTTTATCTCCCCAAGCGTCTTAGCTTTTGGCGTCACAGCATCACCACCCCCCCACACATACACAACAACGCACTAAGCTAATTCTTTCAGCCATAAGCCTGATATGTGAGATGGAATTATTATTGTTGTATGAGTTGATTTCTAGCCCGCCGACATGCGATCTGTGCTTGAATACTCACATGCAACATTGGTTGGGGGCTGGCAGATGAACCCCTGTGTGCAGCGATCTTCTTGGCCGATCGCTGTCAGACCTGCATACGCCTGAGACCTGGAGCAGACAGTATTTCTAAGCCATTCGTATGGGATTGAAACTTGGGTGATGTTCAATTGAACTGTGTGATCACATTTAGTGAGTAACGACATGGACGGGTTGACCGGTGATAATGGGAACACAGCTGCTCAGTTTAGGACGGGATATGCCCAGTCACAGCGAGTTCGATAGCAACACCACGCCACGTGTCGGTTGCACATAATTGAATTCAGCGCAAAGACGAAAGTTGTGTGCCCAGCCATCGGCAACCGAGAGGGAGACGCAGCTCCTTTTGTACGGTTTGGTCAGGACTTGGAATTTTTGACGAGAGATTGCGCCAAGACGCCAAGAGATCTTGGTCAAAAGTTAGGATGAAGTAGCGATTCGACTGGACTCAATCTCTCGTGTCTTCTGTGTGGATAACGAGCTCTTCGGACTAACAGTCTAAATCAAACGAAGTCGGGCAAACAGACACGGCCGAGTGGCTTCGATTTCAGAGAAATTTTTGCCGACTTCTCTCCCAAAGGCCCGGTCAGTTGTCGATCTCTGGCAGGGGCGAGGGATTTTGAGCAATTTGACGCGATGAATTGCACAATCCATGTACCAATTTAGAAGCGCAAACAAATTCCGCCAATGGAGAAGGTGGTGTTCCTGCTTATGAGGGGTAATTATGGGCCAAACATGGGGGAGAGCCACCTGAGGCGGTTGGAGAGTCTCGAGTACATTGAACCATATCGTTGGTCAACATCGACGACTCAGCCGTCAATGTTTGCTTTTACCGATGCCAACGACTCTGCCTCACCATCGGGGCTAGGCGCATTAGTGATCAAGATCAAATCATTACGGCAGATGGCGGCTATGCGGCATTAGATTGACGGGACGTCCTAAGGAGCTGTCACCAGCCTGACCAGCCCGCCACGTACGATTTTCTGGAATATTAATTACCTTGCCGCTCCCTGCACGTTTGAAAGGGGATCACAGCGGCTACCTGGAAGCATCTCCGTTCACGTTATCCACTCGGCCGAAGCCCCTCTTCGGTAAGTTCATCCGATCATTCATTGGGGGTCATCCAGCAAACAAGCCAGCCGAGAGATTCAAGATGCGTGAAGGCCCAGACCCAGAGGCCAGTAAAGGGGCCGTGATTCGACCTGCAGGCAGGCGTCTCAATCACCAGCTGTGGGCTCTCACATGTAGGTAAAACAAGCTGCTAAATTACGTCTCGCGTCATAGGGAGACAGCGCCTGAAGATGCGGCGAGGTCCTTGTTTGCGAGCTCTGCCAATGACGAGATTCTTATTTGAAACTGCACGCAAGCTCGCGCTGTTGGCGCGCTTGGCAGATGATAGCAGGCAAGTTTATGTCAAACATTCTAGCGGCCCCAAGGATGCGCTTCCCGGGGTCAAGCGGGTCTGCCGAAGACCGAGACCAACACGGAGAATCTCTGGGCCCCGGTCTGGCGCCAACGGACCCCGGCCTATCGGTATGCACCCCTTAGCAACTCGAGATTAAGGAAACTTGCTTGAGTGGGGGCGTTACCCGATGTTGATGTGCTCAAGACTTTGTTGGAACGGATGGGCTGGTAAGACTAGATATAATACTTCAACTCCATGGCTGCACCAAAGCCAAACTCCCGACTCTTCTTCCTGATCGTTGAGCCGCATCTTCGCTGCATTCCTTCCTTTTCGAGTCACCGCTAGTACGGTGTTTTGTCATTCTTTTTCACAAACTTGTTGACCCTAGAGGTTAGCGTTCGTTCTCTGCACAGCTTACATTCACTTTTGGACAACTTCCAAGACACTCATTCAAACCAAACAACCGAAAACTCGAAACTAGAAGAAACTTACACGCGATTCTCAAAATGCGCTGCACACTCTCCGCCGCCGCGGCCCTTCTCGGGCTCGCCGGATCCGCCTCCGCCCAGCTCCGCTCCTCGGCTTACACCGACCCCCAGACCGGAATCGACTTCCAACGTTACAAGCCGGACAGCTACCAGTACAGCTTCGGTATCGCCGTTCCCGAGACCACCGGCACCGACTTCATTGGACAGATGGTCGTTCCCATCTCCGAGAAGGGTAACTGGGGTGCCGTCTCTCTGAAGGGAGGCATGTTGAACAGTCTGCTGTTCGTGGCCTGGGCCGATGGCGAGGATATCAAGACCTCTTTCAGAATGGGCAGCGCCTACTCCAACCCGGACGTCTACTCCGCGACCGAGGTCAGCGCGGTTCCCATCGCCAACGGTACTTTCGTCAACAGCACCCACTTCTCCTACACCTTCCTCTGCTCCGGCTGCGTTGTTGCCGCCTCGACGACCCTGACCGGCGAGTCTCCCATTCTGGGCTGGGCTTTCTCCGACACCAGCCCTACCACCCCCGCCGATGCCACCAGTGCCCTCAACTACCACTCCGCTGGTTTCGGTCAGTTCGGTCTTGACATTGCTGGTGCCAAATCTGCCAAGTTCGCCGAGTGGTCCAAATATGCTAAGGCCGTCGAGACGACTCCCGTCCCCGGTAACGGCACCACCACCCCCGTCCCTGGCAACAGCACCATCACTCCTCCCACCACCTCCAACACTACCTACGATGTCATCGTCGTCGGTGGTGGCCCTGCTGGTATCATCGCCGCTGAGCGTATTGCCGAGACTGGCGCCAGCGTTCTCCTCATCGAGCGTGGTCCTGCCAACACTGTCCCCTTGGGATCCGACCTGGCTCTCCCCTGGAACGACACCCTGACTCCCTACGACATTCCCGCTCTCGGTAGCTCCATGACCGCGCTGTCCGGCATCAGCCTCTGCAGTGACACTGCCTCCACCGCCGGCTGCTTGTTGGGAGGCTCCAGCTCCATCAACGGTCTCAACTTCATCCACCCTCCCGAGCACGACTGGCAGCGCTGGCCCAAGGGCTGGAACTGGGCCGATGTCTCCGAGGCTGCTGACCGTCTCTACGAGCGCAACCCTGGTACCACCGAGCCTTCCAAGGACGGCAAGTACTACGACGACCTCACCTACCGCGTCCTCTCCGGTCTCCTGAGCGGCAAGGGCTGGACTGAGGTTGACTCTATCGAGTCCCCCAACGAGAAGAAGGCCGTCTACTCCCGCCCCTCGTGGTCCATCAAGGACCACCTGCGTGCCGGCCCTGCCCGTACCTACATGCCCTTCGCCCAGCAGCTCCCCAACTTCACCCTCAAGCTCGAGACCAAGGTGATCCAGGTTGAGCGCACCGGCAGCACCATCACCGGTGTCCGCACCCAGGCCGCCGACGGCAGCATCCAGATCATCAAGGTCAACCAGGGCGGCAAGGTCGTCCTCGCCGCCGGTGCCATGTCCTCTCCCCGTATCCTCTGGAACTCCGGTATCGGCAAGTCCGACGCCCTGGCCATCGTCAAGGAGGGCGCCTCCAAGACCGGTGTTGTTCTCCCCGCCGAGGCTGACTGGATCGACCTCCCCGTCGGCCACGGTCTCCAGGACCACGCCCAGGTGATGCTCCAGTTCAACTCCGCCACCAACTTCTCCGCCTACGGCTTCAACGCCATCGCCTCCGACCCCGTCGACGGCGACCTGGACCTCTACAAGCAGGGCTCCGGTCCCATCACCCAGGCCGCCCAGCGTATGCACCTCTGGACCTCCGCCGAGGGCGTCGACGGCCGCACCCGTTACCTCCAGGGCACCGCCTCCGCCATGCAGAACGGCATCATCACCGTCCGTACCTTCCTGACCCACGGCACCTCCACCGTCGGTGAGCTCGGCATCGCCGCCTCCGGCAACACCGTCCTGAACACCAAGCCCTGGCTCATCGACACCGAGGACCGCAAGGCCATGTCCGACTTCGTCCAGTACTGGCTCGACCTCACCAGCGGCAGCAACTCCACCCTCAAGTACGTCACCCCTGGCGCCACCCCCGAGGACATCATCTCCACCAAGATGATCTCCGGTGACCACTGGGTCGGCTCTGCCAAGATGGGTGAGGACGACGGTCGCCAGGCCGACGGCTCTGCCGTCGTCGACCTCGACACCAAGGTCTACGGCACCGACAACCTCTTCGTCGTCGACGCCTCCATCCACCCCGACCTCCCTACCGGCAACACCCAGGCCATCATCATGATCACTGCCGAGCACGCTGCCGAGAAGATCGCCGCCTTCAAGGTCAGCGGTTCCAGCAACTCGACTGCTCCTACCGAGAAGTGCACTCGCTCTACCAAGCGCGCTGCTCGCCAGGCCATGCGCTTCAGACGCCATGCCCGCCTGCACTACTAGATCGGTGACCCTCAAGTGCTGAGTGGACGCCACGGGACAGGTGATGGGGTTGGTTGGTACCAATCTCCCTGTGCCATTTCGACGTACATGTTTTCTTCTAGACTCTGTATAAAGTTTTTTCTATCGTAAATAAAGCATTTCAACCTTTCGCATTCGATGAGCAAGATTTCGTGATGTATATTGTGTGACGCTACAGTAGCTGACTAGAGAAACTGAAAATAACTTGGCCTTCATGGATGACAGCTCATTACTCGCCTGCCTTGGGGGTGCTGTGTTGCTGGGATTTCTACTCAACGCGCTCAGCCGTTGCAATTTTCATATAGTAATACTTGTGTATCTGTACACATGTAAATGTTTCAGACATCTCGCGCCCAAGTGACCGCACGCCCGCTTCGCGTTGATCAATCTTCTCGCTCTCATCACAGCCTCTTTGGGTGTGAAGAATACATCAGATCAGTGACGGTTGGGCCGGCATATCTTGGGTGAACTAACATCGCTGCCTTAGAGATGAGCATCGAGGTCTTTTCCCTTCTCGTTCTGTTGTCAAACTTACGCGGTGAGTATTCTTCTCGATTCTTCTCCGGTGCGGTCATCTTCGCCTTCCTTTTATTCGGTTGCGATGTGTAATCGACCGGTGCTTTGGAATAGCGTCTGAAAGCAACGGAGGCTCCAAGATCATACCAAAAAACAGACGTGAACTACCAATTCGGCAGCATTAAACTATATGGCAGGCAAAAAAGAACAGCTCCAAGCATGTTGTTTGTGACAAATCATAATGCTCATCACTTCTGAATGAAATGATGAGACGGTAGCTCTGAGCTTACGTTCTTGTCATCATACTGTGTACCAAGAGGCGAGAGAATGGGGTTGATGATTATTATTATCATTAACTGATATTATTACCGACGCTTCTTGAATTTCATCGTTCACTGCTTAGCATCGGCAATGATACGCTCAGCCGCGATCTCGGCAATGCCGTAAACAGCAGTCTGAACGTGGGCAGAAACGAGCAGCGGGATAATACTAGCATCAACAACACGCAGGTTGAAAGTGCCGTAAACCTTCAAGTCGGAGTCAACAACACCGCCGTCCTCCTTCGGCAGCATGGAGCAAGTTCCGACGGGGTGGAAGATGCTCAGCGTGGTGTTGAGAGCGAACTCCTTCCACTGCGCATCAGTTTGGACAGCATCCAGACCGGGCTCGTACTCGCTCTCCCAAATGGACCTCATGGGCTCCGTAGTCGCGATCTTGCGGCAGTACTTGATGGCCTGGATAGCAGCCTCGAGATCGTGCTCGTGGGCAAAGTAGTTCGGGTTGATGATGGGCTTGCCGGTCGCGTCAGCGGGGTTGATGTGGATGTTGCCGCGGCTCATGGGGTGCATGATGGCGGCGATGAGGGTGAAGAAGCCCTTGCCGAACAGAGGCGAGGCGGCGGCCGGGTATCCCTTCACGCCGGTGTATCCGTCGGAGAAGATGACCTCGAGCTGGGGGATGGTCGCGTCGGTCATGAACTCGAGCTTCTTCTGGTCGACCTTGCTGGGGTCCTCGCCGGCGGCTTCCTTGGCGAGGGAGACCATTCGCGAGTCGTTGCCGAGGGCTTGCGCCCACGTGGTGAAGGTGTAACCGCTGCCGGTGTAGTCGTACAGAGAGACTTGGCCGGCGTTCCAGAGGGCCAGCTGTTCGGCGGCGAAGGTGGCGTTGCTGCGCAGGATGTCGAAGGAGGTGTACTCCGGCTTCAGCTGGTACGAGCTCTGAATGCGGAGGTGGTCCTGCAGGTTTTCACCCACGCCCGGGAGGTCGATGACTTGGTCGACGCCGGCGGAGCTGAGGACAGAGGCCTGGCCGATTCCGGACAGCTCAAGTAGCCCGGGACTCTGGATGGAACCGGCTGACAAGATAACTTCCTTGTTGGCTGTGATAACGGTGCCGTCCTGAAGGGTAACTCCGGTAGCTTGCTGCTCATTGCCAACCTTCTCGAGGTTTACCTTTGCCACGGTTGTGTCGGACAGGATCTCCAAGTTGGATCCAGCAATGGGAACGTAGGCGTTAGCACTGTAAGAGCGGTTGTAGTGCGTGGGGTCGATGCTGCTGGGCTGATACATGACACCCAGCGGGTTTCCTCCGAGAGACTCCAGGTTCGTCTTGATGCCGAGGGCATTCATCGTCGGGATCCATGAGTTCTGATGCTCGGGAATAATGCGGTTGATGACGGCCTTGACGGGACCGCTGTCTCCAACGCCCTCGGAGCCGTAGGTGTCCGTGTTGATGCCGGTGAAGTTCTCGGACTTCTTCATCGCGGCAATCATGGTCTCCCAGTTCCACCCGGGGTTGCCGAGGGCTTCCCAGCTGTCATACTCGGCGGAGGCAGACCGGTCATAGGACATCAGGTTCAGAGCGGAGCTGCCTCCGAGGACCTTGCCACGGTTCACGGAGAATACCCGATTGTTGACATTTGGCTGCGCTACGGTCGTGAAGTTCCAGTCGTACTTGGTAGCCAACGTCGAACCCTTCATGCCGGGGACATTGATCTTGGGCTCATCCCACGCCGCGGGACCGGCCTCGATGAGGAGGATCTTCGAGTCAGGGAGTCCCTCGCTCAAGCGGGCAGCCACGGCGACACCGGCGGTACCGCCGCCTACCACGATCTGGTTGAAGGGGTCAGTGTGTTGAGTCCAGTCGGAACGTTGCCCAAGGTTACAATCAAATCAATCCGAGGACAAAGCGAGCCATGTATCCCGTCGGGAAAAGCAACGAAAGATCTTAAAATGGACTTGGAAACTTACATAATCGTGGGAGTCGTCTCCATAGGGCTGCGGCACAGCAGCTGCAAGAACATGGGCCGCGAACGCGGCGAGGGCGAGACTCGACTTGACAAGCATGGCTAAGATGATATGCAGCGATCTTTTTCCGCAAACGGGGACCAACGATAACGTTTCGAAGCGATTTTGGGTATTCACGCAGAAACGGGGAATCGCTTCAAACCAATGTGCGTGATATCTGCACGTCAGGCCTTCCTGGAAACACACAACAACACGCACACTCCTGTATGACACACGCTTGGCTGGAGAGACGGTGGCGTGCCTTGTTCCATGCATTACATGCAGCGAGAAAGGGCTGAGTTGAGCTTTTTGTACGTCCCACAAGATGGCGAATAAAAGTCGCAAATCGATAGCACGGATATTAAGACCACCACGGGTAATATCGTCCATCCAAAATGTGCTGATCACTAGCCACGCGGCCCAGCAAATATCCTAGTCTCCGCCCCAGGTCGCCGCTCGCCAAGTTCAACGGCACAAGGGCCGGCGAGAATTGGTGGGGTGTCGGCCATTATCGTGTATCCGTAAAGTACTAGAGATACGCGGGAGTTGGAGGGTTGGACGGCATAGCATATATAGTAAGCACTTAATAAGACCCGGACTACGGACGCTACTGCGGCCAGCGCATGCCGTGAAGAGAGCGTGACAGTGTTTACTCCAACAGCACAATCGGTTGGACGGCTGAAGAAGAAGACGAAGCTCACCTTCGCCGGCGCGTTGGCTGTGCCCGGCGAATGCTACCGTGCCATCGACGTTTCTCTTCCGGCGGGAAACCGTTCACACTGCGGAGCACCGCCGGCCGGACGTTGTCCCGGGGAAGGGTTCATGACTCAAGGATTCCCCTGCCGGACCCATCCGACAACCTGACCGGTCCTTGTCTGGGCAAATCATCCGTCTTGGTAAATTGTGAAGAATTCCACCCTGAGCTCACGCCTGGAGGCATTGACCACGGCGTTTCCCGGGCGTTCCCCGTCCCCCTTGGATGTTCGTTCAGGAGCACGATCCTCGGAGTGAACGGGGTGCCCCTGGGATTCCCCTGATGTTCGCGACATTGCGACCATTAAACTCGGGCGCCTCCCTCACCATGACCAAAACTCTCATTCCCTGAGCTCTCAGTGGTGTAAAAAGGTGTGGATGCCACCCGGTTTTCTGATATGCTTCAAATTCGCTTCCAGATCTGTCTCAAGGTCAATCGCCAACACTGTCTTGTCGATGTGAAAGTTGACGGGAGGGTCGGATAGACAGAGTCAAATGAGAGGGTGATCGTCGTTTCTTTGCCTCGAATCAGCTCGGCAGCCCTGCTCTGTCATATTGGTGAAATCCACAAATCTGGCAGTCATCATACCCCTTGCGGCACATTGCGCAACAAGTTCTCTCTCAACCTCGGACATAACGCCCTGTCATACGTGCAGCCGCGGCGCAGGTATGCAGGATTCCACAACGGTCCAGGATGTCCAGCAAATTATCTTCAGCAGAGCCAACAGGTTGCGCCGCAAAATGGAGGCCACTCAAACTCAATTTGAATCGATGGCAGGATGGCCGCATGGCGAAGGCCAGGAGGGGAAAAAGAAGCGCTGTCGCCTCTCTCGCCCGGCCATCCACAACATGAGACCAGGGCAAGACTTTCTTTTCAAGGGTCTGTCTATTGTATCTTCATCGAGCCAAGTCCAAGTCGATGCCTCCTTCAGGCACGCGGAGGAGACAATAACACGCCACGCGCAACCACCACTCTAGCTCCCGTGATTAGCATTCGATGACGGTTCCGAGGTGACACCAAATGCCGACCTAGCTGAAGCCCAGCAGTCTGGATACACGGTAACGAGCCATCCACACAACGCGGCGCAACAAGATCGAAGCATCGTCACCACCCTTTCGCAAAGCCAGCCGGATGAACAGGTTGGGTCTCCGAGTCTGGCTCTTCTGAGACGCATGCACCGTGGGTGCCTTGACCTTTCTCCTCCTCCTCGCATGCGGGCTGTGCGGCGGAAACTGAGTGACTTGCAGCCGGCTCTTGTTGGGTCATTTCTTTTTCGTCGCAGCTCTCTTAAGACGGACCAACGTCCATTATTATCAGCATTCCCCGACTCTTTCCCTTCCCTAGCGCCCCCGTTCAAAGTCCGGGGCCGAGACGAGCTGCCATCTCAAAGCGGACCTTGGCGATCTTTTTCCTAGCCCTTTGCCTTGCGCAGTAGAGCACCACATCCCGTGGGTCCTACCCGCGCGGTCCCTTTCCTCAATCTCTTACATTTATCTCCAGCGCGAGGCCCAGTTCCCTAGCGTCCTCTCCGCGCGCACAACCCTCGTTCCTTGCTTCCTGGCTTTCAGGCTACCAGGTCTGAACTGACCCCCTTCTTGAATCTCGTGCAGCCCATCGTCGACGACGACGACGACGATGACGATGGCGCCTGTCGTCCCCCCGAATCCGCTCCCGCCGGACGAGAACGTCAACCCCGTTCTCCTGGGCATCTCCGGCGTGCTCATCTTCTTCGTCATCTTCACGACGGCCCTGCGGCTGTACGTGCGCTTCGCCCTACGACATCTAGGATGGGACGATTACCTGATGGCGATAACCGCCAGTCTCGGCATTGTGAGGTTCGGTGTGCAGTGTGCGCAAGGGGCGACGGGCAACGGGAGGCATAGGTGGTACATCTCGACGGAGCAGTACATCAACAACAACATGCTGGGCTGGTTCGGGCAGATCCTCCTCTTCTCCAGCGTCTGCTTGCTCAAGTGCTCGATTATGTTGCTGCTCTTGCGCATCAAGGATTCGAGCAGGATGAAATGGTTTCTCTGGACGGTAATGGGCGGACTGTTCGTCACCAACTTCGGCGTCATCATCATCTTGCTGGCCGAGTGCGATCCCGTCGATGCTTATTGGACCGGAGTGGGCAAATGCTGGGATGCGAAGATTCGGATTTATGCCATCTACGTGACTATTGGTGAGTCGATGGCCTCCAAAGCGATGGTGCACATGTGGGAATTATGGCTAACATGACTAGCCTACTCTGTCATGACCGACTTGCTCTGCTCCTTCTTGCCCCTTACGGTTGTTTGGCAAGTGCGGATTCCATTGACAACGAAGATATCAGTTGGTGGACTGATGAGTCTTGGGTTGATGTGAGACGCCTCCTTCTTTCGTCGTGTATGACAACCACTAAACATTGAACAGTGCGACTGGTTTCGGTATTGCCAGAGCCGCATCGCTCGGTCTGATAACCAACGACTTGAGTTGTAAGTTGGCAGTCCACGCGAGATACTTTTGGCAAGCTACTTACATTGCTTCAAATAGACGTCTATGCCGTAACAGCAATCTGGTCCAATCTCGAGCTCTATCTCGGCATCATCGCCGGAAACCTAGCCCTATCCCGCTCCATCTTCTTCTACTTCTTCGGCGAGAAACCGCCAACATCACACCCATCGGCCTACAACAACTCGTACGCCAACTCCCAAACCCGATCCGCGTACCTCAACAGCAGGCTACGCGGCGACAACGCCGGCCCCGGCGCCACAGAAACATACATCCGCTCAGAGCGCCGACCATCAGTAAAAAGCGACCACAGCGACATACCCCTGGAGCCGGGGATCCAAAAGAGAACAGAATTCTGGGTCTCGGAAGACGACGCGGACAGTGAGACATCGGCGGCAAGGGCAGGAAAGCGGTCGCCGTGACGGAGGCGCCAGAAGAACACGCAGCTCGGGAAAGAGCTTACACATATCACGGTGTTGGGGAGCCTCATGAGAGTTGCGCGCGTCATCAGATACCCGGCAGAGGAGGGAACGACTGAACCATCCTGCCCTGGAATTGTGCTGTTATGCGTTTGATGTTAGTCAGGTACTACGACGGATAATGATAATGAAAAGTCCAATTTTCTCTCAATCGCCATCAACATCCTCCACGACATCATGTGACCTTCCAAGCACGCGCCCCGACGACGATCTGATGTCTTGATTTGGAGAATCGGGCGTTGGATGGAGTCGTCGCATCCAGACTTTGCTTCCAGTCAAAGCGCACGCAATTATCCACAATATGCCAGCGCAAGCCTCTTTCTTTGCATGATTTGAAGGCTGAGAATCCTGGTTCTGGACCGTCGCACCCGCGAACGACACATGGGGCCGGCCGGAGTGGGTTGTTGAATTCTTGTCACCTGTGAAGAAACGTCTGAGCGCACATCTCGCCGGCGTCAACTCGAGACTTGTCATTCGGACATAAGACCAAAACCATCGCCGCCCTGCCACGCCTCAGTCAGCACGCCCCATCAGCTCTTTATCACGACAGCGACGGCCAGCTTTCCCGAGACCGCTTCCCGAGGTAAACGGGGATGAGGCACTGAGGGAACCAACAAGTTTCAAGGCTTACGGATACCAACCTTCAGGGTCGGTTTTAAACGGTCTCTGCACCCCCCTGTGAGCTCTCGGTGGGTAGAAAAGGCAATCCCCGCCTCTTCAAGCGCCAGTAGGGATCTCTGAACAGGGCTGCAAGGAACTGGGTTTTTGTCAATGTCTACACTAGCACGGTCCCCGTGGGCAACGAAAATCAGTGGGCTGTGGGCTTCGTGGAGCGCGATAGCCGTGTGGATGAAAGGCCAGAGAAGACGTGAGTGAGAGTTCATCTGAGCTGTCGTAGCCTTTGGCCTTGCCCGTAGTGCCGGCAACATCATGCTTTGCTTCAGGTAACACTTTCATCTCATGTCGTTCGGGTGCGGTGCACTGATGCGGCCTTGGACCTGAAGTTGGAGCTTAAATGATGGCTGCAGCTGCTCAAGCAGTGGTGCCGATTGCGTCGTCAACACAAAGCCGACCGGCAGAATGTCGTGTTTTCACTGATAGGCTTGAGCTGCGAAGTGTTTGAGCCAAGATGGCACGTTATTAAGAATCAGAAAGACTAGAAAGGGGGCAGATAAGAATTGACTAATCGGTGATCAGCTCTAATTTAGACAAATATTTTGGTAAAAGCACAGCGCATTTCAATGAATTGAAAATAGGCTATGAACTGTGGACAACAAACATTGGGACTCGAACCTTCAACTGTTCCTCAAAGTCAACTCAGCTATGACTTCCGGACGCGATTGCCAGCACCGTTTCCCAAACAACTGAGAGAGGCTGACTGGGGCAGGATGCAGTACCCTCCGGCAACTCTCTTGGCCTGGTGTCGAATTCCGCTTCACGATGGTCGATCTCACACGTCAAGCTACTCCGTACTCAGGAGCAGGCATAGCAGCAGCAAACAGCACATATCATTTCTTCTCCCAACGTAAAGATTGGCTAGCCATTCACGAGAGCCCGTTACTAAGGATTCGGAGAAAAACAAAAAGAAGCGGTAAACCCAGGTGAGGCAGAGACGACAGAAACGAATCTATGGCAAAAACAAAAGGTTTGCGCCGAGGGGGAATCGAACCCCCGGCTCCCCGACGCTGCTGGATGGCAACGGAGAATTTTACCACTAAACCATCGGCGCAGATGATCGGACTTGAGCGAAATCCTAACTCCGATGTTTAGAATCGGCGAATTCTGCGAATATGTAGCTTTGATAGTAGTTTGATGAGCCCCTTGACTTTAAACACCTTTACTTCTTCATTTCCATAAACCCGATCTCATCTCACTCATTTCGCATATAATCATATTGACTCTTGAGGCAGACTGCTTTTAGCCTAAGTGCTTTAGAATGAGGTGATCTCATTCTCAAGCCGCTATTTCCCTAGATGTATTGAGGTTGCGGGAGCTTGTTCCTAGTGAAGTAAGACTCACTCCGAAATCTCGTCGCGTTTTCTTTTTCCTGTCACTGGCTTATTGTCATAATGCTGCAGGTCATGATATATTTCCACCCTATCCATACATCTTTCTCCATTGTATTCTTTAGTGGAGATCCCTTCTTCGCGATAGATCTTCACAATACGATTGTCAAGAGGGCCGAACTCTACTGATCGTCTTCTGGTGATAATCTATTGATGTTGTATAAGTATATAGAATGTACAGAATAGATGGTACATCAGACACTCGTGATAGGTAGATAGATATAAGTTTGAAATTCTTCCACACATTCTTCAGCTTCAAGAAGAACTAAGGGACAGCATAGGTTGCGTACTCGAGCCAGTCCCCTTTGTCCTTTTCGGATGCAGCATTAGTTAAGTTCATAGAATATTCCAATAAGAAACTCACAAACAGTGACAAGTCGGTCGGCCTGGGCCCAACTTGAGTGTCAGCAAGAATGACTCTCCCGCGTTCCGTATCAATGAAGATGTTATGACCGTCATAACCGGACGGGAGATTGGCAAGCACATGGACATGGGGAGGAACCTCAATGCCAAATGGCTCGAACAGAAAGTCTCTTTGCGATTCGTGAAGTGGACCGAGAGTTCTCTCTGCCGCGCAGTCGACCACGGTGGTTCTCTCGAAGATCATCCGAGGATCGAAGTCATCTTCCTCATCATGTTTGATGTACGGGATATGCCTCATGAGATCGAGCACTGTATCGTTCCTATCGAGTTTGAGCGATTTCAGCCAGTCTTTGTCAACATGTTCCCAACCGCCCTGGGGAGGGTACCGGATTGCTGAAGGAGGCATCGAGGCAGGAAGATGTTGGTTACGAATTCGTAATCGGACGATAACTCGGCGACGACTTCATCCCGCGAGCAGGTCGGCTCTTCCGCGTGTGAGTCGGACATGTTTGAGTCTCAGAAAAGAGCCGTTAGAGGCATATGTATCTCTTCAAGCAGCCTGTCCAGCGATTGTTTCTCTTCTAGGCAGCACGGTCGTCACGCATACGCGTGAGATGTCGCGTTGTCTCAATGGACTGTCGGATTCCTAATGCCGAACACGCTAGAACTCATCCAGAAGGCGGTTTATTTCACCGACGCTGGCGATCATGTCTCACACAATGTTATCGTTATAAACAGGCCATAAACAACAAGCTTAGTGATGTGGCGATGTCAAGCGATCTCGAGATTCAACTGCGTGCACGGCACACTCAACTCACTCCCACCACGCCGACTCACCTACACAGAGCAAAAAGGTCAAAAATCAAAAGAATTACTCCTCGACGGGGAATTGAACCCCGGTCCCCTGCGTGCAGGCCGAAGGCGTTGACAAGCAGATATCCTCACCACTAGACTATCGGGGATGTGATGGTTGTGGAGCTAAGCGCGTTTGGAGCTCATGAAGCGTGCCCACAAATGGCGGAGCAGATTCTCAGTGCAGATCCCCGGGATACCGCTAAATTCGCAAGAATTCTCAAGCTTCACTGATACAAATTTTGATCTTCTGAAATTTGAATGAAGAAAATGAGAATTGAGCGTGGTTGATGAAGTGGTGAGGATTGAGGTGTGTTGGCTTTGAAATGTCGCGATAGTTATCGCAGGATTTCAGGTGGAGTCGCTCATCATTAGGGCCACCTTCGACGAAAGCTTTCAAAGCGAATTGAAAATGTGATAGCTCTGATTGAACAGTTGCATGTACGTTCATTTCTGCTTCACAATTCACCGCGACAATACTTCCACTTCAGCTCTTATCAATTGCATCTTCCAGTCTGAGAGAAAGTCTCACGAGCAGTCAGCAGATCTGGGCGTGATAGCCTTGGCAAAATAATTGCCACCAGATTCAGCCCAAATCTCCGCCCGAACATCGGGGAATTAGATCTCAAGCTTCACAACGCTCTCTCCGATTGATCAGCGTTCTTCGCCTTCTCGAAGCCAATCTCCATGGCTGGTTGGTCGATTCCCGAACGGCCGTCAGACTGCGCCGCAACCACCAAGGATTCATCGCGCCTTACCGGATTAGGCCATTGGAGTGGCCAAGACATCTGATCCGCCCATCACCTCCCATCCCCAACACACCGATGTCATATCGAGCCCAGAGACCGTCAGTTTCTCTTAAGGAAGTCGTCCCCAAAGAGAAAAGCGCATGAAGTGTGTTCCGGATTACCTGCAATAGCCCAAAACGTACAACTATCAACCATGGTTCTGCGAGATCAGACCACAATGGCGACTTCACGACGATTGGCACTGCACGTCGTCTCAGAGACCGCTCCACCTTCCACGGGGAGACGGCAATGCTGGGAATGTCAACGGCGTCGCGTGGTCTGCGACTCGGTTCGTCCCGTATGCGGTAAATGCAAGGCCACTGGCGTCGTGTGTCCCGGCTACGAGGACAAGAAGCCGTTGACGTGGCTGGCTCCCGGCAAGGTCAAGACTCGCACGTGGAAACGGAAGAAGCCTGCCGAGAAGAAAGTATTGCCAAGTGACAGCTCGAAAGAGGTCGCTGGCGCCGATTCCATGGTACTTGCACGTACCAGCAACCAGCTCATGCACGTCTTTCCAGGGTTTGAGTTCCGGACGGAGACCGACGACATCGTTGAGGCGACTCTGTACTGTAAGTGGATGCTCACGTACCGTCAGCGAAGTTCCAAGGGTCTCGTAGCAGAGGAAGCGGTTGTGAGATCTCCCGTCTTGACAGAGACTAATCCGATCCGTGCAGGGAACGAATCGGTACTTCCATCATTCCAGAACGCCCAGCTGACGTCCAGCCCATGGGTCGTACCGGCTCAATACGTCTGCTACATGCCAAAAGCGACACTGCATGCACTCGTGTCCATGGCCATCGAGCACCGCATGATTCGGCTCGCACGGAAGAAGACCGATCCGTACATGGTCGAAATTGGGGCCCGTTTCCATCAACATAGACAGACGGCGATAGAGGCGTTGAAGAAAGATCTCAGCAACGAAAAGATTCGCACTTCCCGTCAGACTATAGCTAGCGTGCTGGTCTTTATGTATGCAGATGTCAGTTCACAGGCCCAAAAGCTCCGTAACTCCGTGATCCAGCATTAATGCTAACGAGGAGCAGTTGATGGGTGCTTCAACCGCCTCGAGCTGGCACCACCATATGAACGGCCTCAAAAGTTTAGTGGATATGATTGGCGGGTTGGAGGCTGCGTATCGCAACGACCCGTTTATTCATCCGTTGCTCCTCTTCCCCAAAATGTGAGTTCAGGTACGATTAGTCGGTGTTTCTTGTGGTTTCTACCTACGTCTATTCATCTTGGAATTTTGCGGAATCTCGTAACATGAATTAACGTCGATAACAGTCTCGAAACCTTTGCAAACTCGACAAGCCCAGCAGATAATCTGTTGGGGCCACTTGACACCTACAACTCCATAGAAACCGTCGGAGTGCTCTTTGAGACGGGATACTATCCTTGTCTTCCATGCCCCGTCGACTTATTCTGCGACATCATCCGCATCAACCGTCTTCGACACCTGATAGCCACCAACACCCTCACTGAAGACATTGGTACTTCACAATCCTTAGCAGAGGACTTGTTAGAGCGCATCATCGAATTTTCGCCCGAGGCTTGGTCCGAGACCCGAAAGGACTCCAAGAAAGAATTTCTCCTCATGGGCCAGGCCTACCAATCTGCCGTCACGGTGTATGCCATCTCGTCGCTGCAAGGTCTCAAGGCGCTGCCTTCCTCAGCTGGATGGAGAGCGGTGCGGACAATCCACTATGGGCGCCTTATTAAGCTGCTTGAGACTGCTTCCAAGGATTATCTTATGAAGAACTGTGTCCTGTGGCCGCTTATCGTGGCCGGCTTTGAAGCGTCGACCGGCAGTGTTGACATGAGAACGTTTGTGGTGGATCAGCTGGTAGCTATGAGTCGGGACTTGGGGGTTTGTACAATGTTGAGAGCTGTTGAGGTGTTGGAGAGGTTTTGGGCTTCGGGAAAAAGTACTTGGGACGAGTGTTTTGACAGCCCTACCATCGTGGTGGTGTAGGGTGTCACTCATGCGTCTTTCTGTTTGCTGATACCCGGAACTCTTCTTGTTTTTTCATAGGTTGTCTCTGTATTATTCTCAACTCTGTGCGACTTTAAAGATATACTCTGGCCTCAAGAATCTGGTTCTTCGAAACCTCTTATCATACAATCAAAGAAAGCTGCGTCTACGCCTTGGAACGTCCAGTCTTCCACACGGGCCGAAAACCCAGGGCCAAGAGCCTGATCTTCAGCAAGTAGTGGTCGGTTGCTGGTCGTCATCAGGCCTTGGTCGGAGGTAAGTGGAAAGCTCTGTTCGACAGCAATATTCGTCGCCGCTGTATCTCGATGGTCCAAAGCCATGCTCGTGGTATGATGGTATCCAAACGTATCTTGCTCCTGCAATGTTTGGTGCCCAACAAACCTGAAAGGCTCCCGCAAGGGCGGCGCGTCGGGGGAGATGGTAACAGTCCCATAGTACGGGATTCTAAGCTGCAGCAAGTTTGAAGCCTCATCTGGAGGCCCGAAATTCCCTGTGACAGGTGTCGATGCGGTGCTGGGTGTCAAGCTCGCCGTGAAAGTCGACCCGTTCGTCGCGTGCGCTTCGATGCTGAGCAAGTTACGTAGCACATCCGCGCTCTTCATGGATAACACATCCGTCGATACGGAGCTCCCGTCACGCATCAGCTCCAGCGTCTCCTCGACCTTGTCGCGATCGGTATGTCTTTGGTGCGCCAGCATGTCATTCCCTCGATCCCGTCTGCGAGCGTCAATGTGTGCCAAGAGAAGCGTCATGCCGGCGATGAGGGCAAAGAAGTCGGCTGCGTCGGGGATGCTGCAGACTTCCTTGGCGCTGCGGATGGCGACGAATCGAGAGAGCACCTCTCGGCTCGCGTCGATGCACGCCATCCTGCTGCTACTAGCCGCCCCGTCTCGCGAGTGCCGAAGCATGAAGGGGAGATGTAGTTGGATGAGGAGGAAGTAGTGAAAGATTTGACCGCAAAGCCGCAGGCTCTCGAGCACCACTGACAGGGGCTTATCAGGGTCGCTGTTGAATCGGGGAAGAGTCCACCATCGAGGCGGCATGGCCGCGGCGGCGGCTTGCATTTCGAGGTCGAGCGGACCCGTAGCCTCCAGCATGGTGGAATAAGTATCTTGCTGGTTCCTTTGGATGATTCTCGAGGCTACCGCACAGTGAACCTGCTCCAGTCGTACGTGGGGATGGTCGTCCAGCAGCGTCGGCGATACCCCCTCCGTTGACAGAAAGGAACAATAGTCTCTTGTGCTATCAGGAAGTCCGAGTAGGAGACAAACGAAACGCTCAAGGTAGACTATTCGAAACCAGATGAACCTTGTGTCTGGAGGCCCCGATGGGTCGACTGTCTCGATGATGGATGAATCGTGTGGCCGATGTATTCCCATCAGTTGCGCCACTGATAAAGCCCGCCGGATTGCCAGAAGAGATAATCTTAAATTTCCTCCGTTGGCCAGGTATACCGCTTGGAGAATGATGCATTGAAGAGCATCGATACTTCCCATCAGCTTGTTATTCTCGCATACAAGAGATGTTGGGGCTTCGGCGAGCCGTTCCATGATCCGGCTAGGAGTTACCGAGGTTGAGGACCTTCGAGCGTATGTTGAAGGAATCCTCTGCAACATGGTAGCCAGTGTCAACATCTTCTTAGCGAGAGCCACGGGATGCATTGGCTGGTACAGGCTTGCGACGAATTGTTCCACTGTTTCTGGTGCCAGCTTCTCCAGTGTGCCCTGCGGCGCTAACATGAATTGGAACACTAGGTCAGCATCGGAGTATAGCTCGTTGATGACCTTGCAGTCCTCTGCAGACGGAAGTGCAGCTGTTAGTTCCTTGTTGAGAGCCGCCAGGTGAGCGTTGGCTGGTAGTCTAGGCCCGGTGGAGTTTTCATTTTGGTTGTGTGTCGCGTCTTCAACAGCGATGAGCTCTGGTGACTTTGTTCGAGATACAGGCTGCCACATATCAGCCGAGTTAACCGATGGCTAGTACAAGCACATCAACGCACCTGTGGCCTTGACGGCTCGAGTGACGGGCTTACGGAGCCGTTCTGGCATGGCGCATCATCTTCGTCGCGCGCAACGGCTGTCTGCGGGGTTCCCAAGGACAAGGGTGCCGTCGAAGCCGCCCTATATTCTTGGTCTGGAAGAGTATCTTGTGCTGCAGACTCAGTGGAATTCGTCCGGTAGAGCTGCTCAACAAGCCTCTCCATCCGGCCCAAACGATCCCCGACGTTGCCAGCGGTGGCTTGCGTCTGTGGCAAGTGTTCTTCCGGAAACTCCTGGCTGACACAGGGTGTGCCTTTTTGCCAGCATCTTCGACACGTGTCACGGGGTCCCGTCTCGTCGAAAAGGCAGCGGATCTTGCGTCGGCGGCACTCCCAGCAGCTTCGGGTTCCTTTGCGGACCTGGCGGCGTTTAGTAGCGGCCCGCTCCGAGGCGGTGGGTTTCGAGGTGGTGTCGCCTCTGCCAGTTGCGGCCATGTTCGTGTGATCTGGCACTGAGATCCGATGAAGATGTGTGATGTGAGGGTGATGTTTGATCGAGTCTTCTCGGACGAAGGTCGTGAGGGAGCGGAGGAACGTCGCGGGTTGGATTCGTCCGCCGCAATTCGGACGAACTCGAAATGTGGAGCCACAGACCGTTCAAGCTACCTCCGATTTTGAACAGCTCCATCCCCTTGCGATCGTGGACAAACCATATTTCATAAAGAACTGACACTTGGGAGAGTCCCGGATCGTTCATTTGCTCTTGTCTCTGTAGTCTAGCCGTGAAGCGGAGAGAGATTCGCGTCGAGGCCTTCACCCTTTAAGACCGATCGGCGATAAGTCGTCGGGGATAAGATGACCAAGGAACCTGCCTACTTCCATCTTATCCGAGGCACCTAATGAGTCACCAGCCTCCGGTGCAAGCAGACACAACTCAAAAGTGATTGCAATAATAACATAACATAACAAGTTCTCCAGCAAAGGAAAAGAATTTCCTCGCCGCGGAGTCATACGCCGTGCACGGCCTCCGGACGTGGGTCCAATGACCGAAGTCGGCGGTCAATTGTGGAGAATTAACCCGGACGGGGCCGGGACGTGGGATCGGTCGAGATTATCGGCGCCTATCGGGACAGTTCAGGGGGTGCGACATGACCATGCACTTCGATACATGAAGCAGAATGAATTTTTAAACAATCATGACATTCACATCTTCTCGATTTCGAGTGGCGGATGAATTCTCTTATGCAGGTGCCTAAACTAATGGCTCGGTGGCGAGCAAATGCGGCGCGCAGAGCTAGGCATCTACATATCACAGTAAGCGTGTCGAGAAAGACAAAAGATGTTGCATCCGTTCCTGTGGCAACCGAAATTCTTTAGACAGCGACACACACATCACGTAAGAGTCGCACAATGCACCGCGACATGATTGCCGATTTGTAATATTGGAGTTTCCACCTTTTCTGATAGGCCAGCGCCTCCGGACTTTTACCAAATATGGTCCGTTCAGCCATTTGTGCACTTCTAGGCTGCGTCGAAACAGCCAACAGGCAGTCGTTTAACAGAGCAGGCATCCGCTTTCCGCTCCATTTCGAGATGTTGTCTGAGGTGCTCTGGCCCGGGCGATGTTGGGCCGAGACTCGGCGGGGGGGCCGAAACGTCCGGACGAATCAGATGTTAGGGGTTGTTGGGCATGTACGACGTCGTTCCGGGCTATCATTCTTGATAAAAGGAAGCTTGTGTTTTGTCTTCCGGGTCTTTATCTGGAGGCATACGTTCCATTTAGTCGTCACTCTCTCCAAATCATCCTACTGTTTTCGACTTCATCATGCGTGAGATTGTAAGTACTGTTTCTGCAGCGTTCGGGCCGGCCACCAGTGGCTGCAGCATCATACGTATCCACCTTGCTAACCAGATAATCCAACAGATTCATATCCAGACGGGCCAGTGTGTAAGTCATCCACCCTTCGCTACATCGTGAGGCTTTGCTGATATTGACTTGACGAAGGGTAACCAAGTCGGAACTGCGTTTTGGTACAGTCTCCGAATCATCCTAGTATGCGATCCAAACTAACGGACTTTCCCCGAAAACCAGGCAGACCATTCACGGTGAGCATGGTTTGGATCAGGACGGATAGTAAGTACCCGCGCTCGCACACATCGCCTCACCACCTACTAATCATTCTCAGCTTCCGAGGCGACAACCCACAACAAGCCGAGCGTCTCAATGTCTACTTCAACGAGGTATATCCACTTTCTCTTTCGTCGTCTCTTATCAGCCATAATGACGCCCGTCCTCCAGGGCGCCGCCCAGAAGTACGTCCCCCGCGCGGTCTTGGTCGATCTCGAACCCGGCACAATGGACGCGATCCGATCCGGTCCCCTTGGCGACTTCTTCCGCCCAGACAACATGGTCCACGGCCAATCCGGCGCCGGAAACAACTGGGCCAAAGGGCATTACACCGAAGGCGCGGAGCTGGTCGACCAAGTCCTCGACGTCGTGCGCCGCGAAGCCGAAACGTGCGATAGCCTCCAAGGGTTCCAGATCACGCACTCACTCGGCGGCGGCACGGGTTCCGGAATGGGAACCCTTCTCATCGCTAAGGTCCGCGAGGAATTTCCGGATAGGATGATGGCAACGTATTCAGTTCTCCCGTCGGCGAAAGTGTCCGAGGTCGTAGTGGAACCGTACAACGCGACGCTATCGGTCCACCAGCTCGTCGAAAACAGCGACGAGACGTTTTGCATCGACAACGAAGCGCTGTATGATATCTGCCGTCGGACGCTGAAACAGACGCACCCTTCGTACGGCGATCTCAACAAGCTGGTGGCGAGGGTGATGTCGGGCCTGACGACGGGGTTCCGCTTCCCGGGACAACTGAACGCGGATTTGAGGAAGCTGGCCGTGAATCTGGTGCCGTTTCCGCGACTGCACTTCTTCACCGTCGGGTTCGCGCCGTTGACGACCGCGGCGGCGTATCAGAATCTCGGGGTGCCGGAGCTCACGCAGCAGATGTTCGACCCGAAGAACGTCATGTCCGCGTCCGACTTCCGCAACGGGCGGTTCCTGACATGCTCGGCGATCTACCGGGGTAAGGTGTCGACGAAGCAGATCGAGGATCAGATCCGGGCGGTGCAGACGAAGAACTCGAATTACTTTGTCGAATGGATCCCGAATAACGTGCAGACGGCGCATTGCTCGATCCCACCTAGGGGTATGTCCGCCTCAGCTACGTTCATCGGGAACTCGACTGCCATTCAGGACATTTTCCGACGTATCGGGGAGCAGTTTAGTATGATGTACCGCCGAAAGGCCTTCTTACATTGGTACACCGGCGAAGGCATGGATGAGATGGAGTTCACGGAGGCGGAATCGAACATGAATGATCTAGTGTCTGAGTATCAGCAGTATCAGGATGCCGGGGTTGATGACGAGGAGCCTGAAGGGTTTGAAGAGGATGTTCCGGCGGAGGAGTGATCGGTGTAATGAGCGATTGTCAGCGAGCTGACTACCTATCCAGTTTGTCAACAGCCATGATATAGCAATTTTATCTCTTTCAGCGACCCTGAAGGTGATTGTGCAGGAAAAGAAGGAGATGCTGTGTCTGGTTCTGCCTGCCTTGTATGTCCGGTAGCCAGAAGGATAGTTAAGGGAGTTCCTTCCCAGAATCACCAACAGCACCGGTGCAAGCGACACTGTACCAAGTGACACTGGATGAGTCCCAGAGGGGTAGTCGAGACACCCCTGAACTGGTGATTCCATCAATCTGGTGCTGGAGGCCCTCGGTTCGAGTGGCCTCGTTTCTTTTTTTCTTTGTCTTTTCTCCTACAAGTCTTCCTTACGTTCGGCCGTTGAGGAGCATCCCCAATTCTATGATCCGTTTCGCTCGAAGTTCCTAACGCATTCATAACTTACCTCCGTAAAAAATGTCTCCTGTTTGGTGTCTCAAGTGGAATCTTGTGTGATGGGCACCTGTAAGCTGAGTCCCTGAAATGACCGCTTGCATGGAATAGGACATAAATATCCTATCCCATTGTTAGCGACAGGTTAATCAAATGTCTTCAGTGCTTGAACGTTCGATATTCCTAACTTGGGGAATGCTACTGAATAGACCAACCTATTATCATCCGACTGATATTTCGTCATCGCACGTGGCATGCGGGAAAACCGATCCTGATCCTTCAGCCCTATCGTTCGCCTCTATCCCCCAAGAAGTATTTGTCATGAATCCTCAAGACAACAGAGGGTAGCTGGACATTGGGTAAACGATTGTTATGAAACAATAGCCATCAGAGACTGACAAATTACATTTCAGAGCATGCTAGGTGAATCTGAAGTTTTGGCTGGAAACGCTTGTCGGGTTAGGAAAGATTGCGGTTAAAAGGCGGAGGGTCAGCGGCTCCCTGACGCTTTTATCAGTTTTATACCAGCAGCTGGCTGAAAGATGCTGTGATCCACTCCCCAGCTCTCGTTAAAGCCTTCTTGGACGAAGAAATGAGTGAAAAAAGAATAAATCGCCTTAAGGCTTACTCATAGACGACATTGCCCAGCCCGTACGTCTATAAATGACACATCTCGGAGCTGAAGCGTGGCTTTTCGGTCAACGACAGAGTGCGAGGCCTGGAAGCCTAGACTTGAAGCATGAGAGGACCCCAAGAGCATCATGAAGTTTAGTCGTAGACATATGCAGACAGGCGTTCTATTATAAACAAGGTGACTTTCAGGTACATTAAGTATTTCCGAGTATACTTCAACGATGCCGGGTAACAGCATTGACAAATAGAAATAGATCTCACACATTGAATGTTACGATCAACCTAATTTACCACCATTTTTAAGGGATCATTATTGGGTCTGACAACTCACGACATACCCATCCTTGCCAATTGATTAATCATTCAAGGCTGCGCTTGCACAGTCGGCTTGAATAAGTACCACGTCACACAGGTGCTACCAGCTTTCCCGGGTCCGGGGATTCCCAGCCCCTGACGGCATTGCCGGCGCTACCCCTCTGGAGCTCTCTTCATAGATAGAATGCTCACGAGAAATGAGTATTGATACCAGGGCAGAACGGAAGAATGAGGGACCGAAGACAATCCATTTGCCCTTGTTGCCGCATTGTCTTCGGCAAGTGACATCAATCTCGAAAGAAGATCGCAAGGTGTTCGTAGCAGGGGAATGTACTCTCTAATAAGGATAGAAAAAGCAGTTTCATCTCCCCGAAGTATTCAGAAGCATTCCTCCAAAGATGCCTGACGACAACATCACCGGACGAAGATTTGAAGATTCAGAACGTTGGCCTGTTAGCTGCACCCATAAAATCATCTAGAATCGGCATTCATTCTCTTCGCTTGAGCCAGAAGAGAATCCATAACACAGGCGAAGAACACAGTATCATACTGCGCCTTTGAGGCAAAGGCTTGTCTGCTGAACGAGCTAGCTGTACCAAAGACCGGCTTCAATAGGAGATTTCTAAGCTTTGCGTAACATGCCGTACGTCATTGACTAAAGCAACTTCTTCCCAGAAGTAGCATAGGACGTCGCTAATATAAAGGTCGAGATATTACGGAAAGATCAGAGGTGGGCAACAACAACAATTTCATCTGCTCGCGTCAATATTGATTTTGCAGCTACCTGTCGTTCCAGCATTAAGCTTTGACATTTACAACGAGTTCACACACGCACTCCCGGGAGACATACAGAAAGACAACGGCATCATCTCCTCTTCAAAGTATTCAATGGCCAAACCCCGATACTAGACGACGAAGACGACGGATGACAGCGAAAGCTTCGCCCACGTTGTGCCAAGTCAAGGCACGCGAGATGCAACGTCATCTTACTTCAACGGACATGGAACCATATTCCTCGCCTCTTTCATTAAAGAGGCTCGGACGCGTGTTTCATAAACACAACGGATTTTGGAATCACAATTGTTTGACGGAAGTGTTGCAAGTGTGCAGAAGGCTGTCAATATATACCACTCCATCCCGGCCTCTTCAGGGACAACCGGCAGAGTTCATCTATATAAAAGAACAGCCATCATGCTTCATCAAGTGACCAGCCCAAGCCAGCACGATACGATCGCAATTCGGCCGTTGTGAATTAACTGCTTCATGTGAAGTAGTCGAGGTACTGCATGTGATCCGTGATTCCCCACTTCCATCCAAGATGACTAGCTCGAGAGACACTGTGTAGTGAATGAGTACATCTCGCCCGTGGGGTATTCGAACGCAATCTCAACAGACGACGATGTCAGACGACGGGTACTGTAGCATCATGGTACCCAAGCCGACGGACGATTAGTCCTGCTCGTCACATGTACTGGACCAGCTGTGCCAACGTGCAATGCAGACGCGGACAAAGGCCATGAACACCGAACTTGATTTTGTGGTGACCTACCAGTTGGGTGATCTGGGGCAACCATTTAAATATTGCGAGCATCAAGATGTAGTACTGTGCCAAGACAACACCGAGCTAGAACAACCTCACCAAACACCCCTTCAACAAGTCGAAAACTTTCACGTTAACAAAATCGGTATCATTCAACCCATCTATATGCAAAAAACCCCTACCCATCCTCCAACGCCCTCCTCACAAAAATCTCCATAACACCCCTGACCTTCTCCTCAACAGCCTTCCTCTCCTTCGCCGCAGCCTGCACGCCAACCCTCACAACAGCCCTACCGGTAACCTCAGCGACCCTCCTCTCCCTCGTCCGCCGCCTCGCCAGCGCCGCCTCAGCAGCCGCGTTGCCCCCCGTCAACCTCCTGAAACTCAGACTCCTCCGGTTGGGCTTCGGCGTCGTGAGCGCCTCGACCTCGGAGCGCGAGATGGGCGCGAGCTCCGAGACGACCTTGGAGAGGGTGGCGGTCAGGAAGACGAAGGCGATGTTGTGGTTCGGCGCCGTGGCGAGGATGTCGAGGACGGAGGCCTTGTCGTTCTCGATCTCGGGGGCGGAGCGGGACGTCGCTGCGATGTTGGGGATCGCGAGCTCGATCTTGGCCCAGAGCGCGGCTGTGATGATCCCGTCCGTGAGGCCCGAGAGGAAGAGGAGGAGGACCTCGGCGATAACTTCGAGGCGGTAGAGGGAGGGCGTCTCGACAGGGAGGGCGTCGACGAGGGGTTTGTCTGTCTCGAGGGCCTCGATGAGAGCTAGGACTTGGCTGTCCCTGGCCTCTTTGTCTTTGAATAGCCACGCGGTCTCGTCAAACGGCCAGCCGGGCTTGTCGCCGGGGATGAGGTGCTCTTCGATCATGTTCGCGTCGGCGATCGCGCGAGAGGTCATCACTTCCACCGCCTCGGTGAGTTTGAACAGCTCCTTGGGCGCGGCGCAGTGCACGTCTAGATCGTAGGGAATCGAGCCGGAGCCCGAGGGGACCCTGAATCTGACGAATTTCCGAATGCCGCCGTCCGGGGTACGAATGAGTTCGTCGATCGAACGGCCGAAGCATGTCGGGAGCCAGGACGCGCGAATGGGGACAAAGTGGTCTCTGCCGTCTTCCACACGAAGAACGAGGATGTCTTCCAGCGTTGATCGACCGTCGTTGAGGGAGCGCACATGGGACATGTCGCTGACGAAGACTTCTAGCACGCCACTGACCGTCTCGCCGGGCTCAAGGGTGACATCGCTGCCAAGATCGGGCTGTTCCTCGTTGGCATCGGGGTCTGGTCTTCTGAACGAGGTGCTGAGCCAAGGCGGTGGACTTGCGGAGTCGTCCTCAATAGTTGGCTTCTCGACGAAGGCGAACTTCGCTGGTACACGGCCGGTGTTTGCGATGGTAAGAGTTGCGGTATGTCTGCTGCGGTACCCGATGTCTCCAAAGTCCACGGCTTCGCCTAGTTCCGTGGCGCCGGCTTCGTCCTTGGCTTGGAGGTCGTGATTGTCGAGTACTACCGTGATCAACGGCCGTCCCTCGTTCTCAGCCCGATCCAGCTCCTTTGCGACTTCCGCATGGACCTTGGCCTTGAGATCGGGCACCACGGCGTCATAGTCTAGTGTAAACACAGATATGATCGGTTTGTGATCTGACGAGATGATTCGTTGATGAGACGTATAGATGTCAAGCTGTATCCTGTCCGTGAAGCCCTCCTTGGTGATGACCTCCTCCGGCTCGTTATCCTCCTCGTCGTACTCGTCGTAGTCGACACCGGCCTCGCCCGTTGGTGGTGGCTCATCGCCGTCAGCGTCTGGGTCGTAGTCGAAAAGAACGCTCTCGTCGTCCGTCGCATGATCCATTCCCTGCGCCGTCATCTCTTCGTCTCTCTTTTTAGCCTCCTCGCTGTCCCTCACTCTCTGCTCATACTCCTCCTTGTCCTTCCGCGTCCTGTACAGAATTCGGTCGCACCAGCTTGGCGCCCTTTGCTTCTCGCTCGAGTCGAACAGGCTGATGGTCCCGACGTCATACTTGTACGACGGCAGGAAAGTAATCGGCCCCTCCCTCCAGCCATCATGGAAAGCCTTCTTCTCTGCAATGATTCTCCGCAGCTGATCATGAGGTAGTAGCGAGTCGAGGGTCGCCTGTAGCGACGCAGGATCATCGCTAGGGTCCGGCAAAAACTCGTCTGGATCTGGTAATGAGCTCGACGACTCGGCATCGCTTGGCTCCGACGACAGCGTCGTCTCAATAGTAGACGTATCGTCGTCGCTGTATTCGTTCTTGCCCCCTTTCGAGCTTTTCACCACCAAGACCTCCTCGCCCGCAATGACCTTCCGTCCCTTCTTGTCCAGGTCGTACTCCCCACGGGTGTGGAGCAACAGCAACCGGCGGATGTCGTTCCCAGGCAGTCCGTCAACCCTGAAGTTCAAGTCCCCAAGCCAAAATGCGAAGTCCTCGTCACCAATCTTTTCCGCCTCAGCGTCATTTTCCCCGGCGAGGTTAATCGGGTCAAACTGCGTCCGCGACATAATCTGCCCAACATCCCAAAGCCTCCGGTCCAAGTACGTCTGCTCCGCGCCGCTAGCGAGGTGGCAGTTGACGAAGACCATGCGCGTCGTCTCGCCAAGCAGCATCCGTGTCGTCACTGCGCCCTTGTTTCCGAGGTACCCAAACAGACCCGTGCCGACGGAGACGGTGCTGACGTTGCTTATGGTGGGAGCAACTTCGGGGGATGCGTACGCCAGCAGCAGGAGACCAGACATCTGCTCTGCGGCGACGAGCTCGTAACCGTCCGGCATGGCTTCTTCCAAAGCGTCCTTCCACTTTTGCATGGGACCAGGGTCGGAGTACATCCGGTTCATGTAATCTCTCGCCATGTTCAGATCGACAATCTCCTGCAGGCCTAGGATATACAGCCCGATCTTGTCACCCCCGACGAGATGTATATCGCTCGGGGGCGCAGCGGTGACTGGCGATTTGGGATTCGGTCCATCTTCGTCACCGGTCTCCTCCTTCGACTTCCTGCAATCGACAGTCGGCGTGGGAGGGACGGTATTCGTCGTCTCGACGGTGTCGCGATCGGAGACGTTCAGGCGGGAGAGGGAGGCGTCGAGTCCATAGCCGTCGACGAACCAGCTCGCGAGATCCTTATCCGTGCCGGGACACGCGGCGACGTTCCATGTGCCGATCTTGACTCTTATACGGTGGGGACGGACGTACTCGGCGCGGCGGGCGTAGACGGCGCGGGCGAGGGACTGGGGCGTCGAGGTGAGATCGACGGGGTCTGAGGTCGTCGAGGGGATGGTTTCGGAGGGCGCCATCGCGGGGGCGAGGCTTTGGCTGCCTTTGCTTCGGCCACTTTTCTCAGTAGAGATGCTCTGGGAGGTGTTCGAGTCTGGAGTTGGAGAGGGTCGGGAGGGTTTAAACGGCGAGGGCGGGATGGAGGTCGCAAGGGATGGCAGGGACAGGTCGGTAGTTTCGGGGTCTTTTTGTTTTTTTCGGTTGAATGGTCGATCAATCCGGGGGCGTCCGGCGCATGATGTTCGTATTTCCGGGGCGTGGATGCGTGTCGTTGTCGTCGTAAGGTGAGGTCACGGACAAGGATGGCGATGGTTATGCGTGAAAGGGAGGAGGGCCCGAAGAAACGGATGAAACCCCCCGGACGGAGAGATACCGGACGAGTCGGAAGGACAGGACGTCGAGGGGACGCAGAAACCAGCGGGGTAGATATAGCAGCGGTGATATAAGTTGAAAAGACGAAGACGTGGGAGTTGGTGATTTAGGAAATGTTGAGGCAGAAGAAGATGTACGCAGGGTTCTATTCTGCAGTGACGCTGAGTGACTCCGGCCCTGTCCAGCCAGGGCGGTCCAGGGTCGAAAGTCCCCTCGGCATCAGTGACGTCCTTCGGGGTCGAGGTTGCACGGCACAGCGCTGAGATGGAATGACAGGGGGGACGCCGGGAGGGTGGCAGGGGCCTCAGCGCATGTTTTTGCACTGCCACACCGCTGGGATTGGCGGGGTAAGGTACCTAGGGCGAAAAGGTGATAAGATAAGCAGTATCGGATAAGGCTGACGGGATCCACCACGGAGCTGACCTCATTCACAGCCTCACCTTGCGATTCTGTCACAATCACCTAACCACCATCACCACCACCTCACGAGAACAGCCATTGCTGCTCAGCACAAGTCACCCAGACGAACAACCATCAGCGCGACTACCCCGAGATACCACTCTCAGACCAGCCACCGCGCTCTCGCGCAAAAACCCGCCATCACCACCAAAAATGTCCCGCCAAACCCCCCGCAAACGCGGCCACAACCGCCATCCCTCGACCGGCCCCCGTCCAGTCCAGTCCGACTACGAGTCCGACGCGGCGCACTACCTCGACACCCACCCGGCGCCCGCCCCGAACCCCTCCCTCCTCACCCGCACGAACACGGACCTCAACCTCTCCGTCCTGCGCCGCTACCTCCCCTCCATCAACGCCACCCTCTCCATCGCCGCCAACGCCGTCGTCTACACCTTCAACCCCTCCCTGCCCGGCTGGGACAAGACCGGCATCGAGGGCACCTACTTCCTCTGCATGCAGGACCCGCCGCCCGGCGCCCCGGCCGCCGCGCGCGCCTGCATCTTCGTGCTGAACCGCCGCGGCCTGGAGAACGTGATCCTGGACCTCGGGGACGTGGCGGACTTTGAGGTCATGGACGAGATTTACATCTTCAGGCTGAAGCAGGAGGGGCGGACGGAGGAGACGGAGAATAAGGTCGTGGGGATCTGGATCCACGCCGACAAGGAGGATACGCGCGTGATGAACGCGGCGATGATCAGTGAGACGCTTAAGCAGGTCCAGATGCACGCTGCTGCTGCGCAGGAGAGCGCCGGGGGAGTGGTGGCGCCGCCGAGGGAGGAGGAGCTGGGGCCGGCGATGCAGGCGATTGGGCGCAAGCTCAGCCTGAGTGACTTGTTCGGCGCGCAGAATGGGGCCAAGGGCTAGGGGTCCGTTGGGCTTGATTCGCGGGCCAGGAGGAGTGATGTCGGGTCGAGGAGCACGGGAGGTAGATCCGCCCAGTGGGATGGATATGGCGGTGATCGAGGTATGGAACATGTAGCATCTTTCGGAGCGTATGTCTGAAATGACCACGATAGACGGGGAGGATGATTGGAGACACTGAGGGACGTGTACGGGGTCAAAGGGCTCGGATGAGCAACGATAAAAGCAATGATACCCATAATTAAGAAAGTCATTTTCATACATGAGATGAGGGCCGCGAACCCTCGTATGGCAGACCTAGGGGGGATGATCTATCCATCCCCGCTAACCCATCCCAAGCCGGCCGTGAACCATCCGCCATTACAACTCCTCAAACCCCACCAGCCGCCGCTCATACCGTGCCGCTGATGCTCAGCTCGCGAATCTCCTGCAACACCTGCTCGACGCGCTGATCCAGCTGTCCCTGCGCGTACTGCTCCCTCGTGTCTGCGTCGAGGTACTGCTGGACCTGCGCCATGCGGCTGTACGCCTCCGCGCAGAAGCGCAGCTGGATCTTGACGAGGGCCTCGAAGGAGGGGTCGAGGTAGGGCACGCGCAGGTCGATGAGCTGGGGCAGCTCGGAGGACAGCTGCTCGTTGAGCTGCTCGTAGGCGGCCTTGGCCATCTCCATCTCCTTCTCGGCGCGGGGCAGCTTGGTGACGTCCTTGTCGGGCTTCTCGACGAGCTTCTTGACCTTTGCGCGGAGGGCGTCGTAGTCGAGGAGTTTGTGGCCGCGCTTCTTAATGCCTGGTCGGAGTTAGCAGCCGAGGGGGTGCTCGGTGGACGAGGGGGAGACTGACATTCGTTGACGTCGGGGAAGTATGCGCAGAAACGAGAGATGGGTTCGAGGACCGCTTGTCTGGAGGTCGTCAGCTCAATTGTCCGGCGAAAATACCGCGGTAGCCATACTGGTACGGTCCGTCGAGAGCCTTGATGGTCTCGGCGTCGAGGTCCTCCACGGCCTGCTTGTAACTCCTGCTCACGCCATCCTTGGCGCCGGAGTCGCCGTAGAAGGCATCTATCGTCTCGGCGATACGCATCTGAGAAGCGGTCATTGCTGTCGAGCAGTCAGCCCACCGGCCCCTTCCTTCCTAGAGCTCAGCAGCATCACGAACCTCGCAACGAGTCTAGGTATCCCTTGGCCTCCTTCTGCAGTCGTAACGAGGCGGCCTCCATGGTTCTGAATCGTCTGTCGGGGAATTCTCAGCATTCGTGGTGCACATCGTAGGGGAGGATGCCCGGGTATTCCAACCTTTCCTCGACTTCATAATCTCGGTCGTTCGTCTTTTCCACATGCCCTGCCAAGATCGGGTCAGCCGCGGCGGTAAGGAATGGCGGGGGTCAGTGGTGGTGGTGAAATGCGGCATACCCGTCTTCATCATAACCTGCGTCGTCGCGCGGTTGACATTCTTCTTGAATCCTGTGGCCGGCCGTCAGTCCTATTCCACCGATCGCGTCCCTCCTCGTCGTTGGCGCGCGGGGTTCCGTCCTCGGTTTCGCGTACCTGCCCACGACATCTTGGCTGCCCTCCTCTGGTTCCTTCAATCGCTGCTGAGTCAAACTCGAGGTAGAGAGGAAAAATCGGTAAACAAAAGGGTGCTCGAGCGGTGTACTGATCACTTGGTGTCTTGGTCGTCGAAATAAAAAAAAGGGTATCACTCTTGATCCGTACTCGTGGGTGGCCGTTTCGTCGTCCAAAGGTTAAAGTTGTAAAGGGTTGGAATTGGGAGTTTGGAGGTTTTGATTGCGCGGACGAATCACTCATCAGTCCAGGCTGGGGAAACCCAACGACGGGGACTACTGGCAGTGGGCAGTGGGCAGCACTGCTAGCAAACCGACGTCAGCGACAGAGGCTCAGACTGCGCCACGTCCTTAGCGGGGTCTTGGCCCCTTGCAGGTGCTGAATGGTGAATTTGGCGAGCCTAAATCCAAATGAGGTGTGGCGCAGTGCAGCTGGGCGGAGGGCGCAAATGCCGTGTACCGAGTGATTTATGAGATGTTATTTCATGAGCATTAAGCTGACTTAGAGGCAGCAGAATTTCAGGTGAATTGTTCATCACATTATGCTTAATCTGATCTCATAACTTAACTTTCACTCACTTACAGCTTTTAAAATTCAGACTCATTCACTCCTCTTTCTTCTTTCAAAGTCCTTTTAATAACCCTAAACATTTCTTCTTCTTATCAACAGCCACCTTGTTGCCTGGGCAGTTGACCATCTAGCTGTTTCATCATTATCTTTGTTCTGTTTGTAGCCGTTGCAAGTACAGCTGGTGTCACCTAGTCGCAGATGTTGTCCAGAGCAACTGGCTGGCAGCAACAGCTCCTTGCATAACCCATAATTGTAATCCCGACCCCACCTATACACGCTATGCACGTTATGCATACAGGTCAAATCTCCAATCAGCACCTCCAATTCTTCCTCCAGCTCCAATCTCCAACTCTCTCTCGAAAAAAAAGTCCAAACCACCTCATCGCATCGCAACACCTTCAACCACCCAAAATGACGACCCAAAAACTCTTCAACCCGCGCTTCCTCCTCATCTCCCTCGGGAACCCCGCCCCCTACAAAGACACCCTCCACTCCGCCGGCCACCACGCCCTCAAGCACCTCCAGGCCCTCCTCCCCGCGCAGCCGCCCTTCCACAAGACCGACGCCTTCGGCCAGTCCTGCCAGGCCTCCCGCGGCAACAAGTACACCCTCGTGCAGTCCCCGACGCTCATGAACGTCTCGGGCGCCTTCACCTCCAAGGCCTGGCAGAGGGAGCTCGCGCGACAGCAGGACGACCCGGCCGGCCTGCACCTGGTCGTGGTGCACGACGACCTGGAGGAGGAGCTCGGGGTCGTCAAGATGCGCAAGTGGGGGAGCAGTCACAGGGGCCACAACGGGATCAAGAGCATCGCGGGCAAGCTGCGGGAGGGGGACTATCCCGGCGCCAAGTGGGCGCGGATCTCTGTTGGCATTGGGCGCCCCGACGAGCGGAGCAGGGCTACGGTGTCTGACTATGTTCTTCGTCCAATGACTATCGACCAGATCATGACGCTCGAGGATACTGCGGCCCCGGGGGTCCTCCGGTGTCTGGACGAGTGGGAGGCCAAGTTGGCCGCCCAGGCTAAGAAGTGAAGGTGCTCCTGATGAACTTGCATACTCACCACAACCGTCCCGGCCACGGCAGTAATGGAGGCGTTGGGTAAGCCGAGAATGTTCTGGCTGTCATCTCGAGTGTCTCCGACGTTGCAAGGACTCTAAGCGTCCAGCATTCGTCAACAGTGTCCTAGCCCGCCTCAAGCACCTTCTTGAGCGTTCAGCGACGCATATCAGAAACCTCCCCTCAGGTAGCCTCCTCCGGGCCGGGTCGGCCGTCGAGCCATTTGCTCATGTACGGCCCGTCAAGCCAGTAACCAAGCTTGGCATAGTAACTCCTCACACCAACACCAGAAATGACACTAATCTTCTCACTACCATGCTCGTCCCTCGCGATCCTCTCCGCCTCCTCCATCAGGAGTGTGCCGAAACCCTGGTGCTGGAACTTCTTCGGGTCGCGCGCGTGTACTGGCACGGCCGTACCGTACACGTGCAGCTCTCTGACGAGACTGGTCGGCTGGCCCACGAGCTCCTCGCGGTAGGTGTACTTTTCGGTGCACTTCCGCAGACGCAGCAGCGCCACGAGGATGTCCTGCTTCGGGTCCTCGTATGCCAGGAACGTCTCCCAGCCGCCGTTGGCCGTGTAGTCTCGCCGCACCAGCTCGATCTGGTTCGGGCGGATTTTGTTCTTCACCTCGTTGACGCCGACCTCGCGCGTCCGCACGTCTCGACACGTGGTGCCGAAGTCCTTCATCCTCGCCAACGCCAGCTCGCGCAGGTTGCCGTTCTCGACACCTGACGTGACCAGTGGCATGGGAATATCACGCTGGACACGGTAGATACGGGTCCATGGCGGGATCAACGCCAATATCCTCGCGACGAGATCGATGAGACCGTTTGGTGTGTAATTCTGGTATCGGCCTGTTCGCCACAGTTCGTACAGACCGGTACCTCTGATGACGAGGGTCGGGTAGATCTTGAGACCGTCTGTTCGGAATGCAGGGTTCTCGAAATACTCCCGGAACTGATCCAGATCTCTCTCCATACCCACGTTCGGCAGGTCGGGCATCATGTGGCTGACGACCTTGAAGCCGGCGTCCTTGGCGAGACAAAACGTCTCGGCGACGGCAGCGACTGTGTGGCCACGGTTTGTGTCTCTCGCGACGTCCTCGTAGAGCGACTGCACCCCAATTTCCAACCTCGTGCAGCCGTACCGCAGCATGTCTGTCAGGTGGGGCTGCCAGCAGTAGTCCGGTCTCGTCTCGATCGTAATGCCGACGCACTTGATGTTGCTCATCTCGCTGGCCTCTACGGCCTCGTCCACGTTCGACGTCTGGTACCCACTCAGGGCGTTGTGTAGTTGTGCGATAAAGTCCTCCCTGTAAGGAACGGGCAGGGACATGAAGGTGCCACCCATGATGATGTACTCGACCTTGTCGACGGAGTGGCCGAGAGACTTGAGCTGATCGACTCTGCCGCGGGCCTGCTCGAAAGGATCGTACCGGGCGCGGATAGCGCGCATCGATGTCGGTTCGTATCCGGTGTAGGACTGTGTGCTGTACTCGAAGTCGGAGTCGGGACCGCCTGGGCAGTAGACGCAGATGTTGCCGGTGTAAGCGATGTGTGGACACCTGTGAGGCTTGCACATGACGGCGACGACGGCAATACCCGAGGATGTTCCTGAAAAGTGTGAGTCTTGCTGCCTGTCGAAGCATAAAGGGGGAAGAGACATACGGATTGGCTTGGCAATGAGTTTCGGGAGGATGTATTTCTTGTAGTGTTCGGGGATCGCAGCGATGATGGCCGTCAAGGGCGGGATGTTGGCCAGCTTGTGCTTGCGCGCAAACTTGTTGCGCAGGGAGTTGAGGTTGAGATCCCTCTGAGGCTTCTTGGGGTCACGGACGGCCTCATGGTCCTCGATCAGGGCGTTGGCGATATCTGCACAGCATCGCAGGAAGCGCTCGTTCTCGGGCGGGAGATTGTCGGTCTTGGTGCGCGGCTTAGTGACGGTGACGGTCGCCGTCGCCATCTTGGGCGGTTGGGTGGTGTAAAAATAGGGGATGTTGTCGTGGGTTTTCGTGTCGTTCTGTCGGTCGTCTGGTCGTTTTGGAGTTGTTATTTTAGTAGACCGTCAAAGTTCAAAGCGCCGCCGGAGTCACAGTTGACGTCCCTCACTTTTGGAAATTTTGGAGGAACCGTCGAATCCATGGATGCAGGTCGACCTGGATGGTGGGGTAATTAGCCACACTTTTCCCTCTGAGGCGGCATAAATGCTGCGCCACACGTGGGGTGCTGACCGTGCTCAACCCTGGCCCTCCCATTGGCTCGGTCGGAACATCCTCGCCGACCGACTGGCGCGGGTTTTCCCGGGCTGCAGGCCCCGTGGCTCACGCTGCAGACCCGATTGTCTCGAAAGAGCTCGGTTCAAGTTTTGCTTGGTGCCAGTTCGACCCTTCTTTTTCGGAAAGTGACGTGAATTGCTGCAGCTGTCTGTTTTTTGATAACTCCAACTTTCCGTTGTGGTGCTATCTCGACTCTCTTCCTCGGCCACTCTCCCCTCCGTCCCCCGACATCACTCATTGCCTACCTTTCTTTAATTGCGCCACACACTCGTCCGTGTCGCGCTTCTCTTTCCCCCCCTTCTGCAACCACACAGACAGCCCATCATGCAGTCCTTCTCGAGACAGATGCGCCCGGCAGGCAAGCTGCTGAACCAGGCCGCCAGACGGTCCTACAGCGTCTCCCAGGCCGGCCCCTACTCCAAGACGATCGACAACCTGCGCATCAACAGCGACACCAAGGTCATCTACCAGGGCTTCACCGGCAAGCAGGGAACGTAAGTGTTGCTGTTATCTCTCTCCGAGTCCGAGGCGGGCCCCTGGCTCGGGCCTACCAAAGCAGCAATGGCCGCGCGATATATAGCTAACACCAACTCCTTTGATAGCTTCCACGCCCAGCAGGCCATCGACTACGGTACGCGATAGTGCTTCCCGAAAAGCAATTGCGCATTCCCTCGCGCGCTTCTCATGCAAAAGATCAATCCCGAGGCTGATATCTCTCTTCCCCCGACGTGTAGGCACCAAGGTCGTCGGTGGAACGAACCCCAAGAAGGCCGGCCAGGAGCACCTGGGTCTCCCCGTCTTCGGCAACGTCAGCGAGGCCGTCAAGGAGACCGGCGCCTCTGCCACCGCCATCTTCGTCCCGTATGTCACCACGCCCGCCGCGAGAAGCTTGAAGTTGAAGGTTCCGGAATTAACCCCCCAATCAACAGCCCCCCTCTGGCCGCCGCCGGCATCGAGGAGGCCATCGCCGCCGAGATCCCCCTCGTCGTCTGCATCACCGAGGGTATCCCCCAGCATGGTATGTTTTGCCCGAAAAAACAGCTCCGTAGCTGCATACTCACCCCGACCCAGACATGGTCCGCATCACCAACATGCTCAAGACGCAATCCAAGACCCGCCTCGTCGGCCCCAACTGCCCCGGCATCATCGCCCCCGGCCAGTGCAAGATCGGCATCATGCCCGGCTTCATCCACAAGCGCGGCCGCATCGGCATCGTCTCCCGCTCCGGCACCCTGACCTACGAGGCCGTCAACCAGACCACCCAGGCCGGCCTCGGCCAGTCCCTCGTCGTCGGCATCGGCGGCGACCCCTTCAGCGGCACCAACTTCATCGACTGCCTCAAGGTCTTCCTCGAGGACGAGGAGACGGACGGCATCATCATGATCGGCGAGATCGGCGGTTCCGCCGAGGAGGACGCCGCCGACTTCCTCCGCGCCAACAACACCGTCAACGGCGGCAAGCCCGTCGTCTCCTTCATCGCCGGTATCTCCGCGCCCCCCGGCCGCCGCATGGGCCACGCCGGCGCCATCGTCTCCGGCGGCAAGGGCGGCGCCGACTCCAAGATCTCCGCCCTCAAGTCCGCCGGCGTCATCGTCGAGCCCTCGCCCGCCGGCCTCGGCAAGGCCCTGTACGACGAGTTCGTCCGCCGCGACCTCCTGTAAAGCGTCTCGCCGCCTCTCGAAACCCAACCAACCCCCTCCCAACCCACACCCCCGCGGCCCGCAAAGAGGAGGAATCAAACCAGCTGTGTATGTAACATGTTAAAGAGACTCGTTTGAAGCGTGGTAGCAGTTCGCCGCCGACGCTGTCAAAGGCGCACCCGGCTTGGGAGGAAACAGATGCATCGTGCGTCGTCGAGTAGTTGTGTGTCTGTCTGTGTCTGTGTGTGTCGTCGTGTTGCCTTACCCCAAATAACTCGATAGACTGGAATTCGGCAACGCAAGGACAAAGGAAACAGTGGGAAACAAATCTAGCAAAGGGGAAAAAGAAGGAGTATTTCCTGCAATGCAATGCACATGTGAGGGAGGACTCTCCCCCGCGCTTTGTATCTCGAATTCCATAAGTGTTTTTTTTTTACCGCGACCACGTACCGGACCCCCTCATTCGTTCACTTCGCGCCATGCTCGGCATCTAGGGCCCTGCCGTCGTACGACTCCCCATACTACCCCCCCGTCTCCGAACCCCGAGGGGAACCTGGACCGGGCCGACGCAGGCAGGAAAATTGGAGACCGAGGACACCGGGTCAATGGATGCCAGGGACCTTTCGGGGAATTGTCATCTTTTTTTTTCAGTCTGCTAATATGTATGACCGCTATCAGTGATTTTTACGAACATGATCACGAGTAAAAAAGATGGAGAAGCAAGAACAACACAGACGCAAAGTCCCATGCGTAGCCGTGACTCCCAAAACGCCCAGTCCGTGATGCAGAAAAGGTCTTCCGGCCCGTGAGCGAAAGAGAAAAAAAAAGACAACACCGTGCTCCGACCGCTGAGTTTCCCGCTGTCCACCGTAGCCCCGGGCCCCCCGTTCGAAACGTGTGCAAAGTGATCGTTCGTGCCGTCATGCGGTTTGAGTGTGGGGGATTTCCAAACCTCCAGATGAGATAATAGAGTCCGCAAGTCCATGCGTCGCAACCACAGTCCTCTCTCTCTTTCTCTTTCGAAAAGCGAATCATTCCACCGAGCAATGCCCACCTGTCCCCCGGTCTAAGATGATGTTTGACTCCCTGTTCGATGCAATTCCAGCTCCCAGTGTCCCCCACGTGATGCCTGCTGCTTCGTCGTGACATTTTTCCTACGGTTCGTCACACCATATGCCACAGCTCATCAAATCTCGTTCAGTAGTCGGGCGATGATGTCGCCCATGTATGCCTCCTCAAGCTCGAAGTCTCTGCCACCGTTGCGGTCGATGCCCACGAAGTCGAGGGCCTCGACGACGGCGTCGATCGCGAAGCCCATTCTGGCGAAGCGGTCAACGAGCTCTTTATTGTAACCCTGGTAGTCCTCGTCGCTGGTCTCCTTCGGCTTCGGGCTGGGCTCCTTGCGGTACTTTGAGGTGTCGAATTCGCCCGAGGGAGCGTTGGCGTGGCGGATGGCCCACTCGTGGGCGCGCCTGGCGAAGGCCTCCGGGTTCTCGAGCATCATCTTGGCCACCTCGGCATCCTGCGGGTCCTTGGGGTTCGGGAATTCGAGGAGCATGCGGAGGGAGAGGAGGGCGGTCTTGATGGTTTGGACCGGGGACCAGCCGGAGCCCAGCGTGTCGAGACAGATGGCGCCCTGGGAGGAAGTCAGTTAGTGGCGGTCTACATGAGGGTGGGAGAGAGGAATGAAGTGGCCTACCGTCTGACTGCTGATGTTCGGATGCCAGATCTTGGTGTCGAACTTGATGATGGGTGATTTGAACGGGTAGTTATCCGGGATCTTAATATCGACCTCGTATTGTCCGCCGGCGTAGGGGGTATCTGGGGGAGCAGGGAATGAGCCCTTGAGGTGGAGGAGATTCGACTCGTCGACGGGCCAGGCGTCGACGCCCGAGTTGTCCTTGTCGCTGCGAATGTCATTCAGCTCCTTCACGATTCGCCGCTCCTTAGGGGTCGACATGGTGGGCTGTAGACTTTGTTGCAACGTTGTATTTGATGAGTTAGCGATGTCGGGCAATGCTTATTTCCTTCTGGATGACGATATTCCGTGCGAAAAAAGTCTCTAACGGTTGTCGTTGGGCTGGGTTGCGTGAGGTTCGGGTCGGGTGGATTTTGGAGGGGGAGGACCTGGAGGAGCCGCCGCCGATGGAAGACGGAAGACGCAAGACCGACGGCGGCCAGTGCCTGCCCCTCGGATGGAAAAGATGATGCTAGAATGGCCCGTGCGGATGCCGCTAAAATAGTGCCCATCAAAGTGTCAGGGCCGCCTGGAAGGAGCGACCCGGTGCTGCTGCGGGGTTGACAAACTGGCATGTCACTGGATGCTGTAAGAGTACTTGTCAACGGACTCGAAAGACGATACCATTCACAGTTTGTGATGGAATTACTGCTGATTATGAGGATTATTTACAAGCTAAAATTGACGCTAAGAAGTCAAGATCATTACTTTAACAGTTTCTCTCGCACTTTTACGTCTGTTTAGCTGAAGAAACTGTGCCTTTTAATGTTTTTCTGCCTTGAAAATGGTTTAATAACTTATCACTTGAGAATTATCTTCACACATCTCACCTGTTCTAGATGAAGAACTTACTGAGATCACTAGCTCACCATATCAACATGTATTCAAATAAGATTTTTCAAGGGAACTGACATGGAGTTTGGGTGAATCTACAAACACGCTACATTTATTCGAGCTGTACCTGTGTTACTAGGATCAGTGAATTCATCATGACATGACACGAATCCAGCCTGAAGATCTCATCAATATCGCTAGCACATAGTCATACTGCCACGGCTAACACAGACGGCCTGACAACTGAGTCATTGACTCTGTTAACTTGAACGAGCGGACATAGGTTGTTGTCACGGCATATTTGAGCGAAGCCGTTCCGGTGCATCTTAATACCAGTTAAGTATTATTCCCATTCGTTTATAAAGCGCTTGTATTAGAGAGAAGGAAGACACCATGCTCAATCTTGATTCCGGGGCTGGGCTTCCATAACGCCGCGGAACCAAAATATGTTATTTCAAGCCCCCAAGCTGTCGACTCAGACCAGTCCTCCTCACCCCCTAAAACCTCGTGAAGGCGCAAGCGTGATGCTGGAAATGAGCTCACAGTAATCACGCACACTGACTACTTGGCAGGCCTCGTGCGCGCTCCCAACCTATCGTACTTTCGCCTGGTTATCGTTTCGCCGACCGTTTCGCTAGGTAGGGTACCACCTGTCCGTCTCAAAAGGCCTCACAATGATCGTCCTCTTCTCCAGCTGATATCAGCCTCGTGTCGTCGAGAATGGCAGCTGCAATATGTACCAAGTGGCCCCGGCATGTATTCTGACAAGCCCGTACTTGGGTTCCCCCGAGCTATTGTATCTTTTGGATGGATCAACGACCATCTGTATGCCAAAAGGTGTTCATCCTGTTTTGACTGTCATAGCCAAGTTGAGCGAGTCGCCGGAAAGGCTCAGAATACCTTCGACATCTGAGCAAAACCAGCCTTTGCGTTCTTTTAAATTACGAATTAGTGTGTCATGAACAAAGTCCCTCGGATGCATTAGACAGAGGCAACGCAAGAAAGATAATCGGGGTCAGCACAGCACTCTCACGTAGGGATCGGCGTACTCAGTTTCAATATGTTGTTGAGGGAGGCTCTGAATGTATCCACTGGAAGAGTGTGGAGCAGAGTTATATCCTCTCCAGTAGTCGGCGCTGGTCGCTGGTAGTTGGCGTTCTCTCGACTTCCTCTCCCGGCTCGATTTCAGGCGGTACGAACAATATCTGTTGCACTTGACTCAAGTGACCTTCCAGGACCTTACAGGGTTTGAATGCACGACTTCGTCCATAAACCAAAGACGCGGATGGTCGTGTCATCTAAGGCAGTCCATACCGTGCTTGACTTTTGATGGACTTTTACGTCGTTGACACAATTTGTATGCTAGGCAACATTGTCAGCTGAGAATTACAACACCAAGGAGTGCCAGTGTTGGAAGCCAAGTAACGGCAACGATTAACCTGTACTCATCCCACGAAGTGTAAAAGTTTCTCTGCTATCGGAACGAAGAGCCTTGACTGTGCGATCCATGGCGCCACTGACGAGAATCTATAAATCCTCATCATGGAGGGATGAGAGCTCGCCTCACGTGTCCGCGCAGTGTCGACAGGAAAGCCCCGGTCCTAATATTCGATAGCTTGATCGACGAGTCGAGCGAGCCCGAGAACAAACTTCCTACTAGAGACTTTGAAACAGTGTATTCCCATTGTATGCCCTGTGAGGGTTTTGATAGCATTTCCTGTCTTCATGTAGGAAACGACAATAGCGTTATTGTACGAACCGCTCAATAACACGTTCTGCTGCTCTCCAAGAGCGAAACAGGCAACATCGTCCCGATGAAGACTCAGTGTCTTGACAGGGCAACAACCATGACCCCATTTGAATTCAACCTAAACTGTTTCAGCTGGAAACCTTGCTGGGGCATAGGCGGACGCGCCCCGAAGCGTTCTTGGTAGACGATCTTTCATGGATGAAGCTGCTTAGGGTCATCGTCTGCCAATGCCTTTCAGCGCTGATTGACTTGCACGGTTTTGTAAAACGATTTAAGATCAAGTAGCCTCAGAAAGTCCAGAGGCACTTCCGAAGGGACGACAGGCGATAGAATGTCGATTTTCAGGTGCCCATGTGCTTCGCGAGACCACAACGTTACTGCTGAAGTTTTAGCAACTAATTGATACTTTGCAGGACGACTACAATGCGGCAAACAAGATGATTCGAGATTTTCGTGAAGTCTGTCACGATCACCATTAGCATCGCACAAGGAGCAAGGACCGGAGAAAACTACCGACACGAGAGAGCGAATCGGCCTGGCGATGTTGCATAAACGCTCCAAATGTTGGACACCGCGAGTCAATCTGCTGGATTAAACTTATTTAGCTCCAACATGATTATTTCTAGCGGCCGTTCTTGGCCAATTCGATTCTCCAACGACGCGTACGCACTGGAACGTGTTCGCGTATGAACTGTGTGACAGTTTGTTTGTGTAGCTTTGTGGCTGTGACGTTATATGGTCGAATGCATCTCGTCGTGGGCCACTTGCAGTCCGCTACTAAGGGAATACTTGGAATTCAGGAACCGCAACGATATACCCGGCTTCGACGACGCGGATGAAAGGATTGATCGGCGTGGATTTTGAGGTTTAGTTGCGATGGCAAAGTTCGGTCGCTGGAAGTAAGGAGGTTCCGTCGGTGTCGTTACAACGCCAGGCGGAAAAGACGAAGCTGATTGTCAAACGGAGCGACATTGCTCGTACGATGATTCCCAGAGCGTGTTGCGTCTTCTGGCGCTCTGCAGGTGATAGGACAGTTAACAGAAAGCGGTCTCTGTGTCTCGACCTTTCGAATGGGTGACGCGACTTCAGGTGGGAGTGATGATGCGAATAGTACTCTTTTGAGAGGGCAATTCAGAGACGATGTCAGCTGGAGAAACATAAAGCCACCAAAAAATTCAAGTTATCAATAAAAACACGCTGTTTCTCAGGCTGTAGGTTCCGTGTTAATGGGACGTACGATACACCGTTATCGCAATGAAGTGTGTGCAGGCGTCGTAGCTATTCAATGCATTAGACGTTACTTGGGACCATCAGAGCTCACTCATTCGAAATGAAAACAAGTGAACCCATGCGTAAGATTGTTTGGATTATTCAAGAGCTCACGCAGAGATCAAGACATTCTTCATCTTCTGGAAGGATGGATGTTGAGAATGACGGAAGGAAGTCGGGTGTACTACGAAATCTGACTCAGCAAGCAGATGACAAAGCCAGAAGGGAGACACACGTGACCTGGGTCCACTACTTCGACCGGATTAGGGATAGACCGGAGCGCGCGTTCCTCTGGCGCCTGCCTTGGCCCGTGCCAACCGGTACGTACACACGCAGGTACTGCTGCCGATTCGATTACCTACGCAAGCAGCAGCAGCCTTGCCTTCTGGCCTGCTGCTGTCCCCGGAATCCACCCAACTTCATCATCATCACAAGCTCTCTCTCGCCGGCGACATCCCGCCAGATCGTCTATATTTTTTGCATCCTACCCCCAATCATTTGAACAATAAGCAAAAACAGCAGCTGCGGACAGAGCGAACGATAGGATGGGTCAGAACCAGAGTGGAATGGGTGGTGGAGGAGATGGTAAGGACGAGAAGGATAAGAAGGTATGAACTCCATCCAAATCACCTCGCAAACACCCAAAAGACATCGACTAAGCGGTGAAACAGAAGGAGAAGCCCAAGTATGAGCCTCCCCCGCGTCCTACCACCAGAGTCGGCCGCAAGAAGAGAAAGGCCGCCGGTACGAGCGCCGCCGCGAAGCTCCCCGCCGTCTTCCCCACAAGCAGATGCAAGCTCCGCCTGCTACGCATGCAACGAATCCACGATCACCTGATCCTCGAGGAGGAATACGTCGAGAACCAGGAGCGCCTGCGCAGGGCCAAGGCGGCGAAGGAAGGTGCTGCCGTCGGCCCCGAGGGCGATGTCGACCGCCTGGCCGATGAGCGCGGCCGCGTCGACGACATGCGTGGCAGCCCCATGGGTGTTGGCACTTTGGAGGAGATGATTGACGATGACCACGCCATCGTGAGCAGCACGACTGGTCCCGAGTACTATGTTAGCATCATGAGCTTCGTCGACAAGGACCTGCTCGAGCCCGGTGCCAGCGTGCTCCTGCACCACAAGAGCGTCAGCATTGTTGGTGTCCTGACTGACGATGCCGACCCGCTTGTCAGCGTCATGAAGCTGGACAAGGCACCCACGGAGTCATACGCCGACATTGGAGGTTTGGAAACGCAGATCCAGGAAGTCAGAGAGTCAGTCGAGCTGCCTCTGCTCCACCCAGAGCTTTACGAGGAGATGGGTATCAAGCCGCCCAAGGGTGTCATTCTCTACGGTGCTCCTGGTACCGGAAAGACCTTGCTTGCCAAGGCTGTCGCCAACCAGACTTCAGCTACCTTCCTGCGTATAGTCGGAAGTGAGCTTATCCAGAAGTACCTTGGTGATGGTCCCCGTCTAGTTCGCCAGCTCTTCCAGGTATGTCTGACTCCCCACTTACCCAACTCGCCGCTAATATCTGCAGGTTGCCGGCGAGAACGCCCCCTCCATCGTCTTCATCGACGAAATCGATGCTATTGGTACGAAGCGTTACGACTCGACGTCCGGAGGCGAGCGCGAAGTCCAGCGCACCATGCTGGAGCTCCTCAACCAGCTCGACGGTTTCGACGACCGTGGTGACGTCAAGGTCATTATGGCCACCAACAAGATCGAGACGCTCGACCCCGCTCTCATCCGTCCCGGCCGTATCGACCGAAAGATTCTCTTCGAGAACCCGGACCAGAACACCAAGCGCAAGATCTTCACCCTGCACACATCCAAGATGTCGCTTAACGACGACGTGGAGCTTGAGGAGTTCATCTCGCAGAAGGATGACCTGTCTGGTGCCGACATCAAGGCCATCTGCTCCGAGGCCGGTCTGCTCGCCCTCCGCGAGCGCCGTATGCGGGTGCAAATGGCCGACTTCCGCTCGGCCCGTGAAAGGGTCCTGCGCACCAAGCAGGAGAGTGAGCCCGAGGGCTTGTACTTGTAGTGTGTTCACGTGTATGACTGGGCGGGGATAGACAGGACGACGGAGGAAATGACAGGCAGCTACGATAGAGATAATGCCAAGCAAGCTCAACGGCGGATGTCGATTTCCTGGAGCGATGCAACGTGAAAAGTGATGATTCGTACGAGAAGATGGTTTGAAGGATTTCAATGCATTCAGGGCATCTCGTCGCTAGCTTCACTGTGATGGGGTGCATTCCGATTTCATGGCTAGCTACCACATGAGGCGCTTCCTGCAGGAAAGATGGCTTTCTGGCGAAACGAAATCGCAAACGAGGAGGATTCCTCACGACAAGGTCGAGAGGCAAGGTGGTGAGTTAGGGTGGTGGTGAGCTTAACCATCCTGCCATCTGAACGTTCTGGAATCACGCCAGACGGGCTCGGAAAATGTCCCGATCATACGGCGTCTACCTGTCTCCGTCGGCGTCTGGAGACCTGCTCGGCATCATCCGGCTCTGGACATATGCTTGTGTCTTGAATTCTCGTCTCTAGACGCCCTCGGAAAGAAGTTTTGTATTAATCATGTCCTGAACCATGCCTTTAACCTCACCATCTGATCCAACCAGACAGCAAGGACATATCTCCGCCCAGTACGGAACAAGCACGATGTATTTCGAGAACGAACAGCCAGAGGTCCCCTCCTCTGGCACAACATAAGCAATTGCCGGCATAGACTAGGTACGATAACGACGACGATCATCGCATCCCTACCTGTCCTCGCATATCCTTCCACGAAAAACAACAAGACAAGACCCCTCAAACAGTTCCTTAGTAACAACCACCCCCTCCTCCCACCCATCAGGAACCTCTCGCCGTTCGCGTCTGCTGCCAGAAAGTTGACTCCCGACTCGCAGAGCCGACGATCCCAGCCCGTCTGAACCCTAAGCAAGGCCCGCATTTGGGAATCATGGTGCTTACCGAGACCGCCGTACGTACACCACACACCCCTCTGGCGGCTGCGGCTGCTTTTTGGGTCGGGGGTGTTCCTGGTATCATGGCGAAGGCGAAGTCTTACATGGATGGTTGATGAATGCGTTTCCCCGCATCTTTGAGAACATGGGGAAATGTGAGAGAGGCGTGGTGATGGGAAATGCCGTTTTCGCATTGGTGGTATTATACAATATGAACAATCTCTAGCTTGAAGCTCGCCAAGAAGAAACAAAACCTGCTGAACGAGACAATAGAAAAGAGAAAGAGGTATCCAAACGTGACTTGAATGTGCCATATCAATACCCAGCCCGACCCAACCTCTCCTTCTCCTCCACAATCGGCTCCTGCGTAACCCCCTCCTCGCTCCCGTCGTACCTCCACTCCGACGCCACGGACGCCGCATACGGCGGCGCCGGCCCGTCCTCGTCCTCCTCGTCCTCCTCCAGCGGCGGCGGCAGCGAGCTCGGCGTCATGTACCCCGTCGCGGGCGGCGTCAGATCCCCCGGGGGCCCCATCGCGGCCATCTCCCGCGCGATGTCCGGATCGATCGCGTACCGGCCCTCCATGGCCATCAGCGTCTGCCACAGCGGCTGCGACCCCTCGGGCCACTCGGCCTGCAGGGTGAGGATCTTCTTGGCGGAGATGCGGCGGTTCTGGTACGCCACGCCGTTGCAGTCCTGGCGCGCGAGGATGATGGTCCCGTCGATCTGCACTCCCGCCCAGAAACCCCGGGACTTGATGTAGCTGAACATGGGGCGCCCGGTCTTGGAGAGCGCGGCCTCGACGGCGCCGCCGGTGCCGACGGGCCCGATGGCGACGGAGGACTCGGCGCCGAGGGAGACGCGGGGGTGGGCGAAGGCGGCGACCTGGGCGGGGGTGTTGAGGACGAGGACGCAGTCGTAGATGTCGAGGCCGATCATGAAGCCGGCGCCGAGGGTGGAGACGACGAAGGAGGAGGGCGGGGACCAGGTGCCGTCCGGGCGGCGTGCGACGACGATGCCGGAGCCGGCGGCGAGGGAGCCCATGTAGGCGCCGGCGCGGAGGGTGTTGAAGACGGCGAGGCCGGAGCAGTTGGCGAGGACCTTGTGGGGGATGGTGACCATGGACTTGACGGAGAGGCCGAGGGGGTGGGAGGGGGCCTTGTAGGAGGACGCCGGGGCGGGGCCGGGGTCGTCGGTGAAGGCGTGGAGGATGCGGGAGGCCTTGGCGCACTCGCGGTCCATGGTCTGGGGCATGAAGCCCTCGGCGCCGAGGAGGTTGACGGCCTTGTTGATGGGGGCGCCGGCGGCGGTGGTGATTCTGTGGATGGAGTGGCCGAGGCCGCGGTTGGGCGGTTTCGGGGCGGAGGAGTGGTTGCGGGAGCGGTGGAGGGAGAGGGAGATGCGGCGTTTGAGGGAGAGACGGGTCGCTGTTGTGGTGGTGGAGGTGAGGGATTGGGTTTCTGCGGAGGAGGAGGAGGAGTGGTCTGTCATTGTGATATGTGAGGGCATCGTGAATGTTTGTGTGCTTGTGAGCCTTGCGATGAGGGTCGAAGGAGCGGAGAAGAGAGAGAGAGGCGATGGAGATGAGCTGAGCTCATGAGTGTGATATATAAACGCGTCCCATCGTCAAAGCACATTTTCACTCGAGGGGGGCGTCGTCAGGGATCGACCCGACCTGATCCAAGCTGGGATGTAAGTTGCGGAAGAGGGTGTGAACGGCGTAAGGAGAGACGTCTCGGTCTGGCCTTGCGAGGAGCCAATGGTCAATGAGTGAAATCGGGAGCATTCTGGTCCAATGGGACAAGACAAGGTTGGCTTTGGTTAATGCTCTCCGTGGAAAGGCCAGTCCGGACACAAGGCGCATTTGAGGGGGTGATGTTCTCGGGAGGTCTAGGCGAGGCGGAGGCGAACGGGGGATGGGACGGAGGAGCGAAGGAGGGTGGACGGAGCTTGGAGCGGCGAGGGGCGGGATGGGGTCTTTCATCTCATGTTCTTTGGGAGCCCTTCCGAGATGTAGAGAAGCATGCTTGTATTCGACAAGGTTTGAGTTGGGAGCTTGTTTCATGTGACCAGCGTGCGTAGTCCTCTTCTGTGTCTTTAGAGCTGGGCTGGAACGGGGTCGAAAGGTAGGGCTTACGGAAGACGGACGTGGTGTAAGGTGAAGTATGGCAAGAAGGTGAGGGAGGTGAGGGTGGGAGGGAGGCGCAGACGTGCAGGTGAGGAGGTTGTGGGATGGGAGAGTTGGGGTTTTGGGGGTCCTGTCAAACGCGTAAGTGTCTTCGTGGGCTTTTGATTCAAGGTTGTGACAGGAGGGTGAGCTGTTGAGGTAAGGTGAGTTGTCTGCTCCTAGATTGGCGAGGGTGTTCGTGTAGGTGACGATCGTGGGATTTGAGAGTCGAAGTTGTGGTGGAGGCGGAGAGTTGAAGAAAGCAGGGAAAGTGGCTCGTGCGCGCTGCGACCGACTTAGGCACCTAATTGGGCAACTTTCTCATCCACCTGTCTTCGTGGCTCAGTCGGTAGAGCGTTGGTCTCATATTATTCAATATGACTCTGTCTGTAGATAGGGACATCCAAAGGTCGAGAGTTCGAGCCTCTCCGAGGACATCTTTTTGCTCTTTGAGTATCGCAGATGTAGAGTTTTTGTCTTCTGATTGTGGTGGTGGCGTTTTTGGCTCGCGATGACGGTTCAGGGCGCGCGGGACGAAGGCTATATGATATGGAAATCTGCGGGACTTCACCTTTGTCGCCTGTGTCTCCGAGGGTTCCTCCTAATCATTTATCGACTTTGCCTAGTGTGAGTGCGTACCTTTTTGATCTAGTTGTGTGCCAGTGGACGATTGAATCTGCAGGCCGCTCGCAAAGTCATCAAGTCTTGGGTATTCATGCAGCAGCTAGCGACTTTCTGCGTAGACAGGTATAAATGTATTGCGTCCTGACAGCGACGGGTTCGTTGCGAACGTGATTTATTGACGAGACATTATGAACAGGGTATGGGTATATGTTTACTCTCATCAAGAGTATTTGCGAGTATTATACAACGTCCGTACATGGTGACCAAGTCTTACACGAGATCGCCAGGTTCGCCTCTCCTTCGGAGTTCGCCAAAGAGCTCATCATGCTTCGAGAGCCGGCTCGTGCATGAGAGCATGAGGTGGCGTGGTCCTCCGTATCTTGGTTGTCGATTGGGAGAGCAGCGCTGCAATAGATGCAACCTCCATTGGTTCTTGGGGCGACTTTCGACATGTCGCGACAGTATATCGGGTAGAAATCGAGGTCTCTCTCAACCCTGCTGTGGCGAGTTGGGTCGTGAGGCCATTTCATTTCTGGCGAGATATGCTCGTCACCGGCGCGCGCTGCGTACTCTGTCAAGACGTCGCAGCCAATGATCTACCACGACGGGCCTTAGTCCTAGCCACACACGGCGATACAGGTGGTTGGCGATGCAGCCCGTGAGCGTTGGCGGCTTCCTGGAGTCGGATGTGGGCTCCCTTTTGCCGGTCGGCTGAAACCGAAGCTTGCTCACGGTGGAGGCTGTGGAGGTTCGCCCAGTCTGAACAGGTCCAGCTTGAATACTGGAGCAATATTCGGGTCCCACTTGGGTACGGCGTTCGGCGGCGGGTTCGGCTCAACTTGCCTGATGTCAACGCCATCGCGGACACATCGCAACGGCCACTGTATCCATTCCCTCCACGGGTCCTGGATGGCCTTGTCCAGGGCCGAAGCCACGTTGTGCCCCCAGCCGTTGAGGTACCAAAGCTTTCGCTCGAATGCGTGGACGAGTGCTGCGTAGTACATGAGGATGGTGAGAGCCATTGGATGGTTCTGGCTCATAAGCTCGAGGAAGGATTGAGGTAGCGAGACGGCCCATCGCCAGACGAGACCGGACCGGTGAGATGGTGTCGAGACGGCGGCGAAGGTGAGCTTCAGGCCCTCGAGTGCGGACTGACACATTGACGTGTCTTCGGATGGGGCCATGCTCCGGGTGAGGTTAAGAAGGTCGTCGATCTTGTTGGCGAAGTTACCTCCGACGGCTGGCTCGACTCCGCCTTGATAGAGCCACCGAGCTAGGGGACCGTTCGAGATGTAGCGATAGGCGAATGGAAGGGTCAGTATGCTCTTAATGCCTGTGACTGTTAGCCTAGTATCTCTGAGGAACGTGTATTAGGCCTCACCCTGTAGTAGAATGAAGGACTGGGCCACGTCCTTGGATGTGATGGGGCCGTGGGGATGAGCTATTGAGTAAGTGTTCAAAAGAAATATGCAGATGGCGTGTAGAACATAGGCATCGGCATTATTCTCGCCAATGTCGTTCAACCCTGGGGAGAACTTGCTAAGGGCAATGTTCTGATGACGGGTGGAGATGGTGGTGTATTCCTCTCGCTTTTCCGGGTTGAGATAGGAAAGGTGAATCGCAGACACGGCCAGGATGCCATGGAGGAGGAAGTCCTGCAGCAATCAGCACATGGACCATCCAGTTGAAGAGTCAAGTGGCCTACATGGGCAAATGCGATTTCGGGAACGGTAGTCGTCCACAGGTGAACGAAGTCGGGGTTCTCGGACAAGGTGTGAGCCGTGTTGGAAGTGAAGTGGTGTACGAGCTGCATATCGGTGAGCCAGTCCGCCTGGGGGATATGCTGGGGATCCCCGCATTCGCCTCGATTTGACGCAGAGCTGTTGTCGTTGTCGTTGGCGCCCGGGTTATTCATCGCATCCATCTCAGCCGTAAACTCGGCCAGAAGCCCTTGCATGGCCGCCACCTTTTCCTTCAACGACGTCAACTGAGGCGAGTGCCGGTCCCGGCGACTGCCCGGGCGACTGGTCGAAGAAGCATCCCCAACGCTACCGGGGGTCGCAGTACTTGCCGCCTCCGGGGCTGGCTTTGGCGACTCGGTGACAGCCGGGAGCTGGGGAGCGAACGGAGTCAAGACCAGACTGCACTTGACGTCGTGTCGCACGCAATTCCGACATGGTCGATTTTCGTCACACTGAAGGCCGTTAGATCGTATCCCGAATAGGGATTGGGACTTGGCATCCTTCAGTGCCGGACGCCGACCCCGGTCTCGCTCCGTCACTCTCACTCACCTTGACGCGGCGCTTTTTGCACTGCTGGCAACCGTTTCTCGACTTCTTATGGCCGATGCGCGTCCCCCGTACACCGGACCCCAGCTTTGGTTTCCCGCCGTTGGTGGCAGCGGACCCGTTCTCCAGTCGTGTAACCTCGGCCTTGAGAGAAGGCGAGTCTGTCTCTGGGGATTCGGCACTCATGGCACCGGCACTGGCAATGGCATCTGGGCTTGTCGAGTGTCTGATGGGGGAGGAAAGTGACGAAGGAATGACAGGTCAGGATAGCGGTGCCTGCTCTGTGTCGCGAAATGGAATGGTGAGTTGTTGGTTGTCTCAAGGGATGTTTTGACGCTTGGACTTAGGGTGAGATCCACGGTATCTGATCCCCAAGCTGGTGGCGCCTTCTCATACTGCCGGGCTGCATGGCATGCGCGACGGCGCGAGGTGGCATTCGGGAGAGACGTGGATGATGGGCAGGGCTGGGGTGTTTGGTGCGAGTGCTCCACGTCGTCGGCTTTAAGACGGGTCGGGATCCATGTGACTTGCAGCAGCATGCGCGACTCCCGAGCGTGCTCGTAGGTTGTCGTCTGGCCGCGGTGTTAAGCTTGTTTGGACCTCGAGCAATGAGGTGTGTGTTATGACGAAATATTGATTTGACAGCCGTTTGTACGAGAAGAGAGTTCAAGGGCACCGTCAGGGACCTGCGCCTCCAGCTGTAGGTCGGGTGCACCTGCGCGAAGCTTAAGCTTGGCTGTTCCGGGCCGGCCGAGACAGGCACGTGACGTGGTCTTGAGAGCTCCTGAAAGGTACGTACTGCGTGCTTCCTGGGTGGAGTAAGATCGACCCGCACTGAAGCATGGCCCAAGCTCCCTTCTTTTTTGACCCAATCAGATCGATGGAAGCGGGGAAATGGCTGCTCCTCCTGCTGTGGCTTAAACCAATGAGAGCCTATTAACCAGGAACCCATCTTAAAAAGTGGATGTTGCGGGAAACGGGAAAATGCAGGCACGAGGAGCTAAATTGCGACATGCAGACGGGACGCGCCAAATGCTGGAAGGAACGCGACTTCCTGTGCTGGCCAGAGACGTAGGTAGCTGCCTCCGAGGTCATCACAACGTCAGTAGTACAGTGTACCTGCCGATGGGAAGGCGCATTCTTAGCTCGAGGTCTTCAGCCACTGACTTGCACTTTCCTTCCTGCTTGTATCCGTAAAGAACCTGGAGCGTGTCTTCCATCCGTCCGACCCCTCATTTTCTTCTTCTTCCACCTCTTCTCCTCTTCTCCATCGTCTTGCATTGGCTTTTGACGTGATCCCGTTCATCCCTTGCAACTCAACCGAATAAATGACCATCGATCCGACGTATTTCCCCATTTTCCAATCTTAATCCCACCCATCCGTATTCGTCTTCAACATCCCTGACGCACATCTCCTGCGAACCCCCCCAAAATGGCAACCTCGTCCGACAACAACGACGTCAAGGCCTCGGCCAAGGACAATGCCTCTTCCGACATCCATGACATCAAGGCTTCGGTCAAGGACAATGCTGCCGGCGTCTATGCCTACGGCCAGCGCCAGATCAATCGTGTCGTCAGCTTCGACACTAGGCAGAAAGCCTACGGCGACGTTTCCGACTTCGCCCAAAGGAAGCCTCTTCTTTTCGTACGTCCCCTCCTCAATTGCCCCTCTCAGAAACCTTCCTAATGGTCCATGTGTCTTAAGTCCTTCATCGTCGCCCAGCTGGTCTTCTCTTCCTTGCCCATCATCGCCTGCTTGACTTTCGCTTTCTCCACGATCGTCTTCGCCCTGGGCGCCGCCGTCATCTTCACCCTTTTCTGGGCTTGCGTCGCCCTACTCTTCCTCGTGCCTACCCTCTTCTTCACATGCTCCGTTGGCATCGTCGTCTGGATCTGGGCAGCCGGAAGCTTCTTCGTCGTCAAATGGCTGTACGAGATGTCTCCGGTGAGCACTAAGGGGGAGATTCGCGTCGACGTACCGAACGGTAACACGCACGCCATTACCAAGAACGAGGGTGGGATTGATGTACACACGGTGCAGAATTGATATCATCAATGCAAGAGGGACTCGAAACAGGTTTCTTGTTGTTAGGTTCGGCGTTCGCTTGGTACTGGAAGTGTTTTGGACGGATACCCGGGTTCAGTTATGCTATTCCAAGGTATGGGAAGCTCCATCCATACGTTACAGAGGTTGTTGATGCTTCAATACAGAACATTGCCATTGTCTACTTATGAGGGTGCTTGTCACTTGCTTTCATCTTCATCCGAACTTTCGCAAAGACTTGCTGCGGTGTCCTTCTCAAATTTCAGACTGGTTTACGTCAAAACCAAACCTCATCCCCTCTCGCTCTCTTTGGTCAAAAGTCCGGAGCCTCAATATGGAACTCAAGACCACAAAGTCCCCCGGGGCGTCGCGTCCAGCTGTCTTACCACAGCACCGGCTCCTTGCAAGCATGCGGAAGCACCGTCACACCAGAGCTCTGGAAAATCTGGAGAATCTCCTGGCCTTCGCGCACCGCCCAATGATGGAAGCATTCGGCCGCCACCTCGGTCAATAGACTATGACGCTCCCGTGAAAGACTAACCGCAAATTCCCGCAAGTTCATCAACAGGCCATATCCAAATGCGAAGCCATCCAAGTGAAGCCTCCTCAAAGTTTGCGGAAGAGTTGTGAAGAAGGTCCTACGCCTCGCTCGGCTGCAGCCACCGATTGGGCAGTCGACGCTGCGAATGTCAATCCAGAGCTTTTCTAGACACTCGAAGACACCCATCTCCAAGGGAGTCTCGTATTGGAGTATATCATCCACGCCGAGATAACGGGTATCTATGCACAACGAGCGAAGTGTCCGGGAGCTTTTTTTCAACACAGCAACGATATCCGGAGCCATTGGTCTTCTCTCCAAGAAACCTTCAGGAGGTCTTGTTGCGTTCCTCGCCAAGAAGGCAAAGTGCGTCAATTCTTGACAACCACCAAACAGCCTTTGCAAGTCGTCCGCCGTCAACGTTACCCTCTTGAGAGTTACGGACCGTAAGCGCCCAAGCGCGCGTGTGTACTCCGCCCCGGAGACGTTGCAGTCCTGCAAATACAGCTCAGACACATTTTCTCCCAGGGCTAGCAGACTCGCGACAGCAGTCGAACTCAGGCGCTCGAAACCTACGTAGTCGTCGCTGCGATACCATGCTCTAAAGGCTATCCGGATCGCCTCGAGCGTCGGCAGTGCCGGCGCCGGCGTTGCGCGACTTGCGGCACCGAAAGTCTTGACGATCTCCTCCGCGACCATGGGCGGCAGCGATAGCGTCAGCTCCCTCAGGTTCGGCAGCCTGTCCATCGTGAGCACGGTGAGCAGACCGTGCAAGGCTGCCCAGGATGCCCTTTGCGCATCACGACTTGGACGCATAGGAATCAGTGCTGGGACCGGTCGACCCGAAGCCTGTGCGAGTTCCGTCACGAAAGAGCAGTCGTCTTGGATCTTTCGATCGCTTTTCAAGCTCTTCGAGACATTGCCGACCGCCCAGAAGGGCGTCCAGACGTTGCGGAACGACTCGAAGCTCGAAGCATTGTCGGCTACCGAGATGCACAACCGTTGAGTGTGCTGGGCGGAGACAGAACTCTTGTTGAGGCGTCGTAGAATCGACACGAGGTGGGATGCTGATCCGAAGTCGGGAACAACGATGCTGCCCCGGAGATGGAAGAGGGCTACTTTGCGGTGCCGCTTGCAGGACAAAGCGAAACCGCGCAGGGCCATACGGTTATAATCCTTCAAGATGTAAATTTGTTTTGTTGTGTCAACCGTGTCGAGCTTTGACTTCCACGTGCCTCTTTCGTTTATAGGGATGAGGAGTTCGCAGATCATCGACAACAGCTCGTTCGGGAGATTGGCGATGCCTGTCTTGGGAGGCTCCAGCGGGGGTTGCTCTTCTGACGGGGATGCTTCTCCTGATGCAGGCGGGGTCTCTCCTGAGTAAGGCAAGGCCTTCTGTAGTGAGGTGAGAGGCTCCATCCTCAGACCTTTGGCAGTGTATTACGAAGATAGAAGATGTTTGTCGTTGTGATCGTCAATCAGAATGGACCAAGGCGTGACCAGAAAACAGAGGATCGAGGCTAGAAATAGTTAAAATGAGCATCGGAGATGTGTAAACGTATAGTCAACAAGCCTTGTAGCTTTCTTGGGGCGGATACCTACTATGTAGTCGAAGATTTGCAGTCTCCGGAAGACCTTTGAAGTTAAAATTGGGCAGTTAGGACAGCGGCGGACCACCTTGTTGGCTTTCCGACCAGTTCTTTCTTCAAATCGTGGTGAGAATTGCCACCTATCCAGATGACCTTGAGAATTTTGTCGTTGATTCCATGGTGAGCTTGAGCATTGAGATCACGGAATGGGGAACTCAGAACCGTTTCCGAACCAACGGTTCATAGACCCCACGCCCTTCTAAAGAACTCAAAGTCATGATTCAAGTAACACCCGACTGCAAGCCATGTCGTGGCTTTGACAACGACCACGGCAACGTATGCAGTCTCCTCAAGGTCCCTCTGGGTTCCATCGCCGAAGCCACAACACGGCCTGAGCCCATGCCATTCCCTCCTACATAAGGCAATAGCCACAAAACAGCACCCGTATGCCACCGTGATTCTCACACCAACTCGTGTTCCGAGGATGACCCTTCCACCGGCTTTCTCAAAGACGTGCTCGTCGACCAGAGTAAAGCAATGCCGTTAGTAGGCGGGATATCACCACGAAGCAGAATCCCGATTTCAGCTGGATGGAACCGATTCAGCCATCCAAGGACCAGAATCATCAGTGCACCGTCGAAGATGAAGACCATGTACAGAGCAAACAAGTACACCTGCTACTGGATGTACGGTTTCTCGGATTTGGCGGTCGGGGCGTGGCGCATGCGCCGGTGGAAGACGCCGGACACGACGAGGAAGCAGCCGAAGAAGGCGAGTTGTACGCCGAGGCCGACGATGATGGTCAGTTCGCCGTTCGCGACGTCGGAGGGGTTCTTGGAACTTAGTTTGCCGGCGCCTTGAGAGTAACACGGCACGTTAGTATGTCTCTACGCTATACAGGTCTTGTTCTCTGGATATTCCACGGGTCGGGAAAAGCGATTTCTTATACCCGATGCTTGAAGAAAGAGAGAGATGACATTGCCTGGGACGAATAACTTGGTTGGATGTTTATTCGTGCCCTTGCTAACAGCGGGCATCTCGCTCTACAAACAACAGTGACCCAAGGATTGAAAACACGGACCTTCCATCAGACACCCCCGAGGCTCTAGACACCCTTCGCGCTTTCCAAGCAAGCGAGATACCTCAACAAGCACAAGAGTGCTTCGCCAAAGCTACCCAGGACCTTCACAATATAGTCAGGATGATGGCGGCGTTTGGCGCCAACGCCGAGGTCAGTGTGGTCTTCGCTTGGCTACACACTCTTGACGACAATATCGTAGTGGATATCAAGTCACGCAAGCCGCAAGCACTATTGCTTTTGGCGTATTTTGCCGTATTTCTATTGCGGCTAGAAAAGATGTATTGGTTTGTCAGGGGCTGGGGCAGTCGACTCGTTAAACAGATCGAGGAATTGCTTTCTAGGCGTCCAAGGCAGTTGGAGCATCTACGGTGGGCCGTGGAGAATGTACAAGATCTATAGAATCATTAGAATGGTGCTGCCGCTGCTGTTGTTGTTTATGATGTTGTTGTTGTTGTTGTTCTCCTGCATCCTCATTCTGACTTGACGGCCTCCCTAGGGACACAAGCTTGCCTTGTGGTGGGATTACAAGCTACAAGACATAACGGAAGTCCTTATTCTCGTCATCAGTCTTATCGTGCATGCCCATGCGCATTCCGTCCAGCCTGTCCTCCAGGTTTTCGGGCCTGCCGTACAGACGGTCCCGGCGCTTGTTCTCCCAGATCATATAGAAGCGCAGGAGAACAGCACACAAAAGACCGATACCCAAGCAGACCATGATCGATACGATGGCCAGCACGTATCTTGGCGCGTCCTCGCTTCTGAAGAAAAACGGGCCGGCGATGTTCCCAGCGGCGTACATGATGAACAGGAGCGTGTTGGCGACGGCGCGCTTCGTGTGTCCGGCAATGTTCTGACCAACGATGGTCAGGGCAAAAGGGCTCTGGTTCGATTGTTAGTGAGTGATTTTGAGTTCGGAAGGCTGAGGTGTATGCTTACAGTAACGGCGTACGAATTAATCAACCAATATGCCACGGCCCTTCCGTAGATATTGGCGTCGGTTCCGAGCGTCGCGTAGACCGCGGCAACGCCTGCGATGGCGATGACCATGGGTACGATCATGCCCCAGGTACGGAGGTTTCCATATTTAATGGAAAAGAAGCCCCAAAGAATCATACTCCCAGCGCTCACGAGCGAAGACGGAAGCCCGATAAGCAGAGTCTTGAACGAGTCGAAACCGAACCCAGCCACAACCAAGCTGCCAAAGTTGGTGAGGCCTCCGTTCGGCACACTCTTGAAGAACTCAAAGCCGAGAAGAAGCCATAGCTTGGGGTCCTTGAGAGCGTGCCAGATCTGGTACGTCTTCCAACCATAGCTCTTGATTCCGGTCATGTTTTCCGCGACGCGCTGAACTGCTATGCGCTTCTCCTCCTCTGTGAAAAAGGATGCTGTTCCGGGCGTCTCGGGCATAATGACCAACCAGATTGAGCCGGTGAGGAAGGACAGGATGCCGAGGATGAGGAAAATATACATCCAGGGTCGTAGTACGGTGTTTGTAATGTGACCAAGGCCGTATGACGCAAGGGCGCCGAAGATTGTGAAGATACCCTGCATGGCGGACCACAGGAGCGTTCTCCATACCTGTTCCTTGCGGGTGTAGAAGGTGGAGGTGTAGAGGACGAAGCCTGGCATGACGACGGACTCGACCACACCGAGAAGGAACCGAATCACGAGGAGCCCCTTGAATTCTTTCAGGCCCAGATGACTGTAATACACATGAGTTAGCAATGGTTCTTTGTTGAGCGGAGACGTGACAATTAAAATGCTTACCCAACCATCAAAACACCCCAAGCAAGGACTGTCATGCCCAAGAACCGGCTCACTTTCAGCTTCTGGAGCAGGTAGTTTCCGGGGTACTGAGCGACCAAGAAGCCAAAGTAGAACATAGAACTGGCCCAGGAGTACTCTGTACCCTTGAGATTCAAGTCCTCTCGGAAATGGAACAGAACCGCCCAGCTCATGCTCAGTTTGTCGATGTAACATATTCCATAAAGGACGCACATCAACGGGAGGAGGCGACGGTCGAGCTTCTTACAGATGGCGGCGGATTGTTCAGGGGTGATGGGACGGAAGTCTGAGCCTTCGAGGATGTCGTAGCCCTCATCGGCGTTTCCGCCCATCTTCAGGTCGGGCAGGCATTCTAGATCCTCAACGGGCCTCTGAGGGCTTCTTTGTTCGATTGTGTCGGCCATCTGGACGAACGAGACTGGAAACGTAGCAGGAGGGCAGTTCAACGAAGGAACGGAAGATGGCTCCCAGGAGATAAAGTCGAGACTACGCCGTCTTACATGTGCCCCTGGGACGGACCAAAAACGATGTAGATGTATATACCAGACGATTCGGACGTCGACGCTTATCTTTCCCTCCACAAGCCCCAGGTCTTCCTGCAGGACCCATCCGGGGTATGGAGAGAGATCGGGGTGGGTCTCCGGCGGCGGGAGATATATCTACGTCAGCTCAGTCTGGAAAAGATGTCCCGAGGTCAAACCCCGACGGCTCACGACCCACCACTCCCCGCACTTGAGTCTGTCATGACGGCACACGCTCCGACGAGGCACGCCTACGCCAGATCGGAGTCGTTCCCCTATCTTCAGCTCGTTGCTCACGAGTCCAGGCAACGTGACATACATGTATGTTCGTTCCCCTGTCCCGACTCCCACGTCCTCGAGCCCCCGGCGAGGGCAACTTCCAGTCAAAAGCAGAAGCCGAATCCATCCCGAAAGCCTTCTTTACCAAACCTACCGCGATCTCATCATTCGAAGGATTATTTGCCTATCCCGTCTCAACCCGCCTCACGTTCATCCCGTCAAAGATGACGCCGCCCGAAATTGACGAGAAGAAATGCCTCGACTTTCTCTCTAAGTTGGTTCAGATCAAAAGTTATTCTCAAAGCAATGGTGAGATTGAGATCACCGACTACATCCACGCTCAGATGACCCGCATCGGTCTCGAGTCCGCCATCTACCCCTTCGACGAAGGAAAGCGACAGAATGCCGTGGGCATCTGGAAGGGCACCGGGCAAAGCAAATCGACCGCAAAGACGCTGCTGTTCAACGGACATCTCGACACGAACCCAGTCTCCGCGGGTTGGACCGTCGATCCCTGGGAGGGTAAGGTCGACGAAGGGTTTATCTACGGTATCGGCGTGAGCAATATGAAGTCCGGATGCGCCGCCTACTTCTGCGCCGTCGAAACCCTCAAAGCAGCCGGGTGGACTCCTTCTGCCGATGTCACACTGACGTACGTAGTCGGAGAGCTGCAAGGGGGCGTAGGGACCAAAGCCCTGATCGACCAGGGACGTATTGCCGCCGACTACTTCATCAACTGCGAGCCGAGCGATATCCGGTCCATTACCATGCATGCCGAGTCTCTCGTCTTCGAGATTCAGCTCCTGGGCGTGACGAGGCACATGTCGGCGCGAGAGGAGGCCGCCGACGCCATTCTAGCCGCCTGCGAGCTGATTCCCATCCTGTCGAAGATGCGCTTCCGGAACGCGCGCACGGAAGAACACGCCAAATGCAATCGCTGTAACGTCGGCGTCGTGCATGGGGCTCTGGGGAAAGACCTCATTGAGTGGCGGCCCCCGCAGGTCGCCGACTACGCCAAGATATTGGGTAGTGCGAGATATGCCCCGGGCCAGAGTCGCGCGAGCGTTATCTCGGACATATGCGACGTGGTGGAAGGCGTTGTCCGCAAATACCCAGGAATGAGTTTCGAGTTCAAGGAGGACTCGCGGCCGACTATGCCGGCGTTTGAAGTGTCTAAAACATCGCCAATCGTCAAGGCTGTTAGTAAAGCGTACCACGATGTACGTAACGAGCCACAAGCCGTTGGCGTTCTCTCTCCAACGTGCTTTTATGGCTCGGACAGTGGGTTCTTGTATAAGATGTTGGGTATGGAGGGTGTGGTTTGCGGGCCTGGTGGCAGATACAACACCCGTCCCGACGAGAAGGTCGATATCGCGGATTATTTAGATTGTGTCCGAATGTTTATTAGAGTCATTATGGAAATCTGCGGCTAGCCGATTGAGCCTGGATTGGTGCTTATTACGCCTCATTACCAAAATTGAAGATCGTAATTCATGAACGCTGCAGAACTGTGCTGTGATCTGATAACTCTCGCCCCCAGGTTCAGGCTGACGGGCTGACGAGCAGTGTTTACTCTCTTCTTTGAAAGCAAAGCATGAAGTCCCTTATACACAAGAATAGGATGAGGAAGCAGTATTTTTTCAACTCCTTGAGTCCTTTCATAGAGAGAAAACCCGGAGGTATTCGAGGGGAAAGTGATGCCGAGGAGCATGTATACCGGGGCAACAAATTGTCCACGGGTTCGAGAATGACTGGCTACTTCGAATACCTGTGACCCCATGTCATCTCTGCTGTGAATCCAAAGCATCAACACACCTCATGTCCAAAGTCTACACCCTTGAAAAACGAGTTTATCATGATGCAATTTTTTTATTTTGGCGTAGAAGACTTCGCCCTTTAGGTTCAATAAGACATAAAGAATTTTGTTTTACGGATTGTTGAAGAACCTCGATAGGCTTTAGACCGTGTAAGCGAGGTCGGTGAAGTTGTCTCTATCCACACCTATTAAAAGGGCCTCAAGCTCGATCAGACAGCTGGATCGCCATAGTAGTGATTGAAGTTACTCGAAGGAAACCTAGCCGGGCGAGACCAGCAAAAAGAAACGAATGCTGCGTCAAAACAAAAGTAATCGTGCCAACACTGTGGATCGAACACAGGATCCCCGCATTACAAGTGCGATGCCTTACCACTTGGCCATGCTGGCGAATCGGATGAAAATCTGGGAAAGTTTTGTCTTTATGTAGCTGGAGTGTGGGGTCGCCTAATAGCCAATCGTACGCTCTTAGTTTCCCCTGCCCTGTGCCATTTCCTTTGTCGGATCTCTGCGATGTATCAAGACCGTAATTGTACATGAGAATCAATGAGTCCATCTTCAGCTTCGATGGAGGTGATTGACGTTCGCCATTGCGGCCCAAGTCACCTGCAGTGTGAAGAAGTTGGGGAATGACCTTCGGTTCGTGTCCTTGCGGTTCCGGCAGCAAAGTGGGGCCGATGCCGGCCTAATATCCGACTCGGTCGACGAAAGAACCAATGCGCAGCTTTTCGGTAGTTGTGTAAACCCTGATGAACGACGACTTCTCTTAATGTGAGCCCTCTGATGTAATTCGTTTCTTAACTGATGTATGATGTAATTTGTTTTTTGCACCGTCTGATTAACCACTTTTCTTTAGATCTTTGAAAGCTGGACTTCCCCCAGGCCACTCTGTCTGATCTGAAGGAAGTGTATCACGCCTGCCGATCCGAGAAGTAGAAGGGTAGACTCAGCAGGAGAAGCGTGATCACCGCTTATCACACGGGGAAAAGAAAAGATGCATCACCTGAGGAATAATTTTGACTCGGCAGAGGCGAGGCTCGGCATTTGACAATTCTATTCGACCTTCGTTGGCTTACTTCGTCAACAGATATCCTCCATACCGAAACGTGTAGACTCACTGGGACCCAACAATATCCGGCTTCGACAACACTTCTTCCTCACCTTCTCTTTGATGCAAATCAACTTTTGAGACCTGTTAGAAGTCAATCGTCACAACAACAAGAACACAAAAGCTGACAAGAACGATAACAGCACTTTAATATGTCTACTTTGATAATATGTAGATGCTTTAATGAGAAGACTCTACTGTTACATCAAGATCCACAGGGACATGGATCATGCATATATGACGACATGAACTCGAGGGGCTTTGTGGAGCATCACCACATTCGTTACCCCTCACTTCCTATTATCACTACAGCAAAACGACTTATCTATCAACTACGTCTCAACACTCCGTGATTCACCAAAACCAAAGATCTGTAACGCAGTCTTAATCTCCAACAGTCCTCAATGACTATGGCAAATTTCTCGAACCTGCCAGCAGAGCTCGTGCTAAGAATAGCACGCAGCGTAAGATCCCACGATTCACCAAAAGACCGGGCCGAAACACTTGTAGCTCTGCATGATAGGAATGAGCGCAATGAGGAAACGGTCGGTAATTTGCGTCTGCAAAAGTATCGCCTGCGTTTCGAGCAAACCTCGTTGCTGAGTCTCTCAAGCACCTGCCGCGCATTCAGATCGATTGTGGCCCCAGAAGCGCACTATTTCATCTCCAACGTTACCATGCAAGGTTCCTGGCCACCGTTACAGCTGTTCTCAATGCTGCAACTCCTCGAACAGAGACCTGATCTCCGCGGTTGGGTCAAGCAACTTCACCTTGCCATGCCACCTTCAACGTACTACTTCGAGGATCTCGCACCCGGGCAAATCCAGTCTCTCTGGGAGCAAGTTGAGAGCAAGTATGGAGTCAAAATACTCGGCAGAGAAGAAGTCAGAGACGATTCTTCTCGTTTCACGGATGAAAGGGGATACGGTATTCTTCTGGCTTTGCTGCTTTCTGTCCTTCGAGGCGTCGAAGGTCTCTCGGTATTTTCGACGGCTGGAACTTTTGCTCATGCTGGCAATTATTTGACTCAGAATTCTACTCTTCTGACCCAAAGCAACCAACTAAAAGGGAACGACTATACGCAGGAAATCAGCCCAACAACAATCCTTCCCAACCTTACGTCTCTTGCGGTTACCAATCAACTCTACAACGACGTGGAATTACAACCAAATATCACGACGTGGTCTTCCATGGCTGTTCTCGACGTTTGTCCAAATCTCTCAAAAGTTTGGGCGGATGGGTTTTACGACAGTCCTCCGCTTGGCAACTTGCCCAACAATGTATGCCAAAACATCACAGCTCTCAACCTCATGAACACTTTTATTTCCGAGGATGCCTTTCCTGCTCTCATGGAACGAATTCAATGTTTGGAGACCTTCAAGTTTCTTGTCATGGAGCCTGATTGTGGCTCTCTGCTGGACGACGAGGAATACGGAGTACTGTCTCCTAGAGCAGCTGTACGAGGCCTGCAATGCCACGCAAAGTCTCTGCGTACATTCTATTACCAGAACGACGTCGGGTACTTTGGCAAGGATGAGCTATTTGACACCTTCGAAGCATTTGCCAGTTTGAAGAACTTGTGGATCGATACAAAAAGCTTTACCACCACAGGCGGCGCGTATGGCATGGACTTTGATGCTGAATACTCAGATTCCGAGGATGGAACCGACACGGAGCAGGATGATGGCCCTCAGAACCTTCCAGGTCTTCCGTGCTCTCTTCGGCGTCTATACATATCTGAAGACATAGAGCCAATCGTCGACAGCTTGCGTTTACTCGCTTCAGAATGCGAGCTTCGGTTCCCAAAGCTTGAGAAGGTGGTTTTCGGAGAACCTTACCTGCTTGATGGCCCAGGGTTTGACGAAATGGGCCTCAACGAGATTTACAGGACGTTTCGCAATGCCGGCGTTGAAGCCTGCCCTCATGACAAGTACCAATCGGATCTTTGGTAAAACTGGCAGCCTGGTCTCAAGTTCACCTCTTTCTGAGAAGCTACCCGGAAAGTCTTTTTACTTGGAGATCAAATGAGGCTGGAGAAAGGGGGATCTCGATAGAAGGGTGCGATTTGAGCGAGAAGCCTAACTTGTGATGGTCTCGTGACCACCCACGAAATTATTGTGCGCTGATTATATCACGACAAAAGAGGATACAGACATAGCCGCACATGCTTTAGAAGCTCAACAACTTGATTTCCACTTATCAATATGTTCACACAATCGCTGCCCTGACGTACATAGCCTCTGAAAATCCTGATCTACCTGACTCCATCGTCTCCTCCCAGATTGAACTCTCACCACATGACTGGCGCTGTTTCGATATTGCGCGAAGCCCGTACGCCAGCGGCCTGAAAAACATCATGAATGATCCGGAAAGCTACTTCATTGCACTCGAAGGCAATCTCCTCAAGCTGGGGCAACATATGAGGCTTGCAGCTTTTAGAGAGCCAACTCAGGTTTGATTGGAGTTCCATGGTACTGCCGCTGAAGTGTACCCTTCTCAGGGACGAGGGAAGAGTTCGAATGACTGAGTTGATAGCGGTGGCCTCCTCCGGGTCGCCGTTGGGCGCATGACAAACGCCCCAAGTGTCGATCCAAAGATTCTGGAGGCTGACGAAATCCTCCAATGTGTCGTAAGATGTCTCAGGCGAGCAGGCACTGATGCCAAAGCCGGAGTCAGAAGATAAGCACAGCGTGAGCAACTGTTTGGCCGCTGGGCTCCTCTTCAAGGCGTCTAAAATTGTCTTGCCATCGACAATCATGGTCACCTCATCGTCGTCGTTTTCGTATGGCTCGAAGTACATGAACTTCGTTAGGTTGGGGACAATGTACAAGAAATCCTGAAGCCTTCCGTCGTGGAAGTATACGTCTTTGAGAATGAGAGATGTCAAGTTGGTCATGGACGCCAGTGGCGTTGCTCCATAGACTTGAATGCTGAATGTCTGAACAAAAAGCTCTGTGACATTCAAGCCTAGTTGACCAAATGTTGCGACGTCTTCGGCCTGAGCCGCATTTTTACGCCAGCCCATGGGTGGATAGTAGTACCGCAACGAGACGCTTTTCAGCGACGAGAGAGGTCGGACGTTTGGAAGCCCCTGTACTGTGTCGCGCAGCGAATTGCCAGTCTCAACTTCTTCAAGTGCTGGCCCTCGAAGCGACCAAAGATGGTCCTCGAAACATTTGAATAGAAAAGCAGAAGTGCTTATCGCAACCTCTTCCAGGTTCGGAAGGGCAGCAAGCAGCAGAACAGCCATAAACGCAAGATAATCATCGTCCTGATATCGCATTTCGTTGGATTCAGAGTTCTCGTCAACAGCCTCGAAAACACCATGTTCATGAACACCATCCATGTCGTTGTCAGATGGAAGCTCATAAAGTGTGAAACTTGCTGGAGCGGCAGAGTTGGGGTCGTTGGAATCACCGGAATTGAGCGAGTCGTCGGCACCTCCAGAAGTCTCTTCTTCATTGTCTGTAACGTATTCCCAATCATTCCTTTCTTCATCGTCGTTGGGCGGAAGGTAGCTGGGATCAACATCCAATCCTTTTGAATTCCCCCACTCTAACAAGCGGCTAAATCGACCCTGTGTAATGACAGTCCTACCCATAAACACAGGCTCAAGATGAATGTAGAGCTTGGTGACTTGTTCACCTAGATGAGGGCTTTTCTGAAGTAAAGAGAGGAGGGAAAGTAGCTTCTGGGTGCTGTTCCTGTGGCCGATGGCGATGAAGCGATGCAGCTCTTGAAGCTCCTCAGCGAGGGCGTTGTAAATAAATTTGCAGGAGAGAGAGAGGGAGATCAGGTGGAGCCTCTCATTGCGTAGATTCTTGGAGATAGGTAGCGTATCGACATCTTGATAGATACGAAGCTTCGAGGGGCGTTTGTATTGGAAGAATGAAGCGATGTGGAGCATAAGCTCAGCTGGCAATTCGTCGAGTTTCGCCATATTGTGTGTTTCGAGTCTACAACGAACTGACGGGATGCCAGAAAATGACGACCACCTGGCCTGACATGTCTTGAGTAATATCAGCCTAATGACGTTGTGGATTGGTGGTTAAAATGCCCAGAGCCTTGACTATTGTTGCAGAAAGCAAAGCGGGGTTGAAAGCGGCGATGCTGTGCGGGCAAGGTTGGTGCTCATGTGACTCAGAACCTAAAAGCATCAAAGCACTTTCATCTGACGATGTGAGAAAAACCTTCATTGAGCCTTCATTGGCACTTTGATCGCTAAACTAATGGAAAGAAAAGGAATATTCGAAATGTTCTGGTGGATGGTAGCCAATGTGGATGCCTAGATACTGCATCATTCCAACAACACAAAGCCATTTCAACCCCACCCAACCATTCGGCGAAAGAATTATTGTAGTTGAGAGGTAAGGCCTATTGAGTTCTTTGTTCAAATTCTTCGATCTACATAGAAAATGATAGAAAAATGGAAGAATATCGAACTCCTAAAAGGGTACTCATAAAGATGACTGTATCCCGTGACGATGAGATACGAACTTTCAAGCCCACTTTCTCATCTAGAGGGACTACCAAGACAGACGCAGTTGTACACGACTATCCATGCTCTCAACATGGCCCAGCTTTGCGACCTCCCTCCGGAGCTGGTCGTTGGAATCTTCAAACAGCTTCATACGAGACAGGCGATGCAAGATGTAATGACATCCGCGTCAACCGACAAAGCCTTTGCTATGATCCTCCGGTCTTCTTGGCAAGACCGTTTCAATCTCTCAGTGGTCAACCGCAGATACCACAAGATAGCCAGACCTCTGGTTTACAAAACGATCAGCATCCACAAAAGAGGCGCTCTCCGAAAGCTCGTCTCTCTTTTGCGATTTCTCAGAGCCAACCCAGATGTTGCATCCAGTGTCGAGCAGCTCTATCTCGATATTCGACCACACTCCTCTTACTTCCAGCACGTCAACCCGACCGACGCTGATACTGTTTTTGAAGCCTCCAAGACTTCGACTATCGGAGGCATTCAGTCCTTTTGGAACCACGAGTTGGAGAGGGCATTGGGCTTTCGGCCTCAGGTACCGGATACCCTCAAGACCACCCACGAGTGCGCGTGCTTCACGACAATCTTCATCCTGCTGCTCCATAACATGCGAAATGTCCACGACCTTGGAATTGCAGTTATGCCTGGCTCCTGCAGCTGCTTGAGCCATAGGATCAAGGAGATATGCCCCAGTTCAGTGGATTTCTTTGACGTCATGAACTTGATAATGGAAACGATTGAGCTACCCGAGCAACTGCATGATTTTCCAGCATTCGAAAACGTCAAAGCAGTAGCTTTGAGGTCGATAGACGGGATGTCTAACCCATTTCTTGGGTACCAAGCTGGAGCTCTCTTGAAGATGAACCCGAACGCAACTTGCTTCTACATGGAAGGATGCGACTTTATCTACAGTCAACTTTTCAATATGGGACTCAGCAGCATCACCCAGCTGACCATCCATGGGGTCAAGATGGACAAATATGACTACTTTACAGTGATCAAGAGCTGCTCGATGCTTCTGCACTTCAAGTACATCGCCAAGACCCACAACAAGTGTGACGTGGGAGGCTGCGGCCCAAGCCCGAAGAGAATCGTCGAGATGCTTCAGGAGACTGGCCACAACACAACCTTGGTTTCGCTGTACTTGGATTATCGCCAAAACGGCGATTTGTGGCGTCCAGGCTACCCGAGTCTGGCTGATTTCAAGGCTCTGGACAGCGCGTCGCTCTGCTTCAATACGACCCCCCTTGAAGACAGTGTTTGGGGCTCAAACCGTAGACCGGCAGAGTCGACTTTGATGTCTTTGCCCCAGAACCTGAGAATCCTGCGGCTTTGGGGTAACGGATGGAGCTCAAGCGCCCTAGAACAGCTTTTCCCGACGAGCGCGAAATTCCCCAACCTCGAGAGTGTTGACTTTGACTGGGAAGACGGCCAAGTCGAGTATTTTCGGCAGCGGCTCCGAAACTCAGGCATTCAGTCGTTGAACGCTGCAGATTTGACCAGATAATTGCGGCGTACTTGGTGGTATTTTAGCGGCACGAGATGGAATGGATATTTTGTGATGAAGAGAAAGATAGTACCGGTTGAAGAGATGATCTTTGTTGCTGTCGTTTCTGTTAATGGAGTTTCTGGTTCTGGATAGACAAAATGCATCACATAGGGAGAACTCAAGCTTGTCCAAATTACTTTGTAATCTTTTGATGTGACATCGGTTCAGCCCGAAATGAAAGATTCGTTATGTGGCAGTAGTACTTCTTTCAGGCCAGTGGACGTGTCCCACATCCACGGATAGGGGTCAGCTTTGGTCTTGTACAAAAGCCCAGGCCTCCCCGCCTTCTCGCTTCCAGGAACCGGCTCGTCATATTCCATAGCCACTTCCATCATAACTGGAAAAAGCCGAGCTCCGATCTCATTCCTCAACCACTCTGCGTCCCGCATAAGAGCGGCTGTGATACCCTTGATGTGAAGCCGACGAAGGGTCCTCGGCAGGGATCTCACGCCCGCCTGTCCTTTCTTTCTGGCGTCGGAACAGACGACATTTGAACCGCGAATCCATAAGTCTGAAAGTACCGAGAGACCTTCGAACGATTTGACCGGTTCTAAATGTTCGTAACTGGTGAGTGGACACTCGATGACAAGAGTCCTCAGTGTCGCTGATCGATGCCGAATAAGATACCCAACGACAGTCTCCGGCGCCGCGCGTTTCCCGTCGGAAGTGTAGACGAGTGTTTCCAAGTGCTTGAGCTTTTTAAACACGGGTTCGAGGACTTCGGTCTGCTGAAACTTGCAGCAATGAAGCACGAGGCGGGTGATCATGGTAAAAGAAAATAGTGCCTCCTCGATGCCGAAGCAGCTATTCTCGTAACAAAGTTCCTTGATTCCGAGGCGGAACTTGTAGAACAAACCAAGTTCCTTAGAAACGTGTTCTAGACGCGGTCCGGATTGTGCAGTTTCTGTGAGAGCCAATGATCGAATGCTGTGTCGCACAGCCTGGAGTTTCTTGGGTGCAGGGTAATGCATGGTGAGCATCGACATAGGAATCTCGATCCCTTCGATTTTTGGAAGGCGTGATAGTATAATCTGGGATATCAGCCCCAGTCTGTGATCGTGTCCAAACAACTTTCCCTTCAACGGGCCGTGGTATTCACCAGGGTACTCGTGTTTCGATGTATCCCAGAACTTTTCCACCGTCGTGAAACCAGCCTTGCGCGTAGCGCTCTTCAGGTATTCGATATCCTTGGGTCGGAGGCTCCGGTAGCTCTTTTCAGTATCGTCATCATCAGAGTTGTTGGGGCAGATGCAGAGCTGTGTGGTTATCCCGAAAACCTGAAGTTCTGAGTCTTTGTCAATGGCTCGAAGTAGCTTGAGCATCTTCTGGAACTTGTTTTGGCCAGTGATGAAAACAACTCCGTAAAGATCGTCCCGTAACATCCGGTGGAGTGATCGACAGGTGCTTCCAAGGCTGAGAAGCGCACGACGTCTCTCGAAGAACGTGAAGTCCTCGCTGTTGTCTGGAGCGAGAGAGGCGATCCGAATGTTAGCTGCTGTGGGCTTGTATGGAAGGGGGATGATTGAGTCGACCAGCTCTTGGGGAAGATCAGTGATTCCAGCCATGTTTGACGTCAGGTAAGGTTAGATTATAGTAGAAGACCGTGACAAGGATGTGCGAATTTACCAAAGTGCGAGGCGGACTCCAACGGGAAGGCATGCTATTTATATGAGGAAAGAGGCACCCGTAGTGGAAACTTAAAAGATTTGATGACGTTTCGCTAAATCAGCCGCAAGATCAAATACTCTTTTGGCAACCCGGACAGCTGTTTATCAAGGTGCAGGCTGAGAAAATCTGGGGCGGAAAACGACCAGTCCAAGACCGAGCGTCAAACAAACCGGCCTTCTGAATGCAGTGAAAAGTTTAAAGCAGTTGGGTAAAGAATTGTTTGGGCTTTTATTTCTGTTGCCGATCAACTTCTTCGTATTTCTACTCCTCAGACAGCGAGATACATTCCCGCAGCCTTCATTCGTTGCCAAAAGTCCCTATCTCTCTTAGCTCCCGAGCTCAGAAATCATCCCATTTTATCGATCTAGTCAAACATCAAAGGGCACAATGATGGGGCTGACCGACCTTCCTCCAGAGCTTCTGGACAAGATATGTCTGTGTCTCCCATGGGACAAAGTGGGATGCAAATGCACTAGATGAAGACCCAGCTCACGGTCGACTTCCTTCAGATGTCTCCACAACCCACTCTGTTCGCCTTTGGTCGCAGATGCAAGAAGCATTTTCAGTCGGCCTGACGATTTTATAACTAATGGTTGATCATCGATCTTACCCGACAGAACGAGTGTCAGGATATCATTCGTTTGCTGCGGCGCATCCATGACAAACACAGAGCATCGGCCTTCATTGTGAAATCCAAAAGCTAGATAAAATTTTGCGGGTGTTGGCTGCTGAACGTTGAGTCAATTGTGAAGAGGCTACATATTTAAAGGAATCAAAGTCAGACATGATCGAAGGTTTTCAGAAAGAACAACACCATGATATCCTCATGTGTAAAGAGGTTCCTCGCAGATACAACAAGGCTTTTCATGAGAATGGGTTCGTAAACTCCAGATTTGTGGTTTAACCTCTATGTCCAGTCTCATTACCTCGGACTGTGGACATTCCCAAGGCATCCGGCCACTTTCGTTGAATTATTTCACGGATCAGCAGGTCTCAAATGAAAACTATCCTCAGTTTCTTCAACGTAGTCGCAGTCTAATGTCTACACCTGATACTACTAGAAGAGCCTGAAAACATGCTGAAAGAGTGGCCAAAAAGAATTCTCGCAGAGCAAGCCTGTGTCCAACACTGACCCAAGGTCACAACCCTCCAAAGGCAGCAGCTTACTTCGACCTGTAACAACCGCCCTTCTCGAAGACGGCGGGAATGCCACAAGTAGTTGCCTTGATGGCCTTCGCGGTGCACTCAGCGTTGTCGTCCTTTATGAACCGCGAGAAGGCGTCAAAGTTGATGGACATGCCCTTGCCGAGTTTGGAGCCAAAGGCATTGGTGTCGCACTTCTTGGCCACGTACCGATCGCTGGCCTTTCCGTGAGGGCATTCGTATCGCAGGGCTGCAATGAGCTGCTCGCACCAGCGGGTCGAGTCCTGGCCGGTGGGGTGGATGTCTACCTTGTACTTGACGCGGTCGTGCTCCTTGTCGTAGTAGTAAGAGCAGTCGACCTTGGTGGAAAGACCCTTGCTGGGATCGACGAAGGCGCAGGTGAAGTCGGGGTCGACGCCAGGGGGAGGAGTGGCGGCGGCAGGTGATCTCTCCTGGATGGGGAAGGGAGCGGAGATGACGGCGTTGGTGATGAAGTCATCAGTGTTCTTGATAGAGACAGCAGTGATTGCAGCTCCAAAAGTGGTAGCAGCAAGGCAAGCTTGCAAGAGAACTTGAGAGAGCATCATCGTGAAGGGATACTTGTAGTGTTGTTGTTGTTGGGTTAGGTAGGAACGGATCGATGTGTTGTGAAAGTCGTGGTGGTTTGGCGAGAGGTTCTTCAGTATGACGAAAGATAAAGAGTTTATATTCTGCAAAATCCATTTAGAAGAAACGCCAGGAAGTGAGACCGGACTTCAAAAGATTGAGGCAACAACGAGAGCGAGGCAGGCAGGCGTAGGAGGAAGGTCACGCCTTCCCGGACACGAAGAGAGGTCTGAGGGCGATGTGCCGTATTTTTCCTTCACCACCCTCATCATCTGACTGAGGCTTGGTGTTTGGCTTCCCATTTCCCTTATATTGAATGGTCAGAAATGTCTCTTTGGACTTTAGCTCAAATGAACCACACTGTCACTTGGCAGTACTCCATGGGCCTTTCGCTAGGTGCCTCAGTAAATGTAATAACAAACATCTGGAGATGCTAACAACACCAAACAAACATCTCCAGGGCTAACTAATGTGATATCATCGGCGACATGGCCCTACGGGATGGATGTAGCTTGAAGGAGTACGATGTAGAATTACGGTCTGTGACACTCTGAATCTTCATCACGACTCCTATTCGCCAACCCTCAAATCACACGAAAGGCTTGCTTGGCAGAAATAAAGGCAGAAACCCCCTTACATCTGTGGATACCGTTGATACAAAATAGGTGTTACTGTGACACTAGCTGGTCACACAACCCTCTTTGACGATGTTCTCCGGTGGCGGGAGTGACCGAAGGTCTGAGGGTTGGACGTTTTATTTCTGCAGCAGATACGTCGCCTTTACTGGCCCTTGGGTGTTTGCTAATCCAGGCTTGTCCGAGCTCGTGTGGTACAACATCGTCGTCGAAGTCCACAATCTGCTCTTCCAAATTGATGAAGGGAGTACTTTTCGTCTTGATTTGATACTCAAGATCCTCCATGACAATAGCTAATTCCTTTCACATCCACAATCAAACTGCTGAGTGGCTGAGAGCAACATCCTCGTTTTGTGCATTCGAAGGCTCTGTTGTTTATGAACAAAACTAGGCAAATGAACTCAAACCACCTCCCTCTCGACCTTCTTAGTCTCACCAGCTTCGTTTTCTCTAATTTGCGTAGTCCAGAACTTACGGTCACCGCTAGGCCTCTGCATCACCAGCACCGGTGTCGGAATGGCCGGGCCGTCTCCCCAGCCGCTGGAGAGACTAGACGCATCAGAGCTCACAGAGCTCCTCAAAGGCAGAATGAGTGATTCGTGTGAAGTGCTTGAGTACGTCCTCTGGCTAGGAAACGATCTCGGAGAAGTAATCCTCGACGCAGTTCCGCTCGAGGATCGCGACATGAGCCCTTTCCAGGTTCCAATCTTGGGCTGTATTCTGTTCTTATCCGGTGAAGGCGGCCAGCTTTCCACCCCGGCCTGGACCATCTCTGCTTTCTTCGCCCGACGGTCAATGGCAGATTGAACGAAAGAAGGTACAGCTGTTATGCGTGGCTTTTGCCCTCCTGATGAAAGTGGTGGTTGCCTCAGACCTTCTTCTCCTGATGCCTGGGCTGGTAGCTCGACCGACCGCGTGTTTGATGCCGACGGACCTGCCTGTGGACCTAGGCCTTGCTGACTGCTGGACATGGATGAGCTGGGAGTAAACGTTGGCTGCGCAGGGTCCTGACCGGATCGCCGGACTGGCGGTGGTGGCGGTAGCGAGACCATCGGAGGGTTGGAAGTCAATGGTGGTAGATCCTTGGCCGGCCGGGCTGGCGGCGGCGTCGGAGGCGCCGCTGAATCCATGACTCCTTTGGCTTTCTCCTCTGTCCGTCGCTTACGCCGACCTCGCCACCTGCGGTAGAAGAAAAGCGCGACGAAGAAGGCGAAGAAGCCTACGTGTCGATGGGGTCAGTAAGGCTGTTGATTTACACGCGTCGCAACACTGGGAGCTGACTAACCGAGTATGAGGAGTACAATGCCGGCTGTACGACCAGCATTGGTTGAGTTCGAGGCTTGAGTTGGAGGAGGTGCTGCGCTAGTGGCTGGGGCTGCTGTCCGAGATGAGGTGGGAGCCGCCGCGATTGTACTCTGCTGGGAAAGCGATAAGATATTGCTCGTCTCCGGAGCACTTGTCGGGACTACGATAGTCGGTGCGCTTGAGGGAGGAGGGGCTTGAGGCGTAGAAGAGGGCTCGGCGGCGACTGGTAAAGTTGATAGTGTCGACGGCGTTGAAATTGGCGGAGAGGCTTGAGACGTCGAAGTTGGCCCTGGAGGTGTTGAGGCGGACAACTGAGTGGAACTAGATGTCTGGGTAGATGTGGTCGATGAGGTCTTGCTCAATGATCTCGTTTTGCATTTCTTCTCGTCATCGTCATCATCGCAGTCGTCGTCTTTCTCATCGTCCCCGTCTTCACGTCGAAACAATCGAATTCTCGGCGGGCTTTCATTTCGACCTACTGGCTTGAGATTGTTCGTCAGTATGTCATCGGGATCGTTCGATAGCAACCAATTTCTCTCACTCTTTCCCGGATGAGAGACATTACAAAATGAGGCGGGAAACGCTTGTTTTGTACAGCCCTCTTGTGTCCAGCACACGTACTGAACGACTTGCTCTGTCGTTGGTCTATGTCAAAGAGTTGATAGGGCTGGTAGTGCAGACCTGCTGCAGTCGAGAGTATGATCAAAAAGTAGAAGAGAAAAGGCTCAGCTCGGAACTTCCAGCCGAAAAGACGTCACGAGAGGCTCAAGTGTACTGTCGGTGACCCTCGAGGACTCTTCGGCTGCCCCTGTCGCATCTTTATGAGAAAGAGCTGAGAGCAGCGGACCGCCCTGAGATAATGTTTCGCACTTCAGCTGGCTAGGGATGCAGAACGTATTGTGGGCCGCGGAAAGCTTGTTTTGCGTTTAAAAATAAATTGCCGTTACTCATCCCTACCCGACCAATATCGGACAATTCCTTATCACTCGGCCGGATCGAGCTTCTCAGAAGGGAAGAGATCGTTTCAGTGCTTGCGACCCCGCAGAGCAGTCCAGTCTGTCATTTGACAACGTCGTTGCCCCTGTTTCTCTTCTCCAGATCCCGCGCTTGATGTCTGGAGACGGAATGTAACGTGACGCGGAGCGGGTGTAACTCGGTATCACGGAACGAAGGGAAAGGTTGAGTTTGAGGCTGAGAATGCTTGATGATGGCTTCAGGATATTTGCCGGTCGTCCCGTCCTGACTCCGTATACGGTATCACTAATTAGGACTTGACGAGACCTGCGGGCTGTCCTCAAGATCAGCTAGCTGTTCCCCGGATCGAGTTGTTGGAGGGACGCGAGATCTGCTCAACCATATTCGGCAATTGTTTCATGACAGCTAGTGGGGATGTCCAAGTCTGGGGATCCTTGGAGTTGCTCAAGATGACTAACTAATTCAGACGAAGGCTCATACTGGCCATTCATTCATCACAGAGTCCGAATACTCGGAACAAGGTGTTGTTCTCTCATCACTTACATTCTCTGACTGCCATACAAGACCAACTCGTCACGGTTTTCCCATGAACCAACCCATTTTGGAAAAGCTTCGTGGACACCGCCTTACGCAGAAAGACCTATTTTTATATTTTTCTACTCACTAGAACAACTTTCAGACCATTCAACAAAGTCAAGCACGGCCTATTCGTTTCCACCCGTCCAAACAAGGTCTGGCACAAAGAAACACGAACATCAGCTCAAGCAACCTTCGTCCCAAGAACCCACTAACCCCAAAGAAGTAGGCACATCACCAGCCGAAGACAACGACACCTTCGTCCCGGTTAGATCTCATCATCACCGGGAAATGTGATCATCACATTCCAGCGGCTGAGATTCGGGTCAGTCGATAATCTGGAGAGCAGGCCGCACAGGGGAAGACTCACGGTGGTCGTTCTTGGCCGGAGGGGGAGGCGGCGGGCCGGGAGGCGGGCCTGGTGGTGGAACGGGAGGCGGAACGGGAGGCGGCGGTGGAGGTGGTGGAGGAGGGCCCGGAGGCGGAGGTGGAGGCGGTGGAGGCGGACCTGGAGGCGGGGGAGGAGGAGGAGGAGGAGGAGGAGGAGGTGGCGCCGGCGGCGTGGGCTGCGGAGGCGGCGTCTGTTGTGGACGAGCTGGCGGTCAAGTTAGCATCATGAGAGTATCACCAGCGGGAGTGTGACGTACGCCCGTCAATACCGTTCCTCTTGTCGGGAGGCCTCGGTGGCCGTCCACCTTTTGATTCTCTTGTCAGCACTGATACCCAACTCAACCTCAGCAAGAATCAACTCACCATCCGGACCCCGGTCACCTCCAGGAGGTCGTGGAGGCCGATCTCCGTTGGGAGGTCTGGGTGGCCTATCACCATCGGGAGGTCGGGGAGGGCGGCCGCCATCAGGGGGTCTGGGGGGGTCATCGCAACGGTCCCGGGCCATGAGACCCGGAGGTCTCGGAGGCCTTCCTCCACGGCCTGACTATGTGTTAGCAACAGATGGACATTGGGCTTCCAACTTCTGCTGACGCTATTTACCTCTGTCTGGTCCGTCGTCATCGTCGGGACGGCCGCAGCGATCGCGGACGACCACGCTTGCGTCCGGGACGTGAAGGGCGGGATCATTGCGCTTCCATTTGATGGAGGGATGGTCATCGGCGTCAATGATGTCAGGCCTGTTGGGAGGCACCACGAGGCCGTGGGCGAGGGGCTCGAGAAGGAGAACACCCAAGAGTGCCTGCTTCCACGAGAGGGGAGCCATGATTTAGGTGAGTCAGTCTGAGAACCAGGGTGGTGAAGTGATCTTGGCTCAATGGATGAAGGTGATACGCAAGAGTTGGGAGGTTGCGGGAAATGGTTGCATCTTTATAGACCTCAGTAGGCACATGGAAACCAACAGCTCCCACACAACGTTGACTCCCGCGGACGAGTCCCGACGACAACGATGGACACATGCCAAGGTCTTGTCTCGAAATAGAACCACGGATCCCCCGTTGGTCTCAAACTAAGATTCGGGAGAGTGAACAGGAGTTCGCGGAATAGACTCTGGAGATCTACACTCGCAGAAAGTGGACTGCCTTAAACTTCCGCACCTCAAGAGTCCAGATAATGTCATCCAAGAAGAAATCGCCCCGGAGTGGTAACCCACCTTGAGCCCTTCTAAGCAATAGCTTCAAACGTCATTTTGCCTCCGTGCTTCACACCCATCCAGAAAGCACTCGGTGATGTGGGAATTTGGCAGCTGCTCGGGTATGGATGAGTTTGATTTTGTTTTAGACGGAGAGCTACATGGCCGTCGCCCTATGCCTTATACAGTTGCATGCCAAAACAAGCCTGGCTGCCCGTTGGTCCGTTTATTTACCACGTTAATGCGTTAAATGCCTTTCAGACGGCGACAGGTAGTTGAAACCGAGGAACGTCTTTGTTTCTCCAAGTACCTGACATGTCAGCTCAGCTACAGTGAACCGAGATCGGCTTACGGCTGTGGTATCTGCCATCTCGTTCGTAGTACAGACCAAAAATCCCCGAGTGGCTCGGAAGCTGCAACGCCGGCAACGTCTCTCGAAATATGCCGCGATGTCGACACCACATGCTCGCGGCCGTCGTGGTGGGAAAACAAAACCCCTCACGAACCTTCAACGGGCTGGCTGGGCCAAACTCAGCTGACTATGGCATTGGAGCAAATAAGAAAAAAAGATGAGGAGTAACTCTTCGGGTCTATCCGACACGCAATTCGGTGACATGATGTCCTGCATCTCCAACTCGCCCGATTGCACTGGGGGAATTCTAGCCGTGAGCATATCTTCAACCCTACTCCTCCTTGCCGCGGCTTTAAAGCGCAGAGAAAGGAACGCCCCCCCGGAGCTTATTTGGACGAGGGAACTACTAGTCAAAGCGGCTAAAACTGCTGATTTCCACATCGAACGCCGCGGCGACGACGCGAGGCCGTTCAGCGCCCCTTGCCCACCACCATGACGCGGTTTGAGGGCTCAACCTTCTTGACATCCCAACGGACAACTCGCGAGCTGTGCATTCCCGTTTCCTGTCGTTTATCCCTCTGCAGATCATTGTGCGAAACCGGTGCTTGACGGGTCTTGGCTGCAGCCATCACCAAGCGAGAGATTTGAGGTTTTAGAGTTCGTGGTGTCTGTGTGGTTTTCGCATGAACAAAAACGTTGACGAAGTCCAAGAAGCTTGGCTATTGTTAGATCGAAGTAACTTTCTCTCCCAACGCACGCGGACTGGATAGGACGGCATTTCGACGACACAAAAGATGATGCCTTCTGTCATTGGTAGGTTTCGCCACGCGGTACATGATTGCGTTCGCGGTGGTGGCTGCCCACCTTGGCATTCGTTCGTCTCAAAGGTTAATAGACTATTCTCCGAGTCAGCATGAACACAATGCATGGGGGATGCTTCCTTTGCCCGGGCAGAGAATGCGGAGATGGTAGGGGAAGGTCCAGCTCTGGGATGTTAGTAGGGTAGGGCTTCTCACCTCGGTGGCGGGGATTACTGATTTTGGATTCCGAAGCCTTTGCGTGGCATTATCTCATGGTAACTTACTCGAACGCGGCACGGTTGACAGGTTTTATCCGCATGTCATCAGACCAGCCTGAGACCATAGCTCGGTTCGCGAAAAGAAACTCCTGATGATTGATACTGACTACACGAAGTTTACAAGAAGGCCCTCTGGTGAGCAATGCCGAATCCCCTCCACATCAAACTTGCCCTGCTTCTCTGGTGTAACCTGGCTTTGTCGCTTCCGGCCGTTACGCTTTTTCAAGTCCCCCAACAAAGGAAATTGAGTGAAGCCACAATCGCTAGTATCTCCAGTCTTGGCCATGTTCCGGTAATAATGTTGTTTGCCAGGTTGTTGACTCATCGAACGGCGGAATTTGATGTGATCTGTTCTGGGTCTGGGAAGTCCATCTCCTATCACATCTGCCACTCTACGTCTCAATCGAGTTAGCATCCCATCGTTTCAAGAGTCAAGAGGAAACTTACCTCTCAAAATCTCCCGGACGGTCGAGGCATGTTGTGGCTTCTTGCCAGCGTCTCTCTCTCTGGAGTCTTCCTGGTCTTCGCCTTTCGTGCTGAATTCATCGTCCGTCTTGTCCGTCTCATCCGCCAATCTCTGCCGCACTGAGTATTCGTTGGTTTCGAACCCGGAGTCTCTCGCATCATTCCTCGTCAGCAGGTCCGCCCCAGAATATGTTCGGCGGGACGACCTCGACCTCGACTCCTCTAGATATCAGTGCCTGAGCAACCCCAGTGGCGAGCAGAGAGTCCACATTGACAAGGTGGGGGTACTGGTAGGTACGCCTCAACTCGTCCATGTACCCAAACGTGGCCTTCTGCAGCTTGTGAAAGCATCCCGCTGTGATGTACTCCCGGAAACCAAAGATGTCGCAGTTGAAAACCCCATCGAGGTCGAACTCTTCGATATCATCAGGGAGAAGATGAAAGAGGGGGTGGGGCGTGATCCGGCGGACATTCGCGGGATGAACCAGTCCGTTACCCTTCAGAACCAGGCGCTTCAAGTTGGTAAAGGACTTCCAGGAGAGGCAAGATCCGTTGCGGTCCTCATGGCGTTGCGGGAGAAGTAGCTGGCGAATTTCAACCGCTTCTAGGGTATCCTTGTGGCGCATCAGAGCGCTTTGCATTTCTCGCGGCGTCGCTTGCATCTGCGCGTCAAATTCGTCGATGAAGCCTTGCGGATGAGAGGTGATGTACATCAACGTAGCGTGACGGTTCGAGTACGATGCGGCCTCGTAGCTGAAGGATCTCAGGCCATCGCAAGATGAAAGGAGGCGCTTGATGTCGCTTCGTGCAAGATGACAGTACCATAAGTTGATTGACGTCAGGTGGGTGAACATGGGAATCGGACCGACATGAACACATTGGTCGAGAGAAAGCTCCTCGACGTTTCGACTGCCTAAGATGACCGAAAGCTGGGCCGAGAACCGCTTGATAGTCGTTGACAGCTGCAGTCCCCAATTGAAGTCATCCTCGAGCGCATGGTGGACCGTCAACGTCTTCAAGTGAGGGAAGGCCGAATGGGGCGATAAGACACGTGCCGCAATGACGTGCTCTTGTAGCAAGGTCCATGAGCAGATATCCCAGCTACCAGACAAGGTTTCCATGAACAGCTCTTCCAAGTTGGGGGTCTTGACAAGAAGAAGCTGAAGAAGGATGGCTGACCGGCGCATAGGAACTCGCTGTTCCACCCAGGCTCGATCGACGGGAGAATAAGCAATGACATCGACTCGATCGGCGAGGTCTTGCAGCTTGTCGGCGCATGGCTGAGGGGCTAGCAAGAAGTCGTCATGATCGTGAGGGTAGCCGGGGTTGTTGAGCTTGGAGAACCCCGGCCAGTCAGGGGCCGTGTAGTCGCGCATGCGAACTCTTTGAAGAAGCTTTCCTAGCTCTGGTCGCTGGTGAAGGGTCCAAACAAAGCCGGCGAGCTTGTCGAAGTACTTTGGTCCAGTGTTCATCCACAGCTCGTGGTGACAAAATTCACGGTAGAGCAAGGGTTCGGCCAGGCTTCTGGTGTGACGCGACGCGATACACAATGCTGCCAGCGCTGAGGTAGCAGCGGCGTTGAAAGTCGGTTTGAATTTGTGTGTGTTGTCTATGATGTTTTCATACCGCTCGTGGAGAAGGCTGATGATAGTAATTTGCAGCTCGACGGGCAGCTGGAGGAAGCAAAAGGCTCCATCTCCAGCGCCGTCACCTCCAGTCATCTTGATCGTCTGGCTCGCGAGGTTTATTGCCCGAATAACAAACGATTGCTTCTGAGTCTGTTGTTGTCGTTCAATTACTTGGCGTCTCCTGATTAGTTGATGTTGTGGAGGAGTGTTTTGATTTTGTTGTGTGGAGGGTGAAAATTTGTGTGGTGTTGTGGGTGAAGAAAAAGAGGCAGGTGGTAAAAGGTCGGCCTCAGTCTTCCACGTGTTGACCACTTCAAAAGGCAGGCACGCGCTCGTAAGAAAATCCTTTTGACAACCTATAATTCCTTTTTTTTCGTCGATCTGAATTCTTATGCCAGGTTGGGCTCTCCATTGACGCCGTCTTGATCCTTCTTTGCCTTGGTCTGCTGTCTGTTCCTATGAGTGTGATCTTCCCCATCCTCTTGCTCCATTATACAGAGAACTTGGTGATGGATCCCTCATAATACTATAGCTCATAATCTACTTATCATGATATTTCCCGTGAAACCTGAATTGTTGATGCCAGGCACCTCTGCAAGCCCCTTTTTGAGGTAGATGAGATTTGAACAAACCCGTTGCCCAGAATCGCTCCGTCATTATTCCTGTTTCCTTCCTGATTAGGGATCAACTTGTAAACATCATATGAACAGGAAAAAAAAAATGAGCTTGACAAAGAGATCTGGCGACCTCGGGTAAGGGTTTCTTGGTCTCCCCGCCGGGCTTTGTTCGGTTATTCCTTACCGTCAAGCACCTGCAGTTATCGCGCAATAAATTTGATTTTATTTTGAAATTATCGGTATTTCCAAAATGGTCTCTGGCATATCAAAGTATGGTGGTTGATAACATATACCTGCCTTGGGTGGTGTCAGGGGAACCCAAAGCAGCCTTCTCAACATCGCAATAGAATACGCAGGCGGCAGTGGAAACACAAATTTGTACAATTCTTTTTTTTTCCCATCCGAGACTTTCTTCCGCTGTTCGCTCCAACTACCTCAGGCATCCATCGTTTGAATCTTCAACGTGGGTTCTTTCCAGTTTGCTGCCCTTTTAAGTTCCTATCGGCAACATCAACCTTCACAAACCTCGGCCATCACCTTCTCCCTCTCCATTTCTCTTGACTCTTCTCTGACTTTCCACCACTTCCATTGTCTTCTGGCATCTCCCTCCCACACTCCTGCAATTATTTGCCACCCGGTCGTGCCTGCGTCTTTGCTATCTTCTCTTCTTTCTTTTTCAGAACACTCCACCTCGACAAAACTGCCCCAACACCAATAACCAACATCAATACTTCCGCCGAAGGATGTCAGTCGAAGGACCTACAGCAACTGCTTGATTCGGGGGGTCGCTGTCAAGAACGATGTCTTTCCCCAAATTTCTGCTCCTGCCTCCGGAGTTGCAGGAGCAAATCATTGAATCCCTCGAGGAGCACCTAAATCCTCTCTCAATTGCCCACGACGACAAAGTCCACTACACCTATCTTCATGCCAAAAATAGGTGGGTCTTTCTTAAATGGATAAATCTATCTCACAATACTATTAAGCTAATGCGATATTTAATGCAATACAAGCAGACGCCTACCTATAATCTAATTAAATAAAGCTAAACCCTATATTAAGCCTAATACCTTTAATAACCTTATATAATTAGATAAGTACTTCCTCTAGAAAGCTATATATACTAATATATACTTTCTAGATTTTACTATATATTACTATATAATCTAAATATTAGTTTTCTATTTATATTAATCCTTAATAACTATAGTTATTAATAATCTTTATTAAAGTAATATTAAACTTTTAGTATATTATAGGATAATAGGAATAGCTTTAGTCTTTTAATAGAGATATAAATTATATATAAATATATAAAAATATTACTATATTAAAACTAAATAAATAAAGCTATTAATTTTTATATTTTTTATTAATATTAAATATTAATTTTTATTTAAAAATTAATAATATTTTAAAATCCCTTTATTAATAATATTATATTATACTTTATTATTTTAATTATTATAAAGGGGAATTTAAATATTATTATAAAGTTATTATAATATATAATTTAAATAAAAACTTTAATATAAATAATAAATTAAACTATATAAAGGTCTTAATCTTTATCTTTAAGGTACTTCTTAAAGTTACTAAATATTAATACTTTATATATAATATTTAAAAGTATAAAAAGTACTTTAAGATATTAAAAAGGCTAAAGTTAGCTTATATTTTATCTCTTAAGCTCTAAAAGTATATTAAATTTATTAAGTTTTATAATAATATTTATAAAGCTATTAAGTAGCTATAGAGAGTTAGGGGTAGGGGAGTATTACAGCCAGCTAACTGACAGTGGGTTTGTGTTAGTAGTAAGTTAGGGATTAAGAACTATAAATAGTAATTAGTTATTTTATAGGTCTAGTTAAGTAATTATAGGTCTTTAAAGGTCTTAGTAATTAGTTAAGGCCTTAATAAGAGTTATAGAGTAATTATTACTTAGATATAGCTAAAAGTATTATAAGTAATAATTATAAGTTAATTACTAAAGAGCTATAGAAGTTTGTCCTTAAGCGGACTTAAGTCCATCCTATATATAGGTCCTAGGTAGTCCTATTGCTAGGTGCTATATATGCCCTATATAGCTCCTATATCCTTAGCATACAGCTTCTATCTTTCTAGAATATAGATGCTATATCTTAATTATATAGATCTAATCTCTTATCTTATCGTTATATAACCTATACTATAGTTCTTCCGTTCCTAAGGGATCCTTATATATTCCCATAATCTTATATATAAATATATTATTATAACTACCTAATATCCTAATAGGGCATCCTTTATTAGTTATACCTAATAGGTTATAATATTAGGTCCCCTCTTTAAAGGTTTAGTCCCTTAGACTAATATAAATAGGTAGTATCTCTTAGGTTGGGGAGGTATTAATTATACTTCTTAATCTCTATAATATTAATACTATATTAGGTTATATTTAAAAATTAAAAGATTTAAAATCTATTCTTTATTCTACTTATAATAATATATTTAAGCGCTTTAGTTCTTCTAATATTATGCTTTATACTTACTATTTCTAGGTAAAGTATCCTTATTATATAGTAGAGGGTTTAAAGGTCTATTATAGGTATAAGAATTTAAAGCATCCTTATAATAGACTAGTTATTATATTAAGCTATAAGTCCTATTATATCTTTCTTTATAGGCTACTTCTAACTTATTATAGTAAAGCGTCTTAGTAACTAGCATTAAGAGTGGGAGGAAAAGGAGGAATAGGCTAGTAATGCTCTATTAGCGCTCTATAAGAAGCTTACTTAAGTATAATTAGAGGTAGCTAATATAGCTAGTTATTTAGCTTATATTTATATAACTTAGAAGTTAATTAAAGAGCGTTATATAGAGACGTTTACTTAGGGGATATAGGAACTTAAGGAGGCTAATAACATTCTTCCTATATTAGATACTTATAAGTAATATATTATAGAGGATCTTTAGGCTAGAGGTATTAAGAATAACCCTTCTTAGACTAAGTTTAGGATTAGGGAGGAGTTTATAGACTTAGGTCCTTTGCTTGGTGATACTCCTATAGTAGCTACTAGGAGTGCTAGAGGTTCTTAATGGGTTCCTATAAGTTATCTTTATATTTATACCCCTTCTATTTAATGAGGTATTCTATATTTCTATTATTTTTATAGTAGTTAATAATTTATTTAACTTTATATTCTAGTTCTAGTGGTTCTATAATAATATAGTCTTCTATATATAAACCTACTAGTGCTTTTTTAAAAAGTAAAATATAAAAGACTAGATAATACTTTATAGTATCTAGTAGTATAAGTTTAAAGTTAATATTAGATACCTTCTTTATAATCTCAAAAGGTCTAAGTTTCTTAAAGTCTAACTTATTACTTAGTTATTTTATCTTAATATTTCAATAGAGAAGTATTATAGCCAGCTAACTGACAGTAGGGTTTATATTAATAGTAAGTTAGGTAATAATAATAGTAATAGTTATTTATTATTCTATAGGTCTAATTAAGTAATTATAGGTCTTTAAAGGTCTTAGTAATTAGTTAAGGCCTCAATGAGAGTTATAGAGTAATTATTACTTAGGTATAGCTAAAAGTATTATAAGTAATAATTATAAGTTAATTACTAAGGAGCTATAGAAGTTTGTCCTTAAGCGGGCTCAAGTCCATCCTATATACAGGTCCTGGGTAGTCCTATTGCTGGGTGCCATACATGCCCTATACGGCTCCCATATCCTTGGCATATAGCTTCTATCTTTCTGGAATATAGATGCTATATCTTAATTATATAGATCTAATCTTTTATCTTATCATTACGTAACCTATACTATAGTTCTTCCATTCCTAAGGGATCCTTATATATTCCCATAATCCTATATATAAATATATTATTATAACCGCTTAGTATCCTAATAGGGCGTCCTTTATTAGTTATACCTAATAGGTTATAATATTAAGTCCCCTCTTTAAAGGTTTAGTCCCTTAGACTAATATAAATAGGTAGTATCTCCTAGGTTGGGGAGGCGTTAATTATACTTCCTAATCTCTATAATGCTAATACTATATTAGGTTATATTTAAAAATTAAAAGATTTAAAATCTATTTTTTATTCTACTTATAATAACGTATTTAAGCGCTTTAGTTCTTCTAACGTTATACCCTATACTTACTATTTCTAGGTAAAGCATCCTTATTATATAGTAGAGGGTTTAAAGGTCTATTATAGGTATAAGAATTTAAAGCGTCCTTATAA